GCGTCTTACAATACCTTAAGTACCTTATAGACATATTCCGAATATTCTTCTTCCATATCGGAGAAGATAAAGATATCGTCTAGGTAGCAAACCACAAAGACGTTAAGGTACTATCATAGGATATTATTAATTATTCATTAAAAGGTTACCGGTATATTAGTAAGTCTAAAAGGCATAACTAAGTATTTAAAAAGTCCGAATTTAGTTCTAAAAGCCATTTTTTATTCATCTCCTTCCTTAATACGGATTAGATTATAGGCTCCCTTAAGGTTAAAAGCTATAAAGATCTATTTTCCTTATAGGCAATCCTTAAGTTCTATAATAAACGGAAGTAAGGTTCTATCCTTAATAGTAAGTTCATTTAATCTTCGAAAATCCACAATAAGTTATAATAATCCGTCTTTCTTAGGGACAAACATTACTAAAAATCCTACTGGTAAAGTAAAGATCCTAATATTTCCCTTAGCTAATTCTACGTTAAGATATTCCCTTAAGGTATATAACTCTTTTTAATTAAGGTTATAAATCTTTTAGAGCGGTAGGTTATCTAATTTAAGCCATATTTCGTAGTCCCAGCGGCTATACTATAATACCTTTATTTCCAGTTCTTCCTTAAATAGTTTCTTATAAATACGGTATTCTAGTGGTACATTCTTAAGTCTATCATCCTCTTCTTTTTTCTATTAAGTTTTCATATCTTATAGTTATCTTTCTATTTCATAGCACTGGTACCTAACTTTTACAATTATTCATTGTATAAATTTCTTCTTACCCTTATTATATTTATATTATATCCCCTTTAGGGGTAGGCAAGTTTTATTACGCCTTTCTTCGCTATGGTCTTCAGTCAAAGCTTAAGATCTCTATTTATCGTCTAAATTACTAAGTCTATCGTCAGAGGGGTTAACTTTACAGTCAGCCTAGCCAGTCCTCCAGTCAATATATAGGTTATAGCATTATAACTATAGTAGTCCTAAGACCAGGCCGTATCCTAGGCTCGAAAGTATATTAAAGTCAATACCTTAATTACATCCGTTAATAAATACCTTTAAGTAATTAATCTCTCGGTTAATTCGTCTACCGTCATACTTAAAACGCTTACCTTCTAAATTAAACACTAGATAAGAGTGTTTTTTATATCTCTATAGTAGCTTTAGCTTATTAACTGTACTAAGGTTAATATAATTATAGTCAGCTCCGTAGTTAATAAAAGCGGTTAGCCATTCCCCTTTAATTCTAACTTTTAATTCTAGGTAAGTTAGTTAACCGGTCTAGGTCATCCTAAGAGCACTTCCTTACTCTTTACTTATCTATAGCTCTATTATAGATAGCGTCGGCCTTTTCCCATAGTACTTAGGTGATCTAGGCTATATTCACTATCGTAATAGTTTCTATCTTCTAGATATTTATATTATTACTAAAATTATTCTTAGTAGTCTGCCGTTTATTATTTAACTAACAGATCTACCTATTCCTATTATTACAGTATCTCTAGGTCTGGAATAGTTTCTCTATTAGGGTCTCCACTTAAGTTATACTTCTATTATACAATAAGTCATTTATCGTCTAGTATCTATAATTCTTATTTACTAATCCCTACTGGGGGTATAGTAATATATTATCTCTATAGGGCAATATCTCGTTACTATTCTATATAGTTTAAGGCTCTTTCCCTCGTTTCCATATAGGCTCGGAATTAAACTACCTATACTCCGGGGTATCTATAATACACCTAGTAACCTAACGTATCGATAATAATATAAGGTTTCTAAGTCATATATTTAGGTACTTATTCTAAAAAGCAGTTATTACTAATCTTATATTATCGATATAATACACAGTAGTAAGCTATATATAAGATCTATAACAGTTACTTATATAGAGGGTAACTCAGGTACTATCTTTAGTCCGTAAATACTATTATTTACTATAATAGTATTATTAGATTTTCCTACTATCCATTAGTAATAACTTGGATATAGACATTATCGTCTTATACTATTTCTACGCGTTCTTTCGCAAGTCCTATATATTTTTCGTTTTTTCCATTCCAGTATCGGTTTCCAAATTTATCATACTATAGGATATATATAACTTCCTACAGGTCTTTATCTTTCTTTAATGGTTTTCGTTCCTTTAATAGCTTATCTTAACGTTCTAGCTCTGTTTGTTAAGCGGTAGCGTAGTTAGGGTCTTTATAGTGTCGGTTTAATTTCTTTTTTACGGTTCGTACCGGAAGGTAGTTAATTACTAAGTAGGGTCCTACTTCCTAGTTAGTTTATACTGCAATAGCATTTCCTTAGTTATCCTATTCGATTGGTATTCCTAATTGTTCTAGGGTGCTTAACGTTTTACTAGGCTTAGGGGTATTTTCGTCTTGTAGTATTTATATTAGCATTTAAATAGTTCTATCAGGTTATAGTACTAGTAATTACACGAAGGTAGTATTAAGTAATTTATTAATTCCTTAACTGATTTCTTTGGGTATAAGTATTAGTTCCAGGTTAGGGTTAACCTCTTTTCCCTTTCGTACTATTATAATAGTAGATCCGTTAGGTTATTTTAGTAGTCCTTCTAGAACTAGGGTCTAAATAGCTTCTAACTTGGCCTTCTTATTCCTCTATAACTATATATACTTTTTCTACTTTCATTACGTTTCTATATAGTTTACTTAAATTACTTAGCAGTTAAGTAAGGTATACTCTTTTCCTTTTTACTTCGGGTAGTATTTAATAATAACTTTATTCTTACCTAGGCAGTAATCTTTAAGGTACCTAATTCTTCCTACCTCAGAATTATAAGTTACTTAAAAGTCTAATTTATTATATCCAGATCTAGTTATGGCAATTCAATATATACTCCTAATTGCCATCTAGGGTTCTTATTTTTCCCCTTATTTAATTACTTAGTTATTTCTTCCTTTTAATACTGGCTTATATTTTTAATTAGTTTTAATAAGGTTCTTACATTCTATATCGAAATGTCCTTTCTTACTACAGTTCCAGTAGGTAATCTTAGATTTATCTCGTTTAACTATTATAATAACTATTAGTCCTGGTACTGTCCCATAAAACGTATTATTATCTCGTTGACGTCCTTAATTCGTATCGTACCTAGGTCGAGTGTCTTATCGTGGCTTATTATAACGGGAGTTATAAATTCGCCAGGTAAACTGATAGTCATCGATTTTAACTACTATATTAATATATTCTACTAAGGTTCCTAGGCGATCTTCTTTATATAGTTCTGTTTATACTAATTCCTTAAGTGTATTAAAGAATAGCGACATTAAGACATCTTAGTCCCATAGTAGCTTAAATACAAGCTATAGAAACTCTACTCCTAGCTCTAATACTAACCTAGTCTGTTAGATTACCTTAATTTTTCATTTGGCATGTCCTTTTTTATTAATAGTTCTAAAGGCTTATTACAATACTTTCTTAAAGGCTTAATAATTAGTAAAAAGTATATAAACTCTTAGTTCTAAGTCTTTAATATTTACCTTATTAATCTATTCCTCTATAATAGGTTAGAACCATTATATAGCGGTGCCCTTAAGGCGTCCGGCTATATACTTTACCTTATTGGCATATTCATAGAACTATGTCGGGTAATAACTCATAAAGGTTCGACACTAGGTAATAAACATAGGTAGCTTACTAGGCGTTCTATCGAACATTTCCGGTAGGTTTAGTTTAAGGATTTCTCTAGCTTCCTTTCTATAAGTTACTATATTAACGAGGTTATATATTTCCTACAGACCATTCTAATTATTATATACCTATTAGGTCTGAAGGTTAAGGGCTTACTAAAGTATCTTACGCAAATTATCCATTTCGGTGGCCATACTAGTAACTTATTCACGTAGCTATACTACCTCCGTATCGTCAGAGCTCTCTAAAGAGTTTCCGTCGGCGTCCATTTCCTCGATAAGGGTCGGACCCTAGTTAGCAGGAATTCCGTTATTATTAATAACATTCTATTACTAAACTAAGGTAATAAGGGCGGCCATTATAATATTACTCAGATCGTATAGTATAATACTAAACAAGAGCTATTAATATATAACAGTTAGGTTTCTAAAGGGATATACTTAAGCCGTACTTAGGTATATATTTATAGGATTATAGAATACATTCTAAGCGGTAGTAAAGAAGTTACGTCTTTTAATAGTTAATAAAGCGGGTTAGGCATATTAAGGTAAAGAAGTTATATTAATAGCTAGTAAGCTAATATCTATAAAAGTGCTAATAAATATGTTCTATATATTAAAGATAGTTACTATAGTAACTATTATAGTTACTAGTAATTATATTGGTTATTAAGTGATTCTAATATTAAGAGGTAACCGTTTCGTAATAGTCACTGTATATATTATATAGTATAGTAATAACTATACATAATAGGTAAGAAAATGTAAGGTACATATGATGTAGATGCTAGGGTCGTAATAATAAACCTTTAAAAATAATAATAACTATAAATAACCTTAATTAGCTTTAAGTAAAAGGTTTAACTAATTAACAACTTAGCCTAGTAATAATCAATATCTATTATAGTAGTATATAATTTATAAATTTATATTTATATTAATAATCTTAAGTATTAGCTCTTTATAATTAATAATTATATAGACTTAAATAAAATAGCTAGATTTCCTTTTAAAGGGTAATACTAAACTCGATATAATAAAAATTAAAAAGAAGTAAAATATTTTTCTTTACTAATACCTTTTTTTCCTCTTATGAAAATTAAAATGTATTATAACTAACCCTCACCCTATTAACATTACTAATATTCTCTATTACAGATAATATACCTTCTATAAGTAAACTACCCTAGGCCAGCCTGGATATAGGAATAGTTAATAATAATAATGTCATATCTATATGAAGCTATTTATAATACTATTTAATTAAATAACTAACTAACAGGAAGTGTAATAGTAAATATAATTTATAAAATTTAATACATAATGCCTAGTGTCAGTTCGATTACAACTATTGCTTATACTTCTCAGCCAGCTTCTCGGCTGTCATCCTCCCCAAATCAGCAATGCTAGCAGCGCCTACAATCTCCACTACTGTGAAGGGCACTCCCACCTTTTGCCTGAACCAGTTCCTCAGCTCGATACTAACAAGCGAATCGACACCCGCACTCGCCAGCGGCACCGTCAGGTCAGGCTCCTCGTCGCTTCGCATCATGAAGTTGAACAGAGTGGTCCCAATCTCATGGGCCAGGAAGTCAGCTGTGGCGTCGGCCTCGAGCAACCCCGGCGTCTTCCCACACGACGACAGGAACTCTTTCAGGCCACCGTCTGTGGCGGGGCCGGATTTGATCTCATCCCGGTTTTCTATGTTGCGGTACACCAGCAAACGTGGGCTCTTTTTCCAGCCCGTACGGTTCATGGGCGAGAGGAGGGGAAGCTTTGAGCGCAAGCCAACGACGACATGGCTGTCGTTAATGTAACCCCTTGTGAGCCTGGTGTATTCGTCAGTCTTCTCTGCGGCAGTTATACTGCTGTCAGAGGTGCTGTTTGCAAGAGAAGCTCTTGGACCCAACATAAGCTCCAGAGAGTCGAGGAGGTCCTGCTCATGCAAGAAGTGCAGAGATGTGGCGCGCAACGCCTCAAGAAGGTGTCTCTCTCTGGCAAGGAAACCAACGTCTTCCATGATGCCGATTGCCAGAGTTGAGCAAGCCAAGCCTTGACCATGTCGATACTGGACGTAGGCATCCATGAATGTGTTGCCTGCTGCGTAATTGGCTTGCCCGATTTGTCCCGCTGTTCCTGACACGGAACTGAAGAGGAAAAAAAAGTCAAGCGGCTCCTCTTGCTTCTTCAACGCCTCCTCAAAGTTCCGCGTGCCCAGCACCTTGGGAAGGACTGCTGTCTGCCATGCATCGAACTTCATGTCGACAAAGTTTGCATCCTGTCTCGGGGTCAGCATTTCGCTCCGAGAGGTTTAGGGTTAAAGACTTAGTTGTAGCATACCTGTAAAACCATGGCAGCCTGCAAGACTCCGGCGACGGGGTTAGTGGCCGAGGCCACGGCCTTCTCAACATCCGCCCGGTTGTTAATGTTCCCACTGACGACTTGGGTCGAGCAACCCAAACTTCCCAGCTCCTCAAAGAAGGCCGGGTTGGATTCGGCAAACTGGGTGGCCGACCTGGAGAAAAATAGGAGATGTCGCGCTCCCTTTTCTGCCAGATACGTAGCAATCGACTGGCCCAGTCCACCCAGTCCACCTGCAAACACGTAGGTCCGGTCATCTCGAAGAATCAACTCTCGGCGCGCCGGTTCTGCCTCAGGCGCATGGGCTGCTCGGCTCTCTGGGACCGTGACGACGATCTTGCCTATATGCTGGCCCTTTTGCATGTACCGGAACGCCTCCTCAACTCTTGCGGCCTCAAATGTCTTGATCGGTCCGATGGGCCCAAGTTTTCCTTGCCCGCAGAGCTCCATGACCTTGTTCAGGACTCTGCTTGCCACCTTAGGTTTGTGCGCCCAAAGCTCCGTGTGGTCGAGGCCCACAAATGTTCGGTTATTCTCGAAGCGGTCCATCGCCAACTCGGCCTTGCCGATGAAGTCCCTTTTTCCGATTTCGACCATTGTGCCAAACTTGGCAACGCAATTCCACGACTCGTGAAGCAACTCCCCCGAGAGCGAGTTGAGAACTACATCGACACCTCGGCCGTAAGTTGCTTTTAGGATTCCCTGCCGGAAAGAACTGTCTCTGGAGTTGAAGATGTGGTCTCTAGGAATACCGAAAACACTTATCAGGTACTCGATCTTCTCCTCACTGCCCACAGTACAGAAGATCTGAAGTACAAAAGGTTAGCCAGCTGTCTTTTTAGAAATCATTTGATGTGGAAGGAGTGCGAACCTCTGCTCCGATCATCTTGGCTATCTGAATGGCGGCTTGTCCAACTCCACCACAGGCCGAATGAATCAAGACAGACTGTATTTAGTTAGTGTCTGTTTGAGGCACAGAGACATCAAATCTTACCTGTTCTGCCTCCAACCTCGCCAGGTCCACCAATCCATACATGGCGGTGCCAAAGACACATGGCATCGTCGCCGCCTCTTCGAAAGTCAAAGACTCGTGAATCTTGGTGCAATAGATCCCAGGCATGGTCTGTGACGTAGAAAAGCAGCCCGTGGAACTGAAAGCAACCCGATCGCCAACAGCAAGGTGCTGGACACAGGATCCAACCCGAGTGACAACGCCAGCGCCCTCGAAACCAAAGTCGCCGGCAGCCAAACCGTAATTAGTGGCCTCGACAATGCCCATGGCAATCAAGACGTCCTATTTTGAAAGTCAGATACGATGCAACTTGTGATGGCTTCGCTGGGTGTCTGTTACCTTGAAGTTGAGCCCGACTGCTCGAGTGTCCACCTGTACCCAGTCCTCCGCCTTCAAGACCGGCGACGTCTCCTGTTTCCAGTGAAGGGTTTGAATGATTCCAGGCTTGTCGATGACAAGACTCTCCATTCGGACTTCGGGTCTTTTGTCTTGAAGTTCGCTGTTGACATTGATCCAGTGCATTCGGCCGACCTGGATCGTGCCGGCATGGAAAGCGTACTCCGACTCAAAGTCAGTATCAACCTCGCCGTCTATCACTCGCGACGGGAACGTCTCGAGAAGGCCAGAAAGTGCTCTCCATGCACTTTCATCGAATACCTCCAGTTCGAACGTCACTAAGTCAATACCGGTCTCTTGGCGGATGCTCCTGGCCATTCCGTTGACGAGCGCGTAGTCGGGGTTCTTGCAACCGATCTGGCAGGCCCCAGTGACCCAGCAAAAGGGGACGTCCTGAACTGAGAAAAGAGTGCGTTTAAAGGAGTTGAACTGCTCTTCGGTGATATTGGCAAGAAATGGCGCTTCCAAATCCACCAGGAAGACTGCAGGCTGTCCTGGGGTGAGCACTTGACCGAGGGAGAAAAGGTCCAAGTCCAGGCCTATTCCTTGCAGGCATTTGGTGACTTCTGCAATTGCAGGATGGTCTAATTCATTGGCGATGATGCTCACTCTTTTCAGCTGTTCACAACGAGGCTGAACGGGCCTGGCGATGATGCTGTTGCTCATGTTGCCATCGAAAGCATATGCCTCAACACCGGAGAAGCCTGACTGCAAAAGCTTTTCGTGCCATCTTTCAGCACTGATGTATGGCTCGTTCTCCCGACCGTCCTCGCTGAGCCACCAGCCGACCAGCGGCCCCATGACATAATTGACCGACTTGGATGACTCGGGACTGAGCTCCATGAGGAACAACCGACCTTCGGGATGAAGAAGCTTCCGTACATTGGACAAAGTTTTGGTGAGATCAGGCGTGGCGTGCAAACAGTTGGAGGACACAATGAGGTCGAATGAACCCTCCTCGAATCCTTGGCTGATCGGGTCTTGGGTAATATCAAGCACTGAGTACTCGATGGCCTGATAGTCACAAAAGCGCTCCTTGGCCCCCATAAAGAACCCAGCTGATATGTCACTGTACACATAGGTGCCATACATCCGCTCTCCTTGTTCGGATCTCAGGGCAGGAAGAATTGTGGCGGTGGTGCCGCCTGTCCCAGCGCCAATCTCCAAAACTCGCATGGTGGGCTTCTTGTGGCCGAGCAGAGTGAGGAAGTGAAGATGATCAGCGTTGTTGGTGAAGTCATACATGCGCATCAAGATGTTGTCGGCCATGAGCACCTCGAGCGGGTCGGCTTCGCCAGAGAAAAAGCGCACGCTATTGTCAAAGATGCGATATAGGGAAATAGCCACAGCTTCAGCTTCAGTGCCCTCAGAGGCTGCGAGGTAGTCCCGAATGAGCTTTTGTCTCTCCTCAGAGCTCATGGTTGCGATTTCGACGCAGTTGGGGACGTGGGGGTATCGCCCCTCGACCGCTTCTGAGTAGGGGATGTCCATCCAATCGCGAAACTTGACAAGATGCCATTGGGTTGTTTCGAGTCCGGCGAGCTGGTGCCTGGACTCGATGATGCATGCCAGACCCATAGTATCGACCAGTCTATGTTGCTCATCATCGGGATCCTTCTTCAAGGATCGCAAGAGTCGTGTAGCATCGATGAAGTCAGCATCGGTCTTCCATTCAAGTACAGCTGCAGCGTGTGGATCGTCGTCGACGACATCGGAGCCGTCGCTCAGCGGTGAAAGTTCGAGACCTGTCCACTTGAGAACAACTTTCCCATTGGAAACACCCACCAGGTTGCTCATCGATCCGCCACGGCCCTTATCAGCGGCATCTCCAACCACCCGTATGGGTCCCTCGGGTCTTCCCACGTACATTTCTTCAATATACTTGGGAACCGAAGGCGTCCTGAAGTTCCTGCCAAGCCCATGGCATAGGCAGACATTGGAAAGATGGAAGGCAGCGTCGATACTAGCCGGGTGAACAGAATACAGCTCGCCCTCTTCGGGGAGACATTTCTCGTAAATGGTACCCACGGCTCTCTTCTCGGTTGTGTGCGCGCTGATGTCATCCAAGCCGCGAAAGCGTCCGCCGTAGTTCATACCAAATCGACGCCAAACGTTGTACATGATTGAAGTGGGAACTTTGCGAGGGAGGGGCTCGATCTTTGGGGTGTCGGGAACAAATGTTCGCCCAGACCTGACTTGGCCCGAGACGTGCTTGGTCCATGTGTTGGTAGTGGCAGTGAAAGACGAGATGGTGAAGCTATACCAATCCGAGTCAGCTGCGTTGGTCAGGCGAACGGGCGTCAAAGTTGTAACCAGCTCGACAGGATCGCCATGTAAGACGAGCGCCGAAGCCAGCGTAACGCGTCTCAGAGAGTAATCGTGAGATCCTGGACGAAGCTGTTTGATCGCTTCACCGGCCATGCAGAGGTAGGCTGCGCCAGGAAAGATGATGTCACCCAATATGTCGTGGTCACTGAGCCACGGGGCATCTTGGACTCGCAACTTGCAGCGCCATGCGGGTCCGGCGTCTGCACTCTCGAGCACCCGTGCACCAAGCAGTTCATGGTGGTCGAATTTGCGAAAGCGCCAGTCTCGGGATAGGCGATTCTCCAACCAATACTCGCCATCGTAGTGCCACGAGTATGTGGGGAGGTCGGTCAACAACTCGCCGCCTTCAGGCCTGCCGTGAAGGTTCACGGCGCTCAAGTCAAGATCAGGGGTGCCGGCCAGCCAAAGATTGCCCGCAGTGCTGAGTATTGACACATGGGCGTCTTTTTTGCGTACAAGCGTTGAAATGTATCCGGCATTCGACTTGATCTCGCTTTGAATGGTCTGTCTAATGGGTCCCGCGAGAGCCGAATGCGGCCCGACTTCCACAAACGTGAGGTTATCGTGAGACTGGAGCGCAGTCTGAATGGCACCTTTGAACAAAACAGGAGACACCAGGTTCTCTGTCCAGTATGCGGTCGATAGATCACTGTTGACTCCTCTGGTCACCGAGGAGTAGAAAGGAACTTGGGGCTGGCTTGCGTTAACGGTTCCAAGGCGGGCAGCGTAATCTTGGGCAACAAGCTTCATGTGCTCTGGGTACAGAATCCGTTAGTGACTTTTTCTTAATTAGAGAACCCTCATAGAAAGGTACTCACCCGAGTGATAAGCACATTCGACGCGAAGAGGCCGGACCAGAACGGACGGATCGGCGGTGCGGATGGTTTCCATGACCCTTTCCAGAACATCGGCGTCGCACGTCAATGTGACACTAGCTGGTGAGTTATCGCAGCCGATGGTAACCCCTGGCTGAAGGTACTGCACGACATCTTCCCGGCCAAGACCTATGGCTGCCATACCACCTTTGCGAATAGACTTCAGCGCAATGGTGGAGTTTCCTCGATAGTAGGCGACACGGATTGCATCTTGGGCCGAAATGGCGCCGCAGGCGTATGCGGCAGCAATTTCACCAGACGAATGACCTACAACAGCGTCAGGTGAAATACCCCAGCTCCGAAGCAGTTCCACGAGTGCAATCTGGATTGCCGTGCAGCAGGGCTGAGATATTTCCGCTTCCGACAAACGGCTGGTCTTCTCGGTGGCAAGAATTTCATCTGGTAATGAGAAGAAAAGAATCAGTAGGTGAATATTCAACACTAAGATGGTCGATACATACCTCGCATGTTCCAGTTTGGGCCATCCGATAGCCGTGATAGCTCAGCGTCAAGGTAGTCGACCGTATCCTTGAAAATTCCCTCGCTTCTGAGAAGTTCAAGTCCCATTCCGGCCCATTGAGCCCCCTGTCCCGTAAAGACGAAGACAAGGTCACACTTGGACCCGAGGGCCGGCTTGAGAATTTTCGATATTTCGAAGGAATCCAATCCGTCTGTGACGCAGAAAGCACGATGCGAGTGCACCACCCGTTTGGTGTTCAACGTGTACGCCATGTTGCTGAGAGAGTCTGGATGCGTTGTCAGGTACTCTTCGTGCCTTTGTGCAGACATCTCTAAGGCTTTGGGATGCTTCGCAGAGAAGGTAAGAAGATGCCATCCGAGGTTTGCATCGCCTGAGCCCTGCAATTTGGACTCGGGTTTCTGTCCAAACCCAAAAGAGGCAGCAGATTCTAATATAACCTACATACAAGCAGTTTGTCAGATACACCGAGTTCAAGTTGACGCACATCAATGTTGTTTTTGACTTACATGGGCGTTGGCACCTCCGATTCCGAAGCTGTTGACAGCAACTCTTTCCAGTTTGTCAGTTGGCCACGATGTAGCCTTGAGCGGAACCTTGAGTTTCGCTGCCTTCCATGGGACTGGAGTTGTTAGTATCTTCTTAACTCAGGACATGAAACACATTACTTTTTGGGTTAGGAGTCTTGAAGTTGATGTTGGGTGGGATGATCTTATTCTCGAGCGCCAAAGTCATCTTCATGATGCTTGACAATCCAGATGCGCCTTCACCATGGCCGATATTTGGTTTGACCTCATTCAGTGTAAATAGATGAACTGGAGACTTTTGTTATTCTTGACTTACTGATCCAATGTAGATGCCGTGGTCTCCCCATACGTTAGCCACGGCGCTTACTTCACGGGGATCGCCGACCTGTGTTAAAAGTTCGGTTAGTCTTTATCCTTCTTCACTTATTGGTTCACTTACTGCGGTTCCAGTTCCGTGGCATTCCACCATGGCCGTCTTGGAAAAATCTGAAATGCCTGCCAGTCGATGCCCTCGTCTCATCAATTTCTCATGGCTTTCCGGGTTGGGCATTGTGAAGCCGGCGGTCTTTCCATCGGCAGCGGCACACGTTGATCGAATGACGGCTCTTATGGGGTCTCCGTCACGAACTGCATCCGACAGTCTCTTGATGTAGATGGCCGAGACACCCTCTCCACGGGCATAGCCATCAGCGTCAGCATCAAAGGTTTTGCAACGGCCATCCTCTGAAAGAACACCCTGTTCAGTCAACGCCACAGTAGTTCGTGGCGTGATGATGAGGTTAATGCCGCCAACAATAGCACCGTCAGCGCAGTCTCCGCTGAGAATGTCCTGACAGGCCAGATGGAGAGCTATCATAGAGGAAGAGCATGCTGTCCGAACCACCATGCTATATAACGTTAATTAGAGGCATCGAAACAAAAAGGGTTCTGCATGGGGTGGGTGTGCATACCTGGGACCCTTGAGATCAAACTCGTACGAGGCTCTGTTTGCGATGATGTAATCGCCGTAGACATATGTTCGCGTTGGGTTCAAGTCTTGCCCGTCCTGCATCTCCATTTCGCCCCAGTCGTCGCCCAGGGCACCCACATAGACACCCACATCCTTGCCCTTCCACTTGGTGGTGCCTGAGTTCTCGAAAGCTTCGTAGACGACTTCAAGAAAGAGACGTTGCTGTGGATCCAGCAGCTCGGCCTCCTGTTTCGTAAAGGACCAGAAGTTGGGATCGATATTGGCTAGGTTGAGCTCCTCTAGGAAGTGTCCATACTTGGTGCCCACGTGTGTCACGCGTCCGGGACCGTACCATGTATCGATGTTGTAGCGGTCCTTAGGTACCTGGCATCGGCCATCCTTGCCATTGACCAGGAGGTCCCAGTATGCCTCGGCGTTATGAACGCCTCCAGGGAGTCTCATACCCATGCCAATGATGGCAATGGGTTCGTGCACAGCTTTTTGATCTATGGGATCGCTTCCAAAAAGCTCACTGGCTTCTCCATTTGCGGATGGACCACCGTTGGAATAGTGATCGGTATACCCGTTAGTATGACCATTGGTATGACCGTTGGTTTGGTCCTTGGTCACTTTGGTGCTCATCATGTGTTCAAATCTTGAAATGGTATGTCGACTACGATTCTTGTCCAGTGATTCTCCAGAAATTTCAATCTCGTGGGAAAAGACTGAATTTAGGCCTGTTGGCACAATTGTTTCATCGAATGTACACAGTCGCATTCCGTCCGAAGAACCGACTAGGGATGGGATTCACATGCAAAGTCGAAGACAAGTACAGCAGTGTTCACTTGAAACTGATCCAAGACAGCGTTGTGGGCTGTGGCGAAACACACTCAATCGGTTCTTTAGCCGGTGTCAGTCGCATAAGCTCACTGAAGCGGGCGATGGCAATCTTACCAAATGGAGAAGTGAGCCATGGAGCTTTCACTGGGCTGCCGACTCGGAAATACAAATAGCAGTACTCTTTATTATAAACGAACCACTTTAGTTACAACGTTGTATCAGACCACCAATTTCCGGCTCTGTCGTCGTCCAATACGCATCAGTCTTCTCGTGATCAGTAAAGAAGGACTGTAGTCAAGGTAGGAAAATGGGAACTGACCAGGCCAGCGTCTACATCGTCGGTTTAGGCCATCACTATCCACCATATATCAATGGATTCGAGGATATCGAAGAATATTTAGCTAAATTTTGCGATACCAAAGCCCCTGCGTAGGATTCCCTGCTTTCTATCGTGTCCGCAGGGGACTAATGGCTGACTCGATGTTCCCTTCATCCCAGCGTAAGGAAACTCTTACAAGTCAACCAAAACACGGGAATCAAAGGACGCCCCAATATTATTTCTCGAGACGACCCTCTTTTCAACCGCTCGGAGCCTCCAACAATCTCGGAGCTTGACAGCGTCTTTCGCACTCGAGCAGTCGACCTGGCCGTCAGGGCCTGCAAGAAGGCCATTGCTGAGTGGAAAGGGAAAGTATCACAGATCACTCACACAGTGGCTGCAACAGGCACAAACGCTGGTAGCCCAGGATACGACCTACTTGTCAATGAACGCTTGGGCATCCCTCCTGAGGCTCAGCGAATGTTGCTGAGCGGTATAGGGTGCGCAGGAGGTTTGGCTACTATTCGCACGGCCGCTACCATCGCCAATGACGCCACGCTGAGGGGCCGCCCAGCCTGTGTCTTGGGATTTACTTGTGATGTAACCAGCACGAACATCCGCTGCGATCTGAAAATGATTTCAGAAAACCCCGAGGAAATCAGGGCATCGATGGCATTATTCTCAGACGCTTCAGCTGCCTTTGTCATTTGCAACTCACTAGGCCTCAAGGTCAACAATAATGCAGTATACACAGTGCTTGACTGGGAAAACAGCGTGATACCTGGGACACAATCAGACGAAAATTGCCTTATAGACCCCCTAGGTAAGTATTAGTTGCTTTGTGAACCTTCATAGCAATCAGGGTATTGACATGCTTGGCTCTAGGCTTTCGGTCGTTCATGAGTCCAAACTTGCCGGTAAAAATAAAGAGCGCCGTCATTCCTCTTTTCGAAAGGTTGATCGCTAGGAACGCATGGCAACTTCCAAAAGATGAACAGAAGCTGGCGGCAACAGATTTTGACTGGATAATGCACCCAGCTGGTCTGGCTGTTTTGGATGAAGTGAAAGAAAACTTAAACCTACAAGACGGACAGATGAGAGCGTCATTCGATGTATTTGAGAACAAAGGAAACTCGGCTGGTCCGACTGTGCTTATTGTTCTCGATAGGTTGAGGAAGATGGGGGACATGAGGGAAAACATCGTTGCTTGCTCATTTGGACCGGGAGTGTGTGTTGAGATGACTGCCCTAATCCCATACAGAGGATAAGGACATAGTCCTAAAAGATTTTATCACTATGATACATCGATTGTTGTAGAAACCTTTCTTCGACACAATATGTCCAAAATCTCATTTCGAGTGGCAGCGTCTAGATTCTCCATTACGAATGATGTCTTTTGTATCCGGACTGGCTGTTTCGAAGTGCCATTATCTGAGCTGCATGTTGTACTTTGACACTCAGTACGCTCTGAGTTAGATTTGGACGAAGCTGAAATGGTTTCTGCCACACTGGAAGGACTATCTTTCTCAACTGTAGACTTGTCGTAAATAAGGCTGTGTGAGTGATCTAAAGGATCGAAGGAGTGAAAGTCGAGATTTCCAAGGCCAATGTCAGACGGGATGAAGTCGGTATCCCAGTTCATTGAGGCTGAAATGGAAATGTCTGATGGACTGAGGTACGTTGGAAACTGAATGGAGTCCCGCGTCGAGCCATTTGACTCTACTTCGGCTTCGCAACTCGCACTCAACGAAGACGAGAATGTGTTTCCTTGAGTATAGGTATGGCCAACTTCGCCTAGTGTGCTGCTGTCATCAAGAGCCTCGGAGATATTGAAACCAAATGAATGAGATTGCTCAAGTTTCCGGATATTCAGGCTATATCTATCTCGCAGCCCTGGTTAGTGCTCGGTCTGATTTACAACTAGTCACTTACCTGTTGGCAATTTCAAGAGTCGATCTGTTCGGAAAATATTGCCCAGCGATTTGTTTCCAGGACCGACCATGGAGATGAACAGCATCCATTAAAATCCGATCCTGTGAGGATATGCTAATTGAGTTGCTAGACGCCACGAAATTTTAGAAAGTTGGTTGGCATACCTCTGGATCGGTCCATTCTTCACGACTTAAATCGGGATCAAGCGAGCTTGTCCAATGCTTGGCACATTCTGAGAAAATTTCATTAAGTCAATTTCCCCCTTCATCAGGACAAAGAAACTGAATGAAAAATGGGGCATACGGTCAGGGCTTCGATTGCCAACAGTCTCGGACACAGAAGTCCAGCTGGGTGACGTGTTAGTAGGGGGCTGACTGTACGGACACGTAAAGGCAACATGAAAGAAACTATACCTGTAACCATGAGTAGCGATAGCATCAAGCAGTCGTTTGTTTTCATCACTCGTCCAAGCTCCACGGTTCCAATTGCGTTTTATCTTCATCCATCGGTTCCTACAGTCCTTGTTACTTCGGCCTCTATGAAGTTGGGCTATTGCAACCCAATTGACGGTTCCTGCAGCAAGTGGACGTTAAATAACACATCATGGTGTAGTTCATGTGCTTGTGTACTTACCTTGGTATTTGGAAACCTGTTCACTGAGCAGATGGTCTTCCTCGGGGGTCCACCTTCGAAACTCGGTTGACTTGCTAGTTGACATGATGTAAATACGTAAAAGGGTTTCCTTTTTGCATTCAACTTAACCTTTGCAGAATCCTTATTATTACCTGCTAAGGTCTCAATGTAATGACATTTCTCGTTTTCCAGGATATTATGGGCCGAGCACTTTAAATGGCGCAGCTTGACAGCGCCTGGTTGTAGAAAACTCTGGGGAATACGGGAAATCTTGCTCAGTAATCTCTTACGATACGCTGCTTGTAACACGTTGCATATCTGCAGTAAGAAAGCAGCTGCGACGCTCCAACTGATTTGGCCGGCTGGAAGTTCCACAAGGTGATAAGGGTTGCACTCTTGCGACTAACAGCCCTTTGCAAGAAGTATCGCCCCCACCCTCTTTCCAACAATACAAAGCTAGATATTGTTGAACCTGATTGCTTGTGATTTCTATAGAAGCTATCTAGCCTGATGATTTCCTCTCTTAAGCTTATCCATTACGCTCAACCTAATTCAATCTTTGCTTTGTTATAAAGATCTACCGCCTGACTTCGATTTAATAGATATTGCCAGGATGGCTGTGCGCGCAACGCTAGCCTATATTGCCGCCTGGCCGGTGCTTACCTCAGCTTACCCTGTAATGCGCTTCATAATAAACCCTGTGAGCGATATGCCGAATAGTAAAGCTCCGACACTATCTACGGCACGGGCCGTAACAAGTCGCCTTATCTGATCCGAGTAAGCTTACGCGTATTCTCAACCTTATCTTACCCCCTAGAGGGGTTTGGTTCTCCTTAAGTTAACTTAAGTTTAGTAATGTGGAGGCGGGGTAAATAGAGATCCTGTGAGGGGGGATGGCCAAGGTGTAAACCGCCACTGAGAGTTACTGAAGTTGTGGAGATGTGCGCACCGAAGCTCCACACTCACTACCTGTGTGTCACATAGCCTGAGTCTGACTGAACCTGATCCCACTACACGCCACCAACATGGGAATCCCTACTTGAAGCAATGCATGAGTGCTTTTCTTTACATCTGAAAATGACAGTTGAGGGGATGTAACCCTTTTCTTGTTTTATTTTGTGCCAAAGCTAACCGTATTTTGCGAAAACTAGGACAACCATCCAACTCATAACTTAATTCCAATGCTTTAACTTTCATGGTTATTTGTCAAGGTGCTACGGCAGCTCCTAATAGCTGTTAGATTTGTGAGTCAAAAGCATGATTTTCGTCGTTCACTCGGAAAGCCAGTTAGTTGGGTGTCCATAACAGTCAACCAACCGCCAAGACACGGCTGGGATTCAGGGTAGACCGCTTTTCGTAATACGTACATACTCGACATCCCCAGTCGATAATATTGTTGGTACCATTGTGCGTTACATCACGGCATAGTAGGATTTTAATGAGGGTCATATGATCTGATTCAATTCCTCGGCCCAAAGCCACCTTTGACTTCAGGGCTGCCTTCACTTTAACTTTAAACACGTATTCCTCCCACGAATTTTAACCTTCTACATCTCTGCCCCAGCCCCTCAGCGAGGAAGCCAGCTTCTATACATACAGCTATGTGAGTCATCTACGTTTTCACTTGGATAGAGTTTACTGTCTTGATTATATTGAGTTTTGACCTTAGAAGGGTTATCTTATTTGTTGATATTGTTGAGAGATTTGGAAAGTCTGGGCTTGATAAAGTTGAATGCTAAAGTAAAAAACAAAAGTACACGCTCGACATCAGACGTTTTGAATGCCAAACGCCACCAACACCACCGTATCTTTTCTGCATGCAAACGGCACGGCCCCTGGTCTCTGTTTATGTCTCTGAGGCCTGAACTTTGTTGGTTGCACAGATACACAATATTGGAAGGTTACACAAAGGAGACCTAGGGTTAGTATTACGCTGACGCACACGCACATTTGTCGGTTATCCTTTTCCTCTGGCGAAAAATATTAAATTCGAGAGCTTGTCTTCGCTCCTTCCAAGCTCAAATCCTCCTGTTCTTTACTCCCCACCTACAATCTAAGAACTTCTATCACCGGCATGGGCTCCGAGCACAATCCTATCATGAACGAAATAGGGCCAGACTTCCCATTCAAGGCCACGCCCAAGGCTGCGCCCCCAACGCTCAAGATTGATCATGACTGCGGCGTCAAAATCACAACAGTAAGTACAATGTCCGTCATGGTATCCCTTCCTGGTCAGATGCTCATCTATTCAAGTCTCCCGCAATAAACAACCCTCCACTGCCCGCCGATGGCCCTGGTAACGAGACCTTCTCGAACGGGCTCTTGATTTCCCTCTTGATTCTTGTCCCGACCTGCACGGCATGGAAGTTAGGTGGCGGGTTCAAGACCACGGTGTTATTCGCCCTCATCACCACTCTTCCGATTCTGATCACCTTCTGGGCCATCACCTCTGCCACAGCCCTGCGAACGAACGAGAGAGTCAAGTGCCCAGGCCTTCCTGTGGAACACTACTTGACTTTTCATAAGGAAGAAGATCGGGTCAAGTACCGAGGACGGAACAAGGTTCCGATAGAGACGTTCATGCGCAAATATTTCGACGGTGACGCAGACTTCAACGGCGACGTCCTCGAAGTGCTTGAGTACCGTCATGATTGGGCGTCTTTCCGTTTCACATGGGAGCTATTTCGATTCATCGTTGTTAACTTTGCTACCGACGTCCTCATCCATAGCCGATCTCAGGATGAAGATCAAGTTCGAGACCACTATGATCGTGGTGATGACTTCTACGCTTGGTTTTTGGGTCCGCGAATGGTCTATACATCCGGCATCATTTCCGATGTGACCAAGGAGGAGTCTCTCGAACAGCTACAGGACAATAAGCTTGCCATCGTGTGCGAAAAGACTGCCCTGAAGCCTGGCGAAACCCTGTTGGATATTGGTTGCGGTTGGGGTACGCTTGCCAAGTTCGCTAGTGTCAATTATGGCGCAAAAGTGACGGGCATCACTCTTGGGCGTAACCAAACCAAGTGGGGGAACGAGACCCTGCGCAGAGCTGGCGTATCGGACTCTCAAATTCACTGCATGGACTATCGCGACATGCCTAAGGCCAAATACGACAAGATTACTTGCCTGGAGATGGCCGAGCATGTCGGCATTTTCAAGATTACTAACTTTCTTCGACAGTGTCGCGATATGCTGGAGGATGACGGCGTCATGCATCTCCAGATCGCAGGCATCCGACAAGCTTGGCAGTATGAGGATCTGGTTTGGGGCTTGTTCATGAACAAATATGTTTTCCCGGGCGCAGACGCATCTACGCCACTTGCGTATTATGTCGGCTTTTGCGAAAGGGCTGGCTGGGAAGTCAAAAGGTAAGCTGCGGATTAATGAATCCAACACGCGTGGCAGACATGCTAATGATGCTCAGCGTGGACACCATTGGCGTTCACTACTCGGCCACAATTTGGCGTTGGTACCGGAACTGGCTGGCGAACGAAGCCGACGTCACGGCCAAGTATGGACTGAGATTGTTCAAGGTCAGTTGAAAGTTTTCCGCCGTAGCAGCTACAACTAACAAGATGCCCAGATCTGGAAATATTTCCTCGCATCAGCCACCATCTCCTCCCGTCAAGGCTCTGCGACCTGCTACCAGATCACTCTGGTCAAGAACATCAACAGCGTTCACCGCATCGACGGAGTTGCGACGCAATTTGCACTCTCAACTGCCCTTGAGGCAAGTAAGAAGGCAGGCAGGGCAGTGTTTCCAGCCAACAAGTAAGACCGAATGGGACCGGAAGACCGTCCCAGGTGTCAGGGAACAGCGCACTGCACCGCCCCGCCCCGGCTTGACTTGACATGAATGAGCTCCCTATCTATAGTTAATGCTTGGCATGACTCTTCTTTTAAGTTTTGTCTGTCAGTAAGGACATTTAATTAGACCTCAATTCCACTCAAAATTTGAAACCTTGATGCATGCTTTACTCATTTGAATGTTTTGGCAGAAACCAGAAGCCAAAGCCATAATGCCAACAGAGACGTTTCTGGCGGCTTGGGTACTTGTTGGCTGCCGTAATAAGGGGCTGTGCATGTGGCAGGGTTGTCGTAAGGAGTGAAGTTTCATAGAGATACATATAACATACGCACTTTATGTAAATCTGCAGTGACCACCACTGGACAAATACAAAGCCACCACTTGCTATACAGTATCAAGAAGTCACTTCCCCCCTGCATACTTGAAATCCACAAAAAGGAAATAACCCCCCAGATTGCTCACAGGCTGGACTGGACACATACATGTGCACCATGCCTCTTCGTATTGTGATCCAATCATCGACCGGCACCGACTAACACCGACTAAGTGCCACATTTCTGCATCCGACTTGCACCCAGACGGTTCAATCTTAGGAATTGAATGATATTTGGCCGGTAGATTAATTCCGAACATTGTGAGGCAGCATGAACCCTCGGGTCAGTTGGCCACCTATCTAGAAGGGGGAAGCTAATCTTAGGTCTATCTATATAGTCATTTCCCCCTTTGTGACAGACCGTACTTCATCTGAATAATGTGACTAGTGTACCTTGAAGATATGTTTTCAGCGATTTTCTCGGGTGCAATTCGCCTGTTTTACAACCCACCTTGGTTATGGCTCTTTTTTGTTCTGGCAGGGCTGTTGCTGGCACATGGCTATGTGATTCATGTTCGTAACGAAGCCAAAATCAAACAACGCGGAGGTCGAGCACCCCAATATGGAGGTTGGCTTCCATTAGGTATGCACAACACAAGAAGAAGAACAGATACACGAACTTAGGCACTTTGATGAGCTACTGACAAGGCGGTGCAGGCCTGTCATTCCTTGTTGATTTCCGCAGCGCCGTGACCAGCGATGAGACTCTTAAATTCTGGAACGACACTTTCATGCGTTTATGTAAAAGCTATGAGAGTCCTTACACTGCCGAGGCTACAATCGCAGGCCAAAGAATTATCATCACGGCGGATCAAGAAAACGTAAAGGCGATACTCGCAACACAGTTCGACGATTTCGGGAAGGGGAAGAAGTTCAGAGACGACTGGGTTGACATGCTCGGGCACAGTATGGTCTACGCTCATTTATTACTACTTCCTTATGATTAGTGACATCCGTTAACAAGGCTTTGGGAATCAGGTATCTTCAATTCAGATGGTCAGGCCTGGCATGAAGCCCGAACACGACTTCGGCCAGTCTTTCATCGTGAGCGCATCAGTGACCTGGAGTGCTTCGAACGCCATGTGCAAAATCTTCTTCCACTACTGGATACAGACGGTCAAACAGTGGAAATAAAAGACTTATTTCTTAGGTTTACTTTGGATGTCTCGGGCGACTTCACGCTCGGCGTAGGTCTAGATACACTGAAGAGGCCTTTGAATAGGTTTGCAGAGAGCTTTGAGCGACTCCGACACTGGAAGATACAGAGGGAGAGATCGAAGCCTTTCAAGTTTCTCGTGCCGAGAAGCCGGTATCAGGCAGATCTGGACTACATTGAATCCTTCATGGACCCGATCATCATGGAAACGGTCAACCAAATCAAAGCGGAAGAAGCTGGAGAAACACATCACAAGAAAGATCCCGGCTTTAACTTACTTCGTGCGTCCGCCGAGCTTTCCACTAACCGCCGCTTCCTGCGCGACGAACTAATTACCGCCTTGTTTGCCGGCCGTGATAATACAGCCATGGCATTCACCTGGATGCTCTACGAGTTAGCACGGCACCCGGATGTTGTCAGGGATCTTCGTCGGGAAATCGACGCCCAAATCGGTCTCAACAGTAAACCCGGATACAAGACTCTGAAGGATATGAAAGTACTGTCCAATATCGTTAACGAAACACTTCGCCTCTATCCTCCAGTTCCGCTCAACACTCGCGCTTGCCTGAAGGATACCTCACTGCCCCGAGGTGGAGGACCACTTGGGAACGATCCTATCGGCGTACTCAAAGGAACAGGTATTATCTATTCCAATCACCTTTTGCGTCAGTATACTCTTTCCAGTTCCTTCAGATCAAAAAGATCTAACTGTCTAAAAATTCAGATATAAATCCAGAGGCATATTCCTCTGTCCCGGAGGGTTTCCCTCCGGCTGATGAATGGTGTCCGAAAAGGTGGAATAATTGGTTCCCAAAACCATGGGCATTTGTACCATTTCACGGCGGCCCTCGCTTTTGCCTTGGCCAGCAGCTAGTGTTGGTAGAGATGAGCTATACTTTGGTCCGACTTTTCCAACGTTTTAGTCGACTCGAGCTGCGGATGGATGAAGTTGGGACGGCTGAAAAGCAAGTAAATCCATGGCTCAGAAGAACAGGCGAGCCCGAGCTTGTGGAGAGGTACATGCAGAATCGACCCCGAATGGTCACTGAGATTACATTATTTCCTAGGGGAGAAGTGAGGGTGGCGTTCCTCAAGTAGTCGAGGTACTATTCACAGAGAACCAGATATTTCATTCACATTTCTGTGGCCTAATCACAAGCGTTGGATATTTTCTCATATTCACTCGGCATCACATATCGAAAGCCAAAATTCAAATGTTTAAATAGATACATGTATTAAATCAGATCTATACGCCTTCTTTCGCCGCTTTCTGGACCCGGACAGTCCAGATAATATTGATCTCTATCTTTAAGTCAAAGAGCAGAATTGAAAGCAGAGTGAATATCTTCTATTAACGTACATGAAAAGGGTGTTACATTGAAAGTTTATACTGGCTTGCATTCGACCAAGTATGAACCCCCCTGGATTTAAATCATCTATCACCCATCTTCTTCCATTCAAAGATTGGCTGAGCTATCTTTCCCTGAAGAACAGGAATGAACTAATTAGCTTGATACACTCGAAAGTTGTTGCCTTTCGAACTGATAACCCACTTGCATAATAAACGACGGGGGTGTCAGTTTCAAGACCTCACCCTCTAGTCTCACGACTCTTTCTTGTCTATCGCCTAGCCAGTTTGGGAAAGAACAAAGGTCAACGCTGATATATATCAATGTTTCGTCTCCTCTGGCTTCAACATCAAACGTGCCAGCGTAAGCCAAGAAGTGCCGAGTTGCATCCGCCAGCTCCTCGGCGGTGCCGTCCAGTAAATTGTTGCTTTCCCACTTGATGGCTCCAGGTCTCATGAGTTGCGTGGAGACGTATCCATCAGGAGAGAACATAATGATTCCGTGTGCATCCTTCCCGATGGTGTACAGAATGCTTGGTTCAACATCCGGGCTGTCGTAAATCTCTGTTCGGCTGGAAATAAGAGACCATGAGCCAATAAGCTTATTACGGACCTCTTGAATTTGCGTCATGGTAGTGTCGTGGGGGACGATTTCTATTAGAAATTCGGAAGTAGGGAAAGGAGCCTCCCCACACGTGAGAACGTTGTCTGGTATACAAGCGACGTCCTTGTATTGTATTCTAGCATCTTAAAAGAAGACATGAACTGTTCGGTATCCACTTCGTGAACGCTAAAGAGCCTTATCTGCGATACACCAGTAGGTCGCTTACCTTAGCTGGGAACCAATCGGACCATTACACCGACTAACACCGACTCGATGATTTCTAAGCACCTTACCTCCAGTCGTGGTCTCCAGTGATAACGACAGATTTACGAAGGCAGCGGAAGTTAGAACTGAAAGGGTTCTGCAAGGTAAGAGATGACAAGAACAGCCGATGTAGCTCGGGACCTTGCCAAATAGGGGAAGGTACCATAAACTTATGATTGTCATCTGAGGCTAATGAATGGCGGGCGGATGCTTATCGGAATGTTATACAAGATGAACGGCTATCTCTGTCAACTCGTAGCCCCATGTCTTCACCGGAGTAAGTTACTCATGAGTTGGAACGGAACTCCATATCAACGTTGATAAGTGACAATTTGTCTTGCTTCCTCATCTTGAATTAGCACTCCCTTCAGTGAGACTTTCAGACATGTTTACACCCCATTTGTCAGATAGTCTTACTGAGACTCGGCATATTATCTGGATTATTATTGCTGGAATTGTTATTCTTGTCTTCTCAGGCGCAGTCCAAGCAGCTTTGTTGCCATCGTCCTCACAGCTCCCCAAGAGTATACCGGTATTCGGAGTTGAAACAGACCAATGGCTTTTCCCCAAAGCGCGCGCCCGCTGGCGTAACACTCTGGGGCTGAAGACCACCCTGGCGTCCATGTATAAGTCCCAGAAGCATACCTACACGATCCTACCCGTACTTGGACTGGGTGATCTTGTTTTTCTACCTATTCAAGAAACACAATGGCTTGCCGACCAGCCCAATTCGGCTGTTAATGCCCACGAACTCTTCGCAGACTTTTTAGAGACAGACCAAACTATTCCCGGATCTAAGCTTGCACATGACAGCCTACATGTACATCTGATTTCAACAAAACTGACGCGGGAAACGGGAAATTTGATCCCAATCATGTACGATGAGACTCGTCGCAGCGTTGACGAGCTGTGGGGATTAGACAGTGACGAATGGAAGGAGATCGACGCGATGCCGACGGTGCAGCACATAATTGCCCAAGTTGTTGGCCGCGTGTTTTTCGGAGCTCCATTGTGCCGAAACAAAAGGCTACAAGATTCAAGCCTTGCATTCACTCAGGATGTCCCGCTGTCTGCCATGTTGCTCCGGCTGACATGGAGGCCACTACGACCAATCTTGGCCCCAATCCTGACGATTCCGAATAGGATACACCTGGCACAGTTCTATGGAATCCTGAAGACAGAGCTGGCACGCCGACTGTCTCTTTACGACTTACGCCAAAAGGGCCACGAAACAGATATTGAAGAGCCCAACGATTTTCTTCAGTGGTCCATTCAGCAAGCCAAGATGCTAGATGATCCACAACACTCCCAACCCTACGCACTTGCTCGCCGTCTGATGATAGTCAATTTCTCCAGCATCCACACTAGCTCCCTCGTTATTATGAATGCTCTTAATGATATGACCAAGAACCCAGAGCACATTGACGAGCTTGTGCGTGAGATCACCGAGGTCCTCGCCCACCACGGGGGGTGTTGGAGCAGGGGTGCCGTTGCCGATCTGACGAAATTGGATTCCGCTATGCGCGAGTCTCAACGACTGAACAACGGCAACTTCATTACAGTCGTCCGCAAAGTGGTCCAACCAGATGGTATCACCACTCCTACTGGATTACATCTCCCTTATGGCACTATTCTGGGCGTTCCTGGTTACGGTATGCATCACGATGAGGACATCTACCCCAATTCGAACGACTATAATCCATTTCGATTCAGCGAGATAGTTAATGGCCAGTCGGAGAAGTCTTCAGGAAGAAGAACCAAGCATAGTTGGGTTACAACTAGTCCCGAGTATACGCCATTCGGCCACGGTCGATATGCGTGTCCGGGCCGTTTCTTTGCTTCAACAGAGCTTAAGATTTTACTGGCATACTTAATCTTTAACTATGATATTCTGCCGTTGGCCCCACCGCCACAAAACCTATGGCGAGTAGCATCTCAGGTCGCTGGGCTAAAGCCTCGCTTCCGAGTTCGTCGAAAGAAGAGTGGATGAAGATATTGAACTATATGTTATATATTTAGGATTTATTACTATTTATTAGAAACAAGTTATTACTTTTCTATCTCAACAAAAAACCACTTACTCATTCGAAACATGTCTCAATCTCTCCTCCATCTGTTCACGCGGACTTTTCAGCTTTACTTCCGGAAACCGTGGGTCTTTTGTCCACGGCATTACATCAGCCCCTTCCAGTAGCCACTTCAATGTAGCCTTCTCGAACTTGTCGGCCAATTCCTTATGAGCTGGGTCTCGAGCCAAGTTATGTAACTCGTGGGGATCGTCATGGCGGTGATATAACTCAGATGGCTCGTATAGCCTGTATACGTATGTCCAAGTCTTGTCTCGTAGTGAGATGACCTTGCCGACCAGAGTGGTATCCTCGTGTTGTAGTCCTGCCTTGAGATCATAAGGGTATGGTGCTTGCTCTAGAATAGGCTCTTCGGAAGTGAGGAATCCACCTTCGGAGAAGGCATATTGCTTGTGAGTTGTGGCGTTACCGCAGAGGAGAGGGACCCACGACAGTCCGTTGTGGGCAAATGACTCTTCAATTCCTGATGTTTCGAGTAATGTTGGAACCAGATCTACCATCTCGGTCATAGCATCGACTTTCTTCCCTTCTGGTAGCCCCGCACCACCAATGATAAGAGGCTCATGAACCAGAGTCTCAGATAGACCTGAGGGCCACTTCTCAATGAGTCCATGGTCGCCCAGGTATTCACCATGATCTGTGAAGAACATGGTGACCGTATCCTTCCAAATACCAAGTTCATCCACTCGCTTCAAGACTCGGCCAAACTGATCGTCCAATCTTGAGATCATGCCATAATAAGTTGCCTTGATCTCTTTCCAAATCTCATCGGTTGCACGGTCTGTGCCGTACTTTTCTCTGATAGACTTCATGTATCGAGGCTCATAGCCAGTTTTCTTCTCTGGTGTCGCCTCAATGCTGGAAAGACTAGATCGGTCGTACATGGAAAAATACGGTTCCTCAACCTGGAAGGGACAGTGGGGGAAGATCAGAGGCATAAAGAGCACCCAAGGCTTGTCTTTTGGTGGACAACCTAGCCACATCAAAGCTGATCGGATGACGGCTTCATCATAATCCAAGGCCTTGTCCGCATCTCGTAGTCCACTATAGAATAAACGGCCCCAAATGCTATTATCAACTTCGCGTTGACCCTTGGCGAAAGCTGGCACGTACTCTGGTGTTTCGAGAAATCCATACTCCGTAACGCTGAGTTCTGTGACAGTGGGCGCAAATGTATCCCCACGCGGTGCTAGACACGCGACGTGGTAGCCTGATTCTTTGAGACTCCGGAAAATGTTTGGTTCCCATGGCTTAATCAAGTTCTCAAGACTTCGATGTCCACTGACGTGCGGGTAGGTTCCAGTGAACATACTGCATCGCGATTGAGAACACACCGAAGCTTGCGTGAAGCAATTGGTGAACAGGCTTCCTCTAGCAGCGAAAGCATCAATGTTTGGTGTTTTGATACCATATTCGGGACCTGTTGTACAGCCGAGAGAGTCGTATCTCAACTGGTCAGGCATGAAAATAATATAGTTTGGTCTGTCACCTCCATTCTTGGAGTCAACCTTCAGAGGCAAGGGCTTTGCAGGGAGTGAATGCGATTGCGACATTGTGCATCAATGTTAAGCAAAAGAAGAATTTCAAGCTCGTATTTCAAGTGGTAATAGCAGTGGTATTTAGTGCTAACCTAACACGCTACTCTGACTCAATCCTTACGCTCCTCGCCCCAGTCTCTCGGATGTCGTTCTCCGCTTCTAGCGGATCTCGCCCCACGCAATTCCCCTTGGCGTTGACGTGCTTTGCATTTTTCTATGTAAAGACCAATAGCGATACCAACCCTCGTAAAACGCGTGGAACTCGTCCGGATCTCGCTCATTTTCTGAAATGGATCTCGCACAGTCTTTCAGCACGGGAAGTCAATCTGCTAGGTCTATTTCGTCGCCGAGACAGCTTGCTTGTAAGCAATGTCGCGCGAGAAAGGTTTGTAGTTAATTTGGGTATTTGTGGGGTTCTCCGCTGATCCTGGTCATCAGGTCAAATGCGATCGTCGGAGTACGGGATGTATGCGATGTGAGCGTCTAGACTTGGGCTGTAGCTATGCCGCTGATGGTACTACTCAGGCGTCGGGAAACAGCCATGGTCATGACTTGACCCAGGCTGGGATCAAGAGACGTCGGATCTTACGTGCTTGCGCCGCTTGTCGTACTGCAAAGTCAAAGTGTTCTGGGAGCCATCCCTGCGATCGCTGTCAATCACAAGAACAAGAATGTCTTTTTGGTGATGATCAAGGACTTCCAAGCGGAGATTCTGGCATTGAAGCGCATGAGTCGCCCATAAACCCTCAGAGGCATCATGGGTCGCTGCCTAGTCAGTATTCACCAATGGATGTGTCGAGGGTTGGAAGTCAGACCAATGATCCGCAGCGGTACGTCCTAGCTCACTATGAGATAAGCCTATCACTGATATCCTAGTAGTTTCTTCGAGCTTGAAGAAAGAGATACTGTCCGGCAATACTTGGATACATACTTTGACAATATCGATATTGCCGACTGCGTATTCCTTCACCGGGCCACCACCATTGCTGAATGGAGTCAAGGAAAGCTTGACAAGACTTTGCTCAAAGCAATTAGTGCTTCAGCGTTGCAGCCCACCTCTGCAGATCATCTGGAAAACTCAACGGCATATACATGGATGAAACAAGCCCAAAGCGAGTTAGTCAATCAGATGGGCGACATGTCGGTGCCCAAACTCCAGGCCCTGATGCTAGTCATCAAGTTCCTCTTCTCTCTGCGATTCACTGGGGATGTATGGGTTCTTCTTTCAATTGCATCGAGAGTCGCTTTTACGAAGCGGCTCAATTACGAGCGGCCAGCGATGGACCCTGTAAAACAAGAATGTCTTCGGCGACTTATGTGGTCTATATACTCGATCGACAAACTCTTTTCAGGTGGGATAGAAGACCTGACTGTTTGTCCAACACAAAGGATGCATATCCGGTTACCGAGCAGCCAGCATAATTTTCAGCTAGGATTGAGGTCCCGAGCGCCATTTTTACGCGGCAATGGCAAAGATGACACCGACTTGAATGTACTGGCCTACTTGATGCGCTTATATGACATCCGTGATAGGATTCTTAGGTAAGACAACCGCGATGACGACGAAGTGTGTTGCTGACATACCTACTTCGAGATATACCCGGCAAGTCATATTAAGTGGGACCAGTCCCTACCTCAGCCGGGGACAACTACGGTCTCTAGACCTTGAACTCACAGCATTCAAAGAGTCGCTCCCTGATGAGTTGCAGCTCAATGATAACAGACTCATGATCATGTGTCACTCAGATGAAGCTCGCACATACACAACGCTCCACACTTTGTTATTTAGCTGTCGCTGCGACCTTCATCGGTTCTTGATCCCCGGTATCCGTGAAGCAGTCTCCCCGGAAGCTGCGAGTCAAACACGGAGGGAATACATAGAATATTGTCAACAGCGATGTCTGCAGACCGCGTTGCGTTACGTGGACATGTGGCTCAAGGTTCGACAGATGGAGACTAGCAGCCGAGTTGGAACGACCACGTTTGCGGTGGTCACGTATCAGTTCACCAAAATGATTGATCATTTGGCTGCCCTCCTTCCTTTGAATGGAGAAGCGTCTTTGGCTTCTATAAAGCAAAAGCTAACTGATATTCTACTCATCGTGTCGCAAAGCCGAACCGCGTTCGGATGGGTCACATCTTGTGTAAGTCTGGTGCGGTTAATTCGGATGTAGTCTAGTGCTAAGCATCCCCACAGATTGCCGACATCGACGACCTCATTCCACGCCTGGGTATGCGAACCCGCTCTCCAGGATCTTCGTGAGTCGAGTCACCTTATTCTCCAGCTTCACAACTAACATATTTGTTCCAAGTGCGCCTCCAGGAACGATTCGACTTCAGGAAAGGTTGCATCGACGCTCCAAGCATGCATTTGCTCCAGAAGAGGAAGAAGAGGAAGATCCAGCCATCAATCCTCCTGAATCTGGCGGAGATAGACTACCCGAGGAAGTCATTGACCCACCGCCTTTCGTAAATACTACAGGAGAGGGCATCTGGTCTTTTTCCCTGCCCAATGAGGAACAAAATTTCGCGGTGTTAACATTTGACCCATTCTCGTCACTTGAATATCCAATAATGAATCATGATCTAATTGGATCGTCAGATGTGGGGTTTGGGGAACAAGACATAGGGTTTCCCTTAGATCCGTTTGATCTACAACTGAACGCTTATACTGATGCGAATGTGCCTAACTATTGAGTAAAAGATAACTTTATAAGATTGTATGCAAATTTCTCCCATTTTACTTTAGTCAATGGAATTCGTTCGCCGAGTTGGAGGTCTTAGTCATCCTGCTTTGTTGCTGTCACAGCAGGCCCCCTCTCAACATCCGAATCGGGTACCTTGTCGACGGTGTCCTGCTCCAACACAGACTGCATCATCTCCGCAGCATCCACTTTCCCAAAATCTCGAATGCTCACTCCCTGGTTGAACAAGAAATCGACTTGCTCTAACGTCTTGCCTTTGCATTCTGGGACACAAAAGTACACGAATACAATTGCAAATGCCATGAGACCACCGAAGATGAAGCCAACCTTGCTGTTCAGGCCGGCGTACTGGTCGTAGATGAGGTACGGGATAATGAAATTGACGGTAAAGCTGGAAGAACGAACATCTGTTAGTACCGATCAATTGATGTGAGGACGGAAACTTACTTCATGATAACGTTAGCTGTGAATCCAACACGCGAGGTAAGATCACGAAGTCGAAGAGCTGAAATCTCGGTAGTCACGACGTAACTGAGAGGTGCCCAGCCCATGGAGAATCCATAGGCAAAGACAGCCATCATCGCTAGCACGCCCTTCTTTCTAGCATCGTCAACCGGGCTCTCGATTCCGAGGCCTCCCATTGTGATCATAGCCGTAAACATAGTAATGGATGACATAATCATTAAGATTCTAGGTACTTTTTTAGCTTCAATTAATGCACATGGGAGGATACGTACCGTCTGCCGATAATATCTGCCCAAAGAAGGATGCCAGTCAAGACAACAATATTAATACTCGCCGTAATCAAGCTGAATCCGAATGGGTTGATGGTTCCAAGCATCTTGACGTACACAGTACCATACTGCGACACAAATGCTTGGCCACTAGCCTGCTGAAGGAAGTTCACAAGAATAACGATAATAGTCCGCTTGAGATTGTTCCCTTGTAAAAGCTCAATGAACTTTCCTTGTTCGACCTCTTGTTCCAGGGATACTCTTATTTCTTTAAACTCGGCCTCAATTTGTTCCTCTGTGAAAGCCCCCTTTCGGAGTTGTCGAAGGTTATGCCAAGCCTCGTCCACTCTGTTCTTTCGGAGTAACCATCGCGGCGACTCGGGTACGAACCAGATAAAGGCGATTACGATCGAGGGAACGATATAGAATAGACCGAGAGGGATTCGCCACGCGCGGTTGTCGGGAAGGGTGCTGGTTCCGAAGCAGACACTGTTAATGACTAGACCGCCGATCGCGAGACTTAATTGGTATGATCCGACCATGAAACCACGAGCTTGAGCCGGGACTGATATTATTAGCGATAGGGCTTCTGTCGTTCGAAGTTTCACGTACCAATTTCGGACTGGAAAGTCGGGACGACGCCAAGTTCCATGCCAACGTAGACATAGTTCAGAACTCTAGCGACCATAATCTGTTCACAGTGGAAAGACGTGACCGCAAGAGTAGCTGTGCAAAGAGCGTACACGCTCATGGTAAACATGCACCAACGTCGACCCCATCGTGACGAAACAAAGCTGCCGATGGTAACTCCTATTATGGTATAAGCGAGGCCATAACCGAAGTTTTTCGCCGTCAATTGACTAACCAGCAGCAAAGCCAATGTAGTTCAGACTGTTGAACAGCGAAAGCCAAGACGGCTCAAGAACATAAGCCTTCTTCTCAGCATTCCATACACCGAACTGCTTCTCAAACGAGTCCATCGCCTGCGTCGTGGCGAAAGCTTGATTGTCGAAGCCATAATTAAATGTAGAGACGGCAATAAGCATACAAGAGAGAGCAAGTCTTCGATTGAAGAAACGGAACTTGGTAAAGGCACCCATGATAGAAGACTATAACTCTAATAGACACATTTTGATATCGACAGGAGAGGCTGTCAGTTAAAGACTTATATTCAAGATGTTCAATTACACGAGATGAATTGTAGATGTCGTGATGGTTGGGATTATTGACAAATTGTAGCTATTTCCAAGCCACATCTCTGTTGGAAGTTACTGTCCGCTCGGTTTACCCCATAGAATACTTGTGAACTCCCCGAGGGGCGAGATCCGGCCCCGCTTGATCCACATACGAGTTCCGGATAACGACATCCGGTGAAGCGAGGAGGATGGCTAACCTACAGTACGCATGGAAAATCCAATTACTAATTATTGAACTTGGTATAGGGGTCGGAGATGGATTTTAAAGAAAGCAAAACTACAAACTTGTGGTTTTTAATTGCGATAAACTAATTGTAACTTGTAGTAACCTTAGTCCGGTCAATTGTGTGGTGGATTCCCGTTCTTTATCGGACATTTCAAGGGAGGTTCACATGCCTATGAAAAAGACAAAGATTGCATGGCGACAATAAACACAGTATGTATGTATCTTCTTAAATAAATTCAGTATATATATCGCCCCCGGTTCAGTTTCATATATCAAAAGGCAGGCGAGCTTACAAGGGAAACCAGTCCTTGTTACAGTCATGGCCACCCAATGCAAGACTTCAGATCTGTCCAAGCCGAGGACAATGCCCACCAGTCGAAAGCTTTATTCAAGACAACCCCCCACGTAAAGAAAGCGCTGTCAAGAATGGAATTTCTAGCAGCTACTTGGCGAGGTCTTCCTGTCCCTCGGCTGAACGGTTTCGTTAAATCTGCTGGACAACAAGTTATTTTTGTATAAGCCCCTCTGCAACCCAACCACAGTCTCAGCCTACTCAATACGTCTCTGGCTCGTAAGAGCAGCTATAGTATGTGTACCATTCCTTTAAATCTCATTACATAAGTAAGGAAGAATATTTGCTTTTCTGTAAGCTCTGACAGGTAAGAGAGTAAAACTTTTCCTGCTACATAGAAAATTGAGGAAATTAGCTGTAGCCTGTTCTATCCTCACTAGAGAATTATAGCAATGAATTTATATTAAGTAAATATGTAGATTATCCAAAGTGACAGTCTTAGCTCAACGGATAAGATAATTAACGTGAGAAATACAATTCGAAGTGGACATAAGGTCTGCCCTTTTTAGCAGTGGATGTGGGCTTGAATGGTGGCAATGGATCTGGTAGATGTGAGAAACTATGGATATATAATTTCTTATTTACATTATTAATTTATAAATTACTATTAATATAAATTATTTTATAATTATTTCTCTCATACCGTTACTTTAAACCTACCTTAACAGTTACATAGTCTATAATATTAATTATTATCATGGTTAATGCTTATTAAGTAGTAGGAAGTACGTGTTTATGATTCTCGTACAGGGGGTTGAAACGACTGATTTGACTCAGCCACAGCGGTAAATTAAAGGCTTACGACTCATCTAGGTTGATAGGCTAAAATTAGGAACATCACTGCCTAAAATTATAGATGTCGCCATTTGCTATCATCTGAGGCAATAGGAATCTGATGAATAACCTGAGACCGACGAATGAGAACTTGACATGTTAATCTTAGGGCACGTGGGATTTACCCCCTGTTCTGTTCAGGTCAAATAAAATCAATGATTTCCTCGAGGACTAATTTGGATACCCTTCAACTCTATCTAGAATATTTTGTTATTATGGCCCCTAAAGAAATGTAAGTTATTATAGTGATAATGCAATTGAGTTGTGCTGATCAGCATTGTAGTAACGTTGATGTGCTCGTTATCGGTGCTGGCCCTACCGGTCTCGGTGCTGCTAAACGCCTCCAACATCTAGTATGGAGACTTATTCCAATTTTTGTAGCTCCGAATTGATTTCTTTGTGTAGGACAGCGTTGACTGGCTCATTGTCGATTCTAATGAGACACCTGGTGGTCTTGCCTCTACCGACACTACTCCCGAAGGCTTTGTAAGAATCCACTACAAACTTGCCAAACTTTCAAGCTTACTTCAATAGCTATTTGACGTTGGCGGGCATGTTATATTTTCTCACTACAAGTACTTTGACGATGTAATCAACGAAGCTCTGCCCAAACCCGGTGATTGGTACGAGCACCAACGCATCTCATATGTCCGCTACGAAGGCCTGTGGGTCCCATATCCTTTCCAAAACAACATCGCGCTCCTACCAAAGGAGGAACAAGCCCTATGTCTCGGAGATCTCATCGATGCTGCCCTCGCGGCACGTGTGCGGTCTCCCTCTGACAAGCCAGCCAACTTTGATGAGTGGAATATTCGAAACATCGGTGAGCGACTAAACGAGATCTTCATGCGCCCTTACAATTTCAAGGTCTGGGCTGTTCCTACAACCAAGGTAAGTATCTTCTGGAACCCTGACATCTCGGTTGCAACTGACCCTTCTAGATGAATACGTCGTGGGTTGGAGAACGTGTCGCTGCTCCTAACGTCAAACTTGTCACCAAGAATGCCATCCTCAACAAGGCAGCTGGTAACTGGGGTCCCAATGCCACATTCCGCTTCCCCGCTCGAGGAGGTACCGGTGGTATTTGGACAGCTGTTGCAGACACGCTCGATAAGAGCAAGACTCGTTTTGGTGAGCATGGTGCAGTAACCAACGTTGACGCTGACTCCAAGACTGTTCAGCTGAAAGATGGTAAGCATGCACACTTTGAGACTGAGGCCCCCTGCTGACGATATGTGTCCAGGAACCCTTGTCAAATATGGATCGCTCGTCTCTACTATGGCAATCGATCAACTCGCGCAGTCTTTGGGTGACGTCAAGCTTCAGAAATCGCTTGAGCCGCTTTTTTACTCCTCTACTAACGTGATTGGAGTTGGTATTCGTGGCGAGCGCCCTGAGCGAATTGGCGACAAGTGCTGGGTAGGACAACCGTATTGCAACTAATGCCCTGCGTACTGAAAGCTGACTTTTCTCACAGCTTTACTTCCACGAAGATAACGCTCCTTTTTACCGAGCTACCATCTTCTCCAACTACTCCCCCTACAACCAGCCAAGTGAAGACGTCAAGCTCGCCACCAAGCAGCTCGCCAACGGTGATAAGCCTGCCTCCTCAGAGCCAGCTTCTGGTCCATACTGGTCAATCATGCTTGAGGTTTCGGAGTCATCATACAAGCCCGTCAACCAAAAGACTTTGCTTGAGGAGAGCATTCAAGGACTCATTAACACTGACCTGCTCAAGCCTGAAGATGAAATTGTCAGTACCTACGTCCGTCGCTTTGATCATGGATATCCCACTCCCAGTTTGGAGCGCGATGGTGCGCTGTCTGAGGCGCTGCCTTATCTTTACGACAAGGATATCCTGTCCCGAGGTCGTTTTGGTGCGTGGAAGTATGAGGTCGGAAACCAGGATCACAGGTAAGTTGTATTCACCTTGAAATTCAAAGCCTGTATAAGCTAATCGGGTGCCTCACAGTTTCATGCAAGGTGTCGAAGCCGTTGACAATATTATCTCGGGTGGTCTGGAGCTGACTCTATCGAACCCCGACTTTGTCAACTCTCGAAAGAACACCGAGCGTCGCCTTGCAGGCATCAAGGGTGCTCGCAAGTAGGACAAACTACTTCAGCACTCAAAAACCCGGGTTATTGTTGTATCTAATTTGTTCTAGCATAGATGATACTCGGAATGCGCCGGGAGTATTCTTATCTCCTTCACGGGCAAACCAAAATGCCTATTTATCAAGCTTCCGACCTCACATTGTCCCTGTATCGTAAAGATTAGTCCCCCGTTTTCTCAAAATATACTTGTCATACCGGAAAACTCATGCACATGCTATCTATGGTATGGGCTTACTCGTAATAGTCCAATGATGTTATAAAGAGCCTGTCGAATGCCAAAACCATGGCTGTGCATGATCAACACCTCGGTCAGAGGACAAACAGCTGCTGTGTTTCCTGAACAAGCGGGGCAGTGGGGCCTCAGACGCTACCTTACTTTTGTATCACCTGTAGCTACGTGCGTTTGTATTGAATCGACTGGCTTAGGTACTTTTCATTCCTTCGGTGTCAACCGGGATGTAACCAACGGTCAGGCCGTTTTGAATGTCGTCACATTGCAGTCCCTGCAATCAACTCGAAACAGCAACGGAGGGACATTTTGTTGATGCAGTACGCACCACAAGCGGACGGTCAAGCGGTCGTGTTGCGTCGGCTTCCCTTGATTCCGGCTTCCGTGCGGGGTTCCTAACTGCCATAAACTCTCAGGAGCAGAATGAATGATGAAATAGGTGCAACGCATGACTGGGGAAGTCGGCAGCCTTAGTAACTTGATGTAATTGATACGTAAGACCAATAGGTATATTAAAGCTACACCCAGCGATTGATTAACTTCTGGTCCAGATAGGCCCAACAAGCTTCTGTGACTACCATTTCCTGTACCATCTAAAAGCACATTTACTGTTCATATTTCTCATTGAAACCATGGCCTCCTACTATCCCGAGGGAGAATGCTACTTTGTGAGAAGCTCTCTCACCTACGCTGGCCACTGGACAGCGGAGAACAGAGACCAGTTTTACAACACTATCCTTCTGGAATACTACTGGAATGGCTGGCCAGCAACCGGCCAGACATCCAGAAGTCATACAAGGTCCCAGTGGAGGCATGGGGTCGGCCAAGGCGTGGGGAATAACACGCGATTCGGCGACTGGGACAGATTCTTCGTGGGCGAAAGCCGCGACAGAAACCCCGACAACATGCTCAGAATCCACAGTCATCCCAACAGTCTGAACTGGAATGAATGTCGGGACCATCTCAGAGGTGGTCCGAGAAAATACATCCTTCGTCCGGTGAGGATCCAGGACAGAACCACGCAATGGTTGTGGATTGATGCCACAATCCCTCTGAGGGCCATCTATTTCCCCGTCTCTCAAACCACCGATCAAGCATTCCAGAATCTTTGCACCTATGTCGTTATCGACTTTAGACACAGAACACAGCTTGATATTATCAATCTGACTGGGCAATATCAAAGGATCGGTGTCACAACACACAACGGCCTCGGGTGGAGAGATGACTTGACCTGGGGCTTCAAGATCCCTGACATCATCACCTATTTGACCATACCGCACAAGCTACGCAATCCGGACCAAGGCTTGTTCAGAACTAAAACTCGCGGAGATGAGTTGGTCGTTTGTGCTTGGTCAGGAAGGACCTGGAGAAGTTCTACTTCGATTCTCCGTCATGAGGATTTCTTCCGCGAGATGGATCTAGCCAACATCCTCAGTGCAACTTTTGGGGTTGAGGTCGGCTGGAGACCCTACCAGTACTCTTCGTTTCTCAAGAACCTGGTTATCCAAGTTGTTGGACTCGGCCTTGGGTTTATTCCCGGAGTTGGCCCAATCTTGTCTGTTGCCTTTGGAATAGCAGTTCAACTGCTCCAAGATCCGAAGTCATTCAGTCACGAGAACGTCCTCGACCTCAGTGCTGCAGTCTTGGACAGCCTTCTCCAGTCATCGGGAAGATCTCAGAAGTATCTGGCACCAGACTTCCTCTCTAAGTGTTCATCATGTGACGGTGAGCAAAGAGATCTTCCTTTGACAGACGAAGAGCGAGAGCGTCGAAAGGAATTCGGCGAAGAGCTCAACGCCCGTCTAACTGAGGAAATGACTCAGCGATTGGTCATACGTTCGCTACTTGAGCAGCAATTGCTGCTGCAGGGGGTTGCCGAGGAAGAAGAGAGCACGGTCGAAGAGATAGCCTCGAATGATGTGGCACCAGATAATCAAGATGCGCAGGAAACGAGCGAGAAGCTCGAATGAATACTCTCGAATGTCGTATTGTAAACTTCGCCCTACGAGGTGAGATGGAAGTTTGTGATAATGCCGATCCTCAGCCCCTGGAGCGCTGACCATTTCTTCTGGACGAGTTGGGAAAGAACTTTGTTTGTTTTAGTATTGGTAAGATTGTCATTACTAGATTGAACTGCGACGGAATATGGAAAATAACAAGTGAGACATTCGTGAGGTTTCGCAGCCAACTTTACGGCAAGAATTGCCATTGAGAGCCGCTGTGTTGGGTAACGCTCGTTCATTTATAAAGAAAGTCATTCATTAATAGCTGTACCAAAGTCTGGAGCTTCGGGAACTATATTTATAGGGGTTCTTTTGCTAAAGGGATACTATTAACGATTCTTGCTTGATTGGGGTATCCTTTGTTGCAGTATTCAGTGTTGTGATTGATATTGTTAAGCTGAATTGTCGTTAAAGCAAAAGGTCAGGCTTTCATCTCCAGAAGAAGGAGTATAATACTGTGATAACCTCACTACTATATTATAGTGCTCTCGTGATAGAATAGGGGAAAAAACGTATGCGTTTGCTATCGTTAACTCTGCCCTTTCATTTTTTATTAAGGCGTAAAGTATATTTTTATAGACACATTATTAAATCCACTTTGAATACTATAGACATTGTATTCAAGGATTGTCTTTATTCCTTATTATACGCCAGGTGGTGTAGTAGATATGAAGAAGTCTAGTCTGAATAATTACTGCCTTGCCGAGCCTGACGGTACTACCACCCTTAAGTAATAGCAGCAAGTCCGCCCTATTATATTAGACGTTAGTAACAGCCCGTTTAGTAATATTTACCGGTGTATATTATTATATTCAAGAATATAACTATAATCTAACTATTAAGAATATTTTTTATATTCTTTAGTATGTTAACTTATTATAATATTATTAATATTTTAAAAGCTTTAACCTTTAGGTATCTTAAATTATTAATATATAGGTCTCAATAGCTACTACGATCCTAATTTACTTTTACATTTTAATATAGATTACGTAGAAGGTTTTTCATATCCTATAGCTAAAGATAATTCAGCTAGGATTGACCCTATATTTAAAAGTGTTTACTTATTAACTATTATATACTCTAGTACTGTATTTTATTCAAGATTCTATTTAAAATCCAGTACATCGGCGTGTCCAAGATTGGATCAGTTAACATTACCAAGATAGGCTAAAGAATCCCAATTATCCACTTAGGTTGTCATTTTAGCAAGCAAGTCTAGAATCGCCTAGCCTTAATTGTTACACTATGTAATGCTCGCGTCATATATGCAAACCGACCAGGTTAAGATCCTGCCCTGCAGTCAGCCCAAGGTTTTTAGCTGCTCAGATCGAAGAATTGCCTGGCGTGTCTTGGCCCAGCTAAGCTCGCTTTACTAAGTATGGATTGGCAGCTTCTGCCTTCGGCACTTGAGTAGGTACGTGCGCGCTATACTGCATCAAGAAACAGCTCAACCAATCAAAGCCCTACCCATTTATCTTATTTCCTAAATAGGAAAGTTTTGAACCAATGGTAAGCCGCGCAGCACATAACTCCTTTCGGCTGTGATTCTTAATAGCTTATATATGAACACTGATCTAGCACAATGGAGGCAAGCATACACTCTTTACCTTACACTCTTTACCTTCAATTTCTTTCTTCTCCGCTGTTTACATATATATCCAGTGCTGTATTACGGATCTTTGTTTAACTCGCTGAACTGTGAGCCCAACTTGCAACTATGCCTATGGCTTTACGTCCTTCAGCCAACCAAGAAAGGCCGGACGCTGGCGAGCTTGGCACCCCCACCGCAGATTGCCTTGAAAAGCATAAGGAATCCGGTTGTGAAGATGAGCTGGAGTACCTAACAGGATGGAAACTTTTCCTTACATTTTTGGCTCTTTGCTTGACTGTGTTCCTCGTCGCTCTGGTAAGCTACTACGGCTACATGCAAAGTGTAACAAGCTGATCAGATCTAGGACCAAACCATTATCGCAACTGCTATTCCTACGATTACATCCCAATTCCATAGCATCAAGGACGTTGGCTGGTACGGCAGTGCCTATCTCCTGACAACATGCAGCTTTCAGCTTTTCTTTGGAAAACTCTACACCCTCCTTTCTATTAAGTGGACCTTTTCTGGGGCCGTACTTATCTTCGAAATCGGGTCTGCTATTTGCGGTGCCAGCCCCAGTTCTGTTGTTCTGATAGTCGGACGGGCTATAGCAGGAATCGGCGGAGCAGGCATCTTTTCTGGCGCCCTGATCATCGTCGGCAAATCGATTCCATTGGCTAAGCGGCCGGCTTTCACCGGCATTATCGGCGCTGTCTGGGGAATTGCAAGTGTGGTCGGCCCATTGTTGGGTGGCGCGTTCACGAGTATGTGTGCTTCTCCCGGAATGCAGTAACTTACTAACGACAATAGGTCATGCGTCGTGGCGATGGTGTTTCTACAGTAAGTCGACAACTTTGTCCCATTATGGCTATCACTTACACTCTCTCTAGTCAATCTGCCCATTGGCGCGGTAGCAATTGTGTTCATAATACTGTTCCTGAAGTCACCTCCTGCGCTCGGCGTAAAGTCTGAGGGGTGGATGGATACTGTCTTACAATTCGACCCTATTGGAAGTGTATTCTTCATCGCAAGCATCATTTGCCTCCTGCTCGCTCTGCAATGGGGAGGTAGCACTTATTCATGGAGTGATGGCCGCGAAATTGCCCTGTTGACGCTTTTTGGCTTGCTGATAATAAGCTGGACGATTACTCAATGGAAGATGGGAGACAATGCCACAGTCCCATTACGCATCGCACGGCAGCGTACAGTGGCCTTCTCGACATTTTATATCTTTTTCGCCAGTGCATCTTTTGTCCTCAACATCTACTATCTACCCATTTGGTAATACACAAACCCTTTGAAGAAAGTATGATCGTACTGACCTGAACAGGTTTCAAGCCATCAAAGGCGACAATGCTGCGGAGTCCGGCATTCATAACCTTCCTACAGTTCTTAGCGTTGGTAAGCACACAGACATTACGTTTAGGGCTCTTGACATTGGTCTGACATGCGTTATAGTGGTCTTTGCCATCGGAGGTGGCGTGGGAGTGACTGCTATTGGATACTACACACCGTTCATGATTGCAGGCTCTTTAATCATGGCAGTGGGGGCGGGATTACTCCTCTTGTTCAAAGTGGACACTCCCATAGCGATGTGGTAAGTCTGAACGAAAAGACTCTGCAGGGATATAACATTGTCGGCTAATACCTCCAAGGCTAGGATTTCAGATTATATTTGGTGCTGGTGCAGGCATCGGTCTCGAGTTACCAAACATTGCCGTCCAGACAGTTCTCTCGGAAAATGATATGTCCGCTGGCACATCTCTTATCGTATTCGCGCGTTCTCTTGGTGGCGCTATATTTGTAAGTGCTGGACAAAATGTCTTTAACAGCCATATAATATCGGGTGCGCGAAGCCATGTTCAAGAACTCGACCCCTCTGTTATCTTGCGCTCTGGGGCTACAGATCTGCAGGAGACAATTAAAGCAGCTGTGCCGAATAACGGAGATATCGTGACAAAGGTGGTTCAGATCTACAACGACGCTATTGTCCAAACCTTCGTTGTGGCCCTGGTGCTGGCTTGTATCTCTATCATGGGCGCCTTTGGTGTTGAGTGGCGCAGTATCAAGAAACAAAAAGCCTCCCAGAGATCAAACCCTCATGAATGAAGCAGAAGGTATGTCGGGGCAATCTTTTCCTGACAGATGGATGAGAACTGACAAGGCCTAGGATTCCTCCCTTGCTCATAATTTGGTGGTTCGCGATACATCTCATCGTTATCGCAAAGTTTGGCCGTTGATTTCAAATCTATTTCGAGGCCAAGGCGGAGCACCACTAGATCGTTTCATTACATCTACTCAGCAAGTCAGTGGTGGATAATATAGTAGGTAGCCATTTATTTCGTATAATCCTGTCGAAGAACGGTATCGTTCCTTGGAGAAATACTTTTAGTAGGTAGAATCATAATATACTCTTTTGAGACCAAGCCCAAAGACGAGAGAGACCGCAGTGGTCTATCGGTCACAAATATTGCCTACCCACTCCTCACGAGATCTTCAGACGACTTTACGCAAAAGATCTCATCTACGTGGTTACTTCCACTTCGCTTTGTCTTCACCAATAATAGGGAGAAGACGTGTCGTAATGCAGTGCCAAGGCTTAATTACCAGATCTTGCTTATGCCTTCTGGTAGTCATGTATTGCTTTATCGCAAGGCTAACCCTTGTGACCCAGTGACTACACGAAATTAGAATGCTTAGATTAGAAGAACTACGTCAGGGAATTCAGAGCAAACAGCTCTGCCTCCTCTCTCTAACTCTTTATGTATCTGTCGAACTGGCAAACACGTCACTTTGGCATGGCGTCCCATAAGCCTCAGGGACACATTGAGTGATTTCTTCCAAGGCAGTCTTCTTCAAGCCGTATTTCTTGGTCAATTAGCTTCGAATACGGTGACGCATCATTGTCTCATATGACGTAGACTTACTATCTATGACACCGAGTTGGGTTGAAGAATTCTACACCGACTTGTCCATCGACCGTGGCACAGGTGCCGTCTTTGTATAAAGCCCTGAGCTTCCTGCCACAACCTTAGCAACCGCGTCACATGAATCACGAAACGAATATCTATCCTATCTATCCTGTCTACCTCCTATTTTGCATCACATTACGACATCATGGCCCCCCTTCGCATCCTGATATCCGGCGCTGGAATCGCCGGCCCAGCATTTGCTTTCTGGGCGACACGCCTTGGCCATTCATGCACAATAGTGGAGCGATCGCCGACGCTTCGCAACACCGGTCAGCAGATCGATATTCGCAGTCACGCGGTTGAAGTTATCAAGCTCATGGGTTTACTTCAAGATGTTCGCGACTTGACGTCCATGAACTGGGAGTTCGTTTTCTCGACAGGGAAGGAAAGGAACAGGCATTCTTCCCCAAAGCGGATTCGTCGTCTACTGGCCTAGAGGGCCTGAGCAGCGAATTTGAGATCATGCGTGGTGATTTATGCAGGCTTCTCATCTCGAGTATTGAGCCAAGCGTCCATATACAACTAGGGCTGACGGTGCAAGACTTCGAAAACACCGACGAAGGTGTTAAAATCACACTGTCAGACGGTAGAGTGGACAGCTACGACTTACTGGTTGTGGCCGATGGGCAAAGCTCTTCTCTACGACAAAAGATGATGGCAAGTGAGCAAGAGGGTTCGGATCAATCCCGAAATCTTGGCGTCTACAGCGCATACTACACTATGTCACGAACGCCAGATGACCCCGACCTGGCCACCGTTTACGTAGGTTCCGACAAACGAATAATGTGTACTAGGTGGCACAGTCAGGAGCGTGGTCAAGGGTATCTTGCGACCATGGCGCATCAACAAGAGATTGAGACGGCCCTAAAGGAGGATGTCGATACACAGAAGAAGCTGTTTGAAGAAATCTTTACAGACGCCGGGTGGGAAGCCAACCGGCTCGTCGAAAGCCTCAAGCAAGCCGATGACTTTTATGCTCATTCTTCGGTTCAGATCAAGATTAGTAGATGGTCTAGAGGCCGGGTGGTACTACTGGGTGATGCTGCATATGCACCAACTCCTCTCACCGGCATGGGCACCAGCCTCGCTCTCATTGGGGCGTATGTTTTGGCTGGTGAGATTTCCAAAGCAGGAAATGTTTGTGATGGAATTGAAACATATGAAAAGGCGCTTCGACCTTTAGTGGAAGAATCCCAGCAACTACCCATCGGGCTACCCAACCTAGCCTATCCGTCTAGCCACCTGGGAGTCAAAGCCTTCTACTGGTTCGCTGGCCTTGCCTCCACACTCAAACTTGATAAGCTGGGCGACATTTCTTTCTTCAAAAAGTCTGACCATTGGAGTCTGCCTCAATATGACGAGCTGTGTTCGGTCGATCGCACTCAGTCAAGCCAAGACCTCTGACCTCAAGCAATTTCAATCCAAATGCTGGTGGCGAACTGAGTGCAAAAAGGAGATGGAAAAGAGAAGAAAGACACGATTTGGGTTACATAGGAGATTGCGGCATGATCAATTACTGTGCGGAAAGGGATGCATTACAAGAAAAATTGTTTATCTGTAAATGTATTTGGATTCTATCTCTCTATTTCTTATGGGAGCTTACCGTTCGTTCAACACCATTGAGTTAGGTTCGTTATAGCATTTATGATCGACGGCACTGACGTCATTGTCATTTGGTGTGAGGGTCTTTACAAGGAGAAATAAAGTATAAGCTCGCAGAATCTCTCTAGAGTTTTTATTTTGTTTTTCGAAAACTGCCTTTACGTGAAATTTCAACTTTTCCCATCATGTGCTTCTGGTGTGTTGCTCGCGAAACTACGACCGCACCCGTTTTTGTCGATGAACATTCTGTCCGCTACTTGATGCGTTATCGTCTAGGCAATTCTGTGTCTAGTCCCCCTAGGGTTTCGCCAATTCTGCTAACATATATGTTAAGCTTGCGTGATAGCATACTGCTACCCTAGATATATTTACGTTGACTGATCAGGTCAAGCCTATCAGCCCTGCATTATTTACGCCCTTGCGAACTACCCAGTGGTTAGAAAAACATTAATTTTCCGACTCTATATGCATGCTCTACTTCGCTATTTATAAATACCATTTCTCTATGAATAGCAATCCCCACACACTTGGTTAGTAATCCCGGAGACGTGAGCCTTGCAGCGTTTATACTATTCATCCTACACCCCTACCGATTTGAATCCAGTACGGATAGGTTCATTTCCTAGCAAAACTCAACCGTCGGAATACTGAGTGGATGTCTAAACCCTGAGTATTACTCGTTCCATCTCTCAACTAAATTGCAACAATCTTTCTTAGTAGGATCCCGTGGGTTACTCACTCATTTCATTTCAACCTGACCTTTAAATACTTCGGCCGTTGAAACCTCATACAATTGACACAAAATATTAGTTGCTAATCTTGTGCGACATGCTACATAAAGTTGAACATGTCGACATTGACCAAATCGTCAAAAGACCAATTGTGTGAGCTTTCCGCGCCGAAGAGTGGAATCTCGAAGTCATCAAAAGTCTGTTGGGTTGCAACTATAGATTCCGTCTTTCCATTAGGTTCTCGAGTCTCAAGTATCTGGTGACTTGAAATCTCCATGCAAGATCCAATAGGTTCGGAATACTCTTGGCTCAGACTGGGCTCGTTAGGCACGGTATTGTGTGACATTTCGCGCTTGCTTTTGTAGTACCACTTTCGCAACTCCCCAACCACGAGGAGTGATCTGCTGAGGGCATTATGCTCGTCTCGTGCTAGTAGGTCCTGAGCAATGGCAACGAGTCGATCCAAGTACTCATCCAAGTGAATATTGTCCAGGAGTAGGGATTTAGACGTGTCGATCGTCGAAGTTCCAATAGCTTTGAATAGCTTACACAGAATGATGAGCGAGTAAATAACTCGACCTCCGTAGATATAGGACGGAAGTGTCAATATATCAGCCACGGATAGTCCCAGAAAGCTATTGAGCATTCCAGAGGAAGCGGTTATAATTTCGCGAAGCTGGAGGTGCTCGGCGGTACTGAATTGACGGTGCATAAAATTGCAAGTTTGTAGAGATCTTGATGAGAACGGAGCAGCAAACTCGTCCACATTGTGTTTGACGTGCATTGCAGGCTCAAGTGCATAAAGTGACGAGGCAAATCGACCAAATTCAATGAGTGCTAGATGGTGTCAGTCCGAGACCAGCGTTGTCAAGGTCGGTTGAAAAACAAACTAAATATGTAACTCACCTTGTTGCGGCTGATTGAAAATACGAATCTCGCTGTTGTCTATGTTTGACTGCAAGTTCCCAGCCGTTACAATGCCATGTGTGGGTGCTGATCGGTGGCGCCTGCTGAGGAACAGTTGTTGATCTACCAGGTGGCAGCTTAGTTCTGTTCTGACAAGCTCGCAAAGAAAAGCATCAGAGGCCGAGACTTTGTTCTTCTCCAAGTCTGTTAGACACACGTCCATATTCTTGGACCAGACTATTACTTTCGGTCGTCGTAGAATTAATGAAATGCTAATTCGATATTAGTGCTATTCTCACTCCGGGCGAAATCGGTACAATTACCTCTCTGATATGATGAAACAGGAGAGACATGCCCGCTGTATTTCAGCATGCTCCCAAACTTCCTCATTTTGTACAGACCGCGAAACATCGGCGCATTCTAGCTCTAGTTCGGCAGCCATTGTGAGCATAATACTTGCCAATTGATCAAAGTTAACCTGCTTAAAATCTCCTGGCGATCTGTACCAAAGTGAAGCAATCTGTAATGCTTGAACAAGCTCGAGTGACTTTTCTCCTTGAACAATAGCGCGTCCTGCGAGAGCCCGCTTTGACTCCAACACTAATGCTTTGTGCGCTTCGACGGAACAATATCCTGCTGAGGCAACACTCAGGATGGAAAGAAACACGATCGGCTTCTTTTCCATCAAGTCATGGACGTTTGTACCTGATGGGAATATCACTACTGGAAATTTCGGCGTAAAACTATCGACGAAGTGATAGAATGCCTGTTGGGCAGCCTCTCGACTAATAAGAGAGCTGATTCTACCATGAAGCCATCTATCCTCAACTGATGGCAGTGGCCGTAAAGCTGGAAGGTTAGTAATCGGTCTTCTTAGAAGTTCTAGAGCGGAAAGAAAGAGCTCACTCGATTGATTCGTAAGTGCCGAGAAAGAGGAGGCTGCTTCGGCTTGTCGTTTGCGATCCCTTTCACTTCTGCTTTCTCTCGGAGTCTCCCATCCCTGTTGTGCCTCCAGAGGCACCCGAAGAGCAGAAGAGTCATGGGGGAAGTCCAGAATAGGCCCCACCGTAGATTCAGTAGGGAATGTAGTGGCAGAGGCAATGCTGGGGAGCTCTGCTTCAAGGACACATTGTTTGGATAGACGCTGACACCTGGAGCACGAAACCCCGGGTCTAGTGACATCTATTTCACAACGAGTCTTTGATGCCTTACATGCAAGACAGAAGGCAACTTTCCGAGCCATGACGGTCCTTCTTCTCCTGGAGGAGGACTTCGAGTTGACTGCAGTTGACGCAGCCGCCGGATTCCTGTTTACTGTGCCATAGCGTAAGTTTGTAATTGAATGCGGGTCGTGCAGATCTGCCCCCTCATCTCCGAGCGATTGCTGTGTATATAGATTTTGGAACGGTATGTGAATGTGAGAGGACGATTGTGCGGTACTGTGACCTGGTTGACTTGCTGGGGCTGGTGGCAGATGCCTGCATGCAGGAATGATCGGCACAGGCGTTGATCGCGAAGGTGCAGCATCCAATTTGAACTTGGAAAAGGACATGGCGTGAGTGTTATAACACTATTGGGGCATCTATAGTAGTGCTTATAGCCACTTCTGCTATATCACAAACTGCTCAGGTAGAGGTACCCTTGTTGATGATAACGAGCACTGCATGCAATAAGATGTAGGGAACCGCGCTGATAAATTTTCGGTCGTGGCACTATGGAGGGAAAATACGTCATGGATTGTCATGCCCAGCGGACTACGGTAGAGCATTATTCCGGAAGCAACACTAATTTACAAAATGCCATAGCGCGTCCGAAAATAGCAGTAAAGCAAGCGGGAACGTATTGATAATTCTGCAGGGTATTGCTTAGCAACACGCCCTGCGTGAAATCAATTTGCACCTCTTGTATCAGTGGAACCCAGAAACAGTTATTATCTTGTATTATTCTGAAGAATTGGATTTACATAATAGGGCAAGATTAAGGGGCTGTATTGCTCCTTGGTCAACTGCAGTCTGTAGGGCCGCCATCATCTAATTCGAGACATGCTCCAGGATTTTAAACATCTGGTTTTAAAGACTGAGTATAATAAATGGTCGACTGAAGACTTGTAAATTGTTCTGTAGACTATAAAGAGTAAGAGCCTACAGCACTCTTGTATCTTGATCAATAGTCTTGAGAAGACTTTTAAAGCAGATAGCTTTTTAGAGCTAATTAAGACTATAAAGGGTATTTCAAAATACCCAATCAAAATCTACGTTTCTATTTAACTACAAATGCCGATTTAAGGGTGGCTTAAGAAACAAGAAGCGTCTGGAGTCTTTCTTAAAGACCAAACGAGACCTAACACATAATTTCATACGTAACAGCATCAAGAGTCCATTCTTAAGTAACTATATTCTTATATATAATAAGCTAGTTAAAAAGTTAATTTAGATAGCTAAAGGAGGCTTTATAGCTTTACTTTATAACTACAAGCCTTATTACTAGTATAGAAAATAAGAATATTAAAGATATGCTCTTAAGTTATACTATAATTTAGAGTAGTAAACTGTTGATTTATTTAGTATAGGTATGTTTAGGATGGATATACCGTTTCTATTATTAGTACTGCTTCTTTAGTAAGTCCACCTTATTATATTAAGCCTTAGTAACGGCCTGGTCAGTAACGTTTACTAACTTATCCATCGTCGCATCCAAGAATATACCCGTAACCCGATCGTTAGCAATGTCTCTTAGATATTTCACTGTGTTAACTCGCCATGGCATTGTTAATATTATGGAAGCCTTAACCCCCAGCCACCTTAGCTCGCCTGGAATGTTTCTAAACATCCCATGAGACAACCCGGCCAGAATTAGCCCTATATTCGAAAACGTCTATTTATTGACTATTATAAACTCCAGTACTGTGGTTTATCCGAGATTGTGTTTGAAACCCAGTGCATTAGATTTAACGTCCTGACCATGGTCTATAGTCCGAAGCTCGAAAGTCGGACCCGAATTCTTCATGGCCCTGCTAGCCTACCCAGCATTGCTTAAACCCCTGCTATTTCCAGCAATAGCGCGGATGTCACCATCACTAGACAGGTTGTCATTGGTGCGCTTTTTACCAAGTCGTTATTGAGCTACCATCTATTCAGCAAGAGCGGAGCGACTTCCGTACTAAACGTCGGTTGCACTTCTGATCGGCATCTTCTAGCCAAGATTATCATACGGGTATGATAAGCACGGATACTCGGCACCAATTCAATTTCGGATACATGCCATAGATGCTTGTTGAGGAAGTTAACGAAATCCCTTCTGAATGGCGACATAGTCTCATTCATCACGCAATTTTCCGTTCAGGACCGACATCTGCCCTGGACAAAGTCACAGAACAAAAAAAAGCCAAATTTCTCGGCCAAAGTTCCACTACAGGAAATTAATCACAAACAAGCTCCAATTCCACTCCCTGTTATTCACCATGACGACAAAGAACGTCCTCCTGCTTGTTGCAGATGATCTAGGCAAACAACTAGGCTGTTACAGCCATCCCCAGGTCAAAACACCAAATATCGACAAGCTTGCTTCAGAAGGTGTCAGATTTGACAACGCGTTTGCAAGTACTGCCTCATGCAGCGGAAGTCGCTCTACCATCTACACTGGACTCCATACCCATCAGAATGGACAATATGGCCTCAACAGTGGAAAGCATCACTTCATGACCTTTGACCACATTGAGTCCGGGCCAACTATTCTGGCTAGAAATGGAGTGAGAACAGGAATCATTGGAAAGATTCACGTTGGACCTGAGGCTGTCTATCCATGGGAGTGGAAAGCTGAGAGCTTGACAAGGGACGTGTGGTGGTCGTCCCAAAAGGCCAAAGAATTTTTCACCGCATCAAAGGGCGATGGGAGGCCTTTTGTGTTGACTGTGGGATATCATGATCCTCATCGTGATCGCACTCGTGGCGGTTTTGGTAACGACGAGCCTGTCGACGACCGGATTCAAAGTGTTGAGTACCGCCCTGAAGACATGGCTATTCCTGACTTTTTGTCCAATACCGCTGGGGCCAGGCAAGAACTTGCGGAATATGCAAAGGCCATTAGTCGCTTAGATCAGGGAATTGGCTTTATCCTTGATGAGCTTGAGAACTCTGGTTTTGCGTCAAACACGTTGGTTATTTTTATGAGCGACAATGGACCTCCGTTTATGAACTCAAAGACAACACTATACGACGCAGGTATTCAGCTGCCTCTGATAGTCAAGCAGCCCGGTTCGAAAGCCTCTCTCAACACCAACCTAGTATCTTATGTCGACATTTTGCCTACAATATTGGACTGGACGCTTGGTCAAGCTGCTGCAGAGGCCAAGAAGCCGCTATCGGGTCGATCTTTCCTCAACATGTTGCATCAGGAAAAGGATCTTGATACATGGGACCACGTCTTTGGCTCTCATACGTTTCATGAGTCTACCAATTATTGGCCCACTCGCTACATACGAACCCGTCGCTACAAGTATCATCGCAACATCGCTTGGAGACTGGACTTCCCATTTGCAAACGATATCTATGGATCGCTGACTTGGGAAGATATTCGTAACTCAGAGGACAGCCCTAAAAAGATTGGCCAACGAAATCTCAAAGACTACTTTTTTCGCCCAGCTGAGGAATTGTACGATCTAAAGAACGACGAGCAAGAAGTGGTGAACCTGGCCCGAGACCCTGAATACCAAGCTATCCTGCAGGAACTCAGAGATAGGCTGGAGGCTTGGCAGCGGAGGACGAATGATCCTTGGCTTTATCGTGATGGTATCTCTATACTGTTGAATAAACATCACCTTGATGCTGGTTTGGAAGTTCCCAATAATTGGGATCTTGATGTTGAACATCCTGAGACAAAGGGAAATGTTACAAAGTACAAGAATTTGCCGTTTGGTATCGCGGGAACAAGAGACTAGTAAGCATTAGTAGAGTCCTCGAAGAATAGTGAATAATGAAATTTCAACTACTTGATATTTTGAATGTGTGATGCAAAACGAACCCCCTCAAGGCTTTATTTTTTTAACAGTACAATTTCATTTACAGTTCAATTTTATCAGGCAATTGCGTAGTTCCTATGGCATAGGTCCTTGCCTGTGTTATTCTTGTTCTATCTGAAGTACATTAGGCGGAGACCTTCTTTTCATGCGAAATCCTTAGATATCCAATCCAAATACACCTTGTGTCATTGTCTCAGCATCTCAGTACAATCGCACCTTGGAACCCCCACGGTTGGACTTCTCCAGTTTATCAGTTGTCAGCTCGACTAGTCCGGGACAAATGATTCAATTTCCATGACTTGTATGTCTACAATTATCTAAAGTTGGGGGTTTCGCCAAGACGGTATATATCTCCGAGGGGCCATCCTACCCATGGTGATAAGCGTTGGGGGTTGCTAGTCAATCCCCATTTGTCCCCATAATGTCGTGATGGCTTTTCGGATCATCAGTGCCGAACAGTAGGGTCAGCATGCTTGATTCAGGGTTATCTCTTGAGCTAGAGTTGTCGGTCATGCATGAACAAGGCCGATAGGTCCGCTTTGGTTAGTCACACCATTAACATAAACTAGCACGTTGAAAGCCCTCAAGCTTAGCAGAGTTAGTTGCGCCATGGGTGTAATTCATTCTCGTCAAAATTTAGGATAAAGACAATCATTTATAACAGAATGAGCTGTCGCTATCAAATACAAAATCAGCAAACTCATTCTCCTGACTTCTGAAGCTTTATCTTTCCCAGAGACATTAGACCCCGGTTGTCCATAATGACTAGTCCAAATCATGCTGTCAACGTCTCCGGAGATCCTCACTCTCAAGACAACAACATCAAGGCCCCGTCCTTTGAAATCAGTTCTCCTAAAGATGAGCCGACTGACTTGGTGGAACCTGAAGACACCAGCAGAAACATCGGCATCTGGGAGGCTCTCACCGGTCGAAACAAGCCTGCTGATCTCGACGCCATTGCCACTGAGCGGAGTGTCTTTGACGATCCTCACCTGGCACAATTCTATCAGCCGCCGCCAGATTATGAGAATGTTCATCGATTTGACCCCAGCGAAAGATGGACTTATCGCGAGGAGTACGCCGTCCGACGCAAGACAGATTTGAAGATCTTTGTCTGGATCCTCGTTATGTTCTTTGGCCTCAATATCGACCGGGGTAATCTTGGTAATGCAGCAGCTGATAATCTACTCGATGATCTGAAGCTCAATACCAACGATTTCAACAACGCGCAGAACATGTATCGCATCGGTTTCCTTATCGCCGAAATACCATCACAGATGATTGGCAAACGCCTTGGTCCCGATCGCTGGATCCCTGTTCAGATCATCCTCTGGAGTCTTGCATCGGGTGGACAATTCTTCATGCACAACCGTGCAGGGTTTTTTGCTTGTCGATTCTTTATTGGGTTTTTTATGGGCGGCTTTATCCCCGATTCCATTCTTTACCTCTCATATTTCTACAAGAAGACCGAGATGCCCATCCGTCTCGCCCTTTTCTGGTTCGTTGACTCCATGTCTGGCGTCGTCGCTTCTTTCATGGCGTACGGTATCCTACACATGCGTGGCGTCGCTGGTAGAGAAGGTTGGCGTTGGTTGTTCCTCTTAGAGGCTTTAATTAGCCTGGTCGTCGGCGCTCTCAGTTTCCTCTTCCTTGTTCCCGGACCTACGCAGACCAAGACGTGGTGGAATCCCTCTGGCTACTTCACCGAACGCGAGGAGAAGATCATTGTCAATCGGGTCCTGCGCGATGATCCGTCTAAGAGCGGTATGCATAACCGAGAACCGATCACATTGGGAATGCTTTGGAAGAGTCTGAAAGACTACGACCTCTGGCCCGTATATGCCATTGGTATACTGTTCGAGATTCCCACCGCACCTCCTAAGACATACCTTACTTTATCTCTGAAAGCCCTCGGCTTCAGTACATTCAACACAACACTTTTGGTCATTCCTGCTACGGTTTTTGCCGCTATCAATATGCTCTGGATTACTTTTCTTACAGAAAGATTCCACCAGATTGCGTTGTTTGGTTTACTCACCCAACTTTGGGTCCTTCCCTTGCTCATCATTGAGTATACCTCAGTGCAAAATTTGTCGCACTGGGCTCAATACGCTGTAGCTTTCCTCATCATTGGTCAACCCTCCGTCCATGCAGCCCAAGTCGGATGGTGCTCTCGACTCTCGAACTCAGTACGCACTCGAGCCATTAGTGCTGCCCTTTACAACATCACCATTCAATTATCAGGTATTGCGTCATCCAACATCTACAGAGAAGATGACAAGCCACTATACCATCGTGGAAATAAGAATCTGATTGGTATTACGGTGGGGACTATTTTTGTATATGCTTTTGCTAAAGGCTATTACACCTATCGGAACAAGTCAAAGAGGAGCAAGTGGGATAATATGTCTGGTCACGAGAAAGCAAGTTACCTTAATACTACTAACGATCAAGGTAATAAGCGATTGGACTTTCTCTTTGATAGTTAGAGAGATTATATCTAGTAGTAACCCTAAACTAATCCTAAGCTTATTTACTGGGTATGTTACATAATACTTGATAAAACACTCCTTAATATGCATTTTAGAATTTAGTTTAAATTATAGAAGTAGGAACAATTTACTATTCTCTGTCTTGCCCTATTATCTGATTGGTATAGATACAGGGCCTATTCCTATCCCTAACAGTTTAGTATAATAAATTATAAGATATTGATTATTTATTATGTAAGATTATATGCTGATAAGACGAGCTAACAAAGACACGTTAATTATTTTCCATCGGTCTTCATGCCACCTTTGCTATGAAGGATATTACTGGGACATTAATACTTAATCATGCTAAAGTCCACAAGTAACAGGGAATGCCTGTCCCGAGAAATCGTGAGTCTTGGCACCACTGGGAGTCTTGACACTAAACTCAAACATAGAAACAGCATTCTTGTTGCCCATAACATTTCGAACAGGGTAGTGGCGACCTTCAATAAGATCAACTGTGCCACATTGAGTAGGGTTATTGAAGTGATAACCGGTAGCAGTTAAGACAAGAGCAGGAGCGTTGGGATCAGCCTCGCCCGTTCCGCACTCAAAAGCGTTGCCCTGGCCAAAGTAGAGGGTGTTGGCGTTGTCAGCAGTAACGCAAAGCTCATAAGTTCCAGTCTCAGGGGCACGGTAGAAACCGGTGTAAACGAGGGTAAAGTTGTTTGCATCAACCTTGATACCGACAGCGAGAGTACGATGATAACCAACATACCAAGCTTTTCCAGCATAGGCACTATCGGGGAAGATCTGAGGGTAGTTGGCGAGGTCTTGCATATAATCCTGAGCAAAGTATGTCTCGCTTGTCATAGAAGAGTCAAGGGGGGTAAGGTGATCGGTGATGTAGTATGAAGGAGGGACGGACACCTCATCATTGCCGTAGCCACGCTCGAAGACGTTCTTGTAGTAGTCGACGTTGAAGCCAGCGGCTTGGCATCCGGGCTGAATAGCGCAGGGAGTGGGAGTAGGAGCGCCAGAAGTGGTGGCAGAGGAGGTAGCGGAGGTAGCAGCGGTCGTGGTGTTGGGATCCTTAGTCTTGGTCGAAGTGACCTCGTCTGTGCCAATCTGGACCGTAGCAGTATCGACAGTGCCTGTCTCAGCCGAAGCAGTAGGTTGAGAGCCCGATCCAGTGCTTCATTCTGTCAGTACACAAGCTGTGATTTGGGTATGGGTGAGAAAAGCGTCTTACGTGGTTGCACTGGTCATGACAGCAGTGCTGGGGATACCAGATGAGGGTGCATGAGGCTTGCAGGGGCCAGCCTGGGCAAAACCAAGCACGCCGCTCAGGGCAAGAAGAGTCTGAGATGCTCGCATGGTGGATGTGACTAATGAAGTATGATAGTTCAATGAACGATATGTGAAATGAATGTAGCTGAAAGTAGTGAGTGACGTTTACAGAGCAGTAAGTAAAGGACGGACAGTAGGGTCAAGAGAGTGTAGTCAAAGAGTGTGGATGGACAATATAGAAAACAGAACTCAATAATAGGGCCAAGGATTTTATATTTCTTCTCTCTCTATCACTTCGTTTTGACATACGATATCTTATCGATAAGCTCTATTGTTTCGTTTCATTTAAGAGACCCCTGTTCCGGGCCGATATATCAGGCCAGATCCACCGATCTTGCGGTGATGTTCTAGCGCGACGCTAACAACTGTCACCGTAAAGGCACGGTTTTGGCAGCTGTACTCCGTAGGCGGTTTAATGTCAGAAGCTATCTCGCTCGAATGTCCTTAACGGGACTTAGTTAATTTGCTTTTCGTATGTTTTTAATTGATTTGAACTTTCCACCGTCTGCAAATAGTATAATGAAACATTCGCCCCATGGCTTGTAGGAGATTCGTCCCGCCACCTGAAACGTCAAAGCGCGTAGCTCGCTAAAAAGTTGCCTCGCTCGCAAGCAATTCGCTCGGAAATAGAATGTCGGAGTTAACGGATAAACAAGCAAGGCAAGCAGCTTGCCAATGGATGTCAGCTAATTTGAAGAGTTTAAGAAGTTTGACACGAAGCCTGCTTTACATCCATAGAGGGATACTAGTTATGTTAGCACTTGTGGCTTTATTGTTAATTTGTGGCTACGCTCTGTAATTACTCGACACCTTAGGATTGTGGAACGCTGTGATAACAGTTTTTGTTTAGGCTAACTTAATTTCCTAAAGAATTTCTGAAGGCTAAGACGTCAAAAAGAAAAAAGGCACAGAATGCTTGAATAACACATTTTTCTTCAATTTTATATTGCCTACTCCTGCTATTCCACCGCAAGGTTAGCGAACAAACAAGTCGGTTATTGTACAGGGTAAGTGAAACACGTGGAGCTGGTTAAAAACGAAGGAATTCCTTTACAAAATCTGACCATCATTCTTTCTACAACCAGGGATATAAAAATAAAAAGTGTTGCGTTGTTCTAAATCTAAGTATCTGAAAGGTCTTTTAACTGTTTTCTAGGTATGTATGTTGTCGTCATGGGGTGAATTCTTTTGACTTTCCCAAGGCTTTCAGTATTTACTGTGGGAAGCATTATTAGAATCTTTGTTTTTGCTTGAAAAGAGCAGAGCTGCATGTAAGTTACGGCTTTTATCAACAGCATTTCACCATGGCATCCTCTAGAAACAGTAATAATCGCTTAGCAGAGTCTCTACGACAAACACCCGTCTACGGTAAGTACCGACCTCGCAGTATATCATCAACTTCTCAAGGATAACTTAGCAGCACCAGAATTGCCTGAGTGTGACACAGTCAATCTGACGAAGATATTAGATTTCTACAAAACAGTCACAAATTGCACACATCTGATGCCGACACCTTCTGCCATCACCTCATATTATCCAGGGACGATGGTAAGTTCTGAGGGTGCTTGGAAGTGCCCCCTAAACCGTATCCCATGTACGGAAGACTTCTCCGAGGCTAGAGCATGTTCTTCCGAACGCATTAAACGACACACTCCCACGACTCATTCCTATTATACATCAACGCAGCTTTGGGAGCTTCCACTTGTCTTCGCCATGGAAGTTTCTAGCACAAGCGAGAGGGCTTTCTAGCAAAAAAGAACACAGTCTCATATCTGACCTCGAAGCTTGAACCTAATGAGTTAGTTAACCAGTCGTGTATGTTACCTAGGGATCGTCAAGCTCATAATCCAGTACCTGCAAATCTGGTCGAGAAGCTCAAACATAGCTTTGGGTCAGATCCGTCCAGCATTTGGAAGATGCAACGTCAGTTAATGAGCCTGGGGCGGCTTATATTATCACCAATCTAGAGCTTTGGCTAGAGTAGATTCCTTGAAGAACCCGAGTAATTGATCTGTATGGGAGAGCTTAGATATAATAGGATGTTAATTAGGCTTAGTGTGACAACATGTATCGGCACCTCACACATTGCTTTCGAGTTGACTTTTAATACGTGGATATTACCTTTGATGCACGGGAAGTGGGGTGTGGTCCGGGACTTCGGCTATGTGGCGGTAAAGAGCCTTTCGGATCGAAATAACTATTTCAGCGGTTTCCGAATAATCCGGGCTTACTAGGGAATAACAAATAAATTATACACCAATCAAACAACGATTGCGCTTAAGCATCTATCTGAAACGTCGTTAACTATCCATTTAGCATGATCCCCATTAATCTATCCTCTGGCGTAACCCTTTATCTACCCAATAGAAGGTCATTAAAAACGTTCGAGAACAGAAATACGGAGCTGGTAAGCTCCGACCTAGCCCTTTTCTACATTCCACACCGAAGCTAGAGGTGCACACACTACCACGCACTACCACACACTACCACACACCAGTCTCACCAGTCTATCTTGGTGATTATTGTCCGATCTACAATGCCGTGTTCCGTGATCCATGCGACCCAATTGATACAAAAGCTGGCGAGCCACCATCAAAATCACAAGAAGATCGCTATCAGGACATTGTTTCTTACCAACTTGGTTACCTTCATTCTCTGTTACTCTTCTTTACATAATGAGATTCGAAATCATTTTCACGTCGGCCCTTGCGGCCTTCATTCGATCTGCTGCGGCCGTTGGCGTCACTGGTGCCGCCGAGGGTTTTGCCAAGGGTGTTACTGGAGGTGGCTCAGCCAGTCCTGTCTATCCCACGACAACTGCTCAGTTAGCTTCCTACCTTTCCGACTCATCTGCCAGAGTCATCATCCTGGACCGAACCTTTGACTTCACTGGCACTGAGGGTACCTCGACCGAGACTGGCTGCGCTCCTTATGGCACAGCTTCCGCCTGCCAGGTCGCTATCAACAAGGACAGCTGGTGCAACAACTACCAGCCCAACGCCCCTAAGGTCACCGTCAAATACGATAAGGCTGCGTTGAACCCTATTGTTGTTGGTTCCAACAAGAGTCTTGTCGGCGTCGGCAGCAAGGGTATTATCAAGGGCAAGGGTCTTTACATTGCCAAGGGTGCCAAGAATGTTATCATCCAGAACGTTCACATCACAACCCTCAACCCTCAATACGTTTGGGGTGGCGATGCTATTGCTCTGGATAACACTGACCTCGTATGGATCGACCACGTCACTACCTCTTTGATCGGCCGCCAACATATTGTTCTTGGCAATGGCGCCAGCAACCGAGTAACCATCTCTAACAACAAGATTGATGGCGCTACCTCTTGGTCTGCGACTTGCAACGGTTACCACTATTGGGGTCTTTACTTCACTGGCTCTGCCGATGTATGTATCCCTCCCTAGTTCTTATTTCGCTGATACTAACTCGCCTAGACCGTTACCTTCAAGAACAACTACATCTACAAGACGTCCGGCCGTGCCCCTAAGGTCGGTGGAAACACTCTCCTCCACGCTGTCAACAACTACTGGTATGACAACGCCGGCCACGCTTTCGAGATTGGTTCCGGTGGCCAGGTCGTTGCTGAAGGCAACATCTTCCAGAATGTTGTTGCTCCCATCGAGACCTCCAGCTTCGCCGGCAAGCTCTTCTCCAGCCCTAGCACTGCTGCCAATGCTGTCTGCTCTGCCTCTCTCGGCCACACTTGCCAGGTTAACGGCTTTGGAAGCTCTGGCACGCTCTCTGGTAGCGACACCGATTTCTTGACCAACTTTAAGGGCAAGAATGTCGCTTCTGCCGCTGCTTACTCGACCACTACTAGCCTCAAGACTAGCGCTGGGTTCGGTACCATTTAAATCTTGAGTAGATTAAACTCGGCCTCACATTTGCATATGGCAACTGTGTAATCTCTAGATGAGATTTCCTCTTCTGTACATATTCTATTTTGTAAATAGGAATTAACTATCATGACTCCCTTTTCGATAAACCTCTATCAACATCAGACATGTCCATTCATACCATTTAATGAGTCCTGCTTCATCTGTGGTTATTGGCTTATTGCCAAAGTGAAAGCTAGTCACCCAGATATTTTGCATTCTCCCATGCCTCTTATGTTCGCTGTCACGTTTGTATCCCAACTAGTCTGGAACCCTGCTGGATGAGGTGCAGATGTCTAACAGCGGATGTTATACTAGTGGATAATAAACACAAAGCAATTTAGATAGCTTGGCAGCAATTATGGCTACGTAGGACGAATAACGAGTGTTGATTTCCGTCGAATATACAAGTTCATGGGGGTTAACTATTGGAACGCTGTTCCAATTTCTCACATGCTGTGTAAAAACCATATACTCTAGCACTCTTTGCCTTTTGGCCAACACACTGGCTACCAGGTATTTCATTCTAACAGCTCTACCACAATCTAGCTACAACTTTGTCTCCGATCAACTTGCAACTATATGTAGTAGGTTATATTATCACGCGAACACTAGTTACAACATAAGATGTAGTCGCCTTAACTAAGTATACCAGTATCCCTTAACTTCTATCTACCACATCTTAAAATTTAGTGAGACTGAAAATCACGAGAATTTAAGCCGGACTTGCTATCATAGGTAATATTGTAGCCATACGTGTCTCTCTGCTATCTACCACTAATTATGATGCCCACTTATGTACCATTTGGAACCCATGAACTTTAGTCTATCAAGCTGAAGAGCTGACTTTCTTCTTTCCAATTCCACCCATTTGAAGAATCTCACGGAAGAAACCAATATCTTCCTCATCGTACGAGGCCTCATAAGCGTCGATAAGAGGTCTGTCCCAGACCAGATCGGCCTCCTCAGGCTTGATGAGCTTGGTCTTCTTGGTAAATTTCCAGCCAAAGTACAAAAAGGGAGCGAGAAAAAGCATAGTGTAGTAGGTGAAGAAGGTACCAATATCCCAGCCTCCGGGAGTCAAAACGGTGTAGCCGTATGTGCACACAACGCCAGTCAAGAATACGCCGCTAATCCAAGCGGAGTATGGCTGGAAGCGTGCGTAATAAGGAAGAGTGCTGCGGTCAAGTCCCTGAACCTGGCATGCTTTGTACCAGAAGACGTATGTGATGCAAATGACGATATAGTCGATAATCTGAGCAGCAGTAATAAGATTGGTAAGCCAAGTCAGAACAACACCTGAACTGCTGGAGACGTTGAGGAAAGCAAGGCAAGGGAAGACCATGATGGCAACCAGGCAGTAGATAGGAACACCGTTTTTGGTAGTCTTACGGAACAAGGCAGGAGCTTGACCTTCAAGCGCAAGACCGTACAGTGTTCGGGTTCCACAGTAGGTGTAGGCGTTACCGGCCGAGAAGATGCTGGTAATAAGGAGGGCATTGGTGATGTCGGGAAGAGTGCCGACTCCAAGATTAGTCATGGCAATAACATAAGGAGAAGCAGCAGCAGTTCCAGCACCACCAGACTCTCCAGTCAGGATGGAGACAAGAGTCTTATCGTTGTAGGCAATGGCAACTCCAACAGTCAAGGCACCACCAATAAAGAAGAAACCGAATCGAGCATATGTGGTCTTGAAGGCATTCTTCAAGTAACGACGAGGCAGCTTGGTCTCACCCGAAACCATGGAAACATATTCAGGTCCGACGATAGTAAAGGCAGCACTCCATAATGAGCCCAAGAAGCCTTCGAAGCGACCGAGGTCTCCAGTTGTTCTAAACTCGGCGAAGGGACCGGGATTCTTCCAGTGGCGGAAGCCGTAGGCGTCGTGCTTGGGGTTACCACCGCACATGGTGACAAAGGTGAAAGAGAAGACAATCAGCAGCAAGATAACCTTGCCACCTGACAGCCAAAATTCAGCTTCGCCATACCACTTGACAGTGAAGGCATTAAGGATGCTAGTTCGTTGTTAGTGCTAGAAGATACATCGAGGAGTCGAATACACTTACAAATAAGCGACAATACAGCCAGCCACAACAGCAGCGACTGGGATATCGTCGCGCCAATATGTCAAGACAAGATTGAGGGCGGAAATCTCGAAAGGGATCAGGATAGCCTCGTAAAGGAAAAAGTTCCAGCCAGCCATGAACCCGAAGGCCTCATCAACCCAATGTCCAGCCATGCGAACAAAGGCACTGGTAATTGGCATGTATGTAGCCATCTCAGCGATACAGTTGTTCACCAGACCAAGCATGCAGGAGTATAGTGTGTAGGCGATTAAGAGACTGGCAGGACCGCCCTTGATGAGACCTGTGCCAATACTGACGAAACTGGCCGTTCCAATAGATCCACCAATGGCGATCAGTTGGACTTGGCGATTGCCTAGGTTTCGCTGGAGATGATCGGCATTTGGGCCGAGGTCACCCTGATGAACACTATCAGCCACTGTATGGACACCTTCGAGCTTGGAGTCCGATATATCGGACTTTTCTTCTTTGGAAGCCATGATATTGAGTCAAAGATCGAGTGAAGGGAATAGAGAGGAGGATGAGGTATGTGTTAGACTGGAAGAATGATTCCCAAACCCCGGGGGACTTTGGAGTCTTATAAGAACCATGCCAGATAAGCTGATCCCAGGGTTACAAGATGCCCCGCCCGTTTACAAGACAAGGTAGGTTCATGCGTTGGTCAATCTGGGGTATTCTCCACCCCCACAACATGCTAGTTTGGACCCGAAGCAACCCTCTTGACGTTAGTGGGTCGATAGATAACCATATCTAACCCCCTGTGAGAAAGATACGGATGGCCTTCTGCAAGCTACATGAGTCAAAGAGTGTTGGAGATAGGAAGTGCTTCCGCGTTTGCCCAGCCTCATCTCCGAAGTGCCCGGCAAGTGCAACTTTACACGAACATGGCCAAGCTATCTAAGGCTTAGAACAATGTTCTAGACCTTTAGGATATTTCCCAGCTGAATTATCCCTCGCATGTGTGACCCGAGGAGGCCGAAGCTAACTGAGTAATGCATCACGTCACTCGTTGATATCGGATAGACTAGTACGCCAACAGGAGCAGGTACCTCCTTGGCATAAAGGCTAAGTAATTCGTTTCTGTACCATCTCAGAGTTCAAGATGCTTTCTCATCCAATATCTCTTCAAGATAGATGAAGGCCGGTATAATTACTACCTAGGTACATTCCATCTCACAAGTCTTATCCATGACACTTACCATACTTCCACCCAGATAGGCTTTTCTCGTCTTTTCATTGATAACGATACTTGGTCTCATGAATGTCTAGAAAAGCAAAGTCTAGATCGAGATGTCTTTAATAGCCTGCGGATAGTTTGTCTTAGAAGGGCATGTCAAGGCTGGGATAGGAATGGCACTATGCCGAAGTGGGATAGTAATCTGCGCCACCGGGAGGGAAGCCGTCCCGAATTCTCGGGAAGCCTCCCGTCGAGCGACGCATCTTACTCTCATTCCGATCAAGGTACAGTGTGCATCCCTGCGTGTGGCAGCACCCTCCTTTCCACCTTGTCCAAGTGAAAATTGTGCATTAAACCAAGGTGAAGATCGGAACTAGCTAGCACAAAGTGGTCGCGAGAGAGAAAAGCCAGAGGGGGAGAAGGTGGGTGATATCCTAGAAATCAACAAAGATTGGGCTGTTCGGGGTACGGAAACTCATCCGAGTCATAACCTAGGTATCAACAAGACACGACGGCTTGGACTGCCGCTGCAAGGATTTGAGAGGGAGCCAACACACTTAATTGACATGGTTTGATTAGTACGATCGATAGCGTATTCCCAGCTTTATTGAAGATAGCAAACTATGAAGAAGATAACATACGGCCAAGTTGGTAGCCTAATCCTGGTTCTTACCATCATGTTAAAGCCGTATAAAATGACGCAGTGGCATCATACCTTGTTTGAATCTAATCGCTCGCATCAAGAGAACCATTTGGTTGGTCTGGCAGACTCCACAGATAGTTATCTGACAAACAGTATAATCTAGCCTACTCAACCCTTGTTGGATAGGCGTCGATTTGCTGAGATCGATGTCTGGAACGGCGATCCAGCCGCACCACGGATATGTCGGAGGATATCTCCATGAGGACGTCGGAGGTCGTTTCTATGCACCAACCGTCTAAAGTCTCTAGTCTAGCTTTGGTATCTTTTGAATTCTCGTCTCCAAGAGTCCCAGCTGCACCTGCTGATCCCTCAACACACAATCCATTGCTCTAAATAGCCGCCTTGGCCGACCTCTAAAAGGTTTCTGGGCGAAAGATGTACCTTGTAGTATAGTAGAGACGGCAGTCAGCGTCCTGCCACAGGGGTTGGAGGGGGACGTCTATTGTATTTACATTTGTGTGTCTCATAATTCTCATATATTTAACTTTTATCTCTTATCTTGGTTTCGACGGTGGCCACGTTGGGCAAATTATGTGGTGGGCCGCTTGTAAATACTGGGGGAGTTATGCTGTTGCTAGGAAACATAACGTCGGAGTAAAAAGTACTAAAACCACGAGGATGAGGAACCGGCTATTTTATCTTGCATCTGGATCGTAATAAGTGCCTTATTTGGCAGTGATGTTTTCCAGATGTTCCACTGCGCTACCGATTGAAGGGGTAGGTGAGATTTTAATACTGGTATTATTTATGGCTTGTGTATTAGAGAATGTAAAAGTCTCGGGTGTATCCCGATTAGTTTTACCTGACCTAAAACCTGGTTGGTTTTGTGCTAGAATACGTCCCCGTCTAAATTGTAAGATTAACCTTGTGTAACTTCTCTACTCTAGCCTGCTGGTAAATCTTAAAGCGCATCATCGTATTCTTCAGACACCTGGCGCCAAACTTAGTAAGACAATATTTGCTAACCCTAAGTTTAAAAATAGCCCATAACTCTAAGATACAATTGAGTCCCTTCAGCGCGGAATTCCTAAGGCAAGATATATAACTGGGTAAGATTGCGGTGTGGGGTACCTTCACTATCAATTTAGCCACCTGGCTGGCTGGATAAATGTTCGCCCGTTTATTCAGGCAGATATGCTTACAGCGAAAACAGCGGGCTGACAACTGTACACCTTCATACACAATCGTGCTACTGAAGATGCCTTTGAGTAGCGCTTCCACTCCTCCGACCCAGGCAGTGTACGAAGGATGCCCGTTTCGAAGGCGGGGGAACTTTTCTAAACGTTGGTACTATCAGAAGTCTCAAAAATAATGCTGACAGATGATACAGCTGAGGAGAATCACAACAAAGTCGACTTAGCTACTCACCGGAGTCTTGTAATGGACCGTCTTCACCGCTTCAAACCATCTTTGTACGATTACTAAACACGCTTCTCCGGACGATCTACGTGACTAACCAACAAAACTTTAGATCACAAATACCGGAGTACTTCCCTACCGGCCACGACGAAGCAGAGTCTTTGTTCGATGAAATGCTTCAAAAGAGCGTCACACCGAAGGATGATATAGCCTTGCTTTTCTGTGGAAGTGGCGACGCGAGACACGTGTTTGCAACAATCTTGTCTACAGCGTCTAGAGAACGTTTGATAGAGACCAAACTGTGCAGAAACATCCACTTCACCATGGTAGACCACAGCCCTCCCGTATTTGCGAGAAATCTTCTTATGTTCGAGATGCTGAGTCACTATTGGGTCCTTAAGTCCCAGAACGCGCCAGGGTGTGAGGATATGACGTCTGTGATGGCATATATCTATACGTGCCATCTTATTCCGCCCTTTGTATATGAGAAGGCGTTGGAGTACATCGACCATTTGCTTAGCAAATTGGGCCACGGTAAATTATTAACTCCTGGCTTGTTGTTGGCTTCGAAGGATATTCCTGCTGTTACACATGTTCTCAGGCAGTGGAGACAAGGACTAGGTTCGGAGTACTGTGTTGCAGATGTTCGCACTTACCTAAGCCAAGCTGTTGATACACATGGATTCTTAGCCATGGCTTTTGACCAAGCCAGAGCGGGGGAGTTTGATCGCAAATCCTTTAAAAGTTTAGGGGTTCTCTTTTCGACTCACAGTTTTGTTGAGAACCGAGAACCTGCCATTTATAATCTGATCGATGGGTTTAGTCGGAACAACGAAATCCAGGAAATATCCGCATATATCAACGACAACTGGAAAATCAACCCAACTCTTTTTGACCTTGACCTTGAGAATCTTCGAGGTCAAGAATACGGCCTCTTCACAACTTTAGAGTTCTTGCCAATGTCTATTGTGAATAGATTCGAGAGTGTCGTCGAGACTCCCGGTCTGACTATTCCAGATTTTGGACAAATACTGGATAACCTAGGCCATGCATTACTCAACTTGGAACATAGGCTCACGATTGAGCTTATAATTGGCGATATGGCAGATGTCATGGATCGCATTCGGTATGATATCTTGGACCATCGCATGGGAATGTCTGTATCCAAGCAATATCCCAAAGTCTATGACCGTATTCACTTGAGTAACATTCCGTGCGTCCCAACTTCAATGCCTAGGAGCTATTTCTAATACATTATCAGGGACTATGTTGGTGGGCCTCTGACTGTATTCACTTGTTGCCCTGCACTTCTTAGTAAAGACAGAGCTTCTACACTACAATTCCGATGCCTACTCAACCCGTCAAGGTTCAGAGGCCACCAGGACTTCCAGAGCGAGTATTTAAGTATGTATGATAACGATCAGATTGCTCAGCACTTTCACCTTCGACGACAGCCTTCTGCAGCTGACTCGAACCCCAAACGCCATGAACTCGCCGTTAGCACGAACGAGTATCTCAGCGCTTTTCTTTTAGAGTACTATATGATATGGGAATACCAAGATGAAAGGCCGATTCACGTTGACGAAGGACTATCAAAGTCTAGCTTTGAGAAATGGGTCTACTCAATACTGCTCAAGATCTGTTTGCCCTATGAGCGTACGCTGATCAGCGATCGGCCGGTGGAGTCACCATTGAACCTGACGCAGTTCTTTCGGCTCTTGGTACACCTGTCTGAGATTGGATACCCTGCTCATTGGCTGTCCAATATCATCAGGACGGCCTGCTCGGGGACAATCAACACAACTGCTCGCGCTCCTTGTGAGCTTATTGCAACGCCCGAGGTTCTTGACCTAGACCATCCAAACGAAATACTGAACCTGCAGCCTTGGACCTATGAGCTGACTACCTTGTTGAGCATCTGGTACAACCTCTTACCGTTTGAACATATCCCAATATCAAATTGCATTTCACCACTCTCTGCAATTTCCCAGTACAGTGTTACATTCCCTAGCTTTAGGAGTGGGAATCTTTATCTACCTCATTTCATGATTCTGTTCTGGAATGTAGAGACAGCTCCGCAGCCTCCTACAGACATAAGGCATCTTTTATTGAACCAACTAAGCGCTACGACAGCAACGCATCATATTCACATTGTCACATGTTTCCAGCATAACATCCACATCAACACGTCTACGTTTTGGCTACGAGATGATGTTGTTGAAACTATAAAGTTAGGAAGCTGGAAAGTATACATTGCCAGGACTGACAGTTGGGTTGTCGAAAGCCAGGGTGTTGAGGTTTCTAATGGATTGATAAAGCTAGAGCGGTGGTTATAGGTAAACTTCCGTCGTTGGGTCCGTATGCATGAAAAATATAGCCTTGAGCATATCCTCTGGAGATACGCCCTGTTCCTCCACGGAGGTCTATTCCAAGCACGTAAAAGACTGCGCCCTTGACACTTTTGCAACCTCATCAATATACTAGGTTTAGCAACACCTAAGGAGGCCATCGCCTTGCAGCTGGCTAAGCTTCCAGAGACCGAGAGTCTCGGCTTATGCTATAGATCAATAGAGACCATGATAATTCCCGTCGATTACTCCCTCGCCATGAAGCTCTTACTCATGCCGCGTCCTCCAGGCAACAAGCATCTTATACCCAAGTCTGCCTATCGTATTTTGAAGACTCTAATGTACTTCCAAGGTCTTTCAAGCTGAGACACTTCTACTGCGACTAGACGGTTCCCCGCCTAACCCATATCTAACAGTTCACAATGACTTAATCTACAAGCATTATACTCTTCGCTTCATCAGCGAGGAATACTTCCCATACCAGATATAATAACTCACTAAAATTCGCATGTTATGGCTTTGTTTACCATTCTAGGCTAAATAACTATGTCATACTAAGCTGATGATCGTCCAATCTGTGTCGTTATTCACAATCTCTCCGTTCATCACACCATGGACATAAGTCTCGCCAATCAAAGTATAACCGCCGTCTCCAGCATTGCTTTTCCTTAGCACTAATGGCGTTGGGCAACCCGAAATTATCCACACCTCGTCCCCAACTTGAGCCGACTCGCAGGAACAACCCAGATGGCCCTCGTTCGTAAGAATAGGCCGTCTAAAAAAAAGAGTCGATCCCATAAGCGAGAAATAATTCTTCCCTTTATCTCTTACCGACTCTATCCACTCCGCCCTTTGGTCGTATGTAAGAGTTTCCTCTGGCGAACCAGGGAGTAGACTCATCTTACGACAAAGCGATTTGAATTGTTCCAAGGTTGGAAAAACACTGTCTGGTATGTAGGCAGCTAGCTCATCCAGCACATAATAGGCCTCTAGGCTTTTGTCTGCGGCAGCCCTTCCATGCTTGCGTTCAACAGACTGAAGAGAACCTCCCATCCACATCCGCACAAAAAGTTCTACTTGTGTGCTGTCGATCAGCCTAGCGGGGCGGTGTATAAAATCACAGTCCCAGACCAACGTTCTCCAGAATGCTTCCATGGACGATTGACCAGTATATCGATAAATGTGGTCCATTCTTAGCAACATCCTGATCCAATCATGGAGGCCAGTTGTGGTCGCTTCTTCCCATGACTCGGCCGTCATTACGACAGTACCGAGAAGTACACCCTGTACAGTCAGAATTCCGTCACTTATCTTTGCAGTGTGGCTTGGTGAGAGTCCAGAACCAGACCCACATGCATTAGGCCGGGTCAGACTCTTGAAGCCGGACGCGCAGATATGATTCATCCCTGCAGCAGACCTGAAATCAAGACTCCATGAGGGAACGTTCGCTGCCGTACGCTGAGCAGGATCTTTTGCCAGTGAAAGCAGGGTCAGATCCCCCGTCGCTTCCATAATTTCAGCTGTCACGATCTCAAGTACTTGTGCAGCCGCTATGTCATAGTTAGGCTTCAGACGCTCAGGTACGGTAAGGCCCTGTTCGTGGGCCATATGTTGAAGAATTCCACCAAGACCATAAATCGAGTCCCTAGGGTCTGTAGCTTGGAATCCGCTCGACCACAAAATAAGTTTGAGAAGTATCATGGAAACCGATCCTCTGGATTGTGAGTTACCCTTAAGGCTACCTAAAGGGAAGTCATCCTGGGCTCCGGCCGTGAAGTTGATTAAGCTGAGCTCGTCGGCCAAAATACTCTGGGGGCCTTTACACCATTCTCGAACCATCTGAATTTTGAGCGCTCGATGGAGGAAATAGTCAGATAACCCTCGAAGGCTTCGCCCATGTGCAGAGCATTTTGAGGATATAGCGCCTTGCAAACCGCTCAGATGGATAAACCCCGCAAGGTAGCCAATGCTATCGAAAGAAACGGAAATTCCATCGCAGAAGACCTTAGGTTCTTTGGCTAAGGAAACTTCCTGGATGATCCAGACCCGGTTGAACCAGCTACACCTAAAAATAGCGAGAATGCCGTCTATCTCCTCCATTGTCAGAGGTGCTACGCCAAAGAGGTGTGGCATGTCGTTCATATTGTAACAGAATTCCTGCTGCTCGGTTTTGATGATTCGTTTTATCTCGCGCAGTGAGACTTCCGCCAGACGTTCTGCTGTTTCAAGGCCCGCCATTAAGTGCGGTGTCGGGGCTCCCAACCATATTAGTACTCGATCCGCCTCGCCGTATATCTTGCCCATCGAGGCGACTTGACTTTCACGTTCCTTTGTGTCGGCCTGATTGATGCATAGCGCATCTATCCACACCGGTGTATTTGGACTAAATTTGTACAGCTGGTGAAGGGCATCAAACAAATTTGGCGAGGCCTCTTGGGCATAGCCGTTTAGTGTGATGAAGCGACGATCTTCTGCTGTATAGTCTGGTATGTTTTGTCGAGGCTTGCCCCACGTGTAAGATAACGCCGAGTATTTGAGTTTTGCGGCATCTGCAAACTCATAGGTTTTGAGCGTTACACTAGGCGTTAGAGATTCCCCATCTTGATCGGGAGTCGATAAATAGATAGTGGCAAGTCGCAAGTATCCCGATCTGAGAGATTCTTCATATAAAACCATATTCCCTGATGGGGGAGAGGATTAGTAAGCTGAGAATAGAGAGCAGGTAACTGGGAAGAGAAGACTCGAAGAATAATACCGCGAGGAAGAAAGCAGATTCGAGGAAAAGGCCTCAAATAAGCTACCACTACGTCTACCTTCCGTCCGTGCCAGCCCTGGGACGCTAGTAGTCAATGACATCATTGATTGTAGTCGAATCGAGTCAGCGCTATTTCTCAGGACGTCCTAGCCTAATGTCAATATATAGAATCCTTACTTGTTTTGTTGAAGAGATAGATTAAGGCTATATGTCTAATAGACACAGTTGTTTTGTTTGTTTCTTTTCATATAATCAGGTACTACAATGAGTTGAGTAAGAGCATTGAGGAATGAGTCATATTTAATGCTCAGGGCATACAAGCGATCCTGTCCCATTAATCCTCATGCAAGACTGATCAATTTGTCGCAAGTTCGGATGAGCCAGCCTCCGACTATATACTCTGCGAGCTCAACAATTATATAAAGAGATGTTTCCAAAGATCGAGAACTGGCCAAGTAATTTGCCAAACACATGCCTTAATGGCTTCTATGTGCTCACACTAGGCTCTCTTCTATCGAGCTTCTCACTGCTGTCTCTATGGCAGCACTGCGTCAGCAACTACCAAATGATCAGATCCTTGATGTTTGGTGCACCTTCGTCGTCAGGTTATGTCATTGTTGTGTGCTTGACGCATGGCCAATCCAACCAAAACAAGTAGTGAATCACAGGTGTTTCCGCCCCACTCTGAATGATAGCGTCTGATCTTGAATGGGAAATTCATGGTCGACACTATTTGCAATTTGAGTCTTGCCGCTTCATTCACCATATCCCAGTCGTGCTGTTTCAACCATGGGTCCTCTGGTAATACTTATAGCTACAGGGTAGGCAGACCAAGTTGGCTGATCAGTGTACCTTCGTCGATGTCACTGGAGGCCAATCTTACCTGTTTTTCTGAGTTCAAAACCTACAGCAAACACACAAACAAGTATTAGTGCAAAATCAATCCAGACGCATGCGCGATAGTCTCCTATAAGAGCTTATAGAGATTTTATCAGATCCAGATTTTGGCTGGTTGCCGCTTTCGAGACGACCTGCATGACAGCAAGTTTCAAAGCATTCCCAAGCTGCGAAGCAGTGTGAAAACGCCACCAGAGAGACTGTCTGTCCTTTAAAAAAAAAACCTCAGTTACAACGATCAACCAGACGGTACGGAGAGCATTAGCGAAAAGTAAAAGAAGTAATTATGCAAAGAAAGCGCCTATCCAACAGGACCACTAAGGATAGATTAAGACCATTAGTAATAGCAAGCCTGCTAAAAGTGAGGAAGTGGAATTCAGCTCATCGCTGTTTTCGGTCAGGAATTGGGTTTATCTTGTGAGATGAAGAACACCTCCGTACCTCTCTTAAAGCTTTCAGATTAACAGAACCTTGCCTAGTAAAACGCTAACGCACTCTTTGTTAAATACTGACAGTTAAATGTCATCTATTGCCAAAACCTGGCTCTTTTATTATTTAGTAATACTATCCTTTTGCCGAAGAAGCTGTTTGACAGTCTGAGTCAGAAATTAGCATGTAGATAGCGAAAAGGCTATTAACCAAATGATCAAGCGATTGTGGTGAGGTCTATGCATTTTGCCTGAGATGTATATAAGTTAATCTCAAAATTTACATGTTGGTTGTGGTGCATCTCACGTATAGCCAAGGACCAATCAGAATTTTAAAAGTTTAAGCTTACTCTTAGTAAAAGTTTGTACTACCCTATGACCAGGGATAAAATGAATCACTTGTAGCACAGTAGGTATAGAGCTGGGCATAAAGGCTTTATTGGACAAGGGACGATTGTATGACTATCTCGTATATGCATAAGCGGCCGTTTAATATGCATATGGCAGCCGGGCCGAGCCTAGAGTGTTTAGGTAATAACTCAAGCGGGGGTGACTAGCCCAGAGTAGAAGAACAGACGGGAGATCTTGCTTAGGTGGCCAAGTTGTCGAAATATTCCGTCCTATGGCTGCATCGAGAAGGTCCTGACGGAGCTCTGAAGGATTTTCGAAGGATTGGCAGATCCTGATTTTCATCTTTACTTGGCGCTATGCCAAGCCTGTGTGAGAAAACGGAACTCCGTTCCATGTTGCACACACGCCTTGGACATCGTGTATCTTCAACACAAGAAACAGAAACAATACAAGGATGGATTTCTCCGCTCAGCAAACTCACCGTCTCACCTGATGTTTTCTGGACCCTGATCTGACCATAAATGAGTTCATGCATGCAGTGGATACATAGAAGGATCCAGACGGGTCGAAGGATCACCCTAGATTCCGTAAATCATCAGATCAGGGGTGGAATACTCGGACTATAGCGAGGACAGGGACGGATACTGTTATCCATCTCGTATAAGGAAACGTATATAAGGGCCAGAAGATTATAGTTTCCATATCAGACTTAGATATCATACCATCTAAAGTCTCACTGACTCAAGACACCTGCTCTATCATGTTTCGAAACACTGTTCTCGCTCTTCTTGTCGCCGCTGAGGCAAGTCAAGCTGCCTTTACACTGAGGAAGACATATGACTCCAGCAACTTTCTAGACTCGTTCAACTTCAGAGACGTAAGACGAGGTCTTTTCGGCCAGTCAAGTAATAATGCTGACATAATTTAGCGTGCTTATTTTGATTCTATTGACCCTGGGTATGAGGGCGACCCTACTGGTGGCTCCGTCAATTACCTAAGCAGAAGCCAAGCAGTGAGCTCAGGCATTGTGCATACCAATAATGGCAAGGTTCACCTTGGTGTGAACTCTGCCGACAAAGCAGCGCTCCTGACACCCGGTGGTTCTAGACATGGGCGAGGTAGCGTCCGTCTTGAATCAAAGGAGTCCTATAGCTCCGGCCTTCTAATTGCCGATATTGAACATATGCCTGGAACTGCATGTGGTATCTGGCCTGCCTAGTAAGTTGCTGTCTTATTAATGGAAAACAGCTTGCTGACCTTAATAGCTGGTCTTATAATTTTGATGAGGACCCTGTTGGTGAGATCGATATTATCGAGGGCATCAACGGCAACCAGAACGGCAACTATGTTTCTCTGCACACTTGTGGAGCGTGCATCTTTAACCGTCCTGGAGGTGCTGATCCTCGAAACAACTGCGATAAGGGCGGCTCTGATACTCGATACTGCACAGACGGAACGAACTAGTCAGTGCATTGACTCTTTACAATACTAATACTGACCTATATAGTTCTGGATGCGGCAATACTATGCCTTCCGGTTCCTACGGGAAGACCTTCAATGCTAACAAGGGTGGCATTTATGCCACATGGCTAACAACGGGAGCTGTTAAGATTTGGTGGTTCCCTCGCAGTAACATTCCTGCTGATATTAAGAATGGGAATCCTGAGCCTAATACCTGGGGTCAGCCTGCTACAGCGCAGTTTGTCAATGCTAACGGCAACTGTGATGTTGGAAAGTACTTCAAGAAGCAGACTATTGTAAGATATTTCATGCAGAGTGCGTGTGAAGGATAAAATGTGCTGATTATTATTACAGATCTTCAATACTGCTTTCTGCGGAAGCAACATCGATCAGGGTATCTGGAACCAGGAGTGTAGAGCTTCTACCGGTCATGCCACCTGCGACGATTATGTCACCAACCAGCCTAGTGCTTTCAAGGAAGCATACTGGACTATTAACTCTCTGAAGTTGTACCAGTAAGCTATGGTGTAAGATTTGAAGAAACCACACGACGGAACCCCGGTCTTGATGTAGTTTCAAGCTTTGGTATATAGGCCTTTGCCAGACGAGAGCCTAGTCGTGACTTAGGGTGCAGATCTCTTTGTCATTATCTACATTCATGACGGCAAGACCCATTAGTGCCAAATTGGACATGTTCATATTGGTCAGGCGTCTTTTTTCGGTCAAGCATTCACTGCCTTTTGAGCTTCCTCATCTCGGCTTGCCTTTTGTTGTTGCATGAGAGATCTATTCACGGATTAGTTACTTTTGTTCGAAGATAACCCGGCACGAAGTGCAAGTTCAATACACATCTTAGAAACTAGGAAGTGTTGGATGCAGAACTAATGGAAGCTGTTACAGTATGTTTCTCCTCATATATCGTATTTAAATATATCACGTATTGGTATGAAGCTGGTGTTGCCGCATGCAAGAAGCTCAAGGAAATGTTGCCGATGCCTATAGTGGCTAGCATCGACCAACCGAGTTCGAACAAGGCCACTGTTGAGACTATAAATTCGCAGACGCTCTTAGGTAGAAGACACAATCAGATTGGGAGTGAGGGACATCGAGGCCAAGTAGCCGTTTAAACCTGTGTATATGAATGCAACCCGAGTGTGTCTCATATCGTGTTCATTATTGAGCTGCCTGCCTCACCCTGCACCCTCAGTCCCTACTATTAAGTATCGACAAACATAAATAATTTCGGGTGTCGACTTCATTTGAAATCATACCCTTGTGCTAAGCTTCGGGAGGAAAGGGGGTGTGACAATAAGTACACGAAAGGGATTCAAAGAACAATACACCTCTCCTGAATGAACTCTAACGCTTCACCACGCCCTGGGTTTGATTGGTTTTATTGAAACGCAGCTTGAAGCTGATACATACCAAGGTTGTCTCGACAACAATGTGACTTTGGAAGTATTCTGTAGATAACAGGCAGTCAGAAACCTCTATGATAGACGTGTACCGCTGTTTCAGGGATGTGTGGTAATTATTCGTCAAGATAAACATGCTTGTAGGCATACCTCATAGGCATACCTGGTGAGCGTGTTCCTGCCAAAATGATTTTCCAGTTGGTGTAATTAATTAAAATCTTGTTTGCAACAAAACTTTAATAAACTAGAATTAGTCAACGGTAAAAGTAATTAAAAGGGATGCGGCAAATAGTTAAGCATATACAAAAGCGTTTCCCGATGTCCACCTCCGCATCTCCCGAGAAGAAGACAGATCCAGATACAGGCAACTCCCAACGAAGCATATGAGAATCTAAACGGTAATTGAACGCGCGTTCGGTCCGTCTGCCATCCTGCAATAAAATAGATGCCCTAGAGCCATATTGTCTCCTTAAAGTTTCGATGCGGGAGAGGCAACTTGACTTCATTCAAACCTCTAAGTTAAGGGTGTGAAATGTAATGGTGTGCTGGTGGCCCAGATGAAAAGCATCCAATCATGTTAGCTTTGAATCGCAGTGCACGCGTCAATGTTTAACTCTTGCCTAAGGCTTAGTGGCAGCCCAGTTAGTAATTCCCTAGGTTTTCGTTGACTTGCTACCGATTGCCTTGCATCAATACACAAAGAAGAAACCCGAGTCCTGATAGCCGTGATGCCCGAGATGAATGTCTAATCCTTTCTGCTCGTGTGCTTGTGTCACATCATACAATATCAATTGTTGGGCCTTGCGTGACAGCGACACTTTTGTAACCGCACTGTCGTCCAAGATCCTTGCCTAACTGTAGGACGATCTACCAGCCAGAATGTCTGGAGCGGAATCTAGACCAGTAATACTCGAAAATATCCAATTGAGTTTATATTTACTGGTCCTTAAATTTTGGTAAAGTTCTGATTGTTTACTAACCTGTCTGGGGTCCTCGTCCCACAAGGTTCAATACGAGGATCAGACAATGTAACAGTCTAATAAGCTTCAATAGGCAAATTCAATTTTTGCATCCGATCCTACCTTGTCTTGGCCCACAGAGGTCAAAGCGTAGATCACCACAGCACAACCCCAATTCAGCTGTGTGATATCAAACATTTAGAGAGGAGTTCACAAGTCTGTTTCATCGCGACACAGCAATAAAGATAGCCACGCTTTTATGGGTTCGATAAATCACCAGATTGCAGTGCAGTTGGTACACAAGTAAACTTGGTAGCTAATAGATGCCGAGGCGAGTATTTTAGCTAATACATCATAGTTCTACCGTCTCTCAGTAATTCACAACATCACCGAATCTATACAAGATAGAGCATTGCGATCAATATCATGTAACATCCGGCAGTAACGTCTTTCTTTGTTCACAGGCTTTCCTCTTGGCCCAAATGAACCATGAGTCTAAAATTGACTTATGATCCCTGCACGCACCAATTCATCCGGAGCGCCGGTTAACATGAAACAGTTTATTTTAGTATAACCAATCCTTTCACATGTCTGAGATACTACATAAAAACCTGCAAAGTCTTATTGGCCGTCCTCGGCTGATATTAAATAGCCAGTCACTTCAAAAGAGAACAATGATAGCATCCATCGGGACCAAGAACCTATCTATACTTCACGCTCTTTATAAAGCTTTGTGTGACAAACACCCCTGATTACCTTTTCGCAAAAGCCCATTCTCATATAAAAATGACGAGTCGATCGTTTGAAAAACAAGAGGCTTGTCGTCTCCAGCGTTTAACTGTCGCTCGCTCCCAAATCACCATTGATTCTTTCCCTCGAGCTCTGTCTCTTATCGAGAACAGTCACAGTAACTTCGTTTCTGCCATTGGCTGTTTTATTGGTCGTCTCTACCTCGTTTCTCAACCAAAACAAGAGTTCACATCGACTGTGGAGCGTTTAAAAGCATGTTGCGAGGACTTCATTATTACCACTGAGAATGCATGGCTCAGACTTAACATTGGCGCTCAAATGATCAAGACACGGTTGGCAGATACGACAACAGCGACTCAGAGCTTGATCTCTGCGATAGGTACCTTGACGTTCGAAGATGTGTCTAATGAATCCGACGGAGGCACATTAAGTCTCGATCATGGGTGGAGCAATCTTTTTACCTTGGCTATGAATCTGTTTTGTATAGCAAACAGCTTGGTGTCGGACTCCCGTTCCATTTCGGCTCGATTGAGTTTGAGACAACGAGAACTGAAAGGACGACACATAGTCTGTGATGGAACTGGTGGAAGCGAAGAACCCAAGTACCCCCAAATCACACCTCATCCCGGTGTAAAGTCCAAGTCTACCTTCTCTCTCTTTCCACGGTGCTCTGCGAGCTTAGAACCACGACTAGAATGTACTGCATCTGTGGAGTCTACATTTACGGCATCAATCTCCGACTCCGTACATTCTAAGACGTTATCTCTCCACAGCCCGTTGTGCTCTGGATCACACAAGACTTCAAGAACCGATCCTTCCAGTATGTACCATTCAAAGAATGGACCTCATGACCGACCAGCACCAACATCCCAAAGGAATGATGAGGATGATCGTCCGAGGGATGAGCCAGCCTCAACATTGGTACGAGTAAGTCAGAAGCATGATTATCCCATCGACACAAATCATTCTCTAAGTACCGCCCAACGGAGGTGCCAAGATAGCATCTCCTCAGAAACCCACTTAACAACCTCTGTCGGGCCTTGCTTTCGAAAAGCAATCCAGCCGCGAAAGATACATAAACACATCCTCGAACGGCAACATTCCCTTTTAGTGCCACAGAGGCCTTTTGGAAGGCCACTGTCATCCATAAGTGAAGGGAGTGAACCCTGCTCACAAAGTTGGAGACAAGCTTCATTGACTCCTTGTGGACTTCGTGCAAGTCATAACATGGTAGCGACCGGTGGTCATCTTGCTCGATTGGTGAGATTTCATCGATCCCTGTGGAGGAAACTGAGTAGCTGTGGAAACAGTTGTAAGAAGAGCATGGCTGGCGTGAAGAAAAGCTTTGTTTATGTGAAAAGGCGCAGCAGCAACGTAATGGCTTGAATGGCCAGCGAGCGCGTTGACCCCTGTGTTGTTCTGCCTACAGGCGAAAGTATGGTTATCATGGCTCGATTACATCGTGTTGGAATTGTATAGAAGACCAGAATGAACTAGTATGAAGTGAATCTTGAGATACGCACAGGAGACTCCATCAGATGCCGCGCAAGACTGAACGCCGTGATTGAAGACAGTTCCATTTTGTTCAGTTTTTCATTTGTGCTTGACAATTCCAGTATAATCCGCAACAGTAATCTAGCGTACATTATCCTTCTCACGGACATGAAATCATGCTTCATATCACGCTCCAGTGATACATGATATGCGCCTATGAACATCAACCTAGCCGTTACGTATCATCTGATGGCTTAAGTTGAACGCTATAGGGTATCCCACCCGGAATGTGCGTGGTGCCACCGCTGAATGAGCGGTCGAGCGTAAACTCAGTGAGGAGCCGTGTGATTTTTGCTTCTGATCCAGTTAACCAGTATTGAAAATGTGCCCCTTCGATAAACTGATTTGCCGCCAAGGATCACTTTCGTGAGCCTAGATCATCGCTTTCGTCAATAGACCCTTGTTGAAGGTCAATGCGGCAAAAACCCTAATATTAGTGCAAAAGTTAAAACCGCGTGACTTATTGTCCTCATAGCTAATTTGATCGACGTTGTTTCATGATAGATGTTTTTGATTAGCTGAAATTCGAGTTCCGAATTATTTTAGATAAGGATAGCTACTGGGGTTGTATATCTAGATCACAGCCACGGTGGGCAAGCGTGGAGATGAGACCTAATTACACCACTAACAGACCTGTGCCAGATTAAATGAGACAGGTGTATAACCGGCAGACTCTGCATACCGGAGATCATGAGGACACAGAAAATAATCATCGTGTTGGTAAACTTCACTTACTCATTTACTTCTCCAGAATTTATATCAGTAGCGTGTAGTGTGCTACTTATTCTGCTACCCACCTGATGATAAATGCCTGCCCACAGATGCCGCTCGCTCCTTTGCAAGCTCGGCGCTATGACCCTGAAGGTACGTGGCGATGCAAGGATATTGGTAGAACAAAGGCAGGGCTGTCCTCCTCTTGGTGGGCGCTTTGACAACCTTTTTCTCACGCCCACGCCTCTTTATACTCACTCGGTGATAGTCTGTAGTTTGTCTTCTTGTGCCATGTGAAAGCTCGCTAAACGTGGAAATGACAGGGTGCGAGATATCGCTTCTTACCAGAGTTAAACTGACAAACGCTTACTAAATGCAGGCAAGTGTTAGAGGCATCCGAGGTTCGGCCAGCCACCGTTAACTGAATTGGCTGAGTCCAACCACACACTGGATTTCGACTGTGCCTATTTTCATCTCAACAGAAGAGGCTCGGATTTTATAATATTACCAGGCAATCACCAAAACTGCTATGATGGTACCATTATGTCGTTAAACCCCAATTGGTACTATCACGTTCTTAGTTTAATGTTCATAAACGTTTCTATCCTGTTGCCTATAATGGAGCCAAGAGGTGATAGAAGAACGAGTTTTACAAGCTTTACTGTATGTGAATTTGCTACTGCTAGCTCTTGGCACCACAAATATGTTTACTATGTAGTTGAAGTCAATCTGATTAAAGATGGCGACCAGATGAATTGTCCTTAATATGTGCCACTATCTAAAAGACACTTAAAGCTTTGATTACTTTATCTCAATACTTTATTAATAGCTTTTTAGCATTGTAGGGGTGTTATAAGGAGCAAGACCTAATAGGTAAATATAAAAGGGTAGTTTTATATTCAACTATTTAAGACTAAGAACAGAACAGAAAATACAAGGTTAGCTACAGTGAGTAAATGAAGTCAACGTCTAAAACTCTAAAAAGAAAGGCCTATATGTATTAATTGTTTTAAAACTATTAATTAGTAAATCTCTTCAGTATAGATATAGACATACACTATGGGTCAGAGGTCATGCCTGATGTCTATGTACAAGTCAGACTTCTCTACCCTCCCCCACAAACTCAGAGCTTGCTCTCATACCTCATCTCCATACCCCACATAAGGATAAAAATAAGTTACTCAGCCCTGGAGTACTTAGTAAACGCTGGATATAAAATAAAGATGATTATTTCACACTAGGCTTATGCAGTATGGAAATATAAATACATCCTCATTATCTTTAGTTAAGTTTCAACATTATAATAAAAGGTCTTCCTCAAACCTTAGTCATCTTTTACCATGGCTCAGCAAACACTTCTTGGTAAAGAGCACGATTGCTATTTCGCCTCAGATCCTCGTGTCAACCCCGAGTTAGCAACCTCATTGAAAAACAAGAATGTCGTCATTGCCGGCGCAGGTCGTGGGATAGGTCGAGCATGCGCACTATTTATTACGCATGCCTCTGCCAGATCGCTCAGCCTCATGGCTTTGGAATTGGACGAGGTCAAAGAAACGGCGGAGTTGTGCCGAAAGATTAACCCTCAAATCTTGATCAAGGTAGCGGCGTTCAATGTTACCGACTATCATTCCGTTGACAATTTCGTCCGAGAAGCGGACGCCGAGTTCAATGGCCTGGACGTCCTTCTGATGAACGCTGGAAGACCTCCTCAGTGGCTCTCGACTGGGGAAAGCGACCCGTCTATCTGGTGGGATACTGTGGCAGTATCGCTACAGGGCGGATTCAACTTTAGCCGCGCTATCTTACCAATCATGCAACGGCAAAAGGGAGGACGTATTATCTTCACTTCCAGCTCAGGCGCTCACGCCAATTTTGGAATGGGTAGTTACATCGTTGGCAAACTAGGCCTCGTCCGTCTCTGTGAGATCATTCATCACGAGAATTTCAAGGACTACAACATCAAATGCTTTGCTTTTAACCCTGGCTGTGTACGAACCAGGTTCTTCACAGACTTTCAGGATCGGGTTGAAGGCAGATCCCGGGATAACAGTTACTTGTCTCAGGGTGTCGAAAATGAGGATAAGTCTGCTCAGACCGCAGTTAATATCCTGGAGAATGCTATTCCTGATACTCCAGAGTTATCTGCTGGACTTGTGACGGTGATTGCAAGTGGAAAGCTTGACTTTATGTCGGGACGGTATCTCGACGCTGCTAGGCACATTGAGGACTACCAGAAAGAAGAAGAGAGTATTGCGAACAATGACTTACATCGAGTTCGTCTTCATGCTGGCTCGGGGCTGTTTATTCCTCATCTTCACTTCTAAGATTACATATTATTACAGAGACAAACTCCGGTTCTTAGCCTTAATAATTACTAAGTGTTCCCATACGTCAGAGTTGACCGTTTTGCACGCGGTGTGGTGTTTTATGAAGATACTAACAAGTTCTTCATCTAAGCGTGACTTGAATATGAGATCGAGGAAACTTCTTTTCTGTTTTCTGTCTTTTACTTATTATTCGTACAGCTTCCTCATTCCAAGCGCGAAGATGAGCATTTAATTACCCTTCAGTGTTTGACCTCAGACATGGCATGTATGCAATGGTTCAGTGTACTAATATAGAAACCGTTCTGGAGCAATTGAGTATTAGCAGCACAGATAAAAGATATTCAGTACTACTTTAGAGAGCTCCATCGCTGTAGCAGTAAAGCTAAATCTTTTCCCCAGTTGCCTAATAAAATACCAGCCATTAGCACACGCTGCAATGTGGGGTAACAAGTTAAATACCCCACAAGTGCTACACCTTATTAAATCACTAAGCCAATCTACAAGAGTTAAAAGTTTAACTGAGTATAGAAAGACTATTGGTTAGGTGTAATTATCTAGCGAGAGATTATCAAATTGAACGCCAAGGAGCACGGGGGCTTGGTCAGCTAGATATATCATATATTCTCATTCCTACCTTAGTTGTATATACGAGTGCTTGGGTTGTCCGCGCAATTGTATCAAAATAAAAGTCATATGTGTCCATCTTCAAGAATAAACTTGGGATTGATCTCACTTACCTTTAATTGATACCTCGCATGATAAACTCAGCGCTTGGCACAATCACATGGCTTATTATGAAAGGGGAGTAGCCAATCCTAGCTTTGTCCCTTCAATCAGCTTGAACTCAAATTTCAGTCAACATTGCTGTACTTCAAAAGGAGCTAATCGCCTCAAGGTTAGACAGGTTCCAACATCATGGCTCGACTTCCCCACACGAACCCCAGATTGCCCCAGACTTGAGATCTAGAACCATTGCCTGGGGTAACATCTTTTGGGTCGTTGATAATACATAAGGACGGGATAAATCATCTATTATATCCTGTTCTCATCTCATCAGTCCGCATCCTTGAGTGCAGGCTACTTCCCTAGCATTTTGATTATCTCAAACATTTTCCCCTATCTTTCCACCACGCACCTCTCGACATGGGCATGGGCATCAAAGAACCCAGTGATGGGCATCATGCACCAGGCACTATCACCCTAGATCAGGCTGCAGCAGGTTCGCATTCCGAAGGCAGTAACTTGAAGCGCGGATCAGGCAAGAATTCCAACATTGTTCTTGTCCCGCAACCCTCAGATGACCCAAACGATCCGTTGAACTGGTCGTCCCTCAAGAAGTCCGTGGCATTCTCTATCATTCTCATGGGAACTGCCTTTATCTGTGTCATCCCGGTAAGCCCCCTAAATGCTCATGTTCCCAGTATTTGCATCTCATTTTTCTTCCCAGGCTCCGATGCTCAATGCCGGAATCGTCCAAGTCTCGGTAGACCTCCAACGATCGTTCTCCGACATTGCCAAACTCAACGGATACCTTCTACTGGCTGTTGGAGCAGCAGCACCTCCAGCGTCAGCCTTTGCCCGCAAGTACGGCAAGCGCCCTGTCTTTGTGGTCTCCTCTGTGCTTGGCTTGGTCGGCTGCCTCGTCGCTGAGTTTGCCAACAACTACAACACCCTTGTTGCCGGACGATTACTACAAGGGATAGGTGGATCGGCATACGAATCGCTTTGCACGTCGGTCGTGAACGATATCTACTTTGTCCATCAACGTGGTCTCTACGTTGCTATTGTTATCTTCTTCTTGAGCAGTTTAAGCAATGGCGTGAGCGTCCTGGCTGGGGTTATCACTACCAAGCTCGGGTGGCCATACAACTTCCACATCCTTCTACCATTTGTGGTGGTGCAGACTGTCTTGGTGTTTCTTTTTGTGCCTGAAACCGTGTACAATCGATCCCCTCTTCTCAATATTGATCGGACAGCTTCCATTTTCGAACAAGACATCTCAGAAGAGAAGGACTTGCAAGCAGGTCACGTCGAAGTCGCCGATACAAAAACTGGAGTTCCGTCACCTGCACATCCCGAGTGGGTTGATGGTAGCCAAGCCCCGAAGCCAAAGTCTTTCCGGCAGGAACTTGCCTTGTATAACGGCGTATTTACCCGCAAATCTCTATTGTCCATGATGCTGGCTAGTCTTGCCATTGTCCTGAACGTCATCGCATCCTACAATGTCTTGGTTTCTGGCCTCGTGATGGCCTGGTTTGTTGCCATGTCAGTTCTCGCAGGCGTCATGTTTGCCGCTCCACCATGGACATTTGACTCGGCTTCTATTGGCTATGTGTCTATAGGGCCTCTTGTTGGAGGAGCTATCGCTATGATCATCCTGGTTCTAGTTTCTGATCCCATAATCAGATCCATGACCAAGCGAAACCAAGGCGTCTATGAGCCCGAGTTCAGACTGGTGCTTGCAGGCATTGGTGGTGTCTTTACAGTCGCGGGCTTGGTCGGATTCGGTCACGCCATTGAGGCCCAGGTTTCAATCATTGGTATTTCTACTATCTGGGGCATAACTCTGTTTGGCATGAGCATTGTCGCTAGTGTCACCATGACCTACGCATTGGATGCGCAACCTGCCCATGCAGTCGAGATCTTTATTATGAACATCACATTTAAGAACTTCTTCTTTTATGGGTATGTGAGACTACTTCTGGAACCAGATTTGTACACTAACAATTGCTAGGCTTACCAATTTCATCGTTGATTGGTACATGAGTGGCGGAGCTGCTCAACTTTTTGATACTATCGCCGGTATCACTGCATTTCTTACCCTACTCACCGTTCCTATGTATTTCTATGGAAAGAAATACAGGCGCTATTGGAGTCAGCATAACCTTCTCGTCAAGTTGAAGCTGGACGAGAGCCCAGACACTGGAAACTAGGCATGGGCTGGAATATGTTTCGTTTCTGATCTGAAAGTCAGTGAGGAGAGGGTCCACATAGTTTATCTGATTCTATATACAATCTTGATAGTTGATGGATGCTAGTTGATGGATAGCATCAACTACCCATCTATTCAATACATTCTATCCATTTTAATGCGAGCAGAAGACAGTTTCTGCTATTAGATACACGTGTTAGCTGCAACATCGTTTCCCCGAGAGGACCAATCTGTGTTCTCTTTTCGTTGCAATACTCCTGGAACATCTTAAGAGGGCGTTTCAATAGGGCCGTAAACAAGGTATAAACTGTTATTAAACAAATAAAATCCTTTGACTCATTTGAGCTTGTTCCGCTTGTTATTGTTTGCTACAGACTACTCTGTACACCACCCTGTGGCTTAAAGGCCACATAGCCTTTAAATAACCGTCCCGGATCGTATTTGTCACGAATCGACAGGAACCTGGCTCTGGCCGAGTCTGTCCATACTCGAATCTATAGTAACTCATGTTATTACTGTTCCAATTACTGGACCGTTTTACTGACATTAGGTGAGTGTGTAGAATTAGACGATTCGTTAAAATCTGCAATGTACATTCCACTCGCTACTGTTTCGGCTTTCTCGTAGGATTCTTTCATCACTTCATGAATCTTTGACGTGAGCTGGGGCGATTTCCAGCCGCTGAATGTGGAGATATAGTATTGCTGGGGGAGGCTAAAAACAGAATCGGTTTCGTCAGGGTGGAGTGTATCCGCCATGTAGACACAGCCGTAGGAGGAACGGGTTGGTAGATTGCACAACGCCGGCTTGATAGCTTCGAGGAGCTATGAGTACTTGATTTTAGCATCCGCCACTTCTGCTTTAGTACGCAATGGATTTGTTTACTATTACCTTTGAACGAGACACCTTCGGATCGTTAAGAATGCTATGAATACCCCATTTCTGATCCGGAGTTTGCGGATTTAGTCGATGCTGAAGCTGGAAGAACTCTTTCCAATCTGTTTCTGTGGTAGGTTCAGCCTTGATGAGGCAACGCTCAAGGCTTTCTGGAACATCATCCCAAACATCCAGCATATTTGTCGCCTCGATCAGAGTATTAGCGTATGCAGAAACGTTGATCATCAAAAGCAATGGTGACGATTCCGGCACATAATCGTCTGCTGAGCTCGTCAAAAATAGTTCGGAATGCATAGTGCACACTGCACACTCGTTGAACAGATTTGGCATGGCATCATTCTTGTCAAAGGCAAATGTCATCAAATCCTCAAACCGTTCCCCCACATTGAAGACAAAAGATCGGCCATAGAGTTTCTTTGCAGTAATGGTTCGACTCCAGAGGCGAGTGACAACACCGAAAAAGGCTTGCCCTGAGCCACGGGCAGCCCAGAAGAGATCTTGGTTTTCGTTTCTACTGGCGATCAAAACCCTTCCATCAGGCAAGACCACTTCCAGTCTCACGATCCAGTCAGTGACAGTAGCCCCCCAACCTTTCATAAAGAATCCCTGACCCCCGGCAAGGCAAAACCCACCCAGAGCAACGTCTGGCGCATGTCCGAAAGGGAAGAATCGGCCAATGGCATTGGTAGCTTCCCACGCCTCAAATACACGCACAGCCGGACCAAAGGCAACTTGTTGTGTCTTTTCGTCATAAACTACCTGTCGATTGAGCTTCGAAACATCAATTAGGATTCCGTCTTGAATGAGGGATGGCTTGGAAGGAAGATGGCCGCCGGAACGAACACCAACGGAGACTCCAAGCTGTTGGGCTCTTTTTAAAGCGTTGGCCACCTGCTGCGAGGACTCGACAATGTGGATTTCTGAAGGGAATCTCTTCACTTCTTCCTTGTTAAAGAACTGCTTGAGATTGTCGTAGTATTGAGGCGTATTTCGTTGAAGCACGGCACCCCCACCAACCTCAACAGGTGAAATGCTAGTCATCTTAAATGATTGAATTGCTCCAGAGTAATTTCTTTGTGTTTTCGAAGAGATTTAATAAACACGACAAGATGGTTATTTGTATAGCGAATAAGGAACAAAGATAGATCTTCTTAGCATTCAATATACACGTAATATTCAAAGTATGCTTTGCTTAAGAACTGATGACCGTTTGATTGAGCATGTTTTGCTACCCCATGTGGGGGTTGGAGATCGTTCGCCTTAGTGGTACACTACAGAAGTTGCCCCACGACATAGAAATACACCAGAAGATGAATTCACATTGATATAGGCGCCCCGAACTCTAATAATTTCATACGTAAGGTTTTCCATTCAACGTGGTTTGTACAAAGAAGAAGCTAATTGAGTAAGCTTACTTTGCCTGCTGCAAGGCCAGTGAACACCTTATCCAGCAATACACTATCCATCCGGCCTAACATCTCCGTTTGAGTCATTCTCCGCCGAGCCCCAAGTCCCGATTTATTTACTGACTGGGACACTCCATGGGGACCAAAGCTGTAGTATGGTTCAGACCCAGAAGTCGTCCATGGCTGCTCCAGATTTATAAACTGGATCCATGCTTTTCGCATAGCCTGACCAGTGAGCTTAGTACTATCGGGAAATTCTTGATCAAACCCTCCAAATAGCAAAACCAGATCCAAGGCATGATGAGCTCCACTGGAGGACTGCCACGAGTTGACCTCATCCACCAAGTACCTAAAGATAGGCTTTTGTGAATCATTCCAAAGCTTTTCTAGACGATTTATCGGTAACACGAACTTGTAATCGTTGATAAAGTCGAGGGCACCATTTTGACAGGAAGAGGGTCGATCCAAATAGATGTGATACATCTTCTTGAGTTGGTCGGCATACTGTTCGGCAGCGTTAAACGCTTTTAGAATATCATTCGTGCTGGTTGCTCGCACTCCTGCTTGCCAAATAGCTGCCTATATGCATGTTAGTATGTTACTCAACTTTGCAAAATAATGCTTGTCATAATGCCACCGACCACAGGCCTCCATTATCCAGTCAAGGGGAACATCTTGACATTATTTATCTTACCTCTCTTTCCATGTCACTTAGAACGATGCGCTCTGCGGTTTTAGTCTCTTTCTGCCAGTCTTTAAATCGATCCTCCCACTGGAGGAAGAAAGACTGTATGCCAGAGAGTCTGATTGCTTTGACAACCTCTTTTGCTGGTGCATTATCTAAGTTGAATGATGGGTTGATAGCTTGAAGTTGTTTTAGAATGGCATCGCGGAGAGCCTGGACTGATTTAGGCGGCTGAGGTGGCGATAGGAATAGTGATCCAGATGCAAGAATAAACTGTCTGGCCGGGGAATTGATAACCAAGTGAGCGTGACAGTATACTGCTCCGGCACTTTCGCCAGCCAAAGTCACTTGAGTCTATATTTCTATTAGTAAGTGGTTGTTAACGATGGGGTGTATGTGAATACCGGATCTCCATTGAACCCTGCGATGTTTTCCTGGACCCATTGTAGAGCCAGTGCCTGGTCGCGCAGTGCCAGGTTGACCGATCCCTCTCCATTGCCAAGCGCAAATACATTGAGTCTGTATTGAACGGAGACGACAATAATTGGTTTGCCTAAACGGATCGAGTCTGCTACTATGAATGTCATATCTGACACATAAACCCATCAACACGGATTCATAGTTACACAAACGCAGATCAATAGGTTAAGTCTTACCACAAATCCCAGACGCAGCGTTACCAAATGTAACAGCCTGTGATCCTCCTATATTCCACCGGTATCAGCTATTGATATTTTCCTCTCATCTCGGTCCACGTCTTACCATGGATCCAGACCAGAACTGGAAGCCTATTTGAGGTTGATAGAAGATCGCTCTTAGGCAAGACCACATCCAAGTTAGTGCAGTTGAACTCGTCTTCGGGCTCCCGTGGCAGTATGTGATGAGGCGGTATGCGTAACAGATGGCCTACATCGACGTAGATTTGAGGACATTTAGGGCTGGGAAAGGGAGTCAACACCATTCGTCAAACAGGACCAACATATGGTTTACCCAAATTCGGTGCAGTCGAGATCTTTTGGCAGGTGCTGGATTTTCTCGGCTTCGGCAAAGCGTCGTGGAATATAACCGTACGGGATGCCACGGAACTGTGCCACTCCAGATGCTTCTAGTCCTCTGAGAGTCGTTTGGAGCGATTCGTGTTGAAACGTAAAAGGATTCATGGCCTATTTGCTTGCAGGCTCAATAGCTCTGGCAAGATTCAAGAAGATGCAAGGTATAGCTAAAAAGAAGTGCGAAGTTGCATATCCAGTCTACGACGGACGAGCTGATGATATATGTGACGTGGAGAGGAGGAGCTCTCCACTCGACCGTCGGCACAGAATGCGGAGTAGATAATGTAAGGGATGCATGTACTGGTCATGACCGTTGAGTATTCTCAACCCCAATTCACGAATTACACCAAGATTCGAAGTGCAAGATCCCGTATAATTGTCTTGAGTTTATTTCTTCAATTTCTATCTAGGCTTTATTAAACCTCAGGACACGCTTATTATGCTGCAAAGAGAAAGGATGTCCATGCATTCAGAAGTGAGTCTAGGCTGGTTATTTCAGCGACTCTCATCAACTCTTGGTACCTCTTTGACGTGGCCCGACCAATTTCCAAATACTCTCTACGACCACCCTGCAAAATGGACACCCCTTGAGTGTTTGAAAATGGTTCCCATGGCTTTTCCCCATATGCAAAGGCAATAACGTCCTCAGCAAACTGCACCGCCGATGCACGTTGTGTCTCATCAAGGTGGTCGTTAAAGTTCTGCAGCAAAAATGCCACATCTAGTATGTGAGTACTGTGTCCTTTGAAGGGGCCATCCCATGGATTTGGTTCTGAGAATTGCATGAGGAATACATCGCCAGGAACCTTTTCAGCGAGGGCTAGAGCTGCAGCATGGTGCCCAATGTCGGATCCAAATTGTAACAGATAAAGGAGGGCATTTTGATTGTCCAAGTCGGACGAGATTTTATAGGACTCCAGAAGCTGTTGAACAGGTTCATGGTGTTGAGGAAGCATGGTTGTAAGATGGTTGATGAAATCAGCGGCGATGGACTTTCTTCCTGCGAACAATCCCATGAATGCGAAGATACTTGCCTAGTGGAAATCTTTGGTCAGTGGACTTCATCTAACTACCTGTGGGTAGCGCCTCGCTTACATCTAATGGGGAGAACACTATCAGGGCGCCTTGACATCGCTTAGCCTTGAATTTATAATCCTCCAAAGCCATCGTTTTGAAGGATTCATTATAAGGCACGAGGTCGTCGTCAAGAACTGGAAGGATGGGCAAGCGTTGGACCTTCTGATGTAGATCGAAGCTCGTGAACGTTTCCAAAGATTTGAGTCGCTCGCTGGGGGACAATTCGTGAATACCCCAAGCCTCAATACTTGAGTTGTAGGCAAACTCGGCCACCTCAGAAGTCAGAGGAGAAACGGATGGCGGAGCACCACCCATAACCACAATACGAGAAGCCAGAGCTTCCTCACTATACAGTAGACGTGTTGCTGACACTATTGCCCAAGTCAGATGGTCCTTGTATCGATGAAATTGCGAGCACTTACATCCACCTACACTCTCGCCAGCCACGGTGACTTGACTAGGGTCGCCGCCAAAGCCTGCAATGTACCTTTCCACCCATTGTAGTGCCACTCTTTGGTCGTGCAGCCCGCGATTAGACTTGTATCCAGCCTGTTGGAGCTCTTTAGAAGTCATGAAGCCAGGCGCACCAAGCCGGTAGCTAGGTTGGGAACGTTAGCAGTGAGGTTCTACTAAGCTCTTTATCTCCAGTCTTTCAGATACTCACTTGATATTGACGCCAATGATAGGGCTACCACTATCGATAGAAAGTTGCACGATGCGCTTCATATCGAATTGTGGCCACCAGTTCGCGCCAATAGAAAAGCCGCCGCCGTGGATGTAGACCAGGACTGGGAATTCATCAGAGCTTGTTGAGGTAGCTGGGGCAACAACATTCAGATTAAGACACTCAGTGGCCGACATCCCAGGAAATTCGGGCTTTATCAAATGCTTTTGGATGGCGGTTAGTTCGTTATCTACACCTTCTGGCAGAGAGATAGCTTGTGGTCTGCAACGATACACGTCTTAGTATGTCTCTTGCATAAAGCTTATCGTTGTATTCTCATCTATAGATGATTGAACCTACCCATAGTGGTCTGCAACGATTCCATTCCCATCGTAAGTGCACAGCGTAGGGTTGTCGAACCAATGGCGGAGTGACGCATACTTCACGCCGAGAAACTGCAAAACTCCTGCTACCTTTAGTCCGCGAACGTTCCCGATAATAGGATGACCGAAGTCAGTGTGAATAGCACCAGTTTCGGGCATGTTTGATGTTGATAGGATGGTGGAGAAGACTGGACAGGTAGGTTCAACGGGGGCTAGGACAAGATCATCCAGCACGATGCGTGAAGGACGGAGATGCTTTTGTTTTTACTTTATTACAGTTTTTTATCAGTCATTCTCTAACCCTGTCATGCTGGCGTTGGGTGATCAGCGTCTTGTGGGGGAACCTGTGGAGGAATATTACCCCACATTGAAGTTAGACCACGACTTGAGAGATTGACAAAACAATATGTATCCATGATGCTTTGTTATTCGAGGACATGAATCCTGTAAAAGATACAGACCCCATAAACTTCACTTCATTTCCTGTTAGCATCCCGTCGCGTTCATTACAAGACAGCTGAACCATGCCAGATTCTCGTCGCCAACTCATCCAGCATGCCAATGGGCAGACTACGACATACATCTATGACAGCTTTGTTGACCCCTGGAAACCAGCAGAAACTATTCTCCTCCAGCATGGATTTGCGCGGACAGCTGAACATTTTTACCACTGGGTACCTGCTCTAGCTCGGCGGTACAATGTCCTACGGCGAGAGCTTCGGGGTCACGGCGGCTCAAGCTATCCCCAGGCCGATGAACACAGCAACTATGAACACTCTATCAACACCATCGTGGACGAGATCAAGGACACATTGGATCAGTTGAATATCCAGAAAGTTCACTTCGTAGGCGAATCCACTAGTGGTATGCTAGCAGAAATCTTTGCCGCAACATATCCAGAGCGAGTCAGCTCCGTTATAGTGTGCTCTTCGCCTACGTTCTTACCATCAGAAGCACAAGAATTCTTGGCATTCGGTATGGAATCATGGCCAGAAGCGTGTCGTCAGTTGGGTTCACGCGGATGGGCCAAACGACTGACGGCATCCAACGGAACGGTAGGGAGTACCGACCCTGCTTATCTGCAATGGTGGATCGATAAGGTTGCTACCAGCGATGGCGAAGGCCTTGCCAGGTATGCTGAGTTTCTGAGCACGCTCGATGCTCGACCATATCTTAAAGCCATCCAAGCACCTTTGTTGGTTCTTTCACCGACCAATAGTGCTTTAGTGACGGTTCAGTCTATGGAGGAACTAGTCGCAGAGGTTCCCAATGCGAGGTTGGAGGTTATTGAGTCGCAAGGGCATGAGATCTACGCTGAGGCTGCCGAGCAGTGTTTAAGCAAGCTTGTGGAGTTTCTTGAAGAGATATAGATATTTAGCTCAACTGTAAACATCTATTTAATGAGACTGAAGTCAACAGTGGAGCCGTAGGTATCATAAATATAAAGAATTCTCATCAAGTTTCTAAACAAAGAACTAATATTTGTCGACTTTGCTATAAAGCTATACCCTGGCAGTGAGATACACCATGCACGAATCTTGTCTGTATGTGTGATACAGGCTATGCTAAAGATCCTGGATTGCCTTTTCGCCTTTCCATGCACGCCTAATCAGCTCTCGAAGATCATCTCGCTTTAGCGGGCGTGGGTTCCGATATGGATTTGAAACAGCGATATCAGCGGCTTTCTCGATACCCTCCTCCGGCATTCCCAGCTTATGCAGACTCAGTTCTATGCCCAGCCGGCGGTAGAGGGCATTGATGCCTCGAACAACATTTCCATCACTCTCTGGGAGGACGGCTGCGAGCTTCGCCATGACCTCCGGGGTGCTGGGTGCGTTGTATGCCACGGCATGAGGCAAAACTACCACATGAGTTTCGGCATGAGGGAGATTAAACGAGCCGCCTAATGTGTGGCATAACTTGTGGTGAAGTGCCATATCAACAGCGCCTAAGCATAGCCCACAGAGCCAAGCGCCATACAGGGCTTTGTATCTCGCACCATTGTTCTTCGGATCGGTCTGTATGACAGGCAGCGCTTCACATAGTGATTCTATGCCCTCGTAAGCCATCAGATTGATGATGGGGTTAGTGTTACTAGCGTAGAGTGCCTCGACTGGAATGATAGGGAATGGTTAGAAATACATCGGGAATACTGCTTGTACTGCAGAAGGTAAATGGGGGCACTAACTTGAGTGGGCAATTGCATTGATACCGCTATTCACACTCATCTTGACCGGAAGCGTCAAAGTGAGATCCACATCATAGATCACCGCGGTTGGCAGTATCTTGGAATCTCGTCTTGTCACCTTTCGACCGTCTTCTGTTTCACCAAGTATAGGAGTCATCTCGCTCCCGGCATATGTCGTGGGGATACAAATATGTACGAGCCCTGTACGAACGGCAATGGCCTTGCCCAGTCCGATAGTGCTTCCACCACCCACGGAGACAATTCCCTCGACTCGGGATTCCTTAGCCTGCGAGAGAGCAGACTCTGTGACATGTGTCGGAGTATGCATAGTAGCGCCGCTGAAGGTTGATACTGCAGCAGTTCCTAGGATTTCTGCTACCCGTTGTGCAATGTCAGTCTGCTCTGGTGTAGAGAGAATCATGACTGATTTAATGCTGAGCTTTTCGACTAGGGATGGTATTTGGGCCAATGTGCCCTTTCCAAAGATAACTTGAGGAGAATTGGCAACATATTCGAAAGTACTCATGGTCACTGTTGATAAAGGTGATGAGGTTCACAATGAACGAAACTGGATGACTGGGTGGGAGCTGAGTTGGACTTATGTACAATTGGTCATCTTGTTCAGTCCTTTTCACAACCCCACATTCTGCCTCATGTTACCTCTCTCCTAGTCTCCAGCTCTTTCAATCTCAAGTTGTCATTCAATTCCTTCTCCACTCTGGACTTTCTCCCTTGTATCGGTGATATGTAGGTACACAGAAGATCCGTCCCGGTCCTATGAAATGGTGATCAGTATGTTGGACGTCTAGAATTCGACAAATTGTCCTTACAATGCAGCGAGGATCCTTGGATGCCTTTTCAAAAACTGCGTATGCGGCTTCTGCCATGGTTGGCTGCAGACCTTGCTGGCGGGCTGCCTCTATGCCCAAAGACAGGTCTTTCAGAAACATCTGCGTTTTGAACCCAAGTCTCCAGTTGTTACTGCTGGGAGCATGAGGCACCACATCAGGAACAGGACACACGTTATCTCCCATGAACGTCTGCCCTGTTGAATTATGGATGATCTTCTGCAGCATCTTCGGGTCGACTCCGGATTTGACCCCGATGGCCATGGCTTCTGCAATGAGCAGCAGAACCGAGCATGAGATGTAATTGTTACTGATTTTACCGGCCAGTCCAGAGCCAACGCTTCCACACCAGAAGAGTTTGTTGGGATCACCCATTACGGTGATGATCTCCCGGAGTCTCTGTCCCACATCATCGCTTGGTGTTGGCTCTGGGTGCCCGATTATAAACGAGAGACTGGCTTTCTCAGCCGCTGGGACTCCTCCCTAGAGTAAGTTTCAGTATCCCAGAAGAAATTAGGTTATATTTCGGGCTTACAGAAACGGGCGCGTCCACATATATACCCTGACCTGCTTCTCTGATTCGACGGGCTACATCCCTTGCGGTTGCAACATCGATTGTGCTGCACTCTATAAGAAGTCTTCTTTCGTTCTTTGTTGCTGAAATAATGCCATCTTTAGAGTCGAGATACACGTGCGAGACTTCTCGAGCTCCTGGTACCATTGAGATGACCACGTCAGCCTTGGATGCTATCTGCTTTGGTGAGTCCTGGATCTCGATGGGACCCAGGCTGATGAACTCGTCGTGGAACCTTTGGCAGGCGGGCTTGTGCACGTCAAAGACATGTACCACCGACTTTCTTGAGATTCCATGACGAATAGACGCCGCCATTGGGTAGCCAATAGCTCCGAGGCCTAGATAGGTTTGCCTGTTCAGTTAGTGCAATCAGGTTACGTTGAGAAGAACGTACCAATGAATCCGATATTCAAATCCATCTTGTTCTGGTTTATAGCGATAAACTCGGTGCAATACTGTCGATTTTTCTACTGTGTTTTTCACTTCTGTCTTTCATTGTCTGGCCGGTTTCTTGCATTTTCAAGGCCGGCTGATATCTCGACCCCGCAAACCCCCTCCCAACCCCAGACTTTTACCCCATTCCCAGGTACCTCTACTCCAGCTTTTCGATGTTGATTGGAAACCAGGTTCCATGAATTTAAGTTCGATTCGTGTCACGGATAAAATGGGACTGCTGCGCTACTCGCAACCATCCTGTCTCATAGGAGATCGATACTAACATTACTCCAAGTTGGAGGCTTTACACACTACCTTGACTGAACTACTACTACCCCACCATCACCACCATGACAGAAAGTACTTCGTTGAAAGTCGGGGTCATCGGCCCGGCTGGTTTCGGTGGCTCGTACCTCTGCGTGGAGCTCATCAACCGCGGCCATTATGTCGTCGGTTTATCTCGCAACCCTCAAAAGTTGGGATCGCATGATCTATACGAACCGCGAAGTATCGACCTTGACACTCAGAGTGAAGTGGACCTCGCAAAAGCGTTCAGCGATGTCGATGTTCTAGTCTGCGAATACGGGCCTCATACCGCTGGACACGAGGCGCTCAAGTACAGTCAGTATTATGAGTTTCTCGTCTCTTGGCTAGTTCTGACGAATATACATAGTGCCATTCATTGAAGTAATCAGAAAGATTATTTTGGCTGTCAAACGAGCCAAAGTCGGCTATTTTGTCATGCTGGGTGGCACGGGCAGTCTTCATGTCCCTCACGAGGACAACATGTGTGTCGCCGATAGTAAAGACTTCTTTCTCGCCTACAGACGCGGTATCGCCGATAGCCACGCTCATGTTACCTATATGGAAGAAAGGTTGGGCCCATTAGGCTCGAATCTCAGAGTCTACCGTAACGCACGCCTCGCGCTCCGTGGGAACAGCGAGGAAGAAAAAGACAAAGCAAAAGATGTTATCAATGAGTACGAGGCCAAGTTGAAGCAGGGCGATGCGGCGGCAGAATTCATCAAAGCAGCGAGAACGACGGTCATGTTCTTTGACGGTAACAGATCCTTTGACTGGACGTATGTGTCACCGAGCGCTTTATATCGACCAGGCAAGCGAACCGGAAAGTATGAGATCACTACTAATAACCTGCCTCTCAAAGGCGAACCTCAAGGCGACAATCTCTTAGAGGGGCGTTTGTTGGGTGTTTCAGCCGCGGACCTAGCCATAGCCATTGCAGATGAAGTTGAAACGCGAAAGTACATTTACCAGCATTGGAGTGCTACATCTGACCTCTCAGATGACGCCCCAGCCCCGTCGTATCTCACGTTGGGTTGAGATAGCTAGTTTTCATAGCAATAAAGGTTCATGGAGCTTGGCTTTCTAGTCGCAGCAGACTCAACTCCAGACAACAAAGTGCATTGCTTGGGACTACCCCATGCTGTGGTGAAAGAATGTGGTGGAGCAGCCCACAGTGTCCTACTAGCCATGTGGAGGGTTTGGTAGGATGCGGGCTATAAGACTAGCTTAAATTCCATCTGCGGCTGTACCACATCCAGTCCAACGACTTGCAGCCTTATATCAATTTTCAGCCATGACCGAATACATCCTACGCGACGATGAGTTACGAGACCTCCGTGGGAAGGTCATCGTTGTGACTGGGGGAGCCACTGGTATTGGTCGTGCCATTGTAGATCTTGCCCATTGTACTGGACACCTTAACTTCAGATATTTGAATTGGGCTGACCAGACCAGATCATGGAGCCAAAGTTGCAGTTTGCGATGTGAACGAAGAGGCGGGGAGGCTGGTGGAACAAGAACTTCAAAGGTTTTTAAGCACACTGACCCATCCACAGGCTGTCCTCAGTCACTAAGTCAACATGCAGTGATATCTTATTCAAGAAATGCGACGTGTCCATCTGGGCTGAGGTGGTTGATTTCTTCCAGCAGACGTACCAAAAGCTTGGCCCAATCGACGCAGTCATCTCTAACGCCGGGATAAACAAGGTTGAGACACTCATCGATGACCCTGTTGAGACAAACAGAGCAGAGGTACTGGAGCTCCAAGAGCCGGACGTGTCTGTTCTCAAAGTCAATGCTATCGGGACATGGTACGTGTCCAAGTGCGCCATTCATTTCTTCCGCAAGCATCCAGAAACCAGATCACAGCTCGTCCTATTTGGGTCAGTTGCTAGCTTCTTTGACACGCCACCGCTGTACACATACTGCGCCAGCAAGGCAGCGGTCCTTGGCCTGTTGCGTGGACTACGAACTCAGACAGTCAAGTATAACATTAGTGTCAACATGATTGCACCTTGGATGACCCGTGAGTATCTACGATCTGACGCGCAGGGCGGTTTAGCTAATGCATGTCGACAGTCACGGACATGATTACGGACCACGTGAAGAAAGTTTGGGGAGACCTGCCAGCGAACAGTCCCCTTGACGTTGCAAAGGCCAGTCTCTTGCCTGTGGTAAGGCCGGACGTCAACGGAAAAGCGTTTCTGATTAATGGGGGTAACATTACCGAGGTGGAGGAGAAACTAGACGAGACGCAAGGGGTATGGCTGGGACAGGAACTTGATAAGCAAATGAGAGAGGGGCAGCGGAGACTGATTCAATGACTGGTGATTAGAGATAAGATAAGATAAGATAAAGAGTGTCTAGAAAATGGTGTGGATAAGTGATTGTCGCGAACGTTCACGTCATTTTGTTTACGCGTCGGCTTTAATAACGCGTCATACTCTCGCTAATACACCGTGGTTCAGGTCAATACACTCAAGTCACGACTCTTAAAGTACACTTCGAGTCGCTGACTTAGTTACTCTAGCTTAATATAGTACAATCATGTTTTTATTAATATACAACTTATCCTTAAGGACAATAAGATACACAAGTTCTATATAGAGCTGGCAGTAGTAGGACGTTCCCTTAAATTAAGTATTAATAGTATCTATCTATCTATAGAATCTTTCTTAATCTGGCTTAAATTCTTGCCAGGAAGTCAACGTCAATACTACCCTACACCTCTAGCGTTATGTTTCAGCGCGTTGTTAATAGACGACAAGTAGTAGTTACGTCATCGCATTACCCACGCGTCCACAACGCGTTTAGTCTCTTCAATGCATGCTTCTTAACAGTCTAGCTACATAAGTCACTCCAGGAGGCTGGTGGTACAGTAATTTACGAAGAACACATTCTCTTTCGGAGTGATTTTCAACACAGATTCTAGACTCTTGATTCTGACACCGACTTAGGAATTGCATACAAAATCTTATTAACTGTTCCTTTCAAGCACGAAAATTGAGATCCTCGAGGTTGACGGTTTCGAAAGCTGATTTAATAACATCCTGATGCGCTTTGGAACGGCAGATAATGTCGCACTCAAAAGGCTCAGGAACACTAAGAAACCCAGGCATCATCTTTGTGGTGGGGTTGACCGCTGATCCATCAGCGGTTATCTTCTTCTGAATATTGAAGCCCCAAAGCGTTCGAGAAATGACGATGAACAAGGACTTCTCAGCAAGATGAACTCCAGGGCATGCTCGTCTATGATTCTATGTTAGGACCAATATTGTGGCTTAGAGGTCACTCTCAACTTACCTTCCCGCGCCGTAGGAGAAGTGATCCCTATCGTAGGGGTTCTGGGCGTTCATGAGCTCCGCAGCAGACAAGTGCTTGTCGAGATAACGCGTGGGGTCAAACCTGTCTGCATCTTCATAGCGGCTTGGATCGCGCTGTATTGCCCTGTTATTTCTAAGTGGTCAGTCGCATGATTCTCAAGCACTGGGTTAGAAACAAAAGACTCACCACCAGTTTAGGACAACGACCGAGTCTTTGGGAATGAAATGGCCATCGTACCAATCATCCTCTGTCGAAGCGTGGTACATTCCAAACTTATTGACTGGGCGCCATCTGAGTGTCTCTTTGATCATGGAACGGATGTAGGGGAGATTCTGTTCGTCCTCCCATTGAGGTAGCCTTCCGTTGCCTACCACACGATCAAGCTCCTCTTGACCCTTCTTCATGACTTCTGGATTCAGCGCCATAGCTAAAATCCAGTTGTTGATGGTTGTCGCCGTCGTCTCAGAGCCAGCCTCTACCAATCCGCCGCAGGTATAAGCGGCCAGTAAGTCATTGATGCCATTTTTCTTGGGGTCATTCAGGTAAAAGTCCTTGCAGAAACAATCTCTTGCTGTACCCTCGTCTGTAGTCTTTTTCAAGGTTTCCCAGAACTCGAGGTAGATCTTGCTGTCGTGGGCAAAGGCTTTTTCTCCCCACGAGCGCCAATTACCTAGAAGCCATTGTGGTAGTTTGGCCAAGCCTGGTAGTGTCTCGACGGCGAAGGCGCCTGGCGCAGACATGACGGACAGGTTCTCAAGTACCGAGAAAATCCTTGCGATGACTGGGTCTTCAAATGAGGGGATCCTGAAGCCATAAGTGACCAGCATAATGACTGATGTCGAGTAACGACGGTTGATCGTATAGAACTGGTCCGGGCGCTCAAGGAGATCATTAAGAACTACCTTGGACTCAAAGTCCTGTACAGGTCTGTACTTGTTGGACGTGTTCAAGTTGAGAAGTGCATGGCTATGCTTTCGCAAATTCCTCCACTCTGGGCCATACGCCATGAAGAGCTGACGGGACTTTCCACTCGCAACATCTTGAGCTAAAGGAAGATGAGGTCGAGACGAGTATATGCCTGACTTCTTGTCCATTAGGTCCTTGACGGCTTTTGGGGACGAAAGCCAAATATAGTCGGTGGTACCGATCTTGGTATAAAAGACATCTCCGTATTTCTGATGCCATTCTCGCACCCGATGCCGTACAAGTTCTGAGTCACTTAGGTCAAATAAGTTGCCAATGAGGGGCCAGCCACGCGGGCCAGGTGGAAGTTTCCTCCTTCGAGAGTCCTGTCAAGCGCAACTGTCGTTAACATTGAACAGCGAGGCATTGGTAGTCATTCTCCTTACTATGATGCTGTTCGGGATAAGGTATAGATAGGCGCCGACAACCACCAGGACAACAGTTAAGGCTAGACGAAGAAAGGAGCCATTTACTTGTCGTAGTAGCTGTTGTGCCTGAACGACCACTAGATGGGTCAGGCTTTCTTCTTGGAGGAGTTTCATTGTGATACCCAGACTGAAAATACGATAGGGATCTTGTCAACATGCCAGGGATCAACAAGATAGAGAGACCTAGATGTATCTATCTTGTATCATGTCATTATTTTACCAGAAACCCCACTAAATAGAGAGGGGTTCAAGGAAACCTCATCTTCCCATTAACCCTTACTCCGCACTCCAAGGGTGGTTATCAGGATCATGTGGGGTAGTTTCGTGCATCGTGGGGTTTTGGCATTTCAGCTATAATAAACCACAAGTAAGCGTACTTAACCATCACAGCTAATTGACAACATTAACTGAAAGCATATTATTAACCCAAAATGGCCACCAAGGATTTCCAGAATATCTTCCATTGGGCGTCGACCCAGCAGAATGGAACTATTCCTTCTTTTGCAACCCGCCCCAATGATCCTTATCAGTATCAACCTGGGTTCAATAATAACTTCGAGTCAGAAGCAATCCCAGGCACTATTCCAAAGGGACAGAACAGCCCCAGAGCCATTCGTTTTGGACTTTATGCGGAGCAGATCACCGCATCCGCTTTCGTTGCGCCTCGCCACGTTAATAAGAAGGCTTGGCTTTACCGCGCGAGACCAGCAGTAGCTCATCAAGGATTTGTGAGTTTTCAGCTTCTCAATTATCAGAGTCAAATCATCGATCTAACCACCCACTCTTTTCTAGACCAGCTTGCCTGATAATAAAGACACCGAGTCTACCTTTTTGCCATTCAACACGCGAGTCCACGTTTCCCCTACACAGCTGGCTTGGAAGCCCTTCGAGATCCCCACCGGTCAAGACGTTGACTTTGTCGACGGACTCAAGACCATTGCGGGCTCGGGCGACCCAACATTGAGAGAGGGTCTAGCCACTCACGTCTTTTTGTGCAACAAAAGCATGAGCAAAAGGGCCTTTGTGAACTCCGATGGCGACTTTCTCATTGTGCCCCAGCAGGGAGCTTTGGATATACAGACAGAGTTCGGCTTTTTGTATGTCCAACCAGGAGAAATTTGTGTTATACAGCGTGGCCAGAGGTTCAAGGTTGGCGTCAATGGCCCAACACGAGGCTATATCCTTGAGATCTGGGGTTCCAACTTCGAACTTCCAGAGTTAGGTCCCCTGGGCGCCAATGGGCTTGCCAATGCTCGAGACTTCCTCCACCCTATTGCTGCCTACGAGGTCACTGACAATGACCCATGGACCGTCGCTTACAAGCTTGGGGGCAAGTTCTTCTCTAGCAGTCAGAATCACTGCCCCTTTGATGTTATCGCATGGCATGGAAACTATATTCCATACAAGTATGATCTGACAAAATTCGTCAATGTCGGGTCTATATCCGTCGATCACATAGACCCATCGATCTTTTGTGTTTTGACAGCCAAGTCGCGAGACCCTGCGGCGCCATTGGCTGATTTCCTTATCTTCTCACCGAGACAAGATGTCGCAGCTCATACATACCGCCCGCCATATTATCACCGCAACTGTGCCTCGGAGCTTATGGGGCTTATCTACGGCGAGTACGGTGGCCGCTCGGACGAGTTCCAGCCAGGCAGCATATCGTACGAAAGTGGTTTTGTGCCTCATGGGGTGGCATATGAAGAATTTGCAGCTGCTTCAAAGGCAGACCCTCCTGTTATGCGAATCTCTGAAGGCTCTATCGCGTTCATGTTTGAGAGCAGTCGGGCCTTTACAATCACAGATTATGCTTGGAATAGCGATAAGCGACATGAGCATAACCCCAAAATGTGGGACAACCTCGTGGACAACTTCTCCAAGCACAAGGCGGAAGTGGACGAGATTTTGGCTAAGAAGACCTAAAGCATTGGAAGTATAGTACAAGTTGGGAGCACTGAGGGATTTTGATGAAGTATGACGGGCAAGATCATGTTTTCTTGACAAAAATGCACATCAAAGCTTCGAGGTTATAGCTTCCCAGATACGAAAAATATAAATTGAGACACAACCTTCCATACAATAGACTCAGTGTTCAGATGGACTTGTATCATATTGAAGAGAGGTGAAGCCCATGTACTTCGTGTGTTAACGTGTGACAACTATCTAAGAGTCGTTCCGCCGGGGATGTGAAGTATCATGCCCATTGCTCAGGAATCATTCAAAGCAGAAAGATGAATACATCATGGTCTTGAGCAAGATGAAAAATGAAAATATGGGCACCAATTAAATGCAGCCCAGCACATTAGAAAAAGATTTATAATTCACGATAGAAAAGTTTACCTTCTTAGTGAGCGACCTAGGCCAAAATGGTACCGTAAAGATGTTGATTCTCCTCCCCTGTCTGCTAGCGGTTATGAGGTTACGTTACCCCATGTGGGGTCCCCAGATCTGCTAAGACGTGTATCTGGACATAGATACCTGCCCCAAGTATACCTATTGGCGCGGGGTCTAACTTATACGTTTAGGGGAAGACCGTGGGGACTGTGTCAGTTCTTCTAAGCCATGAATAGAGCCAATTCAAGCTCATATATAGCCTTATTCTTGATTTTGTTTCCACATTTACAGCGGACAAAGGTCACTTGATAACACATACAAGCCTCAAAATCGAAGAACAAAGTAACACACCATGACTGCCTCTTCATTCAAAGTACGTCTCAACACAGGCCCCTTTTAAAGTCAAAAGCAGAACACTGACCTACCAAGATCATCATCGTTGGTGCAGGACCGGCTGGACTACTCCTCGGGCTGCTACTCGCCAAGCAAAACATCCCCGTTACCATCGTGGAACAGTCTTCCAAGCTAGACGAGAACCCACGCGCAACCCACTACGCACCGCCCGCCATCAAGATCCTCAATGGCGCAGGGATTGGTGACGACTTGCGCTCGAAAGGACTTCTTGTCGATACTGTTGCATGGAGACGACTGGATGGGTCATACATAGCTGGCCTTAACCACGCAACAGAGAGAGATAGCCCTGATCGAATGGTTGCGCTACCACTCAATGAAGTTGCACAGTTACTGAAAGACCATGGTGCAAAATTTCCATCACTGAGCTATCTGTTAAACCACAAAGTCATTAGCATTGGACAAGATGAGTCCAAAGCCTGGATTAATGCATTGGATAAAACCACAGAAAAGGAAGTCCTGTTGGAGGCGGACTACATCGTGGGATGTGACGGTGCCAACAGTATCATTCGGAGATCCCTATTCGGGGACATGGGGTTTCCAGGGAGAACATGGGACGAGCAGATTGTGGCAACAAATGTAGGTCCTTTGATCACGTGGATTTGAATCCTTTTGTCCTGCAAGCTAATCTATCATTAAAGGTATACTATGACTTTGGGAAGTTCGACTACAGCGATTCCAACTTCATCATAGACCCCAAACATTGGTACATGGCGGCCAGGATCACAAAAAACGGGCTATGGCGTGTCACATATGGAGAGATACCTGGCCAGACTAGAGACGAGCTGATCGCTCGACAACCAAAGAAGTTCGAAGAAATGCTTCCAGGTAGCCCAAAACCAGATCAGTACAAGCTGGCTAGTATCAGTCCTTACAAGGTCCACCAGCGCCTAGCTGAAAAGCTGCGAGTCGGACGTTTCCTATTAGCAGCAGATGCTGCACATTTGTGTAATCCATTGTAAGCGCGATCATCTCAAGATCTGGAGAGCACGAAGACTAATCTTGCTATCAGCGGAGGCCTGGGGCTCACAGGAGGGGTTGTGGACGTTCAGGGCCTATACGAGTGTATCCTGGGAATTTATCTCGGCAAAGCGGACGCGAGCATTCTGGACGTGTATAGTGAAGTCCGTCGACAGAAGTACCAGGAGATTGTCGATCCCATCTCATCCTCAAATCTCCGGCGTATGTTTACCGGCGACCCAGCCAAGATTCTCGAAACAGACGAGTTTTTACAGATGTGCAAGAAAGCAGAGACGGACTCTGAACTTGCAGCACGAATGCTCCAGGTGAGTTAACCCCACGAGTACAGACTGTTCGAAAATAGGGACTGATTCTGAGAAGAGTGCACACTTATTGAGCTACGACTTTACACAGCACTATTACTCGTAATTGTTTCTTTACAAGGCAAAAGCCTTCTAAGGAGAGGAACAGGAACGTAATAGTGTTTAGATTTATGGACAAGAGATAAGAGCCGGGTGTTGTTAGTGTTAAGAATGAAATGGTTGGAAGATAACATAGTCAATGAATATGGCGTACTTTCCTTTTAAAAAATTTCAAGATGTTTGTTTCTCAAGTTAGGCAACTTTATTGGTGAGTCTGGTACTTGTAGTCACAGATTTGGTGTTGGGGTGTTGGTCTGGGAAGACGTAGTTATGAATCCAACTTTGCATTACCTCCCAGTAGTATTTGAATTTCTAGCATCTAATAAAAGACCACACTACTTTCCACCCTGTTTCTCTTGTCCTACCGCCAGGATAACCTTTTCGGCAATCTTGAACCCTTCAATGCCCGCCGGCATACCGCAGTAGATGGCGGCTTGAAGCAGTGTCTCTCTTATCTCGACCTCAGTGGCACCATTGTTAAGGGCGCCTCGAACGTGAGCCGCCAGCTCCGGGCCTCGGTTGAGTGCACAAAGCATTGCAATGTTGAGCAAAGAGCGTTGTTTTCTTTCTAGTCCTGGCCGTGACCATACAGATCCCCAACATGCTTCGGTGACGAGCTCTTGCATTGGTCGCGCGAATTCAGAGGAGCCACCGGCAAGGGCCGCATCGACATAAGCAGGGCCGGCAACCTCGTAACGAATCTTCAAGCCCTTGTCGAAAAGGATTTTGTGCGCATCCTGTTCTTCTTGAGGAGTTGGTGACGTATTGGTGGCCATGGCAGCAAGCAGAGAAGGAAGCGAATTGAGAAAAGAAAGTGGTATAGCGACAAGTACTAGGGGATTACTGAGTCAAAGCTTAGGGGCCAAAGAGGTACTGTCAGCGAGATGAGGCTGAGGAGTTACTGTGAGTTCAGGTGGGTGATCAGCCTGATTGTAATGGCTAGTCACTAATACTTCTGGGGAAACCTGCAGAAACTGAAGTGACAGTACCCCGTGAGGGGGTTAATTGCCCCATTTCTGGTACCCCACATTGCCCACTTGCCCACTTGCTGTAGTAAAAGGATATTGTTGTTCTCAAGAGTGCGGGGTGAGGGAGCCCCAAGGAATCATGTGGGGTATACTTGAACCCTGTAGATGGAAGAATGGAAGGCTTACTGAGGCCAAGGGTAGGAAAATGTTTCGGAAAAACGGAAGTTCGATATGTGTTAACTATTGATACTAGTGATAGTAATGACGCCGGATGGAATATGCCAGCATAGAGTAAACGACTGTAGAAAGGCTGTACCCCGTCTTCGAGATTTATTGATGGGCCCAATCCTCATTCCCTCCAATGAACCTAAACAAGACTCGAGAATCCAAATCCCGGCAATCAGGGTCCTGGCTGGCATTCTTATAAGCCTCCAGCCCAGCGTTGCCAAGCAGGAGCTTCGCATCAACCTTCTCAGCTGCTGAAACAGCGAGGCCAAAGTCTTTAGCCATCAATTGCACCTTAAAACCACCCCTGTATCCTTTACTAGCCGGAGCGTCAGGGCAAATCCCCGGTACCGGATTCCATTTGTCGCAGATAGTACTTTGGGCTGTGCTGTTTGCAAATACACGTGAAAGAAGCTTCGGGTTCATGCCGGAGCGGATTCCAATATTCATTGCTTCTGCCGTAGCGAGAGCGATGAGACCAGAACAGTAATTGTTGCAGAGCTTAGCAGTGAGGCCCATTCCTAGTCCACCACAGGGTACAACGTTATTACCCATCAAGCTTAGTAGGGCATGAACAAGCGGGTATTGGGCATCTGAGCCATCGTCGGAACAACCGAGCATGATTGTTAGAGAGCCAGATTCTGCCCCAAGAGTACCTCCAGACACGGGAGCGTCGTAAAATGAGACGTTTGGGTGCAAATTCCTGACTTCTGCTGCCACATGGAGACACGTCTCTGTATCGATCGTAGAGCAATCAACCAGCACACGAGCTGCCAAATCCATGCCGAGGATACCAGAGGAGGAGTCTAAGTAGACACTCCTAACATGGGATCCTTCTGGCAACATGGTGAAAAGTATGTGCTATAAGTTAATGTGAGATTCTGTACGATGCGAAGTGTGAGTTGCAGCTGTTACTTACTGCCCTTTGCGCGACTTCCGTTGCGGATTTGCACATCTCAACGGAATCTTCATGTTTATCTGCCAGCTGCTTTGTACTTTCAGTAGAGATGTCATAAATAAAAAGAACTGAGCCTTTGGGGGCTTTAGAGATGAGATTCGAAGCCATGGGGAGGCCCATGGCCCCGAGACCAACGAAGCCCAGTTTCAGAGGCTGTTCCATGGTAGTCTGTAGATAAAAGTATACAAGCTTGATAACAGAGGGAAAATTGATAAATTCTTGAGGAGCAAAGACTCATTATATCGGCATGCGTATGGGCGGGCCAGTGGGGTAGATTGAGTTAAGAAGCGGCTGTCAACATTGACAGACTTGTTCCCCTGTTCCAACGAGCACTCGTAGCCAAATACAATTGAGAAAAGGAATATATACGAAGGAAAAACAAATACTCTTGATGCCTGTAAGTCTATCTGAGATTAAAGTGACCCAGGGAAAAATGCTTCGGGGTGTGACTCTGCCCACTCCACATCGTGCGCAAACACAATAGTTAGGTTTATGCCAGACTCCTCAAACGCTCTCTTCCACATGGAAAATATCTCCAAAGTCTCGGTTGCTTTCTTTTTATCCATGTGTATACAGCATGATCTTCCTTCTGCATCAGTCCATTCAGCAATCGATTGCTCTCCTGTCAACAAACGGGTATCGTGACAGGCATCTCCAATCAGCAATGCCCACTTCTGAAGCCCTACTCGAGCGAGCAGTGCGATATGACCAGTTAAGTGCCCCGGAGAGTCGACCACGTAAAGGTAGCCGCCGCTTCTCAAGTCAAGCATCTTCAAACCGCCTATCAAATCCCAACCGCTTGGGCCTGTAAACTCGACAACGTTTAAGCCTTCAAACAAGTCCTGTTGAAAGTTGGAGTGTGACATGTGGCCATTCAAACCCATATTTAGTAGGGATAGGGACCCAGCACCGACCATAAACTTGGCTCGTTGGAAATCAGTAGGAGTGCCAATATGATCCCAGTGAACGTGGCTGAGAATCACCTCATCAATGTCGCTGGCCTTCAAACCACCATCCACTAAGCTTTGCAGCACATCAGGCGAAGTGTCCATAGGTAGACGACTTCTTAGGTGCTGTTGAATCTGTTGGGTGTATGTGCTAGTGTCGCGTCGAAGACCCAAGTCGAAGAGAGTGCGTTTAGGTCGCCCGCCCGCCCCATGATCCTCAGTGATCAAAAATGACAGTGAAGGAACACGCGTGAACTCATTGTCTGTGGCACTGGAAACGAACAGTTTCTTTGGAAGAGTAAAGGTGCCTCCTCGAAGAGCCGATACTTGTATTTGGCCCTGAGCCTTTGCCTCGAGGTTCAGTAGACTGGCGACTGCAACGGAGTTATCCATCATTGTGATTTGGGTGTGGATTGGTGGAAGAAAGCGAGATGGAATGACTATACGTTGTATGATGTCCTGAAAACAACATCCAAGCTCTTTCTATATACCTCATACTGCTTGAGCCACACGTGTGGGGAACTTCATACACCAGATCACCTCCACATACAACCTGCTGTGATGATGCCTCGTATCTACCAGAGCAACATTGATTACGAGAATGAAGAAACGAAAAAGACATAGCGGTATATTCCTATGCCCAAACATCTTCCTGAAAGCTTCGTTAGCATACAGATTTGTCATTGTTGATCAAGATTACATACCTGATAACGGTTCTCGGCCCTCATATCTTTCAATACCTCCTCGGCCTCTGTGAGCCCTACACCACATCCTTCTGCAATGATCTCGACAAAAGTATGGCTTACATCTTTAGCCATACGTACCGCGTCACCACAAACATATACATGAGCCTTTTGCTCTAGGAGCCCATAGACTTCAGCAGCAGCCTGCTTGAGCCTGTGTTGCACGTACACTTTCTCATTGGTTTCTCTGGAAAAGGCCGTCAAGAGCCTGAACTTTCCATCGAGGTTTGATTCGTACTCCTAGGTGGCCCTTGTTAGCATTTTGGTGCTTACAGTCTAAGATAAATACTGAAAATTGACTTGCCTTCCATTCTTTTTCATATAAAAAGTCCTCGTCTTGTCGCCTACATCCAAAGAATAACAACATTTGACCAACCGTTTCCCCATTTCTCATCATTTCAGCACGCTCTTGTACGAAACCCCTGAATGGAGCCACTCCAGTACCAGGTCCTACCATGATAATTGGCCGTAAGGGATCTTTAGGTAGCTTGAAGGTGGAGTGGCGTAGATGAATTGGAACATGACCTCCAGCATATCGTTGCCGAGGTCCCTCAACATCGTAGGAAAAGCCCGGTTCTTGGGGCTCATCGACACGATCGTGATGTAATGCAAGTAGAAAGTTAGAGGCTACTCCACGAAACGGATCTTGCGTCTCTCGAGAGGGAACCAGATCAGACTTCACAGCCACCGTAATCGATACAGTTGTAGGCTGTGCAAGTGGAGACGATGATATGGAATAGAAGCGAGGTTGTAGTTTGGGGACGTTTTCGATCAGCAAGGACACTGGAATTGTTGGCCATGTGGCACCGTCTCCTATACTTTGTAAAAGGCGAGCGAGATTGAGAAAGTGTGTTTCTGAATGGTAGAGTTCTTTATCGCTACTGATCTTGGTAATGGTTTTCTTCGCTGTCTCGTTGGGTGAGAATGGAATAAGATCAGCGAGAAACTGGCGCGAGACAGGGCCACAGATCTCCAGATAATAGCGCATGATGGCATCGTACGTTGTTGGTATTGGAAACGGAATCTTGTTGACAGCATCCATACTCTTGATACTAACGACTTGGTGCCTCTTCTCATATAGACCCAAAACCTGCAAGAGAGGATCGACCTCTTGAGTCGGGTTTGAAGGCCACACAGCTAAGTGATCACCTGCCTCGTATTCTAGTGCAGAACCACTGACGTCAACGTCGATATGAATATACCTACGTGACTCCTCTCTCACGGACAAATGCTCCCAAGAGGCGGAAATAGGGGCGATGTATGGATTGTGACTGTTGAATGGCCCATGACCTGCCCTGAACTCACCCAACAGGTGGGACTCGTTGGGCTCTCCAGTATACACCTGAACGGACTCAGAGGTCAGATTCTCGTTTTCAACGATGCTGTAAGTCGGTTCGTAGGTGCTTTGAACTTCGGTGAGATTAATCTTGGATGCCAAAGCTGTCCACATATCTTCTTTCCAGGCGATGAAATCCTCTTCCGTAGTCCCTGATCCGTCATCACCCTCGCCAACGTTGCCAATTCTCGAAGCGCCTAGGGCGTCAAAGGCGGCGACTATCTTCCTCACTACCGCATTATAATGTTCGTAAGTTTTGTTGCCCAATCCAAAAGCGGTATAATGGAGTTGGTCGAGTGAAGTGCCTTGGCTGAAAGAAGGATCGTCATTGCTGATGAAGCTGTAAAAGTCGGCAGCGTTGTCAGTTGGTTCACCCTCTCCGTAGGATGCAAGGAGGAAGATTGCAACCTTGTCGCTGGGCAGTTGGTCTAAGTTCTCGTAGTCATAATCCTCCAGATTGGCCACCATAGTTTCGAGCCCAAAACGAGATTTGCCCTCTTTGGTCAAGCGGGAGGCGTAGGCTTCAGCTGTACCAGTTTGAGAGCCAAAGAATACGATGCAGTCCTTTTGCTCATCATCCATGACTTTGATAAAGTCTCGCGACTCATCTGTCTTTTCTCGCTGGTCTTGCTTGATAATGCTGTCGCTGCTTGATTTGCTCCATGGCTTGCTTCGAAAGAGGTATGTCAGGACCAAGAAAATGGCGAATAGATCCCAACTTCCAAGTGCGTTAAGCATCTGGATATTTTCCATTGCAGCGGACTTGCTACCAAAGTTGGTACGTCCACGATGTTGTGCTACCGTTCGTTGCGAATCAAGACTGGATCACTTAAATAGAAAGGGTTGATGAATATAATCTAATCAAGCATTATGAGACATTGTTACAAATTCCTATTATTCGTATGCGCAAATCAATACCTACTTATGAACATGACCTTCCACTTCATCTCAACCCCAAGGTCAGTCCCCCACACCTATACAACCATTTACCTACTTTTCTTTAAGTTCCCCACATTATGAACTTGGGAATTTCATCCAACCTTTACAGAGTTGCGGCATCGTGATGTGTAGTGTGGAGACAGAAGCTTCCGCCCCCCTGCTCCCAAGACATTGTCATAGCACAAAGCAGCTCTGTTGTGGGGGTAGCCAACTTGTTCACGTTTATTGTAGTAGCTCGTATCCTTAGAACATCCATGAGTGACCACAGTGTATCATTCGTCCCTAAGCCATCCTCCTCTACTAAAATAATAGTATTAAAACATGTGCAACTAGTTGGTATTAGGCTCGAATGACACGCCCCTGTTCATCCGCGGACATTTATGCTCTTTATCTCATCTCATGCCCTATTCCGTGTCCTTGAAATATCTTCAATCTCCTATAAACGATTAGAACCTGCCACTGAAGACCGGCGGTTCGTTTTGCCAACTGTCTCATAGGCCTTGGCCAACAGTTCGAGGGCTGCACCCATACGCGGAGTAATGCCCCATATCCACACCTGAATCCCATTTTCATCAGTAACCATGACGCAGAGGGGTGGTAAATCAATTACACAAAAGGAATGCTTACATCTTGTAGGAACCAGCCCCATGTCCTGGCAGTTCCAGCTGCTAACGAGAAACTCTCGTCAAGATCACACTCGGCTTCCTCCAGGACCTCTCTGACAAGTGTGAGTAGCTTTTGTTCTTCGGGATTCGTTTGAACACCATTCAAGCTTGCCATCTCGACAGAATGTAACCATTTTGTTACGAGCAGAGCTGAGGCAATGTCAGTAAGACCAACATCAAGAATTGAGAGGAGTTACCCAACGTACCGCTTTCCCACCCGGCAATAGCATGTTCAACGCTCCATCTGAACGCGGCCGTTTTCCGAACCAGCATTGTGCCCAGCTTTACGGGAATTCTCAAACCCTCAAAGCACTTCGTCACGGCATTCAACATTTGCGGAGAGCGATCGATGTCCTCAGCGACGAATGAAGTGATGGCTTCATCCATCTCAGCAGCATCCGTACTTATCAAGCTAATCCGAGTCGAAGGGCCGATGGTCTTGAACAATCTGATGTAAGCGATCCGGAGGACTGCTTGGCAGTTGAAGACGAGAGATGTTTCTTCGTTCTCTTCCGAATCTAATCCTCCTGTCTCGTTTCCAGTACTTTTCAAAAAGGCATTGCATCTTGCTAGAGTCGCCATGGAGCTGTCCATCAGGGAGGAACCCAGGAAGTCTGAGCCAGTAATGGACAGCATGGCATGAGATACCTGGAGTCTCTGCCACATCTGGATTACAACTCCATGCATCAGAATAAGAGCCGAAAAGGCCGAAACCCGGTAGGGCGCCGTGTCGCTATGATATCTCCCCTCAAGCATGAGGTCTACTAATACTTCCTTCATGGTTCGGCGGTTCTGGTCTGAGTACTTGTTAACACTGGCCGCCCGAACTTGTCGCCATTCATTTGCTGACGTCGCGTCCCACAAGGCCTCATCATGGAATGCCTCGAATTCCAAGTCTTGAGTTGCGTTGAATCCAGGGTTAACGTTGAAGAGCACCATCGTGAGTGTGCTTGTTAAAAATAGGCCCCCGAGCAAGCGTTTCCACGACTCTCGCTCTATCCACTGCTGCCACGAGATGCGGCTCATGTCTGTATTGGATCCTCCCAGGGCCGTTCTTGTTTTGTTGAATAGCTGTTATTTTACGTATCGTTAAAGACTGGCCTGATTGTAAACGAGAGCAGCCTGGAACTAACTCACCAGCGTAAAAAAGCCATTGTCGTGCATAGTCCGAGAAATCAGGTCCTTGTCGCCACTCATGATGGCGTAGAAGCTGAGAAGCAATCTTGCTTGCGCGTACCAGAGGCAATAATCCTTGACAACAGTCACGTCGCTATCTTGTGGAGGGCGAGGTACCTGTACCAAGTGATTAGAAGCTTGATCGAAACCACCTGGAATATTGCTGTGGTTGAGAAGTCATTAACCTACAATGCTAAGCGAGGATGTGGCGACCTCGTATAACCTCTTTGCACGACGTCGGTCCAGACGATAAAGAGCACCAATACTACACATGGCGAGGATCAACGGACTTGGTGTGGTTCTTGGAGAAAATGATTGTAGGTGAATGATGGGAAGATGGCCGTGAAAGTTGGTGATGTAGCTAGACAGAAAGCCCTGGCATATTTTGGCGGGAGGGATCTCAACATTAGTATCAAAGGCCGTTAGCCTGCCAAACAGATCGTTTCGAATCGATTCATAGGCAGCGTCATCTATCGTGGTAGGGGTATATGCTTGTCGCTTTTCCTGGAGCGAAGGGAGGCCGTTGCTGCTGCTGTAAGATTTGGGGGTGTCTTGCTCTTCGGTGGGTTGACGCGGTGCCCCGAAATGGGGGAGAGAGTGAGAGACGGGATTGTCTACGATAGAGTATATTCCACTTCCGTCGATTGGCAGTTGCTGCAGTCCAAAGTCAACTGCTGGATTGGAGGAAGACTGATTATTGTTGTCTTGGGCGTTCTGATCGGGTTGAGGTAGAAATGCGAATGCAGAATGGTCCATGTCGAACGAAGGCATTGGTGAGAAGAAAAATAGCGTCGAATCATGGTCTATTGAGGCGGAGGTTTGAGGGGGATGCCCTTGGTTAGTGGTCTCAATATCTCCGATTGCTTCGGTTATTGGTATGTCATCGAGAACCATGGCGATATCGGTATTCATGATTTCAGTAAGAGATTGCTCCCCAGACTGAGTTTCAAACTCCACATGAGGATATGAATGGTTGTCTGTGACAGAGAGACGAGCTGTTGACGGACGGGGATTTGAGTGACTGGTAGCAATTGGAGGTTGCATGTGTGGTGTGGCCATAGTCATGGAAAAGGCTGCGCTGTGAGCTGAAGTGCGAGCGGTGTCGGCGAAAGATGCGCGACGGTCACGGGAGACAGTCAAGTTTGATGAGGACGAGGAAGACGGCGAGAGAGAACAGGCGACCTCATTCCCTGGCGACAGAGATTCTCTGGTGTTGAAGTCCACCTCGTTCCTATTCTGATCTTCGAGTTCAATCTCAGGCTCGGCGCCAGGCGGTGTCCCCAATGTCTGAGGTCGCGCAACTGAACTATAGGCTACATTGACTTCATCAGCGACGTGTTCAGGCTGTTGATCCTGTCGCAGGCGTCGGAGGTGGGCTTCGGCATGGAGCGTCTTTTCGTGCCTTGTCACGAGATCTCTAGATAATCGAACACAGGTCAATTGCGATGCATTTGAGAGGGAAGGGGACCGGCCATACTTTCTAGAGTAGGATTTGCTGCAATAGCGACAAACAAATGGCTTCTCTTGGGTATGCGTGCGCTCATGGCGAATGCAGTGCTCGCTGCGTTTGAAAGCCTTTGCACAGAATGCGCACTTGTATTGACGACGGGGACGACCCCTACGTGGACCACCTGCTATAACCGTCACACTGCTTTCAACGGCCGACGACATAAAGGCGTGTTCATCTGGCTTCAAATAAAGAAGCCATGGAAAGAGGTGAGAAAGAGAAGTTACAGGACATGCCCGTGCAGCACAGTAGGTTCTGGAGAAACGCGGGGAAATGATTTGCTAGGCTAGGGCAGGCCTAGCTTCCCCTCATAACCCGTCCCCGTGGGGTCAGGCGGCATATGAATCAGTCTTGAGTAAGCAGTTATGGGACCAGTCTAAGTGGGCGACTAGCAAATCATATTTCATGGCAACGGATGCAGTAGTTTAGGGGTTAATCCAAGTTTAGTTACGTCAGTGATCATGCCGACCTGATCCGCGGACTAGGTTAGAGGCTGGACAATGCCAGGACCCCGAATGGGATCAAACATTTATCTGACAGTGAATACTAATACCATTACTACCATGTTGCCATGCCAATAATATCATATATAATAATGCTGCTCAATTATCCACAACCACTCCCTCACTGTCCACCTTTACGTCACCCAGCATAAATCCCTCTTTTTCCGCCTTTGCCCACTCCTCGCGTAAAACCCGGGCCCGCGTCTCATTCCGCGCCACGAATCGAGCTTGGAACGGCTTTGGTAGGGTATTGATGCCGGCTTCGTAGGCATCGTCGGATAGATCCGGAGACAGCAGATCTCCATCGGGCCCAATGCCAGGCTCTATGCGGAATGCCCACAAAATCTTGGCCAGCGTGATGAAGAGACTGTTCTCAGCCAGATGCATACCAGGACAGATACGACGTCCAGCGCCAAAGTCAAAGTGGTCGCGATTTTTGCCGTCGCGAGATGCAGCGTATACTCCTGCTTTGTGTGGGTAGCTCAGGTAGCGAGATGGGTCAAATGCTTCGCCTCCATCCTTCCAGCGCCTGTTATCAAAGTGCAGCACGTACTGGCTCATGCACACGACCGTGTTCTTTGGGATGTGGTAGCCCTTGTAATCGATGTCGGCTGTTGTATAGTGTGGCGTTCCGATCGTTGTGACGGGTCTTATACGTAAAATCTCTTTACCGAGAGCACGAATATAAGGTAAATCATCTTCATCTTCGAAAGTGGGTGATCTCTGGTCGCCGACGACCTTGGTTATCTCCTCGCTCGCTCGTTCTTGAACTTCAGGGTAGGCTGAAAGATATAGGATCGCGCTATTAAGAGCTGACGATGTCGTTTCAGAGCCAGCCTCAATCATAGCTGAAGCAGATGTTAGCAGGGATTCCAGTTGATTCACAGTGCAGGGATGGTAAAGATGTAAACTCACATCCCGCAGCGAAACCCGCCTCAACTTCTGAAATGCCTTGCTTCTCAATGTTTGACTCCGCAAGTTGCTTGACAAAGCACTCAGGAGCCCGATTCTCTTTCAGAAGAGTCTGCAGCCTATTCCAGTATCGCATCCACGTCGTTTTCTGCCTTTCGAATGCGGCTTCTGCACTAGGACGCCACCACTGGAGGGCTTTGGGTAGTTTGTCGAGTGGTGGAAACGTGTCGGCAAGGTAGGCGCCTGGTTGAGCAGCTTGTGAAAAGTCGTTGAGAACTTGGTAGACCTCTCGGATATCGTCACAGTCCTATTTAGTTCTCGTTAGCTTCATTGAGTCAACTGAAAACGTAGTCGCTACTTACCCAAGATGGTACACGAAGACCGTATGTGCTGAGCAATACGACCGATGTTGTGTATCGCCGGACATGCATATAGAAGCTTTTCTGATTTTCGTTGTCCGTGGCTATGTCGTGTATCAACTGCTTTGCTTCAAATTCCTGACCAGGCTTGTAAGAGGCCGAAGCTTTAGGTGTAAGCGACTTATGAACAATGGCTCTCATCCTGCGCCACTTTTCCCCGTATGATAAAAGTAGCAGTCGATTATCGCCTGAAAGAATACCCGACACTACTGGCTGTGGCATTCTGCCTGAGGTGATGGCTGACTGCTTGTCGAAAACTTCACGAATATCTGTAGGGTCATTGATGAAGACCCATGTTTCCCAGCCAAGCCTGATGGTGAAAATATCACCAAACTGTTTAGCCCACTGCTGTATTTGGCGATGCGGATTGCGACCGAGTTGGTGAGCGTTCCCTAATATGGGCACTTGTCGGGGACCTGGGATATTGGTAGTATGTTGCCGACTGTGGCGGTAGATGGTGATGGCGAACCATGTCGCGATAAGAAAGAGAATACCAGTAAGGCTAACCAGCGCCATTGTTTATGCAAGGTTTATTTGATATGATACAGAATACTTTGGTTCATTCGCGCCTCACATGTATATTAGTATCGTGCTGTGTATGGGGTACTGTAATGCAACTTCACCTGCATCAGTTACCCCACATCCGGTTGGGAGCATCCCCCACACGGCGAGATATTGAGTGATGAGCCGGTGGGTCGTCCTAAAGCTACCAGCCATAGTGCTAGAGTCGTGTTTACCTGGTAACCCTGGCTGCACACTTGGCTTACTCATATTCTAATTCTTAGGCCTCGACAGCAGTCCGCTCCTTTTTTCACCACTTAATCATCCATTTTTCAGGTTGATCGGGTCTGTTTCCCAATCTTACCCACTATATCTAGTTGCTTGATACCATTCAGAAAGTAATTTACATCTACGTCGCCTGAAGGCCAGCTGTGTGCATTCTATAGATCAATACAGCTACAAATTCGGCGGACGCTGACACCATGTGCCCCGTGTTATCCACGTAGAAGAGGGACTTGTCATGAACAACGCTTTCTTTACACCCACAAGCGTACATGAAACAAGGGCTTAGATTCACTTTGTTTCTATTTATAAATAAATGAAAGTGGTTGTATTACCAGAGAACGAAGAACTCATCTGAGTTGTACTTGTATTCATTCAAGGTTGCTCACCAACTCGAATTCTCTCCTGAGCACCACTATCGAACAACGGATGCAGAAGTGACATTAATACCACATCTGATCCGTCCTTGATGAACTCGGCGTCATGAGCCATAGCGATATACATACCGTAATGACTGACCGCTTCCCTTAACTTGGCAATAGTAGTATGCGCGGCGGCGAGATCCTCGTGGAGACAGACCCGCAATCCCTCAGGTGCTTTAACTACAGCTATCTCTCGAGTACCATCAAAAATACTTCTGGGGTAATCATTGCGTGAGTTTGATTCTCATGAAATGGATAGAGATCAACTTACTTGGAGTGACAGCAGTCGCTGGCCAAGAGTACATGGTCTCCAGACTCCAATCTCACGCACGCTGCTAGATTTCCCGCCATATGTCCAGGCGCCTGTATGATCCAGAAGCTTCCATCACCCAGAAAGTCCATTGCATTTCCAAACGGTCCCCACGACTTCCAAGGCCCATCAAGCTCAGCGAAGGCGTCTGTAATGACATTCTCATCGCCGAAGAACCGGGAGTCCCATTGGACCATTGGCTGAATCTCGCCTTTTGTAATGTGTCCCGGTGAACAATGCGATGTAGTCCCAGGCCCAAAAAGGGCCTTTGCGTTTGGAAACTCGCCTTTTAATGGGCGGCAATGATCCCAGTGCGCGTGGCTGTTGAAGTCATTGAAGTTAACAAATTATCTCACCAAGACCAGGTGCGTACTGAGGATCAATACCTGAAGATTACAAGGTCGATCGTCTCTGGTTGAACGCCAATCTTTTGCAATTGGGCTACGAGAGAAAGACGTGGTCCAACAGGGTTGCAACTTGGCCAATGGTAGTTCAAGATAAATGGAGTATACAAGCTACGGTCCTACAAGAGGTGGTTAAAAGCGTCTTCTGGACAAGGGATTCGTCGACTCACGTTGCTAATTCCGAGATCCCATAAGATTCTCTTTCCTGTAGGTTTATGATGGATGTAAAAGCACCAGTCGTATAGATAATAGGGTCTGTCATGTCCATCAGCATGAATCCGCCAGTCGTCAGTCGTAGTAAAACCGCCTCCGTCAAGCAATACGACATGAACTGATCCGCTAGTTGGGGGAAGCTCTTTGACTTGTGACATGGCGAACTGAGAACTTAATGAACATGCTACTGTTGACATATATTTCGAGGATCGAGGTTATATATTGCCCCACGTTTGCCACTGTTACCCCGCCAATCTCTGAGTGGGGACTTCTTTTCGACGAATCTACGCTTAGTTAAATCCAGGCTGGTTGTGTGATCAGGCAGGGTCGCAGTGATTTTGAAAATAAACGGATGCTTGGTAATCAAACTCTGTAACTGTTTAGCAATTTAGATATTGATATTGGTATAGGTGGTAGTATAGACCAGATCTCAGCCATTAGTGTTGATCGTAGAAGGTATCCACTGTGACAGATTCTCTTGGCGTCACGCCTTTGCATATAAGAAGATCGCTCCTTGACCGAAAAGGCAATGGTATTCAGTAGTATATATGACGTAGCTATCGCAGGCAACCTATTTTATCCTAATTTCTTTTGCTTTAACCTTCAACTCTCCTAACCATAACCAGGTTTTTAACAGCCACGTATATTCTATATGGGGATGCTATATCTTGGTATAAAGCTAATAATCCTATGTATAAGAAGATAAAGAAAATACTATCGATATCTATAATGGCTATGACTAACTAGCTAAGTTCTAAGATGGCCATTGTTAGGATTATAAATTTTTAGATATCTTAGGTAAAAGATATAGTTAGGTTAGGAATAAAGAATATTAAAGCCAAGTAGCTATTTTAAGCTATATATGTAAATATACTTAGAATATGTGTTATGTATCGTGATACTTTAGTTACACGCTTCTCCTTAAAAGATGTAGGAAATATTAGGCCTGCCATGTATGCCAGTCAAGTTAGCTTGTCAGTATAGTTGTTTGGTTCATTCACTCATTATCTACGTTATATCCTTTGACTGCTCACCCTCGACTTTAGCAGGCAAGTTGGACTCTCTGTGTACCAATTCATTTGCGCGATTTTCGTACACTATAAAAGCAAGCATGTTTGTTGTTTAGAAAGGAATGTTGAAAGCCAGCCTTTTGCCCAACATTGACACCGCACTAGACGCCAATATGATACTAGCATACCGTAAAGTATATCATCTCTATGAACTTCAAACTACTAATTTGTTCAAGTAGAGAAAACGGTCATTAAGTCCCGTCCTCAAATAGCGTAAAGGGCCCAGATTTGGTTGGGACTACCTTCAACACAGGGCATAACTCTAATCCTTTTGCTGAATTTAGGTTAGTCTAGTCATTGTTTGCGGTCTAGGTGTACATACTCATTGACGTGGTATGTAGGATTCTCAAGATCAATGTGGCCACCTCCAGCGTTCGCTATTCTAGGATTCGGAATGTCAGTAACATATTTGACAGGAAGATTGGACTTGCTCTTACCTGTAGCCACGGCCATTCGAGACTTTCTCGATAGTCCATTGATAGGAGCCGCTTATGGACGTAACTGGACCCTCGTTCCTTATTTCCGTGCCACCGTCTTGAACCCAGAGCCATTTATCTTCACCAGGACCTCTTATCCACCATCGAGAAGTTGGGTTTCCCGGATCGACCTTTGTCAGTTTGAACTTGTGCCAGTTGTTGATGTAGTCGTAGCTGTAGCCGTGAACACGGGAGCCATCTTGAAGAAGGTCATTAGTGTGGTGTTCAACGAGATCATATCAGGCTACTTACTCGCGTCACCACCGTCGACACATATGCCACTGTAGCCTCCGTCCATGCTCGCCATATTTACTATGGCAACTTCCCTCTGGTGCCACCCGGCGCCAAGATTATTGTTGGAATCGAACTGTGGCTCGGCAATCTTCTTGAAATTATCGCGCTCCATCATAAGCTCGGACTTGATTTTTTCTGCCGCCTCGAGATTTGTCTTGAAGCGATCACGCTCGCCCTCAAACTTGACTCTCTGTTTCTCCAGTTGGTCGCCGCATTCTGAGAAAGCATTATTTATTCTATCCTGATACTCCCGGCGAACTGCATTGAGGTTTTTAGTGACAGTGACCTTGTTCTTGGTGTTAAAGGCAGTTTTGAACTTGTTCGCAGGGATCAGGGCTTTCCACGCGTTGGGAGGCTGAAGTCGGTCGAAGTCGAAGGCCAACTGCTCGGTCCCGTAACTTGGCTCCAGGGAGTCGTTCACATCGCCATAAGACCTCACACCGTTTGTCCCCACTGCTTGTGTCGGAGTCGACACCTTCATATTGGTAGAACGCGTAGGGCCCTCGTGGTCTTTCTTCCATTTCTGTCGTACCAGAATCCATGGATCCCGACTGATTGCATCAATTGCGTCTACAATCTTTGCCATCTCTTCTTGTATTCCCCTTCTAGCATTGAGCAGTTTCTCCAGCGGTAAGTCTGCTGGAATATTGTCACCATCACGTCGGTCTGTGCTACTCATCTCGTCCATAGCCACTTGGAGGTCGTTAAGGAGACAACTGTAGCTCATGAAGTCATCGAACAACGTTGCTGCGAGGTCTTGTATCAGAGTATAGTCCAACATGACGTATTTACTGGAACCAAGCGACTCTTGAAATCTTGGGTTGGACTGATATCTGGTCACATTGACCCAAGCTCAGCCTGCGCCCTTGGTCACTGTCTTAGGAAACTCTAAGACGGCTTCAAGCATTCTTTCTATGCTGTCACTCTCACTATCTGCATACTGGAGTCAATACTCTCGGTATGTTTCACTGTTTAATATAGTTGCTTACCGATCTTCAGATAACCATTTTCAGAGCACGATACGCTGGCATGAGTTTTAGTCCCCTTCAATGCGAGAGCAAGTGGATTTGAGCTCCTTTCCCGATAGGCTTCCAGCATTGACTCTACTGGGTTCTCGTCGTTTTTAAGATCCAGCAAATGCTCAAGTGCATCCACAGTTTCTTTTACCTTATGTCTGTCGAGAACAGCGATGGAAAGAACCACTACAGCGATTCCACCCTCGACTATTCCTGAGTAATAAGAATCGCCATAGGTCTCATTGAAAAGATGAGTCCCAGGTTGTATCCCGCCCCCCAGTTGCATCTTCAACTCATCAGCTTGCATGTATCGCTCACTACTCACCACGCGAACCGCTATTAAGATGTCGATGTCAGCTGAATTGAACATTGTCTCATCCACCACGCTGATGGCATTCTCGAGTGATAGGGATCTCCTCTTGATGCATGAATGGTATGAAACTCCAAGACAACTGGCGATCTCGCTGAGCCTGTGGACGACCTTGAATTCGTAATGGACACTACTCTGATCCTTTGTTAGGTCTATAGTCTATGACATATCATGTGGTCCAGCTCATGGGTGCTTACATCGGATTGATCGATTAAGCTAGCTTCAACACGTTTGGCGAGGCAAGGTTGGAGCGCTTCAGAAAACTGTCAATAAACTGGATCTCTTCGTAGCAAAAACTGCAAGCCACATGGGTAAAGTTAAGCTTACTGAATGAGTTAACTCTAAGAAGATGAATCAGTAAGCATTCTGAGTACTGTGAGTATTTTATATCACTTACCCCTGACCAAGACGCGTTACATCACTGTAGGACACCCGTACGGAACCCATACTCATGATTGTTATTGCTGCCCTCAAGCTGGTGGTATTGCTTCAAGATGGCGATAGCAATGATCTCTCAGTGAAGATAGGAACGTCACTCTTTTCACCACTAGATAAGGACGGAAAAGCTATGTTCGGTAACCAGGGAGACGGAGCTTTTGACCATCATGACCTGTCTTTTACCGCTCTGGTTTTCAATGTGGGTTCAAGCGGAGGCCACATCGAGACTAATATTCGTGTCTGCGGAAAGGCGATCCAATCAAGCACACGAGTCTACTACCACGGCGGTAGGATTAAACTGGTAATCCCTAAAACTAATACAGTTACATTTTAAAGATAAATACAGCCTAAAATTGAAGATATATATTACAGAATGTATGTCATTGACGGTGAGGTTGCTCCACTCAACGTGCTGGATACAGCCGGCTAGGAGGGATACTCGGCAATGAAGGAGCAGCACTCTCTGCCAGACTTCGATAGACCCATTCGTAACCCAGCGTACTGACGAGCGACCTCCTCTACGTTTACGAAAAAGGTTTTCAATCTGCAGCCGGCTTCGTTGCAGTGGGTTTCTGCCATTCTATTGTGATATTAAAGCTCCACAGGTCTATGCGCGCCTGTGAAATTATCGCCCCGTCTAATCCCACATATCAGAACGCAGTTCACGGTCTCTACGTTATATAATAAAAGTTAATATATAATATCAAGTCTTTAATAATGATGCTTGATGCAAAGACTCATTCATTCTTACTCCTGCTTTATGCTATTTCTAAGCCCACGCATCTCTCGCTAACCGCAAGACGAACTACGTTTTACATGATAGTGCATTCAGTAGCGAATGTTTTTACAGCTAATTCTTTTGTCTTCTCTTGAATTCAACTGTTGCAGTCATATTCGGTAAGAACTGTGTCTCAACAGGGACGCTCTCAGGACGTGTCTGACCTTGTGAGAATCGCATGTCATATTCTCGTAGAATAAAGCTCATAATGGCCTTGATCTCCTGCGCAGCAAAGAACCGCCCAGGACACGCATGTCTCCCGTACCCAAAACTCATGGACGATGTGTTAGACGCGACATACTGCGAGCGACCATCCAGTTCTGGTTGAGCTGCCCGAAGAGTGGAAAAGCGGAAAGCATCGAATTTGTCCGGGTTGGGATATAGAGACGAATCCATGCTAACGGCCTGGGTTGGGATTCCAATGGTCGTGTTTGCTGGGATTGTAAACCCGGAGGACAGTGTGAAGGGAGCGTGAACGATGCGCTCAAAAGTAACTTACGATTGGGTTAGCCTGTAGTCACCAATCGAGCTAACATTAAGACGTACTCAGCAAAAGAGGGTTAAATCTCTGACTCTCCTTCATGACGCTATCCATCTTGACCATCTTGTGAAATCCCGACTTATCTATACGACCATCAGGACCACAAATACTATTCAACTCATGCCGTAAAGGTTCGATAACTTCCGGGTGAGCGCACAAGTCAAATATCAGTTGAGACGGAGCCGCTGCACTGGTATGAATTGCAGCAAAGCTGACCTTGAGTAGGATACCAGCGAGAAATTTGAGATCTCTCTCATCGCCCTGAGCCTGGTCAGCCATCCAGTATAGTAGATCGACTGCCTTCTCCCCCTTGCGCTGGCGACTTTGTAGCAAGGGGATTGCAGCTTCCTCAGCAACTGCGTAGTAGGAAGCTATTCTGCGGATATCGGACAGGTAGCGAGCTACAAAGGGCTTCATGAACTCTGGATACCTTTTGAGCTTCTGAGCACCGGTGAATCCGTCTAGAGCGAAGTTGATAGATGCCTCTAGCCATTTTTCATTGTGAGATAGAGTGGTACCTCCAAACATGCGGCTGGACACCCTTGCCACGATTTTAGTCATGGCTTCGACTACGGGCACGGGCGTCCAATCTAGGAAGGTAAATAATCGCACAAAGGATGTCAGACATATGGAGAACCCTACCTTGGCACTTCGGGAACAGGTCGCGAAAAGAGTCTTCAATTTCTTCTTGCACACCAGGCATCACAGCGGCTTGTAGGTCAGCTCCTGGACTGGACACAATTGTCAAAGCCATGGTGGAGACTTACATAGATGCTGATTCAGTTGAGCTTTGATGACACGAGGATGCAGCGTAGAGCGGCTGCCCATGGTGGTGTATTTGCCTTCAAACATCTTATTGGTAAATATAGGGCTTTCGACAATATTTGGCAGCCACTTCTTACCTCAATGAAAGTCCCCACGAAATCTACATGATTCACTGGAGCAGTCTTGAGCTCATCCAGATATTTCAGTGGTATCATCAGCCGCTCCCCGAGTGGGCTAGGTAAGTAAAAGAAACCACCAGTTGTCTGCAAGCTGTTAGAATCCAAAGTGCGCGGTCTAGGATAGAAATCTAGTAATAGATACCTTATGATAGCCCTCTTCCAACATATCTTTGGAATTCTGTCGAAACCTCTCTCGGTTCTTTCTGATACTCGGCTTATCATCTCCCCCTACTACTAGGATTCCTGGGACTAGACGTTGCTTCTTTCGGCGTAAATAAGTGTGGCTTATGAGAATCAGGGAGCATGAAATAAAAAAGCATATTGTTGGTGTGAAAGACACGATTTGGCGAGAAGTATGCAGAAGCCTTATGAGGGGCGCAGGTATGAAATCAAGGATTATCCCCATCTTTGGCTCAGCCGGCAATCGTACACTGATAGTTGCAAAATTGCAAAATTGTAAAGATAGAACTGGAACTGTCCCAGATGATCGGCACAATTAGAAATTTGGTATAAAATGCAGAGAACTAGAGTCAGGCCTAAGCTCGGATAAGCCAATACCCGATTGATGCCCTGTTCTGAGAAGATAACGGAGATACTGAAATAGGAAATACGCCGAACATCAACGAAAGCTTAAATCCTCATATTGATGACCTTGCAGTACGAGTTCTCAATTTACTATCGAATCAAGACGCGCCAAACGAAGAAGAAGGTCTCACTCTAAACATTCATGATGTCGACTACCAACGGAAATGGATCAATTTATCCTAATGGGACTAATGGAAACTCTGATGGCTTAGCCACTGACCCTCTTCAGCCATACAAGACCGAAAGGTTCGATGACGGGTTTAGGTATGATACTATACAGGTTCACGGAGGCCATAGGCCCGATAAAGTGACACATGCAAGAGCTGTTCCTATTTACAATAGCGTGGTAAGTTGTCCGATGGCGTGTATTGATGGAATTAACGGTCTCTAATGTGCTCTAGTCTTTTGTTTTCACAGATAGCGAACACGCTAGAGGAATCTGCTCCATGAAAGAAGGCGGTTTCTTCTACAGCCGTATCTCTAACGTGAGTCTCCACTTCGTTCATTAATAGTCATATACATACTCACACACTTTCCTTGTGAAGCCCACGGTTGCTGTTTTTGAGAAGCGCTCTGCAGCTCTTGAGGGAGGCACAGCAGCCGTTGCCACAGCCTCGGGACAAGCTGCTATATTCAACACTATTATCTGTCTTGCCGGAGCTGGTGACAACATTGTCGCTTCAATCAACCTATACGGTGGCACATACAGCCTTTTCAAAACACTTCTGCCACGTCTTGGAATTACTGTTCGATGGGCGTCGCGGGAAGTACCGCAGGAGTTTGCTAAGCATATCGACGACAAGACAAAACTACTCTTTGTCGAGACTATCGGAAACCCACGATGCAGCGTTCCTGATCTCCAGGGGTTAGGCGACTTGGCTCACGAGCATCGCCTTCCGTTTGTGGTATGTTTCCCCTTGCTTGTCATTCTTGGTAGACCTGTCTTTTAACATCTATCATTAGGTTGACAACACATTCGGTGCCTGTGGAACCTGGTGCCGGCCCATCGACTTCGGCGCCGACATCATCGTGCACTCAGCTACCAAGTGGATGGGTGGCCATGGCACCGTCGTCGGCGGTGTCATAGTAGACTGCGGCACTTTCAACTGGGGTGAGGCTGTTGACCGCTTTCCCAAGATGCTTCAGAAGGACGGACCTATGAGCTTTTCTTACTGGAAGGCCTTTGGAAACATCGCTTTTGCCATGTCTCTGAGGCTTGACATTCTTATGGAAGTCGGATCGATTCTCAACCCTGCATCTGCGCAGCAACTCCTGATTGGCATGGAGACTTTGAGTCTTCGCTGCGAACGCCACGCCACCAACACCATGGCTGTTGCGCGCTATTTGGAATCTCATCCTAGGGTCGCATGGGTAAACTATCCTGGTGAGTATTCTGTATGTGGGTACGTCCTACGAACAAGTGTGACTGACATTAAATCATATAGGCCTCGAGAACAACCAGTACCATGCGAATGCGAAGAAATACCTCAGGAAGGGCTTTGGAGGTGTACTCTCCTTTGGCCCCAAAGGTGGCGATGTGGCAAGCAAGATGCTGCTGAACTTTGTCAAGATTATATCCCACCAGACGAAGTAAGTCCCCCATACCTTGGTAGCACTGAAACATCGAGCTGATTGATTTCTAGTGTCGGCGACTCCAAAACGCTGGCTACTCACCCATGGAACTCTACCCACGTTATCATGTCCGAAAAGGATAGACGTGAGGCCGGAATCACACCTGCAAGTCAACCCCCAGTATCCAATCAAACAACAGTGCTAATCTTACAAGGCTTTCATTCGTTTCTCGGTAGGAACCGAGGATGTTAATGACATCATTGGTGATCTTGACCAGGCTCTCGCAAAGCTACCCGCTGACCTCGTGGCCGAGCATGATCAGAAATTGGAAGTTAAGGTTCGTGAAGTTGCCGCCAAGGTGGAAGCAGGCGAGAAGATGTCCAATGGCATCGAGTACACGGATGCGGATGTCAACACGTCGAGATCAAACGTTCCACTCAGTCTGCAAACGATGCCTGGAAATGCATAGATATCTGCAATGTCATGATTTCAAAGGAAATGCAATAGATGAAATCTATTCGTAGAATCGACATCACTAGTTACTTGAATTTATATTTCCTCTTCCTATATTATGCTGACACACCCTCACCCTAATTAATTCTGACACATTAAGAACCTTCCGTGTCTATAATTAAAATTGCGATTTATTTGTTTTATATACGTGGATGTCGCCTACGTTAGTCAGATTTAAATATGCCTCGAGACGTTAGGCCTAGGACTCGTCAGCGGAAGAGAAGCAACTGATAGAATTACACACTGTAGCGAAATTGTTCCTTAAGACCAGTTCTTAATGCTGGGGTAAAGTGTGCTATTATTCAAATGCTCAGATCAGAACGTCAAGAAGCCTATTCTAGAAATATGCTTAGTCCCAAATTAAAATTTACACGTTGTTATACCGAGGTGTCAACCTGCTCCATGCTTCGTTGCCGCTCATTTGATACTCCAGTCCTTTCATAAAGGCCTCCAAGTCTTTGCTGTATGGCATCGACTGCATCCGATCTTTAGTAAGATTATCATGCACGAGTTCCCATTCCCGACACATAGTCCACAAGACTCGCTTCGACGCTGCAATGCTCAAACTGGTTTCACCAGACAAGACTGACACGGCTGAGCAAACAGCTGAGCCTTCTGGATGACCCTCATACGACGCTTTAAGCTCCTTCTCCCAGCTGTAGATATCGTTGACAACGGAAATATGCTTGGCGCAGTTCAGTTCCAATTCGTTCACGGACTCTAGTTCCTCTGGACTAAGGTGCAGCTTCATACAGAAACGCATAAGTGCCGAGAGTAGGCTAACGACAGGTCAATATCATCTTCGATGATAAGTGTGAGTAGGTTGGAAGTGATGGAACTCACGCTTGTCCAACGTCACCCTCACGGTACTTCAAGTACCTGCCAAGCTCCTTAATGTTCAGGCGAGACTTGTCTGTTTGCGCCCGCATAAAAGTGAAGACTGGCTCTAAAATATGATTTGCCAGTTCTTCATCGCACTTTCGCATATCTCTCCATAGATCATGTGTAATCCACTCGACTGGGATGTCCGGACATGGGACTGTTTCGTTCTTGGAAATGAGGATTAGCCTCTCGTTGTAATCGGAACCGGCCTGAAAAGACATATGTTCCAGCAAGTCCATTGCAATGTTAGTTCAAGTTCAACCAGCTGCTTGTAGAAACCCACCATCGATCAGGAAAAGCAATGTCAACAGACGACAAGCAAGTTCTATCCTATCATCAAGGGCAAGAGGATTATAATAGCAGGTGACTTGCGAGAATCCAGCGGCAATGAACTTTCTTTTGGCTTTATCGTTGGGGAAGGGCCAATGTTTCAAGAAGTATCCGTTCACTTCAGCAGAGACCTCTACCTCCCGAGGATGAATTCGGGGAGTGAAGCGAGATATTGTTACCTCATCAAGGCTTTCAATTTGCTTAGGGCCGTCTTCAATCTCCTTTACATAGCTATGTAGCCATCTTGGAGTGACGAATAGCAACATAGATGCCAGGGAAGTAATTGAACTCATTTTGGCTACAATAAAAAAGGGTGTGTCGAGAATTGTGGAAGTGGTACTAAATCAAGAAAGAAAACAGAAATGTGCAGCCTTGGTCATTATTATTAAATATACACAAGGTGAAAATTAGCAAGGCTTTCGAGAAGTTCTATAATGTTCATAGTCTGTGATTGAAATGAATTAGTTGCAGGAACGTTGCTAGTCGGTGCGCTTCCTATTTAGGAAATGTTGCGGTTTCGGAAACACTTTGACTTGGGACAACGACGGAAAGTAAGTATCACACAGCGAAAGTCAACATGCTATAGCGTAGTAGAAATGTCAAAAAACAAATCTAGCAAATTAAATAACTAGCCACTGCCACTCATGGCTTTACAACTGTCTAAAGTCTGTAGCTGCTTGCTGCATCCTAGTCTCGGAGAGATTCGCCTCCCCGAACCATAATACGCGCGCATCGGAGATGGGACCTTCAAGCTCCGTGTATCTATCCCCTAATGTCAAGATAGCTCGTCCATTCCAGCGCCCTGGCAACCCCTTCCACTCCTCCGTGTCTTTCCCGTATCCCTCTACCTTGTGCTGTTCTAAAGCAGTTGCCGAGTATGCAACAGCAAGCCCCACAAAGTGAGCACTACTAACGGGCAATCCGGCTGCTATAATTGGGGCTGCCAGATCCGCCGGTAAAAGCTTGGTGATGGTCGCGGCTGGTACAACAGTGTTGATAGTGATCCCAGTGTCGCTGAGGTTAGAGCGCATTGCTCGAATAAAATTGACCAACTGCGGTGCATGTTAGTTTATCCGATAGAGATAACGGGTCTGACGAATACGTACCGCGGCTTTCGTAGCACTGTAAACAGGCAGAGACTGTTCAGCAGAGTACGCCGTTGCACTCGAAGTTATCACTATGCTGCCCTCGACAGAATTTTTCTTCATGCCGTGCAAGGCAAGTTTGACAAAGTTGAGAGTTCCTCGGAGATTGACATCGATGACCTTGTATACCGGCTCGACCAAGTCACCCCTCTCATCATACGTATCGTTGAGATAATCTGCGTCTTCGCTTACTCCGGCATTAGCGACAGCGATGTGAAAAGCTCCGACCCTCTTCAGTGCTGCAACGATATCAGACCATTGGGTAATATCGCAATACAAGTACTTTATTCCTTGTGGAATAAATGCATTCGGCTCTTCTCTATCAAGGATGTAGACTTCGGCGCCTTTATTGGCAAATATGGTGGCCGTAGCCCATCCAATTCCAGATGAGCCTCCTGTTGCAGTCAGTTAGAGCGAGTGGACGTGTGGAGTAAATCGAACCAGGGTTAGACTAACCAGTTATAACAGCAATTTTCCCATCCAAGTCCGGGATATCCTTCCCTTGAATTCGTAACGTCGTCATGTTGGCTACCAGGTACTGTGGATGCAGTGATAGACAGTTTCACAAGATAAAAAGATTAAAAGCCTCCAGAACGCTGAAATTATTCTTGTTCAGCAAACCACAAGTCTACGATTAGCGGCACCCATCGGCGGATTTCCTAATTCGGAAATTGCGACACGCCGAGCGCATGGCGTCTGTAGCTGGATGAAAGTGATAGACTCAGTGCACGCTTACTTCTCATTTCGATACTTCGTTTTCTCGGACCCGGTTCTAGACATCAAATTGAAGCTCCCGCACTGTTGGCAACATCATAACGAACGCATGATGGCATCTCGTCGCTCAACTGCACAGGTGGTCAGAGATTTGATGGTTGGCATGAAAGATCTTTGCAGCCCGGATTACAAAATGCTTGCTATTTTGACCCTCTTGGTAGATTTTGTAGCCCATGGCGGTGTAGGGAACGAGATTTTATTTTACTGATGCGCGACAGGTCCTTACCAGTTTTGTCTTGGTTAAGCTGGTCATTGTGAATAGACATCCGCTCTCTCGGTTCCCAGGTCCATTTAGTGCTAAGTTCAGCAATGTTAGTAAACGCTGTAAGAATCCAGAACTAAGCCAAAATAAATCTGACACCTATATGGCAATAGCTCTCTCATTGTCGGCGCTTTATGGGAGGCAGACAACCCTATGAGATGCTCAAGCTCCACGAGAAATACGGTCAGTCATAGATGAAATACCAATTTCTAGCTATTACTAACTGTGCTGCTCAGGTCCTGTCGTCAGAGTCGCTCCTAACGAGCTCTCCTTTAATTCATCAGGCTCATGGAAGGATATCTATGACAAAAGAAAGGGACACTTACCATTTATAAAGAGCGAGTTCTATGATGGCGGTAGCTTCGCGGCCGAGGCTCATTCGATCGTCAGCGAACGTGACCCGGAGAAACACGCCCAAATGCGGAGATATCTTCGTGACGCCTTCTCGGACCGTTCTCTTCGCGAGCAGGAGACTTCCATTAACCAAGCTATTGACGAGTTCATGGATAAGATCGGGGAAGTCGGGGCCTCACCTTCTAGTATTGACATTATTATGTGGTTCAACTTGCTAACCTTTGACATCATCGGCGATTTGGCGTTTGGGCAATCGTTTGGTGGAGTCTTATCCGGTAAGCTCTTGATAGTCTCTCTGTTTAATGGTGCCTAGCTTATCAATTCTCAGGAGCCGAGCACTTTTGGGTTTCTATTGTAGTCAAGAGTCTGAGGATGGGGGCTCTCGCTGACTGTTTTAACCGTTTTCCTTGGCTAGGTGCCATCTTTCAATTCTTGTTTCCTGCGTTACTGAAGAAGCTCATTGAGGACACTAGGAAGCACGAGGCATATACTATGGGTCTTGTCAAGAAGTAGGTTGTATTCTGTGGCCCGTCATCCCATTCACCATACTAAGTTTTGTCAAAGGAGAAAGACACAGGATAGTTTCCGCAAGGATTTCTTAACCAAGATCATGGAGGCAAGGGCATCCGAAGATATATCTGATATACAGATAGCAGCACACGCTTCAGACTTTGTGTATGTTCTTTCCTGACCACCTTACTCTGTGGCTAGCTACTAACCAATTCTCAAGCATTGCTGGGAGCGAGACAACAGCCACCGCTCTATCGTGCACTACATACTATCTACAAAAGAACGAAGAAATACTGAAGAAACTGCGACAGGAGCTTCAGCGCAATTTTAATTCGTGCCAAGAGATCGATAATGCATCAACTTCCGGGTTGCCTTACCTAAACGCGATTATCCTGGAAGGAATGAGAATTTATCCACCACTGCCCTTCCCTCTGCCACGTGTAGTGCCAGAGGGTGGAGATACGGTTGATGGTCATTTCATTCCCGCTGGGGTAAGTATTCACTTGACCCATCCATCCTTGGCCTCCAAAACAAGAGAGTGTGACGCAAGCTTTGCTAACATCCTGGCATCAGACCATCGTCTCGACCAACCCGTTCGCAGCTTCTATGTCACCGAGCAATTTCAAGAACCCTTGGGCTTTTGACCCTGACAGGTGGCTGTTTTCAACAAAAGATGATAACCGGGAAGCCAGTCAGCCATTTTCCCTCGGCACAAGAGGCTGCCTTGGCAAGAGGTAAGTAGCTTACACATTCGTCTTTCCATATGCTAAGTCTTGGATTTTCTAGCCTTGGCTGGCTCGAAATGCGAACAATTCTTGCCAAGATGTACTTCAAGTATGATCTGGAACTGGTGGACCATTCGCTGGATTGGCATGTTCAGTCACAGATGCATACACTCTGGCAGAAGCCGGTGATGAAGGTTGTGGTAAAACCACATTGCCTCTGATTTTCATGCCGATATGGCCCTGGATAGTATTGCAGATAGCATGCCTTCGACAAAGTTAAATCATGTATTGCAGGTTTTCGAGATAGATAGACTTGAATATAATAACAGAATTAGCAAAACAGCCTGAGGAATTTCGTTCATTGACTAGAATCTCTGTTATTACAACTATTTTCAATACCGCGAATGGCCAATATATTTTAGCTTAAACCCTCGATCAAATGATCTCTATGATAATTGCGTTACCGCTTTGAAGGAAGAGACAAGCACCTGAACGCTATCAGATCCTATTTCAATCTTCACAAGGTACAACAGTAGCATATAACACTACAACATATAAAACACCCGAAGGGTCATCAATTCACTATACAGCAGCAATCTCTTGCGCCTCCCTGTCTACATCAGGGTCCCAGTGCCCAACATATCCATCCCTTCCTGTAAGGTAGGTTCCCTCCGCTTGCTCCTCTTCAGACGCACGAAACACGGCGTGTTTCTTGTTAGTCCACTCCAAGCCCTTCCACGTCTTTCCTTCAGCATCAGTGAACTCGGAATCCATTTCCGGGCGTAGCAAGTACACAATGGAATACTTTTGTCTGATCTTTTCGTCCTTGTGGGGGATGATGCGATGAAGACTAGACTCAAGGACGCCGCCAGATATAAACCGCAAGGCATCTCCGACATTGACCACTGCATGCCCATGCTTGGGCGGAATCCAGTACCACTCCTCTTCCTTAGGCTTGAGGACTTGTAGACCGGCGACTTCAGTGAATACTATAGACAGACTGCCGGCGTCTGTGTGGGCGATCTGGCCTACTTTGTTGGGCTCTTCATCTGCAATCGTGTATTTCAACAGGCCTAGAGCGGTCGGACAAACTGCATTCTTGCGATGGTATTGCTCGTAGGCTTGGCTCTCATCCAAGCCCAAGGCAGTAGAGAGGCGAGAAAGAAGAAGTATGCTAATCTCCCGGAAGCTGGCCATAACTGCTTTCAGTTGGTCAAGCCGGGAGGCGATGACTTCAGGACCCGGAAATGTCGCAGGGTCCTTAATACGTAAAATTGGTCGTTCCATCAACTGTGACGTGAGTAAGCCTCTAATTAATATACCGAGGAAACAATCTTACCATTGATCCTTCAAAGCCGTCCTTCTTTCCTTGAACCGGCCCATTACCGTGTCCAGCAGGCTTATATCTGTCATCGCGGCAACCGTTAGCGAATTCCAAATTGGGCTATTCGAGGTCTTTTGGCTTACCCAAATACCAGATCCGCATCATGGTCTCTATCAACGAACCATTTCAACTTTTCCTCTTGAGGCAGGTCATAGAAACTGGTCGCGAGTTCATACATTGACTGGACCTCCTTCATAAGGCCCCCGGATGCAACCTCACGACAATCGAGATAAAAGAAACCTAGTCCAGTACATGCTTTGAACAGTTGAATGCTTGTTTCCTTGTCACCGTCGATGAGCTTTTGCATGGATATAACGCGCAAGGCTGCGTCGCCCTTTGGAGCTTTATCTGCATAGTGCATTATGAATTGATTATGAGGAAATCACTATTTCATGAAATCCGGTACGCTGTATTGGAATAGTAGATGCCCGTTACCTTCAAGTTCAATCATCCATTATAATAGACTTTCATGCTGATCAAAGGCTCGGGAGATTTCCCATTTCGGAACGCCGAGTTGCTTTGAGCCTACCCTACATGCCCGATGATGAAATTGTTAAATATGTTATTTGTAAATATCAAGAGACAAAGAGTACGCTTTGCCGAATTGATTTTAAATTTTATTGATACAAATAAGCATTCGGTGTTAATTATATAAAGTAAAGAAAGTTATGCTGCCACCTTTTAGGATGAAGACAGGCAGGGCCTCGTATCAACTGGTTAAACGGCATAATGCCTACTCTCTTAAAACAATATAATGACATAGGTAAATAGAGGAAATAGAAATTGGAAATCCAGAAGGTCTATGTCCCCAAATACGAAGTTTTAATCACTCCCATTGACCTTTCTAAACCTGACATTTAGTGACGGCTTCCACCACATGACATGCATTCGACTTTGTCCCAACCAATCCAACTGATCGTCGACCAGCTCTAGATCATAATCATAATGTAATTTCGACAAGATCAAGCCAATCTCCATAATAGCGAAGCTATTGGAGATGATCTAGTGTCAGCCATGTTACAGTAGTGTTAACCTTTGGAATTACGTACTTCTTTCCAACGCAACCACGTGGCCCCAGCGAAAAAGGCTGGCTGGCCTCAAGATTGTCGTTGCAGCTCTTGTCCAACCACCTCTCTGGCTTGAACTCGTAAGGTAGGTGAAAGTTGTTCTCATCGTGAGTAACTGTCCATACACTGGTGTACACTTCCGTCTATAATATCTTGTAAGCTCTTATCGACATGAGGCGGTGTGAAAGAGGCTCATACCCCTTTGGGAACCCATGACCCGGCAATTGTAGCGCCTGGACAGATCCTGGGGAAGCCTTGCGATCCTGGAGGGTATATTCTCAAACCTTCAGCGATTACAGCTTGAAGATATGGGAGCTGAGCTGCTAATATGGCCGTGATGTCGGCGGTAGATGCAAAACTACCCCTTATCTCGGCTCGAAGTCTTTCATAGACGGCTGGTGTTTTGACAAGAAAGTATGTCACGCCGGCAAGGAATGTAGCAACAGTCTCCCCACCAGCGATCCTATTTGGGGTGGTCAGTCTGGTAGCAATTGTTCTTTACTGGGGTAGACGAACACTAAAGTTGATGCATGTGCTGTCATCTCTTCTTGAGAAATCTCGCCCCTTTTGACCTTCCCAGCGACAACGGTCAGAAAGTCATGGCGCCCTTTCTCGGCATCCAGCCTCCTAAGTGTTTATCAGCTTACAGGTCCTATCACTTACTTCTCACGACCGCACACCTACCTGGCAACCTTATTTCTGCTATACCCGGAATGCTTGTCACGAACATGTACTGTAAGCTTTGGTAACAGCCTTCGTCCTATGGCCGTCAACAGCGGAAAGCGGCGCAGGTTGTCAAGAACTGTGATAAAGAACAGGTGTTCTACGATCATGTCTGACCAGAAGTGCGATTTTCCTTGAGTATAATTCTTTAGAATACAATCGTATAAGAATGGGGATATATAGCTGTACCTGTCTCGATGCAATGAAAAGTCTCTCCAAATGCCATCTCGCCTAAAATGTCAAAGGCAATCATTTCGAACCATTTCGTCATATTCAACCCTTGCTTGAAGCATCCATCTTGCCCAAGGCGACGGACAAAGCCATCGACACAATTCTGGACGATGCACTCTTGTTGCGAAAGCGCCTTGGTTGAGAATGCTCCTGAAAGGGTCTTTTTCATGCCACTTTGCTTTCTCGGGTCTCTCTCACTACCGATGCAAGAAGACTCGAATCCGGAGCCATACATATCATAAAATTCACTCTTGGCCATTGTCTGCCTTCCTTGCGTTGCATGGCCATAGATGTCTTTCCATGACTCGACAGAGGAGAAGGAGAGCTCGTTGGGTGAGACTCTGATAATAGGGCCTAGGAAGGTCAGGTGGGCGACTCGCAATATATCGTAGAGATTGACATACCTAGCCGTTTATGCTGTTCTTGTATGGCTAAGTGAAATTGACCACCCAGAGAATGGTAGATCCTCCACAACTACGACAACATTTTAGAATGTGAGGATGAATCATAGACTGAGGGTACTGACTAGACTTGAACGAGCCAAAAGCGGCCCCGGGAAGTGAGCCAGAGGATGAAAGAATACATTCCAGATCATAAAAGCTGTCATATACAGAAGGGCCTTTTGTTTCACATCAGCGAAAAAGGCAATAACTAGCGCCGTGGCCGAATGACTTACCAGGAGTGAAATGGTGATTGTTATTTTAGTAATTTGACAGCCATCGGGGAAACCAATGCCCCATCGCTGAGCAACATAACTCTCCATTATGTCAGTACACTGGTGTTTTAAAAGCTGCAGTTCACAATCTGTGCTTTTGAGGCTGAGATGTGCTGTTTGCTTATACTATGGAGCTCACACTCGAACCGGGTTTGTGCGAAAAGGGTAAAACTCCGAAATACACAGCCCGATGCTCTGATTTTCACCACAGGTGACTGCAAATACAGCGACATTTGTATTACGAGGCTAATTCGAAGAACACACTCAGTAAACTGAACTCAAGTTACATCTCATCTTCATGAAACAGAAGGGCTCGCACTTCAATGCTCTGTCTCGGCTCCCTATCATTCATCTCGCGGTCCGTGAAAGCACAGTGCGGAGTCCTCCAAGCCCGTCCGATTTTCTTAGAGTCGTAACACTTCATCAGCAAGACCATCTCAGGAGTTTGCTCGTACTTGTAGTACCAGCGATGATTCTTGCTCGGAAGAATTGTGCATGGCTCACCCACCCAACTTGGTTGTATCAATTTAAATGGGAGGATATCCTCGTCAAGACACGATTCTGCGTCGCATACAGCCAAAGGATCTTTGTAGATCGTCTTGATGGGGCGCCAGAAGTTGATGATTTGGAATCGAGACTGCAGTAGTCGAGGGGCATCGGGGCCAAGATGGCGCTTTACCTGGTTAGTAGCTGCCCACTCGCTCTGATCTATGTGGGCGCGTTTAACTGGGCGTCGCTCATCATCAGGGTCTTGAGCGATGGGGTTAGGTCGACGAATGGTATGATCAAAGATGAAGACTCTTGTGGCCTTCGTCCTATTTTCATTGAGCAAACAGTCTTCTAAACACAAGATAGAGACATTGACTTACACTTTCTTCAAGATCTGCCTTACTTCTTCGTAGTACACGTCTTTAATCAGCTCCTCGTCATCGAATCGGTCTACTTTAGACTTGTGAAGATAAAGCTGGAAGCAGTTTCTATCGAGAGTAAACTTTTCCTCCTCCCCAGTGATGTCGTGTATGATTGTTTCGAGATCGACGGACGGCTGGTTGAACGTGCTTCTCTTCCGGGCTGTGACGTCCGGGTGTGAGGATCCGTCACCGGGATCTTTGTAGTAGTTGATGGCAGACTTAACGTGTCGTGGCATTTTTAGAGTGGGATTTTATATTCCAGTTATTACGATAAGAAATGGGAATACAAATTTAATTTCATTTTCTTTAAAACTGGGATTAGCTAGATATTCAGCTTTTATTTATACCATGTTCCTACTTCCCCTACGCACATCGCACAGACATTATGCACAATATATGCTGCGCGCTCATTCGGTAATGCGCCGCGCCAATCGGTGTAGCGAATCTGCTCGATGCAAGGTATGTACAGTGTGTCTATTATATCTACTTACTGTCATTTTATTCTACAATCATACTCAACTCGAGTTGCCTTCTTTAACTATGCTCTATCCTTACCTCTTGAAGAGCATTTTGTAATTCTCGTACTCTTGTAATAACAGGCCTAAGCCTTGCTTGTTGAGATGAACAGTCTCTCTTCTCCGTCCTACTAGCGAGAGCATCAACCAGCCGTCGAAGACGCTTCACTTGGAGCAAGATCAAGAGGCCTAGAACTTCGCAGCGCTCGTCGGTACTGTCAATTTGATACTCTCCAAAGAACACAGGGTCGTTTCCGTCTGCCTCATCAGACTTGGCGTCCCAATAGTTCGCTATGTCCTCCAAGACACCTATCATCTTTTCTACCAGCAAGATAGAAAATGTCATAAGTCTTGAAGAGCTTCGACAGGATTGGCAGTGTAAAAATCCGTGGCAGTTAGACACTGACTTTTTCAAAAACATTAATGACTTTTCTGCACCGCTAAAACTCGTTATTGTTGCGAGGCTGTGAGTTTCTTCCAGGATGTTCAAGGTCATGCTCATACATCGACAACTTGCTGTGTTTTGAGCCGGTGACGGTGATTTGCCTGGACGTGTCTGAATGGTGGAGGCAGTCGAAAGGGTTTTTTTCTTTGCATTGACTGTCGATTGTGGTGAGAATACCACAGGGCTCTGAATTATCGAATGTGCACACGAGCATGGTGTTTCACTCGGCTTTGTATAGTGGTGATGAAGCTGATCTTGAGATTCATTAGTTTTCACAGTCGATAAAAAGCATGTTGCAGTAAAGGTGCGGTAAGATGCGGTGTGACGGCTTACCTGAGACTTGATGGATACTACGGAAATGTGTCGAGCTTTCTAGCATGCCTGGGCCGGAAGAGTCAGAGTTGCAATCTGGCTCCGTACTGCTTGGCTCCGGATATGATAGAAGGAGATCATCATCAAGGAATTGCAAATCCCACTCTTCCAAAGTTGTGTTCATTTCCTTTTGCATAGATGGCTGGTCGCACGGAAATGTCGAAGATACTATTGCACCCTGCAAAGCATCTGTGGATGATAAGTCAGGTACCTTTGTGGGCTGGTCGGCCCTGATGAAGGATTTCTTCTCAGAGTTTGTCATCATGTGAGGCTCAGCGTTGTCTCCATCGGCGGAACTTCCCGATCCACTTGACCCGTTTTCCAATCGCAGATGCGGTGTCATAACTGGAGGTGATTGCAAAGGCGGATCTCCTACGGGGATGTTTACCGATCTGTTGTACTTCCCGCCCCTCCGCCTCTTGGACTGAGAAACCCCCGAGTATATGCAAGCTATATTTCGATCACGGCACCGTTGACAACCAAATCTATGGCCGGTACATTTAAGCTGTTTGTGGCGTGGTGTTTAATTAATTGCCCAAAGCTGATTGGCAAGACTGGTGAAACATACCTTCTTAGCACGACAACCGTCACATGCAAAGTGGCTTGTGCCCTGACCTGCCTGGGGTAGTTGGCTGGTACTCGATATGCATACCACTTCACCGTTATGGTCTTCTGACCGAAGTGTTGAGAACATTCTTTGTTACCACTGGTACTGTAACGATATAATAGGAAGTATAAAGGCTCTCTCTTTATAGCACCGCATATTAATTATGGTGTATACTGTAAAGGAAACGATAGGCGCAATATGTACAAGGCCTATCTGCGAAGATAAGGTAGAGAAGGCAGAGTAAATCCAGGTCTGTAAAGTTAATTTATAGAGGGAATTAGTCACGTGACCTTGTTCAAGTCCCTGAAAGAGGTGCTACAAGAGCTCCTCCTATTAGTAGGTCTTGCCTCCAGGCCGGCAATTAAAACAGGTCTTGTCCTTAGGCCGGCAGTTAATATAGTCCTTGCCTTAAGGCTTAGTAATTGAGAATATAGTCTATTTATGTTAAGCCTGGTAGCACCGTTAAAAAAGAGATCTACCTATCCCAATTAAACCCATAGAAATATCAACAATAAAGGTCCTACACAGACCGAAAAGCAACAATGTCTCAAATTCAATAAGGTTACCTACCCACCATATCATCCATAACTCTATTTATTATTAAATTATAGCTTATAATTAAAACTTTTCTACATCTTAAATAATAATCTATCTAGCCTATTTCCCCCTTTTAGGTCATTCTAATTATATTATACCTAAATAAGACTTAATAAGTTATATAACCTTCCTTATCTCGATCTGAGGTTCGATTTGTTAAAACGCCCATCATGTCATTACGTGACATCGCTGGTTCAACAGGGCCTAAGTGCAGGAAAAAGCAAATGAAACGGGTTATCCGGAGTAATAACTGTCCCACTAGTATCTCTAATTCGCATCCCGAGCCTTCCGAATCGAACCCCAGCCTCAACTTTAACAGGGTTACGTCGCAGCTATGGAACCCTCCAGAAGTAAAAATCATTGAAATGCAGCCATTTCCGCCCGCAAAAATGAAGCTAAGTACGGGTAAAAGGTAACATCCTAGTCCAGTACTCCACAGCGGCATTCTTTACTCAAGAAGAGGCCATTAGGGTAGGATTATAAAATAGAAGGTTTAGATTAGGAGACGTCACGAGCGGGCGCTCCCAGGTTTTCAAAACAAAAAAGACCAGGGTAGAAGGATAGTGTTGAACTAAAGATGTTCTGTAACGACATGAAGAGCATTTTGACCAATTGAAGCTTAGATGGATAAAAGAAGGGTAATTTAACTAGATCACTTCTCAATCAGGAATAGCGTAAGGTAGAACTTGCAACTTGTGGGTTGAACAGCAGTCATGGCGACTATCCTAGCCCCATACAACCAGGCTATGCAGCTGGGAACCGGCAAGTTCTCTCACTGTCCTTAGATCGCTCCACGGCTAAAATTCTTTTTGTTAGGCTTTAATTCCTTTACTCAGCAGCTTTGTATTGACAACGACGTCTTGTCACGTCCGGGGCTCGAAGCTAAGGAAGATGATAAAGACTCTGAAGAAGACAGCTCAGACGACGCAAATGCTGGACATTTTGTTACAAAAGGAACCAATCCGAGCAAGAGAGAAGCTTCAAAGCGGACGCAGCAAAAGAAACGCGGCCCCTAGCTCAAGAAGTCTCCTATAAGCATCCATCATTGATAAAGTCACTGATGTGATATCCTAAATGAACGTCAGTAAGAGCCTTCTATCTTGGCATTAAGCTACTCACAAATTTGGACAGATCAATGCTGCCTTTGATGTAAAGGGAAAAATTGATTTTCTTAACACTTCAAAGGTCAAGGAGTCTGATATTTCATTCTTGTTTTCAGTCAAGGTCATTGACCAAGTGATATATAACCATTCCTTGACCCAAATTGTACCCGTCGTTACCGGCAATGATAGCCAGACTATTTTGGACGCTCAAGCTTTCACAGATTTACGGTGACTGCTTCATTTCGGGCCTGTTGTTTGCCTGCCATGATCAAGCCTTTTTATACCTACTTACTTTAATAACTTAGCGCCGATATCTTCTTTACGAAATCAAGAGCTGCAGATGCCCAGAAACTACAAGGCAAGGGCAAGAACTCGTTCAGTCTCAACTTGGGCTTTGACAGCCTTGACGACAGCTTCCTCAGCGAAAATGAAACCACCATCTCCGTTTCTTATACTGGTGGAGGACAAGGATTAAAAGCCCGTACGTTTTCCCTTCTCGCTTCTATTTGTTCATAACTATAGCCTCACACATATCAATCTTTAGCCGACCAAGACTGGACGTTTGAGATCATGAAGAGTGCCGCGCTCAGGTTCCCGGACCTCGTTGCGAAAACCCCAATGCCCACTCACGTAATTCTCACCAAGTATACTTCTCTGCATATTTAACATACCCTATTTGCTAGTATTTCCCCCCCAGCTTTCGAGGTGGCTGGTGTCTACTCGATGTTACTCCAGGAAGCCTACCTGGACTACAAGACTGTAGCCAAGAATCTCCAAGTCCTATCATTCGAGGTCTCGTCGGGTAGAGTCAAGCTCATCACGTCATCAGAATACCGATGTCAGGTTGAGGAGGCGAAGAAGGAGAAGACTCGAGAGGCAGCTAAGCGGAAGCAGGCTGTTGACGCTGTTAACAAGGACGAACCTGCCAATAAAGATAACGTCAAGTCCGGCAGTGATACTCCCGCATCGGATCAAAAAGAAGACGATGCTAAGCCTGCCAAGAATGGTCAAACGAAGGAGGGAGAGAAGAGGAACGAAGACGCAGCTGTGCCAGATTCCAAAGACACTACGGTAAAGAAATCTCCAGGGCCAAACCACTGGCGGCCAATCGAAGTTACCAAGGAGTACAAGGCTACTCCTCAAGGCCTCGAAGACGCTCGTAACATGGTCCGCACTTTCTTAATCCGCATTGTGCAAGAGATCAACATCCTAAGCAAACATCCTCATTTGGCTCTCGAGGATGATCGAGTTCAGCCTCACATGAGCCCGTTCCTTTTCAAAGAACTTCTGCCGGTAAGATACTCTCAGCTCAATAAAGCCGGTTACATGAAGCCTGTGTACTAACTATAACGCTTCTGTAGGTCGGACAGCCTGTTGCACCCGACGAGGAACAGGACAAGGAGTTGGCAAACGTAACCGACAGGATCAACAAAATTAATGCCAAGAAGAATGATTCGTCTGCTTTGTAGAGAAACAACTATAATTGGTGGCGCGACGTAAGATAAGCATGTGGCCGGATGATACTTATTCATGATGCTTGTAAGGACAAGGCTGGGATGCTTGTAGTTATATTAAAATGTTCAAGATACGGGTATCTAAGAGCCAAGCTACTCTGATTCTCTACATTTCTTTATTTTCTTCTTCTCTTGTTAATTGAAAGCTTTGATAAACGTTGTGATACAGAATGGAGTAGCAGTTAATCTTGACCGTTTTATCTAGGTAAATCGACTCGTCACTACCATCAAGCACTGTTGGAGATAAGAACTGGAGGGTTGGAAAGAAGTTTGATTATGTCCTTACTGATATCGAGAGTTCCAGACTACTACTAAATAGATTAATCCTTCTCCTGCCCGAAAAATGTAGTCTTCTTCACAGCCTTTAAGTCTTCTTCACAGCCTTTAAGTCTTCTTCCAGTACCAAATTGTTATCGGGCCAGTATTGTAGTTGGACTGATACTTGGTGAACCCACTGTCCTCCGATATCATCATACGGTCAGCCTCTGGCGTTACGGCAATTCCGATCACAAAGGCAGACTTGTATGACGACTCGGCGTTCAGCTTTTCCGTGATCTTCTTTTTGTCAGCTTTCAGATCGTCCGCGAAAGTTTGAGCCGAGCTTTTAGAAGGAGCAGTATCCAGTATGTAATGACCCGGATTTTTAGGGTCACTCTTTCGTGGAGGACCTCTTTCGCACTTCAATTCCAGTAGGGTATGGCCAGGTCCCGAAATGTCAAGATCGACTCTTTCCGCCTTGATCGTGAACACGTGAGATTCGCGACTCAGGCTAATTATACTACCCTCATCGTATTTAAAACCGTAGGCTCGATCAAGATTGAATGCCAGCTCGACTTGCGCCCATCCCTCCCATCCGCCACTAGTCGTTTGGGCGTAGGTGATAATACGCTGTTGTTCAGAGGCCCACTTGGCGATGGACTCGAGTATAGAATTCGAATATCTCAAATCATTTGATTGCATGGAGCCTTTTTCGATGCTCATAGTGCTGGGTTTGTTTGAATTCGAATACATGACAACGGTCAATAATCAGTTGAAGGATGTTGCAGGTAATGGAGAATATGCTTAATGGAATAATAAGGCGCTGACTCAATGTTAGATCTTGGTTCAACGATAGGTAGAAAAGACTGAATGAAGTAGCCAGCTGTTGTTGCTGCTGTATAAACATTCCGGAAAAGGAATGCTTTGACCTCCTTATATACCAAGTGCGAGGCCTCTTTTTATTCAGTCATCATAGACAATTTCGGGGTTCGCCGGAGACGAGTCTGCAATGCGGTAGTCACGAGTACTGTAGTTAACAGGTAGTCTGCAGCCAACCTGACATGACGCTGAACCCCTTAGCTAATAGGCTTTAGTTACGTGGCCTGAAAGTGATGAGATTGTCTCACTTAACATGCTCTAGACTTGGGCTATTTTGATGAACTGTAAGCCATTTTCCCAATTCTGGAAGTACAGCTAGCCACGGCATGCCCATAATAAGCAATAGCTATAGTTCAAGACCCATGGCTGTATGCAATAGCGTGCGGGGTAAGACGGGACGGCCAGTTCCCGAGTTCGATACAGCTGGTCTCGACTAAGTTGTGGCTGGCTGGAAAGACAGTTTGATAGACATGCATGGCCTCACTAACTCTCAGAAGTGAAATTATGTAATCTGTCAAGCTGATTCCGACCTGAACTAGAATGAATACCTGTTTCATTCATCTGCCGAACAATAATTCAGCCTGATCTTTTATAGTCATAATTTAGTATGGCAGATAGCATTACATTTCCTTTTATATAGAGACCTCTATTGTTGATATGTATGTGAACTTTATTAGAATAGCTGGATCCCTTTTTCAAAGGTGCTACTAGACCTTATATAAACAATGAGAATGAAGCTAAAAGGGAATTAGTCTTACGCACTAAATATTCCCTTAATGACTCTTACAGTATGTTCTTTTTCTTAAATACCTTTCTCAAACTTATTATAGCACTAGAGATCGTTATCTTTAGTAACAAGAGTGAATACCTACCGCCCGCTGGTAATGATTTATTAGGTCTACTACCAGTTTGAACCGTAACCAAGCTTTTGAAAGCCACAAGTATTATTGGTCGCTTATTTCCACCCAATTCCGTCACAGCACCAATTAACAAGTAAATAGGGTATGAGGAAGGATGTCTCGAACAATTCTTTCTGACTGAACCGCAAACCAGGCAGTTTGTAGGTGCCTGCAAGATTGAGAATATTTCTGTAGGATGCGTTCTTGGGACGGTACGTACCCTGACTTTACGACACCTCCAGCAGACTTGTTATGGTCATGCAAGAAATGAATGTTAGGGGCTAGAGATACCCAACATTCGTTCTGCGTTTGAAGGCCCATATGACCAACACCAAGGTTTTGGCACTAATTGTCATGTCTTTTTACCCGCCGAATTCGGATTAGGTATGGAGAGGGGTTTCTTAGATATTGCACTATGTATAACGAACTAGTATTACACAACAGGAAAGGACTTATGATAGAATTAAAATATTAGTAATGTAGTGAAAAGAACAGAGCAAAGCGTTTCACTCAATGCCTAGTTTAAGCCTACTTTCGCTGTTTGATAATATCATCCGCAATCTTCTCCGCAAAAGCGTAGATAGTGCTTTGCGGATGACCAGGAGGCAGTAATGCCATGGAACTTGCATCAACTACTCTCAATCCTTTGACACCAAACACACGGGCGAGATTATCCACAACAGCCGTTTCGTCTCCCTTTTTGCCCATTTTGCATGTACAAGCAGCATGCCACACAGTCATGAGAGAATCTCGAACCATGTTCAGGATCTCTTCGTCTGTCTGCACCTTCTTTCCAGGGTAATATTCGGAGCCAATTGCAATTGACTTCAACTCCTTCGTTTCCCAGACTTCTCTCATTCTTCTAAACCACGCGATTGCGGCTTCTTGATCGGCTTTAGCTGTTAGCCAGTTGGGGTTGATGATAGGCTTATCCAACGCTGATGCTGATGTGATTGTGACATTTCCTCGGGAGACAGGAGCTACCATCGCCCCGAGCACGGTTGCATATTGCTTTCCGTCCATCGGCTGCTGGAGAATGGGCCATTCAAAATTCCCGAGAAATCCGTTCGCCGCCAGATACTCAACTTCAGGCCAATCATCAGGAAACTGAGCAAGAGCCTTCTCCGTTTCAGGCGAGAACTTGGTGTGGTATTTCTTAGGCAGTTTCTCCCAGCCAATGAATTCGATGATGTTGGAGGTCAAGGGGCCGCTCTTACTGAGAGCGTACTGAGTGACTACTTTCAAAAGAGAAAGGGGAGATTGCAGCATCGCGTTCAGGGTTTCGAAACCGACTTGATAAGAAGGTCCGAAAAAGATGTGATCCCACATGTTTTGGCCAACGCCCTCGAGGATGGAAACAGGTTTGATGTCGAATTTGTTGAGAGTCTCTTTAGGTCCAATGCCGGAAACCATTAAGAGCTGCGGCGACTGGAAAGCACCAGCACTAAGAACAACTTCTTTCTTGGCCTTGAGAGTGTATTTGATACCTTTGAAGCTGACTTCAAGTCCGATGGCCTTCTTATCATCGTCAAAGAGCACCTTGGTGGCTTGTGTTCTGGTAAAAACCTTGAGGTTATCCAGGCCCTCGGACCTTGCCTTGTAGATATATTGGGTGGATGAGCTTCTTGTCGCTGTCTTTGGATCGATCGTTGTCTGCGTATAATGATAGCCGAGTAACTGGCCGCTATTGAAGCCGGTAATGCTCTTCAATCCGACAGCCTTCAGTCCTTTCTCCATCCAAGTTGCCCAAGCTGAAACCCAGAAGCTGTAGCTGACCTGCACAGGGCCGCCGTCTGGTGTAGTCTCAAAGTCCTCGGCAATGTACTTGGTGCCGATGGTTGCGTTTGCTGGTCGCTTTTTTGTGTTGGGAGGAGTGAACGTCGTGCTGTTCTTGAAGTACGCTTGGAAGTTGTCCAGTCTGTAGCAAACAACATTAGTACTATGTCAGAATTGTCTAGGTAGGTAGCGTACCTATAGCTATCGTCACCCACAAGATCTGCCCATCGATCGTACGTGCCAGTCGATCCTCGATGGTAGATCATGAAGTTCAAGGCTGACGAGCCACCAAGACATTTCCCACGAGCATAATGGAACTTTCTGTTATTCGCACCAGCCTGGGGTTCTGTCTCGAAAACCCAATCAACAGTTGGGATAGAATCCAATGTATTGAATCCAGTGCCAATGATATCGCCTCCCGGGGCAGTACTTAACAAGGGCTTACTGATTTCGTAGAAACCACCAGCTTCGATGATGGCGACTTTGTAACCAGCCTGAGCTAGACGTGTGCCCATGACATTTCCTGCAGTACCGCCTCCTGCTACTAAGTAGTCAAACTCTTGATCTTCGCCAAGAACGCCACCAAGCGCCCCTAAAGCGGCTTCAGAAAGCCCATCACCTTTCAGAAGAGAGTCGATGCTGTTGTACAAAGGGGACAATACAGAGTTGGTAAGGTCAAGAGTGGCAGCATGTTGCACAAGCGCCAACGACGCGCACACCGAGAAGAAGGAACGCATTTCGGGATTGAATGATACAGAAAGAAATCAAGGTCTTACAATATACAATTCTTTCACATGGATCTTTTACTCTTATATATAATCTATAGTAACATATCAACCATTCCAGACTTTACTTACCCATAGACACATGGTTTTCTAGGGTGGTACTTATTACTAAATCCGGTCGATTATCATCTCGGCTGTTATTAACTTTACACTATTATCTCGCGATGTTTCAACGGCAGAGGTAAAGTCCAAGCGTACAGCAGGGGTCTTATCGTATTTATGGATATGTTAATGAAACATTGGGCTATGATCCTGACGATCTTACCCCACTGCACAGACATTTAATCCGATTGGGGTAAGTTGCTCGCGGGCATAAGTTTCAGGTCTGCTTTGATTTGGAAATAGCGCTCGGACTCTACAAAAACTCAACGCAGCGCCTTCACTGCCGGCATACCGAGAGTTGGCCCTGATTCATGATCCAGGTTTAAGAAAACATGTGCTCGGAGTTAATAGACTAGTATATTTTTGGTAGGTGTATTGTTGAATGCTAATTCCTTCCTTTCTCTTGATGCCTCGTCACGAGCTTCTTGCACCGTATTGAGATGAGGTGGAAAAGATACAATAGTTCTTGAATAGATATTTATTCAGGATACTCTTTCAAGACTCCTTGAAGGTCTGCTATTAACTGTATCATCTGATTCACGATTGGGGGTCGCAGAGAACCCTTGTAGTTGCCTCGAAAGACCTGAATGATAGCACTCGAAATATCCTGACAATTGCTCACTGATACTTCACCTAGAGTATGCCCTAAATCTGAATAGTCTTGAATGGTGGGTGTACCAAGCCCAAACTCGACGAACTTTTGTGTAATGGCACTGTCGACACCATCAACACGAACAACTTGGCGTTGCTCGAACCCTTGAATAGTGGAGCCGTCTTTACGTGCACTCATCCAGTTCTTGTTTGCAGAGAATTTGCCATAGATCAGAAGTGCCAGTCCCGCATGGTACAACATGAAAGCAGCTGGTCCCCGGATTGTTGCGTGTAGAGATGAAGCAGCTATTCGAATTATTTGCCCGGCATGTAATATCGACTTCCGAGCTGACACTTCCTTAGACCACCTGCCAAGCCTGAGAGAAGCCGCTTCAAGTTGATCGGGGGTTTTTGATGTATTGAGCAATTGAATATCGTGGCAGGGCAGGTGGAGGTGCAGCTGAATATGATGCATCTTCATTTCTGCATCCAAAAGAGGGTTCGCCAAGAGGCTGACACCGCTGTGAAAATACTTCATCTGTTGGATGAGCTCCTCGTATCGTAGGCTCATTACTGTAGAGCTCCATCGCTGCGGATGGTTTGCTTGGAAGGACCGCAGCTGGATGTATTCCCACGAGAGGCGCCAACAACACGATAAAAACGCATCTCGAGCGATGTCAATATCCAGGGCTTTATCCCAGGTAAACAACTGCTGTGGGTCATTGAAATAGTCATGTATTGTGAGTGTTCGGTCGCTGTCGATGCCTTGATTGAGAAAGGTGGCCTTCCACTTCTCGGCCGTTGGCGCACACCATAGACTTGTGGGCTGTGGGAGGGGTAGAGATAACTCGGCGTATGAAATGAGGGGGTTTGTCTGTAGGGCCATCGATGTATTCGTATCGTGTTTGAGCACTCTAAACACCAGCCGCTTGAAGCTTTCCAGCTCCACCCACTCCTGCCAGAATGACTCGAGGCGGCCATCATCCACGCTGTCTATCCTCATATTGGGGTAACTGGAGTGATTAAACTTGCCGGTGCGGCGCATCATCGTCAATAGCGGTTGCAGGAAGCTTTCGGCTGCTTCCGTTTGCTTCATTTGTCCACTCCAGAGGCCAACCTCAACTGTGATGAGAAAGGCCTGGGCAAGCTCCAAATCTCTGATAATTGAGTTTCCTGTCCGGAACTAAAGGTGACGCAAAGGAATTAGTTCCGTAGTAACAAGATCCTAGTATTTCAATGCCTCACTCACATGTCTTGGGAGTATATCCAACACGCACTCTTGGATCGTAATACCCAGTTTTTGCAAAGTAGGATCTGGGGTCAGAAGGGAAGCGGATGCAATCATCGACGCTAGAAGTTCTGGACTCTTTGTGTTTGGATCAAACTTTGCTAGATGCAAGAATGTATAGGCATGGGAGACCGGTGAAGTCAGGTAGTGGCGCAGAAGCCCATCCAGAAGCTCCACCGAAGGGAACAGACTTAGAGTCTTAAACAAACTCGTTGAAGGAGAGTTACCGAGGATTATGGTCAATATTCTGTCCCTAGAAGCAGGCAACAACTTTCTCCACGACACGGTGTCATTGGAAAGATCTTGAGGTTCTGGGCATGACTCGATCGGAGGCAAATTACTGTTGTGGCAAAAATTCCAGTAGGACCTGGGAGATGATATCATGTTTGTCAGTTGGAATGAAGTTGAGGTTGGGCTTGAAGTTGGCTTTGTAGTGCTCTCGGCCGTTGGTTGGCAATTAGGAAAAGTGGTAAGCTGAAATGGGACGTTGACGTTGTAGGAATCCAAGAGTTGTAGGTCGATCTCATTAAAGTTGAAGCCGGCTGGCAATTCCGCGGCTGTAGAGGTTTCGAATAGGCTCCATGGCTCCATCTCGAGATCATGAAACGTGATAATCGGGCCATCGAGATTGGAGTGGGCTTGATCAACTTTGACCGACGACTATCAGCACACAACGAATATTTCACAGAGATGAAGTAGAGCCCACCTGCGACTGGTAGCTTAGAGAAACCGTCAAGGAATGGCTGATGCTGTTCTAGTTGCTTGGTGCTTGTACCTACGCCACTCAAAGGTGTTTGCACGTGAACAGCTGTGCTATCTGGGTAATGTTTCTGCTTTATATGCGCGCCTTCATCTATGCCCTGTAGGGTGTTGATATTTTCTCGTCCGACTTTCTGGCCCTGATGGCCGACAATATGCCTTTTGAGTATATCTCTACGATGGTAGTGAGCATTTCAGCAACTCTGTATGACGCCCGGTAAAGGAACGCCGAACACTTACATTCTCATGAACGTTTTGGAGCATATGTTGCACTTGTATGGCTTGAATTGGGTGTCTATGGCAAAATGTGTTAGTAATTCGTACCTAGGCAAAGCTCGGCAGTACGCGGCCGTGAATCTTACGTGTACGTGTATGCCGAGCGAGATGGTCGCTTCGCTTGTACCGTCGGGTGCAATGCCTGCAGTGATACCGACCCAATTCGCCTGCAGCGCTAGTATCCACACGACTGGTCATGATGATTGATGTGGAGGGGCAAGCAGTGCGAGGGTATGGAGGATGTGGAGGAGGATGGCCTGGAATGCGTTCTGGGGCATGAGGCCAACTTAAACGGAGAATGTGGAGGAGGATTGACGTATGGGGCTCAGGAGAATACTCCGCTGGGCAAACTTCAATAGGTTTAGCTGCTTGCGGGGGTGGACCCGAAAACATAACCGTGATTTTACTCCTCCACATCCCGTCTCATGAAACAATAGAGAGTGGGGCCATCCCGAAGGGCTAGAGTTGTTCAAGACTCTTACTGCTCTTGAGAAAGAGGTAAGAGTTGCGCGGCTTTAGCTGGACTAAAGACAGATTAGATATACAAGCTGCTCTAAATTTTATGACTTTGAACTAAAATCTTCAACCAATAATTCCAATCCAGACTCCAAAGGCCTATTTATTTTAAACCACGACCATGTTTCAACAAGCAGATAAACACGCGAAGACTTATGCCAACGGGGAAATGGCCACTCCATTGAAGGTGATCATTGTTGGAGCAGGTATTGTACCCGCCACTTCTAAACATAACGTGTACCTATCTCACCCTGACAGGTATTGGTGGCTTGACTGCCGCTGCTGGCTTACGCAAGGAAGGGCACGAAGTCATAGTAAGGTTTTAGAAACTCTGAGACCCCTGTTACCACTGACAGCAAATAGCTGCTCGAACGGTCGCAGCTTGCCCAGGAAACAGGGGCTGCGATGCACCTTGCACCTAACTGCCATGGGATTCTCAAGAGATTCGGCATTTTCCCGGAAACATTTGGAGCCAACAGAACACAAGGGGTTGGTGTGATTTTCTTTTGGGTCAAGATTGTGCTGTTACTATTTGCTAAATTTCTTCCTAGATCACCGAATTCGAGTATACAGGTGACTTGCGTGCCACAATAGACCTACAACAAGCAAATTCGATTTGGCAGCATGTGAGTTGACTGGAAGTTCATGTCATGTCCTTGTTAGATGTGCTAAACGAGTGATTATCAGCCCTGGGTTCTTTGTCACCGCGTCAAACTCCACGAGGCACTGAAAGAAAAGGCGACCACGGACGATAATGAAGGACCTGGCGCCATTCTCAAAATCTCAAGCCAAGTTATTGATGTCGATCCCTATAAGATGACTGTCACATTACAAAATGGAGATCAACTCTCTGGTGACCTGATTCTTGGAGCAGATGGCGTTGGGGTAAATATCTCATTCCCCGCTGTTACCAGATAATTAGATGAGCCCTTACTGACCGAACCAGTCCGTAGTGAGAAAGGCTGTGGTTGGCAACCATATCAAACCTTTCAATGCTGGTAAAGGAGCATTTAGGTTCTTGATTCCGAAGCAGCAACTTTTTGATCATCCCGTCACTCGCCAATTAGTCTCAAAGCCTGGTTACATGACCTTTTGGTACGCCAACGACCGTCGGCTCGTTATGTATCCGTGTGATGACAACACGACTATGAACTTCATAGCAATGCACCCCTATGAGCTATCTGCCTCAGAAGCGTATGGTGAGCGCACTCAATCATTCACTTTCTTAAGTAGCGAATATGCAATGCTTACACTTATATACAAACAGGTTTCAGCCACAGAGGGAGCAAAGAAACACTACTGCGAGTGTATAAAGACTTCTGCGCCGTGGTCCAGACCTTGCTTAATATGGTTGATGAGGAATCGCTTAAACTTTGGACCCTCCTCGATATGGACCGAATACCCTGTTGGGTTAAAGGGGGAGTAGCACTCCTTGGCGATGCAGCACACCCATTCCTTCCTTGTAAGTATGTGCACTGCACTGAACGCCTACTTGACTGACTCAGCCTATAGTCCAAGGTCAGGGTGGTAAGTGAATCTATCCTACCTGGGCTTTTCGTGTATTAATCGATCGTACCTAGGCGGTGTTGCTATAGAAGACTCTGCTTCCATCTGCGCTCTGTTTCCAAGAAACACTAAAAAAGAAGAGGTTACTGAAAGGCTAGCTCTATACGAAAGAATTCGAGACGAGAGAGCACACAGAATACAGGCCGGGACTCGATCACTAGGGGCAGACCTGGACGAGAATAAAGCAAATAATACCGACAACAGTGGGTAATTGTCTTGCTAGGTATGGTTTACTGCTGACTCCGTACCAGTGGTTGAAACAACACGCTACAACTTCGGACATGACGAATGGCACAACTCCAAGGATGCTCTGAGGAAGTGGATTGCGTCACGTAACGAGTCGTCCTTGTTGAGACGGCCCACCGCTTTCTGGCCGATAAGTGATTTGGAAAGTTACGGCTTACCTCCGTCAACACGCCCCACAGAATCGTATTTTCTCAAACAGACGATCCGTTTCAAGACTTCTGCTACGTATCTTCAGGCGCTATTCCCGACTCCCAACTTCAAGTTCTCATCGCCTGGCACAGTTGTTGAAGCAGAATTTCAATGCCTTGAGCTCCATGAACAAAGGAAAGGTGACCGATCGGCATACAAGTCGTTAATTCTTCAGGTTCATGGCGTCCAGTTCACGAAGGGGGATGGCACGAAACTTGACGGTTCTTACATCCCTGTCATGTTTGAATCAATTCCCAACATCGTCTTTTCTCACCGCGAGGAACTTGGACTCCCCAGCTTCCACTGCGATATTGAGGTCGTGGAAAGCAACAAGACGTCTCACATCACCTGCAGTCTGATGGGCAAGAGCTTTATCGACCTGCAGATGAACGCCTTACAAGAAACCGTTCCAGAAACATCCACTAAGACGCCCTGCGATAACCAATTCGCTTACAGATACGTCCCTACCGTGGGGACAAAAGGTTTTGCGGATGCAGAGTATCCTATTCTTTTACGCGGTCACCAAATGGACGCCAGTCGAAAGCTGGAAAGAACGCTCAGAGGCACAAGTGCTATTATCAACGCCTCAAAGGGGGATTTCAAAGCCATGTCTGCATTTAACTGTGTGACGGCTGGATTGTCGGAATTTCCGATTTACGGGATTGTCGAAACGAAGCTGGAACAGGGGCATGGGGCGATCACTTCCTTGCAGGCAGAACGGATTGAATAGAGCACTACTTAGCGAGGGAGAATGGCGCCCGTACTCGCAATCGTCAGTCAATCAAGAGTCGGTTCATCAGTCAATCATTTCATCCCAGTGCATTAAAAGAAGGCTGATGACATGGAGAGATCTGGCCACACATGCAATCTATCCAAAACATGTTGTTTATCTTGCCTAGTCCTTAGTGAAAAACATATTTTATGACACTTAGTTGTTTATTATTTAGGTGTGACTTTTTGTCGTGGTTATATCTGTGCATGATATCATCTAGGACTGCCCGGCTAACATCCTGAATCCTGAAGGGAAGGAAGATTCCCGGACTTTGCAACAAAACATGAGGTCATTATATATTCATGGTCTCACTACTGTTCAATGCTGCTACTAGACCCACAGTGAAGAAGTTAGTTTGACAATGATTAAGATCAGTAGGTACTCAGAACATAAATTGTCACAGCTGCAGCGATATATGTGTAGTACATTCATTTTTGTCTTATTCTCAGTGGCAACCCAACCGCGACTTGGAGATGCTCTAGAGTGTTCTCCACAACAGCCATAAAAGGCTTCCAGCACGAAAAGACTCATTGAGGCACAAATCCTAGAACAAGGCTCTACAGACGAGCAACCAAGTCTTGCCAGGCTGTCCTACTAGACGATCGCTCCCACCAAGCTTTCAAAGATGGCCTCGCAGATATTTCTTCCTGTAAATCCAACTTGGATAAGAAGTGAATCCATGGCATATGGTATAAATCAATGAGTGAGAATTTCTAGACAATGTCAGATACAATGACTTCGTTCGAGGTGTCTACCATATGTCAACTTACATCTTGAGCCAGAAAATCCCTCTTGGACGTAATCTGTTCGTAATAGTCTAGAGTTGTGTGAAGAAGGTCCATTAACTTTGAGACTTCAACCAAGTTGGGATCACCGAGCCCCATGAACCTGCAGAGAATAAGCCTGGGAATTTTGGGAGTATAGTATTATGATTTAGTTTTAACCCACTTCTTGAAGATTTTCTCGAATGCAAGAGACTTCATGGTTGGGTCAAAGTAGGAGTACTCGACACTGGATGCCTTTTCGTAGTGAGCGACGTCCTCGGGGGATTGGTCTGTTTCCAGGTACAAGTCGCTATTACGACCGTACTTTGCGACAAGGTATCTACAAATGGCTCTTGATTCAAAGATCCGCAATCCCTCGTCGTCGAGGACTGGGACACGTCCAAAAGGATGATAGGAGCGCACATAATCTTCGGCCTAGGGGAAGTCCATTAGCTTCAGCTTCGGCTTCGGCTTCGGATACGGCACAACCAGGCTGGACATACCATATGCTCCCCTTCTTGAAACTTGATTTCTGTAAATTCATGTTTGACCCCTAGTTCAGCTAGTATGAGGATCACTCGCTGTGTGCATGTGGAATGGAGAGACCCATATAGCATCACAGCCATTTTTGCGCCACAAGTGAAGTCGAAAAATAGGATAGGGGCAATATAAGACAGAACAACCAGAGGGAAAGGCAAAAAGAAAAAGAGAAGTGGGGAATGAAGATATCTGGTAAAGTAAGACTTTAGTGGTCAACTAGAAACAGAACAGTTATTTCACTGCTACAGTTGCATTAGTGAAATGAAGTTCACTTTAATAAGGAAACATAGCAGCATTAATAATTTGTGTGAATGTAGAGGGCGTGAAAAATGCAGGGGATATACATGGCGTTTGCTAGATACAAATTATTACGCCTAAAAGTGTGGAGGGTGTGGAGGATGTGGAGGATGTGGAGGATGGAGGGCTGCCGAAGCTGATGGTTGTGGGGCATGCGGGGGGTTGTGGAGGGTGGAAGGCTGCCGAAAGTGACATCCTGGAATCGATACCAATAGACTACTGTTGAGCGAGTGATAGTGGCTACGTCGGTAGATTTTACGGAGGCTGGAGGCACATGCGATGCTTTAAAATAGATAAGATCAAGGATATCCCGAACAGATAAGTCTGGTTTAACATTCACAACAAGACAATATCACATCGACCCAATAGTTTCAATCCTCAATTAAGAAGAATTACACACTATCGCACCATCATGTCTACACCAACTCCCAAGGTGGCCCGTCAAGTGGATGACACGATTCCGCTCGGGCAATCTAAGAGAACTCTATTCGACTTTGAGGATTTCGATCATTCCTCGATTCCTTTTGAGAAGGAGACATGGCCAGTCATCATTGTCGGGTCGAGCATGGTCGGAATGACACTAGGTGTTCTTCTCGGCTTCCACGGGTAAGATTGACATCTCGGCCGAAATCCCTTGAGTTGTAGCTAATGTGCTATTTCTAGTATCAAATCTGTTTCGTTCGATCGGCATCCGTCGACTGCAATTCATCCCAGAGCGGCACTGTTCCTTTTGCGCTCGGTGGAGATTTTCCGCCAACTTGGTCTCGAAAACCGCCTGCGCGAGAAAAGCGCATTGAACTTTGACCTCGACGCCGGCATGATCATTGTTGAGAACCTATCGGGTGGCAAAACTCTCATGAAACTGCAAGAAAGCGATCCTACTGAGGTTGCTAAAGTGACTCCTAGCCAGCGCCTGTGGCTTACCCAAAATATGTTTGAGCCTCTTATCCGCGAGAGTGCCGAAGCCTTCGGAGCGATCCAAGAATTCAACGAGTCTGTTGTTCACTATGAGGAGCAGCCTGACGGGGTGGTGGTGGTAGTCCAAAATCTTCAGACAAAGAAATTGAGGAAGTTCAAAACGGACTACTTAGTCTCCTGTGACGGCAACAGAAGTGCGACCCGACGAAAGGAAGGCATCCAATGGAACGGCCCTGGAATACTTGGTCAGAGTATATCCATTAACTTCCACGCAGACCTAACACCGCATCTCGGCACACGAGCCAAGCATGGCGTGACTTATATATCCAACCCAAAGATTGATGCTGGATTCAGGCTTGAAAGTGGTGGAAAGGCCGGATTCATGATTGTCTCGCGAGCGGGCGACAAGAAACAATTTCCACCAGACTCTGTCAGCGAACGTGAAGCGAAACAATATTTCAAAGATGCAACAGGCATTGAAGATATCGACATCGACATCGACTTTATTTCATATTGGTCGGTAGCCGCGTTCAACAGTGAACGCTTCTCTAGCACCCAGGGCCGTGTTTTCATTGCTGGAGATGCTGCCCATGTGATGCCCCCGACTGGTGGAATGGGTGGTAATACAGGAGTACAGGTATGTTCCATAAAGTTACGTGTTTCGGCTTTGAGAGTAGGGTAACTAATAAGATATGCAGGATGTCCATAATCTTGCGTGGAAGCTCGCATATGTTCTCAAAGGCAGAGCAGGCAAATCTCTGCTTGATACATATACTTTGGAACGTCAGCCAGTTGCTGGGTTCCTGATGCGCCAAGCGTATTCCAGATTACAGAAGCGTGTTCTCCATACGACTCCCGACGAGCCAGAGCTTCCGGATATTGTCTGCGAGCTCGGCTATAGGTATCCGTCAGGCGCCATCCATTCTTCAACACAGGAAGCAAAGGAAACCTCACTACACGAAGACCCCCACGCACCTCTAGCAATTGCTGGGTCTCGTTTCCCTCATGTGGCCCTCACTAAGCTTGGAGAGACTGAGGCGATGGTTTCTACCATTGACTTGATTAAGACCAATTTTGTTATGTTCACAGCGGATGGTGCGTCTTCTTGGGTCGCAGCTGCAAAGAATATGGCAATGAACATTGACACGTATAGTCTCCATGAGACGTCAAGCCCCCTCCGGGATGAACAATGGAAACTCAAGTCTGTAACGAAACTATCTTCTGGAGAGGCAATGCTTGTTAGACCGGATGGTTTTATCGCGTGGAGAGCTGCGAAGATGGAAGAGGGACATGAGAAGGCCTTAGGTGATGCCCTGAAACAGGTCCTCGGCTTATAGATAGTTGCATTTGCTTGCCTTTTATTAGGGTTAGGGTTAGGGTTGGGCCTGGTTCGGTAATAGACAAGGGCTACTACTATCCATATAGTCCTTGGCTATAGCCTTGCTATCTGGGAACACTAAGAAGGATAGTACAGAGTATTACATGGCCCTGATCACGTCCTGACTCCTGTATTTGCATTAGGGTCTTGCCAGATGCTTTCTCGGTGAAGTTGACAATACAAAAGAAGGGAAAATGTCCATTAGCCACAGCAGTATCTGGCAAACCGTACTTGAAATACGTAACGGCGTAGCCATACATTGCATGTTTGTCGTTATAAATACTAATCGCTATGAGAGAATCAATATTACGAAGGTCCCAGTTGCCGTGGTAAAACTCAGGTTTGTGGTTGTGGGTTTCGAGGGAGTAGTAATTGTATGGAGCAAAGACTTTCGTCAGCATGGAGCCATACGCTCTCTGGATTGTTTTCGACCATCCGGAGTATAGCTTGAGGAGCTCACCCACATTTGCAAACTGGAAGCCGTACAACCCTGATCCTGGCGGCAGCGGGATCTGCATACAAAGTGTCTCCTGTGATCTACGTGTTCACTTGGATAGAGTTTAGTTGCCGCGTGCGACTTATCCTGCCTTGATCATATTGAGTTTTGACATTGAAAGGGGTTTCTTATAGCCGGGCCAAGAGTCTGGCGGCGTGAGCAGTGCTGTGACGACACCATCTTAGACTTTGGAAATATGAGGAAGAAAATCGCCATTTACAAGCACACAAACCATTCCAGGCATGTAAGACGTCAGTTACTTGAATCCTATCATCCAATGAACCATTACCCCGCACATTGATATGGTATTTTCCAATGATTTGTTAAACCTTAAGGATAGGAAGCCCGAGTTGTTCAAGATTCAAAGCCCCAGGGCTCGCGGCAGATATTCATTGGCCATAAAACCTTTTGGGTTGAAGCTTGTGTTGTGTCCTCATCCAATGATAGTGTTCGCAGCCAAGATCGTGACCCTATAGGCAGTCGTTAACCATTTCTCAAAAGTTCATGACGTATCGCAGTATGAATAAGCTTCCCCGCCGTATTATTCAACTCTAGTTCATGATTGAATCCCTCTCCGTCAAGGCGCTTCATGCAGCCCTGGTGGACTCCTAGCATATCCGGGAGGATTCACCTCCAGCGTCGAATCACCAGGTAGCTCAGCCTTTGTCTCGGAAGAATGGAATTGTTGGTGGTGACTCTGAGAAATCACCGATGCGTCTGTGTCTTTTTTGCTTCCTCCCAACCTTCTCCACATCAACCATCCGACAGCACCAAGAAGTATAAGACCACCGATAGTGCCTCCAACCGCTGCACCTGCGATTTCACCCTTGGACATCTCAGACTCGGAATTTGAATCAGCACCTGAATCCGAGCTCTGATCTGTAGCCGCAGATGTTAGGAGGGGCTGCGTAGCGGACGTTACAGTCCTTGTAGAAGAGATACTCTGTATCGTGGTAGAAGGCTGTAAGGTGGTGGCGGTCGTGGTTTCGAGTTTCGGAGCGGTGACATTAAAGTATTGCGACCTAGCAATGAATCCCAGACCACCGGCGTCAGGATCGCCCAAGGTAAATCTGTACACAGAGTCCTCATTTCCCTCCAGCTTTCCGAATACATCCCACTCAGCCTTCCATTCAGTACGAGATGCTAGATACAGGGGTAAGTATGGCGTATACGTGCAGAAGATTCCTTGCTTCCTACCGTCTAACATTCTGTCATCCCATTTGGTTGATCCTATTTGTTGGACTTGGACCAAGTAAAGCTCAACTTTGTCGAGATCGGTCTCCCAAAGGAGCTGAATCGTCTCTCCAACATCATACTGTATATTCTGTCCGAAGCTAAGGTCGACATCTAAGTTCCATTCTGGGGGACGTAGGAATTTAGTGCTACATAGAGAACGATTTGCGAGTATCGAAAGTATTAAAGTGAGGATCGAAATCGTATGCATATTGGCGACGGACAATGTCTAGTGTCATTAGTTTTGAATGATGAGCCGTAAGAAGGAAAAGAGGACCCAGTGCAGGACGCGAAAACCAGTTCTGGTCGTGGTGGACAGGCTTATTTGTTTTAACTGATTCGTGAGCCGGAGCCAAGACTAAGTCGATAGGGGCCATTAATTAAACCAGGACCATCTTCCCAGGGTTATATGCAGGCGACGATCGAGATAGGAATAGTTCAGGCCCGAGCCGTAGAAAATACTGGGGCAGAGCATGATAATCTGAAATTTAACTCCGCTCCCACCGCCGTGAAATCTTCAACATAAGTGAGAAGTTAAGAGATACTAGTATCTACTATCAGTAATATTCTTGTCATGGATTAGGTGTTGTCTCTCTCTTTCGCAATGTTTGAGCGGACTGGAGGTCCCCGATTCCTTTTGCCATTTTCTTCGGTGCACTTCCAGATTTGTCTAGTTGCATATGCAGTCTTGACAGGGGACAACCAACAGCACAACAACCAACAGAGGTTCGCATCAAACCGGTTTAGTCTACTGACACTGAAACACTTCGCACAGACATAACACCCAGAAGAGAAGGTGATTGAATGAAAGCTGAAAAGAAAGAAGCATTATTAATAAGTCCAGTTCTGAAAAGGGGTTACGGCCACATTAGGCGAACTGTGATCGTTCAGAAGCCTCTTGTAAGATTTCGTTGGTGGAAAGGACGCAGATATGACATGTAGAAGTAGCTCTTTTATAAGTAGGGCGCTGATCTTTTTAAGCGAAGAAGCCTTGTAAGGCTGGATACACAACTCACTCTGTTATTTTACTGTTGTTTCATTGTCAGGAGACTGATATATTATAAATTGGCATTGACAGTGCGAACCATCAGCAATATTGACAGTCTGAATCACCATGAGAACCAAATCTGGTACCAAGATGTATGTCCCTAAGTGTGGAGGACGATAATTTTGTCGAAAACATGCATATTGAGAACATCAGAGTGGAAAATATTTTCAACGGTCAGCCTGTCAATTTGCGAGTTATGAAGAATGCCAGGTGGACAACTGCACCTAGTCTCGGAATTTGGAATGTCACTCTCAAGACCATCCGTCTCGTCATGGCGAACTATAAAATTGTGAACCCATCACAAATATTAGGCTATGATAGTACGAGGAGCATGGAGAATGCCGTTTTAAAGAACCTGAAGATTGGGGATAAGTATATCCATGATGAGATAGGGAAATCCAGACGGTGTAAAGTATAATGCTTCCTGCCGTTTATGACAATGCACATGCAGCTGGTATTAAGTTCGTCTTAATAAAGTAAATAAATAGAAAAGATGTAAAGTTCGTAACTTTAATGTGGAGAAAATCGACAAATATTCTGCAGAGTGTAACCAAGCTTCCATGTGTCGTTATGACCACAAAGGCTAAGTCGCATGTACAAGTAAGTACTGCCATATTTGGTGTTGCATCTAATATCATTTAACTTTATGCAAGCATTAATTACATCAATGTCCGCTCCATTGGCTCTGGGAGTAAGAACAAACCTTAAACTATTTTTGTTGTTGATATTCATTGCACGCCGAGAGTACAGGGTAGGGTCAGTGGACTAATTATATATTAAAACCCAACACTGTATGCTGCGGTGAACAGGCTCTTGTGCAGCTTGTATTACATTGCCAGGTAGCAATCCAGCGGTGTCGCGCGATACTTCACACCATAATCTCTGTAGCAGTAGCTTAGGTTCCAGCGGCTGAAATTTCATGTTATGATGCCCAGAAGGCGGCATTGATGAAATTGCAGAAGAGCACAACGTTAATCTCAAACTTCTGTCCTTACTACCATCTATCCCCCTGGGCTATTCTAAGGTCAGGCTACTTTGAAGAAGTAGCCCAGAGCAGATCTCCAAAGCCAGGCATATCACCTCCAATCACCACCTCTACACCTGCAGCATCAGATGCTTCCTTGGCCTTAGTAGTCCACTGATTGTTCAGTCCCGCGGCCTCCGACATATAGTAGAGGAGATCCCAAACTGCCGGTGCTTTTTTCACTGCGCCAGAAACCTCTTGAACAAACCCTCTTTTGGCATCGGGGATATTTTGCCAAGGACCATCGACCAGAACTGATTCGCATCGGCGCCATTCCCAATCATATGGTACTGTTTCGTTCAGGTTGTATTTGGCTGCGTACTCCGCTCCTTTGAGAAGAAGGTTGTTTCCATACCCAAATAAGTCGTACCCTTGGGACTTGGAAGTTCTAGCGGCGAGGGCAAGCCAACCAAGACCAGACATGACATGGCCTTGGTCTCGGCCAGACTCAGAGTTCTGGCCTGTCTTGGAACTGATTGTTGCATCGATACCAGCGCACCAATCGTTTTTCCACGACCAAATGGCAAAATTGTATGCTGAGACATCCTCGAGGTATACTGCATAGTCCATCAAAGCTTTGATGGAGGCGATGCCGTAGTTGGCCTGGCCAATAACCAAGCTTTGTCGAAGAAACAGCCAGTAGAGCTGGATACTGAACCCTTGGCCTCCCTGCCACTTTGCTCCGACCTCCTTCCAACCGCCTTCCCATCGCATGATTTCGGCAGCATTTGCAAACAGGGTCCCTTCAATACCGATGAGCAGGGAGCGGTCGGTCCCAATGATGTTTGTCAAATTTGTACCCCAAGCATCTAGAATGGTTGTGGAGCGATCCCAATGAGCTTGATCCTTGGTGATATACCCTGTGATAGTGCGATTAGCTATAAACCCCTGTATAGATTTATAGAGAAGGGGGGGGCAGTACACATAATAGCATTGTGGTAAGCGGCGCGGGCGTCATTAGCAAACGAAGTGTAGTTACTGATGGATCCACGGGAGATCACAGCATAAGGCCCTTTGATCTTGTAGGAGGACTGTGAGAAACTGCTGTTGGCAAACTGTTCGTAGCCTGACTTCCATGGGTCAAGGCCTTTGAGAACGCCGTTTCTCATGACTTCGAGGTCGTTGTGAGAATGCCAGAGACCTGGATGTTTGAAGTCGGATGGCTTCCGCTTCATGCCCTCAGTCCAAGGAACATACGGGATTGCAGCTGCACAAAGGGTCAATGATAGTCACTGTTGATGTTGACATTCTGCTTGGCGGTATTACCATTGATGCTAGGGACATCCTGTACCAGACTTGCCACTGGCGATATGAGCAAAAGTGACAACTAAGTCTTTGTCAGCCGAGTGATGAACGTAATATAGGGATGCACCATACAGTGAGCAGTTTCATTTTGAACAGTTCTCGTTGATTCCGACGGGGTTGCGGGTTGCAGTTTGCCAAAATGGCTTTGTTGTGCTCCACCAGTTATTGAACGTGAACGGGTGCGATTTTACTACTACGGAGATCAACAAAGGTGCAACCAAGTCAATATGCTTAGTGTGATTATAAGCAATGCATAGTGACGCTGCTTGTGTCTTATTATCGCTAGCTAAACGGCCAAGTGGCCCATCGCGGGGGATCTCTCGGGCCAGGTCCGATAATTAAGTTCCAGTTTATCAATACCCTAGTATCTTTTCGGCATAATTGCTCCGAATCACCAAGTCCATGCGGGTAAATCATCACCCATGTATTTGAGGGGAAAGACTGGGGAATCTGGGGAATCTGGGGAGTGATCGCCAGGCCAGAGATTGGTGGATAATCTCTCACACCCGCCGTTTAATGATTAGTAGTGTCAATGATATTCCTAACGCGAAGACACAAGCCATACACGGCATATAATCGGAGGATCAATCGGTCACCGCCCGCGATTAATTTGATCGGGGGACTTTGACTCCCCTGTGGTATTCCGGACATTCCGGACTTTCCACCCTGTTCCACGACAGCTGGAGGCCCTGGTTTTCCGGTTGATCTGATGCGGTGGGAAATTTTCAAAACACGATACGGTGTCATCGAGTATGACATGAATGGCAACGATTAATTGCTACTCCGCCCACTGAAGCGGTGACAACTACTCATGCCCCATGATCTTAAGTCAATTCACCTGTAACGGCATCTTTGTATTATGTAGTATGGCCAGAACGAAACCGGTCTTTCTCATAGAATAGGCAAAACTGTGGCAGACACGCCAGTTTCGCCCCCATGCCCACAGTGTTTTATTGCCTTAGAGGCTGATAAGTAGTCGATGAAGCAGTTCCTGCTATACCACAGAGCTTCTTATTACTTAACCCAGGCCTGAGTGGACCGGAAAGGTAACCATGTCAATCACGAGGACCGTGAGTAACTATTACTGGGACATGCGAGTGCAAAGTACGACGACGCAAAATTTATGGCGATCATTTCGGTTATGGGAAGTCTATCGGGAAATGTTATGGGAGCGGCCTTGCCATATTGATTTCCCCTCTTTTGGCTCATGGTATGTGGCATTGGATCGTTGCGAAATCGAAGGATCTCTTCATTCCAACGGCGTCGCTTGCATAACATACATCGGAGTAATAGATACTCTCTACCTGGTGGCTGAGAGGCTATAAGACTTTCGTGTTCCCATACCTAAGTTTTGTGTGGTGCTGCGAGCTTTCAGTCACAGGTCTCAACTTCTCATATAACAAATCTAGCTCACAACTTGTCAGGCATTTCAAGCCAAGATAATAACCATCTGCACTACACTCAACATGGTAGCTAAAAGAATAGTTTTCTTCGTTTCGCTGGCCGTCCCCGCGACTGGGTTCGTCCATCCTGGCCTCTTGCACACGTCCCAGGACTTGGAAAGAGCTAAGAATCACGTACTCAACGATGATGAGCCATGGACGACAAACTGGCAACTCTTGCTCAATAATACTCATTCATCGCCAACATACGAGCCAAATCCTCAAACCACTATTTACCGTGGCTTAGATGGTACTCATGCGGAAAATTATCGTCGCCTCTATAACGATGCACATGCGGCATATCAGCTTGCCATCCGATGGCATATCCAGGGAGACGAACAATACGCCAACGCCGCTGTTTCTACCCTAAATGCTTGGTCATCTACCATGGTAGCTATTGGCGGTAGCAGTGACCGCTTCCTCGCTGCTGGTATTTACGGCTATCAGCTTGCTAATGCAGCAGAGCTTATGCGTTCATACAGCGGCTGGAGCGCTTCGGATCAGAATCAGATGAAGGCATTCCTCCGGGATGTATTCTTTGCGGAGAGCTACAGATTCTTGACCACCCATAATGGACAAGACGAGTATCATTATGTCGGTTTCCCTTCTATACGAATTAACTGTGGCATAAATCGAGCTGACTACTGGCTTTTAGTATGCAAATTGGGACTTTTGCAGCATTGCAAACAACATGGCAATCGGTGTATTTACTGATAACCAAACAATGTACGACTATGGTAAAAACTACTTCCTCGACGGAGACGGACGCGGAGCGATTAAGAACTTCATTTATAAGAACTACACTGAGTCCGGCAGCAATAAAATTCTGTCCCAAGGCCAAGAGGCCGGGAGAGACCAGGACCACGCAACTCTGGATATTTCTCTACTTGGGGTCATTATGCAACAAGGTTACAATCAAGGAGATGACCTTTTTGCTACATTGGGAGGCGCTGGTCTTCATGCGTAAGTAAATCCATCTAAAGCAACGCTTCCCCAAACCTTGTGTGGCCAGTAACTAATATGAATCAAGCTCCGAATATGTCTCAAAGTACAACGTTGGGTACGACGTCCCGTATACGTTGTATGAGAGTTATGAAGGGAATCAGACTGTTATCTCAGCCAATCGCAGGTATACTCATCGACCAGGCTTTGAGCTTGTCTATGCACACTACAACGATATCAAACACGCCAACGCTTCCTGGACCAAGATGTATCGCGACCAAACGAATGGTAATTCTACCGCAGGGGTGGAAGGCGGAGGTGGTAACTATGGCCCAAACAGTGGAGGTTTTGATGTTCTTGGTTACGGGACTCTCCTCTACCGCCTGTCGGCTTAAGGTTTTTCCCTGTTGCACTCTTTATGATGAAGCTGAAGGTCGAAGGAACTAAGCGGTGGTTTTGAGATAGGATCCAAATGGTGAATACAAGATCTCAGCGACGAATTTCATCTACAAATAATACGCCTGAGTAATTGCGTGATACAGCTATCTGGCCGCAATATTGAAGAAAGTGGCCACGAGAGTCTAATTGGCTTCATATCTAACTTGACGTAAACGAAATTTGGCTTGAAGTGATTTTTATGTAAATAAGTCGGCTCTTTTGTTTTAATCCAATCATGTACATGAACAAATTATATACAGTAAACAAATATCGGTTCAGAAAGCTGGACTAGGTATACTTTTGTATTAAATCTACTGAATCAAGATTAACCGCAAGTAATCAGTACAATCAATATCTCTATATTCTTTAGCCACTCCTTGATATTCAAAAAACATAATAAATACGTCCTGATATACTTGGCGCTGTTGGAAACTATTATATTGAACGAATTTCAGTTGAGAACGATACATCGTTCTCCATATTGCTCTCCAACTAACAAACACTATATAACACCATGTGTACAATGGATAGTATCTGCTGGCGTTCTACTCCTATGACCTCCATGATAACAGTTGTCGGTAGCTTGTACACCATTCCATCAGATGTCGTATCTGAAATCGGGGTTCTCCTTGTCCGTCAAATCTGCAAAAGCGTTCAGGTGCTCCAACTGGTCACCCTCAGTTTGCTTCTTACCATCATCGGCTGCATGAGATGCCTCCAGAGCTGCCTTTTTCTTGTTGGCATTGCGGCGAACCAATAAGAGCCGAAGGATGACAAGGAATATGTTGAAGAGAACATAGAGACAGAAATGCGCTGTAAACCCTTTCTCATAGCGGGGCGAATCGGACTTTTGGAAGATCTGGAGAACATCAGTAAATATCTCAAGAACGCATGCAGGCGTGAACATACCTGTGGGGCGGTCATGTTACCCGCAGCCCAAGCCACGAAAGTGATGGCTAGTGTAGTAGACTTCTTAGTTTGACCGGCAATGTTGCGAGAGATTAGGGAGAATATCAGATTTCCTTCTGCGAGATAGAATTGTGTGCAGTAAAAGGCAATAAGTAGACCAACGCGATTCGAAGATGTTGGAGGAATGCTGTAGATGATAGCAGTTCCAATGATAGGAGGGCTAATAAACGTGTTAGTACTCATTTGCTTTAATCGGAGCCATCTTGTTAACGCACATTGTCCATGCGTGCATCACCCATGCAGTCTGGCCTGTGGCTGTTGCGAGAGTAGCGCTTCCGACCATGACTATGATCGTCACAGCACCCTGGGCGATGTTGAGAAGCTGGGTTTGAAGATAGGTGAACCCGAAGGAGGAAATGATGAGATTCGAGAAGACACCCAGCCCGCCAATGATCAGAGTAGAGGTGAGTTGGAGCATAACGTAGCACCAAACAATGGGATCCGTGGCTGCTTCGATGGCCTGATACTTTTTGTAAGACTTGTTCTGGATACCTGTCTCGTTGGCACGAACACGCTCAACCATGAGCCGCTTCTGATCTTCGTTAAAGCACTTTGCTTTCATTGGAGAATCGGGCAGCCACCACCCGATGAACAAGCCCCAGACACAGGTGAGTAGTCCGAGGACGAGGAACAGCAGTTGCCAAGGATAGATGACACCATCCTTGTAGTGAGACACTCCCCATGCAATTATGCCACCAACCTAGAAGTACTGAGGTCAGTTCAAGATGCCTTAGTGTTATGCTTACAAGGGCCTTTCATACCATGAGCTGAACTCCTGTCATACAGTACCAGAGAGACGTCAAGATGCTTTGTTCCCGTTTTGTGTACCACATGCTCGTCCTATGACACCGTATCATTAGATCCGAAGGGTTTAAAAAAGGTTGAATACCCATAACTCACATGATGATGAAAGCCGGCTGAACGCATGACTCGAATACACCCAAAAGAAAACGAACTACCATGAGGCTAGTAAAGTTCTTGGCAGCCGCAGAACAGGCAATCACAACCCCCCAGCAGAATACATTGGCCGCCAAGTACTTGGCAACCGGCAGCTTTTGGAGCAGAAAATTGGTAGGATATTCGCCGACGAGAACTCCCATATAGAGGATTGTTCCCAACCATCTGAATGGCCAGGTCGTTAGTACATTAAATGGGCCATCTCGTGCTGTTTTCCCCACTGTGACAAAAGAATGGACGGGTCTACTTACGAGAACTGTTGCCCGTGGAGATTGGCATCTTCCTGGATACCCATTACAGACGAAAAACCAAGCGTGCCCTTGTCCAGAGATTGACAAAAGTATGTTCCGAGCATGCAAGCCAGGATACGCCTGTTGACAGTCCAGAATAGCTCCTTGTTTGTCTTGTCGTCAATCTCGACCGGGGCATCTTGGGCGTAGTTGGCAGTCTAAAAGATTGAGATATTAGTACATCGGCGATGTAAGTCTCGGGCATATTCAACAATACCTCAAGATCTGCAGTTGCAGTCGTTTGACCATAATTGGCAGTTGCCTCAGCAGGAGTGATGGAATCACTATGCTGTACCTCGATTGCCTTTGCCATGATGGACCCTGGACTTTGATAAATTATAAGATATGCCGAGAATTGATCTGGTTGATGGATAGTTACTCTGAGCACTGAGTGATGAGTAAAACCTCTCGAAGAAGACTGGAAACCTTCATATAATTACTAAAATCCAGCGCTGCTGCAGGTCCGACACAGACACAGTACACTACAAGTCTACAAGTCACAAACAAGAGCTACTGCGGGGAAACTTGGAGGCGGGGGACGGGGGATCTATCGGAACCAAGCCCGATACCCCACGAGCAATACCGTCTTATGGCCCGACAGTTGTTTTTTTTAAACTAGCGAACACGCCACTGACAGACGTGGCGTTACAATGATCCATCTCTGTTCAGAACAGCTCTGATGGTGGTGTTTCGGGGCAAATTCTCAGAGCTGTTTCCGCTGCAAGAATTTGTACTCTACTAGCGTAATTCTCTGGAAAGATTGCGATGAATGCACCGTTGTTTAAGGCGCTGATAAATATCATGACTAGGTCTGAAGTTGAAGACCAAGTGTCTGCTGAAAACAGCAGGATAAAAGCTACGTCAGTCGTGGCCTTTAAACGTAGTAATGAAAATGGTTACAGACTATCGTTATTTATGCAGCTTGCAGCTTCTGCGTGCTCTCTGTTCTGGTAAAAACAAATAGTGTTGAACTCGATACTATTAATGCAAGGATCTTCAGTCGACAGCATAAAACACTATTTTCTCACTTGCTGCAGAAATACAGGTTCAGGGGACAATGAGCAAATTCTAGATAAAAATATTCACTTTCGTGATTCAACATCTCTCTACTCAATCTATACTAGTGACCTCAACGCATTCATTTCTAGAAGCTTGTTTCCAAACAGAACAAAAAAGTAATCGGCATACACAAGTCCATGATCAGCCCAACGACGAGGAGCAAATTCGAAGTTGTTGATAGTCGCTCCGTTGAGGATGGTATCTCCAAGCCCCGCAGCTGTCTCGACACGCCTGATAACAGAGGCGTGGCCATTTTCCACTGTTGGAATCGTCCCAAGGTCTTGTTTCTGACTGGCGGCAGAATTCAAGTGCCTCTTACAAACAGAATCTACTATCCGTAAGGCGTGGCCGAGATACGGAGATGCCTCGGAGCGATTCTGGAGGGATTGGTGTATGATTAGCATGCCGTAAGCAGCGATCATGGCTGCGCTTGTATCTGGGGGTTGCGTCGTAGCACCAGAATTTTCCTGTGCGTCAAAGTCCCAGGGCGGAATATGGGTATCGGGTAATCTCCCCAAGAAGTAATCGGCACAGTTCTTGGCTGTGTCAAGAAAAGAATTCTCGCCACTCCATTCATAGGATTTTGCAAACCCTGCAATAGCCCACGCCTGACCTCTCGACCAACATGATGTATGGCTGAAGCCCTGGTTTGTGAGACGTTCTTTGAGAGCGCCAGTCAAAGGGTCGAAGTTTGCAACATGATAGCTTGACCAGTCGGCACGAATGAGGTACTTTTTCGATGTGCGAGCATGGGCCATGGCGATGTCGAAGAATCGAGTTGAGTCAGCTTGGGAAGAGGCCTCGGATGCCGCCCAGAAGAGGAGGTCGAGGTTCATCATGTTATCCTGTTGAGTCAACAATGCTAGTCTAATTAAGAAAAGTCTTTTTTAGGCATCAAACTCACAATAATAACAAGAAAGTCCTTGCTTGGGTCCGTGAACGAATATACCTTTGTCTGGCAGACATCCCATGATCGTATGCAGCCGACCTTGTCCGAAAAACGGTCTGCTAGGGTGTTGGCGGCCGTCATCAATGTGTCGAACGCCCGTAGGTCACGATGGAGATCCCACTGCAAACGGGCCCAGGGGCAAATCATGAATCCCAGATCGTGCGTTCCCATGAGAGACCCGTTTTGGTGAAGACTCTCCGTCCACCACTTAGAGGCAAATCTAGCAATGACTTATTAGCAACGTGTGTTGATTACAGATAGGTAAGATAGCAATACTCAAGTTGAAGGATGTGAGGAACGTCTGGCTTTGGTCGAGAAAAGCCAAGAAGGGGCAGTTCAGTTTGGAATTTCTTTCTACGCTCCATGATCAGGTAGAGTAGCCCCGGAAAAAAGCCTGAGGTCCAGAACGAAGCCTCTCTGTAGACATACTCAGTGCTTCCTGGTTTGGTATATTCCGGGAACCAAGTAGGCGGCTCTGGCTGGTTTGAGTGTCAGCTAGACTTTCACTTCCATCTGCAAGGGACATACCATGTTGAGGCTTCTCTCGGCAACAGCCCATATCTTCATCTCAATGGATGGAGAGAACAGAAGTTCAAGATGCTTGTATTCAGTAGATAGCGATTTCTTCACGTCGGCTGTTGTTCTCTCCGTCCTGTTTCTCTTCGCACCATTTGTGCATTGACTCTAGGAGAATGATTGTTAGTGAATGCCCCAATGCTCAATGGAACAAGGATACATACAAGAAGTTTATGCTTCGTCCCCAATATCTGGTTAGTCTGCATCGTTTCTGAGAGCTTCATCGCTGCGAGGTATAAGGTGCTATGCACGGTAGGAATCAAGGTGACAAATGCTGAAGAAAACAATGAGTTTCTTAATACAGATAAGGTCGTTATTTCAAGAGAACGATCAATTTGGTCTGGAAGAATGCTCATTCAGTGGATAAGTGAAGAAACATGACACTCTAACTTGGACCGGAGAAGATGTCGGATGTCATCCCGTAATTGTGGGTGAGACTCCATGACTATGACCTTGCCCACAAGACCCACTGGAGGTCCCGCTTACGCTTTCCATGTAATGAAGTGACTACAGGCCTTGACGTATACAGCGAAACCTTTTCTTTGGTCTGACATGCTGTCGGAAAAGGTCTCGGGTGTTTTCCGTCAGTAAGTACATCAAGCTGCAAAGATGTATGCCAGCCGTGTCATGTATACCAGGGCCACCATCGTACTAGTATGCGTAAGCGGTGGGCAAAAGAGACCATAAGCCCACATCGGAACCTGTGTCCACGTTTTAGCTTATTGAATTCAGTCGTGGTAAACAATTACAATTTTATTCCCTGGGCTACGCTGATTTTTTAAGATATCAGGCATGGAAGCTTCCTTGAGGCAAATCCCAGTACCTGCCATGCATCCCTTAATTTGTCTTCTTTTCAGTTGGGCTGCCTTATTCCAACCAGTCGCTCAAGCCATCTGGAATCCGATCATTAGCGGGTGGAATCCAGACCCTGCGATCCTAACCGTAGGCGATGATTACTACATCGCCACTTCCTCTTTCGAGTACTGGCCCGGTATTCCGATCTACCATAGTAAAATCCAATTCATCCCTCGATCTAGCCAGATTTGCTGATTGATTCCAAGGCAAGGATCTATCCAATTGGACGCTGAAGTCTCATGCTTTAACACGGCCAGAGCAACTGCAACTCTATGGGACGCCCTCTGGAGCAGGTATATGATACTGTTCAATTCCCATTTACGACGCAAAATACCTGACTCACTACGGACAGGTGCCTGGGCGCCAAGTCTCTCTTTTATCGATGGCAAGTTCTGGCTTTCAGCAATGACGCGTTGGACCTATGATCCCGTGGCTCGTGTATGGCCTCGCGTCTGGTTCATCTCCTCAGAAGACCTCGTTAACTGGTCTGATCCTGTCTGGGCCGAGCCATGGGGTATCGATCCTGAGCTTTTCCAGGACCCTATGACCAAGAAGACTTATCTCAACCTGATGGCCCCTAACAACAATAAAGATAGACTCTGGGGTATCGCCCAGTGTGAGGTGTCTCTGGTATCTGGAGACTGCGTAGGGCCTTATGTTAGTCTTTGGAACGGGACCTTGCCTCAAAATTCGACAGCCAGACCAGAAGGACCCAAGATGTATTACAAGGATGCGTGGTACTATCTCCTGATCGCTGAAGGTAAGCGTACTTGGTTCTCTCTCGATAAATTATAAGCATTAATGGTCCCTAGGCGGTACGGATCAGCTGCACCGATCGACTGTCGCAAGAAGCAAGTCCCCGTCTGGTCCGTTCGTCGCCGGGCCGCACAACCCTCTGTTATACAATTGGCAATGGGGTTTTGACAATCTTACCGTTCAGTCCACTGGACATGCCACCCTGACAAAGACGAATGATGGGCTATGGTATGCGACGTTTTTAGCTCGCCGCAACATCAACGGATCATCTCCCCTTGGTACGCTCCTGTCATCAAATAGTCACATTAATCTCTAACAAGGAATAGGCCGAGAGACATTCATGGTCAATGTTGACTGGAAGGATCAATGGCCAGTCTTCAACCAAGGCGATCCTGTTCTGCTAAGCAAGCAGATAAAGCCAGAGGTTGGCCCCAGAAAGGTTCCTGAACAATGGGTCGACGACTTTTCTCGCGCTAGACTCGACCCATCATGGTATCAACTTCGAGTACCGTATACCAAGAATTACAAGTTGGAGAAAGGGAAACTGGTGTTGAAACCTAACGTCTTTGGTCTCAGTGACCGTGATACCCCAGCAGCGTTGCTACGCAAGCAAAAGTCGCTCAACATGACGTTTTCGGCCGAGCTCTCCAGCTTCAAGGGGGGTCTAGGTCCAAGAAACAAGATAGGAATATCTTCATACCTCTCTGAGTTTCAGCATCAAGATATCGGTGTTCGAGGATGTGTTAATACTACCGGTATTTGTCTCTACACTGAACTCAACAAAAATGCCACCAAAGAGGTGAGTTGCCATTTTCAAGGCATGATTGAGTTCATTGCTAATTTTGACAGTATTGGCAAATCCAACTCAACCAAACGAGCGGCCTTGGTAGTGGTCTGAGGTTACACATGAAGGCTGAACCGCTCGAATACCAGCTCGGTTATAGTTTCGGAGAGGAAGCCCCAGTCTACGTGACGTCAATCGCGTCATCCTGGCAAGCTTTTGCTCCGCCAAATTGGTTTGTGTTTTCGGGCGCATCTTGGGCGATATTTGCTACTGGAGACGGAGAGCCCTGGCCTCTCAATGGACCGCAAGTTGGATTCGACAATGTCAGGGAGACGTTTTACGAGGAGAACATTCCTGACTACGACCGATGGTAGAGGTGATAGTCCAAATCTGTCATTTGTTTACCCTTGAACTTGGTTTTTGGCGTGCAGTTACGACCAACGGAAGTGTACTCCGTAGCAACTAGCAGCTAGTTAGGCCAAGCTAACCGAAATAAGATTAATGGATCTCTATAGCTTGCGTTATTAGGTAAGGATATCGCGCTAATAGAAGCTCGGCTAGCTTGGTTACACTAATATTACCCGTAGTTTCCCCGATTAAACCATAGCCAGTTTGATTCCCCCAGACAGGTCATAGTTCTGATTTTGTCAAGCTCAGCCAGGTAACACGAGCCAGACCATTCAAAAATTTTAGTCAAATTCCGACCACCAGACGATTTGACTTCATTTAATTCTTTCTATTATGTTTTTTACTCGCAGTCCTGTTTAACAGAAGTGGCTTAGTCTTATTTTACCAAAGAGAAATCTAAACCGCAATCCTACCCTACACTCTCGTGAATGTCCGGCGACGGATTAAGTTACGGACCACCTCCGACAAGAGATTTAAACGACCCAATCATACTCGAGGATAACCTCCACTCAAGACATGGATTATCAAGCCCACTGAGACAAGCAATAAGAGCTCATTAAAGCCCACGCAAATCCGTACACAGATTTATTATAGTGGTAAAAACAAAAGCCGTAATGAATACCATTGCAAGATGAACAGGAATTAAGATCTACATCATGCAATATAAGTCTTTTACTGCCAGACATGTGTGAGATACAACATATGTTGATGCTCTCGTGATCAAACGGCTGTCGGGCTCATTTCCGAGACTTATTCCGACTCCGATACCCTATCAGACCATAGAGACTCTTCTCCACGAAAACTAAACCCAATCAACAAGGGTAGTTGGCGTGATGTGACATACAGTGGGGTGCAATAAGTTTGAATATATCTGTAGGTATCTCGGCCTAGCCTAACCCGATCGAGACCGCGTTTTCGATGCCGTATTTTCTTCCTCCTCCACACACATATTATAATGCCTAATAATACCCTACGATACCTCAAGGCAAGGAACTTATGCCTTTATTACGATCACGAATATATAAATTAAAGAGGTAAGGCTATTCTTATAGTTAAATTCATAAGCATTTCCCCTATATCTCTCTTAGGACGATTAAAACGATATACCGCCGCGAGGCACAATATAGAGCCGAGAACATAACCCTACCACGGTTAGGCACGCCTTAAAAGCTTACCGAAGAGCAATATAATTAGATTTACAATACCGTCATAACTGATCCATATATAACGACGAGAGACTTACTTAATTCCGTCGATAACATTATAAAAAAGCGGTCTCTACGATACCTTCTACATAAGATAAATAAGAGGAAATAGATATAGAAGAAACGCATGGCCCTAATGCCATTATAGGCTCGTAAAAGGCTCGATTAGGCCATATAATATCAGGGTATTGATTAGAGAAGGGTTAAATAGAGTAATAAGTATATAATATGCCGCGGTTAGGGCATAAGGCCTATCTAGACCTTCCTATCGCCTCGCGAGGCCCTATATATATAGGATATTTAGGATACTAGGAGGCTAGGGGCTATATAGTAGATATTCTAGGCTGCCTTTGGTTATAGATCTTATACGCCATTAGTGCCTCTCGTCGGTAATATTAATACCATTGGCATCTATGAGCTATATAGCTTTATTTTACCCTGGTTCCTTTAACTAGGCGATATCTTCATATATAATAATACCTCTATATATATAGCCCAGATCGTTAAGGCGCTACTAAAGGAGCTAGGGGTTAACCTAATGGCATGGCCGCTATATTCGCCTAATCTAAACCCAATAGAGAATCTATAGGTATTAATAAAGGCCGAGATCTATAGGTTATACCTAGAACTAACTCACGTAAAGGATATAATTACTATATAATATGCCTTAATCTTAGCTATAATAAAGGCTTAGGATAATATTAAAGATCGGGTCTTAAAGAACCTCTGCGAGACGATACCAAACCGCGTTAATACTATAATTGATATAGAAGGTTAGTATATAAAGTACTAAAGCTATTCTAATTGACCTTAATAGGTTATAGTTACGATATTAAAGTGGCAGCATAATAGCTGCCCGTTTTGGCTAGCCTCGATCTTCGGTACCTCTTGGTGTATTCAAACTTATTGCACCCCACTGTACCCCGTGGGGCCCCGCCACTCGTAATTATTGATTGTCCTACGGGATCAATTCCTTCTGTCCCCTCACATGTTCGCAAAACGCCGCGTGCACATTAAAGCTGATCAGCGTTACTTGATCGCGACCAGCCGATTCCAAATATGAGCTTTGAACCATATTTAGAGCAAGACAATGATGAAGAGTCACCGACCCGCCTCAACGAAGTCCATTCAGATGAACCTCGGCCTGGGAAACGCAAGCGCACCAGCAAAGACGATACCCAAGGGCCTTCGTGTTCTTTATGTCGCAGGCGAAAGGCAAAGTGCTCGAGAGATCAACCATGCGGCACCTGTATCAAGCTTGGTAAATCTCACTCATCCATATAACTTCAACGACTGACATGTGAAAGGTGCCGAATGCATATACGACCAGGAAAAGTCAAAGCCAGGCATGCGAGCGGGGGCTATCGAGACATTAACTCAGCGTATAGGTAGGCAGCAAAACAACTTCGCATACCCGATCCCTATAGCTGACTTACTTACTGGTAGCGACGCTGGAAAATATGTTTGTTGGCCAGAGTGTTCTCTGGCAGCAGATCTGGAAAAGCATCAAACAACCAAATATCCAGGAGTACGGGCGAACCCCAGAATCACATCCAGAAATTTCAATCCAGCAGATGGAGTCAGAGGTCCGAAGACATCTCACTGAATTGCCATTGTCGGAAATTGGTCAACAGGTGGACTCGGTAGTGGAAGGAATTCAACCAGGAAGCACATTTAGTGCAACAAATACGCGCCAGCCGAAAATTACTTCCGGTATTCAACATCAGGTTAGCCTGGGTACTCTCCCTCCAGACGATCTAGTAGACTCTATGGTCAACATATACTTCAACCAGATCCATCCTTGGATACCTATGTTGCATGAGCCAACATTTCGAGGGCTGCTCTCCAATAGTTCCGGAAGAGCGCGAGTGTCAACAATACTATACGCTATCGTATCTCTCTGTATACGATTCTCAGACGATCCACGGCTACAGAACGCTCCACAACTCCGTGCTCAATACTCCACTAGCTGCCGCCAGACAGTCATTCTTGCAAGTATGGAGTCCTTTTCGGTCGAGAACTTGCAAGCAATGACCATTTGTGCATTTGACATCATTGGCAGCGGTAGAGGTCCCTCGGCATGGTCCATAGTCGGCAGTATGTCTAGAACTGTCGAACAACTACGCCTCAGCACCGAGCAGGAGGAGGAGGAAACCCAGTCAAATCAGTCCAGGTCAAAGGCTCTTATCGAGAGGGTGGCGTTTCTCCCTCCAGCGTCAACATGGGCCGAAGTAGAAGAGCGGCGCAGGATCTTCTGGAATGTGTTTCTCATGGACCGCTTCTGCAGTATTTGTACTGGTTGGAACCTGTCATTGACCAGTGCTGATGTCACGAGGAGGCTGCCTTGTGAGGGCGCCATATGGGAGACTGGGGAGCCAAGCCAGACTCCTACTCCGTACTTTGGAATCTCAACTCGGTCCCAAGACCGCGAGACAGATTGTTTACCAGCCGCTCGCGATACCGAAGATGGCCAGGCTTCTCTAGGAGGCTTCGCGTTTTGTATAGAGGCAACGGAGAGTCTGAGTCTTGTCACGTCCTTTTTTCTCCAATACCGAGTTGATTTCAAGGAGGTCCATAAAGTCCAGAGATGGTTTATAAGATTCAAGCAGTTAGATTTGCGACTCGTACAGTATGTATTCCCTTTAAATGCCAGTGATGAAGAAATGGAGCTGATGAAACCAGATGGAAGGTCTTTCTCCCTGAGAAATGGCGCAAGGCTTGCCAATACAATAATGACGGCAACTTGGATCCCAATCTCGTCCTTGCGCATATAGCACACAACACTGCCGTTGTCCTCCTGCATCAGGGCTTGGCTTATCCACCAGCAGAATGGCAGTCTCTTCCTGTCAAGCTGCCTTCTGCTTCCAGTGCAGAGACTTGTCAGGTTGCGGCTGACGAGGTTGCAACGATTGCAGAGCAATTCCTTGGCCACTCACGTATAATCATCAGTCCGCAGTTTTCTTTTTGTCTCTTCGTGTGCGGTAAGATGCTGCTGACCCATGCCGCATACTTCCAGTCCACCCTCACTTCATCCTTTGATTCGATCATAACGAGCCTCGAGGAGATATCTCAGAGGTGGAACGGGTATCAGCCTCCAGCCCGAGCCAATCTGGCTTCCAAATTCTGCTCACGCCTCAAGAAGGCTCGCATCGAAGGTTCCGGTGCGGTCGATATCCGAGAAGCTTTTTCTGAGAAGCCAGACGCTATTCCCTCATCAAGAAATGCGGATATTAGCTTTCGTAGTACCGAGCTTGAAAGGACGACTGGTGCATTAAATGGAGAAATCGGCATTAATAGTACTCAGACGGAGTCGCCCGAGAGCATTTCCCTGGCTTTCCCGCCACTTCCTCTCTCATTTCAGATTGGAAGCGCACCTCATGATTCCATATTCGCCGCGCCAGCAAAGGCTGGTAATGACATGGGAGAAGTGGTCAGTACGGATATGAATATGGTGGGGAATTGCCTTGACTTTTATGATCTCTCAGAGCAGACGTTTCTTCCGTCAGAGCGCGTTAGTATGCTGAGTCGTTCGTATATTGGAGACTGATGTAATATGAGCTTCAGACGCAAATTGTAGCACATATGTCTTACCGGTGGATGAGTCGATATGTTCTGAGAAGCATTTGTGTGGAATCTCTTGGCTTTATGTTGCTGATGCCTCTCTCGCATCTTGTAGATTTTCTCACATACAGTTATAAATAAGCTTTTGGCTTTTTCGACCTGAACTGCCTAGGCCAGAGGGACGTTCCCAGCCGGAAACCAGTTGGCGAGAAAACAAAGTCAAACTAACCCACTGGCCGCACCGGTATCTATACTTTTTCAGAAAATAATAAAGAAGATAACGCTGTAGTCGGAGAGCGGGGTCCACCCTCTGTGTGCGGGCTTTCGCGAATAAACCTCGTCGGCGAAGCTGTCGGACTGACCCCGAAATCCACCTCCACCCAAGTACTATCGACTCATGATAAAGAGTGTAATGGGCTTCCAGTTCCCGATAGAGATTAGTTGGATTAAAGCCACCTTTAGCAATTAAAATTGTGATGGATGACTTATCACGTAGGCTTGGTGACTGTAGCCCTGCTATTCAAGAGTTGATGAAGCTTGCTGGAACGCCAGGTTTGAGTCTCTCGATGGCGACCAAGAATCAGCCAGTCTGTCATGCAAACCACGGCTTCCGAGATCTTCAGAACAGACTTGGTGTTACAGAAGAGACAATATTCCCAGTATGTTCACTCGCCAGAGGCCTGTCAGCTGCGGCTCCGGTGGACTCCGACATTGCGCTGTAAGCTACATTAACTTCATTAGCGACGTGTTTAGGTTGTTGGTCTTAATACAGGCCGGCTGCGGCATGAAGCGTCTTTTCGTGCCTTGTCACGAGATCTCCAGATAATCGAACACAGGTCACCTGCGATGTATTGATAAGTTAATAGTATAGAAGGCAAATAAATGATTTTCTTTCTTCACCTGTATAAGTCTAATATATTGGTACTGGTTATTAAATACTAGGTGTGTCTGCAATGCGAAAGACATATTTAGTCGCACTATTCTTTCCGTCCCTGAGGTCTCTTAGAGCTTGCTGCACCCCTTCCAACCCGTTCGGCCTTACTTCGAATGGGTGCCCGGAGAAAATGTCTGCCTGCCACGCTTTTGTAAACCAGCGGCAAGTTACAAGACCTAAATCACGGGCATCGCCGTAGGCCCCATTGTCTCCATTGTGAACGCTGCCAACTACGGTTGTAGTTTTCACCGCAGACCCAGTGTCCCAGTCACTCGGCAAGACAATATTGATTGCCCCATCTGGGGCAACAATCTCTGTCAATACCTTCCTACTCGAATCTCCGATGCCAGGATCAATGCCGTGTCTGACGACACCATAGCTGCCCGCCTTGAGATGTGCGCGGATTCCTTCGACTACTTCCTCGTCGCCCTCGCGGTAGTCGAAAACGATATCCCCTCTGCTACGATCAAGCAAGCTTTCGACGTAAGGAGTGCCCTTGCCTGCGACGGCGATTATTGGATGAATATTGCTGACGCGAGCAAGTTTGATCGCAAATGAGCCGACGGCCGAGCTAGCGCCATAAATAACGACAGGGGTAGGTCCAACAGCAGGGGTCCAAGGGGTTGGAAGACGAAGGTGATGGAACAGGGATACAGCCGCTGTGAGTGCGGCAAGGGGAATTGTTGCAGCCTCTGAGGAAGACTGTCAGTTTTGATTATTTCACTACCGTGGTGCTTTAAACAACTTGCCTTCGAAGGATTTGGACGGAGGAATATGGAATGCAGTAATTTCGGGTGCGAGTGCATACTCGGCAAACGAGCCACCAGGAAGTTGTCCTTCGTGCAAGGCTGCGACATGATCCCCTTTCTGTTTTCTAGTTAATACCTGTTTAATCTATGTCGGGCTTGCAGTAGATACCTTGAATGTGATTACATTCTTGCCGACTTTCTCGACGACTCCTGCAATATCATCGCCGTGGTTTATTCCTTTTTTCGCTCTGGCCTGCCAAGATTCATCGTCTGGGCCGTCGTACGCGGCTGCCCATACTGGCACTTTCCAATCCTTGGGGTTGGATCCAGAGACAACAACCTTGATGAGAATTTGGTTATCGCTAGGCTCAGGAATTGGAGCAGATTCAATTCTGCACTCAATCTCGGCGCTGGCAAGACCAATGACTTGTTTCATTGTAGCCATGATTGTTGCGTTTGACGATGGGTGAGGGACTAAGTTAACTGTTCTTGCCAGACAGATGCACCTTATGTACTGGAGAAGTTAACAGCGAAATGCTTGCATGCGGACTTTCTGGGAGCGGATTCGAGGGCGGACTTACTGTAAGATACTGCAATTTGTAAGACAGGTGGAGTGAAGTTCTCCTGCACTGACTCTATCTATGACTTGTTGGCGCTCATGTCTTAACTTTCTTTGGTAATGGTGTAGTACCTGTAACTTTCCACATCCCTTGCTTGGAAGTACTTTTCTGCTACTAGACCAACTAGTCTGTTACAGTACCGGACTTTTAGCCCCCCCTCAATTAAAGCATGACGCATTGGTGGGGTTGTGTAAAACTGGGCCACATGGATATAACGTTAGATGGGGCCTTGAATTACCGAAGACCTTCCACCCCCCCGACAATCTTTTACTTTGGTTTTCTGTCTTTTGTCTTTTTCCTTACCCACCACTCTGGTTTAGTCGCATTCTAGGAAATAAGGCGCTATCTCAATCCGAGTCTTGCCGTATTATTAGCGGAGATTTTAAAGTACAGACATGAGATTAATAAGCCTTCCTTCACTCCCATTATGGGGAACTTTATAACACGGACAAAAACAAAAGCATTAATCCGCGATTAACTATCCGCCCTCATTCTAATTCCTTTCTAAACACTTTCTTCCACAGCGACAATTATTAATCATAATATCCCAGGAGTAAATATGTAAAGTTATAGATTTGTCGTCCTTGTACGTAGCGAGGCCAAGGCGAACGATGTTAAGAAGTTCTTGCCTATACATGGGAGTCTTGACGTCGTCATGGGTTCTGATATGTGTGAATGATACATTGATTGCGACACAAGGGCCACGAGGATGGGACAAGGGGATTTGGACTCTGTGGGGAGGAGCAGCAGTAACGGCGTTTGTGGGTTTAGGGTTGTTGCAGTCGTAAGTGCTAGGCTTTAGCTTCGTTGCAGAACTCAACGGGGCTAGTAGAGACGGGAAAGAAGAGGAGTAAACATTAAGAATCTGTTGGAGGAAGATGTAGGGTATCATTACAGTCTATCGGCGATAAATATAACGTTGCTATAAAGTAAAAGTGGAAGTGGAAGTAGATAACATTTACCGACTAACTGATTTGACACCTACTTAATATGGAAACCTACAGCCCCCCATGCTGAACCCGCCTCTAAATGTTTACTATATTCCAGTTCTTTCTTCCAGCCCTCTTTCTAGAACTGCCTATGTCTTTCCCACTTAGGTTATTGACGTTGCCTAACAGACATGTACTAGTATTCACACCACCTTCATCAAATGATGTCCAAAACGTCTTTAACAGCCTGCTCCAAGTCCTCCTTTTGAAGACCTAATTTCTCGTCCCACAGTCCCCATGGCCTTGAATCTCCAAGAGCTTGTTTGCCAAGCGCCCCACCCCCAACAAGATCTGTAGCACCCATGTTATCTCCCTCAGCCAACCTCTTCTTGCCTTGAGCGATCAGCTCCTCGGATGTAATATGCTTCACTGTCCATTTCTGGCCATCGACTTTCTCCACCACATCCAAAATATCCTTCTGACTTATATGGAAAGACGATATATAGACGTATTGGTTCCTCGTCTCATCGGCATGCTCTAGCATTGCAAGCGTTGCTTTTGCGATAGTCGGTAGAGTTGAAGCTGTGAAAATAGCAGTCCCGCCGTCGATGAGTGTTGTCGTTTTGGAATCAATGTCGAAACCGAATAGTCCGATCTTCATAGCCCAGTCAAAAAAAGCGCCTGGAATGAGAGCTGACCAAGATATCTGAGACTCCTTAGATTGGAGGTAGTCGACCGTAGCCACTTTGGGTGGTAAGGCCGGGTGCAGGGCAGCGAACTTTTCATCCCGCGAAGGTGGCCCAAATTCACTGGGAAAAAACCTCTTCACGCCAGCGGCTATGGCCGCGTCAACGAGGATTTGCTGGCCACCAGTCGCGAAGACGGCAACCATACTGATCACTACATCCTGACCTTCCATTGCATGTTTGACTTGGTTGATATCGGAATAGTCTGCTCGGAAGACAGGAACACCCTCCGGGAATGTGGATGTTGATCCATTGCGAGTTAGGATGCTGACTTTGTATGGCGAGTCTAAGAACGTTTTCAGGACATGGACACCCAAGTTTCCGCCCGCCTGTAATATGGAATGGTCAGTATAACATGAAGATAATCAAGGTTATGCAGAATTGGGGGCATACGCCAATAAGTAGAACCTTTTTAAAAGAATCCATCTTTCGAAGAAGCAAGTAGTGAAATTTTGTAAATCGACAAACAATCAAAGCTTAAACGAAACTTGATAGCTATGGAGTGGTTAACGATGGCTTGATACCTTGAAGTTATATATCTATACATAATACCCCCCTGTAGAGAAGTAGCCCTGATAAGATTTGAATACTGTATCGCTTACAAAACAGTCGCTCCCAAGGTGCCAAGACTGAAGTTTACCGCTCAGGGCTCTGTTATCCGTGAGATGATTATAAATTATGAACTAGGAAGCTTTTCACTAATTGGAGGGCCCTGCAAAGCTTATCTCGTAGGCGGCATAATCCAAACATCCAATAGCTAGTAATCAATAGCTTGGCATTTGTGTTCCTACCTCAGTCGATGTGTATTACCAATATGTCTGTATTCCCCTCATTGTATCATAATCCAGAAGATGTTTACTCTGCTATCTGTGTACGGGCATTCGTGATTAATAATCACGTCCGCAAGAAAAGCCTCCGAGTATGGGGATATCCTTATTGAATGGGCCGAAGGACATTCTGGTTTCAGAGTGCCCACTTGCGGTCTAAGAAAACCCTCCGGTACTTTTCTAATTTCGATATAGTTCGTAAGATAACCCCACTTAACTTTCCAAATAGCTTCCATCATAACGTCAACAAAGATTGTAAAGATTGTCCCACGACCCACCCCTGTTGAAATAGTGCAGTATCTCTATTCATTCCCTTGCTTTACGTTACATAGCTCGATTAATAAGGCCTATTGTTCCTGATGATCGTTGAGATCATACGCGGCCTCTAACGTCTTGGCTTTTCCAAGCCCCTGTATGTATACCTGGCACTGAGGCGGCATTGGGCGAGAAATTGAGTTTTATTTTTGACTTCTTCTGACATATCTTAGCTGCAGTGCTTAATTTAACCTCCTCGCAGAGCCTACCTTCTGTTGCACTGGCTTTGTAATTCATGGAGGTATTCTTTCTCGGTTTGTTAAGACCTGGGAGAACACGCAATTCTCCAAGGTTTTAATTTATATCCATGAAGTTACAAAGACTTCCTAGGGAGGAACTTAAAAACCCCCCAATAACATCTGTACGAATATCTAAACCGATAAGGAACGGATTGGCGAAGCTAATACTCCAAGTAAATCTGGCCACCGCTTGAGATAAGGACCCAATTCTTCCAAGTATAGGAGTGATTATTAATACCTACTTAATTATCCTCTTTCCTCCACTTTTTATTCATGACCTCGGCTAGCTATACGTCGCATGCTATAAATCCCGCAACTTCCCATGTTCGGCATCCCGATGCCACTTAGTTTAACATCTTTGCATACCAATACTATTTAATCATGTTAGCCGTAAAGAAGCTTCCTGCTGACGCTGACTATATAATCACTCACCACGCCACGTCTTACGACTACATCTCACCTTTAAAACTGGACCTAGTCGGCAAGCATGTTCTTATCACTGGTGCAGCTTGGGAAGATGGAGTTGGCTTTGCTACTGCCATGGCCTTTGCACGTGCAGGAGCATCTTTCATAGCATGTGTTGATCTGCACGGCATATCAGATGAGCTCATCCACAAGTTGAAGTCAGCCGCAACGCAAGTCAACCGCCCAGAGCCTGTGATGCTCGGCTACAAGGTCGACATTGCAAGTCTGGACAGCGTCAAATCAATGTGTGACTCGATAAAAGAAAAGTTCAGTGGGCGGTTGGATGTTCTTGTTAACAATGCTGCGCACATGGAACCATACAAACCATTCCTCGACTCAGACCCGGAAGTGTACTGGCGAACATGGGAAGTCAACCTTCGGGGACCCTTCAACATGGCGCGCGCATTCCTCCCCATGCAGTTATCAAGCTATACCAAGGTTGACGGTTCTTGTATTATGATTAACGTATCGTCGTCAGGCGCGTTGAGCGTTCGTTCCGGCAGCGGGAGCTATCGAAGTTCGAAGCTTGCAGTGCTGCGATGGACCGAGTCGTTGCAAGTCGAGTATGGGGAACAAGGACTTCTGGCCTTCTGTGTGAATCCGGGTGCGATCAAAACAAGAATTACAGAGGGAGTACCCGAAGCGGTTAGGAACGCACTTCCTCATCAGCCTGACATAGCTGGTGACACAATAGCATGGTTGGCTTCCGAACGCAGAGAGTGGCTTGGAGGGCGATATGTTAGCTGCCCATGGGATATGGAGGAGCTTGTCGCCAGGAAAGACGAGATTATAGAGAAGGATAAACTCAAGTTAAGGATGGTAATCTGAGTTTGTTAATGAATACCCTAATAACTTTAAATCAATTACTATATCCGCCTGTAGGATAAGGGTCCACTGCCCAGTGCCCGGAATGGAAATAGTCTCCCCGTTGCAGGCTCTGCTAAAGATCTGGGTAACCACAGCCTTGTCCATGGATCCTACCCCCCTACTAAAATAGACTAAAAGCTACTTTTTAACAACTTAAATGCGCCTGAGAATAATAGGAATTGAATTACTTAGATGGAGTTGAGTTGCATACGGTAACTAAACTCTATTCAACTGAACACGTAGACTGACAACCGTATGCATAAAAGCTGGCTTTTCCTCCCACACCCCTTAACCTATTGCACACCTTAAGCAAACTAGTCAGTCGACCCTTGCAGCTGCCCATCGTTAGTCAATCCATCGACAAGCCAAGACTAGCCAGTCAATCATTGAAACTTAGTATATAGAGCACTGTTCTAAAAATTTAGCCAGTTTGATCATCCAAACTGACGTGAAGAATAAGAAAGAGGGGACCGAAACATATTCGACTGTGAAGAGCGGAAGGGTAATTACAGCACTGGTAGATATAGGGGCTAGTGGAAATGTGAGAATAGATATGACAGTATCAAGTATAATCGAGAATTAAGCTTGGGAGACTTTAGTATATACTAAATGGGAGGTCAAGAGAAGTGACACACCCTTGCAATTATCAGTTACCTTAAAGAAATTTCGTCAAGCTATCGGGGTAAGTAATAAGTATATCCTCCTGCCACTTCACTACTTAGTAACAAATGGGGCATTGACATAAAGGTTATCAAACCGTTCGTCTAGAAGCTTGGGAATCTTAGCCAATCCTGACAATGCAGAATCCCAGCCGAATGTCTTCGCCCAGGTATCAACAAAGCCCGTTTGCACGTCCTTGGCCCCCCCCTCGTTCCAATCTGGCGATTTCCACTTATCATGAACAGCATCCCACTGAGCAGCACCCTTCTTTGGCTCATCAGGTTCCCAACTCTTGTCGGACCATTCTGGATCAGGGAAGCTCTTGTCGGCTGGAAGGTCCTCTAGTCCCGCGTCAAGGATATTGAAAGCCTTGAGTGTATCCTCGGACATAACAGCGGGAGGACCTTGCATGAGGACCCCCATCATAAGCTTGACGCTACCTTCGTTATCGTCGAGCAGGTCGTTGATGTTGTTGCCGTCTCGACTCTTAGTAGGATCTTCCCCTTCAGAATCTGTTTCAACCTGTTAGCACTGCTTGATCGTTTATATACATCGGGCTTCCACTTACACGTGCCCCATAGTCCTGACGGGACTTGTTTATACTGCTGGGTCATTCCCCATATGGCGCCGTGAGAAACGCCGTTCTGGACGATCTCAATCTTCACCTCTGACTTAGCCATGGGGGTTTTCTTTTCAAGGTGCATGGGTTTTGCATAGATCGAGTCCGCCTTGTTTGAGACCGAATTTAGAGTCTTGTCACTCTCATCAACGAGTAGTGCGTCCTGAGCTGCCATCTTGCACCCGACGACGAACGCAAATGAGCCACCGCGGACAGCCCAATCCGCATTTTGGGACCTTTCTGGGGAAGAGTTGTTGTTAAGAAGACCTGAAGTAGCAAGAAGTGTATGACCTTGGTTCATGGGCTGAATAATAACGTCCTTGTCTGCTTCTGCCACAAGGCTGGTTTCCTCCTTTTCCTTTGCTGCTACAGACTTTATCTTCTGGCTGCCTGCTTGCAGCACCAACTTGTAAAAGGCGAGCATGTCAACTTCTGGGTCACGCGACTTGCTTGAACCAAAGTTGATGTCAAACTTGGCAACCTTGATGTCAATGTGAACCCGGCCAGCCAGTGGTGGCCCCCACAGATACAAGTCTGCCGATATCTCAACAGAAATGTGAGTATGAGTAAAGAGAAAATCAATATCAAAGCGCACACCAACACAGATTCCTGCATTAGCTTCAAAGCTGAAGGGTTTATAGTTAATAAGGAAGTTAGCAAAAACGTCAAACCAAGCACTAATTGGTCCAGCACTGAAGGCTGCATGCAGTCGTCCACCACCCATACAGATTTTAGGAGTAATAGCAAAATATGCCTCCCCTGAGATACTAAGATTCTTTCCAAGAGACCAACTAATTCCTAGGCGCGGCGGGTTTGGCCAACCTTCGGGTATTCTAAACGCTTGGTGATATCCGCCAAGCGTGAAAACAAAGTTTCCAATATTAGATTGATCAGCGTGGGGAGCATCAAACCAGTAATAGAGAGCGAACCCGCCGGTCAAATGGCAGTTAGGATCCAAGATAAAGGACTTGGGCGATAGCTGGCCTTCTGTCTTCAGAGTGCCGTAGCCAAAGTCAACAGTCACACCAATACCAAGCTCGACATGTGCGAATTTAACAGGGGACTTCGCATTGGGAATGTCAACAAGGGCAACAGCGTAGATGCCCAGCTTAATAGACTGACCAAACATGACGACTACGACGGCATCAAGGGATATCATCTGGAAAGCATCAATCTTCATACCTGCCGCAGCCCAGTAGCTATCGTCTTGTGGACTAAACCAACCTCCGGCAGCAGCGTCTGGGTTGGTCAGTGCCTCGAGCGTTTTGAGTACATCGCCACTTGAGCCGTCAAGCTGAGACTGGTTGATGAACGGGAAGTCGGTGATCTCGCTGGCCTTGGGGACGCGTACTTCAGACTTGTATCCAAAACCGCCTGTAACTCCAGATATTTCTGCAAACTCGAGAGTCACGAGAGGGCCGTCAAGTCTAGCAAAGACAAACACAGAAACGAAGTCCTTCGTCTTGTCGCCCTTTACTGGGTGGGCCTCACCGTAGAAGCCAGCGGCTTGGAGCTGGTATGGAACCCAGCCGACAATAAGACCACCAGAGTAAAATGTCAACTCCTCAGTGTCGCCCCGACGAACAATACCCGCGATTGTCAACGGAGGTCTTTCAAACGCCACCGAGAATCCCTCTAGGCTGAACTCTGGGAACTCTATCTTGGATAAATCAAGAGAGGTAAGTTTCAGATTGATTGTGAAGCCCAGAAGTGAGAAGCTAAGAGGACCGAGCTCAAAACTAGCGTTGAAGCCAATGCGCAAGACATTGTCGACATACTTGAGGGAGATGTTGCTGATGGAAAGAGGCCCGGCCTTCTTTTTGAATGGGGCCGATGCACTTCCACCATCAGAGTCGTCTTTGGGTGCTTTCTTCTCAGGCTCTTTCTCATCTGCCGAAACAGCAGCGAAACCTGAAGCGGTCAGAGCCTTGGAGCCGCCTTCTTTCTTTTCGCGAGTAGAAGATGCCTTCTTTTTGAAGTCATAATCCAGAATGCAAGAAGACTTGCCCTCAGAGTCCTTGATAATGACTCCAAAGTGAGAGCCTGAGCTCATCAAAAGATCATCATCAGTAGTGGGCGGTTTGAACTTGTCCTTCACTGTCAACGGTAGGGTTTTCTCAAGGCTGGCAAGATCCTTGCGAGTAAGCCCAGAGTCACCACCCTTGTTAAGCTTTGTGTCATCTTGAATCCACATAAAGTACATTTCCTGGAATGGCTGTGTGAGGTTCCCAACAAGAGGAATATCTATCCCGGGAACAGCCGTGAGCGCAGCCTTGAAGAATCGCTTGGAGGGTGTCTTAGGCGCCCATTCAAGTCTGTGAATCTGGACAAATGAGAAACTCAACTTGTCGATGTCCACAGTAGCAACGAATTGGAATGAACCTTTCTTTGTTTCTGCAAGCTTAACCGCTGCATCTTCAGGCTTTTCATCAGGCTTGGGGTCTTTCTTTTCTGTGTCAATGTGCTTGTCGACTTTGATGACAATTGCATCTTTTCCATCTTTGCCAAATGTAATTTCGTCGAGAAAGTTGGGAAGTTCCAGGCCTTCATCGCCTAGAATACCCTTGATGACATCTCCAACAGTAGCAGACTTCTTGGAAGAGCTCAGCGTGGCCTTGAAGGTGAAAGTGCCATCGGGCTCATAATTGAAGTTCAAACCCAATTCAAGACCTGCAGCAACAAGAATGCCCTTGAACTCAAATTGAGATCCCATCACCTTGGTGACCTTCTCCTCTTTGCCTTCAATAGGCTCAACTTCTACGGGCGCATAGTGATAGGTTAGGTCAAGACTCTGGACTGCGATAGACTCTATCAGGGGCATGACGTGATCAGCGGCCGATTTATTGAAGAATTCGTAGAGAGTCGACGCGTAAAGCGAATCAAGAGAAGCATTGAGCAGCCAGGTTGAGGTCGTGGAGTCATAGTCGACACCACCCTTCAAAACCGCAGTCTCCTGGTGAACAGACGTGGGTGATGGTCTCATCTCGGCCATGAATGCAGCTGTCAGCTTGAAACTCTTTTGGCCCTTCCAGGCAAAGCTAGCGTCAATACTGATAACACCAAGGTCAAGCTGAGGAACTGGTGGCGGATCAACTACATCGAAGGCCTTCGACTTGACAGTTCCTCCGAGGGCTACGCCGTTGTTGCCAAGCACAATGTACGCCCTGCTAATTTGCGTTGGAATAGTAGAAGGGACATTGCCGATCTCCATGTCTGGAATCATCCTGAGCAGATTGAGTGCCGCTGCCGGGCTATCTGTTAGAGGAATGAGATTGGAAGTGATCTCGTACCCAGGCTGCATAACCCGCAACGGGGATACATCAAACCCTACCTCTCATTGTCAGTCATAATCGCAATTGAAATAACTGGCGGTGGCTTTGACTTACAGTTCCAAAGTCGACCTTGGAGGATTCCCCATTTAGGACCGCCCCTACTCCAATTGTACGATAAAAGAAACACAGGTGTCATTGTAGATGCCCCTGGCTGTTCAGGTGGAGTTTGGCCAAAGCCCGCCTCAACTTCGATGTCGAATGAGAAGCTCGCGAGCTTGGTATTCTTCCCTTCCGAATCGCAGTCCAGAGTAACTGTGATTTGCCTAGGGTATACACCTTTGTCTTTGAAGATGTCGCTTTCCAAGAGGAAAGTTTTGATGAAGGTCAAGTCTAGACCGGGGACAAGGTTTGTGAGCCAGAGAAGGATTCCTTGGAAAGCATCTTTCGAATTGAGCTGGATGACGATGTTGTAGTTAAAGGCGTAGAATTCAATCGATGCTACTACTGGTACCTCTTTGCCACCAGAAGCAATCTTGCATTCAGCCACAAACATGACTTGGCCTTGAGAAACGGCTTTGTTTCCAGAGTTCGTCTCGGTAAGCACAAGAGTCTTTTTGCATATGGCGTCGAGGCTTTCAAGCGTAAATCCCTTCAGGGGTTTGCTGATGATATCGTTGAATGTAGTTTTGTCAGCGTCGCCCAGACTAAACTGGAGTCTGGTAACTGTCTGGAGAGCTTTGGTGGGACTGATCCAAAGTCCGTTTCGTTTACCACCGGCGCCAGTGTCTTCGTTGGACCTTTCAGAAGCGCCTTTACTCTCCTTCGACTGGAGTTTCAGGGTCACCTTCCAATCTGCGATAATCGAATTTGGCTTCAACAATGATCCAGAGAAGTCGAAAAGCTCCTTGATCGTTGAACTGAGATCATGAGGGGTTTTCTCAGCATCGAGGCCAAAGTAGAGCATTGCCCCATCTGGCTCCAGCCCTGGTACAGGGACCTGGAAAATAGACTCAAAGGAGAAACGCAGAGCTTCTTCTCCTGAACTGAATACGACATTCCAAGGGCTAGTGAGTTGGAAGCTGAAAGCGATAATATCCCAAGGACCTTTACCAGGATCAGGGTTTTTCTTCAGGGTCAATTCGAATGTTCCCTTGGGGTCAAGGTTGGTCATCCATTTCGCTAGATCGTCACTGTCATCGAACTGAATGATATTTTCATCGTTGCCCGCTGGAACGGAATTCAGGGTAATCGAATTGTCAGGAAGGCGGTTTGCAAAGTTGTCAATGTTGCTCCCCACATCCAAGGCTTGGGCGTCATCATGACTCGGATCAGTGGCCTTGGAACCATAGAATCTGTATTTGCCTTTTTCGACAAATCCTCCAGTGGCTGATACGGGGGCCCACGGGATTACGGAGACTCCTCCATCGCGTGGGATGCCATGGCGAGAGATCAGGCCTTGCTTGGCCATGGTGTGCAGAAAGTCTACTTTGACAATTTGAAGCTGAAATTGGATATGATACGTTTTCAAGTAGTAACTGTATAGTCTGTGGGACCAAAAACTGGAATCAACGCTGGGGAGTCTCGAGATACCCGATGGGACTGGAGCAGCTTAGTGGCGACGACTTGTATCAGAGAGCTTCTTGATTGGGCTCGCAGACTAATAGCACACTCTACGAGTAGTGGCTAGCTGAACCGATACTCATTACCTATTCAGTCAAGATATTGGATGAGGGCGAACTTGGCGGCTTTGAAGCGGTTTGCATTGCATTTTACCTATGGCGCTTAGTGTGATGAGCATACATTGAACGAGGTGTGCCGACTGTATGCATATGCAAGTGCCGCGTAAACAGTATGCAGCATACAAATAGTTTCAATGTGAGTTTGGGACTATTGAAAGAGGCTTGATGTGGTCTGGGGTGCGTCACGAAATGCAACTATATACGTCTAAATTCAGCAATCTCAGCTATGTTTCAGTTCACAGGCTAGCTTCTTCTAGGAGAAGAAGGTGAATGGTGGTTGTCTACCCCTCTGACTTTGGGTGGGAGGGTGATACGTCACAGGCCGGTGCAGCAATACCTGTCACATCTGTACCCCTCTTCTCAGCTGTGGGGGGGCGTGTGGCTCTCCCGCCCCCATTCACTTTACTAGGGATAGTGATTCATGCAGAGTTCCCGATTAGATTCTACCTGCAGAAGAGCTGTTTATTCCCAACCTGGGATGTTACTGAGGTATCAAGGTGTTCTCAGCGAGATGATGGAACATGTGAGCTTGAGCATTTGTGAAGACCCCGATATCATCTATCGTTCACAGTCAACTCTAAATCGCCAGAGCTCGAGCATCGTGCAACGAGAAAATATCGCCAACTTGTTCATTCTTCCCTCTGATTTCTCACCGAGTATCTATCTACCATGGAAAGCGACAAAGACCCGTTGCTGGTACCAATTCAGCTTCAAGCTTTTGTGCTCAACCCCTCCGTCTGCAACACAGACGACAAAGATGACCATGGCGCGCGTATCATGCCCATTACTCAGCCAAACTATACTTTCCTGCGTCTTGACAACTTTCTCATTCAGAGTGATGTTCTCAACCATGCAGACCTTCACTGCTCTGCACCAGCAGACGCAAACCCGCGTATGACTGATCTGGGCGCCCGACCTGCTACTGAACGTCGGGACCGTCAAGGCGTCTACCTTCACTGGATTCTCCCCCAGGTATATAGATCTGGTGTTGCCTCTGCAGATTCTGTCTCTAAGGAACGGCGGGAGGATGAGCGACTCAAGCGTGGCTTGGCTCCGACTCCCAGTGAAGCGTCCTCGGATCCCAAGGAGCAACCTAGCCGCTCCCCAGAGTTTTTGGAGCCGCCGACACGCTGGATCGTCATTCGGAAGCTGGACATGGACAGTGTCAGTCCTGTGGGAGCCAAAAGATTCTTCAAAGAGTACGAAGCATGGGTTATCGAGAGCGACTATCGGTGGTCGCTGCATTGCATTCCTCAAGACTACGACCTCCAAGTCGATGTCTCTCCGTTTGTACTAGGTGTCAAGTCTGGCGACGATACCAATATCGAGCAGCAGGCTGAAGTTTTCATCGGTCGCAAGACACCGTTGGAGAAATGGACCGATAACCCTGACGCCTGCCGCGCAGATATCACTCTCCTTCGGAGTAGCAACCAACTTTTTGCAGACTTTCAACTTCACAATAGCAACGTTTTTAGTATGCTTGACAATTTTGAGTACTTTGATCGTCCGTCGTCGAAGGAGCCCATGTTCCTGAAGGAGGCCAAAGCAAGCTACTATCTCTTCGGATGGCATCGCGACGAGAAAAAAGATCCTCTTTGGGCAACTGGTCGTTCTCACGCTGAACGAATTCAGGGTATTTTCATGTCATTGAAGAAAAGTGGCATCGATGAGACGACTAATTCATGGCTCAAAGCAGAAGACCCCACGCATCTTTGCTTGCACGGGGCATTGTATGATGTTCAATGGGATCACAAGAATAAACCAACAACGGTTCCAGCGGACAAGTATGCTGAGGCTCTACGAAACAAGGAGCTCCCTGCTATTTCAGTTGGTACATCTCCTATTGATGCTCTCATCACCTACTGCTCATCCAGGAGTGACAAGGAGAGCGATGAACTTATAAAGCGACTTGAAGAAGACATTTTGTTGATCGACTCACTGCTGCACGCACGCGATGATGGCGTTGAGGGCCAAAGAGAGGCCAAAGATATAGCTTACAACTGGAGCTTCAACCGATCTCAGGGAGGTATTCATTACTTCATCGCCGGAGAAGAGAGTGAAGGGGAGCCTATCAAGCCTGATCCAAACTCTAGTGCCGCTCTGCGAACTCTGAACGAACATCAATCTCTACTAGACGCTTGTCGCAAGGGTGCGCAGCAGTATCGCTGGGACATATTCTCGTTGTGGTGGAAGTACGTCACAGACGTCACCAACAAAACCGACAGAGATGTCAATTCTGAGTTCGAGGGCAAAGTTAAAATCATCTCTGACAAATTGGGTAGACTCAATAGTCGCATCGACGTCCTCGATGATCGTGTCACGCAGCTTATCAAGGATGGCAAGGCAGAGGGAGGATATCTAAAGGGTGTCAAGACTGGAACTGACCCTTTTTATTATCGCCCTCGCGATCCTACTGTGCTTGTTGGTGGCGTTGATTCTGGATGGCCAAGCGACTTCAATGACGATATTGAGGTTCGGCTACCAGCTCAGACGGTTAAGACAGAGAGCGCAGTTCCTAAAAGTCTCTCTGATCTAGTATACCTTATCAGGACCAAGTTGGCAGGTACTGGCGCGCTCAAGGACGCCGATAAACTCTGCCAAGAATTCTGGGCTTTAGTGCCTAACAAGAAAAAGGATCCAGATGCTGCCCTTGACAAAGGACAAGCGTATCCCCAATTCCACGACAAGAGGTCGCTTATAAATGACAACAAGCTATGGCGAGACCGCTGGGAAGATCGACAGCCGTGGTTCCCTCTCTATGCTGAGTGGGAGGTTGAGTATACCCATGTACCTTTCAAAGAGTGGCAACTTGACCAGCAAGCTTCTCGTTTGTCCGATAGCAAAAAGGCACGGTATGGTATCCCAACAGATGACGGAATTCCACTATGGGAAAAGATGCAGCAGGGAAAACCACAGCCAGTTGATGACATCCGCACATTGTCTGGCCGAGTCCTCATTTTGCCCCAGCCCAGCTTCTCTCTGAAGGCCAAAGTCAATCAGCTCTTTGCAGATACTCCCCCCTCAATTCTCAACCCCATAATCGACTGTAAGAAGCAAAAAGAGCTTAGCGATAACATTGACTGCTTGTCGTTTCTCTCCGCCCCTTTGGCAGGGCTGTCGGAAGGACTTCTCACGTTGTCGCAGGGCACTCACATCAAGCCCGAGAACAAGTATGTTGAGAACGGAATTCAGAGAACTTCTGCAGTTAGTGCCGCCGTTTTCGAAAATGCCGGACTGTCCAAGAAAATCATCGAGATGATCCAGAATAACTCTGCCTTGACGCCCTATTCTTCTATGTCAGACTTCATGGACTCAGACTTTTGTCCATTCAAGCCAGTCACACACGGACAATTCAGGTAATTGTACCCCTTCTACATGTCATGAGCTGGCGAATAACAAGACCATAGGTTCACCAAATTCAACATCATTGACAAATTCGGTCAAACCCTCGTTGCCATTGACCCCAAGCCCAGAATTGGAGGTCCCGAGCCGCTGTATCCCTGTATCAGCGATTACTACGAGCCCCAAGTTGTGATTCTCAAGGACAAGGACAATACCAAAGCTGCAAATACAGTCATGAAGAATGACGGATCAAAGTGTGAATTTATCCAGCTCCCGCCACAGATCAACCAGAGCTCCCGCCTCAACGCGCACTTTGTCGTCTACTCTGGTGATGATGAGATCGCAAAGGAACATAGACCATACTGGCGTCCGGCGACTGAGTGGGAGAACCCCATCTGGGGATGGGTTGTGCTGAACTACGCCGACCAAGGCATTCAGCTATTCTTACCGGATGGTATGTTTTACCGTGAGGTCAGATTCGGGGGCCCAGGCGGTACCATCACTGAGCCGAAATGGCTGCCATTCGCTCCAGATCCTCATGTACCTCCGGTAGCAAACACTGCACAGTTGGATGCTCTCATTACCCGCTTGGGCAATGACAAATACGCCAGGGGCTTTTGGGACATGCTGTCTCTGGCTGTGGACAACATGGCTGCAGCACCCAGCGCCTATGCAGAGTTTGTGAGCTCGATCATCGGGAGGCCTCTCGCTTTGGCAAATATGGGATGGTCGTTGGAGCTTGAAGGGGTACCACTTGGAAACGAGAGTACCAGGTCAGGACACCAGAAACCACCCTTGCATCTTGTTGCTGAGAGCAAAGAAGACAAGAACAGCTACGAGTTTCAAGTCAAGCTAGGCGACTTATTCAGAGAGTACGACGGTCTCGTTGGGTATTTTGATGCCAACCCGGAGCCAAAGTTCGAAGAAAAGAGATCAAATGAGTTGAAGCTCGACGATATCAAGACATATTTCAACGGGGGGTCCAAGGCCGAGAATCTCAAGTCCATCTCTAAAGAAAATTATCCCAAGTTCAAGCCTTTCTGGACTGGACAGTTTGACGACAAGAAGGCTGTTGAGCCAGCTGACTACACCGACCGCCAAGTGCGGCAGCTGCATATCTTCGGTGCAATCTTTGATCCCTTCACACCTATCCACGGCTACTCATCGCTTCTACCAACACGTAGCCTCCAACTGCCATCATGGACATGGCAGGCAGCCATGGAGAACATGACAGCCTTTTTCCACGCAGGCCCATTGACCCTGACCGAAGACCCAGGAGAGTATGACCCCAAGAATCCTCTTACAACAGAAACAGTCAAGAAGAGGCCTACTCGAAACGCTGCACTGCCAACGCTGCCAGAGGGCGATTGGAGTTGGTTGCAGCCATTTGTTGATAAGACACCTGGAAGCAAGCTTCCTATCTATAACGCGTATGGAATCGAGGAGAAGGGTAATCCGCTCAAGCCAGGATTCCAGAAGGGTCCGTATACTGCAATTGAGGGGTTTTTGCAATTGAGACAGCCTATGAACAAGGACAAGGATAAGAAGCCTAAGCAGCCTTGATGGGTCTTTGAGGATAGTGAGGGGTGTCGTGTACTTCCATTTGGTTAATGAAGGGTTCTCTAAACTGTAATGTTGACATTCCTATCCTTCGTTACTTGACACCGAATCATTACTTAGTATCAGTATTCAGTCTATGTGCCTTTTCCTCCTGCTCCTCTATCTTAGTTCCAGCCTTATAACTCTGGCTAAGGGTATTGAATGATGCCAAAGTAAGCGATAAAATGCATGAGCTGCGTTGCTGACCCGTTTATTCCAGCGGCGGATATCGTCCCTCGTTTCTTGTAACGGTTACTATTATTTCGTAGAGACTTACACAAGCTGAAGAAAGGTATTAGTCTTTAACTTGGCGTGCTCTAGAACGGAAATCAGCCCGTAAGTAAAATGTGCAATCACATTGAACTGAACCAGAAACAGACGCAATGAGGCTAGGCAACAATCTGAATAAGTGTGCTAGGCCAAGAGCTCAAATGACTTTGGGTGGCTACTGATAACTACGAATGCAGCCCATCACCATCACCGTAAGCGATGTTTGCAAAGGTTTTGAAGACTTTGAGCAAGTATAACAGAATCAATTGTGACTATAGCAGTAATGACTGTTGTGGTTGCAAGCCTGTTCCCTCCCTCCTCATCCTCCTCCTCAGCTGGCTGCAATCAAGATAGCGCAATATGCCTACGTTGGCCTGAGCCCTCAGCAACAGATACTCACTGAGCGGGCTTGGGAGGCTTCTTATCAACGAAGTGGGAGACGACGTTCTGCTTGTTCTGGTTTTCAGCCGTGTAGAAGATGTGAATATCATCCCCAGCAAGCGTGACAGTGAGCTGAGCATCCGCGGCAGCATTGTTAGTGCAAGCTTTGACAACAGTGTAGTTGGCGAATTCTGATTTCTCTTCAAGATCCTTGTAAACTCTGGAGATACGGTTGTTCGTGTTGATGTAGTATAGGTAGACACCGTTCGTAGTGACAGCAACAGCAATAGATGTGTTGGGCCGCACCCCCGCAGCTTGGTCAATTTGACGGTCTGTTATAGGGTTAGAAAACTATGTTGCTTTTGAATAGAATGGGTAATACATACTGTCCTCTATAAGGGGCGAAAAAAAGAGTGAATCGTTAGCTACACACGACCTTCATTGGAGACTAGAAACGGGAAGTACATACGTGAGTCGGCTGTGAACTCATACAAATTGTTCGACCCAGCAGTGCTCTGGTAAACGATGTGCTTTTTGTTGTCGACAGTGCCGTACCAGGCTGCGAGAGAGGAGTTGGGGGCGACTTTAGTCAATTCGGTGTATTCATTGTCGCTGCCGTCCCCAATCATGGCTTCATAAAGGTTGAGATCTTGGCCCTTCTTCCTATAAATATGTTAACTATGCGAGTTCGTCTGAAAATGCTGTCGCTCTAATTTGGGGTGTAATACTTGAGATAGTAGATCCAGTTGTCAGTCTTGCTACAGCACGCAGCAATCCTGTAGTTGTCGCTATAAACATACGGGGAAACGACCATGTAGACGGGGCTGATGAGGGAAAGGTCAACCTCCTTAGCATCTGGGGGACACTTGCAGCCGTTGGGGTCAACCTCGTTGTTGTTCTGGCTGACTGAGACGGACCTCTTGTCGGTCACACCAAATACAAAGTCCTGGTTGTTGAACTTGGTGACGGCTAGGTAAGACGGGTTGATGATATTGCCAACAACGGCGTCGCCCCCAGAAGCAAAGTTGTTGAATTGAGCTTGGCCTCCGTCTTGTTCATTGCGGAACAGAAGCCCAAGGTTCTTGTTTTGCTGGTTGTAGAAGACATGGATCTTGGTCTTTTCATTACCGTCCGCGTCGAAAGTAGCAGCGCAGGAAGGCATCGTGGCGGTTGGTGAAGATTGTTTGTCAAGTAATTGAGAATGAAGTGTGAGGGTGCTATAGACTAACTGAGTGAAGTCAATTGAAGTGCTGTGAAGGTTGATGAACGCTTGAGTCGGATGGGAGTCCTATATTTATACTTTTCGGGGTGAACTGACCTCAGCTTCTTTTCGCGACTCGACCTATACGAAACATCGTCCTTTCTGTTTCCCCCGTCTATTTCACTCACTCGTGGAGGCTTCGGAGCTCGAGAGAACCTCATCGAAAGGTCTCGGCCTCAATCTAAACCACCACTGCCACTAGATTGTGATAGAATCCAATTCTGCTGTCATCACAAGACACTCGAGCCTTCATGCTCCTCATGGCTGAGTCGATCCCAGCTGGAAAGTCCAACTTGGAAAGGCTCATCGTCAACTTGACGAAGAGGCGTTGAGTGATGAGCTGAGGTTATACCGAAATTTGAAACGCTTGCATCAACCACGGCGGCTGCAGAAACTATTGGATATGTGATGTAGGACTTCAGTCGTGGAGGCAAACGAAAAACGGTAGCTTGCAGCTCTAGACGACGCAGCCATGGTCCTGTTCTAGCCCAAAAGAATAGTTCAGCTCATGCATACCATTGAGTCTGTAACCATCACCAAAGCCTGCAGATTGATAGTGCTGGGGCATGAGCTAGCTATGATCCGTATGCGGTATGTAAATCACTATTGTGGCTAGCTAGCCTCGGTCAGAAGGCTTAGAAATGTGGTGTTCTGCACCCATCCTAGACTTTATGCCGTGCTACAGAAACTCCCAGTGGCGTGAGGTACCAATTGCCGGGAGCGGGCCGCAGCCGTGCCGCCCAACAAACCCCGCTTCGTCATGCAGAAGTTGATCTCATCACCTTTTTTCAGCTTGTAACATTCAGCCATAAAAATTACCGAATTTCCTTTCTTGGAAAATGGTGCAGCCCATGTTGGAAAAAGGCAGGTGCTTCTGCTACAGGTTGTGACTTCTCGGTACTTGGGCTTGGTCAACCTGAGTCTGCCCTCATGAGAGGTGTCTGATTGGACATCCCTTTCTAGCTAGTTCTCTCAGAATACCATTCTCCCATCTTTCCTGATCATGATTCGGGGTTAACTGCCTGCCCCCTCGCTGGAACAACAGTTCCTACATCGCTAACCGTTTTGCTGGTACAGAAGCACTCATCATTAACCATATTGAACTATCAAGACATTCTGTAGACAATGGCTATCTTTACTGGCGGTCCAAGTGTCGCAATCGACTCTCCCCGTCATCTCACACTTCGTCATGCCAGGAATGCCGTTGATCGAACCAGACAGCAAACGCTTCTGAAGGCCGTTTCTCTTGAAGCCCAGTCTGGGGAGGCCGACAAAGAGCCACCAGACCCCCAGGATGAGGACCCAACTGCATCTTTAGCGCCTGGACAAGCCCAGCTGCACTCATACTGGGTACCTGGACTCACGGCAGGCAACAAACACGAGGTCTTCATCACCCAAGATATCAAGGCTCGCACAGGCGATAAGACCCTTCGTCTTCAAGCAAAACAGGACTTCTATGTCGATGCCCCTCGGTTTGTTCTCCCAGAGGGATCCGTGTACTCCACGTATCCACCTCAAGGATACCCAGACGACCGTCGCATCCTGCCTCATGTTGTTCTCAGTGACCCTCATCTTCCTTGGGAAAGGATTGGGAGTCCATCGGCTGAGGCTAACCCAAAGGTTGACAAACGCAACAAGGTACCATGGCTTGCCTTGTTCACCTTCACCCATGACGAGCTGTTGCTTCAGCCTGGTGCCTTGGGCGAGACCCAGTTCAAACAGACTCCTACCCAGTCTATCAAAATGACAGTTGGCGACGTTGTGAATATTGGCAATGTTGTAACTCCGATAGAGAAAGAACCAGGCCCAGATGTCAAGGATATTGTGACTGAGTTTATCTTTGTCAAGCCGGACCTCATCAAGAGCTTTTTCTCCACCTTCGATAAGGACAACAAGCGCCAGGTGCCAGAAAAGCCCGATGTTAACCAGTACAAATATCTTTCCCATGTCAGAAAGATCAACACGAAGGGTATGGCTATCGCTGGCCATGAAGACTTTGGCATCTTCTCAGTTGTCATCAGCAACCGTTGTGGGCCGCTGAACAATCCCACCGCTGCCAATGTCTCTGTCCATCTTGTCTCTATCGAAGGTATGGAGGCCATGTCGTGGCCAGCAGCGGGGAAAGACTACGTTGGACTTTGTTCACTCCATAGCTGGTCCTACACGGTTCTTCCACCCGGGCAGCTAAATGTCTATGATGCGTTTGTGCATCTGGGGCAAGAACTCAACCTCCTTCGCCCTTTGGAAAGCGTCTTTGAACCTTTAGTGTCATCCGGAGATAAAGTAACTGCTCGACTGGGAACTCGAATTAAAGATGGCTATTCACTGGTCAAGTACCGTGTCCAGACTGGTGAACAGACCGTGGCCTTATATCGAGGACCTTTTACGCCTACTAGAGTCGCCCGTAATGGCCAGTTCAGTCACTGCTCCAACTCGGGTCAAGACTTTCAGATTCTGGATAAAGAAGTCGGCCTGATGGATATAAGCTACTCGATAGCTTGGCAGATAGGCCGTACTTTGGCTCTTGGAGATCGCGCCTATGTAGCCGCCCTTTCTCGTCTACGATCTATCATCCGCCGAAAAGCGATGAAAGATTCCAAGATTGAAGCTGTTACAAAGGCAGGATCATCTGAGAATAGTTATCGTAGCAAAGTCGATGTTCTGAAAAGCTTGCAAGATACTATTGAAAGGCTGCAGCAAATTCAGTCGCCCACCCCACCTGAATCGGATGAGGATGGTGGTGCTGAGTTCAGCCCCGGGGGAGCTCAAAAGCGTTGGTATAGACCACAGCTCACCAAAAAGGAGTACCCCAAACTCGGCTTCGCTTCCAAGCTTGTTCAGGATGAGTACCTAGAGAAGGCTCAAGAGGCTGTAAAGAAGCTGTCCATGGGCAAGGATGGAAATATGTATGATGAGACAAATGACCCCGTTTCGACCGACTGGATGGTCGTGTTATCTTGGATCGTCGATCGCATGTTTCTTGACAGAGTGCCCGCGCACTATCTCATCTCAGACCCAAGCCATCTCCCCCCAGAAGCTTTACGCTTTTTCTACATCGATCCGAACTGGGTTGATGCCATGGTTGATGGGGCTTTGAGTCTGGCAAACCATATGGGCCAGGACATGGATCGAGCTGCCATCAAATGGGGTATCAATCGTTTCTTGGAGTATATCCCTCCCCAGCAGACTCATCATGTCCAAATTCCCACCTACGGCTTCTATCTGCGCTCGGACCTTGTTACCATGTATCCAGACCTCAGAGTGACAACTGTAGGGGAGGATACTGGTCGTGCGCCCCTTCTTAGTCACGACATTGTGGCAGATGGCGTCATGCTCGGCCTGCTTGATTGTGTCCCCGGCAAAGATCTCGAACAATTGATCTTCACACAGCCTCCCCATCAGCAGCGCTTCGCTGCCGGTCCGGACCTCGGCGGCGATAAGCTAAAGCTTTCCATCAGAAAACAGTATACTGTGGATCAGAAATGGCACGAGAAAGAAAATCACATCTCTCTCAAGAAGTTCGACATGCTACCGAGTTCAGAGAACAACTGGTTTGTCTGGAGTACCATCCCCAAACCCTTGGTTGATGGCGAAGACATGGGCGATCCAGAAGCGGATCTACGAATCTTGCGTACTTCGTACTTCGCAGAGCAGCAATTGGACATTGTTTACAAAGGCATGGGAGAGTTCACTAATGATAAGGGTGAAAAGCAGAAATTTTTTGACGACAAAACTCCCAACGCTGCGCTTCTCGCCATGCAGCTCAACGATCCTTACTACGACTTTATCGTCTCCTTGAAAGGCTTTAAAAAGTCGGGCAATGAACAAGATTCCGGCGGTGCAAAGCCACTAGCGGCTTTGGCTAGTCTTCAGCCGGAAACTCCTCAGCCGTCTCAGGAACTTCGCGACTTGAAGCTCGTAGCTACTTCCACTGTTCCTCGAGTTCCTGATAGCGATGGTGAGGATGAAGAGGATGACGAAGAGCATGTTGAGCCTACCCAAATTTCTCTCATCCAGGCTACTCCTTCACCACACGTTGTCCCTCATTGGGGGCGTGATGAGAGCTACGAGGCGAGGTCTCATACTCTGCGCAACGATACGGCTCCCCATGTCCGATCTTTGTTTACCGAACATCTCCATGACGCCATGAACTCTGGGACTCCACATGGTGTCGAAATTCCTCCTGAATCAGAGCGTAGGGATTCCGAGGATTCCGAGGCACCACGTCCTGAACTCAGGACGATGTTTGCTGGCGAGGATCCCAATGACCTCGGACGCCCAGCTGCTCCGCCAAGATACAGCTGCGACGTATACTCCCTCCAAGAAAACTATGTCAGCCAAGACGAAGACAATCTGGAGCAAGATCTCGTCTTCTCAGTTCTTGTAAAAAACAATGAGTACAGCAACTACTTCCTCATCGAGTTTGATATAGCCATCGAGCTAGGCGCTGAAGAAGAGTCAAAGTATATCATGGAGACATACACAGGGCCTGGTGCGCGTATGCTGAGCAACCTGCGCTTCAACGTTCTCACTTCCTTCACCAAGATGCCTATCACAGGAAGGAAATGCCTGTTGCTCCGCCTCGTGCCTCGGAACAGCGATGGCGAAATCCGCATTGACCGCGTTCAGGAAATGAGCTTCATGCTTACGCTGGCCAAGCTGAACAAATTCAAACGCAATCATAGTTTCACATTTTATACATCTGCGTACTACACGGCGGGACATGAGAAATATCCTATCAACGACGACTTTGAGGTTTCGCTTAAAAGGCGAGATGTATGATAGCAAGTTGGTAGCTTTTTAGTAGCACTGAGTACTTACAAATTGAATTTCGATGTCTCTTATTACTTACAAGATTGCCTTGTGGGACTCTGGTGTCATGTGTTGATGTCCCGGCGCGGTAAGGTGTCGAGATTGGCGTTTATCGCCACAGTTGAGCTACACAAATCTCGGTCACGAGCCAAAACAATACGTTTGCAGTCGGGTACAAAAAACAAACAGATTATACTTGAATAAGTATTCTAGAACCTCGTTAAATACCATTCGTCAACTCCATCTACGTTGCCGCCATCATGGATCCCAGGGTTTCGGGGGTTTGGGTGGAGGTCCAGCCAACACACCCGTTATCGGCTGGAAGTTGGTCTGGTTCAAAGGGGTAAACCCGGCCACTTCCAAAAGATACTTGCAGTTATCGCAAGGCGGCCATAAATAACCAATATCATAGACATCTTCTTTGTTACCCGTTGGTCCCCTCTCTTTCCACTTTCCCTTTGTGAGTTTGTCGATACAAATGTCCTCCCACATATCCTTGTCATTCAAGAAATTCTTATAGAGGGCCAGTCCGCTAATATCGCTGCGCTTGCCATTGCTCCATTGGCCGCTGAGATCGCGTAGTAGGGTCAGTGAAGGTCTCCAGCTGATGAAAGGTTGACTTGACTTCACTTACAAGACCTGCAAGAACGGATACGTTTCTCCACAGTTACCAAAGTGGGTTTTTGAATTTCCACCAGCACTGATTACTGGAGAATTGTCAAATTTCCAAAACACGTCCACTGTTTTCTTTTGACCAGGATTGTCGGGGTCGTCCACCTCGGCTTCCCACGGCATCTGGTCGATATAATTGTAGCCTCTGAGAAGATTGAAACGCCCCATTTGCAGTCTTCTCTGCCAGGTACCAACCACTCCCTCCTTTCCTTTATAACTGTATCCTGCCAGTGATGACCCCAGGCAAAACTCGTACCCACCCTTTTCACCTTTGGAAAGGCGCCAGGTGCATTGGGCAATTGTCGGAGTTACCCCAACGCCAGTCCCTATCGTTCGTTTCTCCTTCTTTCCGTCGACAACTTCTTCCCTCGTTGCCTTGCCTCCGATGATTAAACACCATCGTGCATATACTGCTGTTAGAGGCAAAAAGAAGGTTAATTTGGTCGCACCAGGCTGTGCAGGACCCATGAGTGAGAGGAAGAGTCCAAGTAGATCATAGTGTGACCAATATGGTTCTTTGATCCTCGTAGAATCTTTCTCAGTTGTCCAGAAATAAGGGCCGTCTAGTTTCCAATCTTTTTTGACATTAAAAAGAGACCAGCCTTCAGGTTTAGGATCAAGGTCGGCTTCAGGTGTTCTCATTCGGTAGATATGCTGCTCTGGCGTGATTCCAGTGCCGGTATAATTCTTATTGTCAGGCCCACTGAAATTACTTGTGTTAATGAGATTCTAGTACTGCGTCCGATAACGCTCGAGCAATTCTTACCACAGGGATATGAAATTGGTGTAAACAACCCCCAACTGTTTCTGTATCTCAACATCTTGAATATCAAACATTTCAGGCTTGCTGCAAACCTCTTTGAGAAAATTAAAAATCTAAAATTCAATCAGCTCCAGACTTGTGATCTAACAGCAGCACGGTGGAATAGGGTGGATCAAACCTCCTCGGGCGTGGCGAATTTGTACAACTCCGTCAGCTTTCGCCCGCATAACTTCACCAGATTCTCATTCTTCTTATCATCAGACATATTGATGAGAAAGTCGAAAGTGGTAATTTGAGCTCTCAGAGAAAAGGAATAAACCATCAAGGGCTTCAAGTCGGCTTTATCAATTGAACCGCATCTCAAATGGAATTTCCTAAATCAGGTGACCTGATTCACTCCCTGGTCGTCTCCTTTGAGGTCTCATATAAGTACCTGACTGTACAACTGACTACTTCAGCTCTGGATCTTCGATGACGTCAGTGGCTTCCTCCGCGGTGTATATGAACCCGTGGAGAAATCTATCCAAGCCATCATTATTCTTCCCTTTTCATCTCAACCATCAAACAGTCCTACACCAAAGTACAACTCATCACATCTCATCACATCAGTGCCCAATATGAGCAATAACATCAAGGAAGTCAACGGCACGCTTGTGACCAATACCGATGTAGGCATTTAGCGCATGTTTCAGAGACCCCACTGACTAGCTGAGAAGGTTTCGCCCCCAAATGACTGGACTAATAACTATGAAGATATGGGTGGTGATATGCAGTGGGGTGAATACGGCGATGTTGGCGAAGTTTGCAAAGGATACGATCTCAACGGCACGGTCAAACCCCTCTTTGCCATGCAATCCTACACGGGAGAGGCTATATCCCTTTTCGAACTCAGCGGCAAACACTATATCTACAATGCCATCGAAGGATCGCTATACCTGATTAATAAGCCTGATGATCTTCAGACTATTGTGGAGATAATTGACGACCCGGATAAGGGTATGGGTGCGCTTGAAATTGAGGCCCTCTAGACAGACCTGCAAGGTTGCAGGCAAGCGGGGATTGGAGTGGGTTGATGACGAATGAAGAATATAGGAGGAATAGGGTGGTATTGGGTGGCTGGCTGAATACAGTAAAGTGACTGGAAACTTGCAGATCAATGTCGAACTAGGTAGTATCTGTTGTTATTATGCACGAGACCTTGTTGAATCACAGATGTGATGCCAGGAATGCAACCTTGATAGAGCCTGGTGGCTGGTGGTGGCTTAGTGGCTGTGTGTTGAGTACGGAAGCACATAATGCTGCTTGAGCAAATAACCCTTGGAATGGAAATGTGTCAAGACTACTCCGTAATTGAGTCCTAAACAGGGTTGGTGCAGGATGGAAGACAATAAAGAGAAAATTTAATTCTACGTTACTAGTTTAATAACGCTTGTATTTAAAATATGCCGTATATATTATTAAAAAATTTGTTTAGTTATAATTTTATACAATATGTAGCTATTTTAAGAAATCTTTAGAAATCCTATTATAAAAAGTTAGAACTAAACCGAAAAGTAATAGGTCTTAAATTTATCAAGGTCACTTGCTAAATTGACGATAAGTCTTTTTCTTAAAAGTAGAAAACCCCCTGCTGTACCTATATGTATATAATGGCTTGTTTATTACAACCTTGTATTGTATTGAAGTCAGTAATACTGCACTTAATGATATCTATTACGAACGCCTTTCGAGAAGCGGAACTTCAAACAACCGCCGGGTAGGGAAAAGAGGTCGTCCGGCGTGATTTGACGAAGCTTGATTGGAGAAATGCTAAATGGGTGCTTTCTGGTCTAGAGAAACTCTCGGATGAGGAACGAGCACAGGAGGGCTTGGCATTCAGATTAACCCTTTAGTAAGATCTGGAAATAAGAATCTCACCCACCACCAGCTTGAATTCAGGACATTGTTCATGCTGGAAGAGGATAAGGTTCTATCTATTACGTGTCCAAAGAGGTCAGTCAGAAATTTAGCCATGACTGGAAAATGATGTGGGGGAGGTGTCAGGAAATGAGTGCGCCGAAGATAACAACATACTTCAGTATTCACTGTCAGGGCCATCGACTTACCTTAGAGAAGCTTGCAACCGAGGAATGGCCTACCTTTCATGCAAATGAACAGTTGTCTGAAGATGGTGACTTCCACAAGTGAGTGACAATAAGGTTCAACCTCTAAATCATAGTATGCTAACCACTTAACCGGCAATTCAACAAAGAAAAAGGAACCAATCTGCCAGCTGAAACGTTACAAACACTTTCATTGTCATCCCTATCGAGTTCACCCCTACCTTATTAGAGAATACTACTTCAGATAGCTCTGAGGATGATGAACCTGCTCCCTACTGGGTTTGGGCATATGATGCAGACTGGGATAGTCCAGCAGAAGAGATAACATTCAACGGGGAGACATACCAAGGACGTATTAAAGTGGCGATCTACTCGCTTAAGTCTTGGTTCTATACTGCTCGCTTGGAGGTAGTGAGTCTTCGAGATATGTGGCTGAAGACACAGCAACACCCAGACAAGTTGTGGATCTGCCACAAACGACATGGAGTAGTGGGACCACGAGCCATATATTTAATCGCATAACCATCGATATGTTAACAGTTAATTGTCTCAGGCTGTAGTCTGGTTGAATAGACAGTCACTCAAAATAGAGACTTTTCGTACAAAACTAGAGGATTCATAATCTCCAGGATTCACTGTAATATTTATTATTGCCCTCACATATTCTCAAACTCTATTACGGCTCTAACTCCTGTGGATTAAGTGGCTGTTTGATTATTAAGCCAGCCACAAGAAGAGGCTAGTATATGTTCTCCAACCCCCATGGTCTTGTTATTTTAATTTACTCCATCTCCATTTTCATCCCCACCGAGCCCAGCAGTTTTTGGAGTGAAATCCCATCTCAGGCACTTGAACCTCATACTCAGCCAAGCAAAACTCGATACGAAGGGGTCGTCCCCGCCTGCGTGTGGCCCCGTGCAAATTCTGCCACAAGCAATTCAAGCGCTCAGAGCATTTACAGCGCCACGAGAGAATCCGTACGTGCTGCAGCCTTGTATAGGATCCATTCGTTGCTAAAGGGCCTGTGCCTCTAGATACACAGGAGAAGCCATTTTCTTGTCGCTGTGGGCAGAGCTTTTCGAGACGGTGAGTCCCATCCCTATTTTGACAGGCTCAACATCTAATAACTCCCGATGACAACAGGGACCTCCTTACCCGTCACACTCGACAAGCGCATCAGCACGATCAAGACCAAGATGATGAGATCCAATGCGCAGCGCAAGACTCGCCCGGCGAGATGACACTATCGACCCCTGACTCTCCCCTCGGAGCAGCATCCCTACCACGGTCTCCTCTACAGGTGATGCACGAGGAGCAGACCATCGGTATAGAGAATGGCGTACCTGAGCAGGGTTTTGAAATGGAGCAGGTGATAGAAGTAGGGACCGAGAGACGTACTGTTGCCCCCGTTGAAACTACAACCGATCTAGAACTCGACCCTTCCAACCTGTCAACCACCCCAGACTTGCTCCTTGGGGCAACCGACGGCCTGGAGGCATTCGATTTCCTTTGGAACGACTTTCCCGCTGATGGTCAACCTCTTCCGACTAGCTTTCTCAACACCGATCTATCTCTCGTCGATATTTCGCTACAGTACTCCCACTTGCCTTCAAGTTTACCATTACATCATCCTGCTATTCCTCAAGCAGCTCCCCAAGTAGATGTTGGCTCCTCTGGCGACATCCCCACCGATCCGAACCTCAACGTACCTGTCAACATAAACCTATCACAAGATGCATCACAGACCCGTCCCATGGTATCGAGACTGCCGTCCCTTGAACCGTCCTCCTCCTCCAGACCAAGTGCCTTGGGGTCAAGTGCGAGCTACCAGCCTTTTCTGGCCCCCGGTCAGAGTTCATCTGCCTGTCCCTGGCGAATATTACCAGAACAATACCAGGACCTCGCACAGCGAGTAGCATCTTTGACAAGGACTGTGCCTCATCCCTTTACCTTTCCTTCGAGGCACACGCTGTCACGATATCTCGAGGGGTATTTCCGTGGCTTTCACGCTCATATGCCAATGCTCCATGTGGCAACTTTGACGTTGGGTGGGCTAGGCCCAGAACTCACATTAGCCCTCGCAGCTGTCGGAGCGCTGTATCGTTTTGAACATGCAAAAGGCATCGAACTGTATCGTGTTTCCAAGATTCTCATCAACCGCCGACTGGACCAGTTTTACGAAGAAACTGTCTCACGTCTCACTGGTAGTTCCCCCGAATTTGCCGGCTTCACACCCGTACCCAGCAACTCGCAGTACGATCAGCAATCCCCAATCCAGTCCAAGGGACAATGTGGTTTTCACCTACTGCAGGGTCTGCTTGTCCTCATGGCCATGACATCTTGGGGCGAAAGAGCTTTGGTCCGAGATGCCTTGTCGATGGCCAGTCAAGTTGCAACGCTGGTGCGTGAGTTTGGCATCAGTGAACCTGAGGACACTGCGATAAGGGACATGTCATGGGAGGACTGGATCCTTGCCGAAGAGAAACGCCGTACTCTCTTTGTGGCCTACGCGCTCTTCAGCCTCCAGTGTGCTGCGTTCAACGTACCCCCCATGATTCTTAATCAAGAAGTCGGTCTTAATCTACCCGCTTGTGCTTCCTGGTGGGAAGCACAGACTGCGCTGGAGTGGTCCAATCTCCAAAACAGCATTCCATGCCAGCCGAGGTCATTTCAGCAGACGATCGAGAAACTACTCTCGGGGTCTTCAATTCACCATGAGGGCGGCATCTCAGCTTTTGGAAACTATGTCCTCATCCATGGCATGTTTCTCCAGATATTTCACGCTCGCAACGCCCTAGGCCCAGTACCAGACCCCCGAAGCTCGCTCAGCGAAGAGTTCATAAAGAAGATGGAGGCCGCTCTCCGCGCATGGCAGGAGTCTTGGGAGGCAACGCATGAGTCAACTCTGGACCCGTCGTCTCCGAAAGGTCCAATGGGATTCAACTCGACGGCTCTGTTACGTCTCGTCTATGTACGTCTGAATGCAAACACTGGACCCTATCGGCAGCTTTTTACACGAGACCCTACTGTCATCGCCCGTGCCTTTATAGATGGTAAGATTAGAGTCTGTAACAGATCTCCACATCTTGACAGGGCTATTCTGCAGTGCATACACGCATTGAGCATCCCCGTGCGCGTTGGGATTGCATTTGTCGCACGCACTCTCACACTTTACTGGAGCTTCCAGCACGCTCTCTCTAACCTCGAATGCGCCTTTCTAATGACATACTGGCTGCGATCGCTTGCTATTTGTGTCAAGACTTCAGGGCCAAGCGTTTTACGACCGGATGAGCAGAAATTGCTTGACATGGTAGTCGCGCTCGTTCGGGAGACGGAACTTGCAGACCTGTTGGATAGTGCTAGGGATTATGCGACTCAGATACGGATGCTAGCAGCGTGTGTGGCTCGGCTTTGGGCAGAGACATTCAAGGGATTCCAGGTCTTTGAGATTGTGTATATTGTTGGACAGAGTCTTTTTGTTGTGGCAGATACTTTGCAGCAGGAATAGTAGTAGCGTAATGTGTATTCACATGTCGATGACATATGGTCAAATCAAGGTCGGTCTCTGATGGGTGGCCCTGTGCTTTGTAAGAAATGTTCCATACTCTATAGAGGCTGATAAATGCACCTCGTAGTGGATAATTTAATGACGATACTTAACTTTGTTGAATCTCCGGTTAAAGTGGCGATTTCGGCGTGTTTGCTCCAGGCGACGTGGGGTAACAATAATTGCGATCAGCCAGGTTCTCCCTCACAATCATTTCTCGATCGAATAAACATGTCAGCAAGCTTGGGCTTGATAAAGATGGAAGTTAAAGCAAAAGAGAAACAAAACAAGTCAGCAAGATTAATAATGGTAACGGCGTTGATTTCGTATTGGATTCCTTGGCCGAGCATATTCCTCTATTAACTAACTGGCTCTCTCAAGACCCATATCAATAACTAGCTTTCCACCCTCTGCATGGTGCTCAGGCCCTCGAAGCTCATTCAATCGGTCGAATGCAAACGTCTTGACTTGAACAGTCACCTTGTTCTGCACAACAAAGTGCAGCATCTCCCGGAGTTGGTGGTTTCTTCCCACCAGACTTCCAACCACCGCAATATCCCGGAACACGAGGTCATGTGCGCTGACTTGGAGCTTCTCACTTGGAAAACTCACAACTACCATCACTCCGTGGTTTCTGAGGAGTTTCATCCCCGCGTCAAATGCCCTTTGCGACTCGGGCAGAAGGATGACAGCGTCGAGCCCAACTTCCGTAGGTGGCGCGTCGTTGGCTGGCTGAAGCATTGCTCTCATCACCTCCGAGTCCCCTTGGCGGGCATCTGCGACGTATACTCTCTTTCCAGCCTCTCCGAGATTATTCTTAACCTTGTTTATCAAGTCAATGGCCTGGTCTGTGGCATCGATAGCCAGAACCTCCTTGCCGAGATGAGCTGCAAACTGCACGCCAATATGGCCTAGCCCACCTCCAGCACCGATGATCCCAATTCGCTGAGAGTTCTGTACTTTCTCGTGATGAAGGGCGCTCCAGATGGTGAGACCAGCACACATCAATGGTGCTGCTTGTGTTGGTGGCAAACTCTTGGGCAAGACCACGACTTGCCGGCTGTCCACGAGGCAATATTCTTGGAAGCCACCGTCCCTGGTCAATCCCAAGTTTTCAGCGCTAGGACAATAAGGAGAATATCCCATGTCGTCCTGACCAGGGTGTGTACACTCAAAACAAGCTCCACAGGGGTGATACGCCCTGCCTGGAACTCCAACCTTGGTCCCCACGGCAACTCCACGGCTGATCGACACGTTTGGTCCTAGCGCAATCACTTCTCCGGCGAACTCATGGCATCCAATGCGAGGGAGGTCCTGCGAGAGAAGACCAGCGGCGAAGACGGCATCTGTGTGACAGTATGAAGCGGCTAGGACCTTGATGAGAATATCGCGGTCTTCGGGGTCCTTTGGATGTGGGATCTGCTTGAATCTGTATGGCTGGCCGAACTTCTCCATCACAGCGGCGGTCTGTTTTTGAGACATGGCGATCGAGGCAGTAGAGCACCAGTATTCTTATGGGCAATATTGGTGGAAAATAATACGGTTCTGATGTGAGGCCAGTCTTCTCATATGCTTGCTGCTGAGGTTGAGGCGTGCATGATGGATAAAAACTAGCCTGAGATTGGGGTAATAAAGATGCGATAACGGGGGCCTTAGAAATCGGGGGGGAAACTCTGCTCGTGGAGTAAAGACCAATTTTCCTGGTAGAGGAGCAGACCTTAAAAATCACATAACTAAGAGATTGTCTAACGTGTGTAATTTTGCTAGCTTATTATTAGTATTTTATTTAAACTTTTATTACCTTTATTAATGCTTTATAACCCAAGGATTCCCTTAAGGAATGTCTTTTAAGCTCGATTGGCCCCCTAGTCTATATTAACGTCAGTCACCCTATAACTAACTACCCCCCCTAACTAACTACTTTTTCTAGATACCTAACCACCCCTAGCCACTATAATATTATAACTTTAAATAATTACTATTTTATAAGTTTTTATTATATAAATTTCTAATTATTACTAATTAATTTAGAATACTTAAATAAACCGAAAAAGATATAAATACAGCGTTTTATTACATTATATTTAGATTCTTAGTAAGAAAGGTAGTTAAAGCTTATAAAGTTAGCCGGTTAATATTAATAGGCGATATAAAGGGTATTAAATTATAAAAAAATACCTTATAGACTTAATAAAAGCTTTTTAAGATATAAGAAAAATATCTTTATTATTAAATATTACTTTAAGTTAATCTAGATTACTTTATATTAAATTATTAAGTTAAAGACTTTACCTTTAAGATTACTATATATAATAGTTACCTTAATAGTATAAGAAAAAACTAGCTATAAGTATTTATAAATTAATATTTTAAAATTAAAATATAAAAAAGTAAGAAAATTAACTTTAATTATTTTAATAAAGCTTTTATTAAGATTAATAAGGCCTTTTTTATATTATTAATAATATTAGGGATTATAGTTATTAAGTAAAGATATTATTAAAGTATTAATAAAGTTAGAATAATAAAAAGAATAAAAATAAATAGTCTTTTTTTAATTATAAAGAAAAGAAATTAATTTTTATTAAATAGCCCGGTTTAAGGTTTTAGATTATAATTTTTAAAGTTATTTTAGCTAAGGGAAAAGTCCTACCTCTTATAGTTATTTTTAAAGGGAAAATAGGTTAATAATAATATTTCCCTATTAATTTAAACTTCCTAAATAACTAGAACTTTATATTTAATAAGAAAGGCTAGATTAATAATAAAATTATAATAATTTAATTAAAAACGGTCTTTATACTATTAACTAGACTAGATAATCCTTATAGGCCTTAACTTCTTATTTTTATTAATTATAGAAGTTATATAACTAAAGATTTCCTCTTTAAGTATTATAATAATAATATTTATTTATTATTCCTTTTTATATTTATTTCTTTCCCTAGTTAATAATATTATTAATAATATTATATATTACATTACGGAAGTAAGTATAGTAAGATTTTAATAAGGGTCACGTGATCTAATTCAATTCCTCGGCCTAAAGGCTACCTTAACTTTAAATTTAACTCTAAATACATATTCCTCTAAATAACATATTTTAACCTTCTACCTTTCTACCCCCTCTCAGCGCCTCATACATAACTTCTCTATCCTTAATAATTATATACTCTTAGTCTTAGGCCAAGACCAGGATAGTCTCTTTATTTCTTACTCTTATCAGCCTAGATTACCTATTTAACCTATACTTCTAACTTATTATACTAATCTTTATATTTTAATTTAAATACCTTAATAAAGGAGGTCTCAGTCGTAAAGACCAGGCCTTTTAAAAGCCTATTTTCTAGGGTTTTTAGGCTTTTAAATTATATTTTTATATACTTTAAATCTAGCCTATTCTTTCTAATATAAAAAAGTATTAAAAGCTTATAATTAAAGGTAATTAATTTAATTAAGCTATAATTATCTTATTTATTATAAAAAGGTATTATAATATAGCTATTAAAAAGCTATTCTAATTTAATCTTAAGGTCTTTAGCCTTAAGCTTAAGTTATTTATACTTCTCCTTATTATAGTATTTAAAAACCTTATTAATCTAATTATAAATTAGGCCGAGGCTTATATTACAGTAGATATTTATAATTTTAAGACTTATAGTATTAAGTAATAGTTATAAAAGAGGTTAATAATATAGACTAAAGGGTAGAGAACTAAAGGTTAATTAACTAATTATAGCTATAAGGGTTAATTAACAAGTATACTTATAGTATAGATTAGGTTAATGGGTATAAAGGGGAAGCTAGTTTTTATATATATAGCTATTAATATATATATTTATTTAATTAGAGTTTAGTTACTATATATAATATTTAATATCCTAATTATATTAAGTTTTTAACCTTAAAAGAGGTTATTTATATTATTAATATTATTAAAAGATTTAAAAAGCCTAAGCTTAATAAAGTTAAGGGTTAAAGTAAAAAGAAAATAAAAAAATATATATTTCTTTTACTTTTTAATTACTAAATACTACTATATTTAATTTATTAAAGTATCTATATTATTATTATATATTAAACCTTATTATTAATATAAATTCTAGTTATATTAGTAAGATATTATATTTATATAATTATTATAAAGCTAGAAATAGAGTTATTATAAAAAGGAATATTTATACTAACTTTAAAGTAACTAGACTATAGCTAGTTAATATAATTAAGGTTTTAATAAATCTAATAGTTACTGTAGTAACTATTCCTATTATTATACTTATTTTATATATAAATAAATAGTATTATAGTTTTATAAAGACACCCTATTTATTTATATAGCTATAAAAGGTATTATAAATAATATTAATTAAAATTAAAAAGGATCTAATAGTTAGGCTACTATTTAGGAAGATTAGTACTTAATTAGACTATTAAGGTATAATAATAAAAAAAGGTAATAAGGAAATAATATTATTAAGGTATTAAAATAAGGAATTATAATTAAAAAGGAAGAGAAAAGTTATTTATAATAAAAATACTAAGTTTATAAAAGTATTAATAATTAAGAAGGTTTATTTAAGCTTATAGAAATAATTATAGTTAAAGAAGTTATTAAAATAGGGTAGAAAATTAAAACTTAAGGATCTTTATTATTAATTCTATTTAGACCTTTATTAATAGTAATCCTAGTTAAATTAGATTTTTTTTATAGTATTAATATTAAGTGATATTATAATATCGAATTTTTGGTATTATAAAAAAGTGGTCGGTTAGGGGGGGTGGTTAGTTGTAAGGTAACTGACGTTAGTCCAGGCTTTCAAGCTTTACAGTAGCAAGCTTATACCCCACACACGAGATAAATCGGTAATATTCAATCGATCTGAAAGGCCAGTAAGAAGAGAAGTTGTTTAAATTGTAAAATTAAAATTAGCAGTCTGCTAAACTTATTATCTAATTCCGGAGTAGGACACATTCTAAGTACACAGATGGATAGTCTCCTCCTAACAGGACTACTTTTCCTTTAACAACATCTCATGTTGATGACAGACTATATAATACTCGGCATCGAGAACAGGGCCGTGGAATGATTTCCTCTTGCCGCTCCACCAAAGGACGGTAATAAAGAGAAGAGTTCCTACAAGCACAACAGATTGATAATTCATCGACTCAGCAGTGACTGGGAGAGACAGAGGGAAACAGAAAAGGACGGTGAATAGCAGCGCGTAGCATGAAGCAAACACATTGCAAAAGGTGACAGCAATCCTCCCAAGGTTGAAGTATCGCTTGGGCATGATGCTTCGCCCACGGATGATGAGTATGGCCTGCCATACGGCACAAGTAATATTGGTTGACATGATAGCGAGACCAATTATGCTGTTATATACCGCCGTGGACGCCACGTACAGCAGCCCAAACACGATCATGAAGACTCCCGCCAGGGCAGTAGCATTGATGGGCACTTGGAAAGTGGGATGAATCTTGCTGAAAATGTGAGAGTATGGAAGGCTGCCGTCTCGGGAGAAGGCCCAGATGAGACGACCAGAGGTAACGTAACAGCTGATGAGGGCGCCGTAGTAGATGAAGCAAATCCAGACGGCGAAGAAAGTAGCAGCGGCTTGAGAGTGTATAGCTTGCATAAACACTTCAAAGATAGGAATGGTTGCCACTGAGACCTTGTCGAGAGTGTTGGTACTGAACAGGAGAGCGATGCTCCACGGGATGGTAGTGACAGTTCCAATTATCATGATGAGGGAAATGACCTTGGGAACTGTGCGCTCGGGGTTCGGCATTTCTTCAGCAATATGGGTGGCTCCATCCAAGCCCAGAAATCCATACATTGCCTGCCCGCTGGCAAGAAGAAATGCGAGGCCATCGGGCCATCCAGTGGCATTGACCCAGTCCCCAAAGACCACCTTTGCAGGTTGTTTAGGGTTGCTTGTCGCAAGAATTGTCACAAAGGCAACGCACAGGCCAAGAAGGGATGAGAAGAGAAATATCTCTTCGGCTGTAGGGACCCATCCAGGGAGCATCACAATTAAGACACCGGAAAGGACTGTGATGAGGACATAGACCAGCCATACTTGCCAAGCCTTCCAGACAAATGTTGGATGATAGAGGGAGTCGATGACAAGCGAGGTTTGAGAACAAAGACGGTGGTGCTAGCCGTGGTAAAAAGCCAGCCTATTCACTTTGTGTCAATGACTTGTATTTTGGGAAAGGAAGAGCAGTGCCTTTGCTTACCTAGGATGCTGATCCAGCCAATGGTGAAAGCTACTGGGGCTCTATACTTCTCGGTCGAGATCATGAATGATTTCCTCCCCCATAAATAGCAAACAAAGGTTGTGGAGGTAATGCGCCGAGATCATTGTCGGCTATCCATGATGCTCTCGCTATAAGAAGGCCGTGATTTGCTAAACATGAGGTACAGTATTCTCAGTACAATTCGTATAGCCCAAAATGCATCTCAATCTCTCACTCGTCGCTCTACTCGGTCATCTTACGGCCCATCTTACACTTGTCAATGGTGCAAGCGTCGACCCTATCCCTTACTTTGCTTTCTCAGATATTGGTACCTTCAATCTATCCAGCCTGAATGCCTCCGATGCGCGGAATTCGGCCATTCTTACTCGTCAGGAGGCTGAGCTTTTGCCCAATCGAACCAGGCAGCTTCGACACGGCTCATACCCTCGCAAGTTGGCCAAAGGGAAAGAAATTCACTTCACCACTAAGGCCAATGGTACTCAGCACGATATTACTTCCTTTCTACATCACTTTCGTATATCTGGAGTCATGATTGTTAAGGATGGCAAGATCCGCCTTCAGAGAGATACCAGTACGGCAATGAGCCTTCATTTCGGAATCAGATCTAGTCTTGCACAAAGTCTTTCATCACTACCTCCTTCGGTATCGCAATCGCCCAGAAGAAGATTTCTCTTGATGATCCCGTTTCGAAATGGGTCCCCGAACTTGCCAAGTCTCCACGGGGGCAGGTCCACCTTCAACAGCTGATTGACATGACATCTGGCGTTGTCGAGCCCAACTCTACCCATAACCCAGACTTGTTTAACGACATATACCCGCGTACAAGTCCCGATGCTGTCATCAAGTGGTTCAAGACATTCGACAAGATGGCTGAACCTGGCAAGGTGTTCAACTACTACAACCCCAACTATTATGTTGCTTCGCTTTCGCTCACTCGAGCCATTGGGGAGCCTTTACAGGATTAGGTTGTTAGGAATATCTAGGAGCCAGCCGGTATGCAGTATAATGGCTACATGAGAGTGACGGGAGCCGGCCAAGTTGACGGTTACGGAGGACTACTATAGACAGGATTGTATACCTACTAAGATACCCAGGTTAATTAAAAGGATTTAATGATTAATAGCTCTATTCCTAACCGTCACTGTATCTTTATAACCAGCCGACAGCTGAACGTATAGGCTACTACCTTCTCGGGAATATCCTCGCCTTCTTCTAGTGGTAGAATGGTTGGATAGCTGACAATGCCGTGCTTAAAGACTGTATTAATTATCTTCTTTACTTTATTTACATTGCAGTAAAGAGAACCCTTAACGGTGATCTCCTAGAATACTAGGTTAAAGGCTTTAAACTTAAAGCCCTTATCTAGCAAGCCGAGAGCTACGTAGGTGCCTCTTAGCTGAAGGCGATATAACGCCCAGTCTATGGCAGCGGGGCTATCGGTACAGATAACCACCCCGTGCAATCCCTGGCCGCCTATGAAGTCAGAAATCTTCTGGGAAGCGTCTTCGGCGCCTAACTTGACTATTAAGTGAGGCCGGAGGTGTAATAGAATATCGGACGCAAGCTTCAGGCCCGCCTCGCAACTATCACTTACCACAACTCGATAGCCCAAAGCCTTGGCAAACCATACACCCAGCACGCCCAGACCGCCAATACCGATCAGACCTAGGGATTGGCCTTTCTTAAGGCCAGTCTCCTTAATTTCATTCTAGACTGTAGCCTACTCGATATTCAGTATCCAAGAAACAAGTGCCTAAGGGAGGGATATAGACTAATACCAGCACACATTAATGGGGCCGCCTGCTCGAATGAAACATCGTCCGGAAGATAGACTAAAAGGCAATACGAACCAATCATATACTCAGCGAAACTACCGTCAGACTTAACGATTCCGTTTATAGTCTTATTATAACAATAACGAGCATCTAGACTGCCGTAACTGCTCCTTCGCCATCTACACCCATCACAGTCGTCACAGGGCTTTCTAAAATTCAAGATACCAACTCGATTACTAACCTTCCACTCTACAGGCATATCAGGTCCCAGACTGGCAATAGTGCTTACTAGTTCGTAGGAGCCAGTAAAAGGCAGCTCGGTCTTATAAGTGCCCTGGTAAACCTAGTAGTCAGTATGGCAGAAACTGGCGGCGACTACACGAATGAGGAGCTCGCCTGACTGGGATGTCATCACGGAGCTGGTAATTTTCGTTGTACTAAAAGCATTTAGTGAACTGGCCACTGGCGCGTTATCTCAGCCAACATACCTTTATCAGCCTCAAGGCCTTCATTGTTTTAGGGATTGGTTGTTGTTGCGCCATGTTGTTTGATTGATGGATGGATTACTTGACATTAACGCTCTTTACTTGGGATTTGAGATAATGAGTGGATTTGGGATCTATTATGTTGGTTTATAATTTGGTTCGATAAAGAGCACAGAATGCAGTTCTGGCCGATTCTCTCGAATTTTTCTTGGCTCGCGGAGAAGAAAGTATCTATCAATCATCACGCAGAACTAATGTTGCGGACAAGACTTTAGAATTGTAAAAACAGCCAGTTTTCGATCAAGAAACAGCTTTCTGAATGTTTACCCATCTTAAATTGCATCATCCTTCTATCAGGTACGTATCTATCACGTAGTAAAGAAGACCATGCTTGCCTATCGCCGCTGAAATTATATTGTGTGCTCCTCTAAAAGGTTGGAGAAAGAATTACCCGTGGATCCACCATAAACAAGGCCCGGCTCGGAGAATTCGTCGCTCGTGTTCGGCTAGCTGTCTTTTATCGACATTCCATTTGGAAGAGGGGTCAAAAAGCACTACCTCCATCGGAACAAATCGAGATATTTTAATTATTAAAGACGTAATGTCCCCCAAAATGTTTTGAGGAGACTATCGCCAATTTACAGAGGACTAGGGTATTACAAACTTGGTCAGAGCTTTTGGTGTTGCCCAGTTAAGGCCTCTCTCGTCAGTTACTCTGAAGTATGGAGAGCACCAAGCAATAATAGGCGAGTCCAGCCTCTATTGTGGTCCTCTTTCATCATCAAATTGCGGAATGGCAGTGAGGATTAACTTATGATTAATTTCTGCCTTAAATTCACTTCCATTCTCAAGTGAAATATTTCAAATAATGACGTAAATGTGGTTAGGAATGCCATCACCAACTATAATAAACACTTAAGGATAAAGAGAAGCAGCAGAAACCAATTTACCATACTTTAAAGGTTAACCATCTATTGCACAATATGGTTTAGTCTACTAAATAAATACCACTTTACCTCTCCTACTAATAAAAGTAAGATACTAAACGACCGACAAATCACACTATCTCCCATAATGGTCATTCAGGTAGGCATTATCGGGCTTTCTACGTCCGGTGGCTAGGCTTTAATAGCCTATCTTCCCTATTTACGCGATTCGACCAAGTACGAAATCACTGGCTTGTGTAACTCGTCCAGCAAGAGCAGCTTAGACGCCATTAGTAAATACAAGCTTGACTCGGCCCGTCCCCTCGACTTAGTAAAAAGCTCTGCGCCTTGGATACTATCGATCTTATGGCGTGCATAATTGCCGTCTTTTCCCACTACGAAATCACCAAATCGGTCATCGAAGCAGGTAAAGATGTCTATGTCGAGTGGCCGCTAGGCGTATCTACCGCGCAGGCGCAGGAACTCACGCAGCTAGCAAAGGATAGGGGCGTACGCACTATCGTCGGTTTACAGGGAGCTGTTTCTCCCCTATAGATAACGTTAGAGCGCATCATCGAGGCGGGATCTATTGGCAAGCCTTTAGATGCAGGTCTTTGGCAGCGCTTGTACCGGCGAGACTGGCGTCAAAATCGACAAACGATACAGCTACTTCAAGGATCGCGACATCGATCGTGTTGGTAATGCTCTCCATTTACATAGGGCACACCTTCGAGCCCTTGGCCAAGCTACAAGGAGAGCCGCAATCAGTGTCAGCCCAGCTACGGACGACGTGGCCTACGGTCGATGTTCTAGTTGGAGACAAGGTCATTCAGTCACAAGTTCAAAAGACTGCAGACGATTACGCCTCGCTTCAAGGAACCACCAAGTCAGGTGTCACTTACACCTACACTCTCCGTGGTGGTGATGCGTTTAGCGATGGCGAGGGACTGGTGTGGGACATCATAGGCGACAAAGGCCAGATACGAGTCACCGGAAGCACCATCATGTCTAACATGGGTGCCGAGGATTACAAAATAAGACTCAAAAAGCATGCCACTGGGCTGATTGAGGAGCTGCCTCTTGATAAGCGACTGGATCTGCCACTCGTTTCGCAGAATGTTGGACGTGTGTATGAAGGTTTTTCAGATGAGGGAGCACACCCAACGTTCGATGATGCAGTGCAGAGACATCAATATCTGGACGCAGTGTTCAAATCTGCTTCAAATAATGGTGCCCAGGTCATCACATGAATCATCTATGGTTGGTCGTGTCAGGGATCCAAGTCAGCTTGGGGCTAAAATATCACTACGAAGTGGTAAGATAAATCTATAGAGATTAAATTAATGGAATTATCTTGAAGACAGTATCAAGCTACAAGTTTGTATACATTTCAATTCCGGGCTTGATTAATGGCAAAATTGCTCAAATGTTTTGACAATCCTTATTATATCTTACTTACTTAATGTGAGACGAACCCATTATGCTAATCGTTCTGACTTATTATACATCATAGAAGAATTAGTGTGGCTTAACAGTATGTCTCTGGCTTCAATCAAGTGGCATAAACACTTGGTAATCAACACGCTGGTGTTTTCGAGTCACCCTGTTCTGTATACTGACTGCACATATGCTTTGAAGCAAAGATGAATTGGGTTCTCATAATACAATCCAAGTTGGATGCAGACCATTCAGTCATGGATCAAACTTAATCTGTCGCCAGCCGTGAGTGGTTGCTGGATTATCGTTCTTTCAGCCCAGTTTAGATAACCATCCTTCTTATCATTATTCCTCCATTTGCTGTTGTTCTGAACGTTAGTTCTCTGTATGTCTTTCTTTCATCTCCTACAAACGTGCTGACGATAGCCAAAATTAGGGGATCGAACTTACTACCACCAATACTCGTCACCAGGCTGCTCCTTGTAGATTGTGTCTGCTCGGCCTGCATGTAGCTTCTCGGTGAAATCAGGATTGTAAAGCAGAGGTCGGCCAATAACTGCGGCATCCATATGCCCTTTTGCTATCCACTCCTCGGCCTCTTCAGCGGTAAAGCCAGTGTTGCCAAAGAGCAGCGTGTTTTTGAGAATAGGCCGCAGCTTGGAAATAGGGTCCCACTGAACACCTCGAGGTTTGCCGTCAATCAGGAGATCATATAACGCCCACCACCGCATGACCTGGACATACGCAAGGCCGAGTTTATCAAGCTCAGTGCAGTACCTGCCATAAGTTGCCATGGCGGCATCTGGTGATGGATTACCATCTGCATCCATCTCGCCCATGTCGTTATACCCACCACAGGGTGCCAGCTTGACCCCTATTCGGTTCCATGGAAAGTGTTTGTTCATCTGGGCCAGGCAAGCCAGAGGAAACCTCATCCTGTTCTCTATGGAACCGCCCCATTCGTCTTTGCGCTGGTTACTGTGGGATTCGAGAAACTGCATGGGCAGGTAGCCATTGGCGTTGTGTATCTCCACGCCATCGAAGCCAGCCTCTTTTGCAAGCTTCGAAGCATTCTCGTATAAGTTGATGATTGTCTCAGGATCCTGGATTTCCGTAGGAATGGAGTAACCAGGGCCACCCGGTACATTACGGAACTTACCCCCTCGGGCAGCAATGGGAGAGGGTCCTGGGACCGGCTCGCCAAGCTCTCGCTGCACCCGGGTGCCAGGATGCGCAACGCGGCCGACATGATGCAGCTGGCAAAAGATTATTCCACCACGCTTGTGAACAGCATCTGTGACCTTTTTCCAGCTATCGACATGCTCTTGCGAGTAGATTCCTGGCATGAACGTCCACTCGACTCCCTGTGGGCAGATCAGAGCAGCTTCTGAGAGCTAGATATCACACAGTGTCATTACTTAATTCATTCAGTAATTTTTGAAGATGTGATTCTTACAATCAGACCGGTTCCTGCGCGCTCGGCATAGTAAGGTACGTGGAGATTCTCTCGAGGGACATTGTCGCGGTTCCTTGTCAAAGAGGCCATGACCACTCGGTTCTTGAGTTGGAGGTCGCCCATCTGTAGGGGGCTCAACAGATGCTTGAAATCGGATCCCATCGTTGCTTGCTGGTTTCGTTCCTACTCTTCCGGTCTTTTTTATACAAAGTAATAAGTACAAACTTTAGTTTGTTGAGATAAATCATTCAATCTTATGTCAACATCTGCCACTTAACTAAGTACTTGGACTAGTGAAGTCAAAAGGCCCAGCGGTTACTCCTCCAACCAAGTTAAATTCCTGCCGTGAGAATGTGCTCCAAACTGCTTACCTAATGTCTTTTGTTATATAAACTGACCCCATGAGAGATCAATAACTAAGCTAAATTGCCTCTCCAACATATGGCACCACCTCCACACGGCTTATTCCACTTATCAGCATTCTTGTGGGGTAGATACTCCTTTTATCGGGTTTTTTCTTTGCTTCTCCATTTTGCCTGCTCCCCCACCTGATAAGGAGTTTGTGTGGTTGTTGTTACAAGGTTTGAATGACCGACTGTAATGGCCTCTAGCACTTTTGCCTGGTTTTAAAAGCCCTAGCCTTCACTATACACTATTCACTACTGTATGCGTTACACATTCGACAATATGATCACTCTTACCTACCAGTCGTTAACTGACTTTTCTGGGTTACCGGCTTTGCGAGAAGCAGTCACTGGCGGTCATCCAGGGCTTTTAATAAACAATGTACCTCAGCTGCCGTCAGGCATCTATGTCGATGCAAAGGTGACTAGCTAATAAACCCTCCCTCAATAGCTGGTTTATATGTTATTAACATTGGCTGGTCAGCATAACATTAAACTACACAAGAAGGATGTTTCGTCACCAGACCAAGCCATGGAACTGATGCGGACGCTGCACCACTACTCTCAAGCAATCTACAATAACCTCAGTCATGCCCTTGAACTCCCATGGGAGAAGTATCTCAGTGAGATGCATGAGTTCGCCGCACCAAGCAGTGATGTGCTGCAGACAGTAGATGCTGAGGATCGAATTCCCAACGAATGGTCGACGTTGGTAAGCGTACATTCCATTTTATCGCTCTTCAGCTTGCTGCCTATGTGTCTTATACTGATATGAACTATTCACGTCATCTAGACACTTATTCTTTCTTCAAGTCACCCTGGCACAGCTCTTGTTCTATTCGGAACAGCTCTTTCGGTGTTTTCTGAAGGGTTAACCCCTGAGCTGGGCCATGAAAGTATCGATACACAGCTCCTGGCTGGTCTTTCCACTCAGGTCGGAGGAAAGTATGTGGTTTATTATGCTAGACCAAATGATGATGTCTATTATACCAGGACGGCTGGTGCTCCCATGTCTCCACTCTCAACTTCTGAGTATGAATCGAGGAAGAGAGTCAAGGAATCATTGCTCTATAGAATTTGCTTGAAATAGTTACATGATAAGTCTTAGTAGACATTGCATACATGTTTAACTCCAGTTTGCATCTGCGGTGGCCTAGAGCGATGCTTGATTCAATGACTTTTTATTCACAATGAAAGTGTTATAGGCTAGAATATTCCCTCATAGACGATGTCAGCATCGTATATATGGATTGAGGGCAAAGTATCGGTTTTAGGAATCTCATAATGAGTTGAAAGGACCTCTACGTGTGAAAACAGTACTTTCGAAAATCCATGTAAACAGCTATTTTAAATGTTGTTTAACAGTATCTTTATATGTACATTAAACTTCCCTACTGCAAAGGGTGATTTATTATAATATGTGTACTTGGCTTCTAGACTGCTATATATCACACTGCCAGTCTAGTTACAATCCGGCATGGTGAAAAGTTACTTCTGCTCTGCACCCTACCCTAACTTTACCCCTCCCCCGAACCCTTCTCCTCGTTTCCGGGGTCCCCGTGCTTGCAGTTTGCTTCACTGGAGGCTAAATACAAGACGATCTGGGAACGAATACTTTCCCTGGACTCAACGAAACCCGATTTCTCTACAATACTTGTCAGGTTAGACCATCTCTACATAACTCTCCTATTTAACCATGCAAGACACAACAGCACGCACAACCCATTGCCTGGAGCTTCCCCTCTCCAATAGTACAGTTCGTGTACATGCCATCGACACAACGACCCGCATGGTTTGCGATGCTCGTGCTTTTGTTCAGCCGGCAATTGCCGGGCACGACAAGCTCAATTTCAAGACCATGTGTTTTCTCATAGAGCACGACGATCCAGTCTCTGGAAAGGAATATGTCCTCTTTGATTGTGGGTCACGAAAAGACTTTTGGAATGGCTCACCGCAAACGCAGAGAATGATAGGAGGCCACGTCCCAGCAGTTAGTGTTGAGTTTGGGGTTGACGAGATTCTGACCAAGGGAGGCTTTGAGCTACAGCAATTGAGTAAGATTTGAATCCCCCGATAGGACGGGGAGATGGTTTCAATAGGAGAAGCTGCATAGTCGCTAACAACATTATAGAAGCCATAGTTTGGAGTCATTGGCACTGGGATCACATTGGTGATGGGTCCAAGTTCCCCGACTCCACAGATATCGTTGTCGGACCTGGCTTCACTCAGAACTTTATCCCCGGTTGGCCTGAAGATCCGGAAAGCTTCGTTCTAGCAAGCGACTTGGCGTGAGAAAACATGTCTAGTCAGTTTACCGATGCACAGGCTGACCCGATGGTGAGTTTTAGAGGCCACTATATCCACGAGCCACACTTCAATTTAGAGGTGGCGGGCTACTCTGCTTTCGATTACTTTGGAGATGGCTCATTCTATCTTCTTGATGTTCCAGGTGTAAGTGATCAGCCCAAGTTCTTGTCCCCTCTGTCAGGAGCAGAGTCAGAAATTGTATCTTGCGAACCAACCACTAAGTTTATCTAGCATGCTCTGGGCCACATTTGTGGTTTTGCAAGGACCACACCAACCTCTTTTGTATTTATGGGAGGCGATTGCTGTCATTATGCCGGCATGTTTCGACCTAGCGAACTTGTACCTCTTCCTCACGAGATTGTCAGCGACTTGTTGGACTCTTGGTATCCGAAACCCTGCCCCTGCTCGCTATTCACCCAGCATCACCCAACAGCGTCGAAATTCGGATCAGATGAGGCTTGTAAAACACCATTTTACCAAGTATCTCGAGATCCAGGAAGTGCTTACTCATTCGGTGACGTTGCCCAAGAAAGCATCAAGAAATTGGAAGCCCTAGACGCCCACCCAGATATACTCATTGCGCTGGCTCACGATGATGTTCTCTTCAACATCTTTCCCTTGTTTAATCAAAATCCATCCCATACAATTAACGATTGGAAGTCTAGGGGCTACAAAGAAAGGAGCAGGTGGTCGTTCCTAAACGAGCTGCCTAAGGATGGAAAACCAGGACGTGGTCTGTTAGTTACAGGTCTGACGGGTGCAGGGAGACAAGTAACTTGGGACAAGGACACCGGGTTCGTGGACGCCGTATAGGAATACTGAGGGTTTCAATTTGTCTTTATTTGTCTTTATTTACCCGAGGAAATGTAATAGCTTCTATACTTTACCGGCTGATCACCCTGCTAATTGAGTTAACGATTTGATCAGTGTCCCTTATTTTATTACTAAGGTTAGGGCACTACGAGAAGTTGGAATGAATAACCAAGGGAGCGATGAGAACGGAAATGGAGCATGTCTGAAACCTTATTCAGTCATTACGTCAAGATACCAGCCACCTGATTTCACTTCTGGTCATTCCTGAATCCTACTCAGCAAACCACCCCTTGCTGCTTACACCAACCACATCTTCATCCAGAATTTAGGTAAGAAATTAACTCGAGAACTCGACTACATTATCTTGATAATTGTGATGAATTCTCTCAAATGAATGGTACAATTGTTTTATGTTCTTATGGGTCCATAGTGAACAGTACCTTGTGTACCTTACGGTCATTAAAAAGCTTGTAGGCTTCCGGGGCCTCTTCTAGCTTCATGCGACATTGGCAGAGAAAGGCCAGCTTATGGTGCACTTTAGCGAGAGATGCCAGAGCCTCCTCAAAGATACCTCGCACAGGACACCGTCCCCAAGCAATGGTCAGGTTCTTGGCGTAGAGCGATGGTCCGTCAAACTCAAGTTGGTTGGTCTGAACACCGACACTGCTTATGCAAGCAAAAGGGCGAGCCAGCTGGATGCAAAGCTTCATGGCGTCAGAGGTTCCGACAACCTCGAGCACCTGGTCGGCCCCGCGACCTTCCGTGGCAGCGAGAATCTTGGAGACTGGGTCATCCGTGAGGAGGATGGGTTTTGCTCCAAGGCGTCGCGCTTCCTCGAGACGATCCGTGACCATGTCGATAGCGAAGATGTTGTCGCACCATTGACTCGCTGCGGCGATAGCGCATGTACCCACAGGACCACACCCGACTACGACGGTACAGGCAGAACGGGCCTCATCGGGGTTCATGCTCTTGAGGAAACGCAAGGCGCAAAAGTAGCCGGTGGGGAAGATGTCTCCCATCAAGACCAGCATGTCAGATGGAATCTCACTTGGTTTGCGCACCAGAGATGAGCTTGCAAAGGGGACGCGCACATACTCTGCCTGACCACCGTCGATACTCCTAGTTCCTGCACTGTTTCCTGCAGGTCAAGTTAGTCACAGTGTTCTTGCGGTCTTGGTTTTTTCTTACCAAATAGAAAGCTTTCTGCACAACGGCTAGTCTGCTTTCTCTTGCAGTAGAAGCAATCACCGCACTGCGTGGTGAAGGTGGCCTAAATTTGGACATGACGTTAGTTTGACTCTTCAACTATAGCTAGGCTTGGTAGTCAAAGACGAAAGGTTGATAGTATTCACTTACAACAACTTGATCACCCTGCTTTAGGTTTGTCACCTCGCTTCCCAGTTCATGAACCACGCCGGCAAACTCATGACCTGGGATGAAGCCCGTGGGGATATCCTGATGGCCACGATACCAGTGAAGATCGCTTCCACAGAGGGCAGAGACAGTCACCTTGACAATCGCGTCTCTGGGGTCTTCGATCGTCGGCATTGGGCGATCTTCGACCTGTACATTCTCAAAACCTTTGAAGATTACGGCTCTCATTGTTGTGGTTGCAGCCATGGTGAAGTGACGTCATAAATGTCCAGTCTTATAAGTTCGCTGCCTTGCAGTCTTGCTATTTAAAAGACGGCACGGGTATATTGGATCTAGTACTTGACCCTGTTTATAAGAAGCTGTCTTCAGCATTCCGTCAAGGGGCAGAGGGGTTACATCGGAGGTGGGTCATAAAATCGGACAGAAAGCGGGGTTAGTGAAGTGCGGGGTGGCCGCCAAACGGTTGGGGTTAAAAAGAACCTGTGTGTGTGTGTGTGTATGTATATTTTTCGTCATACAGGTATATAGGTCCTGCTAACCGCCTGCTGGCGTAAGATAACATACTAGGCTAGCTATAAGGTAGGTAACTTATACTTTATATAGGGTAGTTAATTTCCTATCTACTAGCGCGGTCGGGCTTTTCTTATTCCGGGATTATATTATATACCAGGGGTCTTTAAAACCTCTCTTAGCTACCTATTATTATATCCCTTCCTCTTTATTTCCCTTATAGCTATTTAGTATTTTATAATATTTCCTATTTTCCTAAGCTAAAGACCTATCTATAGGTCTTTCTATTATATATATAAAGGGCTATTATTACCTTTCTTTTTTAATTAATACCTTTCTTTAGGTTTATTTAAAGTAAATAGTTTTTATTTAATATAACTACCTAAGCTAAGATAGTTAGTAAAAGAAATATCTATCTTTTTATTAACTTTTAACCTTAAGATTAAAAGTCTTTATTAAATAAGATATATATAGTTTTATAACTAAATATAAAAATAATATAGTTTATTTTATATAAAGGAAAGGTAATTATAAAAAAGTATTTTTATTAAGGAATATTATTAATAAGGATAGATAGTTTTAAAGAAATCTATTTTTATTATTATATTTATAAAAGTATAAAAGTTAATATTTAATAGTTTATAAATTATAGTAATTAGATCCCGATATAATAATATTTTCTTACCTTAATTTACCTTTTTATAATAAAAAATATAATATAGGTTCTTATTATAACTATAAAAATACTCTAGATAAATGTCTTTATAGTTAAATTACTAATAGTATATAATAAAGTTACTGTAATAAGTTCTTATAGCTAAGAGGTAATATAAGGTAGTCCTTAGAAGTATTAATTCCTTAAGGTATTTTATTTCTATTTTAAGGCCTAGGGGTTTATATAACTTTAGTATATTATTATACTACTAGGTTAAAAGTTCTTTTTATATTTTTATCCTTACTATCCTCTTAATATAGAATAGTATAGAAGGTAAGTTAAAAAGGGGTTTATTATAGCCTTTCTTTATTAAGGAGTTTATTACCTTATTACCTTTAATACCTAGGTATTTTAGGTATTATTTAATATTTATAGCTTTATATTTATATATAATCTTCTAGAATTTAAGGTAAAAGTATTATAAGGAGTTATTAAGTCTTTCTTAAAGGCCTATTATTATAGTTAAGTTATTAAAATATATATATATAAATACTTTATAAATTATAGCTTTAAAGGTATATTCTAGGCTAGTTACCGCCTTAATAACTTTAATATTAAAGACTTTTATTAACCTTAGTCCTTTATAACTTTATATTATTTACTACCTATTTTTATAAATATTATAGCTAAAGCCTACCCTATAGTTTTATATTAAGCTATTTAAGTAAACTACTAGATCTTACTATAAGACTAAATTTAGTTAATATTAGAAATTAAATACTATAGTTATTTTATTTATAGTTACTAATTAGGTTAGGGGGTTTTTAAAAAGAAATAAAGGCCTAGGGGCCTATAAGAGTATATTAACTATCTTAGTAAGAAATATATATTAGTTTTTATATATTATAGTCTAGATAGTTAATAAGTAGTCTATATCTAGGCTAAGGAGTTTAATAATAAAATATCTTTAGTAGCTTTTAAAAAGTATCTTAAGGGGGGGAAAGCTATTTTTATAGTATAAGGCCGTTAATAATATTATTTTCTAGATTAGTATTACCGCCTTAAGGGCTAAGTAATATACTATCTTTATCTTACTTAGGAGAGTAATATACTTAATTAGTCTTTTATTATCTCTATTCCTTAGGTATTAGATTACTACCCTATAAAGTAATATAGGTTTAATATAGGCCTTAACTGCCTTTTTAATATAGTTTAGTAAAAGGCTATACTTAATATTAGCTATCTAGCGTAATAGGTTAGAGACTATATTAATCTTTATAGTCTACTTTTATATATATATCCTTTAGTTAAGTTTTTAGTTTAGCTAGAAACCTAGTTAGTATATAGCCTTTAGTTTAATAGTCTTAAAGATATTTCTATAGTAAATTAAGGGGTCTTAATATACTCTTTTAGTTTTATATAAAAAGTATATAACCTTTATTTTAAAGGGGTTAAATTAGATATTATTATTAAATCCCTAATTAATTAAGGCCACTAGGTCTTAATTAGCTTTTTTAGAGGTTTTCTTTAAAGAGCTCCCTATCTTTAGTATAGCTATATTATTAGTATACCTAAAGTATATTACTATATTATAATAATATTCTTTTATTAGCTATATATTTACTCCTAGCTCTGGCTTTTTAATATTATAGATTACTATAATATAAAATAGAAAAAGGATTAGTAAGGCTAGGGAGCTTTATAATAATCTATAATTAAAAAAGGCCTTTTTTATTAAGGCCTTTTATAGTTTAATCTTTACTTTTCTATTAATTATAAAGGAAAGTACCTAACTAACTATTTATATTAACTATCTTTATTTATAAAGAGATAATACTAGGCGGTTCTTTAATACTATATTAAAAGCGCCTTATATATTTACTATAATTAATATAATTATTAATCCTTTTTATAAAGTATTTTTAATATTACTAATTAAAGTAGATATTAAGTTTACTATTAATCTCTTTAATAATACTTTAATTTATTAAGGGTAAAAGACTTTATATATAATAACTATATATAAAATATATTAAGTAATAAGTCTTTTTAGTCCTTTACTAAAGTATAAAAGTAAGGAGATAAGGTATTAGGCTTTTAGGAATAAAATTCTTTTTTTCCCTGGCTTAAGGATTATAATTACCTTTACGCTTTTAAAGTAAATTAAGTAATAACCTAATTAAAGGCAGTTTTTAAAAAGTAATTTAATATACTCCTTAATATATAACTAAGCTCTTTTAAATAACTTAACTATAATATTATCTACCCTAGGGGAAATATTATTAATATAGATTATAATATTTTTTATTTCTTTAAAGGTAACCTTTAGGTAAAAAGGTATTTACTTAATATATTCTCCTCCTTAAAGGTTATTAATATTATTACCTATAGCTTTTTATTTAAGTATAAGTCTATATAAGGCTTTTATTTATTCTAGTTAGGTTTTATAAACTGTTTTTTTATACTTTAAGGATAAGAAATAAAATTACCTCCTTCCTTTAAGTTATATTATAATCTTAAAAATATTATTAAGTCTTTTAATCTTTAATAATTACTTTTATTAATAATTTTTCTTACTTTAGTAGGTAATTTAATATAGGTAGGATCTTACTTTTAAGGCCAGTTTAGAAAGGCTAATTTAAACCGCGGTAGTATACTTAAGGTAGGCTTTTATATACCTTTTTATTTACTATAAGGCTTATAAGGTATAATACCTAGGTAGGTTATTAATAAAAAGGATAGTAAGGCTAAATAGATTAATTAGTATTTATACCTAATTATTTAGTTCTTTACTATTTCTAGATATTTTATAATAAAGATATAAAACTCCCTCTTTAATAACCTTATTAAAGTAATTAAGGTCTTTAACCTTTTACTGTCTTTAAATTATAGGGATCTTTAGGTAGGTTAGAAATATAATACTTATAGTATAGTAGTTAGAGGTAGTCTATAGGTAGTCCTTTACTATTGCCTTAGTTTTTAAGATATTAAAAAATACTAAATCTATAGTATATTTATAGGGATTAATAGGTATATTATAAAGGTTTAATATAGTAAGTTTATTACTTTTAGCCTATTAGGTAATATCTTTACCTTGGCTATATTACGGTAGGGATTATTATAAGCTATAGTATATATTAAAGTCTTTTATAATTATATAGTTTTTTAAAACTATACTTTTAAGAAGAGTCTTTAATATATTATTATCTTTAATATCTTTATAAAAGTTAATAATTAAATATCTATTTATTTATAACTATAATATATCCCTTAATTAAGATAGGTAGATTTAATTAGCTATAAGCTTTTTAAAGATATAAAATATAATTTAAGGTTAGGTAAACTATTCTTATTATTCTATAGGTAAGTAGCTATAATATATATTATATATCTTCGATTTATATTTATATTTTATTAATATTTATAGTTTTTATAATAATATAATATTATATTTTTCTTTATAGGTTAATATTAATACTATATTATATAAATTAGGGCCTTTTTTTATATTTACCTAGAAGATATAAAATTAGTTATTATAGTTTTATTATAATTAAAAGCCTAATATTTAAGTTATATAAAGTTAGAGTTAATTTACTGCCTTTTAGTTAGTAATTATACCCTTAGCTAGGGGCCTAGATAGTCTAGTATAGTTATTTTTAATTTTATATAGTATTTTATAGGTAAGGAGTAAGGAGGCCTAGCTAGGGGTAAGCTTTTTAATATTAATAGGTTAGCTTTTATATAGAGCTTTTTACTAGCCTATTTAATTTAATTTTTTTTATTTTTAATAAGTCTTTATACTTACCTATTCTCCCTTTTAAGGTAGGCTACGTATTTTTTATAGTTTACTAAATAAGGGCCTTTATAATTAATATATTTCCTAGTTTAGTAGTCTACTATCTTATTTTTATACCTCCCTTAGCTATAGTCTTTATATTTTTTAATATATATATAGTAATTTATTAAATAAAAATCCTAGTAATTATTATATTAAAGGATTATAATAGGTTTATTAATTAATTTAGTAAATTAATTAATACTAAATAGTTAAAATCTTTTTTTAGGTTTTTTAAAGAAAGATATTAAAATTATTTTTACTAATTTTTAATTTTAATTATACTTTAAGTTATAGATATTAATAGGGACTATTTTTATTTAGGTCTAGACCTCTTTAGGTAGCTTAGTATTAGTATTAATATTTATATTTTTTATTTTAATTTTAGTAATTTTATAGGGGATTTTTATAATAATATAGATATATTAAATCTAGGCGGCTTTTATATCTTTAGTATTAATCTTAATATAGATCTTAATCTTAGCTTTTAAAATCTTATAGTATATATTATAATCTATAAAATAAAAAACCTACCTTATTTTAATTTAACTTACTTATAATATAATATTAAGGCTAAGGCTTAAAAGTAAGGTAATACTATTTTAGATTTTATATACCTAAATATTAAATACTAAAGACTTAAGGTAAAGTTTAATAAAAACTTTAATATTATTACTTAATATACTATTATTAACTTTAGTAAGTCTTTATTATTACCTAGGCTAGGCCTTAACTTATTATTAAATATATACCTTATAATCCTAAAGGCTATTTATAAAAATTATAATATATATTACTTTAAAAGGCTTTATTATTATTTTTTATAAAGGCTATTTTCCTTTAATTAGTATAATATAGGCTTAAATAAACTTTAATATAAAGTCTTTAATTAATTTAATATTAAGTCTTTAGGTAAATTACTATATTATCTTATTAAAGGCTTTATAAAAAGCTATAATAGTCTTAATCTTATCTTTAAGAATATTATAGTTATTTTAGGTAATATCCTAAAGGGCTTTAATAATTTAGGGTATATAATATAATACCTTAAGTCCTTATAGCTTAATAGAAATAATAAGGTTATTACTAGCCAGGCTGGCTTATTAATTAAAGTCTTTTACTGTCTTTAATAGGCTAAGTTATAGTATATCTATAGGTATAATAACTCCTACGCTGAGGTATTAATAACTATCTCTTAGGAATATATTCCTTAAGCCGTAATTAAGTCTCCTAGGGGTCTTCTCCCCTAGGTTAAAATAGCCAGAGGCCATAAGGCTATCTAACCGAGTTTATTTAAGTCTATTAATAATTTAGGTATATACGTAGGTAACTCCTTAATAGCTATTACTAAGGAGTGTTATTATAGGAGGGAAGTGGTTAAAAAGAACCGTAAGTATATACCCCATGCTGTAGGGTATATGGAAAATGGGGACAAACCAGATTAGTTTGTCAAAGGTAAAAATAGCTCCCCGATAAATGCATCCAAATTGTTCTACTCTATTATTTGCTTTGAACGAAGAGAAGAAAATTCTGGACTAAATGAAGTTTGTGTAGAGACAATGGGAGCGATTTTACTCTTAATCTCGCTTGGAATATGATGCTCAGGGCGATGGGTTCCGACGGCACGAGGACTTTATCGACAAAACTGTGCATTAAGATAAAGGTTGTCTTGTCTACGTTCTCTTACTGCCCAGCACTTTCACTTCAATGGAGCTTCAGCTACGCTTTGATATACTTCTTCAAGAAATTTAATAAAATATTTTCCGCTTCCATCTTTTAAAAAAAATAAGAGGTTATAACCAAGCCCATTACGCTGGTGGGGTTTATCAAATCTCTGAAACAAACTCGCGTCATTCAAACGCCCGCACCGCTGTACAACATCCAACACATTTAGCTCTAGAGGTCATTTGGGCCTGGATTAAGCTCAAAGGGAAATCGATAGTGGATGTAGTATCTTGGAGTTGGGTATATGGAGTATAGACGAGACTGATTATTACTCCTATGGCCTGGATCATCACTAATCTAGATTGGAACCTAAGTTATAGATGAACAGATTCATTGGAAACTTGCCCCCTACCACTAAAGCCTTCAACCAATCCTGTCAACAATCACTATGCAGGCGCAGTCAGGTATTCCAATAAGAAATTCCGGAGACACGTTTCAACCTCGCGGTTATTACCAAGGTAGACTAAGGTATCTCGGTGTGATTAGCGGTGGCTGACTGCTGCTCCTTATCCCCAAAGTCGGCAGACAGCCCGGCCTCTGCGGAGCTAGAAACCTTTTGGTCGGAGTTGAGATCTTCGTGCTGCACGCCTTCATCGCCAAAAAGAACAGCGATTTCCTCAAGAGATAACCCTGCAGTTTCCGGGTAGAACTTTTGGAAAACGAAAGCTCCAATCCACGGAATTATAATAAACACAAGGTAATATTTCCATCCAACCTCGGCAAAGGCAGTGGGTGCCGCTTGGGTGTATATGAGCGTCATGATGAAGAGACCAGCAACACTGAGTCCGACACCGTGCGCACGGATCGGGGTTGGAAAGATCTCGGCACAGTAGACATATGAAGACGCATCCATGCTGCCCCCATAGAAGAAGACAAACAGGTAGAGGAAGAAGACGCCAAATCCATTGCCGATCTTATTATCTGTGCCCACAAACTCAGCCACCATGGCAGTGAAGCCACAAAGGGACAGGGAGCATCCGATGAGGCCCACCACCATGATGCGGATTCTTCCAAAACGATCGAGGATAAGACTGTTGACCCAGTTCATGAAAGCGGCCAAGGAGTTGTAGCATGCGTAGAGTAGCAGGGAGATGGAGCCACGGAGACCAAGGCCATCGTAGAGGAGGATCTGGTAGTTGTTGACAACGAGCACACCAGTGGATTGAGCAATGCACCTTAAGACGTTTCAGTACAGCGGTCACTGGAGCAATGTTTTATCGAGGATGGTAAAAAGATCGAGTGTTAACTTACTGCAAGAAGAAGCCGTACAAGAGTCGTTTCCGGTACGAGGGCCGTGAGAATGCCTCCTTCCAGCCATGTGAGGTGGTAGTCTGGTTCTCAATTTCGAGCTGGACGCGAATCTGTCGCAGCTCTCTTTCGGCGAGAGAGTCCTCCTCCGGCTCAGAGCTGTTGCTAGAATGCAATTTATGGAGTACATCTCGAGCTTCGGGGACCCTAGCCTTAAGGCAAAGCCATCTTGGAGATTCGGGCATCCAGGGGGACCCAACCAGAAGAAGAAGGGGTGCGAGAATCTGGATGGCTAGACACAGTCGCCACTGGAGCGCAGGATTTGCGATAAAGAAGCAGCCGTAGCCAACCCACCCAGCCATAGCCTGTTTCGTTTGTTAGATTTATTACATTTCACCAGGGTGACGAGTGACTTGCATAACCACAAACCACCAAGAACCCGTGAGAGCCGACCATCCGCCCTCGCTTGCTGGCTGGGGAAATCTCAGACTGGTAGATGGGCACAGCCACATCAATCATTCCGATGCCAATTCCATTGAGAAATCGACCAATCAGTAGCATCGCAACGTGAACTGAACCCGCCTGCAGTGCTGCCGATATGATGCAAATAAGGGTCGTGAGCTGAATAGCGAGACGTCGGCCACACCTGTCGAGCAGGGTCGGCACAAGGAAGCAGCCAATGATGCCACCTCCTGCGAATAGGCCATTATTTGCTGCAAGATACCTCGTTAGCTTCTTCTGACCTCTCTATCGCCCACAATATGTCCCTTCCCATCAACAAGTTGGAACACAACATACCTCCAATGATGCGGTTACTCCTAGCTGCATCTAGACCGGATGTGCTGAGGTTAAAATAATCTAAAAACGATTTGAGACCTAGGACCGAGCCACTGATGGCAGAGTTAAAGCCATAGGTGAAAGAACCGAGGGCAACGAAAAAGATAATGAGAAAGTTATACCGAGTGCTTGTGCCCGACGACATGCTTTCTTTTGTCAAGTTAAGCCGTGTATATCGTTAAGGATAACATATGGGTTCGACTTATGGATTAGGAGAGCGAACGACCAAGCCACTTATTTATACATGCTCACAGAATCGAGAGTGAAGCTCTGCTGTTGCCATACACAGTCATGGCAAGCCCACGAGTACGCTAACTAACCCTTAAAACAACTGGTCGGTGCCCCAGAGTCTGTCCGTGGGGACAAGCACCCCGCAGTATTACTTTGGGGAAGAAAAGAAACGGAAATCTGGGGTAGGGGGTAATAAGATCTAGGTTCTCGGTAGTCAAGTTTAACCTGTACAGGATCCTATGAGATTGCCCTGTTCAAAGGGCTTTTTTTCTGTTCAATCTGTAACTGTTATACTACTAAGACGATTGTTCTCTTTCTTGGAGGTCATCTACTTTACAGGCTTCTGCGTTCATTGTCCATGGTCATTAGGGACTGAATTGGTTGTCCATCATATGAGACCATTTGACCTGGAGAATAAATTGGTGAACAGGCAAATGTACGACTTCTCCTTTCAAATCCCCACCCACACACTTTATCGGCAACCCCATATTAGATGGCGTAGGCGAGTCTGCTAGTGCAAGCGAGGGTGTTAATTGCCTGCTAGGTCTTGGCTCTATGGAGAGAAATGGACCGACTTGATCGAGCCATTGAACTGAACCTACGGAACCAGAGTCTGATTTGATGGGTGGGAGGTTAGATCAACTCTCCGAGTTTATGTACCACAGAGGGGGCTGTGTGGGAACTGCATAGAATTTGTTTAACTTATTCTTGATCATAACTACCTATCTCCATCTTAGAGCTCCAGAACTAAAGATCACACTAGGCACTCTTCTTCACAAGGGGGGAAACCTCAGCTAGCTCCCTCTTGTGCTCCCCCTTCTCGACCATGTCATCGATGGTCTTCTGAGCAACCTTCATGGCCTCGACTCCGGCTGGCACGCCACAGTAGATAGTCGCGTGGAGAATTGACTCACGAATCTCCACCTCCGTCAGTCCGTTGATGAGGGCACCGCGGACATGGACGCCAAACTCAGGCCAGCTCTTGATGGCAATCAACATGCCAAGGTCTTTGGCGAGACTTGTAAGCTCAGGTGACATGAGGAAATATTCCGCTGGGGTTGGAGAGTGAACTTACTAAGGAGGCTTCTTTGCTTGCGATCAAGACCTGGTCGAGACCAAATATTACCCCAGCACCATCTAAACCATTGGGATTAGCTCGGATAATCTATTTGTCATGAAAGGTGTCATGGAGGAGGCGAAATTGGTTATAGGGGTTCTTTGAATAGCGCTACTAATGGTACAGCACCGGCGAAGTCCAGCTAACTGGACTACCCATGATAGGATGCACTTACTCCGTCACAAGCTGTTGACCTGGGTAAGAGAACTCGCTACTTCCATTCTTCAGAGCAGCATCGACGTAAGAATCTCCAACCACCTCGCGGCGGTTCTTAATTCCGAGATCAAACATCTCAGTGTGAAGGTTGTCAAATTGTTTCTCGTTAGACATGACGGGCTGCTTTACTGCTTTTTCTCCGGTTATCTTTTGTCGTGGTGGTGGTAAGATGGGCGAGAAGTACAAAGCTTAGTCAAGAACTTAGTGGCAGGTAAAGCCTTAACCTTTCAGGGTTTTATGTAGATTGTTCCAAAGGATCTTGGTTTCCGAACAAATATTTGCTTCTCCAACCTTGATCGTGTCTTCAACGTACCCCGCTACTGATTGTGCCAACTTAGTTACTGTTTCTTCCCCTCCCCCTCCCCCACCATTTATTGCGCAATATGCCAAACCCCTAATAGATCCTGCTTGGAGAGATTATGTCCATTGCGCCTGAGTAACACACTGACTCCTAAGTTTGGGGGTTTTTAGCCGAATCGTAGTAACTGCAATAGCCGCGGTCATATGAAGCATGCGCGACTGCTGTCTTTGCTTGTGAACGGCCATGCCACTCAGTTAATATTTCGAGTAAAATCCACCTCAGAGCCCTCTCCTCAAAATCAGCCGAGATCACACACAAGACCGTATTATCCATTTCAACATATCATTTATCTTACATCATGGTGAAGAACTTCGTCTCGGTGCACGCCCTTTCTGGAGGCCACCTGACACTCCCGGAGAGATTCTTCGTCACGCCTCTAGATGACTCCTCAGCACGCAAAACGGTACCATCCTTGTCGTTCCTCATACAGCACAAATCTCCAGAAGACAACAAATTCACGAGAATCGTCTTTGATCTTGGCATACGCAGGGTTTTAGAAGATTATGCCGAGCCTATCTACAAACATGCCCAGACACGGCAGCCGATCTCTGGAGATCCAGGCACCGTAAAGTCCCTTGAGGATGGCGGCCTCACCCCAGATGATATCGATATGGTCGTATTCAGCCATTTACACTGGGACCATATCGGATCCCCTTCCGACTATCCCAACTCGACCTACGTTGTTGGTCCAGGGGCAAAGTCTCTCATTGATGGCAGTCGATCATCTGCAATCGGTAGTCACAATCATTTTGAGACGGGAATTCTCGACCTCAGCCGAACCATCGAACTGCCACCCACTGACCTCCCGGCTACACCACCACCTTTTGAGAAACAACTTATGCTGTCCACACGAGCCCAGCAGCAAGTGAGCCGCCTCTCCCAGCCTTGGCACCGTATGGGCTACTTTGAGTCGGTCATTGACATCTTCAACGACGGGAGTGTCTATGTTGTTTCCGCTCCTGGTCACATCAATGGCCATGTTAATTTGCTCTGCCGTCTCGAAGACGGGAGACATATCTATCTTGCCGGTGATGCATGCCATGACCAGAGGCTGCTGATAGGGGAGAAAGACATCGCCACATGGAGTGACGACGCACTCCCTCACGTTGTCTGCTGCATTCATCAGAACAAGACCGAGGCTGAGAGGACTCTCCGCGCGATTAGGAACAGTATGGAGGACCCTGGTGATCTGGGACAGCTAGAGGTTATTTTTGCTCATGACTGGGCTTGGGAGAAGCGAGCCAGGAAAGAAAACATGTTCTTTCCAGGATCGATATAAATGCAAAGTAGATCAATCGATTCGCAAAATATGAAATAATTGAGTCAGTCTTGTCAAACCGCAAGTTAAAATAGCCAATTGAGAAGTCAGAGAGAAAGTAAATGAGAATCATTGGACGAACCCTTCATGATACGAGCCTTTTGAAAGGCCTCTTTTTGTGCCATGGGAACAAATACAATTCCTCACTCAAACCACGACTCCCACAGACACTATATAGCGGGAAGGTGGACTAAAGAATTGAATAAGAGATAATGTCCGATTCGTGATACTTTTTACAAGCTGACTTAGAGTCCAGGAAGATCCTTCCCCTCATCTTCAGAAAACAAGCGGTAAATACTCCTGAAATCCTGCCCAGAGCATTTCTCATTCTTGACGGCCGTCCCATACATCTTCCGCACCACAGGCTCCAGTACACTTTTAGCATTCAACTGCTGAGCAAGGTCCATCGACATCTCGAGCACGCCATTGCATAGCTCAGTAGAGAAACCACCCTGAAAGTCCGTCGCCGAAGACGCTGTAGGTGATACGCCCTTGACAGGATTCTGCTCCCGGCTGTTGCGTGACATGCCAGTAGAGCTGTTGATGACCTCGGCGAGCTTGACTGGATCTAATCCGTATAGTCGGCCCATGTTCATTCCTTCACAGACTCCAACCATGTTGACGGCCGAGAGATAGTTGTTGATGAGCTTCGTTGCCAGACCTGCACCTGCCTTGCCACAATGGAAGATGTTTTCAGATTTACCCATCAAAGCCAGTGTGGGTTTAATTGTCTCAAAGACATCGTCCTCACCTCCTACCATAAAGGTCAAGGTTCCGGTGTTGGCACCGCCTTGGCCGCCTGACACGGGAGCATCAGCAAAAACACCAAGTCCGCTCTGCTCAACAGCCTGACCAATCTCCTGCGATGTTTTGACATCGATGGTGGAGCAGTCAATAAAGATCTTGCCCTCGCCATCGTCAGGGGAACTCGAGAGAAGGCCGGTTTCAGAGTCTGTGAAGACCTGGCGCACATGCTCTCCACGAGGTAGCATGGTGATGATAATATCCTGATTCATGTCAGCATTGTGTACAGATGTCAATCATCACGGTGCATGCACCGGAACAACCAGGTCTTTGGACGTACACTCTTATGGACTACCTCAAGCGGGGTTTTTGCCACCTGAACCTTGCCAGGCGTCGTTTGAACAAACTCACCACGTCGAGCCTGGTTCAATTCGCAAACAATGAGCTCCGACTGCTCTGGCAGCTTACTTCTTAGGTTTTTTGCCATCCCATATCCCATGATACCCAGGCCGATAAAGCCATAGGACTTGACTGTAGCCTCATTGAGTGTAGACGGCATGATCAGATAACGAAGAATTGCTAATGATAGTTAAGTTGTGTAGACAAGCAGTATCCTTTTGTTGTGAAAGCATGCGTTTATTAATCTTGGTCTAACTCAAGTAATTATTCAAGATCAGGCGAATTCCAATAAAGGTCGGAGCGAAATTACAAGCCGATTGTTTCTCTTCCATTGGAGCACATAACCGTGGGGTAAGTATCTTTTATTGTTACTGCTTGCAGGCCAGAGCTAGCCTTATGCATTTGTGCTCACACTGCATTGATGTTGAGTAGCCACGCCGAGCCAGTTTGCACGGATAAAAAGTTGAATTATGTTCCTGGATATCGGAAGCACAGCACAGCGTCCTCGAATCGATCTTAATATATCGCGTCAAGTCGGTAGGGCCTTTCGGGGACATATAATGAAGCTGAAACTGTACCTTGCAACCTGTATTGTTCTAGCCCATTTGCATGCATTTGTTTGCTGACTAACAGAGTATATTATCAGTCAATTCAAAGCATTTGAGGATTATTCATTATCCTTCAAAGGCTTAACAAGCAGGCAAGGATACTGGATTATATAGATGGTAATACGGTATTCAACGTATACCATTCAGATTTCTTGGCATGGGAGATCAAGCCCTTTACTATGCAATATCGTGCCTGTCTCTCTGTTATTCTTTGACTCAATCCACAATTGGGACTTGGGACGGGGCTGAAATCTTAAACAGTGACCAGGTTTCGTTAACGCCATTCATTTCTTATTCACACAAGGAAAAAAATTTCATATTGAACATGTTAACTTAAAGAACTGACTTCTTTCCAGTCTTATTTTGATGGCCACCCCTCAGCCGGCAACTTGGGTGATTAATATGTAAAGTCGCCCATCAAACCTCGTGTATCGCTCAATCGACTAATGTCACCTCGTCCATCAATCTAACCATACTTGTGGAAGACCTTGGCAATGACCTGCCATTCTTCCTCCATCTTAATAAGGGTTAAGAAATCTGTGTAATTGGCACCAGAAGCGTCCCCCTCCATATCGATACGGATGACAGCAGTTGTCTGAGTGATTGCAAGGACGTCGTTGCGGGTCTTGATGTGAGGGGCGCTACCCTCATTCTTGATAAAGGTCCAGAGGTTGCCGATAGGACCAGCAAGCATATCTGGCTTGGGAGGGCTGATAAATCCGTACATAATAGCGTCCTTGTGAAATGCCTCGGCAGCTAGGTCTGAGCTACCAACACGGAGGCCCTCGATATACTTATCTGCCGCAGCAATGGCGCCATCGTAGTCGGCGGTGGAGACAGTCTTGATGTTATCGGCCATGGTCTATTTATTATAAGCGTATGAGATTAGATGGTTGTCCCCCCAGCTTAGCTGTAGGGCGAGGTTTATAGAAGACTTACGGCGAGTAACAAGGTTATTGCGAAAGAATTGAGAGGTAGTGATGACAGGGGACGAATGACGAATTCAATTATTGAAAAGGTAGACAGTAATAATCTAGACAGTAATATACTACCGATTTACGAATTTAAATTTTAGTTAGTCCCCTCGGTCTAACAAATTAATTACACCCCTCTACGAGTTCTACTAAATCCATTTAGAAAAAAAGGAGTAGAAAAGATAAGATTAGTAGATCAGTGCGTGGTGGACACTCTTCAGGGCTGACATTATTAAGTTGTTAAGAGGAATTATGTTAGGAAGTAAGCTTTTAAGTCAGTCTATATTATTACTAAAGTTTTAATAATAGTATACTTTCTTTACTTAAAGGTATTATTAGATTTAAAGTATTAATAATTAAAATGGATGTGATTTTCTATACTGTCTATTCTCGTATAGCTGTAGGGTATGTAGCTTGATCCTTAAACTATTATAGACTCATAACACTAATTTTATAATACTTTTATACAAGTAAGTAAATTAAGTACAGCTCAAAGAAGTATTATACTATTAAATACTCCTTACTCAATCTATATTGCTAGAGGCCATACTAGGCTTCTTAGCAATAATTCCCATATCACTGTTCTCTTCCTGCTCCACTCTAGCCGTAGTAACAATCTCCCTAGCATCCACACTGTCTGTATAAACTGTGGCTTCAAAGAGTCCGTTAATCTCCTCTAGAGTCCTGCCTTTAGTCTCGACAAACAACAACACTACAACAAGTAATATCCCAAGGTCCCAACCTCCATTAAGAGCATAGTATCGCCAAGAGATCTTTTCGATAGCCATTGGCGCAGTGTAAAGGTTTAGGAAACTGAAAGCATAACCTATAGCCTGGGCAGCCACGACACCCTTAGCTCGTTGCGAGTATTTAAGGACCTCGACAGGATAGGTATAAGCTAGAAGCATCCTATGGTGCTGTTAGCATTGTACTACCAGTGACATTATAAGGAACCTACCAGCTGGTAGATACTGCAAGGAGGAATAGAGCTACCACTATAAGGGCGCCAATAGCATATCCGTCAGTATCAGGATGACTATCGGTAAGGTACGACAAGCCAGCGAGAAGACCGAAAAGGACCACAACGGCTGATGTGCCAGCAACTGAGCAGCGTGTTAACATCATACAATGGTGTGTTAAGATCTTAAGGCTTACTAAGTGGTTTGCGAATCCCGATTCGATCAATAATGAAAACACCTCCCACGCTGCAAAAGGTTTTGAACAACAGCAGCCCGATATTAATCTTTATGACAGTTGCGGGGTTCTCAATTAGAAGATTTCCAATAATAAAGGACGAGAAATACCTACACATTTCAGTAATAGATTAGAAGTGCGGACTAATCTCTGACTTACAAGATCATGTTTCCTCCTAGGATTTGGTAAAATATGTTCGTCAAGACAGCGATACTGAACCTTTTCAGGTTAGAGGCTATTTTGAACTGTCAGATGTGTACAGACGAACGTTTTAAGGTCCGTAGAGAATGATATATCATACCGGGTGATACCAACTCTTTCCAACCTCCGTTAAACTTTTTCTCTTGCTCCAGAGCATCAAGAATCTCCTGAACTTCTGCAACGATGATAGGATGGTGAGGGTTCCCGTTGGCGTGTAAACGAGAGAGGATCTGAGTGGCCTTGAAGATGGTCAGCAAACATATAGCCATGGGGAAGAAACTCTTACCTCATCTTTGCGACCCTTGTTCAGAAGCCATCGTGGGCTTTCGTCGACAAACGGAAGGAGGCAAAGACTAATTATCGATGGGACTGCTTCCCCCTAGTTTCCATGTCTCAGAAAGAAGTTATTTAAGCTCTTTTTGCATTACTCACAATCATAATCCCCCTCCACGCCCAGTCAGACTTCTTGTCGTATATGCATAGGATGATACACGAGACAAGGAATGAGGTAAACGGTACGGAGGTGATGACAAGGTTTGAAAGCGCAGATCTGTATCTTGGTGAAGCCAACTCCATTACCCACATGGGGGCAATAGAACCGTTTATCAGAGTAGCGACACCGATAATGAAGCGGCCGACGATAAGTTGGGGAACTATTAGTGGCAGCTGTTAGTCTTCTTTGAAGAGACAAAAATTGACCAAAACGAACAACATACCTCCGCCTGCCGATGTTTGTAGTGCTACTCCTAAGAGGATGGATACTGAACCCATTAGAAGCCCAGGTTTTCGTCCCCAGCGATCAACGATAGGGCCAACGAGCGGACCACCAACAATGCATCCGGCACTGATGATGGCGCCATTGAGCCCAATGAGGTCGCTATTGAGGTTGAAATCTACCCAGGATGTCAGCAAAGAAGACTAGGTTCAGCTGATCTGACACACATTCAAAATACGGCTGAACCTTGTTCAAGTTGTTGATCATGCCTGCATCATAGGACAAGATGCAAATGTTGAGCATAGCAACAAGAAGAATGAGGATATGAGGGATGATGGGGCTTGTATTTGTTGAGGCCATGGTGATTGAGAAATTTCGATGGACAAACAGTTTCTTGTATGTTTGAATAGACCAAAAGGATTTGTTTTGTCAGTTTCTATAACGCGACTGGAGAGAGAACGTATTTGTAGTCAAATACTCGGTGTCCAGGCTGTTACCTAGATACAGCACCCAGCCATATCTTGGGGTTGATTCGTCGAGGCACGGTAACAAAACATGGATGCCTCAACTCCCGAGTACTACGCAAGCTAGTCGTTAATTGAAACCCGCGGTCAATCTGAATCTCGGTTTCGATTGTGGGTCCAAGCAGCAAATGGAAGATAGCGGAAGACCGGATGTTCTCCTTAGTCCTTGCCCGGAAACGGTGTGATGACGTCGAGCTTACCTTCAAGTCATCCGTGATGGGTTGGGCCACACAGTTGTTAGTGAAAATTATGCATTGTTTGGACTGTACCGACATGGAACTTACCCAGCGCCTTTTTCTTATCTATTCATGTTATTTCAAGACAGATATCTTCCTCCTTTTCTCACTCAATCAGCTTTCTTTATTGATACGGGTCTTGTTTGTTATTATCTGCAGGTTGAGGTTAGGAGACTTTCCCGACTGCTGTCCAGCTATTCTATTTCCTACAGCCTGTGATACAATACGGCACAAAAGTCGTAGTCTGCCACAGTACAGATCTAGCAGTACCTTTGCCATTTTCGGATGTCTCAGCTAGCAATTGTACCGTAATACATATATGAGGTCCACAAAACCTTTACCGTGCATCGGCCTCATTTCCCGAATAATCCGAAGCCAGCCGCCACGTCGGCCGACCATTATGTCAAGCCATCACAAACTCATTTCTACGAGGAGATCCGACAGTTTTTATGACTACAGACTCGAGAGTGAACAGGGTAGGTGATGGAAGAGTCGAAGGCATTGTAGTTACCTGCCAATCCCATTGTCCTGTAAATGAGGCCCAAATTGGAATTAGACGCCGTGTGTCAACATGGTCACATTGCCTACAACCAACACGTCAGACAACGAAGAGACGTGCATATATAAATGCGCCTCATACGGGCAAGCCAAGACTGCGCATTGTCCGAGACTTGCTTTCATATAGGGTCACCTTAGACCAGGATCTCGTTAAGTAGGTGGATAGACGTATATCTCTAGACAAACTTGTATTCAGGACGATCAAATAGAGCCGCGATGGAACGTACATAATGGCAAATCAGAAAGTAGAATGGTAAGTATGGGTCAATGAGAAAGCCCAGTTTGGTACTAATCTAAGTTATTTCAAGAAGAAGTAAGGAAAAACAACATTTAGGCACTTGTAAAATAATCCTTCCTTCACCAATATCCACCCGCAGGAACAGGGACAGCCACATCATTCAGATGTCCATTGACGTTTTCCTTGATATCCTTAGCCACCTTGGGGAACTGTTCCTTGGCGAACTGCAGAGGATCCCACGGCTTGAGCTTGGGAAACCTCTTCTTGGCCCACTCCTCAGGTGCTGCCTCAATTTCATCCCAGGGAATTTTGTAGAAGGCGTCTCTGTTGGTCTGACCGCTTTTGTGAACGGCATTAGATCGATGATAACGGATCCTCTGCGCCGCTTCCAAACCCAACTTGACGTCTCCGTTAGACATCTCCAAGCATTGAGCTACAGTTACCGCGTCTTCCAACGCCTGAGAGGCTCCTTGGCCAGCAGTGGGTAGGTTTGCGTGCGCTGCGTCTCCAATGAGGATGGTTCGACCCCCTTCGCTTACCCAATTGTCTATCGTCGGTCGGTATACGAGCTTGAAATCAATCGTCTTTCCAACAGGCGTTACCTCAAATAGAGCCTGGGCGTCCTTGGATGGGAAGTACTTCATCCATTTAGCCACATGCTCAATCTCGGCGACGTTTGACCAGGATTCACTCGACTCTTTGTCATCCTATGATACATTATATCAGCCTTATCGATGCCAAATTCAACAAAAGTAACTTACAGGATGGATCAACACCCAGGCAATGTCCTTGCCCTGATTCCAAACAAAAGCCATCAGGCTCAAGTTGTCGTACATCCAAAATCGTACAGTATCTCTGTCCTTGTGGTACAAATCTTTCAGCCCAGGATGGTTGAGCATCGTCTCATCGGTCTTGAAGAAGCTTCTAAACACGGCCCAGCCACTGCTTTTGCCATCGTTGGCTTCGTCAAGAAGTTTGAGTACCTTTTCCCGAGCGATAGATCGTGGACCATCGGCGGCAATGACACAATCAGCCCAGAGCGTCTCGCCGGTAGAGAGCAATACGCCGGCTTTACTTTCCTCCTCGAGATAGTCTGTAACGGCGACGCCGATCCTGATGTCCTCAACAAGAGATTTGGCATAGTTGAGGATTATGGAGTGGACCTTGCCCCGGTGGCCAGCGTAGGTTATGTTGTGTTCAAAGCTATCTCTAGCCCAAGGAACGTTGGTTATGAACTTACCATCATACTTACAAAGTTCCATGTCTCGGATAAGACTGCATCCGCTATCATGAATCTGTTGGCCGACCTTACCATCGTCCCAGCGATGGATGATGCAGCCAGCATTGGGGAAGAAGTCGAGGATGTCTGCAAAGGGGGGGTTAATTTTGCTAATGAACTTTTAAAAAGAGGGATACTTTTGTTTTAGGTTGAAACTCACCTCCCTGACTGTTTGAGTCAGCGTACTTCTCGAGAACAGTGACGTCGTAGCCACGATCTGCCAGTTCAATGGCTGCTCCTAGCCCACCAAAGCCAGCACCCACGACAATAACCTTGAGTTTCTGGCTAGTCGACATGTTATCCTATCACGTTTGGAGATTCGGTCAACAGTAATGTTTGCGCTGCCCATCGACTATATGTGACTTCAATCCAAGTTCAATAAAGACTCTTTTGTGATGTTTCTATCTCGCCCTAGACCCACAATGGACTTTGGTATTGCCGAGAACGACTAACACACTTCGGAAGGGTCCAGCCCGGATGTGTTCCTACACGGAGACTAAAACGCGGGCACTGCTAGTCTCGGGGTCTCGTCCGAATTTCCCGCCACGCCCAAAGACCTGCCCCGCTGTGAAGAGAAGCCGCCAATCCAATCCATTCGGCTTAACCCACATCCAAGACGTCTGGTTTAGTTCAGGTGTATAGAACTCATCAAAGCGTGGCATATCAGTTCAGTTTTCCTCTAGTATCAACTTCGACGTATACAAGTTTATGTGCACCATCAAGCAACCAATCATATTTTGATTGCTGTGATTCTTGGCCTCGTCACACACAGTCCCGACTTTGGGGAAGTCTATTCAGCCAACTCTCTTACCATGGCTAAAAGCACTGAGCCAGCCTACGTTCCTGAGTTTGAAACGCTACAGGTCCACGCAGGACAGGAACCCGACTCATCATTCCTCGCCAGAGGTGTACCAATATATCAAACCTATGTTTTTAACTTTCGCAGCTCTGCCCACGCGGCGAGGCTCTTCAACCTTGAGGAAGAGGGCGAAATCGCCACTCGCACGGGGAATCCTACAACCGCAGTTGTCGAGCGTCGCATTGCAGCTCTCGAGGGTGGTGTGGCATCTGTTGCCGTGTCATCTGGTCAAGCTGCTGTTTTCATGACTATGGTTGCTCTTGCTGGACATGGGGACAACATCGTTGCAACCAAGCACTACTACCACGGGGCATACAACCAGTTCTCCTTCCTTCTTCCTGAATTTGGTGTGGAGACACGGGTTGTTGAAGAAACACCAGAAGCCATAAGAGAAGCTATCGATGGTCGCACTAAAGCTGTCTATATTGAGACAGTGGGACACCCTAACTTCAATGTTCCTGATATTGAGGCCATTGCCCAAGTTGCTCATCAAGGTGGCGTCCCTCTTGTTGTGGAGAACACTGTAGGGTGTGCGTATTTCTGTACGCCCATTAAATATGGCGCCGACATTGTCGTGGAGAGTATGAGCAAATGGATTGGTGGTCATGGCAGCGCCACTGGAGGTATCATCGTCGACTCCGGCAACTTTCCATGGAAGGACTCGCCCCGTTTTGTACAATTCAACAAACCTTGCCCCGGCTTCCATGGGCTCAACTTTAGCGAGAGGTTTGGAAAACAAGCTTTCATCATGCGCATCAGAGGCCAGCTACTACGCGATGTTGGTTCATGTTTATCTCCTTTCAACAGCCAACAGTTCATTATCGGAATAGAGACCCTGAGCCTACGTTGCGAAAGACATGCGCAGAACACTATAGCCCTAGCCAGGTGGCTTGAGAAACATGAGACTGTCGAATGGGTCTCATATCCAGGTCTACAGAGCCACCCTCATTACAAACTTGCGCAGAAATATATGCCTAGAGGTGCCGGAGCGGTCCTTATGTTCGGTGTTAAAGGAGGGGCAGATGCAGGAGAGCAGCTGGTTGATAACTTCAAGTTGATTTCTAATAATCCGGGGTAAGAAACCTTCCCTCAATAGCTATAACCAGTTGACTGACAAACAGTATTAGATACGGTGATGCCAAGACAACGGCAATGCATCCTTGGTCTACCACCCACAAGCCCATGTTGCCGCACGAAAAGATTGATCTAGGCGTTACTCCTGGGATGGTAAGAGTTTCGGTTGGCATTGAGCATATCAAAGACATCTTGTACGATATTGAACAGAGTATGCGAGCAAGCCCGGCAGTTCCAACGGGCGGAGAATAAGTCATAGAAATAGCAACTTCGTCTGATTGTTTACGAGTTGAGTTCCGAGTTCACGGTAATAAATTATTAGTAAATTCCAAGGTGTGGACGACGTCCAGGCAAAGGTTTGTTATGGCTTTCAGCGCTTCGAAACCCGTAATTCTTGTATTTAGCTGACAGTATCAATATTCTATGGGCCCTCACCGCTTGGAGAAGCTCGCTACGTGGGGTGTGTCATTATCCCACGTCTTTGTAAGACTACGTTCTCTCGTTTAACCATGCTACAGCTTCGTTGATGTCTTTATCAAGGTCGTTCTCCCAAATCCACGACATCCTGTCCTTCATGATAACTTTTATCTTCTCAATGTCATCTCCGTACGTCTCAAAATGCCAAATGTGCCCAGCCTCCCGACTTGACTTGACAAGCTTCATGGTTCGGTCAACCCGAGCTCTACTGAAAGCTTCAAAGGCAATAGGTAGTTCTTCAGCTTTGGAGACATGCTGAAGGATCCTTCCAAGAACGCATGCATCTTCGACGGCCATGCCTGCACCAGCTCCCTGAAAAGGCGTTGATCCATGGGCTGAATCACCCAACAGACAAATGTTTCCTTTGTGGAAAGCATCTATCGATGGGCTGTCAAAAAGGGCCCAGATATCAGACTGACCCATCAGGCTGACAATATTCCGTACATCAGAGCCCCATTCTTTGAAGCTATCGATCATTTGCTCCTTCGTGGCGGATATTACCATTTTCTCGTGAGGCCAGTCTTTGGCGGACTGAAATGCCACCACATTCATCATTCGGCCCCCAGCAACAGGGAACGTGAGCATGTGGCCGTGGTATCCTAGGTAGGCCTGCGAGTTCAGAGCCTTGCTCTCGCCCAAAAGCTCTATCGCCTTGTCCATGGGGACCAAACCCCGATAGCAATACTTCCCAGTATATACTGGGCTAGCAGCTGGAAGGTCACTGGCTAGCATGATACGGCGTGTGCGACTCTTGATGCCATCGCATCCGATAACTGCAGTGTGGGTTGCCTTAGATCCGTCTTCGAATTCGAGAAGCACACCTTTTACTCCAAGATCCTGGATATCGACAAGGTTCTTGCCGAAACGAGCAATGTTGGATGGAATATTCTTATCCAGCTCCTCTATGAGATACGTACGGTTGACCATCCAACTACCAGGCTCAGGATGTGGGACAGAACAGAGGAATGCGCCTGCGACAATACCTCTTGCCCTTGCTTCGTCGTCGACGCCGTCCATTCCTATCTGGTAGTCAAACCATATGCCCTTCTTCTCGGGGAGTAGGTTTCCGTTAGCACGACTACCCACGGCAGCTGCGAGTGGTTCCGAGATCTTGTTCATAGCTCGGATGACATTGGGTCCAAACGCAACACCTGCTCCGATCTCACCAAACTTTGGTGCGTTCTCGTACACGGTAACAGGGATTCGGGTGTATTTGGTTATCGATACAGCGAGGGATAGACCGCCAATACCACCGCCGATAATGGCAAGACTAAAGTCTGCTGAAGGGGTCATGCTGATGAAGTTGGAGGTCAAGCTTATGGAGTTGGAGGTCAAGCTTTTGACGTTGGAGTTGAATGAACAATTGAAACTACTTGCAGGATAGGAAGTTCTGAGTGGAATGCCAGAGTGATATGTAGGGAAGATAGGAAACAATATATCCTCCAAGCCTTCTTCTACATTATAATCACAAAATACATGTCTATGTTGTCTATGTTGCGTGGGCCTCGGAGTTGTGTGCTTGAAACTACGTCTAGTTCAAAATCAATTCAAATCTGTATCGGCACCGACGGCGGAAGTAGGGGAGAACTGCTTTCTGATCCCGAGTTAAATATTGCTCGGCGGGGAATGTCCTTATTCCAGTCTCGGCCCGATAAATAATATTTGAAAGCGTCGGGGTTTCCAACTGATCGGCCGAATACTCCGTAATTCTATGGCACTCACTCTCGAGTGGTTGCAATATGACAAAACTGACAATTAAACAGAATAGGGACAAAAAACAACAAGGCCTGGGATCAATTTCGACTGTCACTTCGACACATCTCATTACCTATCTTTCTCACCGAGTAACCGATATTGACATCGATCCAACCAGGAAACCATGTCACTGTACGCCAGTTTTGATGTCTACTTCCCTATCGTGGTAGCCGAAATCGAGCAAAATTCTCAGGCTTTATTAAGATGGAGTCTTCTCATTGCTTTCTTCGGCGCCTTGGTCATCTGGCCGTTCAAAATGGAGGCTGGTATGCCTAAACTACCGATTGCAATGAAGGAGGAATTCCCAAGTCGGAAAAAGAGAATTGATATTTTTATCAAAGACACTCGAAGGCTACTCATTGACAGTTGTAACAAGGTATGAAGATGAATCCCTGGACTGCTGAGCAAGATTGATGTGCAAATCCTAAAACGATCCATAGTTTCAGGATCAGGTGTTTGGGATCACAACTACGGAAGGTAATTCATTGCAGATTACACCAACATCCAACCTTCAAGCTGACGAGAGTCTCAGGAACCAATATCATCATACCTTTAGATTTACTTCATGGTCTTGGAAGTCAAAAATCTCTGAGCTTTTCGGCGTTTCTAGAAGAAGAGGTTCATATACCTGGAATTGAAGCCAATGTTCTAGATCAAGTTACTAATCCATCCCTCTATTGTCACAGTTTAGCATGAAGACATACACGAAAGTGGGAAATCTAGACGAAAAGCAAATCAGCCTTATCAACAAAAAGCTCAACCCTACCCTTCGTAAGCACATAGACCGCTCGATGACCTCTTCCGATCATGCTAATTCGCATAGCTCAATATATCCCTGTTATTCAACAGCTCATCCGCGAACATTGGCCCTTGCAGAAACTTGAGAGTAAGTCTACTACTTGACTTGTGTCGGCATGTTAAACAAGAAGACATATTCGTCCTTTTTTACATCACGATGGCTAGAAGTAAACTGATTAAATCTTTTGCAAACAGCCAGCACTGATATAAAACCGTGGCCACTCGTTATGCGTCTTGTATCTCGCATATCTACCAGAGTGTTCCTCAGCGCTGATTCTGCTAAGAACGATCGATGGCTAGACATCGCCAGTGAGCATGTCCACTCTGTTGTTGTTTGGACAGAGAACCTCAAGAGATGGCCCTCGATCCTACGTCCTCTAGTGTACCGCTTCGTCAAAGGTCGAGGCTACATGATGCAGCGCTTCGAGGAAGGCAAAGCTCTAGTTGCTCAAACGCTAGAAATCAAAAAGGCAAAAGGAGGCGAGCCGCTGAGTAGCCCTCCAACACTGCTAGATTATCTCTATGACAGTGGGCTGGGGCCTGATGATGTGGAGGCGCATACCATCACCCAAATCAACCTGTGTGTTGCTGCCATCCAATCTATGGCTTCGACAGTGACACAATGTCTTATGGATCTTGCCACCCATCCTGAATATGCTGCTGAGCTCTTGGAAGAGTTCGACATAATGGTTGAAAAAAACAATGGTGTGGCCGACAAGCAAGTGTTGACAAACCTGTGGAAGCTAGATAGTTTCATTAAGGAAACTCAGAGGTTAAATCCTCCAGATTTGAGTGCGTCACTCAGACCCGGTCACCTTAACAGGCCATCATACTGATATTAAAACACAGCTAGTTTTCAACGAAAGGCTTTGTCGAGCTTGACCTTATCAAATGGACTTCGTATCCCTAAGGGAGCTCGTATCGTTCTTCCAACGGGGGCCATCAATATGGACCGTAGGCTCTTTCAGGACCCAGAGCAGTTTGATGGCTTCCGGTCTTACAGAATACGAATGGCGGATGCAGAGGCTCGAAACACCAACCAGATGGTCACGGTTGGAAAAAAGGATCTGACATGGGGTTATGGAAGACACGCGTGCCCCGGTCGGTACATCGCCGAAGTAGTCTTGAAGCTGCTTGTGATCGAGTTCCTCACATGTTATGACATTCGACTACCGGATGATATCAAGGAAAGGCCAAAGAATATTGAATTTGAGGGCTTGGTAGGTTATTAATTTTGCCCATGTGGTTGACCTGCTCAGACGTGCTAATTTCTTAGGTCAATCCAGATCCGGATTGGAGACTGTCTATGAAGCGTCGATGAGGCATTGTCGATAAGTGGGAGCAAAGGGGTTTCCTAAGCATGGTGATTTCGACAGAAACTGATATAGGCTTTTGGTTTCCATGCCGATTGCATCTTACCGTCGAAAAGGCCAATCTACTTTCACTACGATAGGTGACGTCCAAGCAGGTAGCAGCTTGTGATATTTTAGGGAGCAGGTGACCTCTGTTTTGTATCTTAGAATATCTTTCTCTAGCACAAACACTTGCTTAATATACTTTTTTTTGGTCTTTAACCTTCAACTTTATTAAGCCCAGGCTTTCCAAATCTCCCAATGATATCAATAATAAAATAACCCTTCTAAGGTCAAAACTCAATATGATCAAGGCAGTAGAAGTCGCATAAGGCAACTAAACTCTATCCAAGTGAACACGTAGATCATTGCTTAATATACAACCATAGCTATGAACGCAGAGCGATTGCTTTAAACATTAATTTGTCGTACATGATTCTCAACGACGTCCAGAATAGTAGGGATATCTGGATGCGCCCAATATTCACGCTCTTGACTCATAAGACACTAACATGCAATCGACAGCGCAAGGAGTACTACTCAGATGTTTTGTTATGACGAATATATTCCTATAACATTGAAGCTCCTCCAGAAACTACCATAAATTCACCATTAATGAACCGTGACCTCTCCTCCGCAAGAAATGCTACTGCCCATGCCACATCCTCGACTGACGCGGCTCCACCCTCGACTGGTGTATCATTTATCAGCTGTTGTCGAATTTCATCCCATTCCTGTTCTGTAAAGTGTTCCATGAAGCTTTCTGTCAACACGGGTCCTGGGGCGACCATGTTGACGGTACAGCCGTACTTTGGGGGTAATTCTTTAGCCCAGACCCTCAAGATGGAATCGAGGGCGCCTTTCGTCGCCGCGTAAACTCCCTGATTTGCCTTGGGTATGCGCGAGGCAGCGGAGCCTACAATAATAATGCGGGATCCACCAATTGCCCCAGACATATTCTGATGTTGGGCGGCTTTGTATGGTTTCAAATGCGGTAGAGACGCCTTGACCAGGGCAAAAGCACCACGAGCATTCAAGTCCATCGCCTTATCCCACATAGTCAAAGTGGAATCCCACAGAGACGCAATAGGCACGAACCCAGCGTTACTGACCAGCACATCAATATGGCCAAATCTAGCTACTGCTTGCTGTACGAGCTCAGAGGGGCCATCATCGGATGTGAGGTCGGCACATACGGCGATCCAATTTGTGCGTAGGTTTCTGCCCACTGCTTCGCAGTCGTCTTTCAAAGTTGGAAAGGGATAGTTGAGGACGATGTTTGCTCCGCGATTTGACAATTCAATGGCAATTCCTGCGCCGATACCTTTGGAGGACCCAGAGATAACAGCTGTTTTGCCGTCCATGGTCTGTTGGGTCTGGGCTGGTGATGACATGGCGGAGTTTTGGTTTTGGTATTTGAGATAGCGGTCAAGTAAGTGGTGAACGAGGTGGAGTTGGAAGATTTGCCCAAAAGCACTCTCCATCTGGCTTAGACCATTGATATACTAGTCATAAGGTATAGCGGTACTGGGTCTCACGCCGGTATATCGTCCGAGCTCGGATAGTGCATACCGAAATTAACCGGAATGCTTCACGAGGCAATGAGGTCGGTGCAATCGAAGGTCATTCAGATTCCCGAAAACTTGGGTCATGTGAGCTTTTTACAATTGTTTCTCAACAGTGGGAGTAATGGTTTTAAAATCATTTGCAAGTTACAGAGAAAATCAGGTAGAGACTGTTCGGCTAATTTAACACCTTTGACCATTTTTTACCCACTTCCCAAGTTCACTTTACGCTTCAATAGGTACGCTCGGAACGTCTGTAATTCCTGGTAAATCTTCAATCTTCTTCGTAAAGAAGGCCTTTGGGATCTCAGGACCCCAGCTCGACACCGTGGCAGCAACAGCAGGCTCGTCTGCGTGCGGAGAGTCTTCATTCACAAGGTCGCCATCGACATAGTGCTCTACAATGAAGCCAGATGAATCAAACCTGTTAAGACATTAGTGGTATTCTCTCAGTATGGGAATCTCTGAGCCACATACCAGTAGTCAAAAATCTGGCTGCCCAGAACATGTCTTCCCACTCCAAAAACATTGATGTACCCTTTGCGGCGCAGGTAGTGATGACCGACGATCTGGCTATCCACATTATCAACCTCGAAGCTGATGTGATGTGCCTTTATACCCTCGTTGATCTCGGGCGAGCCTGCGATGAAAATATTCTGCCATTACCCAGCTATATTAGTCAAATCTAAACCGGTTATTGACCAACTTACATGGTGGTCGACATATTCTTTGCCCTTATCGAGATGAATGAAGATCATGACGGTCTTGTTGCTCTGTTGCTGAAACAAACTGTCGGTTTTCTTCAAGTTGAACGTCTTGCTGTACCAGTCAAAAACCTCTTGGAGTCGGTCTACATTTACCTCAAAGCCGTAGTGACCGAGCTTGTGACACTTGGATGGTATATCTCGATCTGGACGTTGAAATTCACCAAATCGCTTTTTGTCATCCCAGGTATTCCACATTACCGGCTTAGGAATGTCTCTGGGTTCTGGAACTCGATCCTGCTGCCCATAGATCAAAGTCACCTCTTCACCCAAAAGGTCCTTGATAATAACCACTTTTCCTCCTCCCGGGGCGTCAAAGTCGTGGATTGGTGTCGATCCAGGAAGCTTCGCAGCCTTTTCTAATTCATCCATGGACTGCACAACCCAAGCACCTCCCATGAATTTCCTTTTACCATCGTTTGTTTTCTCCGCGACATAGCAGAATTGGTCTTTGCCGAAGCCGCGGAAGTAAATCTTTTCATTTTTCTCCAGGACAGGGACCAAGCCAAAGTCGGTAAAGAACTCTTTTGCCTTGTTAAGGTCGGGATGCCCGTAGCGGCAATGGGAAAGCCGATCAAGAAGAATACGAGAATCTTTGGAAGGTGGAATCATGATGAAAGTTTGTGGAGTTTCTTGAGTGGACATGTCTGAAATCATGCAAGTCGAGTGAGCTATAATGGTGAGATTCATCAATTATAAGTATCGTTCGCACAATCTGGCCGTCGGCTCCGAGGCACTTGGCGGCGAAGTTGGCAGCGTACAATTACACATACCTCCGGAGTCAAATGCCGAGATGCGGTGAATTGAAATGGACTACAATCGGGGAATTGCTACAGAGTACTCGGCTGCAATCTCATACGTTACATTGAAAGCTGTGCTCCGGGCATGGGTCTGAGGACGGTCGACGAAGGCTATTAAAAGGCTCGAAACATCAAATGCTATAATATTTGGAAATCATTCTCAAATCATCCTTCATCACACATCTGAAGACCACATTGTAACAACTTAACTTGAGCATGTCGTTCACTAGGCTCATCCGCTTCCTAGATAAGAACGGTGACGAGAGGTTTGGCAATGTTCAAAGCGACATTTCCCCGTCAGAGTTAGTTGGTCAAACGGTACAGCTCGTGTCAGGCAGTATCGAAAAAGGCTTCAAGCTCAACGACATTGAGATACAGGTTTCCAAGGTGAGCAGATAGTCACAATATTCAGGTCATGTACACTACTAACGCTTGGCCCTCTAGTTGTTATGCCCACTAGCCAACACCCCAATCATTCTCTGCGCGGGTGTTAATTACAAGTCTCATGCTAAAGAGACAAAGGTAGGTAAGTAATCGGGAACATGACACTACAATGCTTACGAATGCAAAACAGTTCCCACCGCCCGAGAAACCAGTCATCTTCGCCACCCCCCCTGATCGTCTCACGGGGCCATTGGATGATATCAAGATCCATCCTGATGCACAGGAGCTGTTGGATTATGAGGGCGAACTAAGCATTGTCATTGGAAAGGATGGTTATGATATCAGTGAAGAAGATGCACTGGACTACGTTCTTGGTTATACCATCAGTAACGATGTCTCAGCCCGTCATCTTCATGCCGTCAACATGTCTGGGTATCAAATGGGCTATGCCAAGTCCTTTGATAATTTTGGGCCAACCGGTCCTTATTTGGTCTCACCAAAGCTAGTTCTAGACCCGCAAGCTCTGGAGTTGAAAACGACTGTGAACGGCGAGGTGCGACAATCGACGAACACGGGACAGATGATTTGGTCGTGTCGTCAACTCATTGCTTTCGCCTCTAGGGGCCGAACCTTGCGCCGCGGCACTGTTATTATGACAGGGACACCAGAAGGTGTTGGATGGCATACTAACGGCTGTTTGAAAGATGGCGATGTCGTGGAGGTAAGTGTTCAAGGTCTTGGTTACATTAGGAACAAAGTTGTATTTTAGAACAGGATTAGATAATCTATCCAATCAGAGAAATGCAGGTTCTTAAAGACATGACCGAAAGAGACGTCGCGGATTCTCGGCCGACAGGCCCGATTCGATGGATAGTTAGGCTTTGCTTATCTAATCTTAAGCACCGTAGCGCTTAAACTAAATACAATCAGCCTAGGACACAAGACAAAACCTCCTATTAGATTTCGTCAACAGACACCTCCAACAACATGGCAGCATCAGCACCAGCATCAGCACCAGCACCAGCACCAGCACCAGCACCAGCACCAGTAATTTTGCTCCAAGGCGGCACACTTCTTTTTCATGACGATAAGGATCATGTGAGCGCCTTGAAAGAAACCGATATCCTGATCCAAGGCAATCGTATTTCCAAGATTGGCAGGGGAATTAGAGCTCCTGCCGGCGCTGAGCTATTCAATTGTAGTGGCAAAATCGTGAGCCCTGGCTTTGTCGATACACACCATCATCTGTGGCAGACTCAGCTCAAAGGATGTCATGCTGAGCAATCAATCTTTGACTATCTGGTGACAGGTTCGTTTCGTGGGTCCCACTTTGCGTATTTCTTACAGCGCTAAGGCATCAAGTCTATCAGGTTTCTGGCAGAGTCATGTTTACAAGCCTCAGGATATGTACTGGGGACAGCTCGGAGGAGCTTTGGAGGCAATCAACTCTGGAACAACATTCGTCTTGGATCATGCTCATGGGAACCAGACCAATCAACATGGTGAGTCTCACCTTCTCACTCGACTGCGCACGTTGTGAGCCTTGGCGGCTAAACTAATTGTGCGTCTACAGCAACTCAGGCTCTATCAGCGACTATTGCATCGGGCATTCGCTCTATCTTTGCCTATTCGCATGCTCCCTACTTCACCAAATGGGACTCAAATACCTGTGAATTGTCGCGCGACATCATGCCCAAGTCTAGTATGGCACATGTATTTGAGCTTGCTAGATCACAGCCATATGGAAATGGGAGGGTTCATATTGGTTTCGGATTCGACTACTGGTTTTTGCCACAGGAGGTTGTCACAGGCCTCTTTTCCGGGTTGAGAAACGCTGGAATCACGCTTTTTACATCCCATTACGCCAAGAATCCAGCTCTGGGCAAGTACATCTTTTTTCCTGACTACGTCATCTCTCTAAGATACACTCTCTGACATTACTCAAGGTGCCACGCCACTCATCGATACGCTCCAGTCATATGGCCTCATCAAGTCACCTAGTGATATTCTTCTCTCCCACGCAACTGGCCTCGGTAAAGAAGAGGTAGCCAAGCTAGCCGAGACTCAAGTACCAGTTTCGAGTACCCCGGACACAGAAGCCCAGATGGGATTCGGCTGGCCAATTGCTTTTACTCCAGGTATCAAAACCACCTTGGGAGTTGATTGTCACACCAGCAGTACATCCTCTATTCTTTCACTCGCGAGATCTGCATCGAACATGGCTCGCCAGCGGGATGCCGTCGCTGAAACTCAGGGTGGAGAGGGTGCTCCCCGCCGACTCTATCTCCAGCCAAGTGGCAGTACCACAGAGGCCTTCAATGCAGCTACCATCAATGGCGCACGTGCAGTCCTGCTGGGTGACAAAATAGGATCCATCAAGGAGGGGAAAATGGCCGACCTAGTCATATTTGACGCAGTGGGTAGTCTGACGATGAGTTGCGTCTCCGAATCGGACCCCTTGACGGCGGTCGTGCGCCACAGTGATGTGCGAGACATTGAAGGTGTAATTATTGACGGTGTTTGGAGGAAGAAAAACGGCAAAATCTCTCCAGTGACTGTAAAAGAAACAGGAGAAATGCTAGAGTGGCCAGAAATCAGGCAGAGGCTTTTGGGAAGCCAGCGCGACATTCAAGAAAGGCAAAGAAATCTGAACATGGATAAAGCTAGGGAGGCTCTCACTGCTATGTTCCACATCGATACCAGAAATCTGGTTCGGGGGCCGAGGAAATAGCCCATGTATGTTAATCGTCTTAGTTATATCCTAGCATGCATACGACCTACACCAAGTCTTTGAGTAAATGTCAACGTAGGTATATGTTAAGCAGGGCTAACCTGCACAGTCCAATATCAATTCCTTCTAAGCCTCGTGCGTGGATCTAATAGGGTCGGGAAATCAATATAATGATATTTGAATACAAGTTCAAGGTTAAAAAGGCATAACCCCGGCGCCGAACAATGAAGATTTGATCAAAGGCTTCGTACTGCCAACCACTTTGATTATCCAACACAGCACCCTAAACATCAGACAGAAAAGAAACCTCATCCTACCAGAATGTCTGCACTACCGCCTCTTGTTACTCTTGAAGAACATTTTGTCTCGGCCAAATTGCTTCCTGAGCTGTCCAGCATTTACTCAGAGCAGCTGAAACACCTGCCAGAAGTCGCAGCTCGTCTCACAGATGTTGGAAGCCTCAGACTGCAGGACATGGATAAGAATCACGTCTCACTCCAGATCGTTTCACATGCTCCTGGCTTAGGTTCCAAGCCTTCACGTATGAGTCGTCTAGCAAATGATGAGCTGGCCCAAGCACTAAAGGTCCAGCCAGATTCTCTGGCCGGGTTCGCTGTTTTGCCAATGAGCGAGCCTGACGCGGCAGCAGCCGAGCTGCGGCGCTGTGTCCGGGAGTTCGGGTTTGTCGGGGCGCTTGTGGACGCCCATGTTGACGGTTTGCACTACGATGACGGCCGCTTCTGGCCTGTTTTCAGGGCAGCCGCTGAGCTTGACGTACCCATCTACCTGCATCCGACGTACCCATCCGAGGCTCATCACTCCATCTACGAGGGCGAATACAGTGCCGGTGCAGCCCGGAGTCTCGGATCGAGCGGGTTCGGCTGGCATCAGGACACGGGGCTGAGCGTTCTCAAGCTCTTTGCCGCCGGCTTGTTCGACGAGTTACCGACGCTCAAGATAGTCGTCGGTCATTTCGGCCAAATGCTTCCTTTCATACTGGAGCGGGTCGAGAAGCTCTCAGTCCGATGGGGAAAAAGACAAAGACCTTGGCGCCAGGTGTGGGATGAGAATATTTGGATTACTACAAGCGGGGTGTGGAGCCTTGCCCCGATGGGGTGTATATTGAAGAACACGCGAGTAGATCGCATCATGTACAGTGTGGATTATCCGTTTGAGAGCAACGAGAATGGCTTAAGGTGGATTCGGGAGCTGCAGGAGAGTGGACTGGTTACACCGGACGAACTCAGCATGATCGCGTACCGTAACGCAGAGCAGTTGCTACGGGTTAAAGTTAGTAGAAAGTAAGTAGGGTGCGTGCCGGGCGCCTGGAGAAGCAATCCGAAGGTTAGGTAGTTTTGGTCATAGTATGGTCATGGTATATGTAGTACCAAGTTTCTTCCATTCGACATGAATCAATATCCAAGTTTATTTGTTCCGAGTACAGCCACTACACTTATAGATTGAAAGTCTTATTTCAGTTTCACACCCGTTGTCTCAGTATCATGGCTTCTCCAAATGCTGTGGTACTCAAATCAATTGCCTTAGCCGGGGTGAATCCACAACGAGCCCTTCCCTTCTCTCTCAGTCTAAACGCTAACCAATATTCTAGGCCGGCGGACGCCTGGGCCGCAAGACACTTAATTCACTCGTGGAAGACGTCAACTTCAATGTGACGGTCCTGGCAAGCGACAGAGGCTCCACCGAATATCCCCCTGGGATTCGGGTTGTGCAGGTGGATTACGACTCTCTCGACTCGCTACGAGAAGCGCTTCGTGGAATTGATGCTGTTGTTTCGACTCTTGGAAAGATATCTGGTCTAGAGTGTCAGTTCAAACTCATTGATGCCGCAGTCGCCGCAGGAGTGAGGCGTTTCATACCGTCCGAGTTCGGAGCTGATCTACAGCATCCCTTGATTCGAGAGTTCCCCACATACCGTACCAAAGTCCGAGTGGAGGAATACCTCGAGAGTTTGGTTGGAGAGACTGACCTCAGTTACACTTACATTAACAACAGTCTACTATTTGAAGAGGGTTTACGGCTGAACGTATTCGGAGACTTCAGTGCTCGAACTGTTCACATATACGATGGCGGACATGGTCAGTTTTCTGCCACAAGAATAGTGACTGTTGCTCGTGCAGTAGTTGCCATTCTGCGGAACCCAGAAGAAACCAAGAACAGGGCAATTCGAATAAGGGATATCTCGACTTCGCCACGCGAGCTCTTGCGGAATCTTCAAGGGCTCGACCAAGAACATGAATGGATACCCGTCAAGATCGATACCGAAGCTCAAGTCAAAGAGGCCCAAGATGAACTGGTATCAGGCAAGTTTAGCCTGAAAGCTTTTGCCGCATTTGCCACGCGAGCAACCTTTGCACCTGGTGTCGTGAGCATTTATGTTGATAATGCGCTGCTGGGCCTGCAGGAGATGACGGAAGAGGACCTGGAGGCGTTGTTGAGAGCAAAGCTGACATCAAGTCCCCAATTATATTCCGAGAATGGCCCTAGTTTACAATGAGCCAAAGCTTCATCTTGTCTATTATAGGTAGCTTGAAGCACAGCCTGTCAGATAAAATACGGTTGACCATCATCTCCATCAAAATTGTACTGATTGACCGTGTCCAACAGAGACCCCATAAATTCATCCGCTTGGCTCCTTGGCACTTGAAAGTTGTCATCCAAGCCATTGCTTGATGAAGAGAAGTCATTTAGATGGGCCTCTAGCTGTCCCGGCAGCCCTTGTTGTACTGATTGGGCCGCCTTCGGTACAAGAGTTGATGAAGAGGTCGAAACGGCAGACTTACGACGCCCCAACTCCTTCTTTCTGCGTCTCTTGGCCCGGTCAATTCCCCTCATTACCGAACGCCACTGGTGCACCTTTCGATGTCGCGTGGATGAATCCCAACGTAGTACTGCACTTTGTTCCACCACCCGCCATGCCTTGGTGGCATCCCTGACTAAAGGTCGCCTAGACAGCTCCGATAGAACGATAGCAAATGCATGCCACTCATGGTAAACTTTTGTCAACCATGACTACTGTGCCACTAAAGGATCGGTACGCAGTCGGTACGAATGTGTCATGCATTCAATTGCATCCTGGAATACTCGTTTTCTCTGGCCTTCATCCAAATGAGATTCTGGTCCGAGTGGGTTGAGTGCTAAGAAACGGAGATTGGAGATGACAGTACCAATAAAAGAAGTCACCAACTAGAAACGAACGTGTTAGTAAAGGTAGCTAGCTTCGTGAATGATATACCCGGCTTACAAGGTGGAGCGACTTCCTTGAGTTAGTATCACCAGAAAATCGGCTATTAATCTCCAGCAACTTTCTATCTATCCAATTTTGCTTCTCTGCCAACGTCATTGGTCTGAAACTCCTTCCAGTATCCGGATCGACACGGCGTACATCAATCATGGTTCGCCAGACACTTGAGGCCCAGCATCGAGCAGCAGTGAAGGACATGTCGGTCAAGTCCTGAGACTCAACTGGATCTCCAGCCATATCTGGACTGAGGTCGGCATCATTGACGTTGGAAGGGGGCCGAGATTCGAAACTACTCAGCTCCAAACTGAAAACTAGTAAGTATGATACTTCTCTCGACCAACGGGGATAATGGGGGGCTAGGCTAAACTTACACACCAGTGGCGCCCGAATAATCCTCTGAAGCAGGTGTATCCAGGATACATATACCCCACCATAGTCGGCGGCGCATCTCGGCATCAAACGGGTTGAGGTTGAGGATGCTGCCATCACGATGCATTCCGAGAGCCTGAGCGAGCCGAACAGCTAGTCCAGTCATGTTCCAAGAGTATGCAGGGTCAATTGATCGCATGATGACCAAGAAGACAACAAACGTCTGCAGTGTGAGCATGTCGTCCGTCTCCATCAGCCTCGAGCGCGCGAGAGCACCGTCTACGCCTCGCCTGAACCTTTGCAACAGGGAAGACTGCCGTGACCCGAATTGCAGCTCACAGTTATCAGGACTGAGACTGTTGACAGCGCCAAGGTATATCACGAACAAGAGAGCCTCGAGACGGGGCGCGAGATTCACAGGGTTCTGAATCGCTTCGAGAACCAAGGTTTCGGTTGAAGGTATGTGCAGGATTGTCGCAAGAGGGTGCACGTTATCCTTGAATAATTGCCAAGCGTGAAACCTGTGCGACTGGGGCGGATGGAGAGTGTCTGATGCCATCTGCTTGCAACTACTGTTGAAGATGAAAGCGTATTGTAGTGATCCAAAGCTAGATCGTGGAGGGTCATGGTCGCGCTCATCGTCGTCTTCAGCGTCATCATCTTCATCGTCGTCTTCTTCGACTCCGTCTTCACTATCACCTATTTCCATCTCATTCACATCACTCTAAGTAGACGAATTGGGATCAGCAATCATCAAGACACGGTTTTAAATGACTTGTTACCTCAGTGTGTAAAGATTCCCAAAACGTGCCGCTCACATATCGTTGGCGGCCGTCATCTTTAACCAGCTTGCCCGTGGATGTCGTAAATGGCGACCAACTCGAACCTGGCGTGCGTTTGTCATTGCTAGCATTGGACTGCCTCCCAGTACCAGTACCGGTCAGGTCGGTATTCTGTGATGTCAATTGCTGCTGGACCAGTGGGCTTGGGCTTGGAATCTGTTGTGTCGTAGTTTGTTGGTCACCCTCGGGGCGGTTTGCCGGTCGATTATTTGTGCTACCAGAACCGACGGAGTGTGGAGGAGTAGGAGGAGTAGGTGACGACTGGCTGTTGTTGGTAGAGTGTGGCGGGATAGAGCCAACGACAGCAGGCAGCGTGCCTTGCTCGGCGCAACTGGCCAATGTTTTGAACATTGGCTCCAAGCGGTAGAGCTGCTCAAGTAATCGAGTGTCGCGGAAAATCTGCTGCTCGTCGGTGCTATTGTTATTGTCCAAAGGGTAGACGCAGTCATTTCCCGACTTTTTACAGTGCTGACACGGCTGTTTCTTGTCACAGCCGACTTTGCGACGGCGACATGCTGTGCAAACTCGCCTGGGAGTTTTCGATTGTTTCTCCCGCTGAGGCTGAGGCTGAGGCTGAGGCTGAGGCTGAGACTGCTGCTGCCTCTGGTCTCGAGTAAGGTTCCATGCAGAAATGATGGTATCACTATCTGCCATAGCATGGTCGGAAGTGATTTCTTGAGACTGTGGCTCATCTGGAGATGCCATCGTGCGGCGGCTTTTTCGAATAATAGCTCCTTGCAGTTCCCGATTATATCTGGTACAAATGCTAATTTCTTCAGGCTGTCTCAGCAGTTACGGTTTTGGGTGGGTAAGATTAAAGATCTCGTGTCTATGTGCCAGCGCGTATTGTGGTGATACGACAAGAAGTGAGGGGAGGGGAGGGGGAATCTTGTCTGCCAGGGATCTTGACGCGTACTGGCAGATAGGGAACACGAGATAACCCCCAATTCCACACGGACCATGCATGCATTTGACGGCATTGTGCTGGGCGGCAAAGTAAAAGTGCGGGGAAGCGGACTGGCTGACGAATCTTGGGCCAGATAAGAAAGGAGTAAGATCCAAAAATAGAAACGCGTTGGAACTCGGCATCCCGTATACCGTCACTACAGAGATCCGCATCAATCTAAGCCAGACAGACACGGCACAGATACGAGGGCAAAGTTACTGCGGACCCAGTACTGTTCTGCTTTCTTTGCAGATCCAGGGCGTAGTATTTCTTGTTGGACTAAACCTCTTGTAACCGATTTGTTTTAGGCCCAATTTCATTGATCGTCACCCTGGGTCTTCGGAACAATAATGTCGGGCTAGATAGTTTAGTCTCTGCTCGGCCGCGGCTCCCCGTATCCCCCTGTTGGAATCTGGTTCGGAGTTCCTCGGATTTCAAGGGTCCGTCCAGTGGATTCCTGCTCGAAATAGAGTTAAAAACGTAACCGAGACCACTACCCCAACTCTCTCTAATTAATGAGATCTTACAAACAATATCCCCTTTTGATGACAAAGAAATCCAATTTTCCACAGGGAACAAGTCAAGTCAATATGGCCACATCATCGTCAAAAGATTCAAATAAGACTGAATGGCTTGTTATCATCCCAGACCTTCCTGGCGCAAAAGACAGGAGGTCAACATGGTTCCCGTGAGTACCTCGGCCCTTTTACAAACACGGACTAGTCTCATGTCAACTTACATTCATCAGCCAACATTGTGAAAGGATGAAATTAGACCCACAAGACTTTTGGGTTTTCGGAGGTGGGCTCACGCTCCCCTAGTCCCCATACTTTCCTTGCTGATACATGATGTATAGGAGCGACCTTGAAGGACTGTGTGACACTAGGACAAGCTCCGGATGTATCCGGGAGCGCTATGATGGTCTTTACAACCTCGAGGGAGCATATCTTGGCACGCCTTGAAGAGGATCCTCTGGTCAAGGGTAAAGTGTGGGATCTCGAAAATGCACAGATTACTCCCTTCTTCCGTCCTAAGCGAGGTGCAATTTGATGGACATCAACAACAAGAATGTAAGACGAGATAACGTACAATCATTAACAATCTATAAACAAACAGACTATGAGTTTTCTATTCGTTGTGTACTCCGTAGCTGGGGCGCATTACCTACTACGTAGTTGAATTTGATCTAAGATTGCTGTGTCCAGACCTCCCTCCAGAACTCACCGAGAAGCTCCACGCTCTTACTGTCTGCTGCAGGGAGCACTTGACTGATGTATATTGCACCCACGCCTCTATCCCGGTTCACGAACCACCCGATGTTAGGCATTCCATTCCATGTGAGCGATCCAGCCCGGAGATTGGGTACGTCATTTTTCACTATTAGGCCACCCAGGCCAAATGCCACTTCAGGTTGACCAGTTCTGTCCCCAGTTAAATGTTTGTGGATTCCCTGTTCCGCATCTTTAGCTCATTGAAGGCCGAACGTTTCTTCATAATAGATATGGGCTATACTATACCTCTGCTTTCACAAGTTCTTGGTACTGACGTGTATCAGGCCCGAACTGAGGGGTAAACATCTTCGCAACTGAGCTCGTCTTAAGAAGTATCGGCGCTTCCTTTAACAGATCCTGCAAAATGAGGACAAAATCCGAGGTGGATGTGACGAGACCCAAGCCGCCACACTCATCTCTCGCATTCAGCGGATACGGTGAGGGAACCGGGCTCAAGTTTCCTGTATCGGCACGATAACACATTTGCGCCAGATTCTCCAACATGTCCGGTCGTGATTCTGGACGAAGGGTCGAAGTTTGCAGGTTGAGAGGACTGAACAAGTTGTCGGCAAGATAGTCACCTAGAGTCTTACCACCATTGAGTCTCTCTACCAATAGACCAGCCCATTCTAAGCCTGATCCATATACCCAACTAGTGCCTGGTTCGAAAAGAAGCGGGTGGGAAAAGGCTTCTAGCAGTTTGCCGACCATCACCATAGGGGTCTCCCCTCTGGATTGACGCCATGCCACGAGCACTGGGTGCATGGCATCATAGGACAGGCCACTTGTGTGAGTTATCAGGTGCCATACAGTGATTCTTCCCTTGGCAGGCGCGAGAGTGAAGGTGCCATTTGGTCCTTGGTTGATGATGTCAGGATTCTCTAGCTCGGGAAGAATACTGTCGACTGGAGTATCGAGTTCGATCAAGCCTTTTTCAACGCATTGTAGAACAGCGATAGTAGTGAGCAATTTCGTGCACGAAAAGCCTAAGAAAGTACTGTTGAGGGTCATTTGGTCATCAGACCCCTTTCTAATCTGGCCCTTGGCTGTTTTGAAGAAAACCTCTGAGAAACAATAAAGATTAATTTTCCGGTGCAAGCCAGGCATTTTCGGCACGTACCATCTTTATTAAACGCAGCTATCGCAATTCCAGGAAGGCCTGATAATGGGTCACGGGTCAAGTATTCCAAAGTGTCTTCGACTTTCATTCTCGCCATTCTTGTTTCGCCCGAGTTCGCGTGCGTTGTTCCAAATCTTCGTAATGGGACAGGCGGCTCGATTCTACAGTGGGTTTTATGTCATGGACCTCCAACGACTATTATAACTCTTGAATCCCATTCGAGTAATATTACGTTTGAAGCAATCATCCTTGCGTAATCACTGATAGTACTGATTCGAGCATATAGTTCCAACGCTTGTTAACACTTTCTCGGGAATCTCGGCCGACGTGTAAGTCGGGGGCCAAATTATTATCCACTACCCTGCACATCCCAAAACGGTTAGCTACTGTCCTTCGGTCGTTGTGCCCATAGGCTGGCTGATCCATATGACTGACTGCACTTTGGTGGGCAAATAGAAATCAACTTTCACCACCGCTCAGAAGCAGTGCAGGCAGTTAAACGCACCAGAGTAAGCATGGCCAACTCAACAATGTCCTGCCAAAACCTACTAGCACAAAACACCACAACCAACGAGACCTGCACAGCCTCAAGACTTACCAACACGCGTAATGCTGGTCGAAAACGACGCTCATGTGTCATGTGCAGCAAGCGAAAGGTCAAATGTGACAAGAAAAAGCCATGCACAAGCTGCATCAAGACAGGAAACGAATGCACGTTCCCGGCCGTGGCCGCAAATCGGATCCAAGCGGGAGTGACCCCAGACCTAGTCGAGATGCTGCAAAGGCTAGAGAAGGTCGTACAGACCCTAGAGCCGAGAGAGTCAGACGAGACTGAGGCCGCCTTGGGTTCAGAAAATTGCCAATTTCTTGGTGGTGATCATCAGGCCAATCTTACCGAACAACCCTCAGATAATACTGCTACATTGGCACAAACAACCGGCGGGAATGATGCTGAGCCTGATGATCACGAGGTCATAACTGGTTTAAGCAATCAGAATCAACCCCGAGTATCACAACAAAAGGTCACAAGCGTATCATCAAACCATGGGAAGAGCCCGGGTAGGATAGTCCGTGATCATGGCAGGAATACATATGTACGACGCTGGTTTTGGGATGATGGAAGCACAGAGGTAACAAAAGCTCCTGCTTATATATCAGCATGTACTTACCGTCTGGAGACTAGCAGCGGTTCTTCATCAGATGCAGATGATGACGATATGACCGAAGATGGAGGTCATCTAGGTGAGAGCTCGACAAGCCGGTGCCATGGAACAAGCGATATGTCAAAAGAAGACATCATGAAGACACTAACAGCTCAGAAAAGACATCTTTGGGTCATTTACAAAGAAAGAGTGGAGCCATTAACGAAGTTATCGCATTTACCGATATTGGAGCGGGCTGTTTTTGCGTCACCCCAAGTAGGCTCTCTTGAAGGTATGCAATGCATTGTCCTAGCAGTTCACTACGGTTCAGTCACCAGTCTGAGTGAGGACGAATGCAACTCCATATTTGGTAGCGGACAAGCCCATGTTCTAGGCTGCATGCGAGAGGAGCTGGAGGGACTATTTGCCGGCTCCTTACTCATGCACACTGGCGACATTCGACCTCTACAAGCTCTGACTCTATACCTGGTGTTTCTCAGGCATCACGAGCCCAAGATATCTTGGAAGCTATCAGGGCTTGCTATAAGACTGGCGCAGAATTTTGGATTGCATCGAGAAGACAGTTTCATCGGGCTCACCACATTCGAGACCGAGATGCGGCGGAGGTTGTGGTGGCAGCTAGCCATTCTCGATGCACCGTCCGCTGAAGATTATTCAGGAGAATATAATTTGTGAGTCCGTACTCTTAAATATTGACTACCGAGATTTCTAATAAGTCAACGCAGGCTAGAAATGGGCAGTTTCGACACTCATCCGCCCCTAAACCTGAACGATGCACAACTACATCCTGCCATAACGCGATGCCCACCAGAAAAGAGGAGCATCACTGAGATGACGTTCACCTTGGCCCGCTGTCAAATCACGAGCATGTATCGTTGCATAGCTGATTCGAGAAGGATTTGTGGAAACACAGGGAAAACATATGCGACTATGACGCCAGAAGAACGGGCTGACTGGATCGATGATTGCGAGAATGACTTTTCAGAGAGCTTCTTGAGAGATTGCATTCCTACTAATGCATTTCACTGGGTAAGTCCGAGATTCAGTTCCTCTAGTACGCTAGATACACAAGACTTAGTTCCGAGACTATAGGTTACCGTTGTTCTTACTCGAATGCTCTTCCACAAAGTCCGACTGCACGGATTCAATCCTTTACAAGACACTGGACATATGCCAGAAAGTACTCGAGAGAGACTCTTTCTAGTTGCAGTCGAAGTCATAGAGCTTAATTATAAATTGCGCACTGATCCACGGACACGTCCGTGGCTTTGGCTCTTGGGCTCTTATACCCAGTGGCATGCATTCTCACTAGTACTCGTGTGGTTGCGGATAACACCTTTCTGTAAAAGCTCTCGCAGGGCATGGGAAGCTGTGGAAAAGGCCATCGTTCTACGGTGGGAGCATCCAGCGTCACTCCTCAATGGCAGAATGCCTCGGCAGTGGCGATCAATTATCAAGTTGCTCGAAAAGGCGCGCTCAGCAAGACGAGAGGCTTTGAGCAAACGAGCTAGACGAGGCTCTCGGAACGCCAATGACTTGAAGCGCGCTTCTTTCGAAGGTCCGCCTGGATCCTCCTCGTCGGCTGCAGTGCCATACCAGAGCGAGGCTTTGTTGCCAAGAGAGAGCCTCCCAGGACAAGTCGCGCAATCACGTCAACATTGTCATTCACCGAACGTAATGAACAACCTATCGAATGCCAGTGCAGCTGGCCCATCAATCTCGCTGGGAGTTATGACAGATGCCTTTTTGATGTTGGAGTCACAATCAAACAACATGGGCCAGAATTTATTCCAGGGGTTTCATAATGAGAATATGCCTGGTATCTCTACCAATGGTTCTGTGGGCCCGGACTTTGGTCAAGAACTGATGATGATGGATGGTCAGTTTTCTACCGGGGACTTTGAAGGTCTAAATGATCTTTCATTCCTTGACGATATTGTTTGAGGAAATACACGTAAAACTCTAGGCCAGAATGAAAATGAGATTTCTATACGGAAGCTATTTTAGTACCTAACTAGTAGTGTTCTTATCAAATACTACCTGTCTTTATTATTGGATGAGCCACTAAACTCTTAGGTATTAGGAAATGACTTCTAATGTTTAATAGATATTTATTATCTCTTAAGCTAATTGTATTGAGGCTAATAGTAAGAAGGACTAAGAGCGGCTAAGAACTATATTGGTCTAGAAATACTATTGTTGTTTAATATTATTAGGTTAATGTATTAGACGTTAGTGTATAAACTTTACTGATTAGTACTTTTATAGAACTTAGGTTAGTAGTTCTTAATTCGATCTTTCTTTATTAATATTTAACTTATTCTATTAGGTATTTAGACATATAACATGTTACTTATGACTTGAATTGTATTTAATGATTTCGTTAATAACGAGGATCATGAATAATATATTTTTTACCTATAGAATAAAAGCTGTAGTACTAGGGATAATTCTTGCCTGGCAAACCGTTCTCAGCGTTTCAGGTCATGTATCTTGCTGTGTATCGCGCTGCTTCCTTCCAATCCAGCGTGAGTTGCTTCATCCATGCCCGGAATAATCATCTCAAAGGTCTCCCGAATAACCGTGTACTGAAAATAACCACACCTAGCAATAGGTAGCATCTTGGCAACATCCAACTTCCCGTTCGTCAATACATCATCTCGAATGTGTACTGCAACAACTCTCCCAATAACTATATCAACTGTTCCCATGGGCGGCTTGGCAGGTAGTCGAAGCGTTGTATGATACACGCACTCGAATTTGACTGGACTGTCCTTGACCATAGGTACAGGGGCGCCTGGCAGCGAACGACTGAACTCCTTTCCTAAACCGGCGCTCTCAAATTCGTCAACACCGTATTCGACTTGCTGAGCCGAGATGTTGACAGCTTCCCGCAGGCCCCAAGTTGCCATATTCCAGCAAAACTTGCCAGTCAGCTCAGCATTGCGGACGGTATCTTTGCGCTGCGAGTCAAGCTTCTGGTTGGCCGAGAACATCACATACGGTGGGTCAAAGGTGAGGTTGTTGAATTGCGAGTAGGGTGCAATGTTGTGTACGTTAGGATCCGAGTCGGAAATAGTCGAGATCCAGCCAATTGGCCGAGGGACCACGCATACCTTGAAAGGATCATGTGGGAGGCCGTGAGATGTCTTTCCTGGTTCGTAATACATGACGGGATTCTTTCAGGTGTTTTTGATAGAGAAGAGTTCCAATGAGGCGGAAAGCTCAATAATGAAACTGTGGTCTGATATTGTCGATTACGGGGCTCATAAAGACAAGTGTTTATGGCTCATGATCGGTGGATCGGTTACAACGTTCTCTATATTCGTCCAATCGCTCGTGATCAAAACCCAGAGACGAACTTTCTCCGGGCTTGGCTATCGAAAGCGCCAAATCTTCCGAAGCGGCCGAGAGGAGGGACGACTGTTCGTCGCGCGAATCTCGGGGTAAAATCCGGAGAATCAGATAAAGCATGTTCAGATGTCGGGTGGCTGTACAAGTTACGAACTTGGGTTTTACTTATAGGATGTTTTGTCTCTAGTCCTCTCGATCTCGTAGATGTATACCCTACAGAGTCATTCTCAGCATAGTAGATACCATATATCGCTCTATCCATCATTCCAATAATCACAGTTGCACAATGGAACCCATCGACGATGATGTCGAGCTCGGACCCGGCCGTGATATTCCTACCGACGGTATTCCGGTAAACTTTGTGCCAGCAAAAGCCGGTGACATCATCAAGCTAGGACTCATCACCTGCCGTGTCCTAGAAGATGGATCCCGTACAGGTGACTACACTTCATAAGCCTTGCTTTTCTAAGGATAGGCTGTACTAACGTGGCTGGTAAGACAATCGTATCGGAGCGGCTGAGTTCACGCTGCCCCCCGGGCTGATGGGTCCTCCAGCCCACTGGCATGAGATGCACGACGAGACCTTTCTTACAACCAAGGGCACGATCCGCTATCACATCCCCAAGGCAGATGGCACCGAAGACATCATTGATGCCCATGAAGGAGACTACGTAACCGTACCGATGCGCGCTCCACATACTTTCAGCAATCCGACAGACCAGGAAGTCAAGTTCTTCAATACATATACTCCAGCTTATTACATCAACTACTTCAAGCTGTTGGGCACGTACGTAGAAGAAGGCAAGCCTATCTCGGACAAGGAGCACTTGGATGCTATGTCGAATTATGCCACGCTTCGGGTACCGAAGAAATATCTAGGCGCGAGAGAGAAAAAGTAGTCCGATTATGTTCTGAGCTTTGTCTTCTTAATTTGTAGAATGATAGCTATAAATAGAACTAATACGGGACGAACCATGACCGCGTGATCTTGACATAACGGCCCGACCTTGCTATACGTAGCTACCTTTCAAAAACAGTGTCTCTAATACGTTGACAGAGGGTAATCGACGGTATCTACTCGTCCTAAAACTTCCGTAACCCTTGACCAATCAATGCGTGAGGAGATTTGTAGCTTAGTGCATCAAAAGACAAACAGGGTTTTTGTTCCATGTGATATCTACCCAGGCATGTTTGAGGGCTATTCAACGTCCGATATGCTATTGTGACTTGTCCAAAATTCATCTCATTTCATGGGATAAAGTAGAACTCGGGATTTCGGCCGGTGTGATGGTCTGTCGGTAAAGTTCAGATCCCGAGACAACCCCGCTTCACATTCCCCGAGGGTTGACGTCGGCCACTACATGGACACTTGGATCATCAAGAGTCGATCCAATCAGAGGATGATTCATTTGATTCCTAGAACTGACTTGCAAACGCCCACAAGTCGACGAAGGTAAGGGCAAGGTTTTCCATCCAAAGATAAAATCTCAAACTTTTAACATAATACCAGCACTTTCACATCGTTCCCCCTGCTGTCTGTTCCTCAACCTAAATGCTTCTATATCACTGCTTCTTCTAGTCAATTTGAAAGTTATGTTGCTGCTAACGCTATCTATTGCCGCGGCTTTTGCCGTCCTGGCCTACGGAGTATCTTGGGTCTTGGTCGATTATGCCCGCGTTCTGAGACTTAGACGAAAGATGGCACCGGGCCCGCTTCCCTATCCTCTCTTCGGCAATATCTTCATGATTCCCACTAGCAGACAGTGGGAAAAGTTTGAAGAATGGTCGATCAAGTATCAGAGCCCCATCATCACCATTTGGGATGGGCACACTCCCGTTGTTGTTTGTAATGATTCTTGGTCGATATCAAACCTGTGCGACAAGCGAGCCAACATTTATTCGTCCAGGGCAGTGAAAACGCTCACAGGCAAGGTGTTTGGCCTGCACAAGTTTAATCAAGCGGGCCTACCCTATGGCGATCAGTGGCGTTTGCATCGCAGACTTACTGTGAGTCGCTGGTTTTATCACCCACCATTCATTTGATACTTACACAAGTCAAGCATTCTGCTGCGAATCCACAGGTTGTGAAGTTATACCGAAATACACAGGCAAATGAGGCCAAGGTATTCATCGATGACTGTCTCAATGACCCAAACAAATTGGTGGAAAGCGCTTTGCGTTTCACTGTCTCTATAGTCTCCATCATTGCTTGGGACCGTCGTATAAGCAGTGAAGCCGACACCGTCCTCAAAGTTGCACAGGCATTTGTTGGAAGTGCCAATAATGGGTTTCCTGGAAAGACCTATACAGAGGCTATACCTATCCTTGCTCAGATGCCTGCTTGGCTAAACCCCCTTCCAAACCAACTGAGAAAACTCGCAACCACCTCCAACAAATATTTCTACGCATTGTGTGTGGAGGCAGCCGATGCCCCGCAGGATAACTTCGCTAAACGCCTATTGAAGGAGAAGGAAGAACATGGTCTGAGCAAGGTTGAGATATCAAATCTGACAGGAAATTTCATTGGTGCTGGAGTTGACACCACCACGAGTACACTGTTGACATTCATCATGGCCATTTGTCTCAACCCGGATGTCCAGCGAAAGGCACACGATGAGATCGATCGTGTTATTGGCCCTGAAAAATACCCGGATTGGACGGATGAAGAGAACCTTCCCTACCTAGCAGCAATTATCAGTGAGACCTTGAGATGGAGGCCAGCGTTTTCGCTTGGTGGCCCTCCTCACGCTCCGGTCGAGGACGACATATACAACGGATATCTATTCCCGAAGGGAACCGCCATTATCGGCAATCTCTACGCCATTTCGCGCAATTCTCGGGAGTACCCCCAGCCTGATCGGTTCTGGCCAGAACGATTCCTTGATGGATTCGATCGACCAGATTACCCCAATAGAAAAGGTCATAACGTCTTTGGTTGGGGGAGGCGTGTGTGCAGTGGAGAAGCCTTAGCACAACAGAGTCTTTACTTGACTATCCTCTTTATGTTATGGGCTTTCGAAATCCGCCCAGGATTGGATGATCAGGTAAATATTGCATTTAATGGCCATTTTACGAACGGTTAATTGACGAATTCTGACTAGGGAAATGAGGTTGCCCTTGACCCAAATGCGTACACTGCTTCTCAAGTCACCCGGCCAATGCCTTTCAAATTGCGACTCTTGCCACGGTCGACAACGATTGTCGACCTGGTCAAACAAGGGGCTGCGAAGGCTCGCTCGGAACTGCGAGATTTCGATTTTGAGACAAAGGTCACATTTGAAAATGCTCAATCTGTATCTCTTGATATGCCTATTGCACATTCTGAGAAGAGCTAGAAAGTTAGAGACGGAAATGCAGAGAAGAAGGATGAGAGTGTCTCAGGAAATCAAAGCTTGAAATAATGGAAAGGTTACAAAGCTGGCAGGCTCCAACACCGATGAATCCACCTACGGGGGAAAAACTTTTCAGGGCTTCTAGAAGATTATTATGATTTGAAATATTGAATAGTGCATTTTCTTGCTTCTTGAAATTTCGTTACTTTGACGGGTATGGACAGACATCTTGGCCGAGTTAAGACAAAGAAATTGAACTTTGGCTCGTTGCGTTTCAAATAAAGCTGAATAATTAGACCAATCCAAGGCATATACACACCTCACCTTCCTTCAAGACCTTAATTAACATCGTAATTATTCTTAATACAAGGTTCGAGCCCTATTCTTTTGTTTTAACTTAAGTTAACATCGTGAGTTTTGCTAGTAGAAGTTATTCTTGCTGCTTGTTATGACTCTACTGGTGATTCTTCCTCATCATTGTAAAGAACGCATCGAGCTGTTTACACCTTAAGATGGTGGCGCAACATCATGTTATGGCTTTGTGGGTGCCGTCTGAGTGCACATGGTTTCAAACGAGTCTTAAACTTAAAATAGTTACTTGATAAACACTCTCATAGTATCTAACCTCGGAATTACCAGCTAAGTCCCTCTGGCATACTGTTCCCGTTCGAGGTGGAGTTTTGGCAAACGCTTCTGCAGAACACCTCATCCTCTTCGGAAGTCTTCTTTATCAAGGCTCTTCGTGCAGGCCACCATTCATCTCCACGCTCCTTTTCCTCGTCAATGTGTTGATGCAGAATACCTTTGACCAACTCCGTGACGAAAGTCACCCCTTCCTCAACCTCCGGGTGGAAAGGTCCGGTGGTGTACGTGTCGCTGTTTAGATTGCACTGGGTTCCGTTGGCGAGCCACTTGTCCTCTCCCTCAACCTGAGCAAAAAAGTCTAGCTTTTCCTTGAATTGCTCATCGGTAGCATCCTTAGCGCGGTAAACCTCATAGCGCATCAAGCTCGTGGTAGCCGAGGTAGGAACTATGGACATCATGTAAAACAAGACAGGGCTAAGAAGGATCAGCTCCATATTCACTGGCTTCAAAGAAAAGATTCAAAACTCACGTCAGGGTTATTGAAGCGTTCGGAAACGCAAAGGTAGGGCTAACGGAGCTTGATCTCTCCTCGCCCTTGCCACCAAGATGCTCTATCCAGTGCTTCTGGCAGCCATATACCATCTGCTTATTGCCCTTAAAAAAGGGTGCGAGCCCTGGATGAGCTGTAGGACAATGGTAACACTATTGAGTCATATTAGCGGGAGGTTCGCTACATGTTATGGATCTTGAAACCGACCTCGTTGTAGTTCTCAATTAAGGTCTTCCAGTTGAATTTGCCCTCCATCGACCAAGTGTGGTCATACTGATAGTTGCTCAAGTCATAGTTCTTCAGGCGCGGCTGCTCGGTCACTCCACCGAATTGCTCCTCCCAGCTGTGGGTAGGTGTCTCCGCTGCATCAAGATTGACCCAGAGGAAGCCAAGTTTGTCGATGTGAGTATGCAACTTGTACAGTTTGTACCTGTCGTTATCGAATTCTGCAACATGGTCAAATCGTGGAGCCTTGGCCAAGTCACCATTCATCTTATAGGACCATCCTATCACAACTTAGCAGAGCTTCAGCTAGAAGACATACAATCGATCTATACCATGATATTTGCATGACAATACCGACGCTTGCCCTGAATCTTTGTGTACAATGGGGAATGCCCTGTGACGACATACGTTGAGGAATGCATTGATATTACCGGCTCGGTCTCGGATGACAAAGAATGGATAACCAGCCATTTCGTAACGAACGTATTTCCCGGCGTCGTTGAATTGACACGAGTGAGATATGAGAATCCATGATTTGCTGAAAATCGCACGTCGCTCGAGTTGATAGAAGCCTGGTTCGCGGTACCAAGACGCTGGAAGAGTGCTCTGCATGATGATGTTTTATGCTATCTGCTTGAAGTCTGAATGGGTCTCAGAAAAGGAAGAAAATCAGATATTATATCAGTTTTATTGGTTGTGAGGCTGTTCGCAAACTTTTATTCCTTATCACGACTTTTGCAGTTGGTGTGTCTTATATGCCGGCCGTTATACCCGTGAGGCGCATGTAAATGTAAAACACTGTGAAACGCCACTCAGTAGGCCACATGTGAAGGCAACAAATGCACCTGTCGATTCTCAAAGTCTGACTTGTGTGTCAGCGATAAGTTACTTCCGTGGCCGCAATGGCTCCGGCTCTTCGGTTTTCCTTCGCCTCAGAGCCTCGGCTGTTCGCGGCCGAAAGCCCGTATCCCTTGACAAATACGGCTTACACCCGGTAAATTGGTCGGACTTGAATTGTATGCATGACTAGTCCATACTGCAGAGGTGATTGATACAATTCAATTGGGTCATGAGCTTCGGAGGTCGCCGAAACTGGCTCTCTATTCTTGTTTGTCCTCTTTTACTTAACCGCGACTCCAGGTATAAACACTAAAGCGTGACAAACCCCGTAATAGTGGATTTATTGCATAATCATAATCGGATCATACCATGACATAGGAACAACAATGCATCCCTATCTTCTCCTCGTTATCCCTGCTCTGCTGATTGTCGTTAAGCTATTCGCCAAGATTTATCAGATTTTGTCCTCACCGCTGATCTCGGTCCCTGGGCCCTGGCTTGCTCGATTTACTGACCTCTGGTACATTTGGAGAATCCACAAAGGGCAATTTGAGCGTGACAACATTGCACTTCATCAGAAATATGGTAAGAAGCCTTGCTTGATCGAACTGGAAGACGCGATCTATTGACGCCTTGCGACAGGACCGATCATTCGATATGGAACAAACAGGTACAGCATATGTGACGAGAATGCTGCTAAGATTATCTATGGGCATGGGAACGCTTTCCCAAAGTCATCCTGGTACGACTCTTGGGGTGACCGTAACCCCCATAACTGGGCGCTCTTTTCCGACCGGGACGAGAATCGGCATAGCAGAAACCGACGTCTCTATCAGAGCACATACAGCATGTCGTCTTTGGTGACCTATGAGAGTTACGTCGACAAATGCGCAGGGCTATTTTGTCAGAGACTACATGAAATGAGCAGCCCAAAAGGAGTAACTCCACCTGTCGATATTGGACACTGGTTTCAGTGCTATGCTTTTGACGTCATCGGAATGATGACCTATTCCAAACGAATGGGATTCCTTGACAAAGGAGAAGATATCGGAAAGATCGTTGAGAATATCGAAAATCACATGTCCTATGCAACGAAAGTTGGGGTTTACTCATATTTTCATCAGTTTGTCGCTCCTATCAGGAACCGTCTAGGCAAGCGTGGTACAGGACGACAATATATCGTCGAGTTTACGAAGCAGTGTATGGCAGAGCATCAATCCAAACCAAAAGCGATAGCTCTTAGTCATTCAGACAACATGCCTCAGGGAGCCGGAAACTTGGACTTCTTATCCAAGTTTTTAGCCAAGAAAACTTATGCTAATAGTATACCGCTGCTTCCGGCCTGCTGTTGTATAGATCTTTTTAAAATCTGTCTCTAGTCGCTGAGAAATTATAAATCCGGGCTCTATAACATATGCTGGGATGCGTTCTATTAGTTTTAAGTAGTTGTAATATCTAGTTGACTGAGTGTCTGCCATAACAGAAAGACTCTGTCCAATAATGTACACAATCTTAAAGACCAAATTACCATGATGAGGAAGTAGGCTAACTTTTATCTACCCTCTACAATCCTATATATAACCGAAGTGGAATAAATAATACTTAAAGAAGCAGAAGAAAAACATTTACATTGAGTCTGGTAGTACCTTTAAAAAAAAGAGATCTAGCTGTCCCAATCAAATCTACAGAAATATCAATAATAGAGGTCTCTATAAAGACCGAAAAGCAATAGCGTCTCAAATTTAATATAGTTACCTACTATATCAGCTACACTTTTATTTCACTGCAATAGAAATATTACTCTTTAACTGTTTTAAAAGAAAGCTTAAACTGAATAAGTTAATTAGGCCCTTTATTATTAAAAAGACTGCTTCTCTTAATATATTAAATAAAGATAATACAGATTTAATAATAGGGAAGCATAACAAATACCTAATAAACTTAATAATAACTAATAATAATATAATTAAGAAGTTTTACTTTATATACCTTATGTAAATAAAAGGCTATTAAGTATAGCCTTTCCTATACCTATAAAACTATTTCCAGTCTCTTACTAATACTTATTAAGAACTAGTAGTTAATACCTATTGAGTCATTAAGAGTGTATTGCTTATAGGATAGCAAATATATATATATTTCCCCTTCTTCTTTATACAAGTACTTCTACCCTGTATTTCTAGATAAAATTACTATACAGGCTATTATTACCCTCTAGCCCAAGAATGATCTGATGTTATGCCCTAAGTTGGCAGTCGTGTATTCTGTTTCGTTGCTTAGTATACGGGACTAGATGTTTGGATGACTTGTGCTCTAAGCTGCCCATAGCAAATACATCTAGCTCGTGTCCGTGCGCTTTCCGTCTCAGCTTAACAGGGATAATCAAATGAAATGTTTTCGTCATACGATAGGTCACCCAAATCACACCCTTTTTAAGCTCATGTCGGATCTCAATAGGAGGGGGAGGGGGGTGACATGGCTCAAGCGCTGTGCTCTTTGAACCTGGCGTAACTGTCCGGGTCTCACTGAGCAAGGCGGTTGGGCTAGCTGTGTTTACCTGAGCTATCCCACTACTCAATACGACGTGTTTTGAGCGTGGCTATAAAGATCCCCGAGATTCCCGACGGATGCTATGTCTCATCGGGAAATTCGGCCTCGGTTCAAAACGTCGGGATGACGTCGGATCATGACAGTGTTTAAGTCAGCCATAAGATTAGACGTCAATAAACTAGGACTAAAGTCCGAGTCCATTAAAGGATATGATAAATATTCATGTATTAAATATGAATACCTGACTTCAAGTCATAACATTGCCTATTTAAGTTTCAATATAAAGCAAAGCATAATCAACTTCAACTTCACTGTAGTTACTTCCACTGAGAACATGGTTCAAATCAAGACTGTCGGTGTTCTAGGGGTAGGCTTCCCATACTCCTCTCTCCACATATAGAATTAGTTGTACTGACGTTCTCACTGGGAACCGGAGGTCTAGGAACCTACGTTACAAATAACCTAGCTTCTTCTGGTCTGTTTGATATAACCGTTTTCACCCGCTCGAAGAGTGCTGTACTACCGGCCACGGTCAAGTCTGCTTCTATTGACTATGATGATGTCGACAGTCTCACCAAGTCATTCAAGGGCCTGGATGCTGTAGTCGCCGTGACACCAGGGCATTTAGCGGAGCTACACTTCAAGCCCATCGAGGCAGCAATGAGAGCCGGCGTATACCGATTCATTCCGTCCGAATATGGCGTCGATATCCGCAATCCGCGGGTACGCGAGATGCCATTTATGAAAACAAAACAGAGAATTGAGAAACTGTTGATAGATTCTGCCAAAGAGGGCAACCTCACCTACACAGCTATCTATGGCGGGGGCTTCGTGGAATGGGTGTTGACCTATGAGGAATTGATGCCTATCAAGCAACGCAGGTTCAACATCCAGAACGAAGGAAACGTGCCGTTCTCTATAACCAAGATGAACGACTATGCCAAAGCAGTTGTTGGCGCTTTGAGCAACCCGAAACAAACGGAGAATGTGGTAATGCTGATAGAAAGCTTTCGGACAACCCAGCTTCGAATCCTCGAACTAGCCAAAGAAGAGGTGTCTGGTGAATGGCAAGTTGGCTACGTGGATATGAACAAAAATGCCGAAATTGCCGAGCAAAAGATGTATGCGGGTCAATTCGATATTCCAGTGGTAGATCCCATGGTTTTCAAGATTATGTTCACTCCTGGATATGGTGGTCAGATCGATGGAACTCATAACGATCTCGCAGATGTGGTTCCTATCACTGATGGGGAGCTCAGAAATATCATCAAATCATTATCATAGAGACTTTTACATCGCTACTAGCAGTTATTGACATCGTACCAGGCTCTATGATATGTGTTGATCCAGACAAGTGAACAATATGCCTTTTGCTGTAGAAAAATGACTTTAGTAAATAAAATAATACTTGCCATGAATGAGATCCGGCCTGAGACCGAGCTCCACATTTTTATTCTCAGAGTGCAGCAAAATAATTTGGTGAAATTAGTAAGATAACGCTTCATCAGGTCTACATCGCGGTAATCTCAACAATAGACTTTTTTAGGTCACTTGTAACCTACCTGAGCAGTAATGACGTAAATTTAACACTTTGATAGTTAATTCATAAACTGAGCCTTTCCTGAGTTTCGGGAACAGGAACGCGTAGGATACTAGCTCTAGTAGTTTTAACCTAATATCCGCATCTAGATTGCTCATGGAATCTTGTCGCTGTGCTAAGATATCGACTTTTTGAGTGACACATTACTGTATAGCGCTTAATTAAGGTAAATAGCTAAGGTACAGCTGAGCTCGGTTGTTACACATAGTACTGGTGATTCACATACATACTAGATGCTATATTTACTGACGTGGTGTCCTGGGTCTGATGTAAACCTTGAAGGCTATAGGTTTTACAAACCAGCAATTCTTGGTAACCCATGGATTCTTGTCACATAGCTCAAACTCAAACTCGTGTAACAAACGGGGAATTAGCTTCGAGATCTCAAGCGTGGAAACATGTCTTCCTATGCAGGTCCGAGAACCAAGGCCGAACTGATAAGGGGTCAGATATCTGTAGCATATCAACTTGCATTTCGTTACTCACAGGCATCCAGTGTCGGTTCATAAGAGAGAGTTTCTCAGCTTCTGTAGTCAACCAGCGTTCTGGTACGAATTCATAAGCATCTTGGCCAAATATGGCAGGGTTATAGTGCTCAACCCAACTGTTAACGCCAATAATTGTCTGGCCTTATTGTTAGTCCAATTCTCACATATGAGGCAAAGATAATACCCACTCCTGCAGGAAAGAACCTGCCGCCAATAGTGGCACCGCTTTCAGGCACCACTCTCTCGAGGGGTAGGCCAGTAGCTGGATGCATTCTTAAAGCCTCTTTGATGACAGCCTGGAGGTAAGGACGACCAAGACTGTCCTGAAACCCGATGCCATTTGACGGGATAGTCTGCTCCGAGAACGATTGGTCAATCTCGTTTCGAAGCTTGGCCATCTTATCTGGGCTGCGCAGCAAATGGTAGAGAACGGCACTGAGGCTGATTGCTGTGGTGTCGGAACCTGCAACCATGTTGGACACGCAGCCTGCAAGGATGTGATAATTTGTGAAGGTGGAGTCTGCTGCTGTATACTACAGTGCTCTGGTACCCAGTGTGGTACGCGCGGCACTTCAATCTCGGGATAGCCCCACAACGCATAAAACTCAATCGTGAACCCTTGGACCACATTTCTCCTGATCAGTCTGGGATTCTTCCCTGTTCGGCTAAACACGCATATATTCTTAGAAATGAGCCATTTTCGCCAGGCGGTCTATCTAGGGTGATCCAAGGATCAAGACCATAGCCACAAGGCATTTAGTGACGTACATTAGAAGCAGCTAGTGCTACTACTGCGGAAATAACATGGCGTTGTCATGTCGTCAGTTGGAATGACTGCTTTCGAGCTTTACTTGTAACGCTGATCCATCCAGACGCGTACTCCCTCAGTAGATGAAAATGACGCGTCATTAGAAAGCTATGTCTATACCATGAAAGGGTTACACATTTATCACGGGATTTCTTTATGCCAATATCTATAAAACTACATGCCCCCCGCCACAAATTTTATATCCGATATCTTTGGTAATAACCTCTTCGAATTTGACTTACTTGACCTTACTACAAATCATCGTCTCTACATTATGCATGCATACCTAGCTATTTCCATCGTCATCGGGCTACTTGGTTCACCTACAAGGGCAGCGTTGTATGAAAGCGTCATACACACCCCCAACGGGCCTGTTCAAGGTTATCCAGCCTTCAACAGTAGTGCCGCGAGTCTGAACCTCACCAATTGGCAGAAAGTAGCCGTCTGGTAAGCACTTAATAGCATGCAATTTGGACTAGGTACTGACACTTGCCACGCAGGAAAGGTATTCCCTTTGCCGCTGATACATCAGGTGAAAACCGCTTCCGGCCTCCGCAGAGTGTCACTGCTTGGAACACAACTCTGGATGCCAAGGCCTACGGCTATTCTTGTCCATCGTCTGGCACCAGGTATGCCACAATCGGTGAAGACTGCTTGAACGTCAACGTATGGAGCGCAGCAAATTCAGCAGATGACAGGCTTCCTGTCGTTATGTGGAGCTATCCTGCCGGGGGCTCCAATGCTGATCCCCGTTTTGACGGCGGAGGAATGGCTGACAAGGGTGTCGTATTTGTCAATTACAACTATCGTACTGGCCCAACCGGTTGGCTTGTATCCCCCGAGTTGACAGAGGAGAATCTGGTCGCTAGCGGCCTAAACAGCTCAGGAAATTGGGGTATGCTGGATCAGTTCGCTGCTCTGCAGTGGGTACGAAACAACATCGCGTCTTTTGGCGGTGACCCAGAACATATTACCGTGATGGGTCAATCGGCTGGTTCCGCTGCGACCTATCATATCCTGAACAGTCCACTGACCAAAGGGCAAATCGTCGGCGCCATCATTCAAAGCGGTCTTCGTGACCCCCATGATCCATCTGCTACCGAGCTGGCTGAAGGTTACCAGACCTACGACGTCGCTGAGAAGTACGGCGTGTCCTTCATGCATAGTGTGAACTGCACTACTATTAGTTGCATGCGCACCTTACCAATGAAAACTCTCGACACGTCTGAGTTTGGTGGTACATCTGGCCCGTCCTTCAAGGGAACTCTCGACTATTACTGCATGCCGGATACGTATTTGAATACACTCAAGCTTGGACTATCTCATGATGTTCCAATTTTGACCGGCAATACAAAGGACGAAAGTGGGGCCTCCTACGGGTTGAACATCACACTCGAGGAATACCTCTCAACCTTGAACAGCACTTATTCAAGTGAATTTGTGGACAAGTTCTTCAACGCGTACCCGGCCAACGACTCTGTCACTGCTTCCGCTGCCCAAAATGCACAATACACGGATCGTTCCACAATCGGCACGCAGTTCTGGGCCAACTATTGGCTAAGTAACAGAACCAGCCCCGTGTGGACCTATCTTTGGGACCACGCTCCTCCAGGACAAGATGCTGGCGCTGCCCACATGACGGAAATCCAGTACACGCAAAATAACCTCTATAATGTATATTATGGCGAGTGGGAAGAAGCGGACTATGAGATCGCTGAAAACATGAGCAATTACTGGGTCAACTTTATCAAATACGGCAACCCCAATGGTGATGGGTTAGGTCACTGGGACAATGTCAACACCAACACAACAACAACCCAAGAGCTTGGTGACAGATGGGGCCCCAGAATTGTTGCACATGAGACCCAGATTTCTCTTTTCAGGTCGTGGTTTGCTTCCTTGGTGGCTATTTAGCTTGATAACCGAGCTAATAAACTTGGTGATTATGTAAAGATGGCCTGCGGGCGCTGGTGGACTTTCAAGCAATTAGAGACTCGAAACTCCCTGTTTTCTCTCTTCGATCTCTGAAGTAGCTTGGTACTTTTCGGAAGTGTCAAGCAAAATCATACTGCGATGATGGTGGGCGCTTGTTCCGATTCTGCGCTCGCTCACGATTAGTCGGCTTGTAGATGTAGCATAATGGCCTGTTTGTAGCGTCCAAGTTGAAAACGGTTCAGCTTTGGTCTTTACTACTTAATGGCCCTTTGAGAACACGGGTTTAGATCAGTGTATTAAATTGCTACTTTTACCTAAATTCAGCTCGTCCTATACCTAGACTAATTCTAACTGCGAGTTATGAAAGGAAGTGATACGTTTTAGTGAGTTCTTAAGGGTTGTGTGCGTTATCAAGAAGACGCTAAGCTTCATAGAGGCGTATAGCTCTATGGCATTTACCGCAAGAGTGGTTGTAACATAAGACCTTATCGTAGAGGCTAAAGATATATAGATAGGACATAGAATCCTGCTTTTTGAGGCCTAATTAATTCTAGTTTCAGACAGGTGCCAGTGAGTAGAAGTCATGATGTATATGAAGGAGGCTCTATTAAGGATTGAAAGAAAATAGTGGGCGGTAGAGAAGAAGGCATCGATCAACGTACGACACTGTGACTAGCTTACTGGGTTATCGGAATCCTTAGTATTTCCTCTGCTTCTCTAAGTATTGTTTGCTCCACTTGTATTAAATGCAGGATTGTAAAGGGTAGACAAAAGATCGCCTGCCTCAAAGTCGTGGTGATCTTCTTCTCCGGTCCGCCGAACATGGGAAAAGATGGCAACAGATAAGTAACTCCCACAGCACTCAACATCTCTTGTTTTCTGTTCATACTTGAGACTTGCTGCTCTCTGATAGGCCACGACGAGGCACTGGTTAGTGTAGGGAACGCCTTTATTACGCCAGAATGTTAGGGGTTGAAAAGAGGCGCAGAAGCATCTGATGTGATGATCACTGGACTGTTACTCGGTGCTTTGGCCGTTGCCTTTTCGTCAGTCTCCACAAGACCAGTGAGACTTTTGACCCTCTCCTCCAATTTACGAACATAGCTTTAATGGCGTGTGGATCAAGAATGATAGCCACATGGAGACTGATTACGTGCCCTGATGTCATGCGCATACGCGATATGCTGACTGTTGTAAACGCTTTAACATTGCGACCTTGCGCTAGTTAGTGTCTGATAGTTGGAGTTGACGATGGGTCATTCGAGCTCGAGTCAACTCAGACAGTACGAGAAGGGATAACATTCGTCGCACCTGTACTTCTTTGTCCGACACAAGTCGTATGGACGGGCAGCTCGAGGCCGTCGTGGACGTTGACCTGCAGGCTGTTTCGTCGGGAGGATACTGGAATCGGTTGGCTGGTCTGTTCTGTGTAGAGCAGTATAACAATGAGGGATCGCTAATGTTGGATGTGTTTCCAAGACCCGAAGACAAGCTCGGTGTAATCAACGTCCCCCAGCAGTTTTCAAAAAGTAGTAGAATTATGCGGGGTAGCACGATCTCCTTAGTAGATCTGGGGTAGCGTCAAGGCCACGTCCGGCTAGACTCGTGGATCACGGAAAATCCGGGGCTGATCCCTAAAGTCTCGGCTTTTCCGGCCGGCATTGATGCTGTGCTGTGTTGTGGAAGCAGGTGGGTCAATGCACCATACATAGAGGAACCCGCCCCAAGGATGGCTCGGCTTTTCCGCAGGCGCCATCTTTCACCACTATCACCATCCTGAAAAGTCGCCCGGACGATTCCCTTCGGCATTGAATAACGGAGTAATTATCCAGGAGGTTCAAGATGAGGTTTAATGTTGTCTTGAAGCCTGGTGGCTTCTATGCAATAAAGAAAAGATTCCCAGCTAGCCAAATTACCGACAAAAATATTAACAATGAGATGTTTACAATGACACAAGAATAGCAACAATGGCATTCGTTGACATTAGTAGCAGTAGCATTAAAGTCGGATTCGAGTCATTCCATACACGGTCTTCCTGCAACGGGGACGGTTCTAATTTGCCGGGAAAGATAATTTACTACCTTGCAATATCTAAGTCCACTGTTGTGTGATTGTGTGCGCACTAAAATTTGTTTTTATCTAGTTTATCCTAAAATCTCAACTGAGACCTCTGTTCCGTCGCCCTGTATTGAACCTTCAGTTGCAAGTGTCCAACCGTTCGGGGCCTCCACCACAGCCGTGGTGCCCTCAGGTACCAATACCTTGATCACACCAGTCTTCTTCGGCTCATCTATATACAGACAAACCCTCACATTTCCTTGAGGCGTTTCAAGCGAGTATTCTACCATATCTAGACCTGCGAGAACTGGTGCCACTCCGATCTTCTTCCAGCCCGCTTCAAGCGGATAGAGCCCTGCAAGATATCGAGGCAAGAGGAAGACTGGCCATGTAGACCATCCGTGAGCCAGCGAGACATCGTGATTGAAAGGTGTGCCATCGGTCTTGATCGCCTCCCAATGAGCTCCAGAGTAGTTGGGGTTGTCTTGGTTTGCCATTGCCCCCCATACTTTAAAAAGCAGATCTTTCGCCCTCTCTCCCTCGTTCTTGGCAAACAAGGCTTCTAGAGCAAATCCAGACGCATATGGACTCGCCAAGCCGAATTTGTTCCATTTATCGACGCCCCGGAATACTGGAGGGAGGGAACCATCAGATGGGAAGATATTTTTGGCTGTCCGTGAATCGTGTGGTGAGACGCCTAGAGTGGCTGCGTAGGCATTGACGTCTTGAAAAACCCCATCGGCCTCAAGAGAGAGCGCTGGGCGCATTGTGCCGCGTTCACCATTCCAAAGAAGGCGGATTATCGTCTCTCTCAGAGACGTAGCGTGGGATAAATACATCGATTCTGTTTCTCTGTCTGATGACATCAGTGCCATGCCGTTGAGGGCGTCAAGGTAGGCAAGGTTCAAGCCTGTGGAGACGCCAAAGATGGGACCTCCCATGGGAAACCAAGTCACTACATTCAATCAGTAAGGCATTCCCGGCTTTAGTCAAGTGGGGAGGAACATACTCGAAAGATATGGTGGTGCGTCCACGAGTCCATCACTGTTCAAAAATCTCCTGGTGAAGTCTATTTGGCGCTGCAGTTGATGGAAGACTTTATCCACGAGGGCTCGATCACCTGAGTGCATCCAGTGGTCTTTGATTGATACCACCAGTAGAAAGGCATAAGTCAGAGAGTAGTGTCCGTAGTACGGTGGCTCGTCAGGTCCCGTGTGTTCCGGGGCCTGTATCGGACACAGATTGCCAAGATAGCCATCCTTATTCTGATGGCTGAGCAAGAGTTCAATAGAGCCTTTCCAAGCATCGATGTTGGCGGTAGAGTGGGCAAGAGAGCGGCCAGTAACGAACACATCGCCGCCGAAGCAGGCTCTGTCTCGTTTGGCCCCGTCTATGATGCAAGGAAGCTTGTTTGTTCCCACTTGGAAGTCAGCGAAAGTTCGCTCAGCGTCTCTGGGTAACATGGAGTTCTGGTATAGCGTCTGGCCATCGAGGCTTTCGACTAAGAGATCTCGATAGAGAGTGGTCCATCCAGGCGGCCCTCCCAACGCAACTGAACCAATATTGTCGAGTCTGTCACCTAGCATCGCTTTGACATGGATACCTGTGACGGTAGCCACTTCTTGACCTTGTATGGTGACACTTAAACTGTCGTTGAATGCGACAGTCTCAACAGTGAACCACCCCGACAAATCCAGGGCGTCTGGTAACTCCCATGATCCGCGTTCAATCGAAGGTATAATGCATGATTGGCTTGCCAGTCCTTCCACAGCTGACAACCTTCGACTTCGCGTGTCCAAACAGAAGATTAGACCGTTCGTAATCATACGAACCGCCCAACTGGTTCCGCATTCTTCGACCTTTGCTTGAAACGTCACTTTCTTGTTGGACCACCGCGTTCCCTGTCGGCAAGGGGCCCAGTGGCCTGCAAAGACACGTGTCCCCTCATCAACAACCTCCCAGGCTGGCACAGTCTCTTCGCGCTCGACAGTGCACATATCAACCGTGCGCACACCATCGCTCCAGATGCGGTTGATCGTTTCATCGCTGCAATGGAACTTGGCTTTCAATGTAGCTTGTGGTCGTACTGCATGGAAAGCGACTCGTGAAAACACAAGGCTTGTGTTAGGTTCAATCAGCGTGATCTTCTGATATCTCTGGGAGGCTTGAATAAACCGAGACTTTACAGTCTGCCTGTGCTGAGAAACACTGGCATGGTGAGTGCACACCCTGTAGCAATCCATAGCATTAGAGAACAAGAAAAAGGGCCCGTCGCCTATCACGCAAGGCTAGCGTTAGCGATCAGCGAGCAAATGAGTGGTATCCACAAAGGTCTAAGCTTACCTTGCTCATGATCAATTCCTTCAATAGTCTCGCTATAAGTGACCTTAAACGTGACCTCTGACTGGCCGTCAGGTGCCGAGACGGAAGTGATGTCAAAGACAGGAAATCCGCCCTCACATCGCCCGTAGTCCAAGACTAACTCGGGAGTAGGTTCGGATTCCTCATAGATCAAGGTAAGATGGGATAGGTCCTTTCCGACTTGGACTTTCCCAGAAGTTCGCAACACCCGGATTGGGCTGACAAACATGGGATCGCTTTCAGAGTATGATGACGAGGGCTGCATATTGTTGTTGATTCAACACAGATGTAATGAGTCTATTCTTCAAGCCACAAACTCATCATGTTTTAAGAAAGACTCATGGGATAGAAAGCTAAGAGAATCTCGGTCTACAATGTCACGATCGCTCCAATAATACCCCGACATCCGAGGGTAGTCGGGATATCCGACTTTTCCTTAGATTGCGGGGTTCCCGCAAAGATGAGCCACGAGTTCTGGGGAAGATACGCTAACGTTAGTGGATTTACAGACACACACACTAAAGGGGAACCGTTTTGAGTTACTCTTTTTCATGATAAAGAGGACAATTCCTTCTGCTACTTGCCTGCACTGCATCTCAACATCCACCAAGACTTCAGTGGACTCTATTCAACATAACCACCTTTATTTCTTTCTTTCCAACGATGGCCCATCATCAAGATTTGGACAATGATGCTAGGCTTGAGAAGGCCGAGGTGACCTATGCTGAGGATGTTGTTGCTACACAGGATCACCAGACCAGCACTTGGGAATGTGCTCGCAAGAACCCAAAGGCTGTCATGTGGGCGCTTTATGCCAATTGTATGTACCTCTTCCTCCACTGACCTAGAGTGATGGGTATTAACGTGAAACAGTGGGTGCTACCCTCGTCGGTTACGAGAACCTCGCCCTGGCCGTATGCCTGGCGTTGCCTGCTTTCCAGTAAGACACCCAACTTTCCCAAAATTCCGCCAGCAACTAACCATGTATCCAGGATGAAGTTCGCAAGCGAAGTCGACGGACATCTCATCATCCCAGCCTACTGGCAGTCACTATGGAACGCGACCTATAACATCATGCAACTCTTCGGCTCTCTCACAGCTGGCTTCATGCAAGACAGACTAGGCCGACGAGCTGTTTTCCTTCTTGGAATCATCACTGTCTCTGGTGGTATCGCCTTGGCCTTTCTTGCTGAAACATCGGCACAATTCATGGGGGCCAAGATCATATCAGGCTTTGCTGTGGGTGCGTTCCAGTCGACGACCCAGACTTACGTGTCTGAGATTGCGCCCCTTCCTCTACGTGGCATTGCATTGTCCCTGAATATCCTCATGATGGTCAGTAATACCGCTGTTCCAGACCCTTCATCGTTCATCTACTAACCATACATATAGAACGTCGGGTTCCTTATTGCAATTTTCACGACCTACTCTCGAATCACCATCATGGACGAATCAGCATTCCGGGTCGTCTTTGCTGCTGCATGGGTGTTCCCTGGCGTTCTTGCCCTTGGTCTTCCATTCCTCCCCCAATCACCATACTACCTCGTGATGAAGAATAAGCGCGATGAGGCCTTGAAGCATATGGCAAAGCTCTACTCCAAGGACGAAGACCTTGACGCCCGTCTGCGACATATGGAAGAGACCATTCAGGCTGAGCGTCTCATCTCTTGCGAAAAGGCCACTTTCCTGGAGTGTTTCAAGGGCAGCAACTGGCGTCGTACGCGCATCATCTTGATTTGCATGTATATGCCACAGATTGTAGGATCCAGCTTATCCTCCAACGCTCCCTATTTCCTTAGTCAAACAGGTCTCAGCAGTGGCTTGATCGTCAAGCTCATGCAGATTGGTCTTGGCGTATCGATCTTGTCATCAGTCGTCAACATTTACATGATGACTCTTTTCCGACATCGACCGCTGATGTTCTTTGGAATGACTATCTGCGCCCTCATCTATCTGATCATGGGTGTCGCTGCTTCTTGCCCTCAGTCTAACAAGACTCTGCTTGCAATTGGCATTGTCATGCAGTTCACATGCCTGTCTTATGGTCCAGCCATTGGTTCGAGTCTTGCCGTGGCGGGCGAGGTGTCTGCTTCCAGATTGCGAGCCAAGTCACAGGGAATTGCCTTTGGGTTCCAGGCTATTACCAGCACAGTCTGGGTGACTGTCCTACCCTATATGTTCAACAAGGACGAGGGAAACATGGGGGGTCACATTGGCTGGGTCTTCTTTGGCATGACTGTCTTGATGATGGTGGCTGTTTACTTTGATGTTCCTGGAACCAAAGGCAGAACATTCCATGAACTTGACATTATGTTTGAGAAGAAGATCCCTGCTCGTCACTTTGAGGCCTACAAGTCCGACTAACGGCACTCTCCTGGGTCTATCACTTCTCATCACATAGTGTTACCAACAGCGATAGGTTACGTAATTACTTAAGCTCTTCTAGTTCATTTCGAGTTCTTGTTGATTTATTTGACCTTTATTGATGTATTATCAAAACAAGCCTTACCTTATAGCTAGACTTTAGAGTGCCAATTGATGGCCAGCGTGAAGCCAAGCGATTAATATTGATCGCGATAAGTATGCGTACGCAATTAGTCTATTAATATCACTGTGATAAGTATAGTGTGAAATCCTCCTATTTGATAATTGTTCGTAAAAGGTGGGGTGATATTCTCCACTCTAACCATTAAGCAGAGTTTTTTTGTTCGCTTTAACCTTTAACTTAAGCCCTGATCCAACCGATATAAACGTATTACTTTTTAACCGATATAGGTCACCGACTTCCTATTTAGGCCAGAAAGTGGTAAGAAATATATACTTATAAAGAACCGATCTAGGGCTTTATATCTTTATTGCCGTAAACCTATTTAGGAAAGGTTATAAATAAATAAAACTAAAAAATGCCCTATTTATATAAATTTTAGGTGCCTGCTTATTCTGCCGTTTATTCTAAATAAGCGTAGTAGTTCTTAACCGATTTAGGGTACTTCCTTAAAATTCAGTACCCTGCTAAGTATCTTTACCCCGTATCAATTGACCCGTTCGTATCGGTTAGATCAGGGCCTAAGCCCAGGCTTTCCCAATCTCTTAATGATATTAACAATAAAAATACCTTTTTCTATCAAGAAAGGTTTAATCATCACCTTTCTAAACACTTTAACATCATGAGCTGGCGTCCTGATTCCCCCATTGACCTTCCCGGCGGGCGACTGGGCTGCGGCAGTCATGGATTGGTCATATGTGGACAGTGTTGCGTCGACTATAGCTTTATGGACGAAGACGAAGAAAACTCAGCTGACGGGTCTGTGCGACTAACTGCCGACGACGTGCAGCTCTACAGTGGCCAGGCAACTCTTGGCGAAAAGCTTCTCTCGCGAGGCGTTGGAGCTGTCATGCCAAAACTCTTCTCCGCATCTTCTTCCGATACACCCCAGAGTTTATTCCCTGCACGAGTTTCGCGAAGCGCCATTCCGAATGTCGCACGGTTCATCCATCGCCGGGAAAAAGAAACGTTCCTCATTTATACAGACGGTGCGTGCCTTGATAACGGACAAGCCAATGCCAAAGCTGGATGGGCCTGTGTCTTCCGACCTGGAGACGGAGGGGTTACAGGCCGTCTCGAAAACCACGGCCCGTTCGGAGATTCTGCTCCTCAAACCAGTAATAGAGCTGAACTCAGAGCCGTTATCGGCGCTCTACGGTTTCGTTACTAGGTTGGTGAGGGCTTCAGTACTTTGGTCATTGCCACCGACTCGGAGTATGTCGTCAAGGGTGCGACGGAGTGGGTTTCGGGCTGGATTCGTAAGAGCTGGAAGACAGCTAAGGGTGCTGGCGTTAAGAATAGGGATTTGTGGGAAGCTTTTCTGGGTGAGGTGGAACATTGGGACGATCGCGGGTTGAAGATTCAGCTTTGGAAGATTCCGCGTGAGATAAACGCTCAGGCTGATAAGTTGGCTAAGGAGGCAGCCCAGGGTAACGATATCGATGAGTTTCGGGATATAAAGGGCGTTCTTGTTTAGGGTCCTTTATATCTGTAGTGTAGCAATGGTGGCGGCGGCGTGTCAATTCTTTGAGTTATGTCTGAGCTTGATGCTGTGGTTCAGAAAGAATATTTAATATCTTACAGGAAGACTTTTAGCAAGGTCATCGAGAATTTCTAGCTTAAAATGTCAGTGCATGTTCACCAATACACATCGCTGGATTATTGCTATATGATCTTAACCTTGGTATATATCTTTGATGTCTTAATTAAATAGTATCCTAACTCGCATTTCACTCCTCAATCCAGATGGAGCGAAGTGTGAAATTCCAGATGAGATAAAGACTCTGACCCCCAAAAGCTAGTGTTTAGCCTTTCGAGGTTTGTGATGTTCCGTGAATAGTATCCGCATCGCAATAGGTATGACCTGGTCAAACACATGTCGGTACAGCTCCGTAATAGCACTCAATGACCTAGGGATCACATCACCGAGCCCAGAGAACACCTTCGGGATAGAACGCATGGGTGGTTCAGTGCGACCAGTATCAACGCGCTCGAGATCTGATTAGTCTACTAATAGGTAGGCAAGGGGCATATGCTCACCTCGAAAGACATGTTAGTTAAGAAGCCATTTGATAAAGGGAGAGGGCTAAGCAGCCTTCTTATCATTCCCACGGCCATTGAGCTTAAAACATGTGTTTTCTATTGGATTCAGACCGCCTCGCAACTAGGATAGGGTAGGCTCACGTATAACCTCTAACGTACTAGTGCTCGGTACAATACTTTCGCTGGCTTTTATGGCTAGGTTCAGTCATCTTGAACTATTCCCACTTCATTTCATCTCGTCAAGAACCGTTCCGTAATCACATCCAAGCAATCGTCATTTCTTAGCATACCTCGGAATGATACTGCAACTGGTCTCCAGAACTGTTGAAACAAGCAGTAATGCCAAAGTTGTTAATGTCCCTTGCATTATAAAGTAGCTCAATAAGCACAACTTTACAAACTAGTGAACCTTGTCTCCCTCCCTATTGTGTCATTTACAGGGCCTAACTGTTACTAACGTCTCCTGTGGGATAAGAAACAGCCAAGTCTAGGGTTCTATCCTAGTTCCACAGGCCTTAGACCCGCGAATTTCTTCCCCGTGCTAGTGTCTGTGCGCTCCGATCGTTCATGACTTACTCGAAATCCAGTAACTCGGAACGGGCCCATAATTGAAATTGTGAGACGACCCGCTTTCCATCTTGATTCGCTGCTTGTAAGCCTAACAGCCACTGGCTCCCTGACTAACAAACCTAATCACTCTACTTTTAAAGTCACATGGCTGTTTCCGGCTACCGATTGCTCTAGCTGACGGCAGCATGTTCCGATCGTTTAGAGTACCTAACTTGGGACGAACTGGCGTCAAGTAAGTAGCCCCCAATTTACTGACCTGATCTGGCTTGATTCTCGACTCTTTAGCCCTTCAGCTCTTTAGCCACTTTCTCGCTTCTGTTGTGTTTTCTCCTGACTTAAATCTCTACCAAGCCGCTCTTCTACAGCTTGGTGAGTGCTCCATTCTATGCTTGTTATTACCCTTCATGCAAGACGTCTCTAGCCATGGCTACTTCACAACATACCTCCGAATCCATTGGTGCGGTCGCCATAGCTGTTATGGCGACCCTGTCGTCGATCTCTCTTATTGTGGTATCCATGCGAATGTACGCCCGGGCCATCATGCTGAGAAACTTTGGCGTCGACGACGCATGTGCGATCCTTGCTTGCGTGGGTGTCACATTCAATATTGAGAAATCTCCTTCCTAATGACAAACAGTTGTTAACGATCGCTGATGCTACTATTATCGCAACAAGTAAAGCGACCCTATTGAAGTAACCTCTTATTTTATAGCTTACTGACATTCTCTAGATGTTAGAAATGGCCTTGGCTCTCATATTTCTACACTTTCCGGCGAACAGATTAGTAATTTCTTGAGGGTAAGCTTTACTGATACCCAATTAGCAACCTAGCTAAAAACAAACCAGATGTTTTACTTTTCAACCGTCGTCTATAACATCTCCCTTGCAGTCATCAAGACAATCTTTCTCCTCCAGTACTACCGAGTGATACCCATACGTCAGTATAAGAAGACATACATTGCATCCGTTGTCCTTGTCACTTGCTGGAATCTTTCCCAAATCTTTCTCAATATTTTTATGTGCGTGCCTATTGCATCTTTCTGGGATGTCACAATCAAGGGCACTTGTATTCTCAACAAATCTTCATTTTATGTTGGCGCGGCGGGCAATATTTTGACCGACATCTTGATCATGGTCCTTCCGATTCCCGTTCTTCGTAGTTTGAAGCTCGGTCGGCGACAGAAGTGGATTCTTATGTCCGTCTTTTGCCTTGGCATATTGTGAGTTTCTTTATATATCTGAGCCTGTCTTGTACAACTAACACGAAATAGTACGTGCCTTATCTCACTCGTTCGTATCAAGTTCCTCAACATTGGCACAGATATCACATGGCACAATGTCGACTCAGCCTCTTGGTCAGTCAGCGAGTTGTGCTGTGGTATCATCTGCGCTTGTATCCCAACTCTTCGGCCTCTGCTATCTGGCGGTGACCGCGGTTCTAGCTATGACCAATCCTCGTATGCAAGACATCAAGACTCTGAGAATAAAACCACGGCTCGCCAAACGGGTACTTCCCGGAGCTATCAAATGCATGATCTGCCCAGGACGCTTCATTCGTCTGAGAGTAAGGATCAGTTACGTCCCTTGGAGTCAATAGTTGTAGTGCCTACCGATGTCAAGCAAAACAGAAGCCGGTCGCAGCCTGGACATGGTCCAGGAACACACCATGTGGTAATACAAGGAAAAGACGAACGAAGACATAGCTTGTCCAGTGACTCTGAGGATCCCTTTTCCATGCACCAGGTAGTTTGAGATAGTATGATGAAATAATTGAATAGTACATTAATATTCTTTATAAAGATTTTAACGTCTTCTTATTGAAAGAAATGCTATATTGTTCCATTCCAATCACTCATTGGTTATATGAGGTCAACCCAGTTAGTGGGCATGAATTCCACCACTCAACCTCTATAAAACGGTAGTATAGTGCGACCGCCTTGCCGCCGTTTTTGAACACTAATAAAAGGTATTTAAGAAAAGAATACGTAGGTTTTCAGCCCGTGAAAAGTAAGATATAGTTAGTAAGGGTCTCATTAGAATACAAACAGTATTTCCCGTATTATAAATATATAGTGAAATTATTACTAAAAGAAAGCCTACCCTCTAATTTCTCGCAGATTGTCATGTTCAATATTACTTTTGTGGTTTCTCTATGCTTCCAGCCTTTTTAACTCTTGTTAAGTATCTCTTTCAGTAAACTCCTCACAGTAGCTACAGGTACTTTATAAGCTGCCGCATCTCATCTACAGCTTCTAGCCCCCTGTAGAATTCGCTTACAGCCTCTGCGTCGCGCATTCCAACGCTCTTACATCCCTCAGTGAACTTCTTCTGCAGCTTTGTATCGCTTAATGGATTTCCACGGCTGCCAATCGCATGCTTGACGTAGTTCGTGAGAACCTCTCCATTTTCAAACGTAACTCTGACTTTTACTGAGTCTGATGCGATGCTTGTGTCGATCTTTGCTGTGATGCGATCCCGAATGGCAATAACGGCGGGATCGAGTACAACATTGTCTTCATACTCTAAAGCTATGGTTCTACCAAAGAGTATGCCGCACGCGCCACTATGGTAGACGCTGAACTTGGCCTCTAAGCCATCTTTGGGCATCTTTTTCCCGGTAAGTTCGAGGACAAGAGGGTGGACTTGTAACGTAACCGATTCAATATGCACTGGGAAATGTCCCTCCCTGATCAGTTCCTCGTGTAGTTGTATGCAAGCGTCGATGACAGGGTGGGTAACAATCCCGCAGGGGAATGGCTTGAAGCTATTCCGCAGAATCTCCCAGCGACCTATATTGTGAAGGGGTCAAGGCTTTAAAAGTCACTGGGGTACACCTCTCTATCTCCTTCCACCAATATAATAATATGACTCTTGGTAATGCGCTACTATGTCTCATTCACAAATCGAATGGGTAAGCCTGAGACCTGCTCGTCGCCATCCTCGAGGTCTCGTAGCTTGTCTTCAATGCAAGAGCCGCAATTGCAATGGTGGCGGCGTTGCGTAGGAGCTAGATGATTGATATTAATTGCGGCGCAAATCTGTCACATCGGTCGATACATTCTTCAATTTGAAAGGCTAGTATTTTGATTGGTCAGTAATTCCGCGTCTGCTAGCTATCGATCGGCTAGAAAATCCGATGTGATTTTGCTCACGCTCTGATAGGTTGGTTTCGCCGTCGACGTGTCCATACAAACGATTTGCGCGCAGGACAGAGTCGTGGCCTGGCGTATAAATAATGGAAGCTCTCCAGGTGAAAGCCCTATCAAATCCCATCTTCTTCAGAACCATGCAAACAAGTAAAGCGTTCAATCATGCTGGACTCTGTAGACTGAACACCTTGGTCGTCAAACCCACGACAGTGAGCGGTTCCATCATGCGGCTCAGACATCGCCACGATTTTGCACAGGTTTCTGCCAACCGGCCCGACTTCGATCGCTCAGCACCAATTGCGGTTACAAAATCGCCAGACTCGACTTGGCGATATGGCCAGGGCTTGCGTGTTGACCCGTCCAGTGTGGATCTAGTGCATAGAGAAATTGATCCCGATGCACCAAGTCGTGAGAAGTCAGATAATTACAACCTGCTCATCAGTGGCATTGCACCCCGGCCTATTGGATTTATCAGCACGAAATCAAAGGACGGCAAGTCAAAGAACTTAGCACCGTTTAGCTATTTCCAGGTGGTTGATCATGATCCTCCTCTATTTATCGTGGGGATTGGAGCTCGATCAGAAAAGCTCAAGGATACTTTACTCAATTTGAAGGAGAGTGGCGAATGTGTCATCAATACTGTTTCCGAAAACATGATTGAGGCTGTCAATGCAACTTCACTCGACGTCCCCTACGGTGTGTCAGAGTGGGATGTTTCCGGTCTTCACGAGGCACCAACAACCACAGTCAAACCATCCAGGGTCCAAGAATCCGTATTCTCGATAGAGGGGAAAGTAGTAGACATCAGAGAGTTTACTGAATTTGCGAAGCCGGGATTGATGCCGAGCGCGGTTGTGTTTATTCGGGGCACCAGATTCTGGGTTAGGGAGGATGCAATCAACGACAAGTCAAATCATATTGACCTTGACAAGCTGCGACCTTTGGGTCAGCTCGGAGGTATGGCATACGGGCGGATCACGTCTGTTTTTGACGTCCCAAGGAAGACGTGGAAAGATGAAAAGGTTGAGAGCGGGGTTCTGAATAGTCCGGGTCACGATCACCAAGAGGCGTCAAGCTAGACGGGAGGAGAAAAAAAATGTTTAGATGTCTGAATAGACCATAGAGTGGAAGCCAGGTTACAAGATTATTGATCACCCTACTCTCACTATGACAGCCATATGATATGTACAGTAAATGATGATCAGCGGCTCGAATGTAATTGATGTTTGCGACACTTTGCTCATTAGAATTTACATAAAAAACCCGCCGTCTCCATTCGTTTCGCCGAGAAGAAATTCCAATGTAAAATCGTCAAACAGAGACAAACCGTCTAGAATGGCACCACCATTCACTTGTGGGGTCTGATCATCTGCCAGCGGATCTAGAGTTATTGTAGGGTTGCTGAACTGAGAGTTGACAAATCCGGATTCAACTTCACCAGGAACTTGGTGTTCCATGTTACTCCAATCTAGCGTCGTCTGTCTTGCCTGGGGGTTCCAAGTTGTTTTAGAAATCGATGCCTCTCTGGACTGCTCCCCGAGATCTGCCGCACCCTGAGGAGCTGATGCGCTCGGTCTGGTCTTTCCGTTGCCACCCCGTTCTAGCCTGGCGAGTCGCTCTTCAAACAACTGCAACAAACTATGTGCGAAACGCCAGCACGCCGATAATCCCCGGAGAGAACACAAGAGGCTTTTCGAAAGACGGCGCGACTTGACCGCTGTAAGTGGCTTATGAGAACCAAACCCATCCATAGCGTAGATTATAGCCGTGAATAAGACGTGATTGCTATAAAACCACATTGAGGGAAGAGACTCTTGGGAAAGTAAGGTTTCGAAAATTGAACTAATTTCGGCTATCGCATCTCCGCAGAGAACGGGATCGTCATGAGGTCCAATCGTGCGCAGGCTTGGCGCGGGTCGATGAAGAAGAAGAATAAAATTGTTATACGTGAGGTGCAGAGTAGCTTGCCGGTTATTAAGATTTGAATGCCTTAGATGCATATGTACAGGGAGCTGAAGCATAAACTCGGCTAAGGCTTTGTCTGCCTCTTGAATAGCCTCTATTCGACTTTCAACTGAGGAGCGCAGTGCCCATCCTTTCCTTATTGTCCGGGAGATTATGGTACAAAGCTTGGATTGATGGATCGCAAAATCGGCATCTGCTCTGGGTGTGCCTTCGAAATGGGAATGTTGCAGCTCTGGTACATCGGAGTCCTCCAAGTTCCTGTCAATATTAGCGGTTTGAATCTACCAGCCGTGTGTATATCTTACATGACTTGCGGTCGGCCAGAGGATGCTGAGGCAATAGTGTCGAATTGGAACAAAACCCACCACAGCCGTGTGTAAGTGCGCTTGTAGACCGGCTGCATGTTAGAATTGGTGACGTCTCGATGCATACCCAAGGCTATAGCTGTCCTTGTAGCAAACCCGATCCAGTGCCAGGCATTAGCCACGATTTCTTCGAGGCCGTCCGAATACCACGTCAGCAGGAGAGCTACTTGAACATATACAACACGATCCTGCTCATGTCGGCATTCCACCAAGGTCTTCGCCCTGTGGAAGAACATCGACTGTAACGATTTCATGCCAGGTCTATGCGATGCTAAAACATGAGCCCCAACAAGACAGACTGCATTCAAGAGCGCTAGGGGCGGAGGACCTTGAGGATCTTTGTGTTCGTACTGAGCCATGAACCATTCCTCATCGATGATAGGCCAGCAACAGTTAATGTGGTCAAAATATGTCTGTACCAAAGTATCCGCCAGCTTTTTATCTGGAAGCTCAAGGATATCGGGCACTACACGGTGCAAGTCGTATGAAGTGTCTTTATGATGAAACTGTCTTGTACCAAGATGATATGTTCCATTGCTGCCAGTATTGGGAGACTTCTGGCGAACAAGGTAGTGGCAATTGGAAAGGTCGTTTCCAATGAAACAAGACCGAGTCTTTCGATTCAGCTCTGGTCTTCGGGCATCTTCACGGTTGAACAAATCAGCTAAATTGCCAGAGTCGAGTTCCTGTTCTTCTGCTGAGTTTTGAACAACTGGAATTGGCGATGCCGTGCGGGCTGAAGCAGTTCCGGAGTCGGGAACCGGTCCGGGTGATGCTTCCCGAGGACGAATGAGAGCAGGACCATTTGAACGTGCTATACTTTCTCTGACCTTCTTCTTCGGAAATATGCGACATCCTGACAGGTTTCGGGAGCTGCAATAGGTGCATGGAACACCTTTGTCAAGAATATCACAGCGAATCTTTCGTTGATGACAACTGACGCATGCTCGTCCGTCTGATTAGAAATGTTAGCGGGAGACGTTCCGAAGAAGCAAAACCCAGTAGGTCTTGCAAGGATTGAGAAAACAGAAAGTATGTACTTAGTTTTTGCCCACGACCGGACGACGGGGATTCTAAAGATCGGGAGCTTTTCCGAGTCATATTCCTCATCGGTATAGTTATGCTGTGGAAGGGTGCGTGAAAGTAAAGGGTTTAAGAAAATTTACCTAGGATAGGTAAGTGACGGAGGAATGAGAGGAGAGACGGAGAGATGAACGAATGAGCACAGGCTTCGGAAGATGCGGGTCTGTCCCGGCAAAATTGGCGAATCAGAAGGTGGTTACGACGGTAGCTCACTAGCCTCCACGATAAACCTTTGCTCAGTATAAGAAGTTCGGCTGCTCTACACATAGAACCTAAGATCCATTGCCCAGGGATTATGAACTGGAATTCAGTAAAAACTCGATCTCGTGTCGAAATTATACAAAAATCAGGCTCAATGGCCGAGGCTACGAACGAAACTCTTGACGCGCAGTTAAGAAAACCAACAGGAGATGTCTTAACTGCTTCAAGAGAAGTAGACAGTATTACAAGTCTGGCGCCCGCCACGGCAAAACTATCAAAGGTTCGTGGGAAGAGGTGGAAATGCTGCCCAAAAACTAAATTCTGGACTATTTCAGCTTCGCAAAGCCCATGTCCTGCTTACAGGACTTGGCTGCTGTTTTAACAGTAGCCTCGGCACTTCAATACCCTCCGGAGCCAGCGCTGTCATATCGGAACATTTTAACGTCCACAGCAAGTCCCAGCTTACTTTACTCAATTCCCTTAACATGGCTGGATTCGTTCTTGGGCCATTATTGTTTGGACCTTTAAGCGAATATGTCGGACGTAGGCCTGTGATGATCGTATCATTCATCGGATATATCATCTTCACTCTAGCCTGTTCAGTGGCGCCTACCTATCCGTCGCTATTAGTGTTTCGTTTGTTAACTAGTATCAACGCTGCAGCTCCGGTGACAGTAACAAGCGGGCTATTTGCGGACATCCTCAATAACCCATCGCAGCGTGGAGTTGCCATCACCTTATTCATAGCCGTCAACACGATTGGAGCCCTTTGCGGACCTTTGGTCTCCGGTTTCACATCCCAAATATCTTGGAGGTGGGCATTCTGGGCCGCGTCTTTGATCGCCGCACCTACGTTACCTCTAGTCCTTTTCCTGCCCGAGACGTTTGCTCCCGTTCTCTATAATAGAGAAGTGCGACGACAAGCCAAGCTTGGCGGCCAAGTATCTCAAGCAGCATTAACTAATCTGCAGCCATTTAACGCTCGCAAAATATTCTTGCGCCCCGTCACACTGATAATCACAAAACCGACATTGTTGTTTTCGTCACTCTATCTGACGCTAGGATACGGGACTATCTACCTCTTTTTTCAAGCGTATCCTATAATCTTCCAAGGTACCTCCTCGTTCTCTCTTACTCAATATCCTGCCTGATATCTCACACGTTACAGACTTTTACGGTCTTTCCGCTGGCATCGCTGGACTAGCATACCTTCCCAGTAAGCTTAGTCATTCCTGTGAGCAACTTGTTTACTTATTCGCTGTGGTAGTTGCGCTTGGCGCTGTATTCGCTTTGGGCGGTTTTTGTTTCTACACACGGTGGTACGATAGATCAGCCAAAGCTGGTCACCCATGGGCACAGCGTGAAATCTATCGCCGCTTGCCGATTGCATGTCTAGCCTCCCCTTGGTATGTCTTTAGCCTCATCTGTCACATATTAAAACGTGCTAAATGTCTCAAGTATGGTAATCTCACTCTTCTGGCTTGGGTGGACATCTCAGACTTCCATCTCTCCGATCGTACCAGCTCTTGGGGGATTCTTCTTTGGAGTTGGCTTCCAACTAATATTCATGAGTATGCTCAACTACATCACGGATGTCTTTTGTCAGTTTGCAGCTTCTGCTCATGCAGGAGCGGGCTGTCTGAGGTCATTAGGTGCAATATTTGTACCACTGGCGGCTGGTCCGATGTATGAGCAACTTGGTATCCATTGGGCACCCTCTGTACTTGGCTTTTTGGCGTTAGCAATGGGTTCAATCCCATTTATATTTATATGGCAGGAAAACAGGCTGGTCAGTGCTTCTAAGTCCCGCTTAACCACCAGGACTCAACAGGGGGTTAGATCCGAAGAGTAGTGTATTTTAATAGTTATTAATCCTCTAATTCTCCAAAAGAATTAAATAAACTAGTGGCTATGTTTTGGAATATTCCCCATCTCCATACTTTTCACTAGTCTCTTCTAGGAGAGAAAGACCCCCACTTGTATCAGGTAGAGACTATCATTGACAAGCAGATTGATAGATAAGATAACTCTAAAAGTAATTATTAACAACGATAGGTGGATTAATGCACCCCGTCCCCGCACGCTGTCACACCAGACACTCGTGCGACATTCATAGGTAGGGACCCTTGTTGAAAAGCAGATGAATTCGAGGAGACTAGCATGTTCATGTATACACAAAATGCCATCATCACCCTTATAATCTCGGTTTATGTTAATCTAAGTTCGCGCGCTAGAAAGCGAAATTAGATACCCTATTGATTTGCTTTTTTATTTTTACTACTGCACATTTTGCATTTAAAATAGTCTTTTGTATTTGGTATCTTACGTCCAATTTAATTTAATTCAATTCTCACTTTCTTTTTCTTTCCACTCCTTTTATTCATTCTTTAAGCAATTCCTTTCCACTTTCATGATGAAATCTTTAGTCTATTCAGCCATCTATGGGCTCAGCACCGTGAGTGCCTATACTGTCACCAATGCGCCAAGGTTTATGTTGAAGAACATAGATCCTATTGTGTTTCCAGGCCAGTATGTCAGCCACATGCATAGCTTTTTCGGATCAGACGCAGTCACCGCCAACACAACCACATCCAAAGATCTTCAAAATGGGTGCTCCACTGCAGAGAACCCAAACGACTATTCGTCCTATTGTAGGTCCATGTTTGTCGTCCTAATGCTATCTTCTAACAGTTAATAGGGGTGCCGACACTTTTTGCCAAGAATGGCACTGATCATGTTACGGTTCCTGTCAGCCGATTTAGCGCCTACTATGTGAGCATTGACAAAGCCGAAGTTGCTATTCCGCAGAACTTCAAGGTGGTCGTCGGCAATGCAAGCGCAACCTCCAACGATGACGTCGAGCCCCTTGCCGGGATTCAGTGGTTCTGCGAATTCGGAGGCGATCCAAACGAGGTCAAGGATCGAGCAGCATTCCCCACCAAGGGCTGCGGGCGGCTACAAACGATTTTACTATTCCATGACTGCGTCAACGAGGAGACTTTGGAATCTGCATACTCTGGAGTTCAACATTGGACGAAAACATTCAAGCCAGAGAATCGTTGCCCAGCGGACATGAAGCGAATGCCGCAGCTCCGTTTCAGCATCCGCTATGACCTCCGTGAGATCTTGCCAGACGGCTGGGATGGTACCGCTCCACTGGAACTGTCTTGCGGCTCATCATACTGTACGCACGGTGACTTTATCAACGGCTGGCTTCCCAAGGCGGCCGATAACATGCTACTTGCAAACTCCAAGAGAGAATTTAAGGGTGTCGATGGCCCCAATGGAAAGTATAACGCCGGCTCGCTATGCAAGGCAGAAGATTTCAAGGACGCTGATCCGGAGCACGGGACTAGTGATTATGAGAAAAGCAAGCAGACTCTTGCCTGAATGTTAAGTGTGCATTGTTGCTTAAATGTTTTCATATTATTCTCCCCTGTTACGAGGCTAGGAGCATCATAGCTCTGTCTTTATAGTTATATGTTTATTGCTAGAATTGTGTTGAGTCTAGTAACTAGCTGGACTAAAGTTACCATAAAGAAATTAGCACAATTTCATCCTTGTCCGGTTTTCTTAATGGGGTGATGTCTTGCAGTATATGTCTATAATATCTAGTTCATCTCTTTCCGCTTTCCTTATGCTGGGCGGTGAGCAATAAGAGGTGTGTTTTCTCACTGCCAGCTTCATCGATACCAAGAGCACTGGGTACGAATTTGAAAGAGTGGGTCTTTATCTAAGCGAGTGTTATCTTTCGGGAATAGTTTAGCGCCGGCTGACGGTCAGCGACAATGGAACCCCGCAAAGTAGTCAGCATGAATATTGAAATATAAAATATGCCCTTGCTATTTAACTTTTAACATAATCAACTCAAACCAGTCATCCAATATAACAAAAGATAATAACATGGACCAAACATTCAAACAAGAGATATTCCCTCAGCAAACTGGGCCATCTTCCTATGCTGTAATTCCACAAGAGAGTTGGGCTATGGGTCCAGGTTAGTATTGATGGTAAACCGATTCATTCAGTACTAACATTGCCGTCAAGCTCTCCACGGTGGCTGTGTGGCTGCAGTAATTCACTCTACAGCTCTGAAATATCTCACTACAGCCCTTGCAAAGTACAAGCAACCCGATGTCCTCACTCTTCACATTGAATATCTGCGGTATTGTACTACGCAAACACTCGATATCGATGTCATCGAGTTAAAGCGCGGAAGTTCCCATTGCACCATTCAGCTACAGGTCTCACAGGATAAACAACTGAAGGTCGTCGGCCTGATTACATCTACGAACTTTGCCCAGACCCTGGGGCCTACGAGCGATACCCAGTGGGCCTTGAACCCTCCTCCTACCTCTGCTCCTGACTTTCACAAGATTCTATCAAATAAACCTGACCCCAAATGGGTTCCTGGCCTCACAAAAGGTGAGGTTTTCCCAATGGGTGAACGTATCATATCTCTGTGTGAACGAGGCGGAATGCAAGTCGACGGCTTGGTAGATGCTTGGAATGGGTTCCCTGGTGAGAAAATGCAAGCCCCCCACATATCTTTAATGTGCGACTTCATGCCCTCAATGGCAGACACTCTGCTGGGGAGTGGTGGGATGTACGATGGCCGAAGTAATCTCAGGAAGATGGAAGCCTGGGCAGAAAAGAACCCCGGAGTCGTTTGTGAGTTGGAGACATCTCTATCTGAAGCTGTGGATGCACAGTTCAGTGAAAATACAGTGTCTTTGGATATTGAGTTTAAAAAGCGGCTTCCGGAAGATGGTCTCCAGTGGATCTTTAGTCGCGTGGTGACCAAGAAGCTCCATGGTGGAAGAATGGATATGGATATCACGATATACGATGAGACAATGGACTTGGTATGTTTGTCGAAACAGGTTGTTCTCGTTCTCGACGCAAAGAAAAGGTACCATCATGCTGCGAAGAAGGCAAATCTATAGGGTAACGTGAGAAACTAGTATTTAAACTTCAGACAGCACAATTACTCGTAGCTAAGTAGACATAGAGTTTTGAATGAGGGAAACCTAACTAAATTATATTTTCTCAATGCAGTCAGAGCTGCACATCGTCAAAGTCTTATAACGGATGTCTGACCTCTAATTTAAGGCACCAAGATAAATTAATGTAAACACTTTAAACTGCTTATGGCCTAATGAAATCCAATCGATATACTTAGCACACAATTCTAGCTCTATGCTCTCACCTCTTCCATATACAAATCATACAAGCCCGCATCAACATGTTGATTCCTATAAATCCACAAAGACCTGACTTTTGGCACCTGACCTTCAACCTTTGCTTCTTCCTGCACAATACCATCCACAACCATAGCCCTAAGAATCTGCGCTTCAGAAAGCGAGTCTCTCGGTGGAACCACAACCTTTTCCGATACCTTGGTCGCCACAATAGCCACAATCAGCTGGAGGAATGTCGTGACCCACAAGATCAATGTGATGATTCCCCAGTGCGAAACGTTGAGTTTCTGCCCGATTGTTGGCTGTTGTCCGTCCATAACAATGTCTGTGTTTGACTCGACAACAGCCGCCAGAACGCCGATTGCGAAACGGGAAAGGATATAGTGCATTGCATCAGTTGAGCCGTTGAGTGGCATACCGAATACAGAAGCTGTGGGGTAACTGTTGGTTCTGATGTCGCCTTCATTGCCAAATCCTCCGAGAGCTATCGCTGATGTTGCCAAACGTGCAAGACTTGGGCCGATTTCGTGTTCGGGCTTTTTCGCGTTTAGTACTGGACCTAGACTGATGGTACAATTGTAGAACCATGGATCCGTGGAAGATGCTTCGAATACGGAGACGATACTACAATCACTACCACAGGTTTGATTTGCAGATGTCATGTAGACTTTCCGATCGCTTCTCTTACTGCTGGGCAGTGTAATAGGTGTTTTCCGCGAGTTTTGTTCAACGACAATCGTGTTGCTGGTGCCATTCCCTCCCTCATGCACCCTGTAAGCTGAACAATTTGTTCTGATGTCCACGCGTCTATCGGTAAGGGCGATCACAGGAGCTTTATATGGGTTGTCCACGGTTTCTGTGTTTGTCTCGCGAAAAACATACGAGCAATAGTCGTCACAGAAGAGGAAATTGTTGTCAGCAAAGAATAAGGTCTTTGAATCTGGGATGTCATCCAGACCGCCCTCTCTAAGGGCCAGAGACATTACACCGTAGTTATTAGCGGCATATTCCTGGTCTGTGGCCGATTGGGTCGCATTGAGGATGGCTGTAGGGAAGATGGTGGTCAAATTTGCCATGGAGACCTTGCCAGAGACCATGAGTGCCACATCTTCAGTTTTCTCTACCGAATAGCAAAGACCAAGGGACGCATAACCGACTTGAATGGCCTGAGACTGATTATTAGCAGACATCAGCGACAATAGAATGTCTACTACGTACGAGAAAGAGTGACACCCATGCCGCGACGGCGATGTGAATGGTCCATCGCGAGGACTTGAATGCTAGAGCCAAGGTCTCAGTCATGCTTGAAACCTCGAGGATCGCATTAACCTACACTCACGAGTCAGTAACTGGCTGTTTTCGAGGGAGCTCGCAAGGAATTACCTTCTGTCGCGATCTTGGTCGCTTGCTTAAAATCCACCATTTCAAATCTTGCACCGCACCTGTTAACTGACTCATAGTCGACAGGCCCAAGGCTATGAGAGACCCGGTAATAAGCGCATTAAAATATTTCTTCTCCTTCTGCGACATAACATCCTTAATGGCATATACGACCAGAATGACATATATGACGAGGACGATCGCAACCGTTTCGGACCATTTGCCAATAATACCTAGCCAGAGCTTGACCTTCGATCTTCGCCTTGCTGGAAGGCCTTGAAAACGTGGTTTCGGCGGTGAGTTTGGGCGAGATTGAATTAATGGTGGCGTGCTTTGGAATTGTAGATGTATGTCATGCTGCCCGTCTGGGACGGAGAAATACTGGCCTGCCATGGTGATTCAAGGTGAAGATTAAATGAGTGAATTGAGCAAGAAGGCTGTCTTACAAAAAGAGGGAAATGTGACAAGACATGTGTTGTTTTAAATATTTACCAAATCCACTGAGCTAACAGCTGCCCCCTGCTGGGCGGCCTTCACTTTGCTTGGGAATCTAAGTTTTCGCCTACATTATCTGTACGGGACAAAGAGTCCCGTAATGGATTATTCTCCACCAACCTGGCCGCCATCGTCTCCGATTGGTCATTCCGTATAAAAAAGTCATAAATGAGTGGCTAGCGTGGAACTTTTCAGAAAGCAGGTAATCTATAACATTAGCGTGAGAGAGACCTCTCGGGTAGTCCGAAGCATAATTCGACAAGTTTCAGACAATACTTGGCAGGAAATACGTATTACCTATAGCACGAATATAGCGCTCGTAAATGGTAGAATACAGATATTGCATTCGAATCTTTCTCCTATAATACTAAATTCATTCAAATTCAATCCACTCATCAATCTACTGCACTGTGACCCCTGTTCCATGAGCTCATAAGTGCTGAGCTCAGCCGAACAGATGTGATGTCTGACTTTTCTTTGCGTTCCTTACAGTGTGGACAGATGCCTATCAATGTACGAGAGGGTCCTTGCCAAACAGTCCACATAGCTTGGCTCCAGGCTTCTTATTGAAGTTCTTTAACTCCGCAAAATACTCCTCGATCGGGCTTGAATTTGGTTGGTATGGGGATATGTGCAGAAGCTCCATGCTAGCTTTAGCACGTATCAGCTATAGCTCGTTAGTGTGGTGAAAAGATGTATTATCCATACTCGCGGCTGATAGTTATACATTTCGGCTATTCTGATGCCTTAAAGTTGTAATACTTTCCGTGCAGCAGAAGTATCAGGCGAATGTAGATAGGAAGACTGAAGTGAGTAATGTGGACGAGAGCTTGTATCGCATCCCCGACACTTTAGACCACCGATTTATGCAATACGCCGAGTACGTGTCACCAGTACTCGAGCATATCTTAAGCTGCCTTCTCTAGAGGCGTTATCATATGTGATAAAGTACTGATGCCACGGTTGGTGTCTTTACTTCTATTTACATAGTTTATCAACATGAAATGAACACGTTATAATCTGTAAGGTCTCGGCCGTATTGAGTAGATAAAGCATCAGCGCATCTAAATAGGTATTTAGGGGTGAGTGGTATAGCATTAGCATCCTTAGACTTACAACTGTTACCTCGTACTGTAATGTATTATGTGAATATCTTATTCCATATTATGTTCTAGATGCCACAGGTAGTGCCATCCCGTGGTTGGCAACCTTTCTTGTACTTTATCGAGAAGACTTTCGATCTGATTCTATATTAAAAGCCCTCTTGGCTTCGTCTACCTCGAGGGTGAATAATGCTTTTATTAATCCTAAACTTCATGGAACCTCTAGTTACCACGTCTTTTTCGAAGTTAATCTGGAGCTGCGATTGATCTGACCATATAACCCATTATGGTAAGTGTTACAAAAAGCCAGGGTCATAAGCAAAATCAACTCGGTTACATAACTGTTGAATTACTGTTGGTTACCTTTCTTATCTTATTTACTTACTATAGGGAGGGGCTGTTAGGTTATATAATCTCGGTTAATTAATTACGGTAGCTTCTTTCCTTAGACTAAAGGACTTTTTAACCTTTAGTAAAAAACTCTATTTTATATATATAAATTTTCCTTTTATAACTCTAACTTTAATAGTCTTTTTATACTTAACTACTCTAGCTAGAGTTTAGTATAGTCTATTAGTTAAAGTCCTTAACCGAATTTATTATTATAATTAAGTTTATTAATTATTTCTTATACCTACCTCTTATTAGATTTATATTATCTTTATTTAATATATTAAAAAAGGCAGTCTTTTTTATTATTAAAGGCCTAATTATATTATATAATTTAAGCTTCCTTTTAAAATAGTTAAGAAATAATATTTTTATTATAAACTATACCTTTTTATATAAATAATTATTATTAATAGTAAATAGGTTATATAATTAAAGGACTTTATAATTAAAGATAGTAAGTATAATCTTAGCCTCTTAATCTATAGGCTTTATACCTACCTTAATAATATACTGCTATTTAATATTATTAAATTAATTTTATAATTTATTATAGGCCTTAGGATTATTATTTATTACTTTAATAAATACCTCTTAACTATATCGAAATTCCTTTTTATAGGCCTTAATTATATTATTATTATTAATTAGCTAAAGGTCTTTATAGAAGGTAGGTATAAAAGTTAGGGTATTAATTAATATCTTAGCTATAATTAAGGTTAGTTTTATTAATCTAGTTATAAAACGGTTAGGTTAACTTATAGGTAAGTTATAGATACTTAGTAATTACTTATTATAATCTTTATTTTATAAGTTTAGATAGGTTAATTAAAGTAAAGTATAGAAAGGGAAAAGTAATCTTAGTAGTCTTTATAGGGGTTTTTATACTATTAAGAAATAAAGTTATAGCTAATATAGTAAGTAACCTTATTAAATTTAAGATATTATTACTTTTCGGTTAATATAGGGACCTTTATTATTAATACTTTTATAGGTTTAATTAGGATAGCTAGATCTCTTTATTAAAGGTACTACCAGACTTAATATAAATAAGCAAAATCAAGCCTATCCCATAACAGAGGATCACAGGATTACAGAGAGAAACTATATCGAATGTTGAGAGCTGCATAACAAGCTCAACATCGATGTCCAACTATTGATGAAGCTACTGCAGGACATCTTTAACAACCCAGTAGTGATGCTCCCTCGGAACTTTATAGCGGCAGACCAGCTTCCAGAACAATTCGAGTGGGCAGTATACGCAAACCTTCTAGCTCAACCATATTATGGCAAGCGGAAACTAGGCCGCAACAATGTTCTCGACAGTGATGTGCCTAGTAGCAGCTATAAGCAGGACTCTAGCCTCCTGATGCTTCTCTCTGATTTACCAATTAGTCAATATAATATTTTAGGATATGAAAAGAACGATAGAACGGAATCTTTATTGTCTAGTAATTATAGTATTCTACATAAGCAGGAAAGTAACTTAGTGGTTTAAACTAAAATAACTTCTCAGCTTATTGGATAGTTACCTCTTGTACAAGGCTTTCAATACTCAGGTTGTTAAGATTAATATGGCTAATTCCCGAAAAGAAACGCGGTAGCTCTAGTTGTTCCCAAAGAAATTCAGCAAAACCAATTCCATCCAAATGAACTATACCCAGTCTAACACAGGTAGCATCGTCTTCTGTACTGTCAAGGCGTCTGAGAAGGAGACCATGTGTATAGGTTCCTTGGTTTACACTGAACGGCAAGATCAGTAGTTGTCCCGTGCGTTCTTGCCAAAGTCTCTGATAGTGATCTGAGTCCTTGGCAAGAGATAGCTGGCACTCGTCCCAATCAATAGAAACGGTCGGAGATCTCAGCGGATCTTTTCCTGGACGTTCGAGAGCTTTGTTAAGAGTAAACCAATTGGAAGTTCGGTCGAGGTACCCGCCAAGACCAAACTGGTCTTCCGCTCGGCCTTTGAGACAGCCCCACAAAGCAATACCTCGCACACGTAGTCTTGAAGAGACGAAACTATGTAGTCCGTTTGGATCCTCTGACTGGACTGAAGCTTCTAGAATCTCGACGAGTTTTGTGTGGACAGACTCGCGAGCGTAGACGCGATCATATTCAACGGGTCCATGGAGGTTGATCCACGACCAAGTAGGAGCTAAGTATGTGGGCGTCATGCCGTGGCTTTGGTAGGGATATTCCTCGCGGTCACGGGACCAGCACAGTTGGTCTTCCAGGTTTTGCCTCCACAGACCAGCAAGGTACGTGTCATTATTGGCAGTACGAAACTCTCCTGCTATACCGGCCAAGGCAATCGTCTTATCGGTCAAGTATGTGAGTTGACACCTTGAATAAGCCTTCACTAAATCCGCCCAACTTTTCCGCAATGCTAGATCACTCTCGCTGGTTGGGCCCCCTCGTGAGAGAGCTGACGCTTGCCCAACCCTGATCTCAGCTGGTGCATAGGGCATGCCAGCAGGAAACTCTTCTGAGGCGGTAAGCTCTTGGCATGCCCAGTAGACTTGTGATTTAGCAAAGCCTAACTGCCTCGATGTTAGATAACGCTCTTGAATCACCCATGATCTTTTGTTCAAAGGTGCATCCATAATGTCTTCCTGGTGGAAGGGCGCATCGTAAAGGAAATGTTGAACTGAGAACTCTTCTGACCCCAAAGAGATAAAGGTCGTCCTCTCTTTAGGCGCAAAGCAACCATCTAAACTACCCTCTGCCCAGAGAGCAGCGATGTTGCAGGCAGAGTGCTTATAGATGGACCCCATGACGGAAGATTGAGATTTCCAATCGTCTTCATCATCTTGAGTAATGCAAAGGGAGTCAATCCAAATGAATCGTTTTCCTAAAGCTGTCGTAACAAAGAGGGCATCGCGGTAGGTAGCCGGTAGCATAGAGCAAGGTGAGATCGCCATCAAGTCATGATAGTTCTGTCTCGTAAGACTAAGATGTTTACCAAATCCCCAGCAATGGCTCAGAGTCAGGTAGTCGGGTCTTCCTACATCGGCCCCCAACACAATTCGCCATTGCTGGGGCTTCTTGTCGCTATCGCAAAGGACTTCGACGAGTCTTTTCGGCATGAACGCAGAGAGTTGATGACTGTTTAAGACTCGGCATTTGGAATGGGTTTCTGAACAAGTATCGTGCCAGTGCCGCCATAGGTCGTCCGTCTGAGATGTAGATAATAGATGCGCATTAGGTAGACTTTTTGGAGCAGCATCTGCGCTCCCAAAACGTGGTACAAGCAAAAAGCTTTCCAGATACTTTTCGGAAGAGGTTCCTACTGTCAGTATCTTAGTGTTGTGAAGGTATGATGATAATGCTACCCGCATGTCGAGCGCCGAGTTTGTGTTTCGCTGGAGTGTTGTGGAGTTGATACTGTTTTGTGATAGTCTTTCACTAGTAAGTATTGTATGCAATACTTTCCGGCAAATTAGGCATCCGGCATCGGCAGAAGATTCAAGGCCGGCGTGTTGTTTGTGAATAGTAACTTCCCTGGAGTAATTGGTGTGTATGCGTGTTAACTCCCAGTCGGTGTTGGCAGTAGTAACAGCCTCCTGGCATTGTTGGCAAAGCATAGTGAGTAATATATAATAGTATTTGATAATCTAAGGCCTAATGGACTTTAGGAACTTCTTGCGGTTTATTTACGTAGTAGGTATACTAAAGCAATAGATGAGATAAAAAATCCCGCATATCTTCACGTGACTTAAAATAACATACATAAGAAGTAGTACATTCTTCCTAGCTTTTATATTAAGTATTCCCGAACCGCTATAATATTTAGTTCAGACATGTACTTATATGAGAACATACAGTAATATAAAACACAGATGGTATACATGGTTGCCTAATGCAATTTAAAAAAGATTGGCTGATAACTATCTGTGTTATCTTTTTAAGGCTGACTAAGGAAAGATAAGAGTTTAATCCTTAATCCACGGAGGTATAGCTATGGGAGATTAGGCGAGTATAGACAAGAGGTTTAAAGTCAGCAAAGATACCAATAGTAGCATTAATACTTTACTCCATGTAATAGAACATCTAGGGAAGTCAGCTAAAGATATTCTCGAGTACTGGAGGCAATTACATAGAGTATCGCGCAACTCGACAGTTTAAAGTCCCTGGAAGGCATCACAACTTCTTTTCCACAATGTTCTTATTTATGTAATCTATTAGAATTCAAGAAGTACGTTCCAACAACTAGTTTAGACAACAGGCACTCGAGAAAAAATGTTCGGGAACTTTAAAAGTGCTATTGGGTGTACGAGCCCCTACATCAAACATGAAACATAAGCAGATCTCCTCGCCGACTACACGTGCCACAAAAGAGAAGGTGAAGGTATGTTGAGAAAGTTGAAAATGACGAACCTGACTTTTAACCGGCCTGGTTCATGTAAATTCCTATATTCAGTTCCCCTCTTTAACTGACGAGAACCGTTCACAGAAAGTAAGGCCTACCTTTCAAACTATACGTGCGCACTGAGAAATGACTGGAGGCTCGTTTGAACCTTATTGCTTCTTCATGTACTCTTATCTGTTCCGTTCCATAATCAGACATTCTGCGTCTTCACCATTAGGAGACACCATTATTTTAGAAGGTCAGAAACTTTGGTAAATTGATAGAATAGTATTCAGTCAACGAAAGTAAAAAATAAACTGTCTTTATCTGGAGTGAGGAAAAGCCAACAAGTGGTGTAAGAAACCTCATCTAGAGTTTCTGTGCATCGACCTAGTCTAATTAAACACAATGTCGAAAGGCACACGGACGGTTCCATCGCTAGGGATAGGCTCATTGTAAGTCAAGTCAGAGCACTTTGCATTGCATCCGACGATGTGGTTGACGGGGATGGCAATGCTGAACTCAGCCTGGCCACGGACATAACGGCCGTTCGCGTTAAGGGTCTGCTGCTGGACCGCTACAATCATCAGTTAGCTTGTGTCAATTTCCATGATGTGCTGATTTGGCTTACCTGAGTCTGTCTTTCCAACACAGACTCGATCCATGTGGCCCCAGATTCGCTTGGTACGATCAGCGAACCAGACTTGATGACAGTCCTGGTCGTCCCACTGGCAGGTGCTAGGAAACAAAATGTTAGTCAAAGGTCCAAGTAATGCAGATGCTCTGTGATACTCACTTGGTAGTGGAGTCGGAAGTACAAATCATGCTTGTTTTGGAGTCCACGTCAGTGTGCTGGTAGTTAATGCTGGTTCCCAGAGTGACCTTTGCCTCGGTATTGGGGACCGCAAACTCCAGAGCCCCGTCAATAATCTTGTAGTCAACACCATTGGAAGACGAACGAGTATACGAAGTACAGCTCTGACGGATCTGGGCAACGTTGGAGTTGCACATCGACGTGGACCTGCAGTCAATAGCCGCCCCCGAGTTTTGCCAGCTCGAGTACTCAACGGCAGATTCCACGAACCAATACTCGGTCCAGCAGTGATCATCATTGTGACCTGTGGTGCATGCATCATTGTTACCCTGTCTGGGCAACTTGACACCTTGGTCAACAGAGTAGCCGGTCTGCTTGGGGATCATGAAGCTAGGGTCTTCCGTGGAACAATCTGGGATTTCATCACGGTATATCTTGGCATCAATACGCTTGACGAGAGACTCTAGAGTCTCGCCTCGAGCTTCAAGATCTCCGATGATATTCTTCAAAGCCCGCTCGTCAACAGGTTGACGCTTTGAAGGCAAAGCAGCCGACAGAGACGCGAGAGCGATGAGAGGAAGGTTGGATCGCATGATGGGCTTTTGAAAGTAAGGGCTGGATCGTGAGGGGGACTTGTAAAGTAAAGATAGGAAGGAAGGTAGTGGTTTGAGACTGGTGGTTTCTTCTGTTTGGGGGGACCTGGCAGTCTCCTTATATATCTCTTATTACCCTAGTAATCAGGTCAAATCTCCTGTTGAAGTCTCATATCATTCAGTCTCAGGTCTCCCTTCAATTTCTCTCATACCTGTCATACTCTTCTAGAATCAAAGCGCTGTGACAATGCAATCTAGCAAGGTAAAGGAGGAAGGATTATAGATAGGTCACATTTGGCATCCTTCGCACTGGATCCTGCGTCACTTGCCATTTCAACCACTGTAACAAGGTTTGTTCGGCAACTCACGAACTCCGTAGTCGAAAGTCCTCATAGCAGCACCAACTTGTTAAACCCGTCAGGTAGAAACATACCGCCCAACATCTACATCTTCTCTAAAACATTGCAAAGTGGTGCATAAGTTAAAGATCACTAAATTACGAGTTAGTTGGGTAACATCTCCGTGATAGTATCCTTTTGTGAATACTCAGACAGACTACTACTGTCGGCCATGGTCGTTGGGCGTGTCAAGTTCCGCTGAGTAATTTTAATAAAGTTTCTAAATTAATGTTGATCACCGTTTATGTGGTTGCCTAATGCAATTCAAAACGATTGCTTGATAAACATCTGTGTTGGCTTCCCAAGATGGACTAGTGAAGGATGAGAGTTTAATCCTCAATCCACGGAGTTGAAGCCATGACTTTTTCCTGATGTTAATGAGGCATTTTTTAATCAGCACGAAGGGGTTCCTGCCAGATTTCCCCACCAAATGCAATTGATTTTTGAGGGTGATTGGCAGCAAGTCACGCTGACCGATGTTCGCGGCGACAAGGACATGTACACCCTAGATCGCAATAGGTTCAAGTGGTCACATGAAAATAATACTAGTGGTGTTAAATCTAGTGCATCTAATGTATTGGCATACATACTAAAAATGTTATGTTTTCTTCGAGAACATTATGGCTGCGACGAAGTTTCATATACGACTATGCTCGACGAAGTCCAAACACAGTTGGCAGAAATTCAGGGTCCAAGGATGTTACGAGATGGGTTCATTGCGGTACGTGCAACATGAATACGCATTCCTTCACCCGTTCGACTTTCAGTGCTTACCTAACTTCAGCTATAGATCAATCTCCTCGTGCAGCAAAGCAGGGTTATAACGATCCACTCTTGTAGCGATATTCCCTAAGACCTTCCCTTGTGGGAAATTTGGATTGTTATTCCCTTGTCAAGGGTGAGGTTGAGGAGCTTGTGCAGGACAAGTTCAATGGCGCGACCTCAAATTCAACAGAAAGCATATACGTACAAATTTGATCTGGTTCTCATGCAAAAGAATAACTTGGATTGCAAAGAATGGAGAGGAAATATAATTTATACTCTTTTGCTTTAACCTTGAACTTTATCAAGCCCAGGCTTTCCAAAGCTTTCTATTATATAAACAATAGAAGGGGAGAGTATGATTTATATAAGCCAACGTATATGACAAGCATGCGCCGCACTGTTCCCACAGACACATAGCTTTGGTGTATGATGAAGATACAATGGAGTGATTCAATTGGCCTATTAACAGCCGAATAAAATTAACATCCATCAATAGAGTAGATACAACTAGGAGACTTTGTAAAATTGATTGGCAAAGACCAAAGACCAAAGACAACCAGTAGGCGACTGAACCCACATCATCAAGATACAGACCCTGTGCGGAGCAACACCAACGCCTCACGGACCTCGGGAAAATCCAGTTCTTCAAGACTCTCCTTCCAAAGCTTGTCCATGAAATCTTTGCCATCTTCTGTATACATAAATGGGTGGTATCTAGGTGGAACAAGTCAGCATTAATCCGTCGTGGTCTTATCAAAGATGGGGTACTTGCGGATGAATTTCCCAGTCGCTGATGAGACTTCCGTGGCTCTCCTTGCCCCGGGCCACAGAGCCGTCGACATACCTCCATGCTGCATTGTTCACAGTGGTGCCCAAGAGTTTGGTCAGTGGCCAAGTCACCGCCCTCACGAGCAAAGGAAGGTTGCGGAAGAAGCTGGTACCTGGCGTGAAGCTGGGATCAACAACATTGACGATGACGTCGTCGGCCTTTGTTAATTGACTCAATTGGAGGGTCAGCATCAGAACCAATCCCTTGCTAGTGTCGTATTTCTTCTTAGCGATGGAGGAGTTCCAGACTTTCTCATCGCCAAAGGCAGAAAGAAGGGGATCGGCGTTACGCTCCGAGAACTCGGCTATCAGCGCTGCACCAGATGCGACGAGCATCAGCCGACCTGGAGAGTTGGAGGGCGTCTTCATCTTAAGGATTGGCAGCAAGAGTAACCCGAGTAGAGCTGTCGATAAGTAGTTGACTTGAAACATTTCCTCGTGGCCGGTTGATTTGTTCACTCGCAAGTCGGTGTTCATAATTCCAACACTGAGAAGAGCCATATCCAGGCGGGGCAGGGTTGCGCACTTTTTAGCAAAAGCCCTGATTGACTCATAAGAGTTCATATCTAGCTGCCAAACCTCGATATTTGCCTTCGGGTAGAGTTTTCGGAGTGAAGCTGCCACCTCTTCTCCTTTGGCAAGGGATCGAACGGCAAGGATGAGGTGGGAGAGGTGGAGCGACAGCAGAATCCGGCCACATTCTAAACCGATACCGCCATTCCCACCGGTTATGACAGCGACTTTTCCAGCGACAGTATTGTTTTCAAGTGCGGGCTTGGGATTGGGACGAATCTGGTGTTTGATAAATATCTTGGCGAATGTGTAGGGTTGCTCTGGTGTAAGAGACAGGGATCCTCCAGGCGCAGACATGGTTGATTTGGTGTGAATGAGATGGGTTTGATTGAGGTGAGTTAGATGTCTTTATATGGGGTCTCGAGATTTAATTTATATTACATGTTGCCAAACTCTGATTTATAATGTGTGCCTGTTCGTTATCTTGGTTGAGTTCATTGGCATGAATCACTAAAACCCTGGCTTTTCCCAAAAAGGAAAACAATGTGGTCGTCCCACTTTATTCTCACCATGGCATCATTAGTAATTGAATCTCACCTCGCGTTTCTCACAAAATAAACAAGGGCCTTGTTCCGCCTTCTTCCATTCCGACTTTGACTGACCAGATTGATATCCCAAAACAGACATCGCCATGCCTCAGCAGCTTACCTTTGTCATAACCGACGGTTCTGGAAGAATCAGATCATCCGAACGACAGTTGATACGACAACGTTGTATGCAACAAAAGAACAAGCAGCCAGATTCCCGTCGATCGAAGCGCGAAGCTGCTCGAGCAGCGGCCAAACCCCCACCCGAATGTAGTATAGGGAATCAGGTGGGAACTCATTCCACCGACGGAGCATCTGCTCGGAACACAGTTCAGCCGCCCTCCGCCTCCGTGAGCGGGGAGCAAAGAGGACTCTTCATCAGGCAATGCATACTCCCGTCGCCGTCTGACTGGGCACTATTCCCCTTTCCAGAAGGACTGGAACCTTCTGCTCAGAAATTGATGCACGAGTGTATGTAACCCAGCTGCAACAATCATGGAAAGTTAATGCTGATGAAGCTGTAGATTTTATTCACAACCCAATCAGGGACTCACTCTACCCATTCAAGCACTTCGGTATTAATATCGACTTTGACGATGACCCGTTTCTGTGTTTTCGATTACTTTGCTCCGAGAAGCTATGTTTTCGAGCCATTCTACTATTAACCACGGCCTCCAATGACTTGGTGTTGCAGCGACCGCTATCTGGCGAAACATACCAGCATCTCCGGCGTGTTTTGCCGCTTCTAAACCGTCGACTTTCAGAGAAAGAGGCATATCAGAATGATATCATACTCTATGTTGTCGGCATTCTGGCTTCGATTGCAGTTCTCTTTGGCGACTATCACGCTGCGCAGAAGCATGCCGTGGGTCTATCAGAGATTATGCGGTTGCGTGGTGGCTGGGTGGCCGTAAACAACAATCCTGCCATCCAACTGTCGATGGATAGGTAAAATAGCATTGGAAATGCTTATATCAGACATGTTCTAACATGATTGTAGGTTAAACTTTTACAATTCGCTCGCAACAAACCTGTGGACGCCAATCTATGGCAAATCCGCCTGGGAGGCGCCTGTCTTCCCTATCGAAGTGGTGGATTTTCATCAATCACAGAATATGTTGTGCGTGGATGGACTCGTTGATTCGAATCTAGCGGCCGTATTCATGTACGTCCAACACACCACAATTCTCTTCAACACGCACTATCACAGTAAAACTCCAATGAATGGGGCATTTGTCCGGCAGTGCCTGGGTTTCGTGCACTCGAGTCTCATAGAGCTCGAGGGCTCTCTCACAGACGAACTATCCAAGCACATTCGTCTCGGGATGCTTGTCTATCTAGCAACAACTTTTCGTATCCCTGGCTGTGACGAGCAGTACTATTGCAGAAGCCTGGCCACAAAGATGCAGTTGGCGTACACTGCTGCCAGATCTTTGATTCCGGTCCCCGATGGAGCACTGGATATCTGGTTGATGTTTATGGTACAGATATGCATTGGTCCAACATCCAAGCAGCAAGGGCCGGATTGGGACGTATCAAAAATATCCGGGTTAGGCTGGGACGAGACACGGAGAGGCTTGCAGCAAGTCATGTGGATTGATGCATTTCATGACGACTTAGGGAGGAGGGCATTTGAGAAGCTCACCAAGCCTAGATGAGATATAATGTGTATAATATTACAGTGTTATCCCCGCCTTTAGGACTGAGAATCTAGATTCGTGTCGGGAGGACGCACTGGCTCTGAACCTTGAACAAGAACGATCTTTCTGCAGCATGATACGGCTGCCTGATCAGTATGATCTTCACTGTCCCCAGAATCTCTCTGCCATTGCAGCCTTGGAAGTTTGCGGTCCTCATGATTAAGACTTACAGCGGTACAGAGACCCCTAGTTTCAGGCGTGTGTAAGATATCTGAAAGATCCATCGTCAAAGGTGCAAGGGTTGTATCGCGGACTGTTTTGGTCTTTGCCGTTATGCTTGCGGCACAAACGATAACTGCAGCCAACGTGAGAGTCGCGTTCATCGACAACCAAATATAGAGCTTTCGTCTATCCACCGATACAAAGACAGCAGGTTCTGACGCTTTAAAAGATATGAGCTCGGTATAGTTGCCCAGTCTTCTCATCAAGGTACTCCAAGATGCGTGATATCCCATAGTCAGCATCCCGCTCACATAAGTATCCAGATCAGGACTGATCCAAGGCTGACTGAAGTTCTGCAACACGCTATACTTGAGGACCTCGGATGTAAAGTCCAGGGAAAGACTGTGAAGCCAGTCTTCTTTGAGGACCTCATCGTCCCGTAAGACTGAGCAGGTGGCATACGATTGGGATGTCGAGTTAGAAGAGACAACCTCACAGTCCCGTCCTCCGTAGATACCGGCAGTCATCGCCACTTCCGCCAGTATGTAGCAATCATATGTGGTGATCGTGCCCTTCCCGTTTATAACGGGAACCTTTTTTTGGATGACAGGAGGAAGTTTTCCAAACTGAGCTGAGACTGTTGGGCATTCGTCCTTGTCACTAGGACGACGGCCCTTTGCGAGCTCTTCCTCAGATGGCACCATTGAGAGTCGGACCGCAACTAGCTTAGTTGTTTTGAGTATGGATGATTGTTTCGGCATTTGGCTCCTTGGGTCCCATTTTTCATCCATGATGATAGATGTTGCTCCTATTGCTCTAGTTCCCAGGGGGTGACTGACATCAGAGTAGTCTGCGTTTCCAGCATATTGTGATTTGTCGTTGTCCGTTGCGTTGATCCATCGGAGATTGGTTGCTAGATAGGGGAGTGAAAGGTTGATCCGACTCCTGGTAGGTATGTCTTCGCTTGGACTGAAATACCTTCGTAGCTGGATAGGCTCTGATCTGAAAGCATATTGCGGCTCATTCGCCGTCAGGGCCGCGGCACTAATAACTGTAATCGCCCGCATATCGGAATAAAGGATAGCGGACCAGTGGGTAAAGTCACCAATCCTTTCTATAGACGCTATTCTTTTGTCATTGCGCAATTTGGTACCAGGAATCCAGGAGAGTGAAGATGATGCAAGTGGCGCTGCAAAGCCATGAGGCCACATCAAAGCAAGCGCGATGGTTGCCCACAGAGACCAAAACAGTGATCTCTCTGCATTGATTGCGGGCAGAATCGGTATACGGAAGCTGAGCGTTCGTGTCAGCTCCAAGAGAGTGATCCCACGGTTTTCGAGAAGGATGAAAATGATTCGCCAGACAAGAAGTGTAGAGCCAGCTCCAGCAACAAGTCTGACCACCACTAGTGCAAGTGAAAGGAGGCCAGTAACTTGTGCTTGATGAAGCGGGGAGTGAAAGGTGAGTACAGAATAATCTGATCCGATCTTGAATTCATGATTGTCTATGTGAATGACTATTACTGCAGTGGCAACAGATAGTACGATGTGGACGGCAAACAGATACCAAGCCTTGATAGCACTCCAAAGGCCACGATCGTCCGCACGTGGTGAGCAATTCCTGTGCTGTGACTGTTCTGTTTGGCTAAGGACGCCATACGTTTCACGGATCTTCTGCATAGGAGGCTCCATTGATATTGCGATCGACTGTTAGTTGAAAAAGCTCCTGTAAAGTGACAATGAATGAGGCAGGAATGAGTTTGTATAGGAAGAAACTTTACAGCAGAAAGTAACCCGTTAAAAGAGATTTAATCCGTAGCCAGAGACAGCATGATCTCATTGGGCTTGTAGCTGAATACGAGGAATGAACCGGATTTAGAGTCAATGCTTTCTTTCTACTTGCTTTTTGTGATTAAATAACCAATCGGGGCATGAATACTAAAACGCCATGGTGGCAGTGTGTAACCGGTGTAGACAGGACACCAATAGGCTTGCACATAGACTGAGAGGCTTGCATGATTTAAAAGACTGAGGCTTAGCGAGATTACAAATCATAAGTGTTAGGGGCATGTCAGCTTTAAAAATAACTCATTATATTAAGCCACACCTATTTTATCCGTTTCGGCGCTTTGATGAGTAAAAAGCGAAACTTACGTTGTATTTATATGGCCTAGTCTCGGCTACCGCTGAGATTAGGAGGAGTAGTAATTGACAGTCTTGACGGAAAACATTGTAGAAACACCAGGAATCAATCAGGCTGTTAATATACTGACCCCTAACACGAGCTACTGCTTGCAGTAGAAAGCAGGTACCGCACAATTGGAAGTTGTCTATATTGAGAAGCCGGGAAGAGAGCTGTACGACCAATAAGATCAGTTTTAACAGTAGTAAGACATGAAGATTTGAATGCAGGCTTGACAGTATCGACATGCCCTGCCCCTAAAGCAAATAGAAGTGGTGAATTGCTGTAGTTATTTGCGGTTATATAGTTGGTCCGCTTCTCTAGGAGCATTTTGACTACTTCCGCGTGACCGTTGTTCGAGGCCAAGTTCAGTGGCGTCTAGCTATTACTCTCTGCAGTTGAGATTTCAGACTCCTCTTCAAGCAGCATTCTAACCACTTCTTTATGGCCTTCCCATGAAACAAATTAAAGTGGCGTAGTGCCATTATTGTCTGCTTGTGTAAGGTCGGCCCCCTTGTGAACTAGTATTTTGACCACTCCCACATTCACTGAAGTAACTATAAGTGGCGTCCACCCATTGCAATTTGGCATTATAATAGTGGACCCTATAAAGCAGGGTAAGAAAATTATTTATTCTACAATTAATATGATTATTTACGACTACAATCGATTTTATCTCTTTCTGAAATATATAATTATATAGTTAGAGGCGAAGGGGAAAGTATCAGTGGTATTATAGTAGTAACAACTCTCAATTATAGTAGACAGCTTAGAAGTAACCTTACTGTATATTTTGTATTGCCTATTTTGATAGCCTAATCCACTATAGCCTTTTTACCTGCTCTACTTCCTACAAAGCTAAAATCCATAAGATGACCATTGTTCTTTAACTTTATCCTGAATCTCATTTGGATAGTTACCACAAAAAGAAGCCTCTTTCCATACCAAGCTCTCATTTTCAAAGTCACTCGGAAATAAACAGCAACGAACAACCTTGTAAGCATGGCTCTCCGATTTTACGCCATATCCAACATACGGAATTAGAGGGATGCTGGGATATTCGTCAAAGAAGAACTCATTCGCCTTCGGCTGACACCTTGTAGCAGCAGCCTAGACAACATCTCGAAAGTTGGTCGGATCAATGTCGTCTCCTACTAAGAAAATAGTAGGGATGTAAAAGCCGGGCTTAGACGCAAAGACAAGGTGACCGATCATGTTGGAGAAATCCTCCATAGTCGTCTTCATTGCGCGCAGTTTGGTTCTGTCGACCTGAAGAACGAACCATATGCAGTGCGACTCAAAGGGATTCCAAACCATGTTGATAGGCGATCCAGCATTTTGGCAGATCGTCAGCACCTCAGCCGCTTGAGTAAGTCCCCAAACCGTTTCACTCTCTTCGGGGGCTCTTCCAGTGATGCATATGGGTAGGGTAGGATCTTTGCGGTGAGTGATGGCATTGACCCTAAACAAAGGGCAGGGCTTCGTCTCTCCAGGGAAGATATGACCGTGATACTCAGCCATTGGCCCTTCCGGGGCTGTTTCAGTTCGAGACACGGTTCCTTCGAAGATGATTTCTGCATCAGCTGGAACGCGAATGTTGCTGGTTTCGCACTTTGTCACCTGTACAGGAGCGCCCATCAATGCACCAATAAAAGCCGCCTCGTTCTCGCCCTTTGGTATAGGCATGGCGCTGATCATTATGGCAGCCGGCGAAACGCCAAAGCATAGCGCGTAGGGCATGTCTTTACCCTGATCTTGCCACATCTTGCGAATGACACCGATGTCCTGTCTTGGGATGACCGGGCAGGTCAAAGATCTGGGGTCATTTTCATTGATCATGCCTCGCGTGATACTCCAATTAACCCACGATCCATCAGGAGTTTCGACGATGAACATTCCAAAGGTCTGGATGAATCGTCCACCATCGTCTTGGTGTAAAAGAGGCGACGGGAGAGTTCTAAGATCGATGTCATCCCCAAAGATCTTGAATTCCTTCACTGGGCCCGAATCGACCTCCTTGGGTGGAATTGTTGGTAGCCTTTTAGCCTCGTGGATCCTGTTAATGATGTCTTGTCCAGTGGCAGTTGACGGGAGACCAAGAGATTTGGCAATGCGGATGAATCGTTTTCCAGGAATCTTACTAGCTCCCACAGGGGCGCCTAAGATTCGGAAAAGACCGGTAGATGTGGTGCCTTTAACGTTGTTAAAAAGCGGCGCCTTGTCTTCCTTTTCGTAGGCTCTGCGGACAATTGCTCCGAGTTCTAGATGAGGATCTATCTCCTGCTCGATGACAACAAGATCATTCTCATCTTGAAGCTCTTGGATGAAGCGACGGAAGATCTGGGCTGCGTGCTTGGAGTCGCCGTATGATGTAGTGACGGCCATCGTCTCAATACAGGAGAAGCGGGCTTAAAGCGTATAGAAAAAACTCAACGGCGTATTGTGTTTAAGCATAGACGTATTCAAGCAGGTCTAAAAAGAATGAGTAGAATCGAGTGATTTATATGTGCAATATCGTGGCGAAACCTGTATATGCTTACTGCAACACATTAATACTAACATGGGAATACATTTGGGAAGTATGTACGGCAACCTTGCCGTGAGTTTGAAATGCAGTATCCCCATTTCATCGCCGAAGGTAATAGAATATCCACAGCGGATTTCAACGAGTGAAAGACTCTTATTCCAAGAGATTATACAACATTACGTAAGGATCCAACGCTAGATCCTATCGAAGTAAACAACTATGCACTCAAAAACCATTGATCCATCCCACGTAAAAGAACCGTGCGACAGCCCTGCTACATTCCTACCAACCGAAAGTTCATTGTCAGCATACTTTATAGCTAGGTTTAGCGAGTGATCAAGTACATGGAAGATGTTTAACCTGAAGGCTTTAAGCTGTGAATTGCGACGATCTGTATCCTTCGGAAACCGGGAGTGATGAATACATGCCAGAAAAGAAGCTTAGAGAAGACAGAATGTGAGTGTGTGAGGCTTCAGTGCTCTCTTGATAACTTCTTAAACGGGTGAAAAGCGCTCCCCACATTACGGATATATCTTTCGGATAGATCCGACATCTGAAAGTTTAGGACTCATCAAAATGGATTACAGTAAACATCTTGCCTTCTACACCGACAACTAATCTCGGGAAGCATACCGTAGCGTGAAAGATCTCAGTGAACGATTGCGTAATTAGAAAAGCAAACTGGGAAATGCCGGTTAACGTCATAACATATGTCAGATATTGAAGAGCGTTCAAGTATTTGTAAAGATCTACTCGACATCTTTAATTCTATGGCACTTTTACATCACATACCTATCACTCTTGAAGAGGCGAATCACTAAAATGTCTACCGATTCTTCCACCCTGGAAGATGTATCTGCATCGCAGACACAAACCAAACCTAGGAGACGCAAGAGGATTATCGTGGCCCTGACAGGTGCAACGGGTTCTATCCTTGGCATTAGAACTCTCATCGCCTTGCGTCGTCTTAACGTCGAAACCCATCACATCATCAGCAAGTGGGCAGAAAACACCCTCAAATACGAGACAGACTATACAGTGGCCAACATCCGTGCCCTAGCCGACGCAACATACAGCAACCATGATCTAGCTGCACCAATCGCAAGTGGCTCATTCCGCGTGGACGGCATGATAGTCGTGCCGTGCAGTATGAAGACACTATCGGCTATTAGCACAGGCTACTGCGATGATCTAATCTCGAGGGCGGCGGATGTGATCATGAAAGAGCGGCTTCGGCTCGTGCTTGTGACGAGGGAGTGTCCGCTGAGTGGGGTTCACTTGCAGAATATGCTGACGGCTACACAAAACGGTGCAGTCGTCTTTCCGCCAGTGCCTGCATTCTATACAAAGCCGGCAAGGATGGATGATTTGGTAAATCATAGCGTGGGGAGGATGTTGGACTTATTCGATCTTGATACAGAGAACTTTGATCGGTGGAATGGGTTTCAGAAGGGACACTGATTGGGTCTCTTATAAAGATTGTGGACTACTTTAGGATTAGGACAATAGGCTTTGATTTTATTTATTCCTCTTGACTTAAATTTACTTCTATTTAAAAAGCTATTTTCTCTATAATCTCCCTAGCAGACCTTGTAGGGGTTTTTATGCCTTTGAAAAATAGAGTTATGGCTGATATGGTGGGTTACCTTGATGAATTTGAAATACTGTTACCTTTTGGTCTATGTAGAGACCTCTAATGTTAATATTTCTATAGATTTTATTAGGACAGCTTGAAAAGGTACTACCAGACTTTACAAACATTATATACTATCCTTTTATTAAAGCCCTATCTAGGCTTCTAGGAGGGTGTTTAAACTGTATAGAGAAACCCTAAACAGACTTACCTATATATACTCTCCCTTTATTAGCTAATCCTTATAGCCAAGCTATAAGATTATAAGGTGTAAAAGAAGAAAGAAGAGCTAAAGGCTGGCCTTTGAGAATGTATATAATAAACTATTTATCGTTGAGATTATTGAGAGATTTGGAAAGGGTGGGCTTAATAAAGTTAAACGTTGAATCGAAAAAAAGAAGTGTGATAAGCCAAATAGAGGATTAGTAATATAAGGATCTACTATTTAGATTGGATCTATTTCGTGAAGTACATATACAAGTAACGTGTCAGCACGCAGGATATGCAATTAAAGGTTTTTAACTAACAGTCACTGATTGTGCCTTGCTCAGCCTGATTCTGCCGCCTCATTTTCAACCCCCGCATCCATTCTTCGCCTAACCTCTTCCCAAAGAATTGCCTATCCAATAACTAAATGCTTCTTAGTCTTGCGCACTTAGTCAAGACGGCAACATCATGACTACTACGCAGCGTGCCTTTGAAGCGGCCATGGTCGATTTTAAGGACAAGGTCAAAGACCAAGGTTTCTACGACCAGATTATCCAAACAACTAGCATCGAGCAAGTCTACCAGGACATCCAGAAGCTTCAGGACAAGCAGGCAAAGTCCGGTCGCCTTCGCAACCTGTCCAGGATCGAACCATTTCTAGCTCGTCTTCGCGAATACAGCGGTGTCGTTGAGACCTTTGTGCAAGCCAAGCCCGACATCCTAGCGCTCATATGGGGCCCAATCAAGCTTCTGTTGCTATGGGCCGATGTGCTCAAACAGTCATTTGATGCTCTTGTGAATGCCCTGGAAGAGATTGGGAACATTCTACCCGACTTTTGCGAACTGGCCGAAATGTTCGCGGATAACAATCGTCTGCAGGAACTGTTAGTGCTGTATTTCCGCGACATTCTTCAGTTCTACTTGATCTCCACCAAGCTCTTTAGTATGCGCCGTAAGGTTCCCAGACTGTCAGTTCTGCAACCTGTTCTAATAATGAACGCAAGGTCTCAAAGTTGTGTTTGAGGTGTTCTGGCCAAGCCACAGAGACAGGATACAGGTTGTGGTAAAACACATGGCGAGCCATCGCGATCTCATTAAAAAGGAAGTTCGCATGGAGGAGATCCGCAGAGCAGACGAATTACGAAACCGCGAATTGCAGCATTTCGTACAGGCAGAGGAGAACAATATCGCTCAAGAATATGCAAGTCATCGGGCACATATCTCACCGAAGAGCTACGATCACGACCTGTATCGTTTCAGCGAAGCTGTTTGCAATGGAACCGGCAAATGGCTCTTCCGGGACCCATCGTTCCAGAATTGGCTCATCAACAAAGACAAAGCAAAGCCTTTGCTATGGCTCCGAGGTATCCCAGGAGCCGGTAAGCCTGTACTTCCGATACAACCCAAATATCATTTCCTAATTAGCTACTTACATAGGCAAGACACTGCTCGCAAGTAGCGTGATCAGGCACACTCAGTCATTGGATGGCACCCATACTGTATTCGCGTTTCTTACATATCTTAACAGTCATATTTCAGCACTCTCTATCCTCCATTCGTTAATGTTCCAACTAGCGTCTACATCTCTCTCACTCAAGACATTGCTGTGCCAATCAGACCTGCAACATCTCGGCAACGATTTTAATGTCGCTACAACCCTTTTCCAAATGCTTATACAAAGTGCAGGGGTTGTGCGAGTCGTCGTTGACGGCTTAGATGAGATCGAACCTGCACAACGCTCAAGGCTGATAAAGGAACTCCTGAGACTGAGTGCTGAATGTGAAGAGTGCCAAGTCCTCTTAACTAGCCGTGCCGAAAGCGACATCTCTGGTGATTTAGACGGCAAGACTATAGATATCCAGGTCGACAAGAATAATGCTGGTAGTATCCAGGTCTTCATCAACCAAACTATGGGGGAATGGTTCAAAGAGAGGGCCTTCATCCAAGATGTCCAAGACCAGCTCCAAGGCTGGGCTGCACCCCTAGCATTCCGTGCAAAAGGTTTGTTTTTGTTACCTTTTCAGATTTAAAGTCAAGAAGACTTACAGCCAGAGTCTCTAACATTATAATAGGAATGTTTCTTTATGTGAAGGTAATACTCAGGATAATATACTACATCAACGATATCGAAGACATACAAAACCAACTCGAACATCTCCCATCGTCTCTGGAGGATGCGTATGCGCCTTGTCCCTACAATTGTCGCCTTACTAATACTTGTCTAGTTATGGTCGAGTTCTACAGCAAATCAATGCATCTCCAGATCCCCAGAGAAAAAGCCTTGCTCGCTCGATACTTGGCTGGGTGGGATGTGCCCCATCACCCATGACACTCAAAGAAATTGAGCAGACCTTGCTTATTGACCCCGACTGTCCTTCAAATATACCGAGAGTTAAAGCGAAGGTCAATGTTGTGCGGGTCTGCGGCCCGATTGTTGATGTAGTAGATGGTTACGTTCAGTTCGTTCATTTTACTGTTCGAGAGTACGTCAAAGAAAAATGCCCTCTGTCAGCAACTAACAGAAATCAGATACATCTTCAGCACCAAGATTCAGAACTCCATCACTCTTTCTGACATGGCGCTTGACTTGGCTATTCGTTGCCTGGTGTATATGTGCCAGGACCACCATGACCCCGACCTCACCGATGATGAAACTGATGCCAACATTATTTGGGGGGCATATCGCTTGCATCACTTCTCATCGAGCTTCTGGCTTGACTTGATCCACGAATATTTGACCTTATCTGACTCAAATACCATACCTGATACTCTTATTGATCAGCTGAGAATACTTCTCGAGACACGATCATCAGATCATTACACTGAGACTGACCAAAGCGAAAGTTCCCTACACCCAGCCATTCTTGATCTGAAGTCTCAAGAGCCTGCTTTGGTAGAGATGCTAAAAGCCTGTACTGAATTTCAGACATCATTGTCCAAGTCAGATTTTCGGCTTGATAATCGTTAGTTTGTTGACCTTTGGGACCCGTAGTAATTACTAATCCGATCAATAGAGGAGCAGTGGTTTCACACCAGCCCGCTCTCCATTCCCAAAATTTCAATTGCTCTCCATGAGCGGCTCGATGACCTTGATCATGAGGAAATGTCCATTCGGAAATCACTTTCTTACCATTATGGACCCCGGTGCTTCAGATGTGGGTTCTTAGACTGTCATTATCGTCGTTACGGCTTTGAGACAAAGACAGGCCGCCAATTTCACGAAAAAGATCATCGAAAGCCGTGGAATTGCAATTACCCAGGCTGCCGCTTTGCGACCCAGGGCTTCATCTCACGAAAGATGAGAGATGACCATCTGAAAAGTGGACACTCACATGCTGCAGATCATGTTTTGACACACACTGCCCCCCTTGAAAAGTTTGAAGAAGAAGAAATCCAACCTCTTTTGTTTGATTTGATTGAAACTGACCGGGTGGAAATTATAACGTCACTGATGCCTCGTTTAGGCCATTTAACGCTTTTAGTGCAGGAAGAGCTGGCAATCCACGCTGCCAAAATGGGTTCTCACTCAATCCTCCAAATGTTCAACGACCGTGGGTTCCTAACTGGAGCATTTATGAACAATTATGGAATGGACTGGGAAAGGTTTAGTGATCTAGCCAAGAGTACAGTACGAAGTCAGAGCGTCAGCTTGTCCAAAATTCTGTTTTGCTGGGTTGCGACGCTGAACTTGCGTTTAGGGACTCGGGACTTTTGTGTACGGAGATGGGACACCCCCTTTCAATCAGCAGTGAATAGTATAATCGAAACCCTAGTAGTAGTAGAGTCTGAGGATCTGTTTGAACTATGGAACCCAATACTGGCTTCAGGCTTCGGCATTGCGGATAATAACGCGGTAGTTGCACGGGCATTGACGTACGGGCGTGCTATACGCAGTACTGAGAATATCGCAAGCCGCGAACGCATGCTGCTGAAGATTTGGAAAGAACACAAGGTTTTGGAGAAAATGGAAGCGAAAGGTCGGCATAAGGTTCTTTCAGGCATTGCCAGTTCCAGCTGTTCCATCTATTTGGCGCGTTATGCCATTCAACATGGCTGTGGGGTTGACACTCAGTCCAACGGTAACAGTCTAACAGCCTTACAATTCGCATCGAGAAAGACTACAAAAGAAGCAGCATATCTCATGGAGTTCCTACTTCTTCATGGAGCAGACCCAAACAAGCAGACGCCGAAAGGGAGGATCAGGGACGGAAAAGGAGCTCGAGAAATCTCAAAGTGGCTCGGGGTGACGTGGGACCAATTAGTTGAAAGAACTACAGAGGAACGTCAGAGAAACAAGAATAATGACAATGAAGGGTCTGGCGCTGCCTTATAGATGGATTGAATATATCATTTAAATATGTTATGTCATATAAGCAGCTCCCATTTCCCATCTGAATGCCCATTTACTCTCGATTCTTTGAACGAGCCATTGCTCAAGTTTCTGCAGACAGTTAGTCCGAGGTCTTTTTGCCTTCGTATACGACTACATACGCTTAAAGTCGCATTGTCTATAGCAGTTCTACTAGAGTCATCATTGACACTCCATGCATTCCGAATAAGCTGTGTTTTCTCAACTTGGATGCTTTGAACATACTACTCGACGCAGTTAGACTATGCTTCCTAGATACTGACTTGACAAATAGACGTAGATAAGTATGACTCACCTCCTCGATCGAGTCTGGAGTTATATATTTGGTAGCAGTGACGTGCCGCTGCTGGCCCGTTCGATGAACACGTGCAATCGCTTGCTCTTCGGCCATGGGGTTCCAATGAGGCTCGAGTAGGTGCACATGATTAGCCGGGGTCAGATCAATGCTAGACGTTGGTTATACTGTTAGCATACGTTTGCTCTAGGCGTCCGGACACCTACCCTTCACCGCCACTCCCAATTGTGGCCAGCATTACAGTACAGCAAGGATCGTTTGTAAACGTAGACAGTGCTTCCTCTCTTCGCTTAATGGAACACTTGCCGTCAATTCTCTCACACGAGAAACCGGCCTGTAGGAGAGCATTTTGGACAAGATTTAACACGCTAGTCCAGTAGCTAAACACCACACTAGTAACCATTAGCAATAGTTGTATATATTTCGGCATTGTCACCTTTTAACCGGTGGACTGGCCGAGCATGTCAAATTCTTGATTTGTTCAGCTTCGATGTTCTGAATCATCTTTTGCACTTTAGCCGATGGACCGGTCTGGATAGATATTCCCAGACTCTCCGCTTTGCTATTAGTCCTTTTTGTGCAGTAGTTTGGACCAATACTACAATTGGTCTGGGGTGTAGCAGTGTCGCTTAATTGACTAATTTGCAATCTTGTCCCGTGACTGTTTTCCGACCTCCATGCTTCAATGTCCGATGCTGATAAGAGGTCCTCTCCGTGATCGCAAATCCGACGAAGATTGTTGATTAGAGATAGAATATTCTTCTTTTCCCTTCCCATCTCTGAATGGTTAGCGGGATAGTTATTAGGGGAATCGTGAGCGTTCTTGGCGGCTTCAGTTTCGAAAAAGTCGTAAAGAGCGCGGTCATATGGACGCAGATGAACCTTTTCTTCGCGAATTGTCGGGGGAGGGAGTGCTTGTGAAACGCTAGATTTTGTCCGACGGAGACACGTCGCTTCAACTAGAATCCGGAGCTTTCGGAGACCTTCTTTGGCCTTATCTCGAATTGGATTGGATATCCAACGATCGAATGTGGCCTTGGTAACGAGAGGCTCTATCTTGATGAAGGCCAATAACGCTCCGTAGTTATCGATGGAATTCACAATAGGCGTTCCTGTGAGACACCAGCGCCTCGGTGACTGGAGCTCACATGCGGCCTGAAAGACTTGAGTTGACCTGTTACCGATACGGTGGGCTGCATTCGTTAAGCGCATGAACAAAGTGTTAAGATAACAATACTGACCCTCATCTAGAACAACGCGAAACCATTGCGCTGTGAATAACGGACCCTTGTTAGTCCACTCAGACCTCAAGGTCTGATATGTTGTCAAGACAATGTCATTTTTCCGGAAATCCTTGACAAGGTTTTGTCTACCAGTACCATAATAAAGGGCAACACGTATCTGACCCGGCACAATGTGGTTCTTGATCTGAGCTTGCCAGCTAGGAATTACTGCTTGCGGTTAGTGAAAGCTATGTTACCACATCATTATGGACTTTACTGCTCTTAGGTATAACAACCAATGTTGTTGAAAGCTCAGAGCCATTCCCTTGAGCCTCTGTGTCCCTCAACAAGTCCAGCGACCAGCAAATGAGAGACAGTACGCAGAGGGTTTTGCCGAGACCCATTTCCTAAAAGACAAAACGCGTCAGCTATACAATATTCAGAGCGGGAGTGTAAGGGTCTTCTGACATCAGCAAGGATTCCTCCAGCACAGACTGGGGGAACATCGACCCTATGTCCCGTAATTCTGTGGCGGTATTCTCTGTTCATTGTTAGACTTCCATTCTTCCTCCCCTGTAGGTTACGTTGAGATATCATACCTACTCCCACCAGTAGATACATCGCGTGCGACCCACAGCGAAGGACTTTGGGGGCTTTCAACGTTGGTACACTCCTTTTCGCTCATAACCGTAAGAGCTTTGAGCTGATAGCTATAGCTTGTTAGTTCCAGTGAGAGAATAGGGAGATTATCACGGTTACTCTTTCAGGCTGGTCCGGAGCCTTGGGCTTGGATCGGTCGTCGGTCGAATAGAAAGATCAGCTGCGGTGTCAAAAACGCCTATCAACTGTCCTTTCTTCTTCTCATCCAAGGAAAAAGACGGCTTTGATGCGCTTTCGTTGTACTCGATAGCAAGGTCTTCCATTTGTGGCATGCGAGACCCTGGAGTAACGAGATAATGTGGGTTAAAGTATTCCGTGTCCACCTCAAAATATTCGATTTCCCGAGGTGACGGATGTTGAAGGAAAAAGTCATTGGTAGATAAGAGGGCTCCCATCTCCGCCGCTTCTTCAATCCCGCTGAACAATAGGACGCGAAGAGTTGCTGGGGCAGTCAACAGAGCACTGAGCTTTACGGAAGGGCGGTCTAGCAACTGTGATGGAAACAAGTCCGTGACGATGCCCGCGTATGCTCCCGTGTCTGCCTTAGAGAGTTTCATGATACTGCCACACTGCCGCAGGTTGACTGTAGCTTCAGATTCTTCTCGCTTCTTAAAGAATGACGATGTGGTCTTCAAGGTTATCTGTTCAAGTCAGCGCCCGTTTGAAGTAACTTTCTCAAGCTTACCATTCCGAGGCAGACATCGCGAGCTGTCTCTGCGACAAGTGCTTTGCCTTCGATCTCAAGTCTCGGTTCATCTTTAATTTCTTCTCTAGGTTCTGAGATGCTGATCGAGAAATCGTTGTCGCACGTGAGCTGAGGAAACGATTCGGAGTTAGACCAGAAAAAGTCTCCGATGTTGTCATAATCGACGTCTGGCGCCGGGGAGTGCAGGCGTGGCCTTTTACAGGCTCGTACAGTGTCTTGGTCGTCCAAATCCATTTCCGAGGCCACTCAAAGCAACTGTGGGAGGATGCAGTGTGATGAGAGCATATGACAGCACAATTATTGAGATGCAGTGTCAAGATGCAGCCTGGCTTCTGAGAACGCCTTGAAAAAAGAGGCAGCCCTGCTTACGCCTCGTTGACGCACAGCCACAAATGAATCTGCCTCGGCGCCAAGGGCCTTGAAATTATTGGTTGCCTACTTACCAATAAGCATGAGGCTGTTTTATCTTTTTTCCTGTGTGCAAAAGTAGATTGTTTCAAGAAAGAAAATTGATTAAATTCATGCTATAATGTACTGAGTCTTGTACACTACAGTTCTCACCCAGGCATTCAGGTTAAAGCAATGAAGCCAGCCACGGACTAGGCCTTTTGATTCAACTTCCACGACTAGTACGCCATTCTCCACGGACTTAGCTAATAACGGCGCTGGAAAGATAGCCGTTAGTATTATAGCTGATGTATTGGCCAGGCTGGTATTACTGTTTTAATTCTACTACGTAGTAAAGAAGGTCCGTCAGGGTGTTGAAAGTGGCATCTTAGTAATGAATTGAATTAAATCTGTTTGCTAGGCAATTAGATAAGATTTTATCTATAGTTGTCACGGTATTATACTAAGGTCCTTACCGCCGATCTTAATAACTTAGTACCCGGGTCATTACCAGGCTAGACGAATAATATTATATTATCTATGAGCCTATCTCTAAGTGCATGGGACCACTGACCCGGCTGTCCCCGCATTATTGTTAGCCATCACAGAGAAGGTCGAGCCGCTTCTGACCATACTGTATCTCACGACATAATTGTGCGAAAATGGTGGGCATTACATGACCCGACATTTTGGCCTTTTCGAAGTTCCTCGCTTCGTCATACAAAAGTGTGGCAGGCTGAGGTCGTGACCCAATTCATTCCGCTGCTGATAACGAGACCATGGGTGTCTCACTGGCACCAATAGACTGTTGAGCTGCACAAGTCACATTCTGGAGCTTCCTCCTTGCGGTTTATCTGTTCTTTTCCTGGATGTCCAGTTCTGATGGCTTTAGTCTAGACTCAAGCCACAGCTGTTTGTATGCAGCTGAATGTGCTTTGGGTGTTAGAATATGAGACAAAATAAATGCCATAAAGGCGGGGAAGAAATCGTTAGATCAGCCCGCAGCTCCACAAACGGCTTGGTTTGGGGGGCGGGTGAGACGGAACGGCCCCTAAAAGCTAGTTGTTGAGTTAGCGAGGAAAAGCTGAAAGATTGACAACCCGACCCACCAATAATGGTAGTTATCACACCAAATCCCGTCACGAATAGTTCACATTCCTCTACTTTGTCTCAAACTATCGTGGAAACTCATGGAATTTAGAATGCTTTGCGGATACTCTCTTGGCTAAGGAGGAATTTTAGTGCTCCCATCAACTTCAATGTGCGAATTGTATCCCTAGACTAAAGTAAAACACCTCCACATGGCGTTACCAATGTCATTGGTTTCTGCTCCCATGTGTTACTTCGATAGCTCTTGGAGGAGAAAGCTACCCAACAATATAGAGCTCAGAAAAGTATATATATTGGTGTCTTCACAGGTGCTCGCCGTGATTTCCTTCTATAACAAAAAAACCAACTCAGTCTTAATACCATATTATTCCTTCACACTTTTACACCTAACCTCATTCATCATGACGAAAATCGTTACCCGCAAGAACATCCGGACCATGCCGGCCGAGGTGCGTGACAACCTCGTCAGAGCATTCGCAGGTATTCAAAAGCTTGACCCAACCGATCCAAATTCATTTTTCATGATCGCTGGCTACCACGGTGAGCCCTTCCGTGGCGCCGGCTGGGGCAATCCCCAATGGTGGGGAGGATACTGCAACCATGGCAATGTCCTCTTCCCAACATGGCACCGTGCCTATCTTCACCGTCTTGAGAGGGCTCTGCAAACTATCGTCCCTGGTGTGGCTATGGCCTACTGGGATGAGACTGAGGAGTGGTCTCTCAAGAATGGTATTCCCGAATTCTTCCTTACGCCTACGTACACTTGCGAGAACGGAGAGGTGATTGATCCCAATCCCCTCCACTCGTACACCTTCCAGGCAAACATCACTGATCATCTTTCCCCTCTTCCCGACACCAATTACTCCAAAGGTGTCGGTTACCAGACCGTGCGCTACCCATTCTCTGGCCTCGTCGGCACCCCCAAGCTGAAGAAGAAGAGCGAGTTTCACAACAAGCAGCTCACAGAGCTAGGTGTTGACGAGACAAACAAGATGTTGAACTTGAACATCCTCACCTGGCTCAATCAGGTAGACTTTCAAAACAACAAGGGCAAGACTATCAAAGCCAATGTCAGCTACAAGTACGGTGCTTGTCTCAATGCACCCAACTACACTGTCTTTTCCAACACAACTTCTGCTCAGCAGTGGAATGACGACAGAATTGATAACAAAGGCTATGTTCCCATCGTGCCGCTCGAGTCTCCCCATAATTCTATTCACTTAGCTGTTGGCGGCTTTCAGCTCAAGAAGCAACATTCAGACTTCAACCAATATAGCGGAGCCAATGGTGATATGGGCGAGAACGACACGGCCGCTTTTGATGTACGCAAATCCTTCACTTTCTTTCTGTCTAACCTTGCTAACACCTTTGATTCTAGCCAATCTTCTTCTTCCACCATTGCTTCATCGATCTCGTGTTCTACGAATGGCAGAAGAAGAATGACGCATTAGAGTCGTTTGAAATCATTCACGGATACCCGGGCACCAACTCCGTCGACAACCAAGGACCGACTCCTGGTGTCGCCGGCGGAACCTGGCTCACACTCGACAGCGCTCTAGATCCGTTCAAGAAGCCCGGCAGCCAGACTGATCCCATGACCTCTCGCGACGTAGTCAACCCTCAGGCTCTAGGCTATAAATATGAATACAACAGCAGCTCTCCTAACAACTTCAACGCCGGCAATCCCGACCTGTATGTACCTGAAGACGAAGATCCAACTCCAATCCTTGCAGTCAGCAACATCAACCGCTCCGCCATCGGTGGTTCGTTTATGATCACCGCGTTTTCCAAATCTGAGATAAATGAAGAGCCGGTGCTCGCTGGTACTGAGGCCGTATTGAGCCGCTGGCATGTTGCGGGTTGTGCCAATTGCCAGAATCATCTTGAAGTCAGAACACATATCCCGCTTCATGGATGGAGCAAGGAGAAGGCTGAGAATGCAGAGTTCGAGGTTAAGTTGCAGACACGTAATCCAAAGGTTGCCAATCATGTCAACTTTGGGACCGTGCCTGACCAACAGCCCGCCCCAAGCTTCAGGCTTGTAACCTCGCATATGGAGTAGTGCCTCGCTTGTATCGAACCAAACTGATTGATTTGCTTAATCTCGACAAGAGCTCTACACCAGTCATCATCTTACTGCGCCTCATATAAATGATAATAGGAGAGGGAGAGAAACTGCAGAACCAACAAGAAGAACCCCGCCTTCCATTTCTTTTTAATCTTTTCTTTTTTGTATTCACTAGGGACACTTTTCTATTTATGATTTATCTTACTGAAGCTTCAACTTTGTGTATCGTGTTAGTGTTTTGGGTCCTTTTCCCATAGCTGTGTGATCTGGCTATTTTATCATTCGAGCCAAGATACAGTGAAGGACTAACAAAGCAGCTCCATATACCAATTGCATGCACTACCATTTCCCATCAGACCAGGTTTTATTGAGGTTGTAGACAAAGTCGACTGGGATGGAACGGACATTACCAATATCCCATGGCTTACTGGAATTTCCCAAAGAGCCGTCAAACATACTCTTGCAGGCTGTTGGGGTCATAGCAGCCCAGTAGTAAATCCAGTTCATGTATCCAAGGCTAGTCTTGAGCTACAGCTCGTAGTTTTGCTGAGGTTGGTCAGGTACTCAACCATGATGCTCTTGTCGGGCCACTGGGGAGTTTTAAGCCTTTCAAAGTTACTTTAAACAGAGACGATAGCTGCATAGAGACTACAAGAGGGAGACTGGTAGATGTCGGTAAAAAGATGTAACAGTATCCCGGTCGTGGCGATGGCCACTGACAAGGATTCTATAGGCTAGCTGACCGGGCGCAGATTAGGGCAGGCTTACCATCTACATTAACAGTAGAGTACGGTTAAAATCGGTTGGCGATATAAAGCAGAGGGTGCGATCTATCTAGTCGTACCAGAGTACAAGATTCGGACAGTTTATAATCTATTAATGGTAGCTAGTTGTATACGGGAAAGCTGGGCAGAACCACAGAGGAAAAACCTGAACCTAGTAACCTACAATAGAACAAGAATACATAGTACAAATAGGGCTGCGACATAGACGTCCACACCGCGCTGAAATTCCACGTTACCCAATCAACCATTCGAAATAACTTGGTACGAGTAGCAAAAGAGTGAGCTCTCCGGGGTCATCATGTCCTTAGCTGCTGAATAAAATCGAAGGGCCACCAAGTTAAGTTTCAAGGCTGTAATAAGCTGTTTGATTCCTACCAGGTTAATTACCATCAATTCTAATTCTTATGGAAACTTTTATCATGCTTTTAACTCAGTGCTAATCCCAGGGCACAGCGATATTACTTGTACCTGACCTGACCCAAGTCATAATTTTACAACTTTCAACTTTGTGCTCTTTCCAACCCTCACTTATTGTCAGTCACTCTATTGCTATTGTTGGTTTCAAGATTGAGAACCTAGTAACCTTCTTTAATACTCTTGCTACTGTTAAACCTTGAGTTTTAGCGCAGTAGTAGTACTGTACATAAACAATCCCGTCAATAGAATGAATATCATCTACCTAAGTCCTTGCTGTTATGTTTAGTTCCTTTTATCTACAGGGCCGAAAAGACCTTCTTTCAGGATAACCGGGGACACAATGGTCTCTCTGGTAACAATACTATCCCGTTTCTGCCTCAAATTGACAGCTCCCCATCGCAGTAACTCTCCGAAAGTACCTGGCTCGTTGTCTTTGCCATCGTTCTCATCCCAAAGTAGTCCTAGATGTGGAGAGTGCGTTAGACCCTTTCCATGCGTGACCTTTTGCCAGCTGGCGTTACTCAAAAGGTGCCAGACCAGCTTGTGCGCTTCTTGGAAATCTTCCAACTCAGGGTTGGTATCAAGTGGCAAGCTGAACAGGTCATACAATCGTTGTCCTGAAGAGAATCCAACCAAATTCTCGGCAGCCCAGTTCTCGGTTCGCGCATCAATACCGAGAATGTGCTCCTGCCAATACTTGGACCCATTGAAGTTGTCGCCAGTATCTTCGAGCATAGTCAATCGTCGCCAGCACATGACTTGCGAGATATACTCAAGTACCTGCTGCACGTCGATCTTGAAGTCCCATGTCCAGCCTTCTGCTTCGCTAAAGTCGATGTCCTTGACGAAGCCAAGGGCTGGATTGTTACTCATCCCAACGTAGTTGTGGCGATTTCCCCACAGATGAAGAAACAATTTATGCCTTGCCCTGTCAGTAAATATGTCAGGAGTGATTGGCCAGACTTACCATCTTTTAATAAAAGGATTGCCTTTGCGGGAGGCGGTGAAGTGATTTGCAATGGTCTGGCCGTATATAACAGGCACGGCCACCTCAAATGGTGACTTGTCATCAGCAATCTGATTCCAGCAAACGCGATCCATATCCCGCATGAGAATACATCCAACATCCATAGCCACTCCACCATGATGGATCAGCAAAGCGCCTCTCAAGAAGTCCATAGTGTGTGGTCCAACATATGGGCCATCCATGGTTCCTTTGACCAAAGCCTCGGGAAGCAAATCGGCGGCGACGAAATTCAATATGTGATTGGGTGAATCAGGTACCGTGTCAAGCACATGGACTGTCCATGACGGACCACAGATACGTACCCAGTCAGCCACATTACGTTGACACCAGCTTGGCAAGTTGTCAAGACCAGAGTGCCAGAAGGCCCAGATGTTTTTCTCTGAAGTGACGGGGACATGGGTGTTAAGTGAGGCAATGATGTCTTTGGTGGACCGAGTATCAGGGTTCTTAACAACTTCCAGCTGGGAGGCTAGCTCCTCAGGAATCGTAAAAGGTGCCATGATGTAGAGAATTATACTGCTGAGAGAGATGTGTCTTGTCTCTGTCAGTAAAGAGATGATATTGGGCTTTATATAATTATATGGACCATCCATCTTTAAGATCTTCATTGACAAAGGTCCGGGATATAGTCATAGATGCTGTTGATGAGATCAGCACTAGTCCGGAAGTGGACGATTAGCCCAAAATTATACCTACATATCAGGTTCTGAGGCACTAGTAATCATTACTATTGATCCCTAAGGATCGGAGGATCGATCCGGCACGTATACCAGTCCCAAGGTGGTGGGGTAGTGAGAGCGAAAGTCGCGATCTGCAAGCTGCATTATTAAAGATACCTGGATCTTAGTGCTATCTCCCGCTATATAAAGATGTATTCTATATCGAGTATTTAATTAGATGAAGCTTCTACGGGTATAGTTATTACGCTCCCTCTGATCCTAAGGGATAGTAAGCGAGCCAGACTTAGTTAGTCAATCTCGTTCATTGATCAGTCCAATACTCGTGGGTCTGATGAAAAATAGCCGTACTCTTCGAACCGATTGATACAAAGAAACAGCAAAAAGAAAACATACAACAGTGAGGATTCCCCAGTCGTCACCGACCTGAGTACTAATTCACCGCTTCTTGGCTTGACTAAGGGAGAGCGGACGGGATCCCGTATTTTACAAGAGCTGTGGTCGTATGTGAAGAATTGGCCTGGGTATTCAACTTATGGAGAGACTCTCTTAATGACTCGGACTACCCTCGAACTACTCCGAGTTCTCTCCGGCTCATTGAGGTAACCAGGAGTGAGCTGTGGTCCTTCGCAAATGAGCCCTTCGAAGAGTGGGGCTATTTTTCATCAGACCCACGAGTAGCCATCGGCTCAATTTCGAGAACAAGGCTTCTCATTCCGGTTTGCGATGCCCGATGTGATGTAATCAACCTCACAATGGTATGGCAGGTAGCTTGATAGTGAGCGTTGTACGAAGGAAAAGATTTCTACTAGACCCCCCGACATCCGGCACGCAGTCAGTACAGAATCAAAACCAAGTATTGCTTGCCGCGTGCTGAACGGTCATATCCAATAGGCCCCCAGAATGGAGCACAACAATTTAGATTAGGTTAAAATTTAGGGTACTTCATCACAGCAGGCAAAGGTGAAGCTTTAACATCATATATCATGTCTTGACAAGAACGAAAGTAAGTGTGGGACAATAAGAGACCTTGCAGTCTGTGATCCGGGGACAGCAACCAGTAAAGTACAGCTTGGCTTACAGTAACCGGGGATCACGCACACTATAGTGTTTCATTTTCACCGGCCAAACAATAACAAGGTACTGTGGTCTAGTTGGTCATGACATCTCGTTAACACCGAGAAGGTCCCCGGTTCGAGCCCGGGCAGAACCTCACTTTTTTTGAATTTGCTTTATCTAGCCAATGCTACTAATGCTCTAGAAGGAAACTAATTTTTAATATCTTAATAAGAGGAATAAGAAATCCAGCTCTATGCAGGACGAGATCTACATATTAACCAAGAAGTATTAGCGTGTGAATTATACCCTATGTGTACTTATATCCTTTTTCACCTCTTCTTTGATAGCTAAGAGTACTATTACTTTACAAATCCGTCGTATACACAATCTCTTCATTCCCAGTCAAATTGACCGTCCAGTATAGAGGCTAAGGCCTATTAGGGCATACTAATCTCAGGAATAACACTGCTTGTTAGAGAGGAAAACCCAAGAGCTGCCCCCCACTAATTACTTAACTCAAACTAGAACACCTGAGTTCTATCGCTGAATTAACTTCTCTACCTCTGCCCTGCCTTTCCACTAATGGGCAGACAAGCGTTTGATTAATTCAAGAATTACTACGTGAATTTGTCGCAGCTTTTACTAAATTAGAAATATCTAGATATGTCCACGTTAAATCTTTCTTAAGTGGTGTTTTATTTATGGATCTGGTTAATACATTCTCTTTCTCATACATCTTAATACTTTCCGGACGTTACTAATAACTTATAAGCAAGCACAGTGAATAGCTCATAGGAACTAAGAGACAACCGAGGAGTGGTGGATAGAACTATGCGGATTGATTAATACTAGATCTAAGGGTTAATTTTCCCACCTTTTCTTCTTTCACAACCAAGATTCATGTAACGTTAACCAGGATCTGTAAAACATGATTGAATTAACCCCCAAACATGGTTTGAACCGCGCACATCATGTATCGTAGTAATGACCGTGGCGCCAACGATACTAGTTTCAGCCGCAGCACTCTAGTTAAAGGGCCAGCACCAGTAGATAACATTAACAGTCCAGCCGTCCACAGTGTACAACACCCACGGCTTACCACTGGGCCCAGTACCCTTGTAGCAGTTATAGGTATGGAACCCATTCGTGCCCGTGCCAGACCAAGCATTTCCTTGTTTGCCACCAGCATCTGCAAATATGTTTGACGTGAAAGATACACCACTGCCGAAAGTTCCTTGTTGTGGTTAGTTCTGATTCAAGGTAATGTAGCAAAGAAAACTTACCCTTTACAGGCTGACCCTCCCAGTGTACATTGCTTCCATGAACAATGTCGACATAGTCATCGGGACGGGATCCACCGGTTGATTCGTGGCCGTCGCCATAGTATGCCATTCCGCTGGAGACTTCATTCCCTTTGGAAGAGTTCACAAGGTAGATTGTGTCACGGGCAGTGGCAGCCCCAACAAGGGCGGAAGTGAGGAAAGAGGTGATCTTCATGGTGATTGACGAGGTTGGATGATCTACTGGGGCATCGTGATTTCTGTTGATGAAAGCACTACATGTTTATATAATGAGAGGATGGAGATTCTCGTGAAAAGATCAATTACCAACCAGTAATAGCTTGACCGACAGTCTAGAACGTGGTATCCATTTTCCCTGTAAGGATGTTTTTTTATTAAGATGCCCGCTTACCAGGCTCACATCAGCGGCTTCTTATTTAATGCAATGCTACCCATTTGCCCGCCTTCAGCGTCAGCGGCCTTCGCTGGATCAAGTAGCTACTCTACTGAGCTGCCAATAAGAGGAGCCAATCTTTAGTACATGCCTGCCGACCCTGGCCCTAGTATCGATTCTGCCCTGCAGGTAATACGAGATTTGACAGAATATGAATGAACTGACAAGGCTCGGGCCGCATTTTCGGAACGACCAGTGCCGGGCTTGCTAAACTACATAGGACTTGCGTTACAATTGGTGCTCTTTTACTGTCCCCTGGTCCCTGGCTATTGCCTGCAATATTCTCAACGCGAGCAATGCCTGACCCATTACTTTCAACTCAAAAGAAGGTCACAAATTCTCTGCTGGGCACAGGAGGCGATTTGAAAAAAAAAAACCGATTTACCTCTTATCGTTGGGAGACACGTATTGTGCCGCGCGACAAAAAGGGTCAAATTACGAGATCACGACCTGGTCAACGTCAATGCAACACAGGACGTTCTACAGAGTTGTGTGAATCGTGTTCCAGGCTTGCGGTAAACCCTCTGTCAGCACTCCTAGTCAATTAAATCCCCTCAAATCAAATTGGGTTCATACCTTCAATTTATTAGATTGGATTGTATTGGATTGTAGGGTTATAGATAGGCAAATCTCGATCTCATATAGGGTAGTTGTATTTCTAGAAAGAGATGAAATCGACACCTCTTATCTTATCGTTATCTTATCAACACACTGTACTCCACAACCAATTCAAGTTATACCGTATCGACTGAGCAAATTGGGCACGCCTCGTGGATACCACTATGGATACATGCACTAAACAGCTGCAGCTCTAAGTGGTTCATCCGGCGAAGAGGGTGGCTAAGTCGGCAATATTTAACTCTTATAGCCGGCTTATATCCAAGCGAATCAGTAGGACTTTTATTTGGCTAGTGCATGTATCCACAGTGGTATCCACGAGGCGTGCCCAATTTGCTCAGTCAATACGGTATTGATATTGAAATTCATTCTGAGCTTTCTATATCAAGTCCAAAGGTCGCTAAATTGAAAATGAGTGAATTAAGTTGATATTTGATTTGTTAGGAGCCCTGGTATTAATTCTCTTGTCTGAGCTGTGTGGTAGTTTGCTTGTTCAAGATGGGAAACCGGAGAGCGTAAATTGGAAATGTGTTCAGGGAGTCAACCAATCAATGACGCTATTAACCCCGCATTCATCCAACATATCAATGATGATCACAAGCTGCCGGGGGTTTGGCGGTGTTATCGTTAATTCTATACCTAATGTTTCTAAATGAGTAAGTGCTGACTTCCACGATCCTTCTCACGACTTTAGGTTCGACGACGGATCTGTGCCCCTGCCTGCGTCTCCGGTATCCTCGCATATTGACATCGTCAACACATTTTCGACTCCTACTCCTACTAGACTTGTCTATAATACTTCACTCCACAGTTATGGCCGATGAGTATGAACAAGCACTCCCTAAGTAGTGCATGTACGATAAGTTCATTCAAGACACCGGCAACAACCAAGACTAGCAACTATCTGTGGAGCGTCTTACGCGAGAAGACTAGCACACCTTGGCCATCAATCATGCTGGGCTCAAGAACGAGCAGCGATCTATCTCAGAGCGACATATCGTGTCTTTGCTTTAAAATCAGCATCAAACAACTTGGTACTGTGGTCTAGTTGGTTATGACATCTCGTTAACACCGAGAAGGTCCCCGGTTCGAGCCCGGGCAGAACCTCACTTTTTGCCTTTGTTAACAACCTCATCATATACTAATTATCACAAAATCCCTCTTCACATCGCTGTTATTGACCGAGTCACTTTCCTGGCTGATGTAAGAGGTGATCGCTGATTATACCAGCTCAAATCTGAAGATACGTACTAGCAAAGAGACTGCTGCTGGGTGTATATTATTGAGGTGATGTTTCAACCGACGTAGGGACCAATGCCGTCATCGTTCTGACTGTCCGATACGACAATCAATCAGCCCGCAGAATGCCAAGCGTGCCCAGATTTACTCACGCACGTGGTCATGGGTCTGGATCGTACTACTCATTGATCTGCAGCCCATAGATTACTACTGTCTGAAATCACTCCAGGCTTAACTTTCAGAATGGTTTGGATGGCCTGCGTTTACCCAAAAGCCGACTCCCAGAGAAAGAGATCCCATGAATACGAAAGGTGGCTACCCTAGGTAGCCGTGGCTTGTCCAGAGTCTTTACTGCTATACAATATAATTGGCTGTTCATCAAGGCAGCTTTCCATTTGTGTAGGGCCGAATCGTCTAACAATCGCATAACCCATTCGCGAATATCTTAGAGTAATAACGCCAGGAAGCAAGGTTCAATAGTGGCTTTTTATGCTTGTTATTAATGCATCATTACTGTTGTATGAGATCCCCGCCCACAAGCCACCTGCGACATCAGTGAACTTAGCTCGTAGGAGATCATTTAAATACGATGCCTCGCGCATTCGGATTCGACGTAAAAAGTTCAGGCTTCAATCAGTTAACCACATGTTCTATTGTCCATGGCTGTTTTGCGACGGAAAGATGGACCGTGATCATCGAAGAGTGAGTGGCTATTCGTACTAATTGCTAGGCTTTCGATAGTTTATAGAGCTGAAAAGAAAAAAGTCAGGCGCCACGATAAGTAGCGCCATGTGAAAACGAGTGCGGGGAATACTCAACTCTATGTAATGTAAGTTTCCAGTTGATGAATCACTGTAGGCACTACTAAATGATATTATAGTAACTCTTCCCGATACCTTATAATAGTTATGAGTTTCCACTCATCTAGATCTCTGCATCCAGTTATCCAGGGTAATAGTCGAAGAAATATTATACTAATTGCCAGAATAGACTTACCTTACATGGGATTAAGAAGATGGGGTTTACTCGTACGGTAATTAAAGAATTAAAGAATTTACCTACGTTATGGCGATATACGCGAGCAAGTACAAAGCAGAGTATCTTACAAGAGAGTACGGAGTATTGGAGGGTCGACTTATGTTTGGGCTAGAAATGCCCTAATGGATTTGGAGGGTGGGAGGGTAAGAAGAAAGCCACAAAGAAGAAGCAGTCTGACGTATAAAACTAACTCCCCCCTCCTTCATGATTGTAATATTTCTAGCACTCCCTCAAACAGCACGAAATTACTACTCCGTTACTCTTTGCACCAAAATAAATAAATAAAGTCTTTTTAAACATTACTTTACCCTGAGCACAAATCACCTGTCAACATGAAACTGTCAGTTGTTACTCTCCTCGCCGCCGTGCCAGCCATTGTGGCGGCCCCAACCCCGGAGCTCAACTCTGAACCCTTGAAAACCCCAGCCAGGCGTGAGGCAAATGCGCCTGCCGGGGGAGTTTCTCTCGATAACAGAAATTCTAGGAGGTGGTCTCATCACGATGCAAAAACAGACCGCAGGGATGTGCTCGAGTCTGATGAGGAAGAGGAGGATATAACTACAAATAATGGTCGTGGTGGATATGGCGGTGGCAGAGGTGGTAGAGGTGGTAGAGGGGGTGGTAGGGGCAGTAGTAGTTATGGTGGACGAGGTGGCAGAGGGGGTAGTAGTGGTGGACGAGGTCGTGGTGGACAGGGTCATGGTGGACGAGGTCATAGTGGTGGAGGTCGTGGTAGAGGAGGTCGTGGTGGTTCTGGAGGGGGCTATGATTACCCGGTTGTTCAACCTAAAGCCGAAAAGTCAGGTGGCTGAGGAGTAATCACCCAGGTGTTGCATAACGTCAGCCCGTTGGTGTCAAACGTGGTGCAAACGGTGAATCCCTCACAACGAAGTAGACTAATAAAGTTTGGTCCAGAAATAGTCAAGTTCCCTAGGTCTCTATCATCTTGACTTGAAGATATAATTATACCTAGGCGCATCTGTTTAATATACCTGCATTCTAGTATATAATTGCCCAATTGTATATCACGATACTATTGGCTTCTTGCCAAACCAGAACCTAGCCCCTATTATCACAATTGGTACAGTAGTCCATCACAACACTACAAGAATTAGAGAGACGAATATGTCCGCACATCCAAATACCATCGTTCTCCTTAGCGTTCTCTCGACTATTGCACAGTTAGTATAACTCTTAAGATGGGAGAGGGGTTCCACATACGCTGCAATGATATCACTGCCCTTCATACCAATTCCATAATCATCACACTCGAACTTGGCAATACACGCAGCTTGCCCAAAAGACGCTGCCATTAGAATACCCTTCTTGGATCGGCTGTAGCGGGTTGTGTAGCCGGTGTAGATAGTATCAGCATCGAAGTCGTTGATGGCCCGATCACAAGCGTCACCTAAACCATCCTTTGACAGTTTATCGGATGTACCACACTGCCCACTACCGTCGTTGTCGACAGCCGTCTGGGTAGGTAGAGGTGTTGAAACTGTCGAGGGATCGCCATATCCGATCGTGGCTGTAGCAGTGGTGCCAAACCCCTTCATAGTAGAGGTTGTGTAGGCCGAGTACACCAAGACTGTGCCGTCGTTGGTAGTAGTGAAAGGTGTTTGGATAGGTTCTTGGGGCTTTGGGGCCTCAGTCACAGGAACAACCTTGGAGGGATACGCTGTATAGGCCGCGCACTCCTTGTCAATGAGAGGTGCTGTAGCGACATACTGTTTGCCATCAACTGTTGTAACACATTGGCAGTAGGGATCTGCGACACGAGGTCCGCCGAAGTAGTTGCATGGGTAGTAAGTGCGGACTTCTTTCGTAGTGGTAGCGACATCAGATGTACTGATATCAGTTGTGGCTGTATCAGATGAAGCCCTTGTGGTTGTCAAGAGTGTGCTTGGTGTTGATGTAGGCAGGGTAGTATCAGATCCCCTTGTAGTAGTCTCAGTTGTCTGATCCTCGCTAGTAGTGTGTTCAGTAGTTCTCTCCTCCGTTGTCTTGACCTCCGTTGTCTGGACGTCAGTCGATGTTGTATCGACAGGAGCGGTAGTGCTCTCCGCCGTAGTCTCAGTTCCAGTGGCAGCCTCATCTCCAAGAACCTTTTCCCATTCAGCCTCCAGCTCGGCTTGGATCTCGTCGTCGACGGGTGCAGTGGTATAGTCCTCTGGGATTTCACCTTCATCTTCAGGAAGATCTCCAACCCAGACAAAATCCGAGTCAGGTGAGATGGTGACTGTTGCGGTGGCTTGGGTCTCAGTGGCACAGCTAACGATGGTTGGGCAGTCTCCAAACACGGTACTGGTGTAATGTCAGTAAGTTCATATCCAGGTCTTTATTCTGTGGACTTACGCAATTTGTGTTCCGTCAGAAGTCATGTAGGAGATGGTCCTTGTGCAATCAGGCTGAGTCTGAACACTGCAGCCTTCAGTTGTGGTGGTTGCTTCAGTGGTAGGCTTGGCGGTAGTCTCTTTGGTAGATTCCTCCTCTTCCTTCTTAGTTGACTCCTTGTCATCCTCTTCCTTGTTGTCAGGGTCGGGGTTACCAGTAGGAGGAGGAGGTGTAGTGCCACCACCACCACCACCGCCGCCGCCGCCACCGCCTCCAATCAAGTTCCAGAACCAGCCAAAGGGGAAGATAACAATGACGTTACCATCATCATCTGTGGTGGTTGTGGTGCCTGTGAAAGAAGTGTAGTCAGGGTTCTGCTTAGCAGCATAAGTTGCTGTGCTACCATCAGCTCCAGTGACAAGCGCAGCTCCAGGAACCGTGGTTGCTGGTGGTGCTGAGTCGGTTTGCTTAGGAGGCTCTTCAGTCTGGCCTGGGTTCTCATCTCCAGGCTTGTTTTCAGTTTCCGTGGGCTTAGGGGGATCAACCTCAGTGGTGGGCTCAGCAGCTGCGGGTTGAGACTCCGTAGTTTCAACTGGAGGTGGCAAACTCTCAGTGTCCTTGGGAGGCTCCACGATATCTGTGGTAGTGATAGACCCATTAGTCTGCTCGTTGGCCTGAGTGGTGGTTTCAGGAGCAGGCGCCGCATCGGTTGAGACGTCAACTGCACCAGTCTGAGAGGTTGCGTCTACTGGTGGCTGAGTGTCCAAATTCTGAGTAATCTCAGTGGCAGGACCAGTGGTAGGTACCACGTCAGTCAACTCCCCTTCGGTTGTGGTGTTTGGGGTGTCAGGTACTGGTACTGACGCTGTGGTAGTCTCGGGTCCAACATCTACCGCTTGAGTGGTGGTGTGCCCAGAGCTAGCCACTGTGGTATCAATTGGTACTTGAGGAAGGCCTGTATCCGTAGTGGTATCTGGTCCAGCAACGATAGGTCCCGTGGTGGTATCAGGCCCAACAGTTGCTTCCTCAGTGGTGGGACCTTGAGAGTCAGGGACAGGTACTGTAGTAGTATCATTGGGAATTTGAGGTGAGCCAGTATCAGTGGTCTCAGGCCCAGGAACAATACTATCAGTCATTGTGTCTGGAACTGGGATGACTGGACCTGTGGTGGTATCACCTACAGCCACAGGTGCCCCAGTTGTAGTGTCAATTACAACAGCGCCCCTGTCGGTGGTGGTGTCCGGATAAAAGACAAGACCTCTGGAAGTAGTATGAGGCTCAACAACTACCTCAGGTGGTCCGGTAGTTGTAGAGTCAACCAATGCATCGGTTGACGTAGACAACTCCAGGTTGATAGTAGACTGCAGCGTTGTGTCGCTGCCAGTGAGAGTAGTGACAGTCTCGAGCTCAGGCACATCTTGCGATAGAACCGTTGTAACGCACAGCGCCAGAGTGCTGAGCTTCCATAGCGACGCCATGGTGGAGATGATGGTGATAGTTAAGCGATTGAAACGAATGAATGAATGAATGAATGAGTGAAAGGTTAATGAAAGTGAGTGCCACGGACAGCAACTGATGGAGCGTGTAGAAAGAGAAACAGGCAGAATATAGGGACTCAAGGTATTTGGAGGTTTGACCAAGTAAACACTTCTCTAGCCCAGCCAAGCGACTTAAGCGATAAGCGGGAGCGGGACGTTAATTCCCTACTATCTTAACGACAATCCAAGGATGTCAAACGTGGATACGGAAGGATTGCGGGTCACTAAAATTATGGAATAGTGAGGCATAATCGTTCAAGATTAAGGAGGCTGACGCTCGATGTAACAAAGCATTGCATGTTGGCGGCAGATACAGGGAAGTCAGTGGACCATCTTAATTAAATAATTCAAACATCCTTAGCACAAGACTGCATTTTGCGGGGGCCAATTCCGCCTTGTACAAATAAAACCGACCGAAACCCACAGAAATCAGCCTTAGATCCTGTAACATAACACTATGTCGCATTGGGGGCCAAGGTGTAAGCCGCAGCAGCCCTGGGATAATTAATTTGTACTTGACCATCTCAATTAAAGATCCTTGAAACTGCAGTTGATCACAGCGGGGGCTGTGCTTTTTCATCCGCGGAAGGATTTTGATCCACCTCAGCCTACTCGCTTGTTTCAAATCACGAGCGGCTTTACAGGGGATCCTAGAACTCTTAGCCTGCGGATACGTCCGTTGGCGCTACAGGACATGATGTGCGAGTCCCTTTCTACTTAGGGCTGATGCTGTGTTTTTCAGTATTCAAGTTAAGAATCCGCATGTTTTTCTCATTAGCTCTTCTCAGTATCCGTACATTCTTTTCACCATTGGGCTGGAGTCTTATTTGACTCTTTGTATCATTCATTCTTTTTGCCCGTTGTTCTAGTCACTCATTTCTCGTACACTCTTTTATTCTCCATCACCAACGGCATGTTCCTTTCTCACCATGTCTGGCTGCTAGCTGGACTCATCCCCAGTCTTGCTTTGGCCCAGACAGCAAACTTGGATATATGGGAGGTTCACGAAAGCTGCAAAGCTGAGGGACCTCACGTCCAAGAGTCTATGGACATGGCACTGGAGATGGCAATAGCAGCTAAGGAGAGTCTCGACTTCCTTGCCGGGCCAATACCAACAAGCAACGATGGGCCAACTGGCCGCCTGAGGTATAACACTGTCTACAAGACTGTTGATGCGGTATTTGGCCTAAATCCCAAGTCAGAGGGCTACAATGACAAGATCGGCCAAGTCAAAGGTAAGTTCATCGTTATGACACAAAACCTTGCAGGTCGCTAACTTGACATAGCTCTGTTTAACAAGATGGTCACCGTCATGCCCTCTAATGAAAATGACCCCGTACATGGGTATAGTACCAGACTAAACTCGCGAAATCTCGAACACAAGGCGATGTTGTTGTGTACCGACAAACCGGGCGACAATAGCTGGAAGTGGTACGGATTAGAAGACAAGGTTCCTGGTATGGATCATAAAATGAACCAGCACCAGGACTTTAGAGAGATGGGCATCCTCAACGTCGTTGAAGGCGCTTGGGTTTATGAGCATCGATTCGCCTGGAAGGAGGCGGAAAAGGAAGAACCCGTCCTTCTTACAGATGGCATGCTCGCTGCTGTCTATGCTGACAAGGATATGGTTATCTTTGGTGACAAGCTATTCGCAGATCCATGGAGGAGCAACCCGTCCCCCAAAGCCCTCAAATCTTCTGGCATCTCTGTGGGCGATGCCATTGGCAAACACTCGAGCCATCTTTCCGTCGTCATGGTTCATGAGCTGGCGCACTGGTTTGGTGGTCGAGACAATTACGGCAAGCTAAACATTGCTGACCACACTGCTGTCACCAAGGCAGGCAAGCTGCTGTACGACAACAATGGAGCCGTGGAAGAACACAAGACACCACCCACTGGTGATACTTACCACCGTCTCAAAACTTGTAAGCATCCAACAATATTCTCCCTTCTTGACATGGCCGTGGCTAACTCTACTGCTTTGTAGATGGCCGAGAACTCATCTGGAATTTGGCTCGTCCTCACAAAACGTACCCTGACAACAGTGGTCCAGCAAAGGCAATCACCAACGCCGACTCATACTCAGTCTTTGCCCTCATGATGTGAGTATTGCCACCGTTCGTAATTATTACTGTTAAGCTAATGGTTCGCCTTAGGTACCTTGATGCATGGGACTGGTCTAGTGGTGGTAATGCAAAGGTTCCCGGAACTAAGAGAAAGGATCCTCCTGCGCCTTAATAGTGATTAGATCGGTCTAGAACACCATGGTGTAGATAGAGAAGTGAGCGATAAAGTTCTGTACTCTTCTCTGATATGCGGATTCTTAGATACAATTTCTTTCAGTGAGGTTTTAATTTGAATATACCTTTAAACACCTCGTAATAGCCAAGGACACCCTTTTTATCTTATCGTAACCCCTTTCTATCTTTATCGAGAATTTACTCTCATAGCACCACGCAACAATTGAATGGATCAATAGTAAACCATAATGATAGTCATACTTTTAATACATAAATTTAACATTATCAAACAATTGGTTGCAGATAGTTTCTATTTTAATGTCCTGCCATTTAATCTACTTGACGAAGATTTTACCCAAGGTTTAATTAATCTGTGTGTGTGCCTCCATTTATTGTTGTCGTAAGGCTTCCACTAGGCCACAGGGCTAACAGTGAAGACATATTCCCTGTGGATGCAGACTACAAGGCTTTTTCTCAATCGTTGGATTACAACACCAAGGAACAATCACAACATTAACTTGCCCACTCCCACCCTCTGCTATCCAATAATACTTCAAAACTATTACCTAAAGTAAGCCTGGGCTGGAGATGATTTTACTTCCATCCGATTAAACCACTAAAGGCATAGAAAAAGGTCCTATCACGTGACAGTAATTCGACATATCCCCTAAAAAGGCTAACACATAAACTTGTCATCCACTCAAATTTGTTATTACCACCACCAAGATGAGCTTCAGCCCTCGAAGCCCCGGCGCAGAGGAGCAACAGGAGAAAGATGACGCCATCTGGGAAGAACGCATACAGCAGCTCGTCAAGCTTCCCGATTCTAGACCACGAGCCTTGACGCCTGACGCTACGTGTTCACAATCCCCAGTAGCACTTTTCCAAAAGTCTTGCGCATGGTTTAAAGTTCCACCAAATATCCGCAGGGACATCCTTCGACTGGCTTTTGGGGATACACGCCTTCATCTGCAATTAGTTTACGGCCAACCTGGGGGTGACTCGCCTGATGAGTCTCAGCCTCAAGGCTGGCGATGGTGGAGCTCAAGATGTCATCGGCTTCCACATGATGATACTCCACAGCGGCGTACTATGACTAAAGGCGGTCTTCCTGGACCATGGGATGACGAGTGCCACGATGATGGTGCGCCAATCGGTGTGATGGGCTGGCTCTTATCCTGCCGTCAGAAGTAAGTCCGACATTGACCTGCTTCGAGTCGCCTGGACTCCTCCAATTATGGGAAAATCGACATTAACATAAGACACAGCTACTCCGAGACAATAGATATCCTCTATTCAACCAATGTCTTGATCTTGAATGGTCAAGCAATGCTAATTCATCTACCTCAATTGATACCACCACACCGGCTTGAGAGCGTTACATCTCTTGAGGTTAGATGGTATCTCAAAACACGTTTCATCACATGGGATGATCCACACGATACATTAGATGAAGATCACCTAGAAAGCATCTTCCGTATGCTATCATCGCCGTACCTTCCAGCACTGCGCAACCTGTATATGACGCTCGAAGATTCATCACAGGCTCGTCTCTCTGTTGATGCGATAGAAGATTACCAGGAGACAATTCTCAGACACCTGGACGAGTTCTCACAGCGAATGGGCCACTTGGAACAGTTCTCTTGCGCGTTGCCGTCGGTCTTCTTTGATTTCCTTTACCATGAAGCAACAGAGGATATTAGAGGGAGGTCTGCCATAGAGTACGAGTCATACAGGCAGGTCTGGCGCGGCTCTGATGGTCAGATGACAGTTGTGCGCCTACCATGCATCGATAGTTATCCTGGTCCGCCGCATCATGTTAGCCAAGATGACACCAAGAGATGTGGCTATTGGATCCTTGAGATTCCAGACACAGACTGAGATACTCAACGAGGAGCAGCTATCGGTATATGTTAAATTCGCTTGGTAGTAAATCAGGTTTATAACTATCTATAGATCACTCGGCTCTTATAGTTAGCGATGAAAATAATTCAGATTATCGGATTCAAATCTTTATTCTGCTTTTAATCGCCAAGTCTACCAGTATAATGCCTGTCTAAAGTACTGCCCTCAGAAACTCTACTACATCATCCATGCCATGAGGCGAATTGAACCAGTGTCCTCCAGTCTTATACTCCCTCCACGCCACGTTCGCTCCGAACTCTTTCAGTATCTCATACTGCTTTCTGCCCCAATCCACCAATACCAACGGATCATCAACACAATGTTCCAAGAGCATGGGTGTATTCTTGAGAACCTCATTGTGTATAGGAGAAGAATCAACTTGAAGCGTCATGCGCATTTCATCAAGCGTTCGGCCGGCGAATGGGCAACGCCCGCTGAAACCAATAAAGGCGCCTAGCCGTTGTTCTGGCGTTGGAATGTCCAGGTTAAATAACGTATGCACGCTTGTTGCAGAGCCCATACTGATGCCCATCAAAATGACTTTATCCCACCTGCCGTTCAAGTCACCTGCCTCCTTGGCCAGAATATCGCGAATCTTTGGTACCACTTCTTTAAGTCCTGCTGCCTGCAGATCTTCGTTTTCCTTAAAATCGCTCACGTTCCAGACATCGAACCATTGGTTCCACTCTTCGGGTTGATTGGCGCATTTTCTTTTAGGCGCTTGAGGAAAAACCCATCGAAAAGAAGGAAACGCGTCAGCAAGAGTTTGGCCTTGAGAGTTGCGCGAGTATTGGAGCGAGTTGCGAAAGTTGGGAGCACTATCTCCGCGGCCATGTAGGAAGACCACAGTGTGGGAGTGCGTTTGACCTTGGCCCGGGGGCACTTGGACGATATTGAGGGGAAGAGAGTCCATCTAGCCGATAATAGAAGAAGCTGTAGTAGTAAACTCGAAGATAGAGTGAATGTCCGGGGAAAAAGGAAGAGGGGAAGAGTTCTTTATAATCTTACTCATCGAAGAATGAACGCCCCACTTATAATATTTATTACACTTCTTCGCGTTGTCACCTCCCAAACAACAACAATCATCATGATCCCACCGTCATCAGACGTGCACAAAGCGCTAGAAATAGTCGACCGTGTCTGCCTTGCACATCCTGCATCCGCTCTCTTATGCGAGTACATCCTAGAGGCCGTCCAACCTTCGGCGGCCGCAAATTACGTGCAGAGTCGTTTAAGCGCCGAGGGTCATGCTAACGCGCTTGTCGCCGACTGGATTTATGTAATTGATTCAGGTTCGTCTATTCTCTCTGCTTTTTTTAAGACCTCTCACCTACTTAACCTGCCCTGACAGTCATCTCTGGCGCGCAACCGCGAGCTCCATCACATGATGAGATTAATTCCATCACCAAGCGAGATGGAACTGTATGTTGCGTGACAGGAAAACAGGGTAGTCTCTGGGATCCCCTCATTGTCGCTCCAATACTACCTGTGCCATCTGGGTGGCTCAATACCGAGGTAAGTTGTATTTGCTTCTGCCAGTTCCATCACTACCTTCTAACCAAGACCAGCCCCGTATCACACATCTCCTACTAGCATTTTTTGGCCAACAGTACTTTGATTGGTGGCGTTTCTTCATCGAGAGAGCGGAGAATTATTCTCCTTATCAAACTCACTGGCTCGTCCGAAAGAGTGTACATCAGGCCTTACAGGGAGGTATCATCAAGTTACAAAGATTGCCCTCGTCAATGATCGAGGTAAGAGCTATTATTTGGTTAAATAGACAACGCAGGTAATGAGCCTATCTAGTTTAAAGTTGAGAATGTTATCATTGACGATGAGCAACCTGTCGATGTGAATGGAGTATTTGCTTTGCTCGGTGATCATTCACGGCAAGGAATTGAAAAGGTCGATGCACGGCTTATTGGCTCGCACGCCCGCTTCTGCAAAAGCTTTCAGCTAGTGAAACTTGCCAGGAATATCGCGCCCAGTCTGTTCTCCTCCACAACACCCATCACATCCCCAGCTCGACCGCAGCTCCCAGCCCGCATGATTTCTAGTAACCTCGGTCTAGGACAAAGTCTCCTCCATCCAGTAATGCTTTTGTGGCGGTTCTTCCCATCTACGGTTCGTATTACGGTATACGAGCTGTTACTCAAGATAGGAAACTACTTCTACAGAAAGGATGGAAATGCGATGGTTCAAAGGCTACCATTTGGACTGTACCTCAAGTATAATTCCGACTCTGCTACCCTAAGGAACGAGTACAATGCTCTCAAGACCTTGGAACAACAAACAAGTATTCCTGTGCCACGAGCACTCGATATCGTCTCTCAGAGTACTGGCGACAATGACTTCAGTTATCTACTCATAACTAGAGTTCCGGGTACAACATTGGCGATATGTCTGGATGCGCTGTCTGACCAAGACTATGCCACTGTCCGCACTCAGCTTAAGGGTTGCATCTCACAGATGCGCGACATTTCTAAGCCGGTCAATTACAGCGTGGCTATCTGCAATACACTGGGTGAAGCCTGCCGCGATCCGCGAATTCGAGACTGGGCCCCTGTCGGACCCTGTCCAGATGAAGCGTCTTTTAGCCAGTATCTACGATTCCCAGACGAATCCAGCCGGCGTGGACACAATATTGTCTTCACTCATGGAGACCTCAACCCTCGCAATATCATGGTGGAAAGAACCAGAGATTCCACCGGGGTTGGAAGTTGGCGGTTAAGCGGTATTATAGATTGGGAAGCAGCAGGATACTACCCTGACTACTGGGATTGTACTAAGAGCATGTTTGAGGGATTTCGATGGCCAAGACGTCACAATGAGATGATGCAAGGTGTGTTTAGAGAGTTTGGGGATTATAGCGAAGAATTAGCTACAGAAAGGAAGGCTTGGGAGTCGGGCGATGGAATCTAATGCATCAGGATTGAAATTCTATTCATGTGATGAGAATTGCAAAATACACGCGTTTTATGAGTAGAGTTTAGACATATCTTCATCTTTGCTTTGCAGAGAGCAAATATGTTCAGCAGTTTATGCTATCGCCATTAACCTCAAGACTTTGGCTAACAAGGTAATGCCGGGAGGTCCAACTTGACGGCCCAGAGCCCTAGGTACTTGCTCCGACAAGGAGACTCTTGTAATAGTAAAAACATCATAGATTCTTTGTAGACTAAAGGAAAGGTGATATCATCCTCAATTTAGGTGTGTAAACATATAAGCAGGATAATTTACTTTTTCACCAGATAGACTGTTTATCGGTACTGAGCACCTCCTATAAGAAGCGGAGAGGTATGAATAGAGTAGCCTCACTAAGGTTTAAAAGACATGAGGTAGGCCCCTGTATTGAAATAATACAATAAGCAGACCAGTGTGTCAGTGAAATGAGATTTGAAGTTATTTTTTCAACCATCTAATCGTGAAGACCTTCCTAAGTATGAGTCCAACCATCCATATCAGGTCTTTCCTTCATGGAGCATTTTAGTTACCTGCCTCGATCTGCCCAACAGTAACATCCGTGAGGCAGCGAAACTTGCGAACACCATCGTAAAGCACATTGCCTTTGTGGCAGGAATACTCATTGCCAGGGAAAGGAAAGCAGTTTCCATATACCCGGTCATCTGTACCGTACAGATCATAGTTCTTGTCCTTATAGATCGCTGACGGTTAAAAGTATTAGCACTTGATATAATTTGTTTGAGAGCGAATGACTTACTCCAGTGATAGAGAGGATCGTTGGTGAAATGCATTTCCAAGACCTCAATGTCGGTGGCAGCACTACCTCCGTAGCATTGGCCGCTGCACCTGATACCAGTTTGGCTGCTCACGTCGTCCCGCGAAAACCAGTTCCGGGATGTCTCTACATCTGAACAAGTAGGATCAGAAGGGTAGATGTTCCAAATCTCGTGGTTCCCTCCTTCCGGAGTGGTACCTGTTTCTTGAGAGAGGTAGAGATCGAAGTTAGCCTTCGTGAAGGCCACGAAGGAGAAGAGGGTAGCGGCTGTGAATTTCATATTGAGAAGACTTTGAAATGAAGCTTGTGGTATCTGTTTCAAAATGTGATTCCAGTGGAGTTTGAAAGGTGTACTGGATAAAATGAAAAGTTGAGTTGATGTTGAGCATACCTAGTACTGGCAGACTCAAGGCTATTTATACCTGTGATGGGCTTACTTGAAAGTTGGAACTGCTCATGGATTGATACTCTTGACCACAGTACCTAGGCTATTTGCTAAATCTTTACTACCTCCGCTGTGTTGCCCCTTGGCATCGTCATCAACAGGGTGATTCTATGCATCGCTCGTTTGAAATGTCTTATGTCTTCTTGGTATAAGCTAGCGTTAACTGCCCTTTTAGTAAACGTACTCTCGCCAAGATAAGTCGATCAGGGATACAGGAGCTGGGGGAGGTAGTACATAATATCCCCCATTATAGCAGGAACAACCTTTAGCCATGCAACTAGACGAACGATTTGTTGGAGCACGCATCCATAACAAAGAAATGTAGTTTGAAAGAAAGGGAGGAGGAGAGATACCTTAAGAAATCCTGGCCAACCCTTCACTAACTATGGCTGGAATGATTCTTTTGCAAGATGAAATTACTCAGCTACCACTGTCTGAGCCAAGAATCCTTTTGCATTGAGCGATTAATATTCGCGCAGGATCAGTAGCGCATAAGTCTTGGCTTTTGGCTCTTGGATATAGCCACCGCCAATCTTCGTTGCTGGTGTAAGCACAGTCAGCGAGTTTCCACACTTGGCACGTTTACGAATTCTGTTTCGCGGCTCATTCAGCATGAAAAGAAGACTCATCTTGGCAGATCGCAGCCAGCTACAGTGCTAGGGCCAGTTAGGCATACCGGCCCTGTTTTCTAGGGATCGACATGGGATTAAGCTTAAATTTAGTGGTTATGACATCAGGGTACTGTTCCTTCGGATCCTCCTTCTCGATGGTAGTATTAAATCAAGATGCTCGGAACTATAGCATGCAGTAGTCCCCGCACGGCCCGTAAAGCGAGGCAAATCGGCAGGAGTTTAACAGTATCCGTAAGCAGGCAAGTTAACGCAGAACCCGAACATGCACGTGGTTACTAATAAACAACTCATTGGTAGCCCAACTTTCCAACTTGGCAAAGTTCTAGGTATATACATTTTGGTTACTCTTGTTAATATCATTGAGAGATTTGGAAAGCCTGGGCTTGATAAAGTTGAAGGTTAAAGCAAAAAAGAAAAGAAATTACATATTGGTTACAAAACTTCGAGCTCTCCTTTTGTATTATTTCTACGACTCGTTTGAAATACTCTGCTTCCTTAAGCCAAGGACGTAGTACTATTCGATCCCATTACCCATTACTAGCACAAGCGTATAAAGCCCACAGCCAAGTTATACATCCAGTGATGCTATATAGTCCTTATTGACAACAGCTGATAATAATTCTGAAGGGAGCAGTTTGAAAGAAATGTACAATAGAAAAAAGTCCAAAGCGTTTGTCTTGTTCACCCAACTAAACTGTCTGGCAAATGGCATTGCGTTCGTTATCGTTTTTATCAGCAGCGCAATCTTGTTTCTCAAAGGCAGCGCTATGCTAATCACAACTGCATATGCTTTCCAATGCATATAAACATGCTGTATCGCCCGCCATATTTGTTGGGACGCCTTAATAATTAGCTGATCGACGAGAAATGCAAATATCCAGGGCGAGAGGGTAAGTGACCGGAGAACGGCAAGACCACTGTTCCGGCAGTGGTATAATAAGCGTCCAAGAATCTGGCGCCATCTTTTTCTCAGCTTCGATAAGTTTCCACCCAGATCGGAATCTGTATCCACGTCATGAAATATCATTGAGGGGCCATATTGAGGCACATTCCCTTTCAATTCAATACCGTCTTGCGTGACTGATGCTAGAACAAGAGTCTTTCCAAAGCGGTGCACGCAATGGCAGCGTGCCGAGTAACTCGCTGCATCCGTTTCTTTCCAATACAAAAACCCGGACTCATTGCGATAGCACCATAAGTTTGCAAGGGAGGAGTTATCGTAGAACCGCCCTGCCAGGTGTCTCTCATATTCAAAGAAACTCCGATCCGGGACAAATGTACAGGATGCCTTGAAGTCAGATTCATCTGGCGCCAATTCCACAATGATTCGTACCGCAAGAGGCTCTACTTCGTTAACAGAGCTCTTGAGTAGAACCATGGTCATCGCCTCGAATTGGTCTTTGCTATCAGGAGTTCCTGCCATGACGATTTTTGGGTCAGGTCGCGGTCTCGAGTTTGGTGGATAGACTTCTGCCACATAAAAAGTCTCAGGAAGGTCCTTCATAAAGACTGTGTAGCTCGGAGACTCAGCTATGCCACTTGTAAAAGAGAGGCTAGGCAGTAGGTTGACTGATGTTAAACCCCATTCTGACCAGACTCGATAGTTCACAGTACACAATGGTCTTTTTCGCCGTACATTAAGACCATTACGACGATTGTCCAGAGGGATAGCAATCATTGCCGTAGGATTTTGCCTTATTCCGCATTGCAGCACTCCGTACTTTCCATGCTCGAAGCCGTCAGTAGAAATTGGCATTTCAATAACGAGGCCCTTATTGGTTATTTGGAATGGGGGAGTTAGTGTGCCCACATCGCAAGGGACGAATTCTTTGCATTCTGAGAATGCAGCAGGCGAGGTAGCCAGGACCCCCAAATCGTCTGGATCGTCCTCTTGGTGAGACCAAGCTAGCAAAGTTTGATCATCCGAGCGTTTCATAATTTCCTCTTGCAGTCGCAAAAATGCGTTCTTGCCCTCGCCGTAAAGTAGAGGCATGTTGATTCCGAAGATACCCAGCAAGCTGTATGCCGTATCTTCAATTCGAGTTGTTTCCCGTTTCGAGGCCCAGCTCATCTTCTCGGCGATGCTTGCTGAATGGAGTCTAGATTGCAAAACACTCCCTCTTGATTCCTGGGTCCCATTCACATTTGGGGGGGTTGATAAAAATATTTGGTCTATGCCAGTGATTTGTGTGATAAGATCAACGACCTCATGCCGTTCAGACAAGAATGTCCAATCGTCGTAGAGAAAGATGAGCCTTGACGGTGCTAGGAGCTCTTGAAGAGTCCAGCCTCGTTTAAACCAACGGCTCTCCATAAATAACGATTTTGGCTGGTGGATATCTGTCCCTGGTGGAACATCCGACAAATATGTATAACAAACTTTTGAGCGCTGATACCAACTCATCATGGAGTTAATAGCCTCTGACAGTTCTGCGCTGCTTGTTTTGTCGATGCAGCAGGTATCAACCCAGGCATAACCGAGGTTATTTTGAAGCGCCAACTCGCATGTCTTTCTGATTTTGTTATACCCTGATCGTTCTGTGCCTTCTTTTCTTTTCATTTCCTGTAAAGTAACTTCCTCTCCCGCGATCCATGTATGGGAGAGAATCACATACGCTGGAACATTATGGTCCACGAACTCCACCACTTCAAGGGTTTTGGCATCTAAAAGCCGCATTATGGAATTTGTGGGCGTTAGTTATTTTGACGAGTTTATGGGTAATAGGAGAATTATGAAAACTAGGAATAAATCAGATGAAAATTTCCTTAACAACTAAGGGAATAAAGAGCTAACTTAATAGAATAAGGTATTCCAAAACCTTACTGATTATGGAGTCCTAACCCATGCTTTCAGCTGATGACGTGGCTTAAGCAGATTGGGCCACACTTACCTGCTCGGCTACTGAAGACGGCCTGGTGGCTGCTATACCTGTTTACCCACCAATCTTGGCGCTTATACTGATGTATCTCACCACCACTCCCCCCCAAGCACAGCTTTTACGCTAAGGCGAGATGGGTTTTACCTAATAGCAGCCTTCTTGAAATTGATAGGTGAGGCCTTGCAAGTGAAGTCACTGTATTGGAGTATTGTCAGATCTATGGCTCACATTTGCTCTATCGCCGATACAAATATACAGAGAAGACCACCCAATCTCCAGCTTTTAGAATGTCCTTGGTGCAGATACTTTCCATACATGGTCGAGCGTGAAGAAATTATGGCGTGTTAGCGCTCAACTGGGTGGCCTCACAAAGCCCGAGTTCGAAAGCCCCACGCTGTGTGACAGTGCGCACCTTCGTCACGTCTTGTTCTGTCACTGCTATGAAGTGCGCTCTTATTGGTTGGGTATACAAGTAACTCCTCAGGTTAAGCCTGGTCGATGAGACATGGGGTCAAACTCTGGTAATAAAGCCTAATGATCAGCCCAGTCTCCGTCAACAAGGCATGCAAGTGATTTCCGGAGAGTCCGGCCTCGAGAAAGATCATATTAAAATATGTATACTGACTAAAGATTTTATCAACCATCCTACTTGCTATATCCGAAGAAAGAGCGCTGTGACTAATGTCTATGCTCAATGGCTGGGTTGCGAAGGATCTCCTCACAATTTGCATCAAACCGCAAATTATAGAGCCTAGCATTTTTCATGAACTTCTCAGTCCGGCCAAACTCCTGATCAACGCCAAACATGGCTTCGATGGTTTCAATAGCGCCCTTCTTGTCAAACCTGCAATTCGGTTCCTTCTCAGTCCGTGACTTCCATGCCTTAATTGCGGACGACTCGCAACATCATAGTAAACCTTGAAACTTTGCAGTAAGACGCTCTCCTCCGTCTAGGAAGTCTTCAACAAGATCTCTGCTTTCCACACAGCGTATACTGCTAACCATTTTCTCACTCCGTTTAATCTTATCGGTTAACTGGATGAGCAACAACCACAGCTCGCCAGCCATATTGGACATCGGTGTTGCAGGACCATGAATAAAAACAGTCCAGTCATATATCCATTTCCCAATGCTATTACCGTCAAAGACACTTCCTAATAAGAAAATAGGTTCTTCGTCGGGATCCCAGTGCGTCAGGGAGTAGCTATCAGGTATTCGCTGCTTTCTTGCCATGGCCTTCTTTTCGGTAGAAGTCTCTACTTCTGTGGTGTAGGTAATGTTATAGTCCCAACTTTGCAGTATTTGCGACGGTGATGATGATACTGATTAACGAGATTCGGTTTCAAAGCCCTTTTCAGCCAGGCCTCTATCGGCCCCAAGCCCAGATTGCGATATCGTTGATGATAGAATTCCCTTGATCTGCTGATGCACGTCATCCATATTGCATGAGGCAGCATCAGAGGTACCGAATACAGCAGTGTTATATTGTTCCTGCAGTGCGGTCTTTTCCGAAAGGCCATCGGGATTTTTGCCATCTGCCAGCGAGGATCCTAGCACGGCCTTTACCTCAACCTGTTGAGCTGTTTAAAAGACAGCGTCTGGATGACTTGAAAAGGAAATTGAAGCTTGCTCCTACGTATCCTTTTTGTGATGAGATGCACTCTCACGAGACCTTGAACATCTCCGTCGTCCGAGTCCGAGTCCGCGTCCATGTCTAATATATCGCGTTTTCTCTTTGGTCTTGTTTGGCTCTTACGCCGTTTCGACTGGTGGCACTTAGAGCACGTCTCATCTTCCTCGACGCTGCAATCATCATGACCTCGCTGTCGTTTAAGACCCGTTGAAAATGCTGATTCGCCAAAGCGAATATCAGATCCACCAGGTGTAGCCGTTGGGGCATATGGTAAAGGATCGTCATCAATCTCAACCACTCGGGTAAAGAATCGTTTACACTTTCGGCTGATTGAAATCGTTAGTCAAATCGGGAACAAGAAAGAGTGAATACACTTGCCATTCCACTTCAACTCCAGTCTCGGCATCTGAAACTGTGTGACAAAATGGACAGCTTGAAGCTTCCCTTTCACCTATGCTATTCGGGTTTGCTTCCTTGCACATAAGGCTCATAGTGACCCTTTGAAATGGCAAAAATGCGCTTTCCCAAGGCGTTGACCAGTCAACCCCACGGTGCGTGTTATCCTCTTGTAGCGAGTAAAGCTTGCGCTGTATCCGCCGACCACCCTTTCTGCCCTTGAACCGTTCCTTGAGTACAAAGTCAAGCATCTCCCACGACGTGATAGTTTTGAGGTGAATAGGAAAGGTCCTCCCGGTTATGTCGTCCAGCACAAAATACTCTTCGCTTGGTCCTCTCTCCAAGCGCATGACAATAGCCCTAATACTACTCAAGTCCCCTGTGATCGTAAACATCATAGACATCATTTGGGTAGTTGACCTTTTGAGGTCAACGCCTAGCCTGTTGACCATATCCAGCTTGGAAATAAGTTGTCGCCCTAGATGGCTCATGTAGCCCTTTAGGGATGCTGCTGACTGACTTATCAATACGGCCATACGACTCTCGGTTTTTGACCGTTCTTGAATTAAAGAATTATGGTTCCTTTGCAAAACCCGCCTATCGAGGTCAGAAAGGATTGTAGGTATCAACAGGGACTGATGGATAAAGAGCTCACATTGTAGTGACTTCTAGTAATACTTTGAGTGTCATAGTGCATCCCGCTATCTCAGTACGGAACTTGTCAACGTCTTTCTCATTGAGTTTCCACTGGATCTTCCTGCTAATACTTCTCAAGGTATTGTCACTACCTGAAGCATTAGCACCCAAGCTGGGCTCATATTTGCGTATCCGGTCAAGAAACCCCTGTAAGCAGGATTGAATTTGGGAAACAGTAGTGAGGGAAATCTTGGACAGGTCTTCGAGAGAATCGGTAAATTGAGGGTTCTGGAAAGTCTTCTGGACAACTTCAAGTGTCTGGCCAAGTATGTCAAGACTTTGAACCAGTTCGCGATATTGCTTGGCCGAGCCCCGACAGTCATCGAGAGAGGCGACAATGTCCTTTATCAGCAGGGCAATCGAAATAAAGTCGCCGACAGCGCCGAAGCTTAGCCCAAAATCCATGGCTGATTTTCTACGGGCGGCACTTTAACGTGTTGATCAACTTGCAATCCGAACTCAAGCTGGAGGCTGACGATGAAGAGTTAGTAAAGAGTGGAAAGGGATGACATTGAGAAGCGGGGATGAGAAGATGAGGCAGGCTATTGAGGCGGAGCAATCAGCCGTATCAAATATTACAAGGTTGATGTTCCAACATCAGCAGTGATTGGCTGGGTCGCTAGAATTGGTCCCCACATTTACACAGATGAAGTTAAAGCGTTACTGTCTCGAAAATAATCAGACTTGTGATGGCACTCGGTAATACCTTTTAACTTGTAGCAAGCGCCCCAAGCTTGTTTGAATGCTATATATCTAGATTGCCCTGCATATTATCTCAGCGGTTTTCGATGGCCTTTTAGGTTGGAGATAGGTTAGACTGAGGCGCCTGTTATATGTACAAATTGTAGCGAGTAGAATAATTAGACTCAGTCTTCAACTTCAGACTTATAGTGGGACTTTTATCTTAACTAGAACTAAGGTCAACCATGATTATCAATTTATCGCCAATCATCTTTTGCAATCCACTGGTTCTGAAACCCCCTGGAATGTTTCTGCAGCCCAATCTTTGCGATAGACTCGATTTCTTCAGATGTCAACTTGAAACTTGGCACATTTGCCATATAACTTTGCAATCTCTCCTCGCTCGAACTTGTTGTGACTGCCACAATATTCTGGTCAATGCACCAACGCAACGCAATATCCCCCTCAGTGACGCCGTATTTCTTTGATAGCTCCGTGTACAACGCATCTACAGGTCCTGGTCTTGCACGTGTGATAGCCGTCAGCGGCGCATATGCAGATAAAGCAATCCCCGCCTTGCGGTGAAATCCCAGCAGACTGCCGTGCTGCAGATACGGATGGTACTCAATTTGATTAATTGCCGGCGGGATCTTTGCTGTAGCGAGGATGGTCTCGATGTGCTCCTGTATGAAGTTGGATACGCCGATGGATTTTGCCCGTCCAGACTCTTTGATCGTTTCTAGGGATGCCCAGACTTTCTGTAACTCCTCAGGCGTTTCCGCGAAGAAAGGCGAGTGGATAAGGTAGAGGTCCACATAATCAAGGCCAAGCTTCTCCAGCGACGTATCGAAAGCGGTCTGTACGTCCTGCTTCTTGCCACCGTTGAGCTTGGTTCCAACATAGAGATTGCCTCGCGGGACGCCAGACTTCCGTATGGCTGCGCCGAGCTCCTCCTCGTTCCCGTAAACTAAAAAGAAGTAAGAAGAGGAACAATGGTATAGAAGTTAACTAAGAACAAACATTCAGCTCCGTCAAGGTGATGAAAACCAGACTTTATGGCTGTATACGTGTTGGTGACCACCTTTTCGTCATAATCGGTGCTTCCTCCCTTCTTGACGTTTGCAGTTCCTAGACCGTAAGCTATCTGTCGCAAGTTAACTTCAGGTTCAACAGCAATTGCAAGACTACTACTACTGACCATCGGGATACTATTTCCATCATTTAGCTTCAGAGTGGGGATAAGCTCCGAAGCAACCAAAGATTGAGCAGTAGAGTCCATGGTATAGTTCGCAATGCTGCGCCTTTCTGAATGCCTTCCAAGAGATGGTGGGATTGAGAAACGTAAACCAAAATGGAAGACCGTGAGTTGAAAGTTCCTCTTGCTGTTTTTGGAACTCCAGGGACCTTCCTATATAGAGCCTCGGTTAGATTCGGCATGACTAAAGGTATCTAAACTAGGAAATTGATAGCCAGCCACATGACAAGTAGGTACTGCCCAGGAATATAGTGGCATGTGATGCGGGGATAAGCTATGACTTGTCTTGGGCAGGGGTGTATGCATAGTTATCATGCATGATGCACGTTCATAGCTAAGGTCATCTGAGTCATATTATGTCAGATATGTCACAGCTCGGAAGGTTTGACAAGTCCGAGCCGGAAGTGATCATAAATAGAAAAGTGATGTCTCATTAACTACGAGCGGAAGGTTTCCGAAGTGCATCCCCAATGGTTCCGGGTTTCCTTAACCCCCTTTTACTTTTGCACTTGATACTCTCCCTTCAACTCCCTCGAGGTTCTTCCATTGCCCATAAAGCGGAATCTATTGACCGATCGATATTCAATATCGAAATCTTCTGTCCTGAAACTCTCAAGAATTTCTAACGTAAGTGGTTTGTAATTAGCAAAATCAAGTTCCCATATTGCACACTAAGGGACTCACTTCTGAAATGATGCCGGCTTCCACCATACACGGCGGTGACATTTCCATCTTTCTTGCGGTTTTTGTACCAACTTCTGCATGAACCGGACCAAACCATGCGCTTGAGGAGCTCTTGTAGATAAACATTGTAGTCATCCACGGCTTGTTGTTTCACACAGACTGATCTATCGCAATGTCAGCGGAATCGATCATGCTCACAACCACAGTGAGAATCAGGGGGTATACTTGATATCCTCGGTTGCTATCTTCCGACACCACCTCAATATCCACTTTGCTATACAAAACACACTGTCTAGAAGTGATCCATGGCCCACTCCCGACTGTTAGTGATGCCTACGTTACTCGAAAGAATTCTACTTACCCGGACTATTTGGCCCGATGAAGATAAAATAGTTTGGCATATTCTCTGCTGCAATGCCAAAATATGCCTCAGGAGAGTCCCTCCAGGCTTCATGAAGCCGGTGTCCATTCCGCCCCTGCACAGTCCACGACCGGCAGAAACTAGCTTCAAACCCCGTGGCGCACACAATTATGTCAAAGTCAGTATGCTCTTGCGTGGTTTTAATTCCAGACTCTGTGATCTTGACAATTGGATCAAAAGTGACGCGTGCATTGTCCTGGCGGAGTGCTTCGAGGTAGCCATCGCCTGGTGTTGGACGTCGGCATCCGTACTCATAGTCAGGGATTAGCTTGTCACAGAGGTCCTTGTCATTACCGAGGCGTTCTCGCATGCGAGCGTCTGCCTTTTCAAGGGCGGCTTTTTGGGCGGCTGTGTCTTTGAAAAACGTGTTCCAAAAGTTGTCCTGGCTGGTTTCAATCTCCTTACGGAACTCCCAAAGCGAGGCAGGGTTATCCCGAAATCCCTTCTTTTCTTCTTCTGTAAAGGAGAAATTGGTTCCGTCTTTGGTAAGCTCAGACGCGTAGTTGGCAAATATCCATGTAGGCGTGCGGACATACGTGGTCAATTGAGCGGCGGTTTTCTGCAGATGTGGGAGTACTTGGACACCGGACGAGCCGTTGCCGATTACTGCGACTCTTTTGCCTGCCACGTTGATAGAAGGGTTCCTGAATCACCTCGTGTTAGAGGAACGACACAAGGCTGAGAAAGAGGCATACCAATTCGCAGTGTGAACAATGTCTCCTTTGAAGTCGTGAAGACCTGGAATATCTGGCCAATGCCAGTTACTAGCAATTTCAGTCCTGGAAAATCAAAATAGCCTCAGGGTGCACATACTTCAAGAATCCCGACCCGTCAATTAAAATATCGCATTCATCCTCCACTTCCTCGTTGTGATGCTGAATCTTCAGACTCCACTTACCCGACACCTCGTTCCAGGTCGCCTCTGTCACCGTTGATTGAAATTTGACATGTTCAGCTAAACCATACTTGTCCGAAGTTCTCTTGATATACGACCAGATTTCGGACCCCGAAGCATAGAACGTGGACCAGTCTGGGTTGGGTTCAAAAGGGAAAGTGTAAATATGTGCAGGAACATCGCACTGAGCTCTCAACTGTCAGTTAACCATATTTGTGGAATTCGTTCTTAATATAACGCACAGCCACACCGGGATATCGATTTGCCAGCCATGTACCACCAACGTCTTTGGCTTTCTCGTAGATGGTCAAATCGATAAAGCCTTGGAGGGATTCATTATATTTGGCTTCATAAGCTAACATGAGGCCAGAATACCCGGCCCCAACACAAATGATACGTAGTCTTCGAGGTTCATATGCAGGCTCATCCAGCAAGGGAACCCAGTTCTTATGATTGTGCTTGTGAGGGGCTTGAGCTTCCATTTCGAGGTGCAGTGAGGCTGAGATGAAGTTATGTAAGAGGGGATGTAGAACGTAAAGCTGAGATAGCTAATTTGTCCAAGACAAAATAAAGATAGATGTTATATGGAATGGAATGTGCCCGTACTGAAAGGTATCACACGCAACCTGACTGTGTAAAATTATACCGCACACGGTCAGTGTGACAATACTCGTTTCTAATCTTCTTAAAGCCGTAGCCGTCCGCCCGTCCGCCCGTCTGCCCGTCTGTCAGTCTGTCAGTCTGTCACGAGTACACGGCCGGGGCCGAGCGCGCCGAAGGATCAAGCAACGTTTAAGGACGCCCGCAGAGGGAGTTAAGATCAGCGTGAAGCTGTCGTCAATATCAATCAGATCATAGATAAGGAGTGTTTTTCATTCAATCCCCGCCATCGGCAGTTAATAGTAAGTGGGAGGAACCAGGGAACAGGTGGGGTTAATTGCGTGGCCATGCATATTTGCAGGGAATGCGCGGACGGCAGGAATACGCGGACGGCACGGGACGATCCATGAGTGATTTATGGCCCGGGCCGAAGCTAGCCTGCCTGACTCGGGGAGAAGCCGACCACCCGTTGAAACTGACACCCTTGCGATTTGCATAGACGATTTTCCTATATGTAATCACCACATATAATCCACATAAATACTCTTATATGAGCCAATTACCTATGAGACTCTCTCCTTTGGGACGCTTTAGGGGTCAACTTTTCCATGACCTGATTTAAGGTTTCGGCGCGCGGGGAACTTGTAAGATCCGGGGAATTCTGGGGGAAGTTTACATGTCGATCATAAATATCCTGGACTACTATTATAGGTAAGTCATTAATGCACAACGTCGTATTAGAGTGTGATAGTTATTGTCTTGTCACATTTACGAATTAACAAATGGGAGACAATGTTAGAAATAATAGAATATCAAGGCTTAAAATCAGAGTTTTACTATAGCGACTTCTTTGTTGATACGACTATCATATGAAAGCGCTACTGGAGCATACATTAACTACCAGACGTTTTTAGGTAAGTGAAGGGTGAATGTATGTAGTACATAGCCAGTATAAGAAGTTCATGGACACTGTGATCTATTATAGTCATCCCTAGTTTATGATATATGATTATGACTTATGATTACCAAGCCATGAAAGAGATAAAGTTCCTTACGACCGACCAAATCAAGTGTACAAAGTTTTTAATACTCCAAAATGAACTGACAGCAGCCATCATGAGACCTTTTTGTGTTCAACCCGCGCGGCAGATGAAAAGAATGCCACACAAGGGCAATCATTGCTACCTTTGCTCCTGCGGGGACGAGGCGGGATACGTCCTGTGTGCAGGATCGATAAACTAAGGCAGATAGAAATTACATAGTAAATTGACAGAAAACAATCGACTGGTAATATTCATGATGCAGTGTGATTGTCAGCGATACCACTGATATGACCATAGTTTGCGAGCATGCCGTGAAAAGCCGCGTCTTCAATGGTGAGATTGAATTAGGGGTCGAGAATGTGTATATAAACAGGTCAAATACCCCGAATCAACTTCTCATCAACTTCTCATCAAGAACAAGAATCAGTATTCCATCCTCCATCAGTTAACTACTACACCTGCCTACAAGGTGCTATCTTTCAAGTTACATAACTTACACTCCGGTTCGTAAGACTGAATACTGCACTTACCTTGAGTCCATTCTTATCTAATCCGTGTCATAGAATCAAAATGCAGCCCCGTCTTGAACGCCTCCAGCCCATGCTCGGCAACCCTCTCTTCGAGAGTATCCTCTGGGGCCACGAGTATGACCTCTCCGGGCTTAACAACGATCTTCGCGAGAGGATTGAATCCGGGCAGTTCAAACGCCTTGTCTTCTACGGCATGGGATGCTCATCCGTCGTCTCCGACATCGTGAAGGGGTTCTTCCTCAACCAGAAGATCCCTCTCCACGTCCAGGTCATCAACGACTACGACCTGGACTGGTTTGTGGACCGAAACGTCATGAAAGACCCCACCACGCTTGCCATCATCGTGTGCTACAGTGGCTGGTCCGTCGAGCCATGCCTCTTTTTCGACACCATGCGCGAAATGACTGGAAACAAGAACTTGGTCGTGCTCTCGGGCGGTGGGAAGATCGCCCAGCTATGCGAGGAACACAAGACTTCTATCATTTTATACAAGCTCCGTCATGCCGACCGCGAGTACCCTCTTTACCACGTGCAGCAGTTCTTCTCCATTTTCCTTGACCTCTTCTACAAGCTCAAGCTCACTCCATCTTCGTACCACGCCGAGCTTCAGGATTCAGTCGACTTCTTGAAATCCGAGTTCGACGAGGCAAAACTGAAGAAGGCGCAGGCTATTGCGGACAAGTTGAGGGGTAGTCGAATTGCGCTGCTGAGCACTGCGGACTGGTATGTCACGCTGCTCAAGCAGACAACCATGTTCTTGAACGAAATTGCCATGGTGCCAACGCATAGAAACCTCCTTCACGAATTCTCGCACACAGAGGTTGCGGCGTACTCGAACCCCGCAGAAAAGCAGGCCATAATTGTCTTCACGGACTCAAATGCAGATGACTACACCAAGGGCAAAGTCAAGACGCTTGAAGGCCTGTTCGGCAGCAAGGATGTTCCTCAGAACGCCAACATCGAGTTCGTCAATATCAACCTCGACCAGGACAACTTGTTCAAGAAGTTCTTCTACGGGCACTTCTTCATGGTTTATGTCGCGTACTACCTGGGAATTCACTCGGATGTGGAGGGACGAGACTTGATCTCCATCGCTGCGAAGAACCCCTGGTGGAGCCAACGCAATATCGAGCTACATCCCAAGTGCGTCGATATCCCCTCGCAGCTCTAGGCTTGATGCACATTGTGGTTACATTGGAGGGTTTCTCTCTTTTCAACAAAGATGGAATCTTGCTGTCCCTACTGGAAATGTCTTATGTCATCTGTTATGCTATTTCATGTCACACACTCTCTTGGTTATACTCCGTGCGCGCATTGATAGCCATTCATCTGCAGCAGTTTCCATATATAGTAATATCAATCACTGAGCCTTAAACCCTAAACCATATCGTACCAATTAACGATCTCATTCTACCTAGCTCACATGTACAACTATACTTCCTCTATCTTATCGCGTCCAAGGGTCAATGTGTCACACCAAAATGGCATCAACTGCGCAAGGGCCCTAAGCTTGTTCAGGTGAAGATAGACACTTCCCCTCTCACTCGTTTCAACATATAATAGAAGTAACTCAGGCGATCATGCTGTGCCGCAGCCACAAACTGGTTCATATCGAACGTGATATCTCGGAGACCTTGTTGCAGAGATGATCCCCGCGTACACCTTGCCATGTTGGGAACGGTATCTGCTCGAGCTCTTCCGCAATTTCAGGGGTGATACTACCGGGGTAGTTATTATTCGTGTAATTTGATCCCCACTCACATCACAAAATGCCACCCACTCAACAATAATAACACCTCCTCCCTCTCCTACAAGGAATGATTTTCAATTACATAGCACCCTTATCACTTGACTGACTCGTGGTCTCCCCTATCAGTATCGACTGTTCTTTTGATATTAACCAGATTGGGGTGAGTTCAGACGAAACGAAGGCACTCGATGCATATACAGCTATTAGTCATCAATATCTCAAGTCAAAAGTGTGCCTCAACGACAAGAATATACAATTCGATTGTACCTTTATGTATACTTATGGAACCCGACTCGAATGACAGAGGGCTGAGCACATCTTTACCTGAACTATATTCGGTGCTATTTTCCATCTATCACTACATGATTCGCTTCTGAAGTATCGATTTCAGATGCAAATACATATCCATCAGCCACGCCAGAAACACTAAAGCAGTCATAACCGTCGCGACCCAAGCTATAGCGTCCGATTCCAGTTCCTCACCAACATACCCCGTAGCAATTGTAAACCCAACATTCGGGAAAACTATGGCCCACCAAGGAAGCACAAAACTCATCTGCGACTGAGATCTATCACCGCGTAGTTTCGAAACCAAGATTGGCACATGTGCGACCGCTGCGACTGCAAAGAGCCAGAAGGTAAATAGCCAAAGAAATATGCCTATCCACAATGCCATGATTCTTAACGTCTCGGCGGCAGTAGGATGTTTCGCGAAGTATCCACGTCCATCCGGAATTGCCTTGGCGCATCCGATGAGGGCTATGATGGTATAACCTGCAGAACCCACGGATATAAAGAGGCCGGGTCTTAGATTTACCGGACCAAGACCGTTGACGAGTAGGTTGCCGACGAAGTGAGGAAGAAAAAGAAGACATAAGATCCACCCAAGACCCTCGAAGGCAACACCAGCAACAATAATTGCCATTCGCTGCGAGGGAGGTTGGTCGGCTGCGATCACCGACGCCACAGTGCCGGTGAGCATGGCGTTGTAAATCATTAGAAACATTGGTGAGCTCATGCTACCAGGCGTGAAGGGGGCGAGAGAGAACATGGCCACGAAGATGACGATGTTATAGGTCAAAGTAATAGCCCCGTAAATCCAAAAAAGAACCCGAACGGCATCGATGAGCCAGGAGCCGGCATGAGGAACGCCAAAGCTTTGGATACCCATGATGATGGTCGCCATCGAGAGCCATAGTGAGCCAGTGAAGTAGGCTTCGGGGGGTTTTGTGACAGATTTCCAGAAGCTGGCAGGTCTCCGCGCGAACCGATAGGTCATAGCTGCGCAGAAGAGGATGAACAGAACTAGATTAAGTATGAAGACCACGACGCCGATGGTATGTAAGCCGCGGAATCGATAGGGAGTTTGAGATAACATAAGTGCCACGCCGCCTGTGGACTGAGTGCAGGTAAAATTGCCCCATGTGAAGCCATCGACAAGTGAGGGTGAGGCCTTGCTGGCAGCGCTTTTATTCCTAGGCTCCGCATCGTTCGGCGGAGCGGCGTTTTCGGGTGACACTCTATGTATCACCTCGTCTGACATAGTGACTCTTTGGTAATCAGGGCAAGTTGTAGACCAAGCAGAGTGGTTGGTTCATAAAGAATGAGAAGAAATGATATAACAAGGTAAGTTAGAAAGGGTCATATTGTTGTTTACGCGCCAAGTACATCACGTGTGGCCCATATATTCCTAAACGATACTACCAATCACATAGGGCTTTTACACTTGATTATCCCGCCAAGCCAACAGACAATATTACGAGCTCAGGCCAACGCAGCATTCAAGTAAATTGACTTGCAAACAGTTTGACTAACACCTAATATAAAATTCAGTTTTCTATTTCAGCTTGTAATAGGCAACTTGATAATATTTAGAAAAACCTGCTTAGATGGTGTCAGTGTGGGTCTATCATCCTCATTCTTTAATTATTCTTACCATTTTGATTTGAAACTTTGCTAAGCCTGAGCTTTTCATCATGAATATTACCTTAAGGTTGAGCTTGATTGGAATCTAATTCTTAATCAAGAAAAACAGGTACATTGCAATCTCATATCACGGAACTGGCTTTTCCCCTTAACCGATCTCCGTTAATGCATTAAGCAACAGAGCTTGTTATGGCTCGTACTTAAACAACCTATCATCGATATCATTGAGACATTTTGAAAGCCTGGGCTCAATAAATTTAAAGGTTGAAGCAAAAAGAAAAGTACTTCAATTACCACAATAGGTACAGGGTAGCGGCTCATCTGCTACTGAACAGCATACCAAGCGGGGAAAACCTTAACCTTCTATCTATAAATAGCTTTCAATTCAAGAACCAATCACGTTAATACATTCTTTTTTCCATGTATCTGTCCACGTGTCTATACTAGCGCCACTAATTTCTAATCTCTACGAACTTAACATAGGGTGAATAAAACCTCCAGTATAGTAATGAAAACTCCAAGCTCTATCGTCTAGAGACAATATTCCCACTCTCTCCAAGTACAATCAGCCGATGGGACGGCATAAAAAAGCTGAATCCAGACCTCTTAGCATCCCCGATCCACAGGAGGGTGTCCATGCTTGGCAAATCAGAAATTCTTGGGTTCGTCTTTAACTCGGCGATAAATCGTTGCCAGTTCATCCGCTGCGCACCCGTGTGGAAGATCCTCGCCACGCCGGGTGTAGGTTCAGAATCGCCGGCAAAAATGGCACCGCAGACGTCTTGCACAACTGTAGAGATAGGAAGAATATCAGCCCAGCCTGCGAGCCCTTCCATAGTCGGGCGTACACCAAGGCTGACAGTGATGTCGACTAGTTCCTTGACCATCTGGTCAGGCTCAGGCTTAGCCAGCGTTCCCTCGGGCCCATGGTCAGGTGTGGGCATAGGAGTGTGTAGTGTCACAGGTAGCTGGAACTTCTCTGCCACGCGCAAGAGGAAAGTTTCCGCCGCCCACTTGGATGCGACATAGCCGTCGGTGCCATCCTGAGGGGGCGTAGAGCGATATTCATCCACTTGCTCGACGTTGTAGATATCATGGCCCTCGCGCTTCCCGCTGTAAATTCGTTTCGACCCGGAGGAGAAGAAGTGCACAGGTACGCGGCGCGGTAGCGCAATCATGGCCAGCTCCTTGACAGACTCGAGGTTTACAGGGCGTAGAACTTCGTAGTCGTCCCAGAAAGCGCGGTTGGCGCCGACGTGGAGGATCAAGTCAGCGTTAGATGTGAGGAAAGCCTTTTCGGCGTCGGATAAGGCAAGATTGGGGAGAGACAGGTCAGCGGCGAATACCTCCACCTTGTCCGAGATGGATCGTAGTTTCTCTGAATCGGTCTCAGGGCGGACAAGGCAGAACAGCTTCTCGACCTTGTCTGATGCGGCAAGCTGAGGCATCAGGAAGCGACCGACATAGCCAGTGGCACCTGTGACCAGAATCCTCAGTCCGGACCTTGTTCTGGGACGGGAAGACGCAAGAGCTGTGTCGAGAGGAAACAGAGTCTCCCATTTATCGGGAATCGCAGTCTCGATTTCCCAATCAATTATTGATGACATGTTGGCTTTGACCGTGGATGCCATATCTTGCAGTTTGGATGCAATCATCAGTTCGTTAAGCCTAGGTGCAGCTTGGAAAACCTTCTTGATGAGACGCTGCAGCTGTACCAGTAGTAGAGAACTTCCACCGACGTGGAAGAAGTCGGATTCATGGGTAATATCGCGACCGGCAAGTGTTGGGATGATGTCCCTCCACATTTCCTCCAGCCTTGCTTCGATCGGGTTTAACTCGCGAGACGAAGGAGCGATTTCGACAACCTGTTCACAGCTGAACGAGTCAATGGGCATTTGGGAAACTGCCTTGCGGTTAATCTTGTGGTGTACAGTCAGTGGAAGCGCGTCAACGGGGACAATGATAGACGGGCGCATATAGTCGGGCAGGGGAAGAGTGGCCTGTAGGCCTCTGAGGAAGTCCTGACGACTGCGCTCTGGGTAGTGTCGGGAGAAGATGACATGAGCCGCGAGGAACTTTCCACCGTCCTCCCTGAGAGTGACGATCGCGTGGGAGATGGCTCCATTGGAGGCCTCGACGATGGCATCTTCAACCTCTCCAATCTCGATGCGGAACCCCCGAAGCTTAATCTGCGTGTCGCCCTCGATGCGGCCTTCGACATAAAGCGATCCGTCGGGACCGAGACGACCACGGTCACCTGTGCAGTACATCGTGGTCCAGCCATTACGGCTAAAGCTCTCATCAGAGTTGGCATGGGGGTTTGGGACGAACTTGGCTTTTGTAGCGGCATCGAGTCCCAGGTAGCCTGCGGTGACAGCGGCACCACCAATAACAATCTCACCAGGAACGCCAGCAGGTTGGATGTTTCTGTGATCATCCATAATGTAGATGGAGTAGTTGGGCGCTGCCTTTCCAGCTGGGAGATGGATGGCGGACATAAGACCATCAAGAGGAATCTCACCGCCAGTAACAGCACTGATGGTAGTCTCACAGGGGCCGTAGTTATTCACCACGCGAAGATTGGGCAAGTTGAGACCATTGAACTCGGACACCAACTCTTCACTTATAGGCTCTCCACCAAGAAGCGTTGCCCTCCACTCCGTGCACTTGGCCAGCTGGTCACGGTTGAACTTGAACCACATCTCAAACTCAGACGGGGTGCCCGATGCATGCGTGATGCCCTCGTCCAACATCATTCGAGTCATTTCCTCAGGATCGCCTCGGATCTCCGACGGCGCGATGCAGAGACAGCCGCCAGTGCAAAGAGCGAGGATGGTCTGGCAGATGGAAAAGTCAAAGCTGAGAGGGGCCTGTTGTAGAACCCTGACCAATTCTCCGCTGAACGATGCCGAGTATCCTTCGTTATGGGCCGCCAGGTTTGAGTGTCTGACCATGATACCCTTGGGCTCACCCGTGGATCCGCTGGTGAAGAGAATAGCAGCTATTCCTTCGGGCTTGGCGACTGTCTTGACGTTGACTTGGCTGTTGTTTCTTTTGATGTCTTCAACAGAAATGATGGGAATGTCAGTACCGAGTTGTGGGACAGCGTGAGAGGTCGTGTTATCCACAAGGAGGACCTTTGGGCTAGTCGCGGTTACCGCAGCTCGCATGCGATGGACCGAGTTGCGTAGGTCCATGGGAAGATAGGTAGCACCGATACGTAATACTGCCAGCATAGAGCAGGCCCATTCCGATGCTGGCTCCTGGAAGACACCGACCACGTCTCCCTCGCTGACACCAGCAGCCAGCAAGGTGTGAGCAATAGCATTAACACGGGAATCCATGTCCTTATAGGTGAGACTGCGGCCTCTACCATCCTTCAGAGCAAGGTCCGAACCGTGATCAGCAATAACTTGGTCAATCCTATGAGAGATTGTCTGGGGCCATTGCAACTCGCGATCCGGGCCCTTTCCAAGCTGTAGGGCTGTGGAGATATCTTGGGCAGGCCAGGTGGTGGGTTCGCCCAGAAGAGCATCTTTGGCGATGTCGGCGGTGAAAACCTTGAGGAAGTGTACGTATGTTCTCAGCAGGAGGTCGCTGTGCTCTTGAGAATAGAGGGACTTTTGCAGCTGCATAGTGAGAAGGGTGTTGCCGTCGTTGTTCTCCAAGATATCGAGGGAGATGTCGTAGCCGGTGCGCGGGTGATGCCATGCGTGGGCTTCTGCTTTGCAGCCGGCAAAGGTAGCTCGTTCTTGGGTACCTTGTCGGTAGTCAAGGAAGACCTGGAAGATGGGGGCAGCAGTTCCTGTGCGATCAATACCAAGTTCGGTAAGAAGGACGTCGAGAGGGACAGCTGAATGCTCGAGGCTGAAGTAGACCTTATTCCTGGCAGATTTGATAGAGGTGCTGAACTTGGACTTGGCTGATGGCCTGTCAAAGCGGACAGTCAGGAGGTTGAGGAACATGCCCACCGTCGAGGCAAAGTCCATTGTAGAGCGGTTGGCATCGGCCATTCCGATAAACACCTCGTTTGTGTCGGGCAGCAGCCTGAAGAGGAGGGACTGGAGCACAGCCATGTAGAGGTGGAAGTTGGTGCTTTGGTTCGCTCGGGCAATCTGCTTGATACGTGAAGTGGTGGCAGCGTCGAGTCGGACATCGGATCGATGGCAGCTACTCGGGAGTTAATAGACGCAATTCCTCTCTACGGAAAGGGTGGGATAACAAACCTATACAAGTCCTGTGGCTTTCGTGATTTGACCATGGAAAATGGAAGTAAAGAAATAGGCTGGACGTTAGAAGGGATCATCTTGCGGTAGAAATCAATGTCCTTTTGGAATTGACCGTCCTCGTGCATCTTGTACTGCAGAGAAGAGTAGGTACGGTATTGAGAGGCCTCAGGAAGTGGCTCGAGCGTCTGGCCAAGATATGCTTTTTCAAGGTCGTCCCAGATGAGTTGAATACTAACGCCGTCGTGAGTAATATGATGGCTGCCAAAAAGGAGCCAGTGCGTCTCGTTAGACAAAGACAGCACCTCGAATCTGAAGGGCACCCAGTTGCTAAAGTCCCACTCGTGCGAGCGTAGCTCCTCAAGGACGTCATGCACCTCAGCCTCACTGGAAATATTGCGATGTTCCAGATTGATCTTAGAGTGGGACAAGATGCCTTGCATTGGCACAGAGTCGTTGTCCCCTGACCAGAAGAAACGGGTGCGCATGGCCTCATGTCTTTGAGCCACCGCTCGAAGAGCCTGGTTGAGACGCTCAATGTCTAGAGTTCCGATGAGCTTGATAGATAGTGCCACGTTGAAGGTGCTCTTGTCGGCCAAGGCGTGCTGAAGGAACCAGAAACGGGTGTGAGCGAAGGACATGCGCTCCTTGATCTCGTCATGTGACTCGGCCATGTCGCCGCATTCTGAACTTAGCTGCTCGCTCAAGTCAGTCACAGAGGCTGATTCCTGCTCTGTGTTGGCAGCCGGACTGAAGAATGGGGTATTGGCAAAGGATTCGCCGGGTGTAAGGCCCTCCTCGATGACGTTCACAGAGAGGTTGTTTAGTCTCTGAGAAAGCTCAGTCTTGTCGACCGAGGCAGCTGTTACCATATCCTGGCTCTTGGGTGGCTCTATGACATCTTGTGTGCTGAGGGTGCTGATATCGAGGATTGAAGCTGGTATCTTTTCCATGCTCTCACCGATGTGAGCGGAGATGGCGGCTCCTCCCAGAATCTTGATGACGGGCATATCCACCTCCAGCTCCTGTACAAACCAGGCACGAATATCCAAGGCGACGAGCGAGTCAACACCATGCTGGACCAGGGAGTCTTCGGGGTGGATGTCGTCGGTCTCTGGCATGTGCAAGACCTTCTTGACCTTGGTGATGAACGAATCTATTCGGCCACGGTTAGCTAGACGTTCTAGACATTATTATTGTCCATGAACCTACCTGTTAGCACCTTCTTGGCCTCGGCAACAGTCTTGACACTCTTGAGCTGAGCTCGGACAGAGACCGCAGCACCAAACGTGGCCTGTCCCAGATTGATGGACTCTTGGATAACAAGATGTCCAAACTTGAGGTCACGACGGTACGGGACAATTGTGCTTTCGAGCTCACGCAGCGTCAGGGGACTCATGCCAGTCACAACCTCAGGACTCTCGAGAGAAGTGGGCAGACCAGCGTTGATGGCCTCGGCAAACATGGCATGCAGATCTGTCTCCGACACGCTCGTGGCACCAAGGCTCTTGAAGTAGGCGGTATCATAGATATCAGACCTTCCAACATGTCCAATACCCATCAGAGAACTCAGGCCGATCACGGAAGCTGCTATACCTCGCTTGCGGCGTTGGAACGCGAGGCTCGTCATGTAAAGGTTGGCAGCCGCATAGTTGCTCTGGCCACTATTGCCCAGACAGGCAGTTAAGGACGAGAACATGATGAAGAAGTCGAGCTGGGCGTCGTGGAAAAAGTCGTCGAGCATCTGGCTACCCTCAACCTTGGGTTTCAAGACCTTGATCATTTGCTCTAACGTCATGTCCTCGAACGGAGAGTCTGAAAGGATAAGGGCACCGTGAGCAATACCACCAATTGCAGGCATAGTGCGTTTGATGGTATCAAGACATCTCTTGAGCGAGTCTCTACTGGTGATATCGAGAGCTATGGCACGAATATCTGCGCCCTTCTTCTCGAGGTTGTGAATAAAGTCAGGGTCGACCTGGGGTTTACGACTGGTCAAGACGATGTTCCTTGCGCCGCGACTTACCATCCATTGGCAGAGTGACTGGCCAACCTCTCCTGAAAGACCGACAAGCAGGTAGGTCTTGTCTGGACTGAGCACATTCGTGTGGTCAATGGGCCGAACACGGACGGAGACAGACGAGGCGGTCCAATCGACCATAGAAACAGGCTCCTGATTTGGTTTATGGGAAGCAATGTTGGCGAGCTGGATGTCAGTGACACCATCGGTAACTACGCTGTTGGCTGAGGCATCTGCCCAAGCAGCCTCAAGGCTCTCCTGGGCATCGTTCAGAGCAGCTCCAGGTCTCATGAAAGGGCTGCCACCCAATAGGTCGCTTGCTTGCAGATGAGCTGCATAAGGAGGCAGTAGGCTAGCCATGTTCTTCGCTACGTTCTTGCTAGGGGTGTCCGCAACCGAGAAGTCGACAAAGACAGACACGTTGCTGGGGAGACCGCTCCTCAAAGTGCGCAATGGTGTCTCGGGGTGAATGTGTACCAAGTCGTTGCTACGTCTCTGACTCTCACAGGTGGTGAACTGGATCTCAACGCCAGCTTTTTGCGCTTGTATGGAAATAGCCGACTTGAGGATAGGATCGCACTCGTGAAGAAGGATCGTCTCACCTCTTTCAGCTCGGGATACGATCTGGCGGCCAATGAAATGAGATGCAACTGAGATCAGGATGACCTTGCTGAGTTCAGCAGAGTCGGGGATACTGGTGAAGCATGAGTCTTGAATCGGGCTAGGAGACTGTGCTTTGCTTAGAAGCGCCAGGACAACCTTGTTCTCGTGAGTTCTGCAAACGGCAAGCATCAGGTTTCCAACATTGGGAACATTGATAAACTGCAGCAGTGACTGTTGAACGCGGAGGAAGCCCTGGGAATTCGCGTTGCCATTGCCATCAGCCATAAGCTCAAGGTCACCAACTTGCTCGACTTGCAACGAATTGTCCGAAGGCACAAGACGCAGTACCGATTTCTCCGGATCGATATCGGCCATGACAGCTCTTCTGGACGAGTTAATCCTCATGTTTTGCTTCTCGTTGAGGTAAAGACGTGGGATGTAGGCCTCGCCCTTTTCGAAGAAGATCTCGGGTTCTGAGGACCACATGAACTCATCAGAGTCACCTGTGCGGTGGAAGTGGTCCAGGATCTGGTGCTGCAAGAGGCTGTTGGTGATGAAGGCAGCGCTCTCACCGTTGATAGCGTCGATATCCAAGAACTGAAGGTTGATGTTGGGGTGCTCAAACTTGACCACACGCCCGATGCCGTACATCATGTACGAGTAGGGCTCATCAGATCGTGCTCCCTTGGTGACCCAGAGGATGTTTCTAGCAACCTTGACCAAGCTTTTGAAGCCGTCCATTTTGTCCTCCGTCACGGTCTTCATAAACGGCTCGTCAAGCTCCGTTAAGCTAAGGACTGTACAGTTGGGCGTCAGAACTGGCTCGAGATACTCGATAGACGCGATGTGAGTCAGATCTGAGAATCTTTGCCCCAGAGTGGAAAGGATATCCTTTGTCATGGTATGAGCAGCGAGAGACTTGCCACCCACGACAACCAGGAAAGGTAACCCATCTTCAATCTCCTTGGAGAGTTTGGCAGTTGGGTTTCGCAGAAGGGATACTCTGTCATCCACGGCTTGAGTCGCCCACACAGCCACAGCATGCAGTGAGTCGTAAATAGGCGTCGAAGTCTCAAGCGCGGAGAAGCCACAGCGCTGGACCAGCTCGTTCCATGCATCGAGAGTCAGCATTGGACCGTGAGGACGGCCACTATGAGCAGCAATCCACCATCCAGGCAGACCGCCCATAATGATACCGTTACGGAGCATGTCGTTGGTAACCGTCTCGAGATTAACAAGCCAACCACCAGGTTTCAGCAGCCAGCGCACGTTAGACATCATGTTGTCCAAGTCTTCAGCGACGTGGAGGACGTTGGAGGCAACAATCAAGTCATACGAACCTTGTTCAAACCGCTGGTCCTTGGGATGCTTGGACATATCAAAGACCTTGAAATCCATGCGGTCTGCGTATTCATGAAACTTAGCCTTGGCTGAGTCGAAGAAACCACTCGACACATCGGTGTAGGTATACGAGGTAAACGATGAGCCAAGCATAGGAAGGATAGCTTGGGTGGAACCACCTGTGCCAGCACCGACTTCGAGGACCTTCATGTGAGGGTAGCGATGGCTGATTTGCCGAGCCATCTTGGCGATCCACCAGTTGGCCACTCTCAGACCAATTCCTTCTTCGTAGAAGCGGTTGAGCAGGCCATCCTTGGTCATGTGCTCCAAGATACCTGATTGAGAGCGGATGGTAGAAGGGAGGTTCTGGCCTGTAGACTCGATGAGAAGAGCGTCCACACGTTCGCGGTGCTTGTCGGTCAGTTTCAGGATGGTGTCTTGATCATCCAGCAGCCAATCCTTCTCTACGAAGGAATATGTACCGCTGCGGACCTTATCGACGGTGTAGCGACCCCATGCAATTAGGCTCTTGTGGTGGTCCAGAGCATTGTCGACGTCCTCTTGAGACATTTCGGCGACTTGGCGAAGGTAGTAAAACGCAATTCTCTCCATGTCCTTGGCCACCTTGAGCTCCTCATCACTGAGCTTATCACCGGCTGCCGCAAGCTCACCGTTAGGCACGGTGCGGTCGTACTTGAAGTTGGAGAACAATGTCACATCATCCCGAGCAGTCGCTGGAGTGAGCGGCTTCAAGCTGATGCCCTCAATCTGGATGAATGTGTGGTCGCCATCCTCTGATAGCAATGAGAGATCAGCCATGATAAAGCCCTTTTCCTCATCACGGACAACAGTTTCCCAGGGAATACCGGCTCGACCCTTTTTATCTCCCTGGCAGAAGTAGGGATTGATCACTAGCGACTGAACCGTGACTGGCACATGTAGGGAACGCAGGCTCTCGTCACCAGGGTAGCTAAAGGCGGCAAACAGAGTCTGCAAAGCAGTGTCGAGCACACCAGGGTGGACGACTAGCTTGTCCTCCCACTCTGATCTAGACTGGTCTTGCAAGCTACCCGTGGCAAAGCCATATCGTCGCTTAATATCAGTGATACCCTTGAAAGGCTCCGAGTACTGGTAGCCCAGGTTCGCCAGTGTGGAGTAGAAGTGGTCGATCTTAACATCAACAAGGTTGAACTTGTTGCTGCCTGAAGACTCACGAGGAAGAGTGTTTGCAGCCGGTTCAGCAAGGACAATCTCCACGAAGCCCTTGGCGTTTGCCGTCAAAGACTGATCTCCTTCAGCGCAGGAGTGGCAACTAAAGGCAGCGACGATATGGGAGTCGCTGGACTGCTGAATAGTGACGTTGAAAACAGTCTCCACGCTGGCATTATCATCCGGGAATGCCATGGCTCGCTCAAGAGTAAGATCGCTGATGTGATACTTGGCGACATCTCTATCACCAGCAAGAGCTCGCATTGCCTCAAGGGCCATAGCCACATATCCCGTGGCGGGAAAGACAATCTGATCCTGCAGGCGATGGCCAGACATCCACGCAATCTCCTTGGGACGGAGCAGATTCCTCCATTGCACCTCGCGGGTGGTCGAGCTTAGGACGTTACGCATACCGAGGACTGGGTTGGGAGGAGATCTTGACCATTTCTGCGCTGCAGAGGATCGTGACTCGAACCAATACGAGTTTTGGTGGTTGAAGTGGTAAAGTGGCAGATCTTTGACAACGGTGCGGACAATGTCCTTCTGTCCATGGAAGGCCCTGTCGAACGCATCAAAGTTCACAGACCCAGATCCCAAATTGCTCCAGATGAATCCCAAGGCCTTGGACAGCTCTAGTCCGTCGTGCTTCCCACGGCTGAGGAGGCCAGTGTAAGGAGGGTTGATGCCAAGCTGGTTTATGACTTCTGATGCTGGCCCTTTGAGCGCTGGATGGGGTCCAACCTCGATTGCAAGGTCGTATGATCCCATGGCAGAGCAGGCTGCAGTAACAGCAGATGAGAATAACACAGGCTGAACCATATTCTGCACCCAGTATTCGTCTGTGAGCGAGTCTGAGGTCATAAGAGATCCTGCAGAAACACTTGACCACCACTCAGGACGATCCTCGGGATGAAGTGTCTTGATGTTGCAACTCGCCAGCGAGTCCCTGTATGCGCCAGAGCACGCCTGCATATGATGCGAATGGTACGCTGTGTCTACCTTAAGACGTCGAGCAAACTGGTTCTGGCTCTTGAGTAGCTCAACCGCCTCCTCGACTGCGTCCTCGTCACCAGACAATGTCAAGCTTGACGATGAGTTCTGGGCGGCGATAGACAAGCGACCACGAAACTCATCACGCCCACAGAGCTCTTCTGCCTCCTCGGTCGAGATTCCCACTGCTGCCATAGCGCCTTTCTTCCCGTTGGTCGACCCAGCGAGCTTAGCATGCAGACCTCGGTAGTAGGCAATACGGATAGCGTCATGGGCAGATAGCAGGCCTGCTGCGTATGCGGCACCAATCTCACCAGACGAATGGCCAACAACAGCATTGAAAGTAACACCGGCCGCATCTAGAAGCTTCACTAGGATAATTTGTACCGCCGTACAAAGTGGCTGCGAGAGAGCCGCCTCAGTGATGCGGGATGTCTCTGCTGAGGCGAGAAGCTGTTCACGGATAGTCCACTGTGGACGATCCTGCTCTGGCAGGGAGGCGAGTGACTCATCGAGCTCATTGATGGTATGTTGAGCCAGTGCTGAGGACTCGAGAAGAGCAGCTCCCATACGAGGCCACTGTGCACCTTGGCCCGTGAAGATTCCTAGGATGTTGGGCGCTTGCAAGTTACCAAATTTGCAGTCAGACTCGTCGTCGAGAGCACTTTTGATGCCTTGGCAGATATCGTCTGCACCAAGTCCCGCGATAGCTTTGCGATACGGTAACACAGAACGACGGTGTTGGAGGGTCCACGCCAGATCCTTCAAAGGAACCTGCGTGTTATGCGTAAGGACATCGAGATAATCCGACAAGGTAGCTCTCAGCGAGGCAGTCGAGGCGGCTGAGAAGACAAGAGGGGTAGATAGGAGAGGTTCTGTTGTTGAGGCTGCTGAGTCCTCTGGGGAGTATGCCTCAATAATAGCATGAGCATTGGTTCCACCAAAGCCAAAGCTGTTGATGCTGGCGCGACGAACGCCTCCAGTGGCCAGCTTAGGCCAAGGAGTAGCAGTGACAGGCACTTCAAGATGTGTGTAGAAGGGGATGATGTCGGCATTGAGCTGCTCAAAATGCATGTTTGGAGGGACGGTGCCATGGCGGAGTGCAAGTGATGTTCCAATCAAGCTTGCTAGTCCCGCAGTTCCCTCTGTGTGGCCAATAATCGTCTTGATAGACCCAACATATAGCTTATCCCCAGCGACTGCTCCATCTTTGAAGAAGGCGTTGTGAATGGCCTCGGCCTCCTGAGGGTCGCCAGCCTTGGTGCCTGTGCCATGGGCGTGGAAGAATTGAGGACGATCGGCTGGCTTGCTCAGGTCGAGTCCAGCCCTTGAGTACGTGTCCCTGATGAGATTTGTCTGGGCAACGTTACTCGGGACCGTGATACCTGAGGTACGGCCATCCTGGTTAACACCAGTTTCACGGATGATACACTCAATGGTGTCACCATCGGCGATAGCTTGGCTAAGTGTCTTGAGCACAATGGATGCAACACCCTCACCGCGGGCGTATCCATTCGCTGATGCATCCCACATACGTGATCGTCCAGTGGGCGACAGCATGCGTAGGTTACTCTCGGCAGCAAACTGACCTATGAAGGGGTAGTTATGAGTTAGTGGATGAGTCATAGATAGATGAAGGAAGAAGTGAAAAAGAGCCTACCAGGACTGAGGATAAGATTGGTGCCAGCAGCAATAGCAACATTGGACTCTCGGCTACGGAGAACCCTCACAGCTTCGTGGACAGCCACCAAGCTGGAGGAACACGCCGTATCAATGGTCATGGAAGGACCGTGCCAGTCAAAAAAGTACGACAGGCGGTTGGACACTATGCTCCTCGCCGTGCCTGTCCCCGCATACATGGGAAGGGCATCGATGTCCTTCTGCACCATGGCCGACCAGTCATCGCACATCATACCGACGTAGACGGCAGTCTTGGTGCCCTGTAGGTCTTCCATGGGCAGGCCAGCGGAGCAGAGCGAGTCATAGACCGTCTCCATCAGCAGTCTCTGCTGCGGGTCTATACTCTCAGCTTCTTTGGGAGGGATGTTAAAGAAGGAAGCGTCGAACTTGGACGGGTCATCGTCCAACAGGTATGAGTGCTGAACATTGGTGGTGCCATGATGTGTGGGATCAGCGTGGTAGAACGCGTCGATGTTGAACCTCTCCTTAGGAATCCTTTTCAGAACGTCCCGCGGCTTCTCAAGGAGCTTCCAGAGCTCAGAGGGGGAGTTGCAGCCTCCTGGGAAGCGGCACGCACTGCCGACGACGGCGATAGGCTCACTAGAATTTGAGTCCATTGGAACGAGTTGAGTGTTCCTGTCTGTGGTTCAAGGTGGATGGAGAGAGTTGGTTGATTCTACAAGCGTAGGAGTTGATCCAGGCCAGAGATACCAAAACAGATAAACAAAGAGAGGTGTTTGAGTGATGGAGAGATTTTACCGAAAGCAGCTTCGAAACAGAAGGGGATTTGTACTTATTACGAGCGAGTCTTTGACTTGAGTCTAACGAAACAGCTATGCCATTCCCCAGCGTTAACACGATATCAACCGTGTGCAATCCTACTGCTAGGGTAAGCAAGGGTCGGGACCGTATGTGGCAAAGTCTAGTTAGGCAGGTTCTCTCTTGTTACATGTGACGGGGCATAGGGTCTTCTGTGGATCTTTCGTTCTTATCCTTTGCCAAGTAAACTCTCGCTTTCACAAACATTCCGTCTGACTGCCGACAAGGTCATTGAATCCTTCCTGTTGCTTACCGTCCTGTAGTATCTGGGACTCATTGAGGGGCTGAGGTAAATACAATGAGATAGTCCAATGATCCTAGGTTACCAAGCCACCTACAGGTTTCGTCTGATGAAACAAGCAGGAGGAGACATTATGGGACTTTTGATGACCTCCTGGTCGAGGCCGCAGCTAGCTTAGTCGATCATGGTCACTTGGAGGGGGGTGGTATGAGATTAAACACCGTTGTTTTCGTATGTCGGTTACGAATACCATAGGAAAATATTCCATAAACCCTAAATCCATCTACCTTAGTCTCATATGCACGAGAATCCTCCACGCCCGGAACTTTTACCCATGGGACAACAACCAGCACAACAATTACATAGGGCTACTCCATCTTCAGCACGACCCTGATATTAGCCTTGCCCGACATGACATGGGTGGCTGCATCCGCAATCCTTTCGAACGGAAATTCCTCCACTAGGCATTCAATTCCATGCAGCTCGGCAAAGTTCCAGGCGTCCAGAAAGTCCTGGCCGTGACCAGCATTCCACCCCACCACTGAAGCTGACTTAAGCACTAGCATGCCCGTGTTGATGCTCACATCCGGGACCGCTGGAAAAATTTCCGGTTAGCTAGTTCAGCATATAGATATGCAGGAAGGGATTTATGCTCATGCAGGGGCTGAGAGAATTGAGGCGTGGGGAAAACAAGGGCACAGGGGTAGGGGTGGGGGAAGCCTTACGCGCCAAGATCAGGAGCTTGCCCTGCCATTGCAAAGCTGCAACATATTGACCAATTGTCTTTGCATCCGGAGCTGTGCATACAACCATCTTGGCCCCACCAAGTTCGAGTAGAGCCTCGACAGGGTCCTGCTGGCTAGCATCGATGTATTCGTGGCTCCCGAGCCGAAGGGCCAGCTCACGCTTGGAGTCCCCGCTCGAAATAGCAACGACGCGGTAGCCCATTTGGCGAGCATATTGAATGGCGAGGTGGCCCAAGCCACCAATACCCTGGATTGCCACAGTCTCACCGGGCATGATGTTCTGGTGGCGAATGGAGTTGAAGACAGTTACGCCCGCGCACAAAAATGGCGCAGCGCGGGCCGGCTCAACATCTTTTGGTATTTTGACTGCCGCATTCGTCTGGAGAATGCAGTATTCAGCAACTATCTGAGGCCTTGGGGGTGGAGGAGGCTTGAGCCTCGCCCTCCCGCGGCATCAACAAGTCAGTAAGTGCCTTTCCAAGTGGGGTATTTCTGGTCTGGGGAGTAAGATGACAAGGGGGAGGTTGTGGACCTACATCCTCCGTGCTTGGACACGCCGTTGGAGACCTTTTGCTCACAGCCCTGGGGGAATCCCTGCTGGCAAGTCTTGCATGTACCGTCCTGCCCACCGTGGTAAAGGCCACCGACTCTATCGTCAATGTCAAAGTTATCCACATCCGGACCAAGTTGTATCACATCTCCCACGATCTCATGACCAGGCACAATTGGCCACTTCGTACTATTGAATCGTCAGCTTTTTCAACATAGGACACTTGCCGGCTGATGTGAGCAAGCCAAGCACAGCCACCTACAGAGGACCTAATGCGCCGGCCCAGACGCCAATGTCGGTGATGCAGAAACCACAAGCCCGGACTTTGACTAGGACCTCGCCTTTCTTGGGAGGCTCTAGTTTGAGCTCTTTGAGCTGCCAGGGGCCGGTGGGCTGTTCAAGGAGGCAAGCTCTGTAGGTCTGGGGTAGGGGAGAGGCCATGTTGGGCGGATGATTTGTCTTGATGGGGAAGAGTAAGCGGGATGAATTGGGTAGGGAACCTGTTTGCAAATTTTCTCAAGGCCCTGATTACACGAGGTATTTATCCTTGTTCAGAAACGCCAAGTACTGTTTATTTATGAAAGCGGTGTGGACCTAGACCTACCACATCTATACGACGTAAGGAAGACGTTACTGAAAGGTACTGATAAGGATTCAAGGAAAATTAACAGTCCATTCAGCAATACTATTGTATAATGTAATACACTGTATTATTATTCCGTATTTGTGTGCACTAGATTTCATAAATCACTTCTTTTCTTGCTGTGAAATATGTCTTATTTCTTAGCATTAACATTAAACTTTCAGGAGGTAAAAAGCAGCTTTCCCCACCCTATACAGGATCCTTTTATTTTACACTTCGCTAAAAATTGCTATGTCATAGCACAAAGTAAGCAAGTGGTTATTAATTTCCGTTAGTGCACCGGGATAAATCTCCGCCGGGTCAGAATTTAGCTTCGGGTATTCACGGTCCGGTCAGCCACATGATCTACGCGCCCTACGCCTACTTGGGCAAAACTAGAGGTCCGAGTAAGCTTACAATTTAAGGTTAGTGTGACACACCATGTAATCCTTGCTACTGCGGAGGGTAGGATGGAGTTAGGGTGTGAGTATAGGGCTGAGAATATAGTCACCTTCCTGAGTCATCCTTGGCGTAGGATCAGTGGATACGAATAGATGAGGCAGGTCCATGAAGAGTTTTTCGCTGCATGTAACCATCTTTGTACTTTTTTCGTATCCTCGGATAGCCAAGTGCGAAGGCCAGATTACCATACTATCAATACGAATACCAAAAATAAGCATAGAGACAGAAACGGACTCAACTGAGTCTCAAACTATCATCCAGCAAAATTTGGAGCATTGGGAGACAATGGGTTTCTTCGCAGCGCTTTCAGAGCTTCTCCCCAAGTCCCTTTTGCTTGCAATTCTTTCCGCATCGTTTTTTGTGGTCGGTGCCTACTTCATTTTTAACTATGTGTCCCGCAACTTGTCCCGTCGCCGGCTTAGCGCTCGGCACGGTTGCCAACCGATCCTCGCTGTGTACCCATCACGCTGGCTGGGTGTAAACTTCATTTTTGACACTCTTAAAAACTACAAGGAGCGCAATTATCTCTTTTCATTATGTCGGCAGTTTGAGGTGGTTGGCTGGACCCATGAGGTCCGGATGCTCGGTGGTGCCAGCATCTGGACCATCGACCCTGAGAATCTCAAGGCGGTGCTTTCCAACAACTTCAAGGATTACAACCTTGGTCACCGTCTCGATGTTATGAAGGATTTACTCGGGAGAGGAGCCTTTGTCACCGATGGCGAAGAGTGGCAGCACTCGAGGGCCCTCTTGAGACCCAGCTTCAACCGCGAGCAGGTCGCCAATCTAGACATGATCGAGGAGCATGTCTCCCACCTTCTACACCTCATTCCCTCAGGTGGAGAGACGGTCGACCTTCAGGAACTATTTTACAGATTCACCATGGACTCATCCACCGAGTTCCTTTTCGGTGAATCTACTGGGACACTGCTTGAAGCCGAGAATGGAAGTGGCAGTGAATTTGCCCGATCTTTCAAATACGCCCTCCATCGTGTTTCTGAGGGTATGCGCCTCGGTCCAGTGCACAGGTTTCGCAAGACAGACCACAAGGCCGAAGATGCCAATCGCTTCTGCCGCAACTACGTCAGGAAGTACGTTGACCAAGCCCTGGCGTACCGTAAGAAGCTCGCCAACCAGGATGATCTCAGTGGAAGCGAGCGGAAGACCTTTCTGATGGGCCTGGCCATGGCAACTGATGACCGAGAGAAGATGTGCGATGAACTCATCAGTCTCCTGCTCGCCGGACGTGACACCACTGCTAGCTTGATCGGTAGTGTAATATTCTGTCTCTCGCGAAATGCATCTCAGTGGAAAAGGGTGAGAAATGAAGTTCAGAGCACATTTGGCGACAGGCTTCCTACCTACGAAGAATTACGAAGCCTGCAGTACGTAAAGCACTGTATCAATGAAGGTATGTCAACTCTAGGGATTGTTTGGAAAGACTTTTATTAAGATTTAGATTGTTAACGACCCGTTCTAGCCCTCCGTCTATTTCCTCCGGTGCCAAACAACGCCAAGATGGCCACGGAAGTCACCGTTCTTCCCCGTGGAGGCGGCCCTGATGGCAAAGCGCCGGTGCTCGTCCCTAAGGGATGCATGATCCTCTACACCGTCTTCGCACTTCATAGACGCAAGGACCTCTGGGGAGATGACGCTGGTGAATTTCGGCCAGAGAGATGGGAGAAGGGTAGGAAGTTTGCCTGGGTAAGTTGAGCTTGAATACTGTCTTGCGCTTGTACTTATTTCTGTTTTGACTAACATCTTCGGTTGCAGGACTTCTTGCCCTTCAATGCAGGTCCCCGTATCTGCCTCGGTCAGCAGTATGCTCTGACAGAGGCAATGTACGTTCTGGTCAGGATGGCGCAAGAGTTTGAGACAATTGAGTCTCGAGACGAGGAGCCTTGGGTCGAATCTCTCGAGTTGACTGTTAGCTCAGGCAATGGGGTCAAGGTGGCTGTTCAACGAGCCAAGACAGGATCCACATAGGCAACGTGGGGTAAGGCTGGACTTTCCAGCTGTTGGGGTTGGGAATACGACTTTTTTTGTGATATTTGTAGTGTAGAGTCTAGACTAGTAATGTTTCGAAAATGAGTTCTAGCATTTCTTTTTTAAAATAAAATTGATGTTAAACACCGAAATCGCCAACACCTCAATTCCTTCGTCAACTTATGAAGTTATGGATTCACAGTAGTCTCCGATTGAATTACGACGAGCTATGTTTGGTCATAGGCTCTACTTATCAGAGCACAATACCAAGTAAGAAATAAATGATAGTCCGATTTCGAAGGATAAGTTAAGATGTTGGGCTACTTGCAATTCTCTTTTGAAATGGGGATTATACTTTTTGTGTTTTTAACTCCTGTATCTTCATATTATTGAAGGACATAAATACAACTTACCCTACATCATTTTCACCTACAAACCAGTTGGACACGTGTCTAAGCCGAAGACAATACCACATTTTTCACCCTTTATTTTCCTATAGTTATAAACATTCCTACACATTATTCATACTGCTTAACAAAAAAAAACCTATACCTCACACATCCAGATACTAGTTTACGAAGCTTCATTTGACTATGAACTTCACAAAGTAGGCATTTTGTTTTCCCACGGGAAGTTGCCTCTCATAGGCTCCTCGTCTGCAATGTAGTCGAAAACAAGAGACCTGCTCACCAGCGGCGTGCTAAATACATTGAGCAACCACACCTGCAGAGGATTGATTGACATAATAAACCGCGCCATTAAGTAGAAAAAGAAGCTCTGCCAGGCCTGCATTCTTGTTACATTCGCCGACGTTGTGGCATCTGCCTGCAGCAGCTCCTGACGATTGGCCTTGTATGTCTCGAAGACGTGCGATAGGGTGTCCATGTCGGGCTTGGGCTTTCCTGCCACCACCTCGCGAAGGCCATTGCAGAGTGCGACGATGTCTTGGACTCCGTTGTTGAAGCCTAGGCCGGCGTTCGGGGTGAATTTGTGGCAGGCGTCGCCAACGAGGACGATTCGGCCCCAGCTCCAGTTGTTGGCCATGCCTTCTTGGAGGTTGCCCATGCCTGCCGCCGCTCGCTGGGCGAAGGCGTCTTTGACTTTGAACTTCTCCGTAACAGGGTAATCAGCCATTCTCTCGGCCAATTCCGCCATGTCCTTCTCTGTGTACTTCACGCAGGCCGTCGTTGGTTCTGGAAGTTTCTCAAAGAGAAAGGCCCACCCTCGGTCACGGCCTTGCATATACATGACGGAGTTATTGGTGTTTTGCGTTTCATAAAGCTGACCTGGAGCAATATCATCGTGTCTCCCAGGCACGCTGAACCAGATGGACTTGTATTCGCACGAATACACCTCCTCCGCGTCCCACTGAGCATTTGGGTTATCCAACAGGGCAAGCCTCCGTATAATCTTGCGCACCTTACTGTTAGCACCGTCTGCACCTAGAACCATATCGCCCTTGAACAAAGATCCATCGGAGCATAAAACCTCGACACAATGCTCGGAATGATTGATATCCGAGACGGTCTTATCTAGATGACATCGGGCCCTGAGATCTTCTGTCATACTCTCGTAGAGCGTCTTGACAACATGAGCTCGGTGGATCACAACTGGACCGCTGCCATGGCTGGAGTAAGACGCGTTAGCTTCGCCAAAGGAAATGACATGACGTATAGATCATCGGGTCATGACAGAATGGAACTCACTTTTCCGAGACCTCTTTGAAAATCCAACTCCCCTTGAACTGTCGACCGTTGGCAGTGAAGCCCTTGTTTTGCAGGATCTCTGTGCCATGCTTGAGAAGCTTGTCGAGTAAGCCCAGCTGATGAAAGACTCGAAGATTCTGAGGACCAATGGCTAAACCGGCGCCTTCTTCCAGAATGTACTCTTTCCTGCGCTCTAGCAGCTCAAAGTCGATGCCGGCCTTGTGTAATGCATGGGCAGTAGTCAAGCCAACTGGCCCTCCACCAACAATGATGATCTTGAACTTGTTCATCGTTACAAGTAAACTGTAGTAATTAGCTTGGGTTCCTGAGTCTCAGAGAGGGGGAAACAAGCAGAGGTGAGTATCAACCACGCATCTGGAGTCCCACCATGAATTACAGCAGCCACTCAGGACCTCACCACACTTTCTCCGGCCCCCAGATCCTTCGTTCGACTTTTTGTCGATCAATTGATGGCTTGTGGCTTGGTTGTTTGCTTACTACTAATCATATGAGGAAGCTCACCGCCTCCATTAACAAAGGTTCCAAGCTAGTTACCTCGCCACATTCGCTGCGGTATTTACCTTGGTAGAGAGCAAGAAGTCGCAGGTCTGGGATATTGATCCTGCCTGTATGTATCGCCATGCATATAGGGTTCATACATACACCTGCAATAAGCAACAGGCTGAAGGCACGGTTGAAGTACAGGGTCTAACTCCTCTTCGAACCTGATCTGCAAATATCCGAAGGAAGATGTACATTATACTCGATGGGGACTGGCACATGTGCGATATTATGTAGAAACCGTATGAGTTGGACAAAGTAATATGGGTCTGTGGATATGAGGTTATTTTTCTTGACCTATTGGAAGACGGATCATGCTTAAAATGCACCAATAGTTCGCTTTGGCGAGCAGCTACAACGCTACATGCTACATAAAGTAAGTGCCGGCCCACCCATGTTCAGCGACTAGGTTTAAGGTTTTACGAAATGCAGTCAGCTCCCGCATTTTCACGGAGATCAGGGGTGGCTTATTTAGAGACACCCATTACAAGGGGACTACGGATACGGGCGATCGCCCTACGAACGAGACCCCAACTAACCAGGGTCAGGTACAGGGCTCACTAGCGCTTACCGCCTTACGAGGCAACTCGCATGGCGGGACGGACCGGGGATTGAATCCTCCGCTATCCCTATCTCAGGCTTTAAATTCGGGTTCTTTTGCGTATTCGGTCATGTTCCCTACTTGGGAGTAGTGCGACAGATCCCTGGCTTTGCGACTTGGCGATCCTTCGTATGCTTCTAAGCAGATGCATCCTATCACCCCTTGGCGGGTTGTGTTTTGCTGTCATGGTATTACCAACGCTCGCAATGGGCCCACAGTGCAGAGAGCGCCTCAGGGAACAAACATTTGTTGATAAAACATCCAGGACATGGCATCTCCTCAAACCTTCCGATCACTACAGTCGTCTCATCTCACAATCTTTAGCTGATTATCCCACCAACCTTTATCTCTTTTCCATTACACTATCAAAATGGTTGCGGGCGACGATTACAAGTATGTCTTCAAGAAGGAGGTCGAGGACAGGCGCCTCCAGGGTCAGCACCAAGGCATCAAGCTCGGCATGGGCCGACGCCTGGTCCTGGCCCCTATGGACCTGAGCCGCCCTAATCTCAAGATCTTTGATGCTGGTACCTCTGATGGTAAGTAGGCTGAGAGTTGCGTTGCACACAAACGATGTTGACTGACATTCACTAGGCTACTGGCTCAATGAGGTTGTTCCCGAGCTGGGTCAGCCTAAGACCTGCCAGCTTATCGGCGGTGATATCACTCCTGAGCGCTTCCCCGAGAACCCACCACACGGTATCAAGCTGTTTGCACAGGACTCGGCTGGTCCCTACCCTGAGGACTGGCTCCAGAGCTTTGACCTGGTGCACCAGCGCCTCACCATCGTTGGCGTCGGCCCTCGGGCTAAGGAGTGCGTCGAGGCCCTGATGAGCCTTGTCAAGCCCGGTGGCTGGATCCAGCTTGTCGAGATTGAGAACACAGAAGAGCCCAACGGCCCTTGCACCAACCAGCTTGGCTACATGGTAATTGAGCTTGGCAAGGCTCTCGGCTCTGACCTTTCATACCGTGGCGGCGGTATGGAGAAATGGATTGCCGAGGGTGGCTTCCGAAGGATTGGCACTATGCTCGCGCCCGTTTGTATGGGTGCTGAGTGTCCCGACCCTAGCCTGAGGGACCAGACCATTGAGGCATTCTGCTTCACCGCGTCTCAGCTGATCCCAGCACTGAAGAGTAAGCCTTCCCCTAGCTACCATGCTCTATTTTCATCTACTAATATTACTGTAATGTAGGCTTCCCCGGTGGAATCAAGTGTATGACAAACGAAGAGGCTGAGGACTTTGTCCCTCGGCTTGAGAAGGAACTGCGAACCCAGGGTGGATATTTCCCTGTCAAGGTCGTTTGGGCTCAGCGCCCTCCTCAGTAGTGTTATCATAGACTAAATATGACTGTCCGTGTAATTTCGTGTTTATAAATATCCTTTCATTAAAACCTGTTAGTTACTTATTATCTGTGTGAACTAAGAAGCTTTAGTTGCGGCATGAAAACGTAGAGCAGGAAAAGGTGTAAAATCGTGCTCTTTTGTATGTAGCATATTGTGTAACGTATGGATCCTAGTTTACCGAGCGTCCAGTATATGAGGTTATTGGTTATCATTTCTTGACTTTTGTACAGAATGTAACAAGCAAATACGGCTAGATTTAGTCTATCCTAGGTAACAATGTAACGGCCCAGAATTGGATTCAAAGACCCTGTCTAAAAGTTGAGATATTTGAATACTAAGAGGATAGGCCATTCCAGAACCATCTAGCAACTTGTTCAAATCCACCAAAGTGAAATAAAAAGGACCCCTCAGGCCCGGCACATTCTTCCTGCCGCATCCACATTCCACTTTTCGCTACCAACTCCCTTATCAATGTAGAAAAGACTGCCCTTGTCCCATTTCGCCTTGATCTTTTCGAGCTTCTTATAGTTGGGTCCAAAGAAGGCTGTCTTCCAGTCCTGTTCCTTGATGCTCGCTTCGTTGAGATAGGAAGCACCGCCTGGAGTCACCTTCTTGATCATTGGCATGAGGGCGTCGTTGATGAACGTCTGAACACCGAGCATGTCTTGCCAGTAAGTGGGATCAGTGCTCCAGGGAACGGAAACTTGAAGCTGGATGAGGGTGTTTCGCCACGCAGGAAGCACAGCGTTAGGGACCTTGTTAGTAGGGGCGGTGTAGGATCCGACACTACCGACGACGATGGCCTGCTGGGCGATGATATCTGAGATTGCTGCGCTAACCTCATCACTCGCATCCTCCACTGCAGCACGGGGAACTAAACGACCTCCTGACTGGACGGCTGTGCTGAACACACTTCCAACCGGCAGAGGTCCGTAGTAATGGTCGTAGTGGTCGCGGTAGGATTTGGTGGTGAATTCTGATGTGTATGAAACTCCCATCTTGTCTAGGGCGGAAAGGAAAGGGGCTGCCACACTGTTCTGGACAAAGCCGCCTGTAGAATTGAACACAGTAATGGGCCCGATGGTCAGAGCTGGTGCCATAAGCAAATAGCCAACAGCCGCACCGTTGTCGACCATTTCCGGCAGAAGTTTATGCAGCTTTGCGATAATCTTGGAGAAAGTCTCAGTAGGGGCTGACGCATTCGCTGCAATCACGATCTTTCCACCCCCGACCTGAGCAGCTGCGTGTGCCCTAACTGTCATGGACGTGACAACAGCATATGTACCGCCGCCACCGCCACTCAAAGCCCAGTATAGGTCTTGGTTCTCGGTAGGGGAAGCGCGAAGAGTACGACCGTCTGCGGTAACGACATTATACGAAAGGACTTGATCAGCGGCCATACCAAACTCAGTGCTCAATGGCGAGTGGCCTCCGCCCTGGGTGAAGCCACCAGCTACACCGACAGTAGGACATTCACCAGCGACAACGACGAGGCCCTTGCTGTTGGCAAACTCGAGAGCCTCTGAGCCTTGTACGCCAGCACCGAGACGGACGGCTTTGCCAGTGTAGACATCGGATTTGTAGTCTAGCAGCTCCACAGATTTCATGTGATGGGTCCAGACAGAGAGTGCGCCAGCACCTGTTGATCTTCCGAAGAAGCTAGAAAGGAACACTTCGTCAGTAGTGGGTTCTTGAAAGTATAATAAATTAATATTTTTATGCTGGGCAGTTCTTACTCATGACCGGTGTTTCGTACGACAAATCGAATGTTGTGTTTCTGCGCAAACTTAATTGCCGATGCGATGTGGTTGGGCGAAGTCGCGTTCACCACGTAGCTAACAATATTGCCAAGTTCGCAGGGCTGCTCTCTCGGGGTAAATGGATCACAGCTTTGGTTGCCGAAAGAAAGCTGCATAGGTGAAGACGGAGACTCGATGCTAGATGATAGTAACATTAGCTAAAGACTCCCTACTGTCGGCGCAATTGATCTGTTACTGACTGCAGCAGCGGGTTCAACCATTGGGCCTGTAATGCCTCACACGCCTTGGCGTCGTAATGGGGGTCATGGCACTGGGCCCCAATTGGAACGACCTTGATAAGGCGGTTGTTGACTGTTTGGTTGAGGCCCTTCCAGACATCAGGCTTGGGCCAGCATGAGTCTCCTGGTAGGCATCGACACTGGGCCTGCTGCGTGTGGGCACGCGGGGAGGCTGCGGCGAGGTGTAACAGGAACGCGCTGAAGACGGGGAGGATAGCCAACAGTTGCATGGTTGCAAGACGTGAGATGAGAAGAGTCTGAATTGCAGTTCTGGGCTTACGGGGACGCCTTTTGTATTTCCGGTGCACTTGACAAGCTTTGATTGCCCAATCCTTCATGGCTGTCGAGAACAGGTCTCGAATCAAAATAGCCCTGGCCCCTGTGAACAATCCTAGTGGGCCGTAATACCACCCTACCCCCTTGGAAAGAAGCCTGAAAAACTACCCCTCCTACGCCGTACCATGCTATGTATCGCATCTTAGCAGGGGTAAGGGTAAGTATTTTAGTGGCCTTTCAAGCTTACATCTGGCAGTCTGGTCTGTGCATGTTTCCATATATGTTTCATTTTCCGAACCAATAGTCTTGCCAACCACCACACCTGCGAACAGCATCACCCTATCGCTTCGCGCGTCAATTTCCCTTTCCTTTTCACGGACATTCCAGCCCAGTTACATTCCATTTTCAGATCTGTGAAGGTATATACTATATCATAAGTTGACTTGGCGCAAGTTTGAATAACGCCGTCAGCGTTGAACTTGTGCATATAATTTACTACCATACCTCTGTTTGCTACCATTAGACCTTTTCCGTAGTTCTTTTGGTTTTCTCGTGTAGAAATCGCATCAGGGTTTGCCATGCTGATTTGGCGGTACTGCAATAGCGCAACGCGGCAAAGTCTATATGAGTAGTTGCGATTTCAAGCTTGAATGCGAGACTATGGTCCTATAGAGGGGCGATTCGTGATATTTCAATGCTGGCCATTGCATAAAAGGTCCAGTCCGCAAGACCATTTCCTTATTTAACTTCGACCAAGATGCTGACTTTTGATAGTTTGCAGCAAGGACAACTTTATTACTTACTGTAATAGTATAGTATTAGGCCGATAACTTAAAACCTATACTTGATACTATGTTGAGTACTAGCTTACTTTCTACTTCATCAATTATGAATATTGTGACATCACTATCTGAGCCTTTTTATTGGACTAACAGCAATATGACCACTGTAGTATGAAAACAGTGCTTATTAAGCCTGGACGGGGCCTGGCAGGCCTTCTCGATGAGATACCGTAGTTATATTAGTAGTAAAGAGCTACCGCTGACGTGAAAGAAGGCAGATTCATGGGTGATATCATGACTTGTAAGTGTCAGGATGATGATTCCAACCTGTTGAGAACCAACAGAAGATGGCTGCGGGCTGAAGATAACAATATAGTGATTCTTTGCATCTATTCTAGAAGTCACTTAGCCCTTGAGGCACACTAAGATCCGCGCTGTACTAGAGGGTGTTGTGAATATTGATCAGACCTCGATGGTGTCACTATTCGCAAAATACCAGGTATCTTATGTACCGTTTCCAAAGACAAAGAGCATCAAAACAGTCTTACATCATGTTCAACTGATGTAAGCCCCCATTTTCTGCTGTAGTTGGAACACTTGGCTATTGGGCTTGTGAGAGCGACAGACTGCCTCCTTGCCGATTATGCCCGAATTTGACTGTGGGTCGGATGCACTGATTGTCTATCTCATTTATGTCTTGTACTGTAGAAACGTAATTTGACTAGTGCACTATTACTATAAACATAATATGTTAATCAACCACAGAAGTGCCACTGATAACACTAAAAGAGCACTGCCACAACTAATCCCACTGCTGCACAGAGACTCAAAGCTCGGGTAGTGCTTGTACCACTGCCTGAAGTCTTCGTAGACGTGGCTTCACCAGTTGCGGTGATCAAGTCTTCATCAGCACTGTTGATTCTAGTAGTTACAGCCGGAGTAGTCGTCGCTTCCGCAGCCCGGGCCACTCCTGACACGTCGCTTGTGACAGTAGCGTTTGTAGAAGGAGCAGTCTTTGTTGCCAAAAGATATTCCTGGCCAGCTGTGACAGTTACAGGGGTCCAATCGAAATGTCCCCAACCGGCATAGAAAAAGAAGTCAACTGTTGTACCGCCATGTTTGGTGAAAGTCGCTGTAGGGCCTGTCTGATCGTCTCTGGAGAAGGAAGGGAAGTTTGTTGTGGTGCAGACTTGAGGCATCGTATAATCCATTTCGCATTCTATAGAGAATGAATAACCCCAGTCTTCGTCATCCACGACGTTGTGATATCTCCAAACTCCAGTTGTGACAGCTCCAGGCGCAGGTGTCTTATCAGCCCAAGGGCCGACAACGATAGTGTCATCAGTGACATAACACTCGTTCAGTTCTATATCCCATGTCTCCTTGTTTTTGGGCTTTTCGCAGTTCAAGACAAATGTAGTGGCTGTAGGGTTTGCACCAATGACTTCGGCATGCAAGTTGGCGACGCCGGAGTACTCCAGCATAAGGAGGGAAGTAGTGATATTTGAAGACATGGTCGATTGACTGAAGATGTGTAAGTGGTATAGGAATGGCGAATGAGGCCAAGTGAAGGGGAAATGATTGAATAAATGTATATTTAAACAGTGGAACAGCGTGGGCAGTTCGGAATATCGGCCAATGTTTAATTAGCCAAAGTCTTGGCTTTTTCACTCCCCACTTCTTAGTGACATAACCGCTAGGCCCCGTCATGGGAGCTTCAAGACGTCCTTAGCAACGTTTCCATGAGTTTATAACTGACGCGATTGCTATAATTGACTCAGTAGACACACGTTACCTCCATAACATGAGGTACTAAGAGCGGGAGTATTTAACCAGGCAAAAGCGAAACTTGTCTCTTGAGGGCAATTCTGTTGGTTTGCTCGTATCCACTCAAAGTGGGCCGGGAAATGACTCGGTTGTGGTTGTTGGTTGCTAAGAGCGTAAGAAAAAGGTTCCTCTGGCCACTGCCAGCCCTCAACGTACTCCGTGTTGGCACCAGGGCTGAAGAATGGGGTATTGGCAAACCAGTGGCCGGGTGTGAGGCCGTCTTCAACAGCGTTTACTGAGAGGTTGTTCAGTCTATGAGCCAGATTGCATTACATCCTCGGATTCGTGAAAGTACGATACCATTTGATTGCCTGGTCCAGCTTTGAATAACGGCGTCAGTGTTGATTTGGCATATGATTTGCTAACATAACTTTCTTTGATCCAATTGGCTCTTGTTAGACTTCGACCAAGATGTTGATTTCGGACAATTTGCAACAAGGATAATTGCGTTAGTAGCTGTGATGCCACAACGGAGTGTGATAGTAATGGCTTCAGATCCGAATTCGCCGACCATACTGAGTGCCAGCTCACCATTCGTTGTATAAAGTGTCAGTAAAATGATGCGACCATCCAAACCTCTTCACTGGCCTAACAGCACCATAACTACTGTTGTACTGGAGGTCGGATGAAGCTTTGTGCCAACAAGATAATGGATCAATAAAAAGATGAGGTTGATGAAAGATGGCTAGAGCTTTAGAGAGGTGTGAGTATGCAAATAGCTGACGCAAGAGTAACTGGGGAGAATGCTTAACGGTTGACCATCGGACAGGACTGTTTCTCAGGCACCATAGCCCAAAAATGCACCTCAGAGTAAAAGAAATTGCACACGTCCTCCTGGCCCGATTACATTAATTTAGATAGATCTTACCAAAATAGAACAGTGGAAGCGGAGAAATGAGGAATAAATTCAATTGGCCGTGACTGCAAGATTTCTCATCACTTACTTAGGCAGACGCCTTCTTAGTCTGCATGGTGGGGCGGAATGCAAATAAAAAAGATCGTGCCACTAATCTCCTCGCACTTCTTTCACCATTCACTCAGAGTGTCATCTTCTACAAAACCACACGACTGGCCGACCTGTTCACCGCTACAATGGACCCAAACCTAGAGCTTTATAGGAGTCTATTGCATCTTCCCCCATATCAGCGCCGCGAACGCATGCCGGATCTTCCCGATGAAGAACTCCGCCGGATTAGGGAAATCATCGGAAATGAGAACCGTGCTAAAGAACGAGAGGAAGACGCCCGGAGACGTGAGGAAGAAGCCAAGAGACGGGAAGAGTTCATTGCAGGGCGGGACCTCGCTGAAGTGACCTTGACTGATCCTTCCAGGGTTATGGAGGATAAAGAGTTGCTGTATCCCATGCTTGGCCGCACCCTCAACTCCCACAACGAGGAGCTGATGATACAACGTATCACGAATGACAACGTAAGGTGTGGTTCGACCTTGGTCGCCTATGCCCAAGGCTTTGAAGAACACGCTCACAGTCTGTGCTTAGACGCCTGGAAGCTAGTGTACTGCGACATTTACTATGTCGATGGAGGCAGAGCTACGCTGCAGGAGATCTACGAAGTTCGCCTTCAAGAAGAGGAGCTCCAAACCCCCGCCGCCAGAGCTAGAGAGCTTGTGCGCGATGATCGCCTCAAGAAGGCTCGGAGAAATGCCAAATGGATGATTCCTGCTCTCGAATGTCTTTCAGCAGATGAACTAGTACAACCACCTCCGGAAAGCGCAGAAAAATTTCGATGGATCTTGGAATATGTTGTTGAAGACAAGGAAAGAGACAGAACGAGAAGGGACTGGGAGAAACTTTGGTGGTATGGAAACCTGAAAAATATTTGGAAGCAGGTATCTCCTGCGCCGCCAGCTTGGATGCAGAAGATCCTTGATAGTCAACACCAATGGGGTTTCATCTACTACTTAGCCAGAGACGTCGATAAAAAGTATCTCTGCCACTGGAAGACTATCTGGGATTCACTTGAGAGCATGTGTTCCCCAAGGAGGGTGACCTGGAGAACTATCCATTGCCAGGGTAGTGACAACAGGGAGGCCTTGAAGAAGCTTTTAACTCAAAATCGGCCTATATTCTCTCCTAATGAGAATCTGACTGAAGACGAGGACCTTCGAAAGTAAGTCAAAGATCGCCAGACTGAGAATGTCAAATATACTAATTACTTCATAGACAATTCAAAGAATACATCGAGGTGAACCGATCTCAGACGCTAGAAGATGAAAAAAGGAAGAAGAACACGAAGTTGAACAAGAACAGGAAGGAGAGTGACGATTTTCTGTCTCCTGGCCTTCTACGTAACACTTTTATTGTTGTTCCAGGAGAATTCCTATCCGCTAATATTCACTATGAGGGCCGGGACCGGCCTGATCCTTGCTACGTTTGGGCGTATGATGCAGACTGGGACAGTTCAGAAGAAGCCGTCCTCAAGGGAGAGAAGTACCAAGGTCGCGTCAGGGTGGCCATTGGGTCAGTCAACTCATGGTTTTATGGTGCACGCTGGGAGGGTATTAGCCTTCAGGACATGTGGCTTAAGGCACAGCAGCACCCTAAAAAGGTATGGGAGTGTTACACAAAGGAATTTGAAGAATGGGATCACGAGCCATACATCTAGACTTAGACATCTGTAGGTCGATGAGACCTGGTGTTGGGACGTGCGAGAGATGCTGCGTGTGGTATACTAGTTCGTTTGTTGTGCTATATGTTATTTACTTTGAGCCTCGAATCAGTTTCTACACGTAAAGATCTCCCAACTTAAACCTGTCCAGCACTGAGTAGTGCTTATTCAGCAGAGTTGTGATCCCTTCGGCACAGATGCCGCTGGTGGAGTCATATGTTAGTTCACGTATCGTTTACGAATAGGATTGTCCTGCCCGAGGTTTTCAAGTTAACGTTAGCCACTGCACCAAAGGGTGTGTGTGCCATCTTGTTGGAGTCTGTAGCCCTTGATGTGGCTTTAGTAGTCTTTGAAAACGGCCTGAGGGAGGTAAAGCAGATATGTGCCGAAGTCGATGATGACCTCGCCGGCTGTTTTCTTGCCGTCGGTGAATTATCCTTCACCCATAGCGTAGGGGCTCGCGTTCATTGATCAGTGCTTTCCACTTTTCACAGTTGTGTAGGCAACCTTTCCCTTAAATCTGGTGTTATAGATGTAACCAAAGTCCAGGATCGAGGACTTGCCATTGACTCTGAGGATCGCAGCGAACAGCTTCCTTTTCAGGGTCGGCATGGCAGTCTCAAAGAAGGTCTTTGCTTGTCGGGCTTGGCGGTACCGAACGCGAGACCAAGAATGTAATCCGTCTCAATGTATAGTGGTTCGAGAACAACGGCATGGATGGCCAGGTTGCGGGAGACAACAGCATCAGCCTTAAATAGATGACACCGCTGACCTCCTGGCCGCTGGAGTGCTTGATTCCCGTGTGTGGTTGGGTAGAAGCTTCGACAACGAGGTAGGCTCGTAGGCGGCGTATCCATCAGCCTACCGTAGAGGATAGTCTTTGGGCAATACTTGTCTGCTACATAATATACGTAAGTTGAAATTAAAGCCCCATCAAGAGCGAGGTGGCTAAACACAAATCATCATAGCCAGTATCATAGACGAGGTGAAACGCCTGGCTGCCGATGACGGTAGGGACATAGAAGGACAGTCCAAATCCGTTGGATTTCACTTTGATTGAGCCCACTATTCCATTGCACGCGTTTCTTTGGTATTGCTAGATTTCATTGACTCAAGTCTTTGTATGCGTATAGGCATTGACGCTGAAAGCAGCGCCTCGGGTTTCTGGCACAGGACGGTCATTGGAAGATGCAGCCAAAACAGGCCAGAGTCAGGTGAACAAGTTTCAGAGACGCCTTGAAGACTGTTGCCAACGAGTGGATAGAGTCAGTTGACAAGAAACAAAGCATGCATGCTTTCTTACACGGAAATGCAGATCCCCAGCAACGCAAAACTAGACATAGTGCAATGATCTCCGGGTCTTATCCGGATAGTCTAGCTCATTAGGTTTCGTATTCTCCCCTTTTACGTATAACGCTTTGATCATTCGTGCAAGAATGGGAAAAGTGCCGGAGATCGCATGTAACATAATTTATTGGATTGGGTTAGTAAGGGTCTTATCAGTCCAATGGAATAACAAGCCTGTTTGGTGAATCTCATATCCACGGCGGATGCTCTTGGACTAAGCTCGTATCGGGACAGATGACCTCACTTAGATTACAGGGTACCATTTCCTTTACTTGGCGCTGCCTGGTTGTTTATATATACTCACCAGTCTCCATATGTAACTTACAAACCTTCATGACTGACAACGCGATATCGGAACCATCAATTCATCATGGCTGGTTTCGCTCTCCGTTTCATTTTGGTCGTCACAGCCATCGCGTTTCCCAGTATCGCCGCAGCCAAGACCCCTGTCGGGGTTATCTCTGTGCCGTTATCTCGAGATGATGGCCTGACCGCATATTGCCAAACTTCAGGTCGGTACGCCACCGCAGACGGAGTATCTCAAGATCGACACGGGCAGCCCGCGATATTCTTTCTTGGACCCTCGGAATGAGGTCTGCAAGAGGAATGGACAACCGTGTAGAAATTACGGCACCTTTAACAACAAGACATCTTCGTGCGTTCATCTCAAAACATGGACTTCTGGTTTCTGTCATTAATTGTTGGCGCAGGACAAGCCAGTACGAAGGCACCGGCTTTGCGGATGCCTTGGGCTATGTTGGTATGGGCGATTATCTGAGCGACACTATTATTTTGGGCGGTGTCTCGGTCAAAGACATGTATTTTGGCTACATATCGAGATACAGTTTCCCAGACAAACTCATTGGAGATGTTTATACAATTCTCGGTAAGATGATACAATCTAAAAGCAAGAATACTCTGCATGCAAGCTACTAACGAAAACAAATAGGGTTATCGCTGGAGTGCGAATACGCCGGTCCCAAATGCACCGATAGGTTCTCCGCATACGCGTTGCCTGAGCTGAAGAATACCTCCAAGATAAATTACATGGCTACAAGTATCTACCTCGGACCTGACGACAAGAAAGCTGCCAACGCCAGGATGCTCATCGGCGGCGCGTATGACACGGCAAAGGTTGATGGCAACCTCATCACCGTGCCAATGGTTGACCCGTTCGATAGTAATCTTAGTGGTGGCCAGACCAACTCCGTCAACGTCACTTCCATCGATGTCTTCCTCAGTAACGGCAACCAGCATATAACAGAAACTTACGGCGATAAGAAAGTTGGCGTCCCTGTGCTGCTAGACACCGGTGTTGCAAGCTGGTATCTTACCGACAAGACCATAGCGCCTATTTACCGTGCTTTCGGCATCGCCAAGGAACCTCCTTCTGCTCAGCGATACTTTGTCGTCGACTGCAAGTATGGCAACCCTGGGCGCTCCGATGGTTACATCTCTGTCGAGTTCGGCTCCCACGGTAAGATCAAGGTTCCGTTCCATGGCTTGGTGTCAAAGTTCCCAGATGGCACCTGCGGAGTGTTTGCGATCTCTCGTGGCGACACTGTGGCCATCTTTGGTGACCCTTTCTTGCGCAATGTGTACAGTATCTTTGACCAGGAGAACTTCTCTATCTCTATGGGAAAGGTGAAGCATACAGCTGAAGAGAACATTGTGTCTATTCCCAAGGGAGGTTCCAAGCCTACTCGATACTAGAAATTATGAGAGTGACGTATCGATAGAACAAAACTAGGGTTTGTATAATAACCTTAGTCAGTTGACACAAGCGTTTTCTATTGCGATTCTTCAACAATCTCCAGTAGCACAGCCCATCAGCTTCCGAATCGCTTCATAACCACTCTGCGTAAGACTACGAGCTCCAATACCAGCCCATACTCCCGTGGGACGAGGCGGCATATCATCAAGATCCCAAGACTCGCCATTCCACTTCAGCCAAACGTCCCTATTCTGATCAAAGATATAAAGCTCGTGATTTCCTGGGTGTAACTGTAGAAACATTGTAGTCGCCCACACAGTTCCACCAAGCGCTTGGCGTCCATCTTCCATAAAGGTCACAGCGTAGCACGCTTGGCTCCAAGCCACTTGGTAGTAATTGCGTCGCAACAGACGAGCAACTACCGGGCGTTGCGGCGGGCTTAGACCAAGAGCTGTTGCTGCGTCTTGAAGAGCTTCATCGCTCGCCTTCAGTTGTTCATCGTCGAGTCGAATGATCTGACCTTCTGGGGCCGGGCTTGAGTGGCCTGGAAAGCTCCAGTGAATAACTCCGTGACCAGCCGCTGCAGCACAGTTTCCCCACGCCACATCAGCACCTTCAGCGCCACCGGATAAGCAAACATTTGCATTGGAAATGTTTTGGAGATACTCCATACTGTTTGGCAAAGAGCGAGAAAGAGGTTGTTTTGTTAAAGTACATTAGCTATTGCTACACTGGTGAGATCTGAGTCATTTCGAAGTAGGACAATTTTCTAACAGGCACTAGTCCTATCTAAGACTGGTAACAAGTGCTGCAGTATAAAGGACTATTCCGTCTCGCCAATAGCTATAGCAAGAATTGGTGTGTTTCGCGTATATTTTATGAGCATTTTTGATAAAGTATACATATGTTGCATTCTTTAACTACGTCGTTGTTGTCTCTCGAAATGAACCCTCACTCATCCACAGCCTTTCACAGCAGAACAAATCCTTCGAGATCTACGACAACCACAAGAATGACAATGTTTGGGCAGGCCAATCATTAATAACAAGCAATCTTGGAATCAGGCTACACCAGTGATATTACGTGCTGAATGGCGACATATTCCACGCTCTTTCAACTATTCTAGCCCCAATAAGTTGATGTATCTTTCTCCCAGGATGCCATGGATCGGCCCATAGCTATTACTGGTTAATAAGAGGACGAATCTGTTGTGATGATAACTTACACAGGTCTTGCCATGAGAGTCGATGCAAGTTGAGGTTCTTGCCCCAAGAGACCAGGGATGCAAGAAAGCCCGATAGAACAAATCCCATACTTCTATATATGCTACCTTTGCGTCATCGTGGGTTTGCTGGAACAGAAGAGTGTTTTTCTTAAGTTCCTCATTCCAAAGGGTTTTACCGTATACGAATTGTTCAACCTTTTGACTGGTGGGATCGAGTTTCGCTTTCTGCCGTGCCGGTAATAATTCCAGGGCTAACTGATAATTAGAGACATGAACTCAAAAAGAAGAGAGGAAATACTCACGTGGCAACTCAATGAAAACAAAACTCCGGATCCCAATTTCATAAAGGATCTCTGTCAGCTCGAACATTCGTCGGTTTGAAGCGACCAGCCTTTGTTCCCGACTGCCGCTACCGTTCGTGAGAACGCTGCGAGGTACGTCATTCATGCCAAACCAAATTGTTGCGACAGCGTTTTCAGCAGTCCATGCAGCGTAATCAGGACGATGGCCGATGGTATCGTTGAAATGAATTATCTGATGCCCGAAAGTAAAGGTGGTGTTCTTTCTCGTTGGTATTATCCCTGCATCTACCACAGCAGCTGATCGTGCAAAGTTGTAGGCCAGAGTAAGCGTATCATTCAACTCTGTTGCCATGTACGTGATGTAATTGTTCCCGCCAGATGATGTCGAGCCTGGTAATGGCGGGTTTCCAATCGGGTTCTTTGGACTTGGACCCTCTAGAAGCCTGGTTCTTGGCTGGCTTGCCCTTTCCATGTCGTCAATTCCGGTGCCAGTTCTGGTATACGTCGAATTCATTTTGAGACCGGTCCTGGAGTAAGAATCGCCGCTTATACCTGTCAGTAAGCTGCAGCTCTTACAAACCCTTGAAGGATGCGTACAAGGAGATAATGAACCGCTCAGTTGGCGACTGGATCTCATTTGGGGTCTGAATTTCATTTGGACTTGTTTTTGGGATGATTACGAGTGACGTTGGAATCCTATCAAAAAGCAAAAGAGTAAGAATAAAAACTGTACTAATGACAAGAGCCGTAAACGGCCGAATTGATGTAGTATCTCTCAACATGATCTTTACGTGAGGGCATTGCTCTCGTAGCAAAATGCGACGGAGTGGTTTAGAGCTTCTCCTTATGTGTTTTAAGGGAGCAGAGAATTTTACTCCCTGCATGTGGCGCTATTCAAGGTCATTTCCAGCCAGCCTCCCACAGACAGGCGTGCCACTCTGAGGTTAGCATCAGTCATAAATGTCTGACTATTCCTAAACTAGAACATCCATGAATCAATTCCCAAGACAAATAATGGCAATAACCTGAGACATGCGAGGTTTGTTTCCACGAGAAATTAGGAGTCACCACTGATCTTCTGCTGAATGTGCATTCCATCGTTACCAAGTTGTTGGTTGAACGTTCTATTGGAATGATGTACATTAGCCGTTTACCCCGAATGACCAACTGCAGGCCAAATATTTATACCCCTTACAATTGTCTGACCATGCGGCTGAAAGATACACGCTGTCTCTTATTCGCAGCCACCCGTTACTCCAATATTGTAGAATTGTTCACAAATAATCCAGCATCTGCCTAACAGAGCGCACCCGCGTCCAAAGACTGTCATTCATGTGATATGCACCTTAATCATTAATGATAAATAAAATATAGTGAAGCCGACAGAAATAAACCTTCGTGCATTGGTCAAAATATCGTCCATTGAAGGGCAGGCCATTAGTGGCTCTTTGCTATGCGGCTAATTAGTCACTTATAGACGTCGAGAAGACTTCCGAAGGACATTGAAATATGGCAAACTCTGTAGAAAATCACATGAATACAGGTATGGCGGGTAAATCTATTACAATGTATCTTCTCCAATCAAAAAATGAATTTCTTTGCTCTCCCAGAGGGGTATATGACAGCGTCTTCTCGAGCATCCCGGCGAAAAATGACCATGGGTATTTAGCCTCAAATCGGTAGACTTATTTCGCGTAGGATATATGTTGTGGAAATGTTGGTGAGTAATAGCCCAGCGACTATAGACCTTGACTAGGACACCACATGACGCAAAGGCCTGACCCCAGCAACAAACATTGCGCAAGCTTCGAATCTAGCATGACAGTTTCTAAAAGTGTGTGATTGTCGAAGTGTTCGATCTTCGTGTCATTCTACGGAAGTGGTCAAATCACGCTTATATTCATAACGTTGGAATATTCTTCTTGTTGAGACACGGGGTAAAGGGAGTCATATGATTGCAATAGCATATGTTCTTCAGACAAAGTATGTACTTGTAAATATGGGGTAGCTTGGCCAGCCAAATGAATGAATACCCAATTTCTGAGCAAAAACAACGTCGCCTTAGGAGTTTGTGGTGTTTCTTTCGAGTTGTGTAGTAACACTTTAACAGGTGTTCTGTCCGTTACCGGTGAAGGTACCAGACTGGTAGGCACCGCCAGCGTTTCCAAGGCAGTCAGCTGAGGGTTGTTAGTATTTATTATCCCATATTCAGTTCATTATTTCCACTTACCAACAGTAACAAGCTTGAGGTTGTTTTGCTTAGCCCAGTTGATCAACCAGGGGGTGAGAGTCTGCACCGTGCTGGCGTAGGTCTCGTGCATGAGAGGAATGTGGCCGTTTCCGCCGGCACCAGCCTGCTGGAACTTCTGCTCGCTCTGCTGAGCAGTCTGTCCGTTCCAGTCGCCAGAGTCAACATCGTTGGTGATGACCTTGTATCCAAGCTGCTGCATGGTGGGCAGGACGTTTCCGCCGGTGGCGAGGTAAGGGGGACGCATATAGGCGGGCTTCTTGCCGATGATGTTGACCATAGCCTGCTCCAGAAGCTGCATCTCCTGCTTCAGCTGGTCGGTGCTAAGACTGCCGAAGTTGGAGGGATGGGTCCAGGTGTGACTGGCGACCTGGTGGCCGGCGTTGTAGGCCTTCTTGACGGCAGCGGCGCCGTTGTAGATGCAGCCGTAGAGCTTTCCGGTCCAGAAGAAGGTGGCCTTGGCACCAGCATTGTTAAGGATGTCGACGAGCTGGCTAGTGTACTGTCCAGGACCATCGTCGTAGGCAAGTGCAATGACACCAGGTCGGCTGCATTGGCGGATGACTACACCAGCAGCCTGGCGGTTGAAGATCTCAATGGGGTCTTCAACGGCAGTAGCCGCAACGCTCCCGGCGAGCAGAAAGGCGCCAATGGCGGTCTTGAGGAAAGACTTCATTTTGAGAGAAAGATATATACAGTGAAGGTTTGATATCGCCAAGTGAGATGCTGATGATAGCCAAGAGAACCCTTCGCGTGCACGGCTGGTCTTATATAGGAATTGGATATTGGGTCTGGAAGCAAATATTAATTACCAAAGCATAACATTCCTGTACTAGCAAACCCAGTGAGGAACATCGTGCCGGAAGATCTTCTGAAACAGAACGGCGAATTTCAGGCTAAATGCACAACCCCTGTCGTCATTGTCCTTGTTCAACTTCATACTTGACATGTTAAGTATCCACATTGTTGCTAACCGACGGTTATATCCATTATGCCGGTGCGGGTATCTCACTCCAGACTCTGGATAACAGCCGAGAACCGATTTGAACCTGTCGGCATTCGTGCCATGTGGCTCGATAATGCGGAGACAGAACTAGTAGATTCCCCTTTTGAGAATATCCTTGGCCTGCCTTGGCCTAATTGAACTTCGCGGGGCTTGATCTTCCGGCACTACAATCATGGCGGATAAATGGGTCGTCCTGTTAGTGGACGTTTCAAAATCCGGAGATGAGCAGCCCGTTAATTTTACTACATGGTAGGCCCCCGCACAACATATCCACTTACTGATGTTGTAGCGATTACTCAAATGTGTGTGATGGACACCATTGTCTGATATGTTGGGCAAGATGCTCAATGCTAACTCTGTTCGCAATGGCTAAGCCAGGTTTTATTATCCAGTCATTCTTTTCTGTTGGGAGGAATATCAGATCATCTATTACGTCTCGATAAACGTGCGTCATCCCACGGGCTATACACAATGCACCTTCATGAATGAACACCAATGTCTGTGAACAATGTTCCAAAGCATTGCTCTGATTTTGTGGAGTTTTTAGTACTAACCATTGTACAGGCTAATATTGGATGTTTGTTTTAGAAACATTTAGCGAATAGGAGAAAGAGTGGCGGCGAGCTGAAACTGGACCAATTTGTATCTTGCACACGGGCTACCCTACGCACCGAGCTAGCTATCATTTCGTAGAATCCTATTCGAGGATTTCATTAACATTCCACAGGGTTTCAGGCAATGATCTGATAAGGTCGACAGAAGCGAAATTTTTACCACACGGGACATAGTCGCATAATTGCCAAATGTCAAGAGTCCATCGAATTGTCATTGAAACTTGTTTGTGATTCTATTGTTTATGGTTTTTTACATTGCCGTGTAAAAAGATACGTCCACTGGCGAATATCAATTTTAGTGCATGATATTACAGCTTTGGTCGGAAAAATAGCTAATTGAGTTGAAATCAATTGAAATTGTTACTTCCAGACAGAACAAGGTTAACATGTCACTTTCTCGCTCAACTGAGTCACGATCTATGGCTGGTATAAGGTTACTGCTTTAAATAATTTATTGCTTCTCCAAGCTAGCCTGTTAAACCACTGTACCAGCGGATAAACTAGGCACCGACTGACGTTAGTTAGTGCTTACGTATGACTCCAAATGATTTAGGTGCACACCCCACGTTTGCCATTGACTTAAGCCATAGTTGGAACCTGAAAACTTTTTACTCACAGCAATATATCACCCTGCAATCACGTTCACTATGTACAGTTCCAACGGCGGCGAAAACCCCATTCACATCTATCACCTACCAAATGAGATTCTCTCTGAAATATGTCTCTTTGCAACTTTGCCCCATTTGATTCCTGGGAAGGATCTGGTTGGTGTCGTCACCAGCCATGTTCCCACAGATGCTCAACAATATAGACAACTGATAGCAAAAGAGCTGCGAATGGCACGCGTATTGCGCCTTGTGTCTCAGCGATTTAACCGCCTTGCGACGCCCTTGCTTTTCGAGAGCTTCCTTCTGGTGCAAAATAAACTAAGCATGACACAAAGAGGAGGTATCTCGGAAGAGAACATGACGTCAAGTCCTGATGGGAAGGTACGCCGAGAACTGGGCACAATTATGGAGATCCTTCGTGACCTACTGTCGCTCAAGCCACACCTCAGACAGCACTGCAAATCATTATGCTTGGTTTATAGAGAAAAGCATCACATGGACTTTAACAGCTCAGGAATGAGCGATGAAGGTCATAGTGAAGAAGAGATAGAAAACGGTAACGGTCAGTATCCAGAAATACATACCCCGTTCCCTCGATCCGGGATTCTCGACGACATTTATACTTGGCTTGTTAATGTAACAGACTTCCAAGTTCACATAGATGTATGGGCAGTAGAAATGCCCAACTTCTCAGTCGCACTGACATCCATGCCTAAGCTTGCCGTTTTGCGAATCACGGGGGAAGTGGATTATCTATCAATATTCAAGCAACTTGTTACCGTACGGCCTGACTCCTTATTGGAAACGCTCGACTTGTCCAACGCCACAGCAAATGGATATGACTATGACGATACTGAGGCTACAGCTCGAGAAGTTTATCAAACACTGGATGTAAGTCTTAGCCTGCATTCATAAAATAAGATATGTCTTTTTTTAATTAAACTAATAATGTTGTCTATCCTTTGCAAAGAACGTGAGAGGTACTGGCTCTATGACAAGGCTGCTCACAGGTACTTGCCTTGGTACTGATGTCCTCACCGCGCTGGTTGCTTGGCCCAGAAGGCTCGAACGACTCGCCTTGCAAGTCGACCCATACCGCATTACAACCCACTCACCCGACAATGGCTCCTTACAAAAGATTCTAGACAGCCAGAAAGACTCACTTACTCATCTTCGCATTGAGGGCAACTACGAGCTAGGACTGTATGGCTTCGACTTGACGGACTTCTCACGCCTGGAGCAACTTGCCCTTGATACCGCAACCATGTCCAATTTCAATCAATTCCCACGTAACAAGACGATCGTGCCCGAGCTGGACTGTCGGATCTTTGCGCCCAATCTCCGAAGTCTGTTGTGGGTACTGCCATGGCGGTCGGCTTTCGACTCTAAACTTAAAGACTTTTTTGGAAAGAAACACGAGAAAAGATTGAGACTTTTGCTCGAGATGGCGATTAAGTTGAGAGAACACAGAGACGTGGGAAATGCAGGACATTTTGAGAGCGTTTGGGTGCAGACTACAATTGATCCACCACGGCCCAATGAAAGGGCACAGCGCAATATTGAGAAGGATTTACAAAGGCTCAACGCCTTGGATGATGAATTCAGGCCTTTGGGGATTAGAATCACTCATTCACCGCTGCCGAAGCCGAGTCCAAGTGTTGACCGTGACAGGCGCACGTTCTTTGGCCCACTGGAGGATGTCTGGTCATGGGACAAAAGTACATAGCGCTCTATTCTACTTAACATCGACCGTACTTCTTGGCTCTATCTTTCCCAGTTTCCGGTACGAATCCACGCGATCGAGGATCTCTTCACAATCCTTCCAGATCCTGCGTCTGTTCTGTAGTCCAGGTAATTTCTGCCAGTTGCGGCTGATCTCAGTCTGAAGCTTGAACCAATCGGTCTTGGTGATGTCCAGTGAGGTGACTGATGTCGTAGGGCGGGGCATGCGGGGCGGCTCAGGATTTCTTTCCAGCTCAGACGGGGTCGTAGTGGCCCAGAAGGAAAGAGGCAAGTTTGACCATGCTTCATAAAGCCACGGCGTGTTGCTTATGGTAAGTTGATGGAATAGTGACTTAGGTAGCTGTAGGAATACCCGGGAGGTAAGCCTAAGGTTGGCAACGTCTTTGAAGTCGAGGAGTGACAGGATGGAAAGTCGAATCTCAGCTGGAAGACGTGAGAATGGATCCATTGGCGTCGCTTTTGGTAAAATAGCCGTGGGCGTTAGCCCGGAATGATCCCTGTCAACTTCCGAATATTGTGTGGAGGATAAGATGGATTCCAGACCAGGCACGAAGCAAGGGTTGGCAACGAGAAACTCGTCTCCTTGATTGTGCTGCCACCACTGCTCCTGGGCCATCTCAACTGCAGGATCTCGAGGAAAGCTCTGAAAGTCGTCGTAAGAAGGCTCGAGTTTCCACCATTGCATGAGGCACTCGACATCCACAGCACCGTATCGACGTATTGAAGCTCTCTTGAAGATCTCAAAGCAGGTTGGGTGAAAAGGCATGGCATACTCTTGAATTGGCTCAGCATCCCACATGCAGTTCTCGGCTGCCGGGCTCATTTCTCCATGCCGCTCGGGAAACACTTCCGGAGACGACATATCCCTGCTGGGCATGCTTCCACTGAGTCCACTGAGGAAGAGCGTTCCTGAAAGTTCAAATGGTTCATCATCAGGCTCAGGTTGCCAGTCGTCGGATTTGCGCACAAGGCATTGGACAACGTTGCAGCCTCTCATAGCCTCGACGGAGATGTTGTGTCCGTTGTAGGCAGTTTCGTTTGCGCAATCTGGACCTGGGAAGTGCTCCCATGCTCCCCCATCCACATCGGGTTCTATCGATTGGATACTCTCGAGAAACCTTTTGGACGAACTTACGGCGAACTCGGGTCCGATATCAACAGTAGGTTCCGGATCGTAGGGATGCCTGTAGATGAAGAAGCAGGTCTCTCGCTCAGCACACTCCTCGAGTGTAAGTTCATCTGGATCATCGCCCAATGTTGCGCTGCGGGGTTCCTTTAATGTACGGGAGCGGTTGATGTTGAAGCTGACGCCACAAAGGTGACAATAAACTTCAGAGTAGCCCATAGTGTCTTTCAAGTGTTTGTGAATTAGAGAAACATCGTCAAAGTAGGTTGGTGAGAAATAGGACGGAGCAAAAACGAATCACTTTATGCTCTCGTGGACTCGTATCAACCATGCAGCTAGTTCCGTATCTTAGGCAGCAGCCCCACTAGTGTCTCGGGCGTTACCTTTTTTGGACCTGTGACATAGTCTAAGTTTAATTTCAGGAACAAGCTCAGACAGCAGGTTATACTTTCACTGGAAGTTACCTGAAGAGTACTTGAAATATTTCGCATGTCATGAGATGTTTTTCTAGGGGATAAAAGAGAATTCTAGTCGTTATTTCTTAATAACAAAAGTTTTCAAGGCTATGACCGGTAATTCTAGACTAGGACCACAGTATCTAAACTAGCCTTTTCCAAAACCTCCTCACCCTGCTCTCCGTCGCCGTAAGATCTCGTATTCTTCCATAAAACACCCATCCCCAGCCTTCTGTATTCCTTGCAATCGCCATAATCGCCGTCTTCAGTGACAGGCGCTAGTAACAACACAAAGTACTCTTCCTGCTTTGTCATATTGAGTACAAAAAGACAGAAAACACTTGTTACCTCGTTGTCATCCGATAGACAACTATCCAAGAAGGCCTCGCCGAAAATGACCTGGCTCTCCGGAGCTGCAATGATGTGATGTCGCGACTGCTGCGTAACAGAGCGTTGTCCCAATGTTGCTTGGAGAGCTCTGCCTCTGATCGAAAGTCGGGCAACTTTGAGCGGCGACGCAAGCGGAACCCCCTCCCATTCCTGCTCAGCGTTCTGGAGTTCAATCATTGAGACCGCTGAGTCTTCGTATATGCAACCCTTGATGGCGCCTTTGATTGATAGCCAGGACCAGGATGGAATACTGCCGATTTCGCGAACAACACCTTTAGCGGTGGCTTCCCATACTAAGCCGACAGCCAAGTCTTCTTCCCATATTCCTGCTAGATAATTGTATCCAGTTTGTGCGATAAACATCTGAGTCAAACCAGCGATGGCATTCCACTTATCAGTTTGATATGTCAAGTTCCGTTTTGAGTAGTTGGTCACCATCTGATACCAGTGTCTGTAATAGTTCTTGCCATCCTCGCCTGGGCCCTGAAGAACAATATCGGCCCATTGTGTAAGACCAGAGTCATTGAAACCTTGGTTATCAATCAATCCGTCTTCTGTGGCGTAGCGACCGGGACACTTCCAGAGCCATTGCTCTTCACCAAAACAGACAAGCCTCGATGCTAGAACAGCCTCTTGGAGTGTCCAACCTCTTGTATTAAGTGGCTCAGACCCCCCATCAATCGTTCGATGCGTCTCCATTCGGATACTTATGGTTTCTCCGTGCATCTTGACACACTCAGCGCCTTGGAAGGGGAGAAGAAGTCCTTTTTCGGGCGTTTCGGAAGAAGTGGCGGCAAGTGTGAGATGTGCATTTGAGTAAAAGGAACCCATCTTGGCTGACTCCACCTGCCAATCTTCAAGAGAGTCTTGAATGATGCATAAGGAATCTATCCATATGTAGCGCATTCCCAAATAGAGTGTGGCGAGAATCGCTTCTCTGTGGAGCAATGGCAATGAAAAAAATTCGACTCCCTCTTGGTGAGTTGCCAGGTTGTCCCGCGTCGTTTTGAAGTGAAGCTTTGGGTCGCTGCCCCAACAATAGCTTAGGGCTACATAAGTGCCCAGCTCTCCCTCCTCGATCTCTCGCAGTCGGACTTTGATGTCATCCGGTTTTGTTGGTAGATCTGGACTGCCGGTCAGGTCCAAGACGCGAGTTGGAAGCTTAGCGTTGCGGGTTGACGAGAAGGAGGCGGAGCATGTTTCGTGATGTGAGCAGTCGTCAAGCCAGTTCTTGATTACATCCTGCCGAGTGTAAGGCTTTTCTTCATCTAACTCGTAATGCGGTATCCAGAAACGTCGACTAGCTAGCTCTCCTGTTTGAGAATTAGTAATGTCCTGGAAAAGATGGGCAAACTTACCTAGCCCAGACGGTCTTGCTATTGTTAGAGGCCCCCCTCTGTTCGTATAAACCTGTAAATCCCCAACAATCATAACAGCCATGGTGTACTTTTCGTGCTTTGTTAACTCGACAGTCAAAGGCCTCGTGGTGTTATTTTTATCACAGAGCCCCGGGTCACCCCGTTGAAATTGGGAGACTATGGCGGGTGAGCCCCTTGTGACGCTGATTTCGAGCCATTTGCATGTTGAGCAGGTTTCACCGGAACTGATCAGGTGCTGGATATTGGGTTGATGCTGGACTAGACCAGGCGCATCAGGATGCAGCATAAGCTGACAGAATTTGCAAAACCCATCGGAAGTCGGACTGGTAAAACCCCAATCATCTGGCGACACGGGAACTTCTGAGGCTGGAGCAGGTCTGATATCCTCGATATCACTTCCTCGTAGGCCAAAGATACGCGCCTCTTCCGGGCTCTTGTGACTGAAGACCAGAAGAGTGGAAGATTCCTTCTGAGGTGGTGAGTCGGAGGTCATGGCAGATAGGTTGGTGTATGGGTTGCTTACTCTTGTGAGATAGAAGGAAAATGGAATACAGTGTGCGGGGTAGTGTAAGACTGACCGGCTATGAGTGGGAACATGGTGGGAAGCTGATCACGTGAGACAGTATGGAGTTAGAATATGACAAACAACGACCTAGGCTAAGTCCTACAAAGGTCAAATCATGAAAAACTGTGATATCTCTACTTAGGACCCCAATTTCTACATGAGTTACATTAGCTAAAAATGAGGTTTCCACCCCGTTGTTCAATTTAGATGTAAAGAACTGGTAGATGCTGGGGCATCTATTCTCCACGTTGAGTATCCTCCTAGTCTATTGTCGAAGTCCTATCATTCACATCTGTTTGTCATAGCTTTCCCAGGAGCTTGATGAAATTCCAAGTTTGCAAAGTCTTCAACGCGAGTATTACAATAAGCGTTAAGAAGACGACCACAACGTAGAATGATAGCCACTTAAGCCAGGAAAATATTGATGGGACAGGCTTTCCCTGCGTAATGATTACTGCACCAGCAAGAATAATTGGTAAAAGTACCTAAAGCTTTATCTTAGTTTTGAATGTCCGAAATACCATCTCAAATTTTGAATACTAACACATGACACGAAAAAAGATAAGATTTCACTACGACGACTTATTCCGGTTCGTTGTGAATCGAGTTCCAGTGGTAGGGATCTGACCTGATGTAATGAAATCTATGAAATCAGCAATCGTTGTAAAATGCAGCTGTTGTGTACATACCGATTTTTCACAATTTTCTAAGGATCGGCTAATCTCTCGCATTTCCTTCAGACACTGCCTTAACTCCCTAAATAGTTTTCGGATTGAAGTAAGTGCACGGTGGCCGGCAGGAGTTAAAGAATGATTCGCTGGTTCAAACTGATCCCCGCATTGAATTGTGGTCTCCAAGCATGGCATGAGCACATCCAATACACTCTGCGTACTCCTTAGGATGTTGAAAGCCTCGAGTACCTCGATGTCGTTCACTGAAGAGAGGAAGGATTCTTTTCCGGCCTGTAGCGCGATTAGCCAGTTGGCTGGGGAATGGGAAGATGCCGTAATTTGGAGCATGCTTACATATGCCCGGAACCGGCAGTATAGGATTTCTGTCGTATGATTCCACTCCTGTAGCAACATGCGCACCTGACCTTCAAGGGCTTGTAGAAAATACTCCCCTGGATCTAAGATAGGTATGCACGGTAAAGGATCCACAATGCCGAGTGAATTATCCCGAAAGCCATGGAGCAAGGCTTTGGCATCGTCGTACTCATCGGGGGACCGACTTGTACTTTTTTGTTTGTAATACGTATCAAGAAGACAGTAACTGGTCCATACACGGCTGTTGATTCCAGTGACGAGAACTGATATCTGTGATTCGTAGAGGTAATCTTCTTGGTCATCCATCGGGTGCGTGATCAACTTCTGGACCTTTCGAAGAGGAGTACCGTCTGTTTTGCGTCTGTGATCTGCGGGAGCTTTCTTCCCGCATTGCAGCGAGTAGAATGGAAAAGAAAAAGAGAAGGTGAAGGGTCCTGAGCTCTGATACTAAGTAAACTGGTCATTAATCTCTTCAATCAGGGGGGTCTGTCTTCGACTGGCTTTGCATACCAGTACATTAGGTCCAAGATGAGGTTTAAGTGCCATATGCTGGTAGAACAATCTGCCCAAAGCACTCGTCTGACTTTTGGACGCTGTCAACATGAGCGCGACCATTGAGTGTTGATCAGGGTCTGCCATATATCTGTAATCTAGTTAGTATTGTAGGGAGTAGTGGGTCCCACAGATCATATCTACATCAATCGTCGGTCTCTTCGGTACTCTTCCGGATGCTGAAAGCGCTATTGAGAAATTAGCACTTTTGATGTCATGGTCAAATTAGATCGTTTTGTACCTTTTCACTTAATATGTGGTAGAACTGTTCGACGCCGAGAGCGCCATAGTCTTTCGAAGACGACATGTTAATCCTGTTACTCTTTAGGTCATATATTCGAGCAACTGTCCTTGAAGGTAGCCTTGAACGATGATCAAGAAAGGCCAATGGAACATGAGGCTCAATGAGGGTGCTCAAGTATTCAGCTTCGGCGTGGTAGAGCTTCTCAGTATTGTACTTTGTGATAAAGCAATAGACTAAGTCTTGTGTCTGATTTCTAATAGTTTCCGGATCAATGTATGGGATGTTTTCTGAAATAAGCTCTTGAAACTCAGTTACAGAGCTATTCGCATGTCCATGACTCTCATCCTGGTGAATACGCGCAGTCCCGATTCGCTTTTGCCAGAGACGGCGGTTGGAAAGCTCCATAGGATCTGGCCAAGCAACGCTAAGAGCTGATAGCGCCTGGCGTGGTACCTGAGTAAGTTTGACACCCAATACAGACAGTGCTGACTCAGTGGAATTGTCAGTACTCTTTGTAATGTGAGAGCCTCGTAGTGGTACAACCGTCCCCTTGCTTTGACAGGGATCGCTCAATGCTGAGATATCGAGCAGCATATCACATGCGGTGATAATATGAACATATGGCTCAGCCTCGTATGATGCGATGATGACTCCGCAAAGTTGTCTGTCACGGACGACCCAAGAGCCTGAACAGCCCTGCGCTGCAAACGTTTTTGGTTAGATAAACTGTGTTAAGTTCCAATGGTCGCGTTGAAATACCTAGAGGACCTGTCGTGCGAATCTTACGACTCTTAAACTCAAAGCCATGCATGACAAGTGATGTGGAACCTGGGATTAGTATACCGCCTAAAACCTGATCGTGTCCAAGTAGAAGTTGAACGGGACCCGCAGACGCATCATCCCATGTAAAGACGGTATCTACCTCTATCGTTCTGAGGTCCTTCGTAGTGTATGTATTTTTTAGGTCGTCGATGTTTCCATTGCGTAGTAGTGTAAAGTCAGAACCTCTCAAAACAGGAGACTGGTTCGCCGAACTGGCGAAGCCTCCGTTTGTATTCTGGACCATGTTGTACTCTGGCGGAAGTTCCGGCGACGCACGACTCTGTTGAATAAATGATTCCAAATCGCATGCGTGATTGTCAAGAAAGCCTATGCCTCCAGTCATAAGAGAATGATCCCATCCCGTAATGCTAGAAGCATTAATCCCTCCCAGTAGCTCGACATATTCTTCTTCATCACTCTGGTCTTGGGACATCTCAGAGTCTGATCCATCTGAGCCCAAGGACTCGAGATCACATGATTCATTGCTAGAATCCGCAGTCTCGGATCCTCGACCCCAGAGGCACTCCATTAACCCATGGGCGGTGGTCGCACCGAAGTTTACTCCATCAACGGATATGAGACCTCCTATCCTTGAGAGACGCTGATCGAGTACAGCACCATGCCGCGTGAGAGTAGCGCAACATAACAGCCCACAAGCCGAAACGCCTTGGGGACTTTCAAGGTGTAGGTGGAGCGAGGTTCCATCCTGGAGATGCAAAGCCTGAGTCTCGTCCAGGTCCAGCCCGCTAACAAAGGACGGCCCATCTAGAGCGGCAAGATTGGCGCCTTTGTGTACCTCAATCTTCCCGAAACCCTCACATTCTAGCCACTCTAACTCTCTCACAAATTTCTGCACATCTCTCTTCCACTTGGCTTTGTCATAGAGGATCCAAATACAAGGTAACAACGTAATCGTGGTGGTTCCGGTAACGGAGTGGCCAGACATACGGAGCTGTGGAGATATGAGTGGCCCAGATCTGCCCCAACGAACTTTACTGCTTTTCATCATCTTCTTCTGAAACTCCTTGATGTCAGTTAAAAGCCTAGGTTCTATCCTCTGATGCCAGTTCTCAAGTTCTGTGGTATCCGGCCGTACGATGTCTTCAAATCCAACGTAAAGATCAGAAGCACCCGGGAAGCGATACATGAACTCCAGGCCCGGTATATCATACTTGAACGCCTTGAAATCCTGATTCTGAACGCGGTTATCACCTTGGGTGGAGCTGTTCTGGCCCGAGGAGTGATTGATGGGTGATTGAGTAGGGACAGTCGGCCCACTCGCGGTAATTGAGTCCTGAGGTTGTACGCTGATTGGAGACTTCGACAGCAAGGCGGTTTTCTGCACATTCTTGATAAATCGCTCTTCTTGCGAACAGCTTCTCACAGAAACAGCTGTAACTGGTGAACCTGCAGATAGCAGGTTGAGTTGCTGCTTATTTTCGTGTGTGTCGTATATTGGAAAGGACGTCGGAAGTATATTTGTGACATCATTCTTGCTTGTTGTTTCCATAGAGCGGGAATATATGGCACTTGACGAATTATCATTAGATTTCCGATGTCGGCTATGCTGGATATGAGCATTGTAGAGACATTCGTGGACAAAAGAAGGAAGAGAAGTTGGAGGACCTGAAGAGGCAAACGAACTTGTTGTCATGTTCTCTTCAGCTTTACTGTCGACCTTCATGACCATATTGATTTAGTTCGTTATTTGTCTCGACTGATAGGTAATGGCGCTTGATAGAAAAGGGAGTAGGTTGTGAAAGACTCAGACAGTATGGTGGGGAAGATGAGCCCTGAAAAGAAGATACGTAATGCTAAGTTGTGAAAAGACGGATGCCTGATATCATAGGCGATCCAGAAATCCAAATGCACAGCCTAAATCGATTTTTTTGTAGTAAGACGTATTTATCTACGGGCTCGTGCTCTGACTGGCGGAGGGCATTAACGCCACTCGCCCGGTTACAAAGACATCACTGTGATACATGGCAGGCCTCACTGCACTTTCGACGCCCAATTCATAATCAGTCAAATCACCATTGGGGAGCGACAGATATTGAGGTCATAGGCGTTCAGCGCCTAAAAACATAGCCCACCGAGGCAATTACTGACGTGTCCTGTACCTAATGCATAACCACAATCCGCACCAAATATTGTCCTTGGCCGGACGGAATTGCGGGGTTTTGCTGTTATATTAATATTATTCAATCTTCATACTCCATGCATCCACTGGGCCCAGTACGATTGACGACTCTGTGATTCAATTCCGTTCGAAGATTATGTCACCTGTACAAGGAACCCGCCATGTTCAAAGCCAAGCAATTTTAAGGGCTATTTGGCCTCAACTGTCTGTTTCCGAAGAGACCGTCCAAAAACAATACTCACAGCTTCTCAATTACTTTGAGCACGAACTGAAGATGATTAGAGAAAATGCCGACATTTCTGCAGTCCAGTCCACAGATGGAATATGCAGTCTGATCCGAAAGATGAAAAGGATGGACACTATCACAAGACGCAAAGCGCTTGATATTGCCCGTCAGGAAATGTGGATCATGCAAGTCGACGAAAACAAGTTATCAAAGTCAGTGGACATTGCCCTCCGGCTTTGGTTAACCGTCAACATCAGTTCCACTGAGATCGGGAGGCAGGGCTTGTTATCATGGGGGTGCGACACAAACCTCCGGGATCTTGTCCGTTCTTATTTCAATGATTGCAAGGCCAACACGCAGCACCACCAACCTGATCAACGGCTCAATCCGAATTTGACAGCAGAATTTCTTACCAGCAACTATGGTTACACCGTAGAATGGACGCACAACCTGGTAGATCATTTAGTAATTGACTGGAAGTACAAAGTCATTACCGTCTACGAGCACAAGATTTATCTGTATAATAATGTCTCTTTCCCCGAAGAGTCAATAATACCCCAAGAAATCTCCCAAGAGGCGATGGATACTCTGAACCTCCTCTTCCCTTTCCAAGACGATGCGACGAAAAGGTTTCTGTCTAGGCACAAGAAACAATTCTATGGACTTGGATTCTGCAACAGGCCAAGGAAATTGGAACTGGAAGATTATTACTATTGGCGACATAGAATTGCGGATCTTGGGTATATCCTGCGGGGTCCCGCGATTGGTCTACAACAATTACGTCTGGATAGAGAAGGAAACAACATGCTTCAAATCTCGACGTTTTGGATCACGGCGGCTGTAGGAGTGGTGACGGTGATCAGTATAGCTGTTGCCGTAGGAGCTACTGTGTATGGAGTCAAACAGTACAACCTGGCGTTAAGGCAATATCGCCTTTCAGTTGCAGAAGCATGCCTTGAGCCAGCTGCTAGGGAACAATTGGGGGAATTTTGTTATTGATATTACTCACGGTACAGTTAATTAGGCTCTTGAAGTTGAAGAAAAGGGACTTGGCGGACCTAAATCCAAACGACTCGGATCTTAACATTTTTCTTTTGCCTGACTTTTATCCTAAAAATGAACCTATCTCGTCCAGGTTTTGTTATTAGGCCCAACCAGTCTCAATGAAGAAATCCACATGATTAATGCTCCGCTAAGCCCTCTTAATCAATCCCGCTAACAATGTTCAAGAGAATGAGCTTCTTATTGCTGGTGGACGTTATCGAATTAAGTTGTTTCCCGATGTGTTTATACCGATTGTTCTCCTTCTTGCCTTTTTCATACTTTACGTCTCCGTTTTGGAGACAGTCGCGTGTAAGAGTGAGGAAGCATATAGCCCAGCTACGAGTGCTGTTGCCACAGAACTGCCGTCGATATTTTTCATTGACTTGAGAAATGAAACGGTGCCTGCAGTCATTTCTTGACCTTTGATAAGGTAATCGCAGTCGTCTTGCCCGGCCTCTCGAATAGGTCTCCCATGATAATTGAAGGTAGCAAGATCAATGACTGTTTTATACTTCGACCCGAAGCCTATGGGGTAGGCGTTCTATATTTTAGCCTTTTCATCGTGTGTGATGTGCTGCAGATCATTATGATGCCTTCTTCATTGGTTTTGGCCATCCATATGGTCACGTCGCCTTCTCCCCCAATAGCAAAGCTCAAAGAGACAACATTAAGCCTAGGCTTAATAAAGTGAAAGAGTAAAATAAAAAGAAGGGATTTACCAGATATTTAGTTTTTATGAATTATTCAGGCCTCTTAGCTTATATCATGACTTAGCAAACCAGTCACTGTGGTTCTTTATTCCTCTTATTGTAAAAGCATAAAATTTGTATTATTTATAATAACGATAACAAAACTCACTACCAACATGTCTGACTAGCAGAACATGCAACCCAATTAACACCGAATATACCCAACGCTTTGTATTCCGCAAAATCTATCCCGATCCCTATTGGGCATCTTCCAACTTCACCCAGACTGTGCTTATCTCGATGCGAAATAGCCTATACAATAGGAAAAGCTCTTAGTTGTGCTTCTCATAAGAAGATCGTGGAGTCGATGATGTCGAGTAGACACTCTTTGGGGTACCACGAGGAGACATTAATGCCGGTTGAGGGTAGTGGGCGATGACTGCGGCGTTGACAGATCGGTGATGCTCCTTGGCGTGGCGGACGACGGCGGCCCAGACCTTTTGAGCGTTGTTCTTCGTAGACTCCATTGTGATGTTGAGTTGAAGGTCCGTTGTATAAGTGGTTGTTGGTGGTAATGAAGTATGGGACAGTTGAGATGATGTATTGTTTTTTTGAACGGTTGAATGTCCTCAAAATGCTTGAAGTGGCTTTTTGGTTGATAATGTACTGATGAATTGAAAAACTATCCTTCAAAGGATAAATCAATTTCTTTTATATCTTTTTTAAATGCCATCTTACATGCCATTTAAAAAATCTGTCAGATGTCCAATTTGCATTGCGCCCTTGGGCATTATTCATCCCGCCGTACAGAATTTCCTTTTTTGGCATGTTTAGACGAGCGCTGGCTGACCAATTAGTCCAAGGACTGAATGACTCAGGCTTGTCCAAGGGCGCGGCCACCAACATTTTCAACATGTCTGGTTTATAAGCGCTCGCCGACGAGTGGAGCTTGTCAGCGAATGAGATGATTGGTTGATTTGACAGCCTTTTGACTCGACCGACAATGTTGATTGGCTTGTAGACTTTTTGAAGGGCGGTTTGACAAATGATCCTGTTGAATGACGCCACAGGGTTGCTTATTCTGAGGTGATCTGACACCCTCAGCCCTATTGATGACATTCTAAGCGGGTATGTTTAATTTGAACAAAGTGCATACATAGGCCTATTTTTGAACAAATGCCGGATCAGAACCTCTACGACTTACCCTCACTATTCCCATGCTCCTCATAATTGTCATACTCTGCATCAAGGGACGTTGTGGTGGTTCCAGCCTTGCTTTAGGGTGCCTACAGATATGAGTCACGCTGGGGTCTATGAGAGCAATCCGCCCTTCCGTGCTAGGAGTGGTGTGCATGCAATATGCCGTACTCACCCTGTCATACCGCAAAGGATACTATCGGTGGCTGCAGGTGGTATGCAAGTACTATGATCGGGGCTGCTTAAGAATTTCAAAAGGCTGTCTGTCCTAGCTCCGGCTTTCACTTGTGACACCTGGGGGAAATAAGGATCGTGTCTTGAGTTTAAATGGCCAAGAAGAGAATCTTTTAAATGATAGAGCTACGGACAAGAATAATTTTCGGTGGGTTCAATAACGATAATCCGTTGGCTCCGACAAATATAGATATTTACCCACCAGCTCCCGAACTCGCTTATTTATGGCTATAAAGAAACAAACGGGCGTCTAGGGGCTATTTCCGTAGCCTTACAGAACCATCCTAGACATAGAGGTTCATTGATAAGAGAAGAACCAGAGACCAAGACCAAAACATTTGCCTCAGATTGGTCTTAGCAGCTGCATTGGCTGTCGACGATACGGTCGGTTCAGATGATGTAGTCTGCTCCGGAGACTCGGTGAGTAAGCCAGATTCTTCTTCGCTGCTGGCCTCGGGAGAAGCTTTCGAGACCTCTGCCGTAGTCACTGGGGCGGTTTCTTCCGACACAAACGTGGACGTCTCTGTTGGGGCAGAGTCACACTTCTTGTGTACAAGCTCGAGCTGTTCTCTATGCCATTTGATGTTGAGGGCATACGGTGTGGGTTTATACATCTCGAGACGCTTCACATAGCAAGGGTGGCAGAGCTCCTTTAGCGGTAGTTACTTATCTTCTCCCCTATCGGTGAAATCCAAGATGATATCTTGTTGTGGAGTCAGTATTGTGCATTGGTTTAAAGGGCTTGTCAGCTACCAACCATTGCAGTATCGCCCTGTCTTGGTGTCCTTGAGACAAGTCGCATTCCAGCCTGCCCAGATACGAAGGCCGGCACGAGCCTCATCTTCATCCTCGCAGTCCTCTGAGACCGTGCTGACCCAGTCGCGAAGCGATCGGGAGCAGGCGTCGGTGCAAACTGCGTCGGTCAGAGTATCGTTCTCAAGTGAACCGTACCAGCCTCCGTTAAGGAAGCTGATAGCTTTTCGATGGCAATCGATCTCGGTTGATATGGCAGCATCGCAGGCTTTTGTTACATCCTCATGAGTTCCAGCTTCGAGAGTGAAAGCACTGGCGCTCAAAAAAAGACGCAGAAAAATATAGAGTTTGGATGCACTCATGGTGTTAACGACGAAAATAGTATACCAGCCAGGCTTGAGGATTAAAAGAGTGACGTGATTGAGATGAAGAAAAGAACGTTTGGAAGTTGGAATATCTCAGCACGAGAATTCATGTGACAAAGAGACGATCGAGAAATATTCGTTAAATTAAAATCGTGAAGGAATGGTCCGAGGTTATTTGCATGGTGCATATGGAGTATCTGCTTGCGCTGTGGATATGCCAAGTCGGCTGCGTGTCAATCGCAGGGGCATGCCCCGCTGTTTCCAATTCTCCTACTGGTTAGGCGGCGCTCACGGTCCTTTTGTGACTGTCCTGATGTAACATGCTGTTGGTTGTTAGTCGCAAAAACCACTTTCTTGATTGCAATTACGGAATGGACTTAATTATGGTCAGATGCACCGTAAAGGGGGCTGGTTCTTTCCTATCAGTCCCAAAACTGTGCCACTACATCTTTATGAGGTAACTTGTCTGTTCCCACTCCTCCAGTTACTTATTTAACTACTCTAAAGCTTGAAAGTCGTTAAAACACTATTATCATTAATGAAGAAAATCAACTAAAAAATAGCTACTATCTTTAATAAAATAGACATACCCGCCTGTAATATTTAATAGGAATCTTCATGAGGATTTGAGGATTGTAGATACTGGGGCTGGCTTGGTAAAATTATATGCAGGAGTTTTAGGTGCGTGGGGCGTATGAATTGTTCCGGTGAGAGTCGTAACAATCCTGTACTATTAATCAGAACTACGGTAACTTGATCTTGAAACGCGCTGCCTTAATAATACAAAGTCATTATTAGAGTTCAGCTTCTGGGTAGGATGTGTGGCTGAAGCTACTCTTGAGCTCTCTCATTCGACATTGCGGCTTGATCCATTTCTAATTGAGGACGGTTGTTTTTGGTTCTAATGCGGTCATGTCGGAATTCGGGAATGTGGGAGGTTGGGGTGTATTGGAGTCAGTGACGCTGTAGAATACAGACAGCCTTTGGTATGCTTAAGCGGACGAAATTAATTGACTAGAGCTTTGTCTTCCAACCACCCCCAAACACGGACGCACGCGTTAGGACCGCGTTGGTGAAGCCAGCGTTTGTGATGTCATACGTTCGAACTTGCTTTTCTCTGAGGGCATGTTGCGAATTTCTTGTTTATGCAGCTTACAAGGGCAGTGTCGCAGAGGGAGAAGGTGATAGATTGCGGAACCACAAAGACATAGCAGACAATCGATCCAAGATACTACAAGATTCTGTCGTATTCAACTTCTAGTAGTAGATAATCCCGACTTTTCATCGACTCAACTGATGGTTTTGAAGTACATCTCGTTGTCTATAAAACGCTTTCCACTGCCTATGGCAGTGAGAAGCCTTCGACTAAGAACCCCAACTTTCTAAGGAGGTGGCAATTTTCCAAGGCTCGCAAGATCAATGCTATAATTCCGCAGTAACCTGGTATACTTAAGTAGCAACACCTTCTGTTACTGACCTACCAGTCTTGTTATGCTCAAACTCTGCCACCACCGCCGACTTGAGATCAATCTCGACCTTTTCGCCGAATAACGTGTTGATCTCTTCCAGGGGCAGGTTCTGGGTCTGGGGTCAAAGTCAGTATGTACACCCCTAGCTTCTTTTCGGAAGGTGAAGCTCACCTCAGGAAACGTGAACCAGATGGCAATCGTGCTGGCCATGGTGATAGCAACAAAAATCATGTAAAACTTCCAGCCGATGTTGTTCAAGCCAACAGTGACAGGAGCGCTGTAAGCAATTGCGTTACCGAAGAAAGATGCAAAAGCAAGCGTTGAGCCTTCACTGCGCAAATCTGAGAGGACATGTTATTATGCTTGTATCGATTGTGCTATGTTGAGTAAACTTACAGGTAGGCCAGATTTCGGATCCGTAGGCATATGCAGTGCACTCGATGGTCGCTGTGAAGAAAACTCCAAAGAGAAAATAGATAGTAACAGCGGCATTAAGTCCAGGAGCATCATCAGATCCCAAGTAAAACTTTTGCAGGGCGGCCATGACACTAAGAATGGCAGCCGAGCCGAATCCACCAACGACTATAACATATGTTAGTCAACAGTTCCACGGGGTAGAAGTTCTAAAAATTGGATGCCTTGCCTAGGAGCTTCACTCGACCGACTCTGTCCAGCAACAAAATGTTGAGACCACATCCCAAGACCAAGACCACGGTCCAAGCGACGCCAAGAGCTAATTGCAATGTGACACCAAAGCCCAGACCACCCATCAGGACGGGAATGAGGTTGGCAATGGCGGTAATACCAGTACCCTGAGCCATAACCCAGAGAAGGATGGAACAGTACGCTCTCTTCAACAGATGCTTGGTAGTGAAGATATACCAGAATCCTGAAGGTAGTTCCTTCTCAGTCTCGACCTGAGCCTTGATCTGAACAGCCTCAGCGTGAGCCAGTAGGCCCTTGGGGTCAGTTTTGGTCTTGTGAAGTTTGACCAAAACTTCCCTAGCCTCTTCATCACGGCCTTGCTCCATGAGCCAACGAGGAGACTCAGGGAGGAAGTATAGGGAGCCGAAATGAATGACAGCGATTCCTGTCAAGACAATAAAAATGAGGCGCCATTGTATTGCTGAATGCACAAAGCTAAAGGCCAGGTTGAACACAGCGCAAGTGATGTACGCAGAGACGACACCGACACCCTGCATGCCGACTAGGGCTCCACGGGCATGAGGAGGTGCCACCTCGGACATATATACTGGTGAATTGGCAAACACCATACCAGCGCCGATACCGCAAATGACACGGAAGGTCAACAACATGGCAATGTTGACTGCTCCAGCTTGAAGAGCTCCTGAGATGATAACGATGGCGGCGGCTGCAGCGTTGCAGAAACGACGACCGTAGTGCTTCGAGATGGGAGCTTGACCGACAGAGCCAACCATGGCACCGGCCAGAAATCTAGTAGAAACACTTGATCAGTATGTTTTGAGGATGTGAAGACACACGCGAGCTTACCCTCCAAGGAGTCCATCAGTGCGTTGAGCAGCATCAGGAGTGGTCAAGAACTTGGCAATGAAGGATGTTTGGGCAAGGGTTCCAGCAATAGCATTAGCACTGAAGCCATAGAGGAAGCCACCAAGTGCAGCTGTAAAGATGACCTAAAAGGAGGTTAACTGTCTTCCTTTGTTGTTCAAATGAGAATAACTCACCTGGTATGTGATCCAGCTGACCGAGTGTGTAGCGACTCCGATAGCATCATCACTGATCTCAGAGTCTGAAGATGGCTTACTCGCCGTCTTCTCATCGGCCTGGCTTTTCTCAGGCGTCACTGACATTTTGCAGGATCTGACAATCAAGTGCTGAATGTGTTGAAGAATGCCAAACAAGGTGGGAAAACCTATGTCTTGCAAGAGTAACAGAAAAATCGAATTATAAAGCAGACATGCTATAACCCTGCGTCTATGGTTCGTCGTCTATCATACATCTTTTTCGGATAAGTACAGTAACCGGGTAAACCAACATAGCATCCCGGGACCCTCACCAACATTATCAAAGACGATGCAACGCCAAAGAGTGCTAAGAATGCGCCATGTGGACTGGCTGTCACAACCCGGGGTCGACATTCGAGGTTCGAGGTGGGGGTGGTGAAACATGTCGATCTTCTGCTTTAGAGTTGGACCTTGACATCCTAGCAATTTGTCGCGCAATAACAAACCCTAAATTAAGGGGTTCGTGGAAATCGGAATCGCATTTCGGACGTCAAAGGTAGTATTGCTGTCAAATTTCCTGATTCAAGGTTTAGTCAAACAGTGGCTCTCACTGTATCAGGCCAGTTGACCGCCACTTGTAGACTGCATGTACTATTTAATCACATTATTTTCGTTAATTTCTCATGCATCATCACCCACTTGGCATTCCTACCACGTTTCTTTTCATATTAGATCAACCACTTATCACATACACATCTTTCCATCCTCTTTCGATATACTGTTGTCAAACTCAATATTATGCCTCCCCACGTCCCCGAAGCCGAAGTCTTCCCTGTATTGAACGGCAAGGTGGCACTCATTACCGGTGGCGCGCAAGGTATGGGTAAAGCTACTGCCGAGGTCTTCCTTAAAGCCGGTGCCAAGGTTGTCATCTGTGACGTACAAGCAGAAAAGGGTGACGAGGCGGCCAAGGAGCTCTCTACGTTGGGAGAGGTCTACTTCACCAAAGCAGATATTTCGTCTTCAGAGGATGTTGCCGCTCTTATCAAGTTTGCAGTCGACAAGTTTGGTCGCTTAGACTGTGCTGTGAACAACGCGGCTCTTACACCCGATAAAACTCCCTTGGTTGACTTTGACGAGACATACTGGGACAAGCTCATCGGTATCAATCTGACGGGCACTGCTCTCTGTGTCAAGCATCAAATGAAGCAGTTCATCGCTCAAGGTGGAGGTGGAGCGATCGTCAACATTGCCAGCATCAATGCTTTCAAGCCGCAACCAAACATGCCGGCATATACAGCCGCTAAGCATGCTCTCGTCGGGTTGACCAAACATGCCAGCATGGAAGGCGGACCCCATGGCATCCGAGTGAATGCTGTTGCCCCAGGTGCCATTTTTGTAAGTGCTTACTATGACCCATGGCCCCATGCCTCCAGCTTGACTAATATAAACGACTTATGCAGACTGTTATGGCCGAAAAGGCGTTGGAAATCATGGGTACGACCCACGACGAGTTCGCACCTCAGGTCAGCTATCTGGAACGTTTTGGTATGCCCCACGAGGTAGCTCAGGGATCCCTGTGGTTGTGCTCACCGGCGTCGTCGTATGTGACGGGTATTACACTGCCGATCGACGGCGGCTTTACAGCCAAATAAGGACTGCTACTATGACTAGATCATAGCGTATAGCGTGTATATACAGAGTTCTTCATTTGTCGGAACATGAACGGAAAGCTACGAGTGAGTTGGCGATAAGAGCAGGGTGGGGGGGGGGAAGAAAACATGGCAGACAATCGATAATCTTCACTTACACCACCAAATCTTTAGTGGAGCCCTGCTGTGTTTTTCTTCCCCCCGAGGGCAGGGTAGGAGTGAAGGATTGCAGGATTTTGCGCTAAATGTCCACAGACCACGGATCTACCTCTTGAGATGCAGAACTAAATTCTCCATCTGTACACCCTGTCCCAATCAACCATATCTTTATCAGTCCCTAGTAATCTGAAGGATTTTTACTGTTTCAGCTTCGTACTTACTATCCTGAGGTATTCGAACAGAATTTAATTTAGATTATGTAGATGCTCTTATCATTCTTGAACTATAAGTGAGGTATCAGTGCATGATCAGCGAATACATCCCTGTAGTTAATATTCAACACCGCTGTAGCCGTGCTGCAGTCAGCAGGGTAACTATTCCTATCATTCCTATCCGGCCCCATTTCCCAAGCGGAAGCGCAAACGCTTCCCGTTCGACAAATGACGATCTTCCGGGCTCCGCGAAGTCCAACTAAATTAGCGGGCTGTAACGGCCATATTCCGAACTGAGAAAAAACTAGGATTATCATGGTTCTATCTGTGCAAGATGCTACTGAGAAGTACGCTCGGCTACTGAGAGTCAGTGCCTGAGACCCAAAGTCGACAGATTCCGACTCGAAACGAGCCGTTGCTACCTTGACGATAACCCAATAATGAATGATATGCAAAACCGGCTTGTTACTGCTATCCATGTAGCCTGTTAATTGATTAGGAGTGACTAGGACTAACGACTACCTAGTAACTAAATGACTGTCCACCATTTGCGCTCACCAGATTCCCAGTCATCCAGCTCGACTCAGGACTGCAGATCATACTAACCAAGTTGGCAATCTCCTCCGGATACGCAGCTCGGCCACCAAACCTCTTTCCGAGTTCCTGGACTTCGGGACTATCTGATTCACGGACTGCAACAAGAGGGGTAACAGGATTCCAAAGACCCAAATCCTCCTTGATCTTGTCACCAGCCGTCATGTACATGTCGGTCATTACGGGACCAGGGTTGATGGTATTGACTGTGCAGTTCTCTGCGAGCTCGCGACACCAGACCCTGGCCATTGTCTCAATGGCTGCTTTAGTACCTGCATAGAGTGTGGTGCCAGGTGTGCCAAGCTTTGGATTGACACTCGACATCATGACAATACGTCCAGACCGGTCGGTTGGTAGGTAAGGCTTGCAAACACCTGTAAGCAAGGCTGGGCCAAGAACATTGACGCGATAAATGTGGTCGAATTCTTCTTGAATGACCGACTCAACGGGTCCGAGATAGAGAACGGCAGCATTGTGAATGAGAATGTCGACGACCAGCTTATCGCCGCCAAAGCTTTCTTTGCAGACGGACACGATCCGATGGCAGTCGTCGATCTTGCTGATGTCGGCTCGACATGGCACAGCCTTGACAGAGTACTTCTCTTCAAGCTCCTTGCTCAGTGCTGTAGCGCTGCCATCCGAAGACACGGTGGCGTAATTGATGAGGATGTTTGCCCCTCGCTCAGCAAGGCCACGAGCGATGTATGCTCCAATGCCTGATGAAGGATCTTGATATCAGTTTGAGCTGTCCTATGCCATCTGAGGACAGTTTGTAGAACATACCACGGGCGGAGCCAGTAATAATGGCAAGTTTGCCTTGGTGAACCCGTTGTTTGACGGTCATGATAGATCAATAGAATGCTTGCTTTGGGGGGCGAGTACGGACAAGAATTCAACAGCTCTCGCTCAATTTCTATTCCTCGATTGCGGCTCCTATCGAGATTCCAGTGGAGCTATCTTCTCTCTATTCTCCTCCTTTTTCCCCTTGCGAATTGACAACCAATATGCCAACGGTAAATCAACACCATCGATGGCAAACTTCAGTAGTTACTAGGTCTCCCCTGCAACAGTTCCCCCGACGAAGGAGCAAGAAGGGAACACTTTACCTGGCTGCCAGGTTCTATGTAGCAAAAGGATCCACGAGCTATAGAATCCGTCTTAATATCGCGTCACTATTCCGAACCCTGTACCCGACTGCAGCCCCACATCCGAAACCGGTCCCGAAAGACCATCGTTCGGCACTTTAGGTCACTTCTAATGTCTGCTTCGGAAGTGCGAACAGTGTTACACATGAAGAATTGGGCTCCAATGGCAACCGCTACGGCCCGAAGTAGATAATTTTATCTGGATGTCACTGGACCAGGTATATGGCGTATCTTTTGCTTGTTTGACCTCACAGGCTCTAACTCAGCGAAACTCTAATTGACGTGTTCATTTTTCTACGTCAGTCCCTGATAAGGAGTGACCTAGGCGCCAAGCTAGCTTGTAGAGCCCTGTACAGTCCCTTGTAGAGATCGACAAGACTTATTTGCCATGCATACATTTGATGGTCAGGTGAGTGAAGCTCCCCCTCGTAAGCTGAAAAAGATCTACAACCTGGCCCGTTTCTGGTCTGAGCTAGAGGATGAGCTGCTACGCAATTCTAGTGTTGCACTATACTACGGACTGTGGTAGTCGATCATACCACCCTTTTTAGCCATCCGTTGACGAAAATTAAGGACGTACGGAGTACGGGGTATCTTTCAAGACTTTGGCTTAACTCTCGGGTTTCTTACGTAGAGAGCGCTCAAAAGGGGCAGATGTGTGGCTGACCTGGTAAATAACAAGGATTGCCCAAGACGCGCCATCGTTAACATGTATATTTCATGCATCCAACCTCAAACTCTTCATTTCTGGCTCATTCCAGTTATTCTTTGGAAGCCATGCTCGTTCACCCTTCAGTTTGAGATAGTCTTGGCTGCTTGATTCGAGCTCAAACTTGCATCATTGCGTCTGTTTAATCAACCTTTTCCCTGGCCACCTTCTTTAACCTCGAATCTCTCGGTGCTGTACCCGACTCAATGGCTCCGGCAGCTGGAATCGGAGGTAAGGGCGGCACGGTCGTCGGTGTTCTCTGGGCTGAGAATGCTATTTGCTATGTTCTCATTGGCTTGCGACTCTACACTCGTCGCTACATTCGAGGCTCAATCGGCTGGGACGACTTGTGTCTGGTCGCTACATCGGTTAGTGCGTACCAAATGTCTTACTTTGCTCAAGCCACTAACTTGAGGCCAGGCTCTTATGACCCTCTTCGCTATCTTGACCACAGTCTCAGCTTACCACGGCATGGGTCAACACTTTGGAGATCTTGACATACAGCAGTTTGCCGACGCAATGCTATGGCTACTATGCTCTCAGTCTACAGTTGCCATTGCCATAGGAATGGGTAAAGTGGCTGTAGCTGTCTTTCTGCTCCGTATCGTAACGGCTCCTTGGTAAGTCAATCTCACATCTCGGCTCACACGGATCTAATGTTATAGGCATCGATGGTTTCTCTGGTTCTGTATCACCTCTATGATGGCACTGAGCATCTTTCTCGCCATTGCAATTTTTGCGCAATGCACACCCGTCGAGTCAATATGGAACCCTCTACTAGCGGACCAGAAGACGTGCTACCTCAGCTTGACAGTAGTAGCGTTCATTGACTGTGGTATGTCAAGTCTCGTTCAACCCTGCCCCGTAAAAGATTGTCTAATAGTCTGTCAGCATACGCCGCCGTGTTGGATTTTGTAATGGCTGGTTTCCCTTGGATTGCACTTCGCGGATTGAATATGAAGCGCAAGGAGCGAATTGCTATTTGCCTGTCGCTTAGCCTTGGAGTCTTGTGAGTACTGCCTCCCCTATATCACAGTATCTGTTGCAGACTAACCAATACCAGTGCTGGTGTTTGTGGAATCGTTAGAACATCTGGTCTGAATGCCCTGAACAATTCTACCGACTATCTTTGTATGTCAACCTACACAATATCTCAATTTCGGACGCTCTCTAATTATTACATGAGTAGATGCAACATCCGACTCCGTCATCTGGACCGCCAGCGAAGTAACAACAACTTTAGTCTGCCTTACGCTACCCGCCCTTCGGCCCCTCTATAACAAGGTGCGTGGCCAGGAATCGAGCTCAGGTGGCTATCGACAGCATGATGACTCCAATTATGCTGCAACCGGGTCGTATAATCTCAATTCTTATCCGGGAGTTCGTAAGGACGGTGTTGGCCTTGGAAAAAACAACTTGACCAATGTTGAGGCAGGCCAGACAACGCTCAAGAATAATAGTGATGAGTCTGTTCTTCTGCAAGGCCATGGTAAGAGAGACATTATGCGAGTGCAAGAAATCAGCGTATCATATGAGAACGCAACTTTGGACAACAAGGCTGTAACTAGGGAAGCTGTCTAATAGCAGATTAGTCACATGGCTATGGAACCAAGTACTCCATGTTCTATAATTGAACAAGGTTGATGCAGTATATAAGGCAAAATAAACGAGCTAACTTGACTAAGTCAGATAGTTCGACTGGCAAAGTTCGTGACCCGTCGCAACAATCCTGCACCATCAATCTGAGCTTTGTCTTCCAAACAACCCTAAAAACGGAGGGAAGAATCATCACGTGATGTGATCGTGAATTAGATATGAGAGATCAGAAATTAGAAGCTCTGAGAGATTTCTTATCGGACTCGTATCATCAGTTGACTTACAATTAGTTCACAATTTGAAATTCTCCTTTAATAATTCGGCTACACAGCTGAAATTATATAGGGTCCAAATCCTTCTTTTTATAAAACTTACATGTCTTATTACATTATTTAATTAATATAAGATTCTAAAATCATCATTTAGTATAAAAGAAAAGGGAGACCTCGGTATTATTATCTTAATAGTCAACTCTACAGCATTAAAATATATTAAAAGTTATATCTATAATTTACAGCCTTTATAAATCATTAAATCTTTATTAATATAGACACTATATAATAAAAAGATAATTTATATCAAGTCTGGTAATACCTTTAAGAAAGAGATCTAGCTATCCTAATCAAATCTATAGAAATATTAATAATAAAGGCCCCTATATAGACCAAAAAGTAATGATATCTAAAATCTAATAAGGTTACCTACTTTATTAGCTATAACTTTATTTCTTAATAATATAAAAAACCCTTACTAAGGCTACTTTTTCCTCTCTATACTTTAATTTAATTAACCTACCTAAATTTATAAAAAGGAGATTATAATTGCTAAATATCCTGTCAAGCCTGTAAGTTGACCTAACCGCTTTAAAACTAGATTAATAAAGCTAACCTTGATTATAGCTAAGATATTCATTAATACCCTAACCTTTATACCTTTCAATAAAAACCTTTAGCTAGTTAATACTAATAATATAATTAAGGCCTATAATAGGGAATTTTAGTATAGCTAAAAGATATTTCTTAAGGTAATTAATAAGGACCTTAATAGATATTAATATGATGCATGAAGGCATCGTCACCTTGAGTGGGGTGCCGGACCTATAGATAATCCGTCCCGTAGAGGTCCGAGCTTGGTGTGTTCACAAGAGCAACACCAAGCTCGGGTCTTCTGAATAGATCATGCTTCCTAGAATACCCTTTACTTGCCCTCGTGCCTAGTAAACGGTATCATAATAATTACAGTATTTACTTTATAAAAGTAAGATATATTATATTATTAAGTTAGATGTTAAACCTATAAATTAAAGAATTAAGGTTATATTTACTATCTTTAGCTATATAATCCTTTAATTACCTTACCTTTTTATTAATAATAATAATTATCTATATAAAAAGGTATAGCTTAAAAAAGAAATATTATTTTTTAACTATTTTAAAAAGAAGCTTAAATTACTAGGTCTAATTAGTATATTAATAAAAGTAAAGACTGCCTTTTTTAATATATTAAATCAAGATAATATAAATCTAATAAAAGGTAAATATGATAAATAGCTAATAGACTTAATAATAATAATAAAATCGGCTTAGGCATTCAAGTAATATACTAAACTCTGGTCAGAGTCGCCGAGAGATATAAGAGGAAAATTCGTGTATGCTACGAGATAGAGTTTTAAACTAAAGGTCTAAAAATCCTGAAAGGAAAACTTCGGTTACGAGAGAAGAAGCTGCCGTAATTATTTCACCGACATCATATAACCTAACAGACCTTCCCCATAGTGACTAGATAAAATAAGTAAGGTAACCAATAGTAATTCAATAGTAATACAACCGAGATAAAAAGATAATAAGTTATTTAACTTCACCAAGACAAAGGTAGAATTTTAGGAACTTACCAAAAGCTTTCTATAATTGCGTCGACGTTAAAGTCAGGTTCAATCCAGTCCATATTACATTAAGATGCATGAGTGTTCCCCGTTATCTTTCTTTCTTCGAAACGAGGCTGGTTTTTCGTCAGGCTCATATTTCCAGTTCAGCCTGTCAATAATGCCGTGCTCATCCCGTCCAAATTGTATGTTTCCTACGAAGTAATGTTCCCAGTCCATCATGCCTTTGTACAGCCACTCATCCCTTGTCCGAGGCGTGAAGCTATAGGCGTCCTTTGCATAAAACTCCAGATCGCATCTTGAGTCTTTATAGCCGTTGATGGTGAGAGCTAGGTGTTCCGTCTCCTCGCATTTGAAAATATTGACTATGATGTTGCTCCAGGTATAATTGCCAACATAATCGTTCAAGTCAGCCTCTTTCCGCATGATGTCGGAGTGAGCCAGCCAGTCCACCAAAAGCTGGTTATGCCAATGCCTGTGTAGATTCGCCTCCTCTTGAGCCAGCTTCAGATAGTCGATATGCGGCTTAGTATCGAACAGTGCTTGGATCAGTATCTTGGCTGTAAAGTCGGCAGCGTCGCCTAAATTTCCGCCGTTTGTGAGAGCGACGACAGCACTTTTCGTCTCTGGAAAGAGATACATAGCCGAGGAGTATCCATTGGCATTGCCTTGGTGCCCTACGAAGAACCTTCGGGGAGATTCACGTCCTAGGATGTATTTGTTGTTGAAAACCTCCTGGTCTTGTTTTCTGACCTCGTGATTTGTGCCCATATAACCGAGACCAGCTGTTGGCGTGTATCCAGAATACCACCCCATGCAGTATGCTAGTTCGTTGTTAAAACCATCTTGCATCGGACGAGTCCATTGAGGACCCCAGATTTCTAGCATCTGTCTTAATGGGTTAATAGAACTGTCTAGAGACCCTAATTCCCCTTTCTCAGAACTGTAAGCCTCCATCATTGCAGCTGAGAACTTGAGCAAATCAACAACAGAACTTTGCAAACCAATAACGCCTAAGAGGGGGGAGTGATCATCGCGGGTATAAGTGTCCCCAGATCTAAGCTTCCTGTATTCTCCAGTATCAAGCTTAGCATAGCCGTGAGCTCTGTTGGAGGAAGGACCCAGTTCAGCTGAAGAGACTATTGTATTTTTCAGACCCAAAGGTTCAATTATGCGTTTCTTGAGAAATTCCGAATAACTTTGTCCTGTGACCTTCTGCACGATCAGGCTGATAAGCCCATACGGAAGGTTATTATACTCCCACCAAGTGTCAAAGCGCTGGCCGGTTTTATCGTTCTCGGTAGATATGTGGTTTAGAAACTCGACATATTTATCTTCCTCTGAGACTATGGAGCAATTAGGCCCAAGAAGGAAGATCTGGGGCCTACTCAGGCCAACAGTATGTGAAAGAGCTGAACGTATCGTCGCCTCAGCTCTAATACGAGGGTCACCGACAGGATTAAAATCGGGTATGTGTTTACTGATCAGGTCATCCCATGATAATGTGCCCTCTTCTACAAGAATACCTATCGCTGAAGATAGGAACCCTTTGGAGCAGGACGCGAGTAGATAGCTTGTTTCTGGAGTCGCTTGCAGATTGTTTTTAACGTCGCGCAAGCCGGTGCTATACTTGTAGACTTGCTTTCCTTGATGCAAAACTCCAACAGAGATGGATGCGACTCCGCAAATGCCAGTGAGGGCATGGATCTCACTGGCCTGATCAAGCCTATCGACCAGTCTTTGAAAAAGTTTGTCAGAGTTTGCGATGAGTCGAATATTGATTTTAGACTTACTCTGACATCTGTGACAAAGCCGAAATAATACCACTAACCAATGCTGGCCTTTGGATAGTGAAGATGGAAATAAGGTGTCTTTCATAATTGGGGAGCGAATCTACTCCCACTGATCAGGCTCTGGGTTCTGGTGAATGCTTGCTGATCTCGTCACAGCCTGAAGAGAAGAAGAAAAAAGGAGATGGGAGCAAGGGTAGCCCGGATAGGTTCTCGGCAGATATGCTTACGTAGCGGTGTAGGCACTAGGCCACCAATCATAACCAGGCTGGGGAGTGGTTGGTATTTGGCAATCTGTCATGTTGGTCAGAGGCGTTCTTTGGGGTACTGTGATACGATGACAGCCAATGCCACCTAATCTATAATATACCCCGCTAGCCCGGCTTCACTGCGCCTCTTTCGTGGAACCTCCTCGGTCAAGAGTGAAACCTATCATTTAACGAAGCCACCCTTCCAAGTTCAATAGAGGGGGTGATTGGGCATAGATTTATGTTCATCCGCTACTCTATGATGACGCTCACTGCTTCCAGGCCATCAGCTGAGGCCCTTCATCACATGCAGTGAGGGATATCTACTTAATGCCTGTCATCCTGCGTTACGCAGCAATGGCGCCCTTGAGGCTCAAACTCATTTGCTCGTTAACTACTCACGATTCTCACCTCATCCAACTCAACAGGCATCAAGAGCCTGTGGCACATCCCGCTTGCGCTGACCCGATTTCCAACAATTTCGACTCACAGCTTCAGTCATTCACCACTGTTGCCGAAGATCCATTACTATGCCTATAGTAATTACTTCCAGTACGACGACAACAGAAATGGTTGAAAATGATCCTGAATTACAGAGCCAAGGCGGCGGCGGTGCCAGTGGAGGGGGAGGAGGTCGGCCAAAGCCATCAAACCCAGCTCCTGGTCCCAAAGGATAGGCCAATAACAGACCTCTTGATATCAAAGATCCCCAAAGCAATTATCCATTTGCATGAAGACAGTTGTAAGTGAAATCTTCAATATCATTAATGTCATATTTCCTGACACTGTAGAATGTGATACAGTTAAAGCCCAAAGTGAACAGGACAAACGCAGGTTGAAAATGGAGGAATGCAAACGCTACGTGTACTTTGTTTCCTGGGTGGGTGTAGTGCATGATAAATGTTGGAATTGTGAGACAGAGGGTTGGCTTGGGCAGCTACAGGCTACAGCCTCATTTAAGGAATGACAAGCTTTTGTGGTTGGATCTTATAAGAGATTCTCGGTTTACTTAATTGTTATTTTGATGAACCATGTCGTACAAATTAGCAGCTTATGAAACATTGCAATTAAATCAATACCCCTTTTTCTCACTATTATTTACTTCTTCCTGTATCACCATTCCACTTGGTGGCTTGGCGCTTGCTAATGGATCAGCTTACTGAAATATGGTTAGAGGCTCAGGTCTTACAGCGTCAGCACCTAAGCGTAAGGGAACAGGAGACAGTGGAAACGGTCGACTCTTACGAGCATCTCTGCGAAAGGCTTGGGAAAATTCAGATGCAGTACCAGCATAAACCATGGGTGCGGCTGTTAACTAGGATGGACCCTTTTGTGTCAAGACTTCGCTCATTCGCGGCCGTACTGTCTATTTTTGCTCAAGCTAAACCTGAAGTACTGTCCCTTGTCTGGGGCTCCATTGCACTGGTTTTAGAGGTATGTAACTCATATTATATCTGTGGCGCAGATCACTGCTTGTTTAGCGATTCTGACAGGGTCACCCCTCCACAGCTTGCCGTAGGGCACTCGGCAGTTTTGGAAAGTATTGTTGATACCTTCGAGCAAATGGAAAGGGTCTTGCCGCGTTTCCAGTGTTACGTGGAGGACTACGTGTCCCCTTCATCAACAATTACTCACCTGAGGGATGCCATTCGAAGGTACTACAAGGAGTTGATTGATCAATGCCAGGATTATATCAGATTCTTGAAATCCTCACCGCTCAGTACGTACCTTTTTGCTTTTGTATGACATGATTCTCCTTCTCTTTGGTCGATTGTGTCGTACAGGCTCCCGCGCCCTATGTATGAGGCGGAGAATCCGGGTTGATCAGGGGGCCTGGATACGTGGTTTAGGGTTTGATCACCGCCTCTAGCAGCCTTGTCACATTCACTGGTTTCAAGTCACCTGCGCTAATAATCTTGTAGTGAACCTTTTATTACTAGGCAGCGCATCTCGAAAACTGCGTACGGGCTCAACCAGGCGACTAAAAAGACTCAGGCATCTATCAATAGATGTAGAGCAAGAAGCAAGGGTTGAAGAGCACAGAATAACCTATCGCACTTTGAGTTCCCTAAGAATTGAGCCTACAATGGCCACGGTTCTTCCGTACCATGGTGTCACCTACCGCCAAAATCCAGCGTTCTACTCAAGGCCTCATTACCTAGAACAAATGAGTGCAAAGCTTGATCCTGATACCCCTGAAGGACTGAAAAGCTTTGCTCTGGTTGGTTTTGGGGGCTGTGGCAAGACACAGCTGGCGATCGAGTACGCTCACAAAACCAATTCCTATGACGCCATTCTTTGGTGCGCGGCAGAAAATAGCCTGCGACTTTCCGAATCGTTCACAATTCATGCAAGGGCATTGGATCTCATCAAAGGCGACGACGTACCAAAACTAGACCGCGTAATAACCCTAGTTAAGCAGCGACTTCTCTCACTGAGCGCTAAAGGTTGTACTTATCGAATTGTTTCGAACCCATCTCGTATCGCTGACGGCCCAAACAGAGAAACCGAGCAGGTGGTTGATAATTTTTGATAATATGGAAGTATTTGATGGTCTGTCATCGTTCTGGCCCAGTGGTTTATCAGGTTCAATTCTGGTTACCACACGAAACAAGACCCTAGCGAAAGAGTTTACTAAATTCCAGGTTTCAGTGGCACCATTTTCGCCACTAGATGCACGTTTGTTCTTACTGCAATACAGGGCAAACGACACCAAAAACACTTCTCAAGAAGATGATGCCACGAAGATCATTAGTCAAAGACTTGGAAATCTTCCCTTAGCACTGGACCTCGTGAGACACCATGTGTCGGCGAGTGGAAGCTCTTACACAGAGTTCCTCACAGGATACGGGGAGCCCAGTGAACCGCTTTTATATGACAAGTTTGGCTCGACGTGGAAGAATGAGTGGTATCATCAAAACATCCTTGCAACTTACACGCTCCGATTACAAAAGATGAGCCAGAAAGCTGTCGAGATGGTTCATGTGCTGGCTATTTTGGACGCCTCGTGCATTCCACTGTCGATATTCAGACCAGATGAGGAAGACATGTCAGACTAGGACAAATCGAAAAGTTAGCTTCTGATGCTGACGAATTATACAGGCTGTACAATGGCCCGGATGTTGAGGATGAGCTGCCTGAACTCCAAGATTGGCTTAAAAGCCCAGTAGAGGATACATACGAGTAAGCAGGAGGTAATAACCTAATACATCACAAGTCCGCAGCTAACCACCACCCAGGCTTGACACAGTGGTGTCGGAATTGATGGATGGCTCTCTGGTCGATCGCAACGTTGGTTCGGGCAGCCTGAGTTTGCACCGCATCTTACAAGACTCGGTAGCACATTCTTTCGATACATCTACAAGATCTAAGTCTTTCAACAGAGTGTTGTTCTTTCTCAATGGCTGCTTCCCAGTACAGCAAGATGGAGGCCAACTGTTTGAGTGGTGGTGTCAGTGCGAGGAATACGTTCCTCATATAGTTTCTGCTGTCCGATTCTATAAGAAGTATCGCCACCACTTGGGCCCACCAATTATTCTTGCAGAGATCATTCGTCGATGTGCATGGTACTTTACTTGTAAGCATGAAAATCTGTTCAAAGCTAATGAGAGTCCAGGTACTTATGGGAGAAACATCAATTTGAAGAAGGCAAAAGCCTTGTCCGAGATGCTGTGGCAATCTGCAAAGAAGCTAATAAATCCGGTGCATCACTGGGATTCACTCTTGAAAGATACATCCCTCGTTTGCTCTCTGATTTGTACAACGTCATGGGCGCGTTGGAGTACGAGTCTCACACCGAGGGCCATGGATTGAAATGGGCCTTGAAAGCACGGAGTATTCGACAAGAACTGTGTTTGACACTACGGCTTGAGGACGATGAGTTTATGCTTCAAGTCGTTCAGAACAACATTGCAACTGATATGTTAGCAAATGGTCAACCGCAGGAAGCATTGCCGTTGTTAGAGGCCATTCACGAATACGACATATCCACGGGTGGGATCAATCCGGATAATTTTTACAGAACTCTTAACCTATCGATATGCTATCAACAACTGGGGAAGTATTTCAAGGCAATGAATTGTTCGAACATGGCAATTGAAGTGATCCGAGAGCATGTTGGCGAGGACACCGTGGCAATGGCAACGTGAATCTCAAATCCCCGTGTATCATTCCCAACATTAACACCATATCCAGCGCCAGATTCTACCGCGGTAATTTACTTCTATACATGGGAGATCGAGTTGGTGCATTCGAAACCTTCTCTAGATGCTTCCTCACTCGCCAGAAGCTTATGCCGACTCATTACGACACGGCCTTCGCGGCACACAAATTGGGAGCCATGGCTGCAGAGAATGGAGACTTAAACGCGTCCATGTAAGGTTTCCTAAATTCGATATCTTCATTAAATGTGGTGTTCAAGACTTACTAACTCACGCTACTAATACAGCCAATTCTTGACCCAAGCATTTCAGATTTTTGGCGATACAGGTCCCCTAAGCCTTGCCGCGGCGCGAACGGCGTTTCTCTTGAGCACAGGTTTACTCCACAGCAACCAGAACCATGCCGCTGGACTCCTGCGCAATAGAGTCAACCAGGCTCTTGAGGCTGCAGGAAAGCTTGCCTATGCTGAGGCAGCCAGTTACTCCCAGGAATTCTTCGATTCATTTGTTCTTTTCCGACATTTGTAGGTTGTCACGGATGTGCGCCGGCGAAAAGTGAAACTTGAGAAAGTGTTGCAATTTGCAATGAGACCATGACAGTGCTATTTTCAAGCAGGAATGAAGGTGAGAGGAAAGGCTTTGCGGAGACCTATATCAGGCAAGTTGAATATCGGTAACTCTTTTACCTATCATTTCTATTATATGAATATGTCTTATGAAGGCTCTGATATTAGTCGTCACCAATCTTGATGGAGTAAATATCCGCAATCAACATACCGCTAAGGTCTCTCGATTATTCTCATACCATTCTAAGACTCTATTATTCCTAAGCTATATCTCTATGACCCGTTCAAGCATATATAATCTCCGAGTGGTACAAGATGAACTGCTGTGGAATCTCAAACAATGAAATAGAAAAAGACCTTTGACATACTCTGAAAAATGCTCAAGATCCGCAAGCAAGAATAGGGTACTTGGCGAGGATAACCTGTTGCCGTACATATATCCGGCTCTAATACTAAGGCGAAGAGTGATTGAGCAGGAACCATGTGAAATTCGCACACAATCTTTTTAACTTCTTTGAGCCACGGATACTGCTTGAGCCAGGGTACGTTGAATTAGTCAGGTTATGTTGCATTAAGCCTTGTTTTAGAGTATCTGTTCAGTATAACCTTGGGTCGGGTTATTTCTGTTGATATCATTGAGAGATTTGAAAAGCTTGGGTTTGATGAAGTTGAAGGTTAAGGCAAAAAAGAAAAACTAAAAGGGAGGGGACTTTATATAAGATCCTAATTGAGCTATTCCTAAATAATTCTCTATTATCTTATATTATTCTTAATTTTAGGATGTATCTAATAATTGATTTAAAATTAATATGGCCCCTAACTCCGTTGTGATACACTCAGTCTCCTTAATCTACTCTGGCTATCTACCGACCTATAAACCTTTCATTGCTTCCTGTAGTTGCTGGACCATACGCCAATTCTCCGATAAGTGCTCCGCAGCCCACCAGTCAGCCTTATTGCCTTGATCATCCCTAATATCAACATTTACTTGGCCATAATCCAGTAAAAGTCGAACCGTACCTTCTTGTCCTGCTCCAGCAGCCAACGACAAAGCCGTCCGCCCGCGACCATCCCTTGTGTCAACGTCAGTATATCCCAAGTCCAACAGCAGGCGAACCACATCTTCTCTGCCCTGTTCCCCAGCAAGCAACCATGCAATTCTGCAGTGATGGTTTGCCAAGTACCTACTGGCTTGGCGGTGATGTAAGAGCATCTCAACAATCTTGACATCACCTTTCATCGCAGCTAGTGCAACTGCAGTCCGCCCAGTATAATCTTCCACTTCAGTATCGACTCCAGCGGCGTTGAGTAGTATCCGGACAATATTCGCGTGCCCCTCGCTCGCAGCCAAAGACAATGGTGTCATTCCGTAGGTGTCCACTATGTTAACTTGCACCTGACTCGAACCTAAAAGAATTCGAACAGCCGCTTCTTGCCCGTTGATTGCAGCCGATGCCAATGCTGTTCTTCCCTCATTGTCTACCATGTTCACATTGGTATTTCCCGTCTCTAAGAGCAGCTGGACTATGTGGGCTTCGTCTTGATATGCGGCAACCACCAGTGGCACTCCTCCCGTTGAATCTGGGATATTAACATCGGCCTGGTCTGTGTTGAGGAGCATCCTAACTATGGCTAAGGAGGCTTTAGAACATGCTAGTGAGATGGGTGTGCGTCCTTTTCCATCTCGAGCGTTGACGTTTACGTCCTGGTTGGTGAGAAGCAAGTTGACCATGTTTTCAGCTTGAGCATCAACAGCATAGTGAAGCGCCGTATTGCCGCCCTTGTCTCGCCCGTTGATGTCCATACTGCTTGATCCGAGCAACACTTTGCACTTATCGATTGAGCCACCCTTGATGGTAGATATGAGTAGAGTGTCCCCATTTTCATTCCTGGCGTTTAAGTCCACCTCGTACCGGCTTAGCAGGATCTTCAGTGTCTCACAGCCACACTGCTCAACAATCAGGAATTCCATTTCAGCAGTAACCATGGCTTGACCACTCCGTAGCATTAACTGGACAATACCATCATAATGAGAAAGAATAGCTAGTGTGAGGGGTGTTCTGCCATCTCCATCCGCTGTATTGATGGAGGCCCCACTATCCAGCAATAGCTGAACTAGAGCTTGATCACCGTACTTCACGGCTTGGAAGAGAGGCGTCCACCCATCATTATCTCCGATATTGACATCGGCATTTACTTTCAACAACAGTTTAGCTGTTGCAACGTCTTTTGAATCAACAGCCAAGAGGAGGGGGGTTGTCCCGTTTTTGTCTCTTGCGTTCACATCCGTGTTCCCGGCTTCTATTAGTTGTTTAACAACTTGTTGCTGGCTCTTATGGATTGCGGATATGAGCAGTCTCGTCCCGACGTCGGTATCAGCGAGAGTTGAGCCACCAGCCTCAAGTAGAATCTTGACAACTTCATGATGCCCGTTCGAGAAGGCATACGTAACTGGAGTCACGCCCAGGATATCCCGGATATTGGTTGAGGCTCCTTCTTTGATCAAGTTCTGTACGATTCCAACGTTGCCACTCCACACGGCGTAAAAGATGGGCGTTCGACCATCTTTGTCTTTGAGATTGACGTTAGCCCCGGATGTCAGGTTGATCTTCCAAATTCGTTGACTCATAGACATGCCGCGAATCAACTTTGCTGAAACTCTTTCATGGCCTCTTCCAGCTGCCCACGATAGTGCGGACCTTTGGTAGAAGCTATCTTGCTGATCCAAATCGCTGACTCTGGCTTTGAAAAGCTGTTTCACAACGATATCGATACCAAAGTATGAAGCTGTCATGAGAGTGGTGAAATTCCCGGGCAGGCTGCCTCTATTACTACCCCAGTGAACTGCAAACCAAAGAGGATAACACGAAGAACGAGGGTTGCAGATAGTCATTGCTGACTCTAACAGAGGAACCTGGAGGTTGAGCGGAAGTTTGTTGAAGTGACTGGCCCAGTAGTTTGCCGCATAATCTATGAAACCGTTGCCTTTCTCTTGTGCAGACATTGACTTGGCGAGTTTCATATGCGTGCAATTCAAATCTGCCAGAAGAAGATACCAGATACACGCATGAGCGAGAACTGCATTCGAGGCGTTGGGGTGGAGGGTCTGTTTCCATTGTAGACCTTGACGGCTGACAGGCATCGAAACGTTCGAAACTAGATATTCTCTGACAGTCTGATGAAGTAGGAAGACCTTCGAATCGATAACCGTTGTCAACCCACAGATATCTCTCATTCTCTCTCGAAATCGTTCTTCTGGCTCCATCTCAAGACTTCTGTATGTATGATGGTGCCCCTCAAGTTCCAGTGCCACCGACATCTCGGTCAATGTGAGAGGACGTCCTGCCGCAAGAATAAGATGCAGCATCTTGGTAGCCTTGACAGTGTTCCGACTCCTGGACATGATTTTATCGTAAGCCTCTTCAACTGTTTGTGGAAGTCGAGATGTAATGTTGTCGAGGGTCGTTGCATTAATGTCTAGTTCGCGATCGATGATGTCGAGAGTGAGATGGACCCATAGGTATGTCCGTTGTTGGACATCAAAGAGGCGCTTCATCAATATGTCCTGTTCGGCTGGCATAATTCTCTTGTTTGTAGCGATTTCTTTAGCCCTCTCCCTAATGACAATATCAATCTCTCGAGCGATCTTCTCCATCTCGGCATCACTCTCCCCGCTCAGATGAATGACTGGTAGACCGTTTCCTTCAAGTGGCAAGAAACCAGTACTAATTTCTTGATAGGGTCGGCTTGTAATGAGCATTTTGAGATTAGGACACTTTCGGTTGCCATATAAGTTGGTTATGGCCTTGAAGAACTCTTTTCTTCCGCTTGTGTCGCACTCATCAATGGCGTCAAGAAGACAAATAAACTCCTTGTCAGGATTGTCCCTGATAACTTGGATGAGAGTTTGCCATAGCTCGGAAAAAGATTCTAGAGTCCATTGCCCATTCGAATCCTCGAATCGAAGAATAAGATCGTCAGTGATAAGGCCTCTATCTTGAGATAAGATCTGTTTTAAGATACAGCAAAGGGCATTAATAATACTCTTCTGGTCTTGAAAATCATCTTTGAAGAAAAAGTAAGAGACAATGCGTAACGATGTACTATGAATTATGTGATCCACGAGAAACTTTACCAAAACCGATTTTCCGCACCCCGGGTCTGCAGAAACCCAGATGATATTTGATGATTTGCTGTTCAACCATTGGTGAAACTCCTGATGAGCGATAAACCACTCACATGTTCCTCGGTATGCAGATGGGTTTCGGTCTTTGCGGCTTTGATATGGACAAGTACTGAGGCGGTTAAGTATCTGAACCTCCTTGTCTCGTCGCGATTGTTCCACTTAGGTTGTTAGTGACGACCACAGGTAGACTCCTTTTAACAAACCAGAATTTTCAACATGGCTAATGAATTTCACGTCTCCGTAGAATTGCGTCGCGAGAAACTGGCTACCACTTCCGGTGTTGTGATACTGGGTCCCCTCGTGGGTGGCGAATTGGTAGCTGGGGGAGTCATTGTCTAAGGAGGATCGTCGTTGCAACTGTCGATCATGGTCTTCAACGTCTTTTCGTTGGGAACGGAGATCGTTGAATGAGACGGGCCTTTCCAGTGTCTTCCCCCCGACTCCAAGGTGCTTGCCCAGTGGCCTCAATGAGCTGGTCGACATGGCTGCTGCCATTATGACCTCAACTTGGTGGGAGTCGTTAGACGGTCAAATCTCCAGGCAACAAAAGTGCGCTGCAGGCTTCCCGGGTGTTGGGGTGAGAATAATCAGGTCTTGAAGTCTCTAGGCAGAGGCCCCAAGTCAAACTTCTACCGAGTGAAGTGATATGTTTTAGCCTGCTACTGGTGATAGCCGCACTGCGCCATTTATTGAACTCTTTGTGCTGCGACAGCCACAGCCTTATTGACGTCGAGGGAATATGGATGATGGGTTGTAGATTGTCTCGGTCTGGCCGCCGTCAGCACATTCACATAATCGTTGTTAATCATTTCATCCAATTAGTGAAAACAAATGAATGCCACGCCCATCGAAATATTGACAGCCTGCTTTCAGCTCCTGCGGGCTGACGCTCCCATGACAAGTGACGCAACATCTGATAGGGCTATCATAACCGTTTTCAGCCCCCCATGACAGGGATAAAGCTACGGTTGGCAAGAATTAGTCACAACCGGTGAGTGCGAGACATCGCTTAAATCAGGCTGTGGTTCTGTTCATCACTCTAGTTATCGTAGACTAGGCATTGAAAAGAAAAAAAGACGCGTGATTCTATTCTGGTAGTCTGCTTTACTGATAATCACTCATGACTGCCAAAGGTGACCGAGCCTGAAAAGTTGCCCCCATTAAATATCTGTCCACGACCACTGTTGTTCTGCGCGCCCGGAGCCATGTAGAACTGAGTTCCCGAACCTGACTGGGAAAATGAGGCGGCGTTGGGCGTTCTCTCCTTGCCAGGATCATCATCAGTCCAACCAGTAGGATGACCTGTTGTAGCGCTGCTTGTTGGTGGCGTTGGCTTGGCTCTTGATACCTGACGAGGGTCAGTGGCTGTCTCAGCAGACCTGGTATGCTCCAGGCCAAAGGAGGTATTCGGCTGTTCCCATCTTTTCAATTCTCCCAAAAGTCTTTTGAACCCGTTGTCCTCTGGAGAGGAAAATTTGACCATGTCGGAGTGGTTCTTATGGATGCTGACACTTTGGTAGCCGGCGAAAGTAGCCGACTCCTTGTTAACAATGCAACCGTACCCAGGCATTGGTAATTCTTCAAAGAAACACGTAATTCGTATCTCCCGACCACTTTTACTCAAAGCTCGAAGCATTTCCAGAAATCTCAGGCTGATGTGGTCCAAATGTTCGTTGTCCGTGTTCAAAACCTGCAGCAGGTTTGTGTTCGTCGACTTGACGTAGCCAAGTGCCCGCGCCGGAGTTACAGCCCAGTTTGCGATCCAGGAACCCCGATGCGGGGTCCCCATGAATGCAATAGATGTGATAGAGTCGAAGATTTCGCGAAAGTGAAGCTCCGGGCTGTACTGTGACTTGATGATCGCCGCTTTGCAGACAATGCCTCCAAAGCTGTGAGCCACAAATATGAGACGCCGAGTGGTGGAAGAGGTGGTCAATCTGATGTCGGCGAGGTCTTTAAGCAAGCTATTGGCATGATCTTCAAGGCGGTTTGTCGACGCCACTTGCCTCCTCACTGTGTATGCGTCGTAGCCAAAGGTCATGAGCCTGGCGTTTGGAAGTTCAGACGGAAGAATCACAGCTGGCCAAGGCTCAGAAGAGGTGCTTCCCGTCCATGTCTTGTCACGGTTACCCGAAAGACCATGCACAAAACAGATGTCAACTGTGGCATCATCAGGAGTATACCAAATATTGATGCCATCGGGGAAGTTCGCTTCTTTGGTGGCTATAGCCACAGCCGATTCTCGTGTAGGATGTTGAGACATGTCTCTAGAGTCTTTGTTTGGTTTCAGAAGTTGTTTGAACCATCCCATCTTGAAGGTGGGAGATGGTTATACAGGGCCTGGTTATGAAGATGAAAGGTTTGTGAGAAACAAAAGTGAAATTTAAGTAGTTGTGTATTGGTTCAGTTAAAATAAGAAAAACAAATCAGGCTGAACAGTGGGTGTTGGAGGCCTCAATGACGGATTATATAAATCCCTAAATGCGATTTTCCAAGGAGATTTCCCCTCACAAAACGGTTTGGTTGTGCTGTAAGCTATGTGAGGCGAGGCTGCGGTGGTGTGTGACTGCGACCATATGTTTTCCTGGCCTGGGCCCAAGTTCGAGTCATTAGAGTAGTAGAAAATAGAGTTCTTTAAAAGGTTTGTCTTTCCTGTAAATATTATTAGATGGAGTAATCATTTAATAAAACACCGCCGTGGTGCTCCAACTACCAGAGATGCTCAGTAAACATCGTTATCAAGAATGGCAACGTTGTTTCGTTTGAACCCCGGCAAGTATTCGAACTTGGCCTTCAGCTTTGACACCCATCTGCTGAGTCATAAGTCTGCTCTCTCTGCTCTTTATCAAAGAAAGATAGTAGCATGTTAATTAAATATCTATCTAATTTGTCTTTCTAAGCTATTATAATAAGTCCCATATTTTCACTTGAATATCTTGATAGTAATTCACTTACATGGGAACTCTATTAACTGTTTAAACTTGAAAGCTATTTTTCTATTTATTTTTCACTGAGTAATCTACTTTCAGTTATAATACTTTTTACTAAGCTATATACTGTAGACAATTAAAACATTATAACTTAATGTAATTAATTTAACGAAGTTATAATATAATTATTATATCTAGTATCAAGCAATTAGAATATTATCTTAGATTAATCTTAAGGTTTCGAACTGTGGTCCTCATGGTGTAGACTGTTTCTCACAGAAGCTCTCGATTACAAAACCGTCAAATTGGTGGATAAACTCATAAATTGTATGCACTCGCCTTACCGCATGAAGGGTCTGGGTGAGATCTTAGCAAACAGGCTCGGCCTCACAAGAGAGAAGGAAATGGAGCATTGGGAGATTTACGGGCGTGGTAGCTGTGTGGTGCTTATTCTAAGTGTCGCTGTTGTCCTGGTGGCCACTTTTTAGGGTTGAGATTCACTCTTGCTTAAAGACCTCGTGTGATATTTGCCTCCTGTCCTTACTACCTTAAAGTAACCTTTTCAGCCTTTAGGCTATATAGCTCAACCAGCGCATGAATTTGCTTCCTTCGCCTCATTCCAATAATGAAACATGTTCCTACAAACTGAAAATACTTCCCTCTTCGCCGGATTACAGCCACATGGTCAAGTCCGTGCAGTAGACATATTAAGTCGCCCTCCTGTATCTTGGGAGGGAATCTCCCAACATAACCCTTTCTTGTCTCTGCTATAGAATGGCTGTAGGGCTTGCACTTTGAACCAAGGGTTTGTATGTAGCTTATTTCCTCGTCATAGTTGTCCTCATCGTCATCGTCGACAGGATCCTTGACAAGTAAGTGAAAGTAAAAAGCAGGGGAGATATAGACTCACCGGAACTTGTTCAAGCAGCTCCTTCACATAACACAAACGTCTTTTCCAAGAAACACTAAGGGGGAGCTTGGTCTCAGGACGTGGATAATAATTGAAACGAGCCAAGAATTTGATAAAGTCCAGACAGTCTTCGACAGGTGGGTCAATCTGTGCACTCTCAGGGACAACCGATGGGTCAAGAAGAGTTCGTAGAGCAGCCAGAGGGTGGCCCCCTGATACATATCTGCTATGACGCAATGCAAAGTCGAGGGCCCAGGTGATCGGCAAACCTTCCGGGTGGAGAAGTTCAAATCTGCCGTAGTCAGAGACCCTTGGGCCTATATTTTCGATACGGTCCAGAATAATCGCTGAAACCTCCAAGTCGGGACCGGCTATTGCGGCGTCAGACTCTGTTCTGAAGATGCTTTCAAACCCTTCCGCGCTTTCAAGAAAAATTGCATCAGCACTCCCTCTAGAGGAGGGCTTCGCCTGTGCCTGACCCGGGAAGTTTGGGCCCCATGATGGCATATCTGGGTCCATGTCCCAGCCGTATCCAACGCCAGCAAACATAAGAAGGCCCAAAGGCCCTTCCGACAAGATGTTGGAGAAAGACTTATTGCGAAATGCTCGAAGATATTCAGACACATATTCCCGGCTTATTAGTCCAAGAGTCTTGGTGGAGTCGTAGTCAGGAGTGATTTCGAGGTTCGTCAGAGCGAGAAAGCCGTAATAATAATCCTTGGGGTTGGACGCACGAGTATCTGATGAGAAGCACCAGATGTTGGGTTTCAAACCCCTTATGCTTAACCAATGACCCACTGATTGTCCTTGAGTTTGGCGACAGTCGAATATATGGTGAAGCAATTTCCAGATTCGCTGATATGCCATTATCAACTTGCTAAGGCCCGCTTTCTTGGTTATTGTTCAGTTTATTGGATCCAAGATCCATCCCACCCAAGCCGAGAAGAGTTCCAGCGTCTCGACTGAGAATGCTCGAGATCCGCAAGCAAAAACAGGGTGCTTGGCGAGAATGACTTCTTGCCGTATCCACATGCGGCTCCAGTACGAAACATCGAAGAGTGGTTGAGCGGGACCCATACGAGGTTCACCCACAACTTCTTCAACTTCTTTCAGCCACGGATACCGCTTGAGCCAGAGTATGTTGCATTCAAGCTCGCCAGAAGATATCTCTTGAATGTAATCTTCAAATATTTGTCGAAACTTGCGGATACTCAAAGATAATAACGCCAGGAGAGAACCGATAGGGTGGGAGCTTTTGATAATACTGGCATCCAGTTTAGCGGTACACTTTCGAAACCGATCATGCCAAACTTCGATAGCCTGGCAAGTACGTAATAAGTCCTTTTGAAAATGTCTCAGCTCTATACCATACGACCGTTGCAGTATTCGGTATATGACATCAGTCGTATGCTGAAGGGCATCTGCGAGTGCATAGATCTCGATGCCACCAATGAAACTGGACTTCGAAGTTAATTTGTCGACGACGCAAAGATGCTTGGTATGATGAATCATCTTGGTCTTTTCCAAGCGGCCCTGCAACTCTTGGATACAGGTTGTGAGTTCGTGGTGATTTTCGTAATTCTTCATGTGTGTATCATGAATAAATCGCTTACCTGCGACAGTTTCGACGGCGTCTATCGCAGCGACTATTGAATCAGTTGGCAGTCCTAGCCAACAAAGAACGATACCACTCTGCGAGTAAATTCTTCCCATCATGGAAACTTGGTGCGTCTTCTCAGCCCCGTCTTCTTGATTGATGCAAATAGCATCCACCCACATTCTTTTCCCAGCTGCGTATTTCGCCTCATCCAGATGAGGAAGAGTGTATCTTAACGCAGAGGCCAAATTCGTTGTTACCTGGACTTCGTTACCGTTCACGTATATGGTCTCAGTGACGGAGGGATCTCCCCAGACATAAGACAGCGCATTGAATTCCGCTTGCTCATTAAGCTCTGTAATCGTGAGCTCGCAAGATACATGCGGCTGGGTCGATAGAACTTTTAGTAACCTAATCTGATTCCCTGAAACTGGCAAGTTGGTATAAAAAACCGAACTGTGAGGAGAGGACCTGGAGTTAGAAGTGTGATGTTCCGAAGACCTATAATTGATAAGTGAGAAGTTATTTGTGTATAAAACACCTAGGTATCTTACATTATAATCCAAGTATGGCTTCCTCATATACTTGATTTTATAGGAGCGGTAAAACTGTGATAGATTCAGATTGAGCTGAAATAGTTCAAGAAAGATCTGTTTTATTATAATCTGCAATGCATGTTGCTAGAATTAAATATTTCCAGACCTTTTAGGGGTTTGCAGGTTTTTTTCTTTAGGCAACAAGGCAGACTCTCAGGCTGCAAGGCTTACTGATAATTCTGCAAGGAACAAGTAGTGCGTGGTTGGTATTTAAAACCTGCATTAGTTTTCTGCCTTATTATAGGAGGTTAGATACTAAACCGCCGCGCTTGAGACTTTTCAGAGGCCGCCAATGGGATGTACTCAAAGCGCCAGTGGGACAACTGCCACAGATTGGATCAGATACAGAGTACGGACGCCACCGAACTGTTCGTTTTCCGTTAACAGATAAGCGCTTGCGTTAGTAATTCTGTAGAATAAGTCGATTGCTAAGCTGCCTAGACATGAGGAGAGTTTTAGGGAATTAGCATATACATTATAAGAGGCAGTCTAACCTGGTAATTTTGCATGAGGCCTATTGTTGTTTGTAGCTCGCCTTTAAGCTTTGCAATTTTATTTTCAGCCCTTCTCCAAATGTAACCGAGAAGTGAGCGACCGAGGCGACTGTTCGCCTCAACTTAATGCAGCCTTTTTCGCTACCATCTCTACCCTACATGATCGCTAAAGGTCACTATGGTCCACAAAGCCCGCGTCCCGAAACTCCCACGAGGTGTTGTACATGTTGCTTACAGCTGGTGCTAGTACTACTGCGAGCGACAAGCACTGTGGCTGAACATCTTTACTTTGGGCAGCGGACCGAAGTTAACTAGGAGTTGCGCGGCTTGTTGTTTCGCGTGGTACAGGTTTCAATGCGCAAAATAGAAATGGCTGCTTTCATTTACACTTAGCTGTACATACGGGCGCAATGAAGAAATTCAGCTTCTGCTGAAGACTAACAGTAACATCAAGTGCGAGGACGAGAATAAATGGAGGCCATTGCATTACCTATGCTCTGGGGGACAAATGTAAGCAGTGTGGCTCTTGATTAATAGTGTTGTACAGATGATGATGGCGATCTTTGAATGCGCTGATGCTGTATGAGCATTCATTCACTTTTTGATCGCCACATTTGTCAACGGGAGTATGCCACTGACCTTAGAAGTATTATGGAGCTCCGAAGCATGGCATATAGTTCACTGCCTTGTTACTTGCAGCTGAAAACAGATTAATAACTTATTTCTTAGTTAACAACCCTCACTGAATCTGCGTTTTAAGGTTTAACTCAATAGTTGGATGTAACGTTGCGATGGATCAGGTTATGCTTTGAGAACCACTGGCTTCAAAACACCTAACGCTATTTGGCTATGTATGTTTCGGTCTATGACGAATATCTACGTCAGCATTTATTGGCAGCATTTATTTATTACGAGGCGTTTCCTTCGGAACAATATTTTGGGACATGTTACACATTGTGAAGCACAATTCATAAGCTAGATTACTATGTCACTAAGAACAACCAGCTTCAGAGTCACTGGATTCGGTCAGCAAAAACGACTTTGAGCACCGAACAGTGAAAGGGAGTAAATCTTCAAAAACTCGAGAAACACATTTTCCCCTCTCATATCTACTTATTTCATGAAGAAGCGGTTGCACCTCTCGACATGGCTAAAAAGAAGTGCTCCTCGAAAGCAAAAGCAAAGGCAAAAACCGGTACAAACGCTACAGGGATATTGGCTGATATCAAGGAGAGCAAACCGACGTTGAGCGGTACCAGTTCCATCATCGACCAACCTTCCATTGGAAAGCTCATCCGTCAGTGGATAACTGACAAAGAAGCCAGTGATATACTTTTACAATTCCGCAAGGCCTGCATCCCAAATCATCAAGTCCTATGGAGCGGTATGCTACGCGCAACAGCCCAGCAATGGGCTGATGCACATGGTTTCCAGACACTGACAACCTCACTGGGACCACTTTTACGAACCGATGATCCAGACTGCCGTTACTGTCAGAAGACTAGGAAGACTCGAAGCAATTATATTCATGGTGCCTCTATTGTTTTTGCGTGGTTCATTTCGCAGGGTGATTTAGTGACTGTACTTTCACAGCCTCCGCCGCAGCGTTTTCATCCTACCGGGCAGACGTTTTATCAACTGTATGAGGAGCCAATTATCAAGGGACTGTTGGGAAATCGGCCTGTGACAAGGATTGTGGTGGCCCATCCTACTATCCAGTCAGCTCTTGACTTTACCTATGAGATGTGGCCCCATGACGAGTTTTCTTTATGGACAGAGAATTTTGGAATGCAGGATATCGTGATTTATTGGCGCAAAGTTAAAATGGTAAAAAAAGCCACACAGGTAAATATCTACTTTTTGCGACGCTGAGCCGCTTGGACACAACTATTGTCTACTAATCTATGAGTAGCTGTCAGCCACGGCCCCTGTATTCACACCGTCGGCATCAGCAATAAAAAACGATGTTGTGGAGAATCGTGGAAGTTCAGCATCCAGTGATTCAGATAGCTTGAAGAGTCCCGAAAGTTTGATGAAAAGCGAAACAGAAAATGTGAAACAGCTTTGGATGTCGCCAAGTACCGAACAGAAGATAACGAAGAAAAATGAAAAGAATGGCATATCAATCGAACCGAACCAAGCTACCGAGGAATTAATCAGAGAAACGACATCCACAACCTTGCACCCGTTTGTTGCCGCTGGGTTGGATAAAATTGTAGTTGAAGCGATATGTAAACGAAAGAAGGCCAAAAAGGACAAGAAATCAAACGACAAGAGCTTATCGACGAGCAAAACTTTAAATAACTTGCAGGAGATAACTATTGAGAAGTTAGTGAGAGATAATAGCTCTATGAGCTTGCAATTGTTAATCGATGCCGCATACGGAAGAATTATAATTGATGTTGGAGAGACCATGGAACAAAAGAAGGCGAGGAAGAAAGCTGAGGAGATGGATAGGAATATGGCAAAAATGATGAAAAAGGAAGCAAGGCGCAAGGATTCCTCGAGGGGTCATGAGTTTGATGGAGTGCGGAAGATAACCATCGAAAAATTAGTCAAGGATGAAACATCAGAGAGTTTGCAATTGTTGATTGATGCCGCATATGGGATGATTCAAATTGAAATTGGGGAGAGCAAGGAGGAAAGGAGAGAAAGGAAAAAGAGGGAGAGGATGGACATGAAGATTGGATGGGCAATGCAAAATGCGACCAAAAAGAAGCAAAGCAAGGAAATGGGCGGGAAGAACAACGAAACCAAACAAGCGACGACGAACGTATCAGACGAGGACGGTCCAGCACAGAACACCCGATCTAAAACCAGGGCAAAGCAACATCTAAGGAAAGTGGAAAACAAAAGGGCTAAGGAGGCGGGATCGGGGATAAAAACAATCGAAAAAGTAAAGATATTTCTGGGAAAGAGGTTATGATAGGGATATTATTAACCTACTTGATAATAAAGACTATTATTAAACAATTATTTCAAATAGAGGTTTATGAAAAGTATATTTATGACGTCAGTAGCGTCGCTATTCACGAAATTCGACCCGCCACCACTGTCCGCTGGGCGTCTATTAGCTACTGTTCTCTTTTGATAATTTGACGGCTTTCCCCATACACGAACCTTCTTTCCATGAATTTTCATTCACGAATTCTCCTTACATGAATCTTCTTTGCATGAAAAATATCACTCCGTTGCTGATATAAAAGACCCAGCTGTTCATCGACATCCGCTCCGCTTCGAGCTCAAACAGACCTTTCGGTGTCCTCCATTCCTTGGCGAAGACCCCGACACGAACCGGCAACATCCAATCCTCGTCACGCATTTTTCTTCAATCAGAATAGCTACCGCATGTGCTGTGTTATACGTGACATCCGGAGCAGAATGGTAAGGTCCAACCCTCAGTCTGCAACCACCATGAATGGCCGCAAGCCTTGTGTCTCCTATGTTTATCTTGCTCCTCAGCATGTTGCTGATGAGCTGCTGGCAGTCTGACTGGAACGCGAGATAGTTGTTGGCGTCGCAATTTATCTTGAACGTAGCACGTTTGGTAAGGTCCTCGTCCGAAGTCGCATCCACAACAGCTTTGATGAGATCCAAGTGGGTGTCTTCACCACTGGTTTTCGCGTAGAATGCAACAGCTTCAGCGTATTGAACAGGAGCATTGACCTTGTAGCCAGCTGCATCTCCCTTGATGATGTCCCAAATGGTTTCATTGGTATCTTGGGTGATGCCTTCCTGGACGCCTCCCTCCATGTGGAATCTTGCCCATATCGCATCACCATATCTCTTGCTTTGAATAGCTTCAACGTATTGGCTAGACCAAGGCTCGATTAATGGTAACATGGATGTATTTTGAAGAACATCATAGATGGGGATATCTAGAAAGAGCTGTTCTGGCAGGTGGGAGGAGTTGGTCAGCGCAACGACATGCTGTACACTCAACACAAGAGTTGTGGCCATAAGTTGGAAAAGCATCTTGAGGTAAGAATTGAATGATAAGGAGTATTCGATGACTTGGGGAAAATTATGAACCAGTCCATTCCAGCGTACTTATACCTTGACTTGACAGTTCTTGACCAGAAAGAACGACAATTTTCTCCTCGGCTTGCTCGTGTCATACGACAAGGACTCATGGTGGTGAAAGTGACAATATGTCGTTGGTTGTTAGTTGTTGGTTGTTAGTTGCTTCTTAGCTCTGCTGCAAACCCTCTTCAAGCAGGATTTGGTTGTTACTTCTCGAGTAACAAGGGTGCCTAAAATCCCGCACAGAACATAACAGAGGACCTTTTGCATGGTAACTGAACACGCATAAGAAAGAGGATGTTGTTACTCGCGGTTTCGTACTGAATACGTTGGAGGCAGGGCATATATACCACGAATTCCATTTCACCGGCGTTGTTACGCCCTGATCGAAATAAATTAATCAACATCTCGAGCATGTCCTTATTTAGCTATTCACTCATACACTTATGATCCGACATGGTGCGATATGGCCGCTTCATCTAATCACATCAACAGGGTTTACTATACGAGGCCCAACATGCCACCTCTACATTGACGGTGTGGCCTCCTGAGACTCTGTTGGCCCCCATTTTGTGTTGGTTCTGATTTGATCCGATTAGCCGGGTAAGACACATGCCATTCCCCAATGCCGGCATATCCGAGTTGCTGTCCTTCTGAGCATGTTCGCTCAATTTGTGATAGTATTTTGCGCTGGCTTTCGTGACCCAACAAAGACACTTCGTCCTAGCGGAGAGGGCAAGTTATTTGAAGCTATGACAAGTCGGCCCGTTGTGCATACAATGATTTGCTTCCTCAAAAGGTCATACAGATAATCCCAGTGACTCTATCATCCACTCTGTCCTACCCCGCTCGCTCAGACCGCATCATCCACTCCCTCCTATCTTCGTATTGACACCTTCAGTCTTGAGCCTCCATTCCATCAGTGTCAAAAATGATCTTGAGGACTTCTGGGTGCCCATCTTCACTGCTAGCTTGTCGGTAGAGCTCTAAGGCGTCTGCATACAGTCCTGGTTCATTCTCTTTCGCCTCAACTGCATCTTCCCTGATTTGATCAAGCACCGTGATGTCGGGATTAGGGCCTTGACCAAGGATGACACCATTTTCTACCCCTCCCTCTATGCAGTAACGAGCCCAGATGGCGTCGCCATATCGCTGCTCGCGGATTGAATTGATGTATATGGTCTTCCATGGCTCGACAAAAGTCACCATTGTCTGAGTGAGTACCTCATGAATGGAGATATCAAGGAACAGTTCCTCAATTGGGTGCATGATACCAGTGTCGTTCAGTTCAGAACTGCTTAATGTCAGTATGCTGGAAACCTCGAGTAAAGGTAACAGAGTACGAAGATATATTTGGCACTGTTATTAACGTCATAATCCAGGAACTAAATATTGACTTGTGCTGTAGTGATGTAATAATGCTCAAATTGAAATCCAAGTTGAAGTCAGACTCGTGGGGAAGCACGATATCGGTGACTGGTGTAGTAGAGGAATTGATGAGAACGCGGTGATGAAAGAACGTGGTGATGAAAGAACTTGGGAGGGGTAGAAGACTGCTGCTTTTATCTTAGATGGAGAGTGGCAATTAGGCAATAGGCTGCTATTGGCGAACTGGTCAGTGTATGCTGTGATTGGGCTAGACATCTTGCCCTTCTAGACCCCAGTGCCATCCCAGTGGAAACCAATCGACCTTTAGCTCATCGATATCCTCCTTTATAGCTGGTACTTCAACATTAACCGATTAACAGCAATACTAGGCGATAATTATTCTACTTATGTAAGGCTTTATGGTTGACTGTGCTATTGTTAACATCAGTGAGAAATTTGGAAAGCCTCGGCTTGATAGGATTAAGTAAATAAATAAAATAGTGAACTGTCGTTAGAAAGCCGTGCTGAGCTGTATTGGACGTATAGGCCGGACGAAAAGCCAGCTTTGTTTCAGAGAAAGAAACACAACGAGGACTCGAAATATATTTCGATATAACATGGGCTGCATTCAACCAGAATTTGACATGGCCGTATTATGAGAAAGTTTTCCGTAGGTTCTTAAGGCTAGGTGCTTTCAGATGAAAGGCTTGACAGACAAAAATCATATCTGTGAATTTAAGAATGAAATGGGATAAGGCCTCTGAGATACTCTTGTAACCCAGGATCGCACGCAAACACATACGTCCCCCTGATGCCACGTGTCATAAGCACCGCGTATATCTGCGTAATAAACCGCAGTAAGTCATCGTCCGAATATGTCCTCCCGAGCGCGGGGTTATTCTCTTTACCCTTCTTGTCAAAGTACGACTTGCGATCGACCCACAGGCGCTTCCGTACCGTGTCAAATCGCAGATCCAACCCGATGATAACGCCAACATAGTTCAGATCGTACCCCTGCACCGTGTGGATGGAGCCAACCTCCTCGAGCGCGTTGCTGGACGAGATCCAATCGGTGGGGGTGCTGTTCCAGCGAAGCTGTGTGTCGCCGATCATGATGTCGAAGGCTGTCTTGTCTCGCTTTGACCGCCACTCCCATGCGTACCCGGCGACTATACGTGCAAGACCGACTTCTGCGTCGCGCTGGAAGATCTCATCGCGCATGCGCGCCACACTGTCGAAGGTGCGGAAGTCGTAATCTCCAAAGTCACGTCGCACACGCGGGAGCGAGAGGGGACGAGGATCGAGGATCCAGCGGACATAGGATACAAAGTCTGACCCGGCCCGTACGCGCATCTGTGTTTGAAGCTGAAAGTGCCGTCTTGAAGCTCTTGCATCAGCCACGAGGTCTGACAACACCTCCGAAGGTAGGTCTGCAGGGCGCACACTCTGTGCTGCGTCCAGTAGGAAGATCTGATGCCGGCTTTTGGCCCGTATCCAGTCCAGTTGAGTCTTGCCAAAGTCATCACCTCCATATAGTGCCCTTGTGATGGCTGAAAACTTTGCATTGAGCACTCCTGAAGGTTGGTTGGCACGTTGGCTCAGACGATGCGTTTCGTCGACGAGCAGCAGACTGAACATGCCATCGGCCTCTCCAACTTCAAAAGGCGTCATGACCATTGAAGGATGGAGTCCGGGTGTTTTCTTGAATACAGCTTTGATAGATGATCGCAGCGATTGCTGTGGTACAACCAAACCCACCCGAAGACCTTGGAGTAGTCCCCGATTAGCGTCAATGAAGAAAGAAGCAAATCGCGCATCGCTGTCTAAATCTTCGAGAGTAGTAAAAGTTTGGAGGTCGACGATCAGCTTCATCAAGTATATGGCTGCGACAGTCTTGCCGGTGCCGGGATCGCCCTGGATGACGATCGTGCTATCGACACCGCTCTCGAGATCAGCAAGAAGCCCTCTGACAATCTCGTTGATCGAAGCTGCTTGATCAGCCGTAAGGGCCTTGAACGGTGATAGCTTGAACAAATCACTATTTTCGATCTCATGAGATCCACGAGTGAAGACGCCAAGGGCACGCAGTCGTTGAAATATGTAGGGAAAGCTTTCACGATACATTTCGCGTTGGAAGTATCTGGATTCAGTGATGCCATTATTTCGATTGAGTACACGATTGGCACCGTCGCCGGCCAGCATCTTGATGAGATAGGATTCCAAATCCAGACAAGCTGACTTGTTGAACCTCTCATCGAAGATGACGTGGATGTTCTTGAGGTGTTGCTTTGCGGGCGTATCTAGGTGCTGTCGCAGTCTACCAGCGGCATTGAGCGACTCCCCGACGTAGATATCCCTCAGCTGATTCGATCTTGCCCGGCGGCCATCGTCCAATACATAAACAATAGGCCAATTGCTATGTCTCTCATCATCAGCTCTCCACGTCGAGACAGCATCTCTGGAGAAATCAAGCTGGGCTATCGTCAAGTTGGTCATATTTCTTGCTACTGCCTCGTGCCTTTTCGACGGGATATTTCTTCTTGGTGATCTCAAGCTTGTCCAGCACAATCTTGTCTGGATCAAGCCCAATCTTTGCGGAGAGAAGAAGACAATAGGTCAGGACGTCGGCGAGTTCTTCTTGTACCCGTTTTGGGTCAGGTTCGGCGCTCCACTGGAAACACTCCAGAAGCTCGCCGGCTTCTATCGCGACGCTTTTGGCGAGGTTCTCTTGGGTGTGGAACTGTGCCCAGTCTCTCTCGGCGACAAAGGCCGCGAGTTTGTCCTGAACTTCCTTGTTGACCATGGATGCGTGAGAGAAAAGTTTGATGAAAGATTCTTGAGTCGAATAGGCTTTGGGAGCTGAGCTGAGGTGTGACAATGACATATATAGGCGCATTTTGAATGCGAGAATATTCTGTGGGCCAGCTCTGCTCATGGTCCCATGCCGTAGCTAGCATACTGCTATCACTTCACTCCTCATTAATTATCGCATCACCAGCCTATAAGAGCGCTTGAATCGACGTTTTAAGCGCTGTGTGAGATGCGTCTTGTTTCAGGTTTTCAGCTAGGAAAGCTCGTCCGAGTCAGGGTTCATATCCTTAATCCCTGCATTTTGTAACTTTCCACGCCATTCTACTACCCCGCTCGACCCAGCGCTTGGGAATAAAGAGGTTCCAAAGAAAAGAATTACAAACTGCACAGCCACTAAAAAACGAGAAATCAGTGACCATGGGCCGTACCTATGCCAAACATTGAGGCACTACGGTATCTCATTTCTACATAGGTATGTTACTGCATTAGTGTTTCCCACTATGAATGATGCGAGATCTTGAACCATTTTTATTCACGCTGTATATTGCTGTTACGTTGTGAAATGTGAGATCACTCATATCTTCCTCACCTTCGCGAATCCACACACGGCGCTTGTCCCGACCTGTTCAGCAGGCGGCAACGACACATCTTTGTTCCACCTCATGTCATCAAACAGTTTAGACACTCCTCCCTCCGGTCAATATCGAATCAATGACAACTATGTGATTGATTACGACGGTCGTCTCGATCATGCTCCCGGGACTAGCTATGGCACCTACCTGGACGGCTCAAATGAAGGCCTTGAGCATCTGGAGGATTACCAAGAGGGCAGTTATCATCCCGTGCATATCGGGGATTCCCTTGGTCCTTCGGATCGCTATAAAATCATTCAAAAGCTCGGCCATGGTGGCTTTGGTACAGTCTGGCTCTGTCGAGACCTGGTGGACGCTCGCTATGTTGCGCTCAAAGTCATGGCCAGCGACTTGAACTCGGATGAGGTTCTTGACTTCACTCTGGCGGAACTGGACCGCTCTATCCCCGGCTCCCAGTATATCGCGACCCCTTTAGGTCATTTCACAATACAAGGGCCAAATGGAACCCACCAATGTCTGGTTCTTCCGCCTCTTGGACCGCGTGTGTCACCAGATTTATGGATGCGGTTGGAAAAGGATCCCGGAATGGCACTACGGAAATTCTCCCACCAAACTACACAAGCATTGGACTTCTTGCACAAGAACCATATATGCCATGGAGGTAAGCTTAGCCTTTGGGTTGGTAATGATAGTTTGTCTTTTAATACTGACATACATCTTCAAGACTTTCGCCCGTCCAATATTTTGGTCAAACTCGCAAACATAGACCATCTGTCCGAGCACGAGCTGCTGTCTCAAATAGGCCAACCTGCACAAATCACTGTGAAAACAGAATCAGGAGAGGAGATCCCTTCATCTTGCCCGAAATACCTTGTACAGCCAGCGGACATCACTCGTCTCGGGAATGAATTTTTGACAGACGAAATCTGCATCATTGACTTCGGCGAGTCTTACAAGTTCTCATCGCCACCGGAAGATCTTGGTATCCCAGAAAACTACCTTCCGCCAGACGTCCTGCTGGAACTACCTGACGCAATTGGCCCGGCGTGCGATTTGTGGGCTCTTGGCTGCACATTGTTCGAGATTCGAGAGCAGCTACCACTCTTCTACATGATCTATGACAAGGATGAATTGTTGTCAGAGATGGTCAGATTCTTTGGTAAGCTTCCAGATGATTGGTGGGCTAAGTGGGAGGCGCGCGAGGACTACTTTAACCACGACGGAAAGTGGCTCCGGGAAGAAGAAGACTGGTCGCTTGAGGTAGCGCTGAGTAAGCCAATAGAGATCTTTGAAATGGGCAACAAGGGCAACAAGGGGCCTACAAAGTCGCTGCAAACTCCAGAGTGTGAGCAGAAGTTGCTGGCAGATCTGCTGTATCAGGTCTTCCAGTATGACCCTCGCAAACGGATAAGCGCAGAGGAGGTACTCAGACATGAATGGTTCAAGCTATGAAGTCCATATCAAGATAGAACAAAGATCTTTATCATTGGCAGTCTCACTACACTAGATGATAGATACTGAACGGGAACTATGACACAGCTCACAGACCCTTCACTCCAACCTTGAGCAGCCACGAATCCGAATCGATACGGGCACGGAGGTCTCCGGATCCGAGGTGGTTGACATCCCAAGTTGACCATACAAACCGGCCGTGAAGATAATGCGCTTCAGGAGAAGCAGCCCAGACAGCAAAGCCACCAGGAAGGTTTGCTAGAATGTCGCTGTTAGTGTTTGTATCAATATTCCATCATGTCTGCAACGTACCATCTGTCCAGGGCAGAGTGTCCTCAGTGTACCCGGTCTTCTTTGCCGCCTCTGTAAACACAACCGAGGGATGGAACGAAATGATTCGCATCTTTTCCTCTGGTGTATCTCGTGCGACTTGCTGCATAACAGTAGCAAAGGAACTCTTCGTCAGTTGATAGCCCGGCATCTGGGGTGCACTGTCCCAGCGATGAATATCCTGGGTAGACACAGACGCGACAAACTGATTAGAAATATCATGTCAGTCGAATGTTTGTAACTTCTTGTGTACTATAGACACTGTACCTTCTGCTTGTTATGGTTTGGCTGCTTGTAGAATCTCTCAACATGGTAGAGAGGAGCATGGATATTGTTCTCAAAGTCAAGCCAAAGCCTGTCCGCCCCTTGCTCTAGAATTGGCTGAAGGGCTGGCTCGCTGACAGCATTGAGGATGAGAACATCAATCAGGGTTTCTTCCTTCTCGAGTTCATCCCACACCTGCTGCGATTGAGCTCTGTCAAAGACATCGCATACACGCGCAGTAACTGTGGTACTGGGGAATTCCTCATTGAGCTTCGAGGCTGCGTCGTTGACGATGTCATTACGACGCCCCAGGATTATCACACGGGAAGCACCCGCGATGCAATAGTTTCGTGCAATGGCATGGCCAATACCAGTAGAGCCGCCACTGACTAGGACTGTGCGGCCGGCTTGGGATAATTCTGGGCGCTGAGCTGAGATTGACTCGTATTGTTTTGTATGGTTTGGCTATTTGGACTTAGTTCTTGGGAGAGCAGCGACAAATTTTTATTTTCTTACAATCGTGATGCCATCGATAACTGCTGTTGCGGAGTTCATGGCGACTTGAGAGGTGTAAAGTTTGAAGGATCAAAAGGTTACAACGAATTATATGTTCAAGTTAGTTGCAATAAAGCTGTGAGGAAAAAACAAAATGCTAACATTCAAGCAGTCAATTTGTGACCTTTATATACCTTTACCAACTCTTGAATTTCAAAGCACACCAAGCCCAGAGCTGACTTGGACCGAGTATTTGTCCCAAAGGAGAAATAGTCAGCCTGTAGGATCGTATTATGGCGGGACCAGAACTATTTACCAAATCCTTCACACTAGCCCCAATAGTGTCTTGGCTACCCTAGAGAATGACGGTATTTTGAAGTCAAGTCTTTGGAGAAACAGCTATTTCGTAAAACTATTAGCGTGTTATATCACGCATGGGAGTTGAGTGATATGTGCGTATCTCTGCAGCGGTCGGATTGAACAGACAGCTTCATTTTCCATATCGTGACATCTTTTCACAAAGAGGTGAAACAAGCTGAGTAAGATCCGTATTCAAACGTCATCACGAAAGGGAAACAAAGGAAAACGCAATTTTGAAGAATTGAATAACAGTCTGTCACTATGATGGCTTAATATTAAATGCTTTGTTGCTATCTGCGTAGGAGAAGCATGATGGTAGAACGACAGGATGACATCTATTATTTGGTTGCTTTAAGACACCCGGGTCCCGCTTCATGCGGAGAACTCCGTCAATCAACGGTCGTTGGAGCAGTCAGAGGCCGCCAAACCCTGGTCATGGTGGTCAAAACCCAGCCAGCCATAAGCGTTCTGGAACCGCCCAAAACCAATTGACCCATGTCAATACGAAATATTTTGCTTTTATTCCGAGCAGTCACATAATATATCCCAATATTCCTTTACTAAACTCTACAAAAAGATTAAGAGGAGTGAAAATGTTCTTTGTTTTAAACAGAATGATAACTAAGAATCGCCACTGAACGCATTTACCGCAAACAGTTTGACAAGCAGGCTCCGACATAGCCGTGGCTGGTGGTACTGATTCTGAGACATCCATGCAGGGGGATGCAAGCAGGCCTTCTTTGTAGCCTATGGAGAAATATGACGCATATTTTCTGTGACTTTCCCATCAACATATATGCTCTGGTCCGGGCTGTTGGCTCTCTTATTTCGCATTCCATATCTTCCTACCTCGTCTGGCTCATTGTAGCAACTCAACTACCTGCTACATTACCAAGAAATTAAGAATCCATGGTCTCAAACGAGACCGAGTTCGTTGGCTGGAAGCCCTCACCAGATGGAAGAGGTACTTATGATATAATATTTACATGCCTGGTCACAACATTTCTTTGCTGCTGGACCTCTGTATACCCCAACATACCCGCACCTGGCGATGGTATTTGGGCTTCGATTAGGGACAAACTTGGGCTTGCATGCCTAGGATTACTTGGTCCCGAGTTCATCATAGTGTTGGCCATTGGGCAAAAGTCTTCGGCGCGAAGATCAGTTGTGGTAAGTCTCCAGAATATGTGTAGTATCCGGCTACTGATATTCTCCAGAAATTCAACCAAGCAGGACATAATCAGTGGACCATTACTCATGGTTTCTTCGCGGATATGGGTGGGTTTGTACTCACAGCCGACGATCTCCCACGGCCAATACCGCTCAACGCCGAACAGTTATTTTATCTGGTAGATAAAAAGCATGTTGAGTGTCCCACGATAACTGCTCAAGAGCTGAAAGATAGGAATAAGTCAGATGGGTTAGCAAGGTTCGCACAACCTGCAGCAACACAGTGGCCTCTCACACTAATACTTTTAGGCTCATCACCATATGGCAAGGGACTTGGTTCGTCATTAGCTTCATTGCGCGACTGATCCAAGGACTTCATGTAACGACAATGGAGCTCACAGCAGTCTCGTTTGTGGTGATTCTTTTTGGGACTGCTTGGTGCTGGAAAGATAAGCCAAGCGATGTGGGCACAACCATCACTCTTCACAGCTCGACCAGTATCGAGAATATTATCATCGGGGTAAATAACGATTTTTTCCGGGAGCTTGAGAAACCTTACTGACGCGTGCATAGGAGGGACGCCAACCCGATCAGCGATACTATCAAACACCTCTGGACTTTGTTAGCAGAGATGAAACCGCGCTGAACCTGGCCTGGCAATATTACAACGAACTATCACGCAAGATCCTTTTCTCCCCCTTCTCGCGCCGCGTCGCACAAGTTCCATGGGACAGGAACCCGGGCGATATCTTCCTCCGAATGGACTTTGATCTAGAACTCGTGGGGGTCGCATTTATCCTTGCCTTCTGTGCTGTCTTTCTGTCTGCATGGAACTTTGCTTTCCCCACCACAGTCGAACGAGAGTTCTGGCGGGTGGCCAGCATTTACATGCTGTCATATGGCTTTGTCGGGGCGCTCTGGATGGAATTGTGCATGTGGATATTTGTGCCTCAGAACCGTCTCACTGAGGGCCCTGAGCCAAGTCTTGTCGAGCAAGACCTAGCCCAGAGGCCTCACCCTGTCCAAGACTGGCACCATAGGTTCCAACAATGGCGGAAGAGCCGGACAAGTAAAAAGCAGGGAAGCAGAGATCTCGCTGAGGATTGTCTGGTGCAGCGACGGCCAGCGAAGAGCACTTTTGACTTTCTCAAAACATCGCACAATATCTCACATGGCCAGGATCCTTACATGGGCGTTCAGGTTGGATTCATTATCGTTACGTCTGTCCTATGTGTTCTTTACTGTATCTTTCGGGTGTTTATCTTCGTGGAGGACTTTATCGGATTGAGAGCATTGCCGCCGAGTGCGTATGAGACGGTGGAGTGGACAAAGTTCATCCCACATATTTAGGCTAGCTAGGGGTGGAGAGGGTTGATTTTCAAATACATACACGCCGTCATTTCTACAAAGAAATTATTGATGCACCATATCATTGCCTGGAGGTAGACCAATCAGTAAGGGCACAGATTCTGGAAGCAAATCATATACCCCCATGGTTGGCAGTAATAAGCACAGAACAAATTCTGTTTTCGTCTTTATCCTCGTACTCAAAGCCTTATTACACAGAAAGAGCAAGTGAAACGTACCCTGTTTACGATCCGTACCCTTGTCAAATTGGTATCCTTGTTTACGTCGAAAGCATCTGTCCTTGGAAGCCCACAATGCCGAATACAATGTCAATTGCTGATGCTAATCCTTCGCTCAACCTACCTCAATAGTCCCCCGTAGAGAAGCTGATATTATCGCACGTTAAATCGCCACCACCAAAACCGCCAAAGCCGCTTTCAATCAATACTGTCAAACTCTCTGATCGATGTTCTACTCTTGATCTGAGCGTGGAGAAATTCTTGATTTGAGATGACCGTCCTCCAGACTCGAAACCATCAATAAGGTCGCTGCGGCTAGCTGGTGAAAGATTTTCCTTCAATGTTAGCATAAATAAAAAGCCGGGCTTAAGGCTGTAGGCTGTTCGGTTTGATATCACATCGTTATGCCTCAAGTAACACATCCTAGACACCTTATAGCTTATCAACTATCTGATGGCTTGATTAAAAAAGAAGTAGAAATGAATCTCTAGTTCCTCTAAATCCATAAAGTCGTTAGCCTATCTTTCGACCCCTATATTCCTTTTATTCCTATTCTTAGTCATCTGACGAATTTTGATTTTTGTTAAACGACTCTGTTTGACTTGGGCCATTTCAAAAATCATGCTTAGATGGTCCTCAGTGTAGTGCTCCGGTCATTTGACCAACTGCAAGAGTTGACATTGGTGCACCTTGGGTGATAACAATTGATCGATTCACCACATTGTTCGTAGGTGGGCATTGCCAAAGTAGTCGTTCCTAGCCGTAGGTCGATAGTATGGAAATTTCCGCTCCCTTGCGTCCGTCGATCATGAAAATAACCCAATGCTGGCCACAGTAATGTCGTGTCAATTGATGATGTGGAGGTCGCGACAAGAGAAGCCAATCAAAGGCCACAATACTTATTCAGACAAGGTCATCATCATACGCGCAGATGTGCATATTCAAATGAGAAATACACGTGATGTATACTCGTCAATCATCGTACAACCCCGCATTGGACTGCTCGGTTCAATGATGCCCAACTGATCTCTACTTTTTAGCATTCGCGCCAGGAGTTAGACATCAAGCATCTAAATAATCCAAGATGCCATCTCACCTACGCTTTCGTTGCATTAGGTGCAATAAGGGTTTTAGGTCAGCCTCTGCTAGAGAGCACCATACTCGGGACTCGGAAAATCATTATCTGTGTCACATTTGTCCTGAGCCTTTCGACTACGAGACACAACACGAGCTAAACGATCACCTGGAAACTGAGCATCATATCTGCACCTACTGTGATCGGCCACCGTTCAGAACTTCCAAGCAGCTAGACCAGCACGATATAGACAAGCATAACATGTGCATCGTTTGTCGAAAATACTTTCGCACAATTCAGAACTTGAAAATGGTTGGTTTATCTCGTTCCACAATTCTTGACTGGAAGATAAAGTGACGTCCGTCAAACAGCACAAGATTACCCATGCCGAGAGGAACATAGAGTGTGCAGGCTGCGACCGATACTTTGTCACTGAATCAGCGATGCTGCTACATCTAGAAGCCGGGACGTGTGACTCTATTGCAGATCGCTATTATGTTACACTATTGGGGCGAGAGTGTTACCGGACTTACGAATACCAGTCGGTAACTCCAGGTTATGATTTTCGATGTCCAGCCTGCGAGAGCGACTTTCATCTAATGAGCGGCCTGGTTCAACATGTCGAGAGCGATATTTGTGATGAAAATCTAGATGATGACACACCATTGGGAGCGTTTCTGGACTATGTTAGGTCCAGATTGGGATAAGAGCTGCTGACAGCAACGGCTCCACATGCATTCTTGGTATTGCGTCCACCAGTTTGAAAATTGATTACATTTGTCAGTGTGAGAATCTGGTTATTTCTGGCCTCGTAGGTAAAATGCTAGAGTGCTGGCTGAAACACAGGGTATATCAGCTGAGAAGGAGCTAGATATGAGCATATAAGAAACATGAAAACTATGTGAGAACGAACTATTCAGATCTGGCTTCAAATACGACGACCCATAAACGGTGGAAGTATAGCGGCACGAGTCGACTATATTTGCATTGTAGAAGAAACTTATTGCTATCCTAACCCCAAAGACACTACATATACAACCTTCATACCTATCATTAACTCTGGACATTTGCCGACAGCCGAGTTCAAGAAAGGGTCGATGCGTTGAGACGCTATCCCGCAGTCTCGACCCCACGGCTCTAGCCTGCCACGCAGAGCGTTATTGATAAGGTGACTCCCTTTTTTTGGCGAGATGACTATATCGTATAGCCATGGAAGCCAAATGATTTAAGTGAAGGGATCACACATATGGTTGTCAGTGAAGAGAGTTTTGTAAAGGTCATCCATATACAACAATAACATACTCATCTAGAGCTTAAATCCAGGCTCTAGTTCCCAGTCATACAAGAACCTGACATCGACATGATCACCTGCTAGCCCTCTGATACCAACCCTGATCTCTTCACCCGGCACCAGATCGATAAAGTTATCCTCGAAAACCACCGCCTCACCGTTCCCATCTGTACCACTGAGAACGACTCCTTTAGCCGGAGCATTAGCCTCAATGACAACCGCACGCCCATTTTCCACTATCTCAGCAGATACCTTTAGCTCAGATGACATTTGCAAGAACTTAAGCGGTTCTGGCCAGCTGACCCATCTTGCGAGCATCGTCCCTGACACAGTGTCATACAGATACGCGACAACCACAGTTTCATCATGGTTGGGAATCTCTATGTTTGCCACAAGCTCTGTGGTTTGGTTTGCTTTCAGGATGTATTCCTTCTCTTCGTAAGGCGTGGTCCATTCAACTGCCTTTCCGCTTTCTATATCATATGCCTCCAAGTCAAGGACAACTGTTCGCTCATGAAGCTCGCCGTTCACAGCCCACACGTCGAGCTTCGACTTCTCGTCAGGATAGCCAGTAGTGATGTAAGGTGGCTTTGCGGTAACAATGCGCTCTGCCCCTACCACTGTCTTGGCTAATGCTCTCTTCGTGATGTAGTACGCTGGCTTTGGGTTCATGTCGACATCGATGAGTGCCCAGCTCACTCCGGGCCAAATATCATTGAGCTGCCAGACCAAGACTCCACCACAGTTCTCTTGGCCAGGGCCTCTAAACTCACGTCGCCAACAGTTGTAAGCATATGCCATTGCTTCGGCTTGGAGAAACTGCGTGCAGTAAACAAAGTCTTTGAGTGGGTTCATCCGGAAGCGGTAGTTCTCGCCCATGTACATTGGGTATCGTCTCTGATGGCCTGGACCTTTGTCATGTACGTCAAAAGTACGAGATTGCGAATGGCGTTCTTTTGGGGATGTGATGGCACGATGTAAGCTGCGAAGGCTAGGAGCTGATTCGAACCCAAACTCTGAAATAAAACGGGACGTGTACGCTTTGTAGTCCTGGTATGGTGACAGTTTGCCGTGCCAGATGTCCCAGCAATGCGTATCGCCAACAGTCGTGTCGTTGGAGAAGCTACCACCATATGGAGAACTTATCCAGTAGGGGACATCAGTCTCAGAAGCATTGATGACAGCAGGTAACGTTCGCTCGTATATCTCTCGTGCTGGAAATGTAGTCTTGTCCCATGGACCGGTCGTGTCGCTGTAGTCAACCTCCCAACAACGATCGCCGTCGGCGCACATGTAGTCCTCATTATTACCACACCATAGAGCAAGCGAAGCATGGTGTCCAACGCGCTTCACCTGCTGTTCTGCTTCGACTTTGATATTTGCAACGAAATCGGGTGGTGCAGGATAGTTCCCGCAGGCGTACAAGAAGTCCTGCCAGACCAAAACCCCTTCGCGGTCGCAGATGTCATAGAACTCATCGCTTTCGACAATGCCGCCGCCCCAAACGCGTATCATGGATTGGTTTCCTGCTTTCGCAAACGCAATCCACTTCTCATATTTATCTCTCGAGATCCGTGGGAGCATGAAGTCTGCAGGGATCCAGCACGAACCCCCGCAGAAAAGGCGGATGTTGTTAAGCTCAAAAACAAATGACGTTCCTGGTTGGTCTTGAAGAGAATGTTGTAACAGGCGTAGTTTCCTTACGCCGAGTTTCTGGCTCCATGTATGACCGGGAATTGAAACTTCCACAAGGTAGAGATGCTGCTCGCCATACAAGAACGGGTACCACAATTTTGGGTTGTCAAGCTTGAGCTTGCCATGGAAAGCGCTTTCAGATGATACTTCAATCATTGTCTCGGCCACAGTGTGTCCTTTGTCGTCTGATAATTGCACTCGAACCTTATCAATGCTGCCAGGATTCTCAATCTTTCCTCTGAGTGTAACAACGACAGAGGAGAGATCATCGTCGACATCTTGAGTCACCCAAAGATCATCGATTCTCGACTCAAATATCTCCAGATAGATAGGTTTCCAGGGCCCGCAAGTATTCACAGCTGGGCCCCAATCCCAACCCCAATGGTATTGAGCTTTCCTGACGAAGAGTCGCTCAGAACCACCAAAGTTAACTCCTCTACCGGTCTTTGTGGTCTTGTACCCAATGCGCTCGCGTTCTGAGCGAGCATATGCTGGAGCTGCCTTGAATCTGAGTTCAAGGACCGAATAGTCCGTTCTGCCACGAAGAGCTTCGGTAACGTCAACCCGGTGAGTGATGTGCATGTTGTTACTATACAAGATGTGTTCGTCGTTGAGGTACACATCAACCACGGTATCAAGACCTTCGAACACCAAGATTACTCGTTCCGATGGTCCGACGTCAACTGGGTCGATCTTCTGGGTACGATAGGTCCAGTCCGCATCGTTAACCCAAAGGCACTTGAGCTCGTTGATGTCGATGTATGGGTCCGGGATGAGTTTGTGAAATAGTAGGTCAATGTGAGCCACAGTGGGAAATTGCCCGACAGGTAAATAAGTCGCGGCGGTGCCGTTGTTCAAGGAGCTCGCCTGCTTGAACTCCCAGCCCTGCTCAATACCAATTCTGCGCACCATGATCAAGAGTCTTGATTTGAGAACCGGTGTAGAAATGTGTTTTGGAAAAATGTTCTTGTTTTCCAATTCTCAGTTGACAACATCGTATCATATGTAGTTTTGCTATTGGGGTTTCCCCTCCTTGGCTCAGCGAATCAAGTACTTTGGAAGAAGCAAGCCTCCAACGGGTATGGCGTTTAGCCCGACTTTACCCCACGGGGTTTGCTAATCCCGCGGAATTATGAAACTCCTTCTGACTAGCCTTTCAAGGACGGTTCGGAGTGTTCTTGCTGACTTTCAAGCTGGGTCAGAACAGATAATCATGCTGGTATTAGTCACGGTCCAAACAAGCGACTAATTCCTGGTGAAATAGAAGACTTCCAACCGAATGGTACCATGGCAAAGCAACAGGCTGGAGGAGAGAAAGGCCTTCCTGATAGAGACCGGTTTCAACCCCTCACGCGATCAACTAACGGCTTTGGAAATGTTAGTCATAACACGCCTTGGACAAATATCACTGTTACCTTCCCTGCACTCGATTAACAGTAAGACCCACTCTTTCGGGAGGATTCACAAGCTGAGTCTGACACGATCCGCATTAACGGGGCCTAAGCCTCACGATGAACCGGTTTACTATTTTGCCCATATTCATGGCGAATCGGCGACCTTAGCGTTTAATCCTTGCTATAGGGCTGAATGATGGACTCAGCCAACTCCAGTCGCCGCTTATACGTTGCCGCAATATAACAACAATTATAGTCTTTACCCTTCATTGAATCAGAGTTATGCCTAGCATTGCTCTAGCAACCACTGATTTCCAGGTAACTGCACTCTAGAGAAGGATTTTCGTTCATTTTCTTCTTAATTAAATTTTGTTAATAGATCTAATGTTTGTTTGCTGTTAGTTTCATGTGGCTAAGACCAAGCCTCCGATTTAACTTTCAGTAGTGATAAGGCTGCTGCTCAAAATGCAGTGTCAGCATCGTTTTGGTGCATTTGATCCCTAAGAAGCATTCAAAAATTATCTATGCTCTTGGCGCAAATGGCCTGAACCTGTTTTTCTCTGCGACCTTTGCCAGCTTTAGAAAGAAAAGTCTACATATATCAACATGGTTCAGGGACAGAATTTAAGTATCTGTGACACTGTCCATGGAAATAATGGCTGCCCTTTGCCTGATTCTTTCCACGTACAATGTTACTCACGCCGGAGTTGTTGATGAATGATGTGCTCAATTTGTTACTGTACCATATCTGTCGATAGCAAGGTAGTGAGGAAGCGGGTACGAGCAGAATTTCAAGTTGTGCAGTGCAGAATGACTATTATGGCAACCAATCGAAGAGGAACTGATAAAACAAGCAGACTTCGAGGCTGTGACCGGTACATGCTTGGGAAAGAGGTTCAGTGATTTCAAGTGATCTAGAGAATGTCAAGGCACGTAGGCCTGAAAGAAAGCCTAAACATCCCTGTAACTCTGTTCTTTGCACCATTCCTTACTTGCCAATTGTCTGACGAAATCCACAATTTATGCATGGCATAAGATCAGCTATTTTTAAAAGGTGGTTTAGTCACAGCCAAGATTCAATATTGAGTCTGATGGCACCTTCAACAAGGGAACCATCTTTCCCTATAAAACCCTCAGAAGTATCAACAATACACTCAGTCTTTCCTACAGAAAACAGAAATAAAAGATTATACACGAAACTCACCGACAACGCCACTAGTCTAACTATTGCCCAAGAGAACGCAACCATGTGTGTTTGGAAAACTCTCAGGGACCCCTCCAGCGGAAGGATCACCAGGTACAAATCAAATGGTGACTGTATGAGCGCCACCTGTAAGTACTCTTACAAGTACAAAGAGCCCTCGGGTTCTGAACCGGGAAAGGAGTGTTCAGGGGAAGACGAACTGAAAAGAAAAAGGGAGTCTTCATCGGAGCGGGACGACTCTAACGAGACGCCGGCGATGAAAAAAACCACCAAGGAGAAGACATCAACAGATAAGAAGTGAAGCAGTAAGTAGGGCTTGATGCGGGCTTTATTGGGATGGGCTTTAACTGCTGCTGCGTCATCTAATTCCTGTGAAGATATAGCTAATTAGTATGAAATAAAAGGCTATTAACAATATTAAGAATGAAGTATGGTTGTAAGAAAATTGTATCTTCTAGTAATGTCCTTTTAGCTTTGAATAATGGTTATAAATAGTACCTATAGGGCTGGTAACTATTAAAAATATAAAATAACTTTCATTTTGGGAGCTAATAAACCACAAACCTACAAACCCCACAGACAAGCCTTCTACTTTTAATTTTTTGATTTTTCCTATTCTATCTTCTTTATTTTCTACTCTTGTTTAGTCGGCGTATCAAACAAACCTGAATACGAAACGTTCACTTAATAGGCGATCTAGCCTTACCAAACTCTGAAAACCCCATGATCCCCATCCTAACAGCATTCTAGTTTTCCGACTCCTCTGCTTTTCCTGATTCCTCTCGTAAGTTCTTCTCTCGCTTATTCCTTTCTCTGTACAACCATTGTTGTATCTTAAAGAGTCCATAGTAGTCGTTTGCTTGGCAACTATACTTCAAGTCCTCCGGGCTCCAATCAGGCTGTCCTCCCTTGACAAGCACCCCTCCTGACGGACAACTTGAATCAAAGTCGATAAGGATCGGGTTGTCGTTCGCGTTCATCATAATGTTGTCTGGATTAATGTCGTTGTGATTAATTCCTAAACTATGAAGGTGGAGGATACCACACTCAATACCGCGCATACAATTTTCGATGTTGATTGGATTGCCAGTCTGCACATGTTGCTGAAGAGTCATAGCGTACTTTTCAAAAACGAGACCTCGAATCTGGTTGTCAACGACATAACATCCCCAATACTGTGCGACATTCCCGTGGGGATTTTTGACAAGTTTCTCGCAGATCTTTGCCTCTCCCAAGACAATCTCCGCGCTCGTTTCGTTTTGGTTGTTCGGGTCAAATGAGAGCATTGTTCGCTTGAGGTAACAGTCTTTGAGCATTTTCTCTGGAGCAATGGTTAAGGAAGGATCATACTGCGGCCGGTAGAACTTTGGCGGAATAAGAAAACATTCCAGAGTTTCGAGCTCGATGAGACCTTTGATGAACTTGATTATTAGTTCAGGCATGTCTTTGACGGCGACCAAAGTGAGATCCAATTGGGAAAAAGCAAGTTTATCGAACGCGCTGTGAGTCGACTTCCATGTTTCGTGCTTTTGAGAAGTCCATCGTTGGTAGCTTCTGACCATGAAGTGTTCTTCGGTACCGTCTGCTGTGCTCATTCGGAGGACCATTTCGACTGATACCCAATCCGTATATCCTTCGAATACTTCGCCGTTCTGGACGCGTTCCAGTGTTGGCCGGACAGCACCAGACACTCTTCTTCGTTTAGATGTTGGTCTAGCATCGTCGGCTAGCTCATCAAGCGTCTCGCCTCGGATGAGGGCGTCCCCGGTAGGCAACATATGTGGCGGCGAAACTTCACGTTGAGAAAAAGGTAAAGCATTCTCCCGGACAGGCGTCTTCGGCTCTTCCTTGCTACGCTTGCGAGACGACATGATGAGCGTGTTCAGAGATAAGTGCGTTGTAATGGTTGAAAGCAGAGCGTGTAGAAGTACTTTGAAGTGGAGCAAGAATGTGCAGGAGGTAAACCTCACAAGTAGGGGACTCGAGGTAAACAAACGCATTTATCAACATTGTCGGTCAACACTGGCAGATATCTAGGCAGGAGATTTTATCAGTTGTGGCACATTCACAACTGAAATTTAATTGGACTTTGTTAGTTCGAAAGAGGGGTTTTGGAAGCGCAGTGAAGGACATGTTGAACTCTGATCATGAGTCTGTGTTAGTGTGTTAACTACTGCGATTGGCTTCGGCTTTGTTTCAGTGGAGCCTTGAAAGCTCCTTCAGATCAGCTGCTATTTACAAACGAAAATGATGTAGGATTTGACTTGTGACTCGTGAGCCAGATTTCTCTTCTTCAATGTCCGGCGACCGAGAATTGCTTTCATAATGAGCTTCGGCAACATAATTGAGAAAGAGCTCCCTGTAAAAGGTTAAGAAATAAATACCAGAACAAAAAACGAAAGATTTTGTCCAGCTGTTCGGAATTTCGCTCTGTTAGGCAGATGCTCCAGTGATCTCTGTGACCGACCTCACAGTTATCTTTCGGAAACATGCCCCCTCTCTTCGGAAGAGCGAAAGGTATTATCTACAGTTTCGTTTGAGTCTTTGGTGGATGCTTCTCTTCCCACTTCTGTAGGAGAGCCGTTGCCGTTTCAACCTTCCGGGTAAATCCCTCATACAACTTCACCCATCCATCGCTGACAGTCCTGATGTCAATTGGTCGGCCAGTTTTTGCATTGATGTAAGTAATGAATCCCGTAACCTGGGCCACTACTGCCTGCTGCTGTAAAGAAAACAGAACTGTCGTACCAACATTGTGGTTCGGTGTGAATTTTACTTCGCGATTGGCCACAATAAGCTATTCAAAATCAGATCCCATCTCCAACATTGCGCATGGTTGACTTACCGAGTCTGGATAACGAACTTGTTTCTTTAACAAAATCTCGTACTTGTGCACAACAGGGATGACAGTCTTGCCTTTCATCATATCCTCGTATTCTTGCTTAGATAGGAACTCGTCGTAGCTTTCCATGACACGCTGCCAGCAAATGCCGAAGAAATGCAGGTACTGTGAATGCGCGACATGCCCGAATGGGTCTTGATCTTCTGCCCAGGTTACACCGCGCTCTGCCATAGTCTTAGGTTCAAACCCTTGTGCTTCAAGAGTTATTAACGCTTTTGCGCGAAGGCCCGCGTAAGGATCATCTTGATCGGGTTTTTGGGAAGATTTTGGAGCGCCTGGGCGATGGTAAGGCGAGAAGTAATCAGTTGCCTTGAGAGGCGCGAAAGTCTTGTCTGATCCGGGCATGGTCGTAATTGTTATGTGTGTTTTTGCTACGAATAACAAATAGTTGAGGGGCAGCCAACGCTTTTGTAGAGTAGCGCACTCTTTAGGTGAGACAAACGCCTGATATTAAAAGCAGTAATCTCCGGACACTTTTTGGTTATCATTGCACCCTTATAACCTTGATTTTCTGCGAAGACCACTCGGAATCTCGATCCTTCTATCCGCAGACTTGAAGCCAAGATGGCAATGCAACAGCGGCCCACAAGACTCTCTGCTTTAACCAATGATGGAGTGCCATACACATCTTCGTTGCATGGGATGTCAGTCCCAAGAGCGGGGAAGCGACGGGTTTTGCTCCATCTGGTATGTAAGATGACAGCGAACCAAAAGATCATGCTCCCTTTCATCAATCTGTCGAAATAGACCTCCAGTAATATGATAACCTGCGGCGCCTACGAGGTTGGGTGCCCTCCTAAAGCAATAGAAGTTGGTTTCCAAGCCTGTCAATTACATGTGATGTACGTTTTTCTCGTTGCATATCAGGCTAATACGATAACAAAGCCCATTCAAGTCTGTCACTCAAAAAGCTCTAGAATCAATCCATTGTCCTCGTTGATAGTTTATACCAATCTCCCACCGGCATTTGGGCCTTTCTCCAACCGCTTCGGTTTAGCCATCGCCTTCCATCCAGCATTGCCGTTTGATAATATGAAACGCGCATGGCTTCCTTCAGTGTGCATCCACCCAGTCCACCAGAGAAAGCTAGCAGTAAAAACCTGGCCCGAAGAAGAGGGTATGTGACTAGGCGTGCGCCCTTGTCAAGAAGTTAATTAACTTCTGCGTACCATAATCAAGAGCCTTAACTTACAACTAGGTATAGAGATACACTTAAAAATGATATTCTGTTTTTTCACTTTTAGGTAGCAATATTATATTATATATAGGAAAAAGACCAGAGTACCTGAAGATAGAGCGGATGCTATTGCATGAGGCAAAGTCTTGGGTGAGTGCCCAAGGAGCCTGGTAATGTATCTGCGCCACGATTCGTCAGTAATTTCGTCGCTCGGTTACTCCGTACAAGAGGCCAAGGACTGAGCAACAAATTGCCCGCCCAGGAGCTGATGCCAACTTGCAAGCATTGAGTGGAAGTCAAGTCGGGCCCTGGGAAAGCTGTAAGCCGTTTACTGAGCAAGTCTACATCGGCCTTTGATTCAAGTCAAAGCGCCTATTGGATAAACCGTAATAAAAGTTGAAAAACGCATCCAACTCCATTGCAGGTCAGGACCCTTCTTTCATCACAAATAGGAAACCGAGGCGCCCTTCAGTACCTGTGTCGGTCCGTAATATGCAATAGTAAGACAAGGCAGACTTGACAGAGTATCTGCATTGGCTCCGTAACGCCATGCTCCGCCTTAATTGGGCGATAATATGCATTTTCTACCCCGCTGACTTTCAGTCAATAATAAGCTTACCGCTTTGTATTTCTACTTCTGTTTTCTTTTCTGAACTGTAAGTCAAATTAGCTTCGAGGCCAACGAGTAATTCTTCTATTCTCACATGTCCTTTTTGGGGCTTTACTTACCGACGGCACATCACAACCGCTCTTCTTCTTTGCAAGCGCAACCTTTCCGAGACGTCAGTTTACTTTGAACAAGATGGCGGAAATCATCGGACTTGTAGCAAGTATCCAAACTATTGCGGCTGCTGGACTTATAGCTGCTAGGACTATCTCCATGATCGCAGATGATCTAGGTGGAGCTAGCGCCGAGATCAAAGGGATCGGGATAGATCTAAGGGCCATGGTGATGGTTTTGCACGAGTTTAAGAAGCGCCTTGATAAGATGGAAACACCAACCGACGAAGTTCGTGACTTGGCTTGGCAGATTCTTGCCGTTTGCAAAGCTGATATACGAGATATCGAAGAGTTTCTCAAACCTCTAGTATCCCGGTCTGGCAAGGAATTCGGGCTCAAGCAGAAGATCAGATGGCTGTTCGCCAAGGCAAAGGTATCCTCACGAAGGGCACACTTGGAAACGTGCAAGTCTACCCTCAACCTCTTTATTATCGCCCTAGACTTTCTGCAAAACGGGACCATGGAGTGAGTATCAGAAGGTAACATTACTGAAATACAAAACTATCGCTAATATATAGATAGGGATTATATTAGAGAAGAAGTCCAGGCTTTGCTAAAAAGCTCAACATACTAAAACCATATTATTAAATGCAGAAAGATCGAAAGCTCCCTTTCAATTTGAGGTGGAAGTTCCGCCCTCGAAGAAGTTGCGGATCCAGAATGAGCAGTCTGTCAAAGAGTCGAACTCACCACTAGTCGTAGACAATATGCCCAAAGAGGCTAAGGATGAGGAGAACAGGTGGATGCTACCCTCCAACCGTGGTTCAAATCCCAAAGCAACAGAATATCTAGAGAGTATATCCGACCAAGACTTCATCCAAATTGCAGAGCATGTTCGGTTGCAAAACAAGGTCAGAGAATTTGCTGTCAGGATTGTCAATCCTCGAGCTACGCAGCAGAACAATAATGATCAATTCGAAGATGAGCAACTACGAAGAAGCTATGAGTGACAGGATGGCTACGACGCTTCTTATGTCCACCCTGTATCACGGCCAGAAGAAGATTTGTTTTCTCAAACTGGTCTAGAACTCGAATTGAAGAATATCAAGGCCGAGCTGAAAGTACGAGAGATACTGATTGAGCAGCTGAACAAACTGATTGAGCAGTTGAACGAGCAAGTTGAACAGTACCGCGTTGAACACGCTGTTTACGAGGAGTCTAAGAAATGGCAGGAGCGAGAGCATCAGGCCAGAAAGGATGCAGAAGAGGATTTTAGACGAAGGTACTCGACAGGAATCGAGAATGCAAAGATCGAAGCCGAGAAAAGGACAAGAGAGTGGCTTGAATTAGAGCGTGTGGCCGAAGGAGGGCGGACAAAGAGGAACGAAGAAGTAATAAGAGAAGCTTAAAATGCAGCAAGGCGGGATTATGAACAGGAGCTGATGGCGGCTGAAAAGAGCGGAAAGAAGGAAGCGGAAGAAAAGGAGGCTCGACTGAACTTTTAGAATGAACTGCGTGCTGCTGAAGACAAGAGGATAAAGGATGAAGATGAGCGAAAACGCGCAGAAGAGCTTACTAGAGTGCGTTTTGAGCATGCGCTAGCGATGGAGGCTGAAGCAAAGGCAGCAGTGAGAAAGAAGGCTGAGGAGGAAGCCAAGCGCCTTATGAGAGCTAAGTATGAGGCCAGGGCTGTAACTGCTAAGAAGATCACACGCTGGCTCATGCCATGAAGAGTCCAACCTAGCAAGCCAGGTGAGACATGAGACAGAAGACGGGCCTAGAAAATCAATACAGGCCAATTACGTTAAGCATAGAGTTATGGAATGACGTTCATCTAATGGTTTAAATATTAACGATTAGATGAGGACGCGTTGTTTGCCTTGATTTATTGTTAATCCTCTAATTATCTTCCCCACCCAGCCTCTTAAGGATTCACAAGCGAAGAGGGTTTATATAATAAGGCTGACTAAAACAGTCTACAATTCCGATTGTATAACAGACATACCACCCCAAAGTTGGCGGCAACACTGAAACTGCCACTGTAGATAAGTGATAGAAATATTTATTTCTCTTCTCTACGACTTCCCTATATCATATTTCTTTTGTTCCTATTGAACGCACACGGGTAATCGAGTATGAGACAATTTCTTATTTTTAGGTGAGCCAAGTATCAACAGACTCGCCAGTAAACGATTGAATGTCTCAGGTGTGATTTGTTTTATGGCTTTTCGGGTTCAATGCATGTTTATCGTACCACATAAGTTCTAAAATAAGTTATATAAATTAAAGTTTAGATGTAAGCCAGTATAGAATACTTCAAATAGCTTTATACTATATACAATAGGCGCGCAGTCCTTGCAGCGTCTGATAATCTCCCAAAGCTGCCCTAATTCTTCATCTCGACAATCTCGCTGGAACTCTGGTGCTTGGGGGCACGGTCCACAAGTGGCTTCAAGCCAGGTAGCGATACGACAATGATAGCAAGGGCCATTTCGAGCATACTAAGAGGATCTGAAGACCAGCAAATTAGACTCTGAGTTGTCAAGAAGGGAAGAATCATCTTACAAACGAGGTTCTCTTGTCCGGTGCCGACCTTGAGACAGATGAATCGGACCATGGTGGTGCAGATAGTCAAGGCTCCAAGGACAAACGTAAGAGTGACACCCTTGGAGTGGTGGAGGACACCTTGGAGAAGCAGAATAAGAGGAAGAGCGTAGACTAAAATACAGCGGTTAGCGCTTATCGGCGTCGAAGAACACAGTATAAGGGACATACCAGCAAGGTAGCAAGCCAAGTTGAGAGTGAAGTTGAGAATGAATGGCTCAGGCGCATAAAAGACACTGCAGGCGCCTTCCTCCATGGACCACTGAACAGAAACGTCCTTGCCGCAGAAGAAAGTATCGTCCCAGAGGATAACGATGTATGAGATGCAGACAAAGGCGGTAATACCGTACAGCGACTTGCGCATGACGGAGCTCATGCCCGTAGAGGGGAGGAAGTATGCCCAGTAGAACGCCAACATGCTCATCTTGGGGAAGCCCATGCCTACATCGTAAAAGTAGTTGGAGGCAAAGGAGATCTGGCAGATGTTAGTGGCAACGTATCGGACTGTTTATGTACTGGAACTTACCTTGGAAAGCTTGACCGACACCTCATAATTGTCCAGGACGCCCATCTGGAACGTCAACGTATCACAGATAATCAGGGCCAAGGCGTTGAATGCCGAGATGATCAGAAGAATATCGGACCATGCCAGCTTCTCACGAGCACGGAAGAGACGGGCGTAGACACGAAGTCCGACAAAAACATAAGCAATAGCCAGCAGAATCCATTCCGAGATCTGGTCAAGGTTGTAAGTGCATGTCCGAAACAATTGAAGAAAAAGAGAGACATCCGTACCATACAGTCCTTTCCATCGATAAAGTACGCCATTGTCAAGTTTCGTAGTCTCTAGAATGAGACAATGGAAACCAAGTGTTGATATGAAAGAGGTCAAGAGGAAAACCGATCGGGGTGAAGGATCGGAGACTTACTTTAAGGTTAGAGTAGCACATGGGAGACGCCACTTGGTACCAACAGCACTCGTCTGGAAAGAAAGAAAATGTCTGCAACGCATGGATGTGACCCTGAGGTGGTCCCTGGGGGATTAATGGCATGATTTATCCGCTGCAGGTGTACGGCGCAAGGTCTCGTAAGCAACCAACAACCAATTACTCATGTATTCCACGTATTAGGAACGTAAGGGAAAAAAGCAAATTTGTGTTGCAGTCGCCATTGATTCACGGATTCGAAGGATGGGAAAACTGGGGATATGCCTGACATGCCTCGAACCGAGGACGGAGTGATGTGGTACCCCTGGAAAGCATTGGTATTGGGACACGATGATTGGTCGGGTATGAGGAGGACGCATTCCCGTAGAAATTTGCGGACTGAAGATAAACCCAGCACCAACAGCTTTAGCAGGGGTCGCATGTTCGGCAGGGGAAACCGTTGAGACGTTGCATGTCTTAGCACCGGCATCCTCTACAGGACTTAGAGGGGAGATTGGTCTATACCAAGTGAAGGAAAGATTTTAATTTGTGGTTAAATCATAGAATACCATGGTCCTTCTAGAAGAAGCCTCAGCGAGATTTCATCTGCATATCCAGCATCAAATAGGAAAGTCTGAAGTTTATTTTAATTTTATTGTACATGAGTGCCTGGTCCCAATCTTAATCCCAAGCTCTATTCCCAGCCATTCTTATCCAGATCATGGTTCGCGGATCATTTTCGCATGCCTTTACCCTTTGAGACTCTCACCCGCCCACACTATTCCTATTTTACATTCCCCTTGCCTTTTTGGTCGTTCCCCTGCCTTTCAAAATCCTCTCGACGTTGGTAGGTCACGCTTACACGGGCCGACTTGTAGATGCCCTGCATATTCGTCAACTCCACCTCACTGCCCGAGTCTTCTTCGGTAACCGCTGCCACTCGGGCGGTTGTGGAATACAACTCTCCGCGGTCGCGTCCGCTTGATAACTTGTTGAAGTGGTTGGAAGAGCTTGCTGTGGACGGGTGCTTATGGTAGCCTGACCCTGTCTGTGTGGTGTTTTGTTTTGTAGATCGTAGGCCAAGACCGTGAAGAAGTGATTTTAGCGCGGGTAGCGAGACCACGACAATGGCTGCTGCGATTTCCGTCATGGAAAGCACGTCTAATTGTGGTTAAACGTATTAGTGTGTGCAACACTTAATGGGTCTCAATCAGGGACGGCAACTTACAAACATTGGTCCATGCGTGGATTGTATCGATGGTAATAAATCTGCCAATACTGGCGCCCAGAGTGATGAGGCCTGATGCAAAAATTGCAACAAGACCGACTTTGTAGCGTCTGCTGAGTTGAAGGCCAAAGAGAAGCGGGAAAGGCAGCGCAAACACTGTTATCACCGTATCAGTTTCATCCTTTGAAGAAGACGGGATGTGAAGAGATTTCACGCACCAAGTAGATCAGACACAAAGTTCAAAGCCCAGTCAATACGGAATACATCCTTGGAGTCAAACGTGCTGCATGCTCCATCAATCTCCCAATTGACCGAGACATTGGCGCCGCACCAGAAAGTATCCAAGAAGCAAGTTGTGATCATGAAAGTACCCGTCATCGCCGTCGTACCATAAAGGAATTTCCTCAACATCGGTAAGGTCTGTGGAATGAGCTTAAAGTAAAGAGCCAACAGGGCGAGTTTCGGAAGGTAGATGCCAGTGTCATAGAAGTAGTTTCCTGCAAATGCAACCTTCTTCAGTGTGATTTGATCTGTAATGCTTCGTTCTGGCGCATTCGGGTCGTATTCGTCCATTCCTCCAAGATTATACGCGGCCGTATCGGTTCCAAAAAGAGCGGCGGCATCGAGTAGAGAGGCAATTAGAAACCAGTCGCTGATCGTGAGGCTTTGACGTTGTCGTATTGTTCGAAGCGTTAGACGGGCTAGGACCAGCAGTGCCGATACCCCAAGGAGCACGGCCTCGATGGGCTGCGATGCATTATGATTAGCGAGTTATCAATCAGGCAATCGGGATGCAAATCATTGCCAAGAAGAAGAGAACGGGTAGATGAGGGCAATTGAACTTACCACGACGGCCTCTTTGGCGACACCAGGCATTGGGAAATAAGTAGAAATTGAGATATTTGGGAGTTTAAGGAGAGTAGTTGATGTATAACACAATTCAGGTCTAACGAACCTGGGGTTGGCGTCGATTAAATCTGAAAGCCTCCCGTGGGTGTCAGACAAATAGCCTGTGTGTGGCACATCGAGCAGCAGAAGAACTAATTGGAGGTAAGCCTTCGGTTTTGGCAGACGGGCTTGACCACTCACTCGACTACTTCGGTGCCGTGATGTAGGGATGTATCGTACTGTTGATACCAGGGCCAGACACATCACGCAGGCACACACACTCAAACCGATGAATTTGGGACCTTTTGTGATGCCACACATGCATATCACCCGAAACTGTCAGCATCAGGGGTGGAAGTGCCTGAGATTATGTTGGTATTTCTCATTACCGGAGCTTTGGTCGACGCCACCACTTACTGCAGGCAACGCGGCCATTTTCGTTCGACGAGGGTAACATAACCTCATTGACTTTGAAGTACCCAGCATCTTGTAGGACTTTGTCATAATATCTCGGTACAAAGAAAAGCCAGGATGTAAAACAACCGGGTGGACAGTGGAAGAAGTCGGCAAAGCCAAACAAGCTCATTGGGTGGAATCAGAAAAAGCAAATTGGCACATCGTATGGTACATTTCTTCTTCTTCGGCCCTTTCCCATGTGTTGGCTCTAACAAATTTCATGCGTCTGCGGCACAGTACGGAAAATTATCAGCGTTGCCGTTCTCAATGTGGTAGGCACCTTTTGGCTGATCTGGGTGAGCTCGTTTGATGGGACCCGGAGCGAGTTTCCGAACAGATCGACACGCCCGAAAACCCGGCAGAAGACGACCCCTGGAGGCGCTACAAGGGCCGCTCAGACGGCGGGAGAAGATCATTCTGGGGCGAGCCGGCTAGAAGAATTTAAGGGCAATATCGGAACATGGAGGTTCCCTGTCAAGCTTTTTTTAACCGAGCATCCTGAAATCCAAAATACGATGTAGTATAAAGGGGAGAAGAAAACTTGGCTTTGAGAGATCTCGCGTATCAGCAAAGCAATTCTTGGCGGATCAGAATGAGACGATTCTAAACTTGAAACAATCAACGATGGGCCTTTTGCGATGACTGGATGCTGAATTGTAGTAAGTGGGCGCGTTGTTTGCAATTAGAGCTCAAATCCGAAATTCATTTATAATACTCGAACCATGGTACTTTTAGCCTGCTTCAAAATATGTGGATAAAAGCATCCCAGCACAAGCACACGCGCAAGCCATACTGCATCAGAAAATCTCGCGTGCGATGATGTTGGGAGACTAATTTGGTATCGGTTCCAGAGATCAGTAAAACTATATATGATCCTTATATCGTCCAGGCATCATACGGATCTCGAAGCTTTTTCTCGCTGATCCGGACCGCTCGGCACGTAGGCTAGGATGGTAACATGCCATCGGTGGACTCATTCATCAATTAGCATTTTCAACAAGCGATGATAATTGGATGCGAGATGACTTTTCTTTGACGATTCTGCAAGTACTAGGTAGTGACGGCCCAACTCTCTTTTGCTATTCTACTTTCCAACGCACGGCTATTTCGAAAGTAAAACAGGACTCTCGCTAAATTCCCAGTTGAGTTTCAATTACTTACGGGGGCAGAAAGCGACGATGAATTGGAAGGAAGCTTTCGGACTCTACCGAATGACCAATTGTTAGCCATATCATATCTACCTTGATATATAGCAGTAAGCGAAAGCCGTTGCAACTGAATAAGAACGCGAATAAAATACACTATTTACAACCCCGTGTGAAAAGTAATAAAGCAGAATATGGCAACAGTAACCAACAAGAGCCATCGCGAGCGTAAATGTGATATGTGCCATTCATAAATAGTTAAAAAGTTATTTAGTAAAATATATGCCTTTAAAAAGGGAATGATTGTGTTGTCCATGGGGGTGATTCAGTGCTTTAGTGTCGGAAGAGGCGCTGGGCAAAGTACCGAATAGGACAACCACCGATGCGCAAGACTCATATTAACATCTTTCAAATTACCAACTGCCCGATCGAAAGGAGCTGTCATTCTCAACAGATGAAGGCTTTAATACAAGGTATTTTACCAAAATTACAATGTTACTTGATGTAGCAATTACAGGTCGGTCAGAGACAGCGCTGTGTTATCTCAATGAGTTTGTTTGTTGTCGTATAGGGTAAGACATTTCCTGATGTGACGATAATGATCTAACGGCTTTGGACAATGTCCTTCAATAAAAGCAAGGAAAAAACCATGTGATAACATTATAAACAGTTGGCCAGTTATTCGAAGCCACTGAATCACACGTTGGATCTAGTTCAATTTCCAAGTCCTACTCATCGCAGAACAAATTGTGTTTCCAACACTATGCGGCAAACATGAAACATCGTATCTTATCTATCTTATCTTATCAACAAAACTATCGGTGAGATAAGATTGACTAACAATTCAATTGAACTAATTAAAATACAAGTATAATATTTCGAGATTTAATCCGCAGGTCCCCAAGTTCATTCCAGGAGAATCAGTTTGAAATTTGATTTGTCAGAGTCGTGAATGCGAAATTACCTTGCCTTTTTACATAGTTCAGTGGACATACTGTCGCAATAATTTGATAGGAACGATTTGAAATTTATTAAGGCGGTTAACACAAAGCAATTAAAGCATGAAAGAAGATTTCCAGATAACGTAAGGAGTAGTAGACACAATAATACCAGAGCCCTCTCATCAAATAATAACTACAGCTTTCTCCCAATGGTAAATCAGGCTCTCATCCAGATCCTTATCTTATCAGCCCACACCACATCCCCCGCTATAGCACCAATCACAACAAAACCTTTCAGCCTCACGCTTTCATATCTCCCAAGCTAAAATGCAGTGCAACCTTGCCACCTCGATCTGCACATCAACTAACCCCTCTGCTGATCCCTCATTCCAGGCAATGCCAAACCACTCATGTACTGGGGATGATACAGCTCTTGGGGCGACCGCTGCGGCGATGTATGCATTTCATGAGCAAATCGAGTGTCTGCCAACTCTGGCGGGGGGGACTTGTATTCAGGAGGCTGGGCATAGGCATAGTCGCCCCTGACATCCTGACTGGGACTTGAGGCCCAAGTGTCGCGTGCTCCGGCCGCTGGTAATGGCGTAGGCGTTGCGGTTGGGGACACGAAAGGAGGAGGTGACTTCTGTGCCATTGCAGGGGCTTCGCTGTGGCTGGCTGCATAAACCTGACTTACCTGGCTTGGATGTGTCTCATTTGAGGACTTACGTCGCCTCCACAGGAAAAAAGCAAGCAAGACAATCAATATCAAGCCCAAGCCGCCACCAACAGCTGCACCGATAATAGTGGCTTTGGATGACCCATCGCCGGAGCCTGATTCTGAAGAGCTTGCTGATGTCCCAGTGGGCCCTACGGTGACGGTGGTTTGGTCTTGAACATAAACCGTGACGGTCTGTGTATGTGTTGTGATCGAGTCTGAGTACTTGGTTGTCCATTCTGTCTTTGTTTCTGTGTCGGTAATTGTTGTTGTCGCCTTTTCCGTCTCATAGACTGTATCCGTGTCTGTTGCTCGTCTGTGGATGGGGATCCCTCGTCGAGCTAGACCGTCAGCCAGCGCATTGAGGCTTGCGGCTGGCCGGAGGACGACCGGCTGTAATGTCTTGGTTGTTGCGCGAGCCTCGCGACCAAGGGGTTTATGAGGAGCAGCAGGGACAAGTCGCTTATGCTTTCTGTCCGAGCCTGTGGCCACTTCCTCCATGGTAGCCTCATCATCCGTGGCGCCTCGGGATACCGTCACAAACAAGGTGGTTTCTTTGGTCGACACGGTCTTCACGGTGGTTGTGCCATCTACAGTAACGGTCTCGGTGTCGGTTTCTGTCGTCCACGAAGTCGATGTCTCGGTCACAGTTGCTCTGGCTAGTGTCAGCTGAGTATTAATTGAATGTAAAATGGCCGCCTCACGTCGGGTTGATGCATGTTTGGGCATCATTGTCGCACTTCTGGTCTTCATCGCAGCACTGACGAGATTAGCAACGGTCTAGATAATTTGACCAAAACTCACAAATGGCTTCCCGACTGAAGGATTGCAGCATGTCTCATCAGCATCGCAACAAGCTCCCCAGCCTGGATCTTTTGAAGTTCCGCAACAACTCTGTCCTTCAACGCAGCAGCTGCCGTTCTCTTTTTCTCGGCAACACGAGCTCTTTTCAGCACAACACCATCCATTGGCTTGGGTACCGCAGCATTGAGGGTGAGATTCGGCGCATCCGTTGTTATTTCTGAAGCACTGTATGAGTTCTTCTTGGCGGCGACCGAGAGGAAGATCCCAAGTCGGAAGTTGGGATGCCAATGGAGCGATTGCAAGTCGTTTGATCGCGCCTGGTCTAGTCCACTCTTGCACAAAGAGTTTAACTTTTTCGACGTCTGTAATGTTAAGATCTTGGATGCTTTGCTCGAGGTAAGTGGGAGAAGTTGAAACAACCAGGACTGGCAAACCAGCAAAAGCCCATAAAAGCCACCCTAGACGTATCATTTTGAAGTTGTAGAGAGCCATCTGGTAAGTTGAAGGAAAAGAATAAGAGTCCTGCTTCGAAAAAGGAGACGGTTGCAACCCAAATTTATGCTTCCGTTTTTCTGTTGAGCCGCCATCATTGCTATGCTATCCCTAGAGCCTCATCTCCCACCAACGCCACGCATCGAGATATCAGACCAGCAATGAAGCTAGTTGACGCCTGCATGCCGAGGAATTTGACACGATGATAGAGAATGCCTACCCCGCTTGAGACATCTAATGAACAGCGAATGAGAAAGTCATGTTGAGGGCCTGATTGAGGCTGCACATGAGAAAGGGAGAGGGGGAAATGGAATTCAAGTTTCAGTCAGCGCATTGAGGAGGAGGTCATATTCTCCCTTTCATTTCTCTTGATAAAGGAACTTGGATGCAAGAATGAGGAAATTTAGAAGAAGATTGGTCCTTTTGTTGCGGGAACAAAACTACAAGTTGTAGCTGCATAAAAGTGCAGCCTGAGAGAGGTTCTGCTGAGTAGGTACAGTGGTTTCTCAGCCCCATGCCACTATTTTCTAGGCACCACACACTTGCGAATCTTGGGATTTTACAAATACTGGACTTAATAACAGTTGATGTTTCTTCAATATCCAAATACATCAAACTCCTGCATTACGGTTCCTCTGTTGATTATGAGACTGGTGCCAGGTGCGACCTACCCATTTACTGGCAATGGAACCTCCAACGCGTGAGCGGGAGTCACGAAACACCATGACGTTTAAGGCGCCTTTCGATGGGGCAAATCTGATGAACAAAACCTAGAAGAGATTACGTATGTTCAGGCAGGAGTGGCAATAAACCGTACGGCAATAGGGCGCATTAATAAACCTATTCCTTAGCACAGAATTTGAAACCTAAGCAAGCAATATAAGAAATTCTTAAGAATCACAACCTAGGATATTCCTCTCATGAAGAAAGTCCAGTTGCTTGTTATGAAAGAGGGGGTAGACTGGAACGAGTCCCTGGTAAAGACCGTGAAGTACTCTTAACCGGGGATGGGCGGTTGAAAGACGCCCCCCGGACGTGAGGAACTGCCAGAAACCTCTCCGTAAGTAGCACCAGGGTCAAATACTGAATCATCATCGCCAGGATAGGGCTAAGCAGTTTCAACCCCCCTGCCTCAGCCGCACTGCTGATGCAGGGAAGACGAGTCACGGGTGTGATATTGGCTAAGTGGCTTGCAGATAGTCGCTTGAGAAGCTAATCCATTTCGCCAAAGACCGACAAGATATTGATCTTCTGAAAGTTCAACTACTGCAACAGACCCAGCTTATCACGTTGGGTCGACTTCACTTTCTCTTGTCCAACTTATCACGGAAGACATCATTCTCCCAGTCCATCCGAATTCTTTGAACCTTATTGCAGATCGAATACATCCGCTCCAACCTTCCTATTACTACCACTACTCACACACCTAACCCTCTTTGTTCAGCATATCCTGCAAACTCCTCGTCCTTTTCCAATTCGGCAAAGCAACTCTCTTCCAAGCCAAAACAGACCTCAATACCCTCATCCTCACTATCCTTTCGTACTCCAGCTCTTGTCGGAAGCACGAAAAAGAAGCCCTCGAAGCTAGGGTTTGGCCATCTTAGCGCCGCTGGTTTGCCAAACCCAAAGTCGTGGTTTTGGTAAGACTTCATTGTGTGCCAATCGAAGGCCATGCAGTCGAGACCCAGCACCCACTGCATATCCAGCTCTGACCATTGGAGGTTGGGTGATGCGGCTGCGAACTTGACAAGGTCTGCTAAATACTCCTGGTCGACGGAGTTGATACTTTCGCGCACAGCACGCGCCAAGATGGGCAAGGTTGTCTCCAAGTCACCGAGAACCTCGGCGATAGTCAAGGTCTTTGATTGCGGAATCGCAATAGCGGTTCCGATATATCGTTCTGAGATTGGATTGCTGGTGCGCCCGCGCCCATTAACAGCATGGACAGCCTTTGATGGCGCATTAGGATCTGGGTTGAGCAGTGATGATTTGGCTCGCACTGTTGCCCGCCACATGATGGATAGAAGAGCATCGTAAGTCGAGATCCAGGACCCGGGCTCGAGTCCGGCACTACACTGGGACTTGAGAAGTTGCAGCTTGCTCTTTGGGAAATGCCAAATGCGCGTCTTCACAGTTGGCATCTTGAAGTCGGCCGGTGGTGGGGCTGGAGGACCATCTCGCAGTTTCATTGTGGGGAACTTGTCACCCAGCTTTTGCGTCTCCTCAGAGCTGAGCTTGGGTTTGTTCTGCAACGATAAGATACTGCGCGGTGGAATTGCGGCTGTAGACTCGGCCAGTCCGTTCATCGACGCTCCTTTCGCAGCATCGAACGAGTATCGCGCCCAAGCTGACAAGAAAGTCTCAAATCCTGGTCCATCGCAGACCTGATGTGTGATGGCAAGACCTATAATAACTCCGCCCTCGATGAAGGTTATCTGTGCACCTCCGACTGCTGGACCGACAGAAGAGATGTCGCTTGCGGGAACAGGGAATTGAGCGCCAACGAAAGATGCAGGGAGTACTTTTTGTGAGTCAAGAAGGTGAACAGGAAAGTCATGTTTGTCGAGAAAAGCAAAGGAGGGTATGTCCTCAGGACTGGCTTCTTTGATGTTGAGGGCCAATAAAGAGTCTGCCTGCTTTTTTACAATGATGCGACTGGTTTCATTGTCAAAGTGTAGAGTTCCTGTTCGTATTGCGTTAGCATATTGCAGTAAAGGCAGTTTGAACTTTTGCTGACCTGTCAAGATGGGGTAATCGGCAAGCGCACGCTCTAATCCACTGGTGAGGTTTTGGACGATGGAGTCTTTTGTGCTGTTCTCTGGTAGCTCGAAAATCTCGATCATGTGTACGTAGAGCTTGGGCATGAGATGGTCCATATCTGAAAGTTGAATGATATCATCCGAGGCCCCTGTGTCTACCCCAGTAGGCTGATCGTTCAGTTCTCGTTGATTGGCCATGACTTCAATATTTTTAGTGTTAAGGCCGAGACTGTAGGGGATGGGGAGAACGCTGGAGGGGGCTGGTCAGGATCACAACAAAGGGCAAGTTTTGTGCAAAGTGACCACAAAGACTGGGGAACGTTTTTAACAAGGAACTTCTATTAAATAAGATAATTGTGATTGTAACTAGCTACGGAAAGAGCATGGGAACAAGAGCCGATAGGAAGGATGCAATCCTGGAGAGGCTGGTTGGTTGATATGGTAACATGAACATGGGCTGATTCTTCAACAAACGCACCAAACCCAGGAAGCCCCTGTTGTTGAAGATCATGTGCCTCGTGCAGACTGCACTGAACCCTGAGTGATCAATCGAGGCTTTTATTGCAGATGTGCAGGGCTGGATTGATGCATAAGAGGATCTAGATCCAAAGCTTGGTTGCTATATGTAGATCTTTTTAACGACTCAGGCACAGAGCTCAATATCCTCTGAGGACACTTTTGTGAGTCAAGGCTGTTTTTTAGGAAAAGGAAGAACCATGTAAGGAATTACGCGTACGAGTTGCCAGCGGAGCCGCTCAGTCGCAAATCTTACCTCCTTGCGGAGCTCTCGAGCCGGTCCTTGGCTTGGCCCACTTACTACGCTGATCATGATAAGTTGCCGGCGCCGTTCGCGGGTATTTAGCTCATTTTAATACCCGATTGAACTAATTGAGGCTTAATACTCAACTTAACTTTGACAATAACCAAGATACATATGTAAATCTCATTTAACCATAAATGATCTACCATCGCTTGCGGATTTATCAGGAAGTTTATTGCCATGTTGGTCGAACCAACGCATCCTTCGCCTAACGTGATGCTCATCTGCAGCATGACAACGTAAAACCCTGCCGCGCGTATAAACGGAATACTACCATACAAGCTATACGCATCATGGTCAAAACGCTCGCCTGGAATTAGCATAAAGCACCAACCGTTTGGCTACGCGAGGCTCCAACGGATCCATCATCTAGGATCCGTGACCCGCTAACGATATTACAAAGACCCGCTGCGACACTTCCCCGAGACAAGCGCCAACGTCTTTGGCGGGCCGCGACTTGTAGTTAGGTAAGGAGTGCTTCCCCTATTGGTTGGAAATGCAAAAAGTGGATGAGGCTCTTCGCGTTCGCCTCGTCTCACACAAGACCTTACAGGGCCGACCAGTTGAAGGAACAGAATGCTCATGGGCAACAGCAGTGATGATAGCTCATATCAGTCTTTGCTTGTTTCAAGGTGGATTGTGTCCACCGCTTGGATACTTGATTTAAGAAACATTTCCAAGACTGGCCCCTTATGCGAAAATAACTCGCTTAGCAGGATACTTGAACAGGTGATGTCCTGGTTCGGGAATTATTCTACATCCTATTCTTGTTCCCCCAGAGGCTTTTTGTCGAGAGAAGTTGAACGAAACGCTGCTCTTTGGGATATATTCGAGCTATTAGGCTGGAATCGAGCACACCAACCACAATGGTCGACGAGAATCTACGGGCGGTGACGCTGCAGGGCTTCCCATTGGCCACCACCGTGGTGGTTCTGGTGTGTGTTTGTCTAGCTGCCATCGCTGTTGGGATCCGCAGTATGGTTCGACTCAATGACAAAACTTTCGGATTGGACGATTGGCTTATTGTAGGCGGCATGGTAAGAAAGACCTGGCCATTTATGCATGGCTTTTACTAACCAACGATGTCTCTACAGATCATCTACATAGCAGACACAGGCCTCGCTGTCCACGCTGTCTCCGTAGGAATCGGCTCCAAAGACGACAAACTCAACGCATGGATGCAAGCGGAAAGCCAAAAGTTCTTCATCATATGGATCACGGTCTACGTCAGCGCCGTCGCCTTGATCAAATCGTCTATCTGCGTCACGCTCCGAAGAATAGCAGCAAAAGCCATCCCCGCGATTCGATACTCCATCTGGGTGCTGTTCGCTCTAACATGGGCGTCCTTCTGCGTCACATTCTTTGGCATCCTCCTGTTTTGTCGACCGATCGAGGGAAACTGGAACACAGCGCTTGTATTGGAAGGCAAGGCTACGTGTGCCAGCATGGAGACTCTTATCGGCATTAGTCACACCAATACTGGGACGAGTATTGTTACCGATGTCGGTTGCTTTGTGCTACCTGGCATCTTGCTTTGGAAAACGCAAATGTCGTTCAAAGCCAAGTTGCAGGTGCTCTGTCTCCTTTCTTTAGCTTCGGTGTAAGTCCTTCCAGAGTGTGGATGTGTTGATAGCCACTAACACGGTCGCAGAGCTTCTATCGCTACCATTGCTCGTGCCCCGTTCATATCCCATTACAATACACCGGAAGACAATCTCAAGTGTAAGTCCAATAAGGAATTATGTACTTGGGCTCTATACTAACAATATCCAGATTACATCGGCCACATCGTCCTGTTCTCCTGCATCGAAGTCGGCGTAGGCTGCATCGCAGCATCACTGCCCTCCATGCGCATTCTGTACAAGCGTGTACGCGGACAAGAATCGCAAGCCTCGACAGCAACTCCACACGCAAACACTCTTGTGACAATCGGTGGTGGAAAGATCGGAAACAGCGCTTCTAAAGGAACAAAGCGGACCTTTACCAATCCCACCAACCGTGGTGTAAACTCTACCCATATCAACAGCGGCGAAAACGATTGGGAACGATTGAGCGATGGTGATTCGGATAGGGGAATATTGGGTGATGGGAAAAAGGGAGGCATTAGAGCGGATTATAGTTTTGCTGTTGAGCTTGACTCTTATAGCACAAGGGACTTGCGACCTGAACCAAAGCACATCCCGTAATGGGTATCAAGGCGCGCCTTGTAAGGTCTTTCTCAAAGACGGGTAATGGGTAATTGCAGAAGGCGTTCAAAAGGTCTAACAAATTGCTTTATTCTACATTGCATATAAAATTAGACGAATTATCAAATCTCTTCTTGATTCATAAGTTTTAGTAAAGGCTTATTATAAATTTATGTAAATTTCTTCTAACTACGATATGCTTTTATATAAGCTTTTCTGATATAACTATCTCTTGTTCGGTTGTCGTGTGAATCTTTGCATGGAACTGTAGCAAGGTAGAGCATCCAACAAGCTTCCTCTGTTCTTAGACAGATATTGATTGACTAAATGACAGTCTCTCTTCCCATCTCGCAAGAACAAATGCCGCTCTCTCCGAGAGATCCAGCATTGCACGAGGCACCACACAATAACTAAACCCAGTCTCATCAAGCAGATCACAAAAGTCTCGCGATAGCTTCATCCAAGCACCTTCATTGTCAGGCATCAAACGAACACCATCATCCATAAGCCACGGCGTACCGGCTTCACACACCACAACCAATGAATTCTGCATTCTTGTCTTTACCTCGATCCATGCAGGCAGCCTTTGCATTTCTGCCACTGCTTCGGGGGAGACATATTCTCGCGCGTATACCAAAGGATCAAAACCAGAGCGATCAGATATGAACCAGCTGGAGTATAGTAGGGCTTCCTTCTCAGCGGCTGCTTGGGCCTCGAGGATGAGTTTCTGAAGTTCAAGGCATCGATCGGTTGATGACGTGATATCGTTGGCCGTGTATTTGTGTTTGGTGAGTACAGTTCTCGCCACTTCGGTCACAATCTGTGGTGGCTCTATTGTTGCACCTGCCAGCCAGTGCCGCAAGTCATCGCGTAGCTTGTTGACGAGTGTTGTTTTTCCCGTTGACTGTGGTCCGATGACGTAAATGCTGGGAAGAGTCGCGTTTGAAGCCATTGTTGCTGCAAACGAGGGTCATTTGCGACAGTTGGTCTACGATTCACAGTCATAACAAGTGAGGGGTCCAAGGTCAGCGCGTTTGCGTAACACCAATAGACGCGTCCAATCATCATCAACTACTGCTAATGCTGACTCTCTAATTCTTCATCGCCTCACTGATTCTTTTACTTTCTTTCGCAACATAGTGCATGTTTCTCGTATTGCATGCGCATCTTTTCGTCCAAATACAAGCCAGATGGCTCCTCAAAGGAGTGGAAGAGGCTTTCAGCATACCTTGCTTCCAATATTGCAGCTGGATGATGCTGTCTGGGACTTTCGCGTGCCAAATCTCCCATCTCCATCCGATCTGAAGCAAAATAATCTCATCAAGGCAATCAGTATTTCCACTGACCTAGAAATATCCAAACACTCCATGGTCCTCACCATTCAAAACAACAACGGGAATCGCGCCACATCCAACGACTCAATAGATCGCTTCATTCTCTTCTCCCTCGAACGCTTTCGTCCGCTTGTGCGAGGCGCCGCTAGAGAGCAAACCCCAGCTCCAGATCTCCAGCCACGTACCCCGCGACAAGTGTCTGACTACAGCATCAGATGTCTACGAGCTGGCATTACGGTAAATGGCGTTCACTACAACTTCTATGGCCACAGTAACAGTCAACTCAAATCGCGATCATGTTTCCTTTTGGCCATGTCAAAAGAGGAGATTTCAAAGAAAATCGAGGCTTTAGGAGACTTCAGCAAGATGAAGACGGTGGGCAAAAAGGCAAAGAGAATTGGTCTACTCTTCTCTTCAGCGACAGCCGCCTTGACGATCAACCCTGACCGATGCGAGGATATCCCCGATGTTGAAACCGCTGATTATGTCTTTACTGATGGATGTGGTCTCATCGCGCCCAAACTTGCACACGAACTTGCGCGACGAACGAAAATACTCTTCCACGACACTCGATACACGCCGTCCGTCTTTCAAGTCAGATATCGTGGCTACAAGGGTGTGGTAACCCTCGATCCCCGTATGGCTAAGCAGAAGGCTTTACTCAAGTTCCGAAAGTCGATGAAGAAATTTAGTGGTGGGGATGATCATTCCTTTGCCGTGGTTGACTACTCAAAGGTAAAGTAGCCCTATTGATCGGTTGAGAATATAGTTCTCTGACATATTTGAACCTGTTAGCCCTTTTCGTATGGCTTTCTCAACGATGAGACTATCATCCTGCTCCACGCGCTGGGTGTTTCTCAAGAAATGCTGATCTCGAAACAACACGAACATTTCCGTTTACTCAACAGCGCCAAAACCAACTCCCTCGATGCTTTCCGCTTCCTCAGCTACGTCAACCGCCCAGACCTCGCTGAGCGTGTTCTTCTAGACGGGGCCGAAAATGTGAAACCCCAAATCCACGGCTTCATCAACAGTGAGCTCTCAAAAATGCTCAACAAGAAGGACGAGCAAAGATGTCGGATCTTTGTGCAAAAGTCCCGCCTTCTTTTTGGTGTTTGCGACGCCTGCGACGTGCTCCGCGAAGGAGAATGTGCAGTCAAGGTTACGCTGGAGGGAAATGGACAGCCTTATGCGCTGAAGAATACTGAGGTTACCGTCATCAGGAATCCGTGCCTTCACCCTGGAGACTGGCAGAAGTTCAAGGTCGTTGAGCGTCCTGAGCTGGCGCATCTTGTGGATTGTATCGTTTTCTCAACACGAGGGAAACGCCCAGCTGCGGATCTGATGTCTGGTGGTGATCTTGATGGCGATATATGTGAGTTCGTGCTGTTTTTTTGAGGATGAAAAACTCCGCTGACCTGATCTGACTAGTTTTTGTTTGCTGGGACAAAGACCTCATTCCATCAACAGTATCAACTCCAGCTCTTTACCCCGGCGGCCGAGACCCCGTCTTATTCCGCCCTATTACAGACAACGATCGCTTGGTGTACTTTGCCAAATACACGAATGCCTCCCTTGGTCAAGTCAAGAACCTATACCTCGATTGGGCCAGAGCAACAGGGCCCATGAGCGCACAGTGTCAAGAGCTCAACCGTCTTTTCTCGCAGTGTGTTGACGGCAACCGCATCAAGATCCCTGACAAATTGCGTTCTCTTCCGAAGCCTGCTGAAGGTGCTCCGCCTTTCATCTTGGATGTTCTTCATGATGACTCGAAGGAACAGATACGACGAATGACTCTCTCGGCATCAGGGGATCTGGCTGGGCACGATATCGATGCGATACAGCTACTTCTGAGTCGTGAAAACGTCGCCATCACTGAATTTGAGTGTCTCCAGTGGGCTCATACTTGGTGTCGGCGGAATAAGATCTCCTTCGAGAGCCTCCTTCACCTCTTCGACTTCAACGTTCTCACATCGGAACAGAAAGCGTGGGTACTCACCAATGTATCATCATCGCCCAATGCGCCCGCATTAGTATTGAACGCATTGTGCTCGTCCGGTATCCTGGAAGTTGGCGAGCTGCAACAATTCCACCTGGACCACCCTGGCATCAAATGGAAGAGAACGTATGATTCGTCAATCGACCGCCTCGCCACCTTTCACGATGCCGTTGCCACCAACCTGGAGATGTTCCAGCGGACCCTGATTGTTTTCCAGCCTCACGAGCGATTATCCCTGGCCATATACATTCCCAAGAAGATAGAGCGCTCTCAAGACTGCTTGATCGACGATGTAGGCCGACTTTTCGCATTCCCTCATTCTCAAGGGCCAGAGAGACAGCACCGCCTGTCACTACCAACAAAAATGCAATATCAGCTTTATTGCGATGGGAATGTCTTCCAGCTATTTGAGAAGCAGAGGGCAAACTCATGGATCTTTATCACTCGACCTGGCAACAACGACGAGGAGTACCGAAACATACAGAATCAAGGTGATAGAAGAAGAAAGCGACAAGACGTTGTCAACCAGGGGAAGCAAGCCGAGGTTTGTGCAAGTATAGCCCTGGATAAATTCAGCAGGGGGCTACAAACGCACATCGGGCGAGTAAACCGCTCTCCGGTTACAGCTGCAGTACGTGTTCCGTACGTGAATCACCTTGTGGTCCATCCCTAACAGTGAATAGGAGGTCTACGTCATCAGCAACCGAGATGTCGCATCCATGCAAAACCTCGATCTCTGGCTTGAACAAGTCGACACCATTGAGGTTCTGCCTCTCTTCTCAGAGGAAGCGAAAGAGTATACTGTCCCGGACAGGAAAGATTCCCTGCCATCTACGAGCCCATCGTGGCTGGTTGAGATTGTTGTGCATGAGGACCTTGAATCACTGCCGCGGCTTGAGTCGATAGAGCAGTATCAGCTGTTGTTCAAAACAATGCTGGCAAGCAATGACAAGGGGTTTCTGCTGGAGTGCTTCAAACACATTCTGGATAACTTCGATACCATTGTAGTTGAGGCAGGGCCGCTCGTTCAAACGTTGATCGAAACGCTAGACGCCGAGCCAACATTGGTCATTGCCTTTGTCCCGATGCTTTCAATCCCCAAATCACCAGAGCAACGCGATCTCAGAGACATTTTAGAAGCTTCACTCCTTCCAATCATGCGAGCTTTTATTCTCTCGGCAAACACCATCGGCCATCTCATCTTAAGCCCTCTAACAGAGGTCCTTTCCAGCATCTCACTAGGGAGTCTCTCTCTGAGTAACCTCGCGAATATAGTTGAGCTTGCAGCACTGACAATACGATCGACTGACCTAGCGCTCGATCTGTTTCTAGGATGCTTACAACCCAATGCGCCGAAGTGTGTAACTGCAGAACCACAAGCTGTTCAGCACTTACTACGCAACCTGATCGCAATTGCACTGGATCACATTGAAGAGGCCGAGAATGTGGCTAAGCGGCTACCAGGTGTCTTTAAATTGTCACCATATGCGAAAGACAAAACAGGCAAGGTCGTCGAAGCTAGCTTCAGAATTGATCTTACGGGGACACCCAAGAAATCATCGCACGTCCGCTTGACGACTGCATCACTTGCATCGAATGTGCTGGTAGGGATTAACTACTCAATCGATGCTCTAGTGACTTTCTCGGAGACCGGACGTGCGCGGTTTGAGTGTCTTCATCCTCCACTGCCCTATTTCACCGACTGTTCGTGGATCTTGGAGGACTGTGGTCCATTCGTCAACGCGAAATCCATGATCGATTCCGTCACACTACTCAACATCTGCCAGCAAGAGTGCTGTGGGGTAGCTAATATTATCCTCGGACTTCCATCTTTATCACCTGTGCTACCGGAGCGTGTCCATATTAGGAACCCTAGGCTAAATCAAAGCCAGAATGAGGCTGTCAGATTAGCCTTGAACAGTTCGTTCCTCTGTCTCTGGGGCCCTCCTGGAACAGGAAAAACTGAGACTATCGCGGAGATGATATGCGCGCTACAGACAGCCGAGGAGAGGGCCCGCCTTTTAATCACAGCGCCGACACATAATGCAGTGGACAATTTGATGCGTCGATATATCGAACGACTTCGCACAAACCCTGTATCCAGGGAGGCCCAACCAAACGTAGTTAGAGTGTCAACTGAGGTAAAGATACACAACGTTCCAGTGGAGAGGTTCAAGAGGCTGACAATCTGTAGGTGCGCAAGGTTGCAGACGATCTACGAAAGTACACATGCGACGCAATGGCCGGAGAAGAGATCCATTCCAACTTCAAAGCCATGGACAAAGCAGCCAAAATGATCAAACGCAGCGACACCATTTTCACTACCTGCAGCGGAGCAGGAATCGGGTTGCTTCGCTCAGAACAGTTCGACATCGTCATTGTAGACGAGGCATCTCAACAAACAGAACCGAGCTCCTTGATCCCTCTCGTCAAGGGCTGTTCGCAGGCCATCTTGGTTGGTGACCACGTCCAACTTCGTCCTACAATTAACCAGACGGCGCTTGCTTTGGACTTTGACGTGTCTCTCTTTGAGAGGCTTTACACCAAAGTGGATGGCTCGGTTGGTGACGGTGGCTTGAAGACAATGATGCTCGATACTCAATATCGCATGCATCCCAAACTATGCGAGTTCAGCTCGGAACAGTTTTATGAGGGCAAACTTAAGTCAGGGATCGGCATCAAAGACAGACCACTCGCTGCCTCCGACTTCCCCTTCCCTCAAGTAGCATCACTCCACGGACAAGTCGATACTGCGTTAACGAATCATGAGCGAGCAATCTTTATCAACTGCGACTCGAAAGAATCACCAGGGAAGTCCAAGGAGAACCCAGGCCAGGCAGAGCTCTGCTTCCAGATATGCAAGCTCTTGACTACTCAACCCAATGGCCAAATGATGTCAAATTCTATCGTGGTGCTCACCCCTTATACACGCCAAGCCGAGGTCTTGAAGCGCATGCTTTCCAGCATACGGTGTGACATCGAAGTGTCCAGTATCGACGGCTTCCAAGGCCGCGAAGCAGACATCATCGTCTTTGTTACAGTGCGGTGCAATGAGCACCGCGAGATTGGCTTCTTGAAGGACATGCGACGCATGAATGTTGCGTTGACCCGTGCCAGATCAGCCTTGATCGTGGTGGGAAATCGAACGACTTTGACTGAGGGGACCGCGGATGAGGAAGCTTCGTCGATGTGGCGGAGGATGCTGGGTAAGTTGGTGGAAGTGAAGCTTGACGTTCCTGGCTCAAAGCCGGTAACGAGGACGGTATGAGTGAGCAGAGAGCCTTTTTCAGCATTGCCTTGCGAGTGGCTGAACGGCTTCGGGGAGACTATGATATTCTGAGAGTTATTATGTGTGTGATGTTTTCCAGGGGTGTATACGGCCTAGCATTCATTAGCATTCATTAAACTTACACTGATCATACGAGGCACTACCTTCAACAAGACAGCGTATAGCATCACGAAGTTTAAATGAAGAGAACAATGGCCTGCCTTTATTAGACTTTTCGTCATATGCCCAATATTAATTATAAATATTGAATAATATAATTATTAAATTCCAAAAGGGTATGAACAATATTGTAGCTTAGATTATAATAATACTTTCCTTAAATCCTAGCATTTAAATATCATTATATCACCCAAGGTTTATTTATTTATTAGCACCTTAATACACGGGTACTATACTAAGATTGATTTGATACTATAGAACAGGATGCAAGCCCCGGCACTCATTCTTTCTGTAAACGTACTGTTGAAATGTACGGATGATCTTCTGGATATCTTGGTCAGGTGATGGGAAAACATGAGTCATGAAAAGACCACAAAGTCCGTTACTTCGGTCGATGAACTGATGAAAGATTAGATAGGAATAGTAAGCAGTACATGAAAGAGTGACTTGCCCAGAATTGGTTTGTATAGCCACCCCATGCGAGAGTTCGTGGCCCTCGAGTATAGGGTGCTCTTTGGCCATGAGCTTCTTCGATAATCATCCCACCTAAGCCCCAGGTGTAGACCTCGCCGGGATAGAAGTCACCCACACCCATCTTGCTACTCTTGAAGGTAGATTGAAATATCCGTTTGCTTTCTTCTGACAACTGGTCTTGGAACATGAGCTCTACAGAGTGTGCCTGTAGAATTCGTTCGTCGCTTACTAGCAGCGAAAACAAAAGCTTCATATAATCTGCTGCACTGCAATACCCACCGTGTCCTCCGAAACACTCCTCAAGGCCCACGTTTATACGTATCTTCTCAGAAGACGCCTCCAGTTTCCCGGTATATTTGTTTCGGTGCGTCAAGGCGGCGATTTTGTTTGTGCTGCCTGAAGCATCAGGCCAGAAGGTGAAGTCAGAAGCGCTGATAGGATTCCAAACGTGATCCCTCAAGTAAACTTCCAATGACACGCCGCTGATCTTCTCGACAAGCTTGCCGGCCCAATCCACCCCACTGCCATACTCCCAGCCTTGGCCAGGCTCGAATAGAAGCGGCTGGTCAAACCACTCATCAATAGTGGGCTTACTTCCACCTATATCTTCTCGGAAACGACGGAGCCTTTTCAAGTTGGGGTTACTGAAGTCGTAGCCACACCCGGATGAATGAGTTAGGAGGTTGCGAAGGGTAATGGGGTTCCGACGTTGCTGGAAAATGGGTGATCCATCTGCATTCCAACCCGCAAGAATCTGTTGTCGGCCTAAGACTGGAAGTAATTCGCTCACATCAGCATCTAGAGTAAGTAGCTGCCTTTCTACGATTTGTAAAACGGCCACGGTGGTGGGCAATTTTGTGAGGGAGGCGAGCGTGAAGAGGGTTTGGTCGTCGATGATGGTTTGACCAGGCCAAGAGGGCGATGGACCACCCAAGTATTGGGATAATATAGTACATCCTGGCGGAAATTTAGCTCAGTCAGGATTGTATCACTCAAAGTGGTAATACCATCATGGCGCTTGGCTAAAACTGCCAATGAAGACACAACGTCTTCGTCGAGTGATGCATGGAGGAACCTTTGGAAAGTATTCATCATATGAAGGATGGCTGCTGTGAGTGGCAAAAGATAGGTTGACGCCAATTCTTTCCCACGATAGATAGATTAAAAGAGCAGGTATATTAGAAGCTTTGGTCTTGGGACGGTGGTCGAATGGGCGAGCGGAAAGCCGGAGGGATTCGATTGATGGAATAAAAGAGACAGAGCAGCAAAATCACGGAACGGGAAGAGACAACAGGTCGTAGAAATAGATAGTTCCACTCGGGCAATACGATAAGGGCAATACCCTCCGAAACACTGTGACTGGGTTCATTACTGGTCGAAATTATCATGAAAATCTTTCGGGCTAAGGGGGTGTTTTTTAATTGGATTCAGTCTTATGAATGGCGAGGAGAGGGGTGCAAGGTCTAAGATGCTCACGCGGACCCCCAGCGGGAGAGCCCTTTGTCATTACTTAAACATTGAATAAGCATAGTCTTAGGTGTCATGTGCCTTCAAGTAGTGATCAGATATGATCCAAAGTGCAGACATCGAACAGCCTAGATTTCACTTGTAGAGGGGACTTTGGACCGACATAATTGGGGGTTATAATCTCATACTAAAAATAAAGACTACTTTATGCAGTCTTGAGAACCAAACTCAAGTCATCTATCAGGTTAAATATCCAAGGAGCGAGCCAAAGCAACGATATTGTCCGTGCGAAACTCTCCCTGCCCAGAGTATCTCCCTGCGCCATTTGATTGCCCAATGACGTTAGAATCAGCGTCAGCGTTTGTGAGTTTGGCCTCCGGATGAGCATCGTTCGAGACTATTTTGATCTCAGGCTCTTTCATCCCAGGTGAGTCTCCTCGTCCAATGAACTCCAAAATAGCACCAGCTTCGTCTTCCTTCAAGAAGAACTGCCGAAGGCCGGTAGCCAAGTCGAAACTTGGCTCATCTGCAGTAGTATTCCAACCTCTTCCTCTTACTTCGGTAAAGATCGCATCCACGTTGTCGACTTCTAAAGCAATATGATGAACATATCCTCCGCATTTACGCCTCATTGATTTGGAAAAGACAGAATTAGGGGTTAGCCCCTCAGTAAGTATGACTACACGCTGCTGATCGTGTGGAAGCCCCATAACGTGCATCAATCCGTCATCTTGGCCGTCGGGAGCGGAGCCAGCGTTGACAGTGAACGTGCGAATATGCGTAAAGCCCAACATTCGCTCGTGAAACACTTTCGCCTTAGCAGTATTGGGCATGATGGAAGCATAATGATCGAGCTGGTGGGTTGAGCCAACAACAGAATTCAACACATGGGGAGAACCAGTAAAAGTAGCATTTGACGGCTCTTCAGGTGGTGCCTGGCGAAGACTTATGTGATATCCAGTTTGCTCATGATCAAGACCAAGTTCAACCGATCCGTCCTCAGAATTTCGCTCTTCAAAAGAAGCTGCCTCCGCTTGAAGGGTCTCGCGAGCCTTTGCTAAGTTGTACACGGAAAAGTGCATAAACAAGCCAACATCGGCTGGGGAGGCGTCGTCGGGAACCTTGACGATACTAACTGTCGGGTCGTCTGATCCTGGAAGCTGAAATAAACTTCCGTCATGATTTGACTTGGCATTGTAAAGTGTTTTGATTGCCTCAATAGCCCGCTTGACGTTGGTCGTTTTCAAAGTCAGATGGGCCATTCGCTTGACTCCGAGTAGATTCACTGAGCCAACTTCTCTTCGGGTGGCAACTAGATCTTGACATGCCTGCCACACAGAATGATTACCCTCCTGATATCCAGTCTTGGAAAGAACTGTACGAACAAAGACTTTGGTATCACGAGCAGATGCTTCCAGGTTGGATGTGGCAAAGCGTTTCAGGGCGAGGCCACTGCAAGCTCGCATGAAGAGATTTGCAGTTCCTGAATTGGTGACCCACTCTGGAAGCATGTAAATTGACGCAGTGTCAAGCTGATTCAAGATATCTTCTAAGGATTCTCTTGAACTGAAGACATTGTTGGCCCCGGCAATGATAAAACGAGATCCGGGAAGAGCTTGGTCGAAGGTGTCATGAGCCAGGGTAGAGATAACACTCGGAGTCAAAATATATCTCTGAGCGCAAGGAACAAATACCTCTCCCCTGGCACGGGCGAGAAAATTGAGAAGGTGTTGCTCTTCAGTGAATGCGGTCTCACGTAAGGTATATCGGTCAGATTGTAGCTCAACTTGGCTGAGCCCGGCCTCGAAACTTCTCGGATCATAACCCTGGAGGTTGTGATTCTCGACAGCGACGCGACGAGCCCTGTCAATAGCAGCACAATCGATCCCATCATCGTCGATCAGGAACCCATACTGACTGGAGATGCCTACAATTCGACCGATGCCGAGTTGCTTGGCAGCAAGGGCAAAGGTGGTTCCAACACATCCAAAGCCCTGAATCACCAAACGGACCTGGCCAATCAGATCCGGCTTTGTGTAAGCAAGAAGCTCTTTGAGAGTGGTAGCCATGACATAGCCAACACAATATTCTTCCAGGGTCCATCCAGAGTCATTGACAGTCTCTTTGAGAAGAATGGCAACATCAGAGGGGGACGAGCCAGCACAGCCGAGTGAAGTACAGAGTGCGTCTAGTGCAGTTGTAGTGCCTGGTGTACAGTACTTCCTGGCATGTCCGTCAATGATGGCATGGTCGGTGTTGATATCTGCTCCCGTCCCCCAGTACTGGGCAACAACACCAGCGTTATCGCGAATAAAACGCTCCAGAACATAAGGGGCCTCGGGGTGTTCTGGAGAGAATCGAACACCGCCTTTAGCCCCAACAATCTGGGGCTGAGAACTCACACCCAGCTTGGCGCTCATGGAGCGGGCTACATCGCGGACTTCGTTAAACGTTGTCCGCTCATGTAGAAACAACCCACCACCAGAGGCCGTGGGCAAGGGTGAGTCAATGACGATCCAGCCTTCAGCTTCAGATAGTCCATCCTTCCAATGCCAGACACAACATCCATCAATGACAGTATATTCAGGGATGCTTAGGCGTGGAGAATCTTCAATAAGACTGACGGCTACGAGAGCCTCCTTGGCACTGTTGTTGCCGTCAATCTTTGGAAGAGCAGATGGCTTCTCAGTTGAGGGCATAACGTAGGCCATAGTGAATTGAGGTAAGGTTTTGATGAGGTGTTGAGAAATGGCTTTACTTAGGCTAATGCTCGATTTTTGAAATATTTATAGACAAGCACTACTATACCAGTGCGTTCTACGGATCATGACCTATTTATAGTCGGTTGAACCCCCATGGGATATCCCATAAATCCAATCAGCATCATCAAAAACTCCCTTGACCCGAATTCATGCTCCCAGGATTCTCTTTCATTCTATTATGGATAATCATTAACATATCTGGACAATGTAACCCCATTACCTGGACAAAAAACAACGAGTTGCATGACGACTGATTCATCTGCCGGCCGTATCTGAATCTCTAGCTATGCATCAACCTTAAAGGGCACTATGTCCATCTCACATAGTTACAGCTGATCATGGGATGTGTAACAAGAAATCCCTCAAAATGATATGTAGCCTGTGACCACGCACACAATCCAGCTTCATAGGAGTGTCCAAGCGTTTGCCTCTTTTTTATGCCTGACTCAGGGTGTATAGGGCCCCCTTCGTGGAACTTTTGGGGGTGTATGGATTATTGACTGGCATCTCGGCAAGGGTATCCCTCTTTGCCCATGTCATTCATATTGACTCAGTTGCTTTCACGATGTGATTATATGGCTCCCTCGAACTTTAATCACCGCCGCTACTGCATGATCCACGCAAAACAGCATGATGAAGTCTTTTGCCGGAACAAGCCTTGTATCTGCTTCACGAACTTCCGTTCGTCCGGTGCAGACTGAACAATTCCTCACGCTGTTGACCTACGCTCGCGTCTCTCGCTCCCTAGATCCTGTCCACTATTTATATGTCAATACTTGACCAACTTATCCTATAGACATTCATCACTTTCGGTATTCTGAGCCAAATACAGCTTCACGCAAACAAAATTCCGACATTTTCACCGCTGAATTCAATCTCGCATACATCGCCATAATGGGTTCTATCGTCAATTCATCTGAGAAAGCTGTTGCGGGCATCTTCAACTCGTACATTGCTGCTTGCGGTATCGCCGCAGCTTGGGAGGTTGGACTTCTAGATGAATTCCGCACCAACAAAACTGTGAATATTGACAGTTTTGCGACTGTAAATGGCCTGGACAAGAGATCCACACGTGGTTTAATCTCTGCACTCACCACGGCTGATGTACTCAAGTACAATGGTACTCATGTCGTGCCAGGGGGACTTTTTGAAGAGGCCTACCGTACCAAAAGTCTATTCCATTGGCTCACTCTCGGGTCAGGCAGTGTTTTCTCGCGCATGCAGTACATCTTGCGCAACGAGAATCGGGAGGGGAATTTCTTTTCTCGAGATTCTGCCGCTATTGCATACGCATGTCGTGATGCAAACGAGCAGTTCATCGACCCGGTCTTTCTCAAAGCTGTAAATTCAACAGGCCTCAACTATACATCCGTTGTGGACCTCGGAAGTGGCAGCGGCGCCAGGTTGATGCAAATTCTCGACCGATTTCCGAATAGCACTGCGATCGGAATTGATATCGCTGGTCCAGCAATCAAATTTGCCCAGACCGATGCTGAAAAGCGCGGATACAGCGGCCGCATCACCTTCCTTGAGGGGGATGTGAGGAAGCTCGAGTATCGACAAGAGTTTGCTCAAGTTGACATGATCACGTCATTCCTCATGGGCCATGACTTTTGGCCTCGGAATGATTGCATTGATAGTTTAAGGATGTTACGGAAAGCCTTTCCGAAGGTTCGGAAGTTCTTTCTCTGCGACACCATGAGAATACTCGTGGATAACCCTGAGACACGATATGCAGTGTCGGAGGACTGCGTGCCTATTTTCACACTAGGATTTGAATTTGGTCACGCCCTCATGGATGTCACCTTACCCACAGTAGAAGATTGGGAAGGAGTCTTCGAGTCCGGTGGTTGGCGATGTGTCCAGCAGCATCACATGATGCCACCCTCCCTTACCATGCTTTTTGAGTTGGAACCCTTGGAGGGACTGGAGTCTTAGATGTATCCCAGAACGCATTTCTCTTGACGATCTATCAGGTAACCTGCAACCACGTTTGAGTAGAACAATATAGCATGCCATTGGGTTCAGCTACGAGCAGTTGATCGATGCCCAATAGATGAGTTGGCTTGTCGCAAATACACAAATATCATGATGTCTGCACAAATGAGAATTGCGAGTGTTATCAGTCAATCACATATCCAAAACTTCTCCAAATTACACGCACAACCAGGGTATGCCGCAGGGGCAATTGTGACTTCTCCGTATTGTGACGTGTCAAGAATTATGTCGGAGTCTTGATCCTAATCGATACCCTGTTCGACCTCGCGTTTCCAAGTCGATGCTGAGCTGACTCAAGTACAATCGGAAGTGAGCTGACGTCACGTATTCCCACATTTAATCTTTTCTATCGGAATCTCAGTGCATTCGCAGAGGCTCGACCCAACGATTCTCCAGAGCACAGCTTTGCTGAAGCACAAGCATAATAGCCCATACCCATATGATTGCCTAATCTCAAGCCCCTACATCCGAATCAAGGTTGTTTCTCCCGTAAAATCGGTCTGAATCCTGACTTTAATTAGTGTGAACGCCTACTCTTCCTCTTGATCTTTTCTATCCAAGTGGAAAGCTGGATGGGAAATACCAACCCTGCTTGGGCCGTGGCTGAGCTCAGAGCAAGTTTGGTACACTACTGAAAAGATCACGATAACACGTCATATCTGTCATGTCACTACATACTACCCAGACGATCACACAATCGAAGCTGACGTGGGCAGATCCCTTGCTCCGCCTCGAAGCATCAGGGCCTAACAAACTTTCTCACCCTAATTACATATCAAGAAAGTCACAAAACATTGAAGTCTAGTGCGTCTATTCATTCCAACAAAACGGTAGCTAAACTTATGATATTTCACCCCCCAAGCACCTCTTTCTAACATGCCTTTTTTTAAAGTTTGTGACAGTGTTGTGCTGGAGATGATAAATGACTCCTAATTGATATGGCCAGATTAACTGATATCTACACACCCTCGCAATCTCAACAAGGCATCCTTACATTTCACGTAATTATCGGCTCACAAAAACAAGCGGCATGTGCGGAAGAAAGTCCTACGTTTTCGAGTCCCTCACGAGAATCTCATAATGTAAGAAAACGATGGTGACTGTGTTTACTTCTCAGGTAATGAGCCAGATATTATCTACGATTTCCTTTCATCCAGTTTACCAGCTGCCCTTCAGGTCAACACTCACAGTCCTAGTAGCGATCAGATCACAAGTACAGGATTTCAATTTATGGTCAGACCCGCATATACGAAGATCACTCAATACAGGGGGCTGGGCTATAGGTCTGATGATGTAGCCGCTATGGCGAATCCACTGAGGATTTCTTCAGCTCAATGCGCCCCTCAAATCCTGGACCTGGACCTTTGGCACTGAATTGACATTGTTCTCTCTCAAAAAGGTAACTTTCTCCGAGTTTCGACTACGGAGTAGTTTAAGCAAGTTGTGGATCAGGTAGAACTGTCATGAGGCCATCTGTGAGTCATGAAGAAAGTCTGAGATCACACTCGAGGTCTAGAAGTAACCTAACGGACGAGAAGCGGCTTGTGTGGCTCCTTTGAGATCAGACGCCAGCTCCAGATCCCAACACATGTGAGCTAGCATCATTATCGAATGCAAGTATCGGCAATTAGTAATCTTTTCTATCAAGGGCTCTACACCGCAAGCTCGGCTCCCGAGTCTTAAATACAGCGACTCACTTATTCTTTCGACGTTGCGATCTTCTATGTTTCCTCGCAACCTGCTTCCATCTACTTACCAAGAGTCCTCAAATTAATTGCAACTCAAATTTTCAGGGGCATTATGATATTTTCCTCTCCCTATCAGATTGAAATCCCTGATGTGGACGTTCTGACCTATTTGTTTGGTACGTTTATATCAGCTATGTTTGTAGCTCTTTACTGTGGGCCCACTGACTTCAGTAACAGGAACACCGGCTACCAGTGAAGATGACTTCGTGTTTCTGGATGCAGAAAAGCATACCAATGGATTTTCCAAGACGGAATTAGAGGAATCTGTGAAAAGGCTGGCGGGGGGCCTTCGTGAGATCATCAAATTGCAAGACAACAATGTGGTCCTTGCATACACCGAGAATTCTGTAAGCAGCGACCAACTTGTGCGCTCGCAAAAATGTTTCTCACAACTATAGATATGGTACCCAGTCATCATATTAGCGGCGATATGTGCTGGTGGGGTTTTTACTGGTGCAAATCCAATGTACACTTCTATGGGTAAGAGAAAGGGCGTGTTTTCCGACCGCTGCCCTCAATATTGCGAGATTCTACGACATGGCTGACATGATCTGCACACAGAGCTGATCCACCACCTCAAGCTTTCGGGTGCGACATGTGTATTCACGGATCCGCAGCGGATCAACACCGCAATACAGGCAGCTGACGCCGTCGGGCTACCAAGAACATCCATAATCATAGCTACCCGCGATAGCCAAACTACGGTTCAGGGTTTCTATCGTATACCTGACCTCTTAGGCAATCCTTATTCTTGGGAAGTGATCAATGATCCAGAAGTGTTGGACAATAAGTAAGTCATCGCGCCCAAAGAAGAAATGCTCAATCTTACGAAGGTTTAAGGGTTGCAGTTCTCAACTTCAGCAGCGGCACAACCGGGAACCCCAAAGCGTGCATGATAACCCATCGCAACCTGGTTGCCAATTCAGAACAACAACTGCACCTTGCTGAGGTAGCCCGGAGAAGATCACCAAGCTTGGAATATGCTGTGACAGGTACCCACTGCGCCTTTCTACCACTGTACCACGCGAGTAAGTCTGCGGCTTAGCTTAGTTCTCGCCCTTAGCTGATGTGAAAATTAGGCGGGTTGATCACATATTGTATTATCAATGTACGTATGTCATGCAAAACAGCTGTCATGCGGAAGTTTAGTCTGAAACTTTTCCTTGATACCATCCAACGTCTCCACGTTACAGATCTACTGCTGGCTCCGCCAGTAGCTCTATTGCTAGCTAAAAGTGATCTGACACTGCAGTACGATCTTTCCAGCGTTAGACTATTACTCTGTGGGGCAGCTCCCCTTCGACCAGAGCTGTCTAAGCAGCTGGAAGCAGTTTTTGGCAACGGCAAAGTCCGTAGCCGCCAAGGGTGGGGAATGACAGAAGCCACAATGGCTGCCACTCTCTTCGCTCCCGACGAATTCGATCCCTCGCACAGAGGCGTTGGATATCTTCTACCTAATATGGAAATGAAGATAATCAAGGGTAATGGTCAACAGGCAGGATACGATGAGGAGGGAGAAGCTCTCATCCGTGGCCCCAATATATTCAAGGGTTATCACAGGAACCCAAAAGCATCTCAAGAGATCTGGTTCGAGGACGGGTGGCTGAAGACAGGGGATATCGTCATTTTCGATAAGAGTGGGCTCTTGACAGTAGTAGACCGGAAGAAGGTCAGTAACATGCGACAATGGGGTCCACAATGGATGGTTTGGCGTGGCTAACAAGCTTTTAATAGGAGCTAATCAAAGTGAAAGGTTTTCAGGTTGCCCCATCTGAAATTGAAGGGGCGCTCCTCGAACACGAGGGCGTTAGAGACTGCGCAGTGGTTCGAGTAGTCCTGTAAGTACTTGTTTTCGTCCGTTGTCTCACCTTTTCGATTCCAAGAGACTTGTGTGCATATGCTAACCTGTTGTTTCCCCCAGCGATGGCCAAGAACACCCAAAAGCATTTATTGTACCCAGAGACGACCAGGTCACGGTTGCATCCATCTTGACATTTTTAGAAACTCGACTATCGGCGTACAAGAGACTTACCGGCGGCGTTATTTTCGTACATACCATACCCAAATCCCCATCAGGAAAGATTCTACGCCGGTTACTTCAGAACTCGGTCCTGAAAGGATCTGCCCATCTTTGAAATTAGAACCTTAGGTGACTTACCAGTCACAAACTTCCTTTCATTTGAATAGTACTTGAACAACGTCTTGAAGTCTAGTTTGATAGCATTTGCGTGTGTACATGGCATGATATGATATTTTTATATGTGATTTCACTTTTCTCATGTCATTGTATGCCAGCTGCTGAGATTTAAGGTGATTGAAGTTCATGATGTCCAATTCCCTTTTGTTAAAACCGATCATCAACATGAGAAACCTCGACTGATTGTTCCATGATCGGCTGCATGTTGATCTGCATCGATTTTCATATCTTAACTGATCAAGTACTTTGAACACTGCAAAGGCGATAGCATGCAAACCTTTTTTTTTTTGTCATCTTAAAGATTCAAGAAAAGACGCAGACGAGGACCAAGGAACCACTTTCTCTCGGTACGATCAAGGATGCAAATAAAACTCCTACTCCACATAGCGCTAGAAATAGTTCCGCACGCGCCTTCGAAGGTCGAGAACCTAGTCCTGTTGTGGTTGGCTGACGCATAGTGGGTTCAGCTGTAGCCGGATGAGCGGACATATTTTAAAATAAGGTTTGTTTACTGTTAGATCTAGACGCTCCTACGTGAAGGGGTAACGAATGTCTTTTTTATGCGGACAACGATTGTACAACGCAAACCCCTGGCTGTTTCATACTACACCTTACTCAATGGGGTATTTCTCCTATCATGGTTAAATGACTAGTGTGCTTGTGGTGTGGAACACGTTGAGGGATGTGGGAGGAAAAGCCAGGTTTTCCACGTACGGCTGTGTGATATACGTGTTTACTTGATTGGAGTTTAGTTGCCGTCTGCAACATCTATTGTCTTGATTATATTGAGTTTGACCTCAAGCTTGTTTTTATTTTTAATAACATCGAGAGATTTGGAAAACCTGGGATTGATAAAGGTTAAAGCAAAATGAAAAAAACTATGTATCCTATAGACAAAAGTGTCGTCCAGCCTTTAGACATGAGGGGGCGGTATCCAAGTTGTTATGATACATCGCCAAGTTAGGTCGTCCTTCTCATCAACCTTCATCCGAAATACCATCGCTTTCTTGCTCGACACTTGGCTGTTCATGTCATTATCAGATGAATACCTCCGTCGCCCCTCAACTCCACCGTGAGTCACTACCGGCTCCATGTCTTACTACAGTTAGTAAGGGTATGTACGGATCTCCACTTTATAAAGGTTTTGAGGGACTTCTCGGCTTGAGTCAGGCAGACATGACTCGAGAGTATGGGATACGTACACCTACACCACATCCATTGAAATTGCCTATCTAGGTCGTCACAGTCGGGAGTTGATCACTTGCCGAATCTCGGCAACAGGAGACTATATTTAGAATACGTCGTGGGTCGGTTGCTTTGTCCCTATGACTGTCACTTAATGGCACGGACCTCGACGGAAAGTTAAGAGGCGAGATTAGTATATCCAGATAATTCTAGTATGATCAAAACGAAGAGTAAGGGATCTTGTAGCGCCCTTAACCTCGTCATGTCATCGAAATGATGACCTACTTCTTATTTAGAGTATACTTATTCCAGTCATACTTAGCTTTCCCTTTTGAATGACATATGGTGGTGGGTTTTATACACCTCGCACTAAACAGACCTCTAATCAGTTCAGTCATTTATGAGTTATTTAGAACTAAATGTTAAGCAATGACTTTCTAGTAGTATACTCATAATAGATATAAGCGGTGTAATTATTAGTATGATAGATTCTAATACAGTAACTTAATTAAAGCTATTTTAGTAGAGTATTTACTTACTTAATACTTAGCTGTAAAATCTGCAGGATTTGAGTTATTAAATAGTATAGTACTGCTCAAGTGTATTATTTTATAGCTGAATATCGTAAATAATCCCTCTTATACATATGTACTTAAAAAGCCAAGCTAAACTCTACGTATACAGTAGAGTATTAACTCAAGAATTATATTTAATAAAATAAGTGTTTTTACTGAGATTGAGGAATATACTAGTAAGATAGTATAATACTCACTATTTTATAATTATAGAAATACTAAGGTTATTTGTTATGGAGTAAAAAACCTTGCTTGCTTTTAAATATTCTTGGACTTTATAAAAATAAAATATTATAATACTAGTAGCTATATTAAATATACTTTATATCTTACTTTCATAAATACTAACTCTACTATAAACTTATACTAGCTTAAAATTAGATTATATTAAAAGTAGAATTATTCCTAACTGTAATTTTCTTCATATAAAAAGCCTTTAAAAATAGGTTGTATTCTACAGTACTCTTATAAATTTAAGCTTGCCAGTTTTTAATTCAATTATAAACTCTATTATGCTTAATATACTTTACTTAGCTTACTATATCTATAGATATAAACTTAATATAGTCTAGTTTATCCCTTAGAAAACCTAATTATTATATTAGAGTAGTTTTATTAAAAGTATCTTAGTATTAATTATTTAAATTATAACTCTATTATTAACTTTCTTAAGTAAATAAACTTGATAATAGCTATTACTAAATATTCCTTAATTAATTACTATTAAAACTAATAATAATATTATATAATAAGTTTATAAAAGAAACCTGTTAAGTAATGGTTATTTATCTTAGAATACTTATGAAACTATAAACGTAAATATATAGCTATTAAATAAATTAGTTATAACTTTCTTATTATATTATTTTATAATAAAAGTTTTATTAATAAAGGACTCAGTCAAGACTAGTGTGATATATTTACTAGGTACAGACTGTGAATAAGTTATATATATAACTTGAATATATTTTAAGTTTTAAACTGTATACCGTATTAAACCCACTTTAAACTATTAAACCATATAAAGCTACTTATTAAGCCCTTCTCTAGAGGGCTCTTTAACCTCTTAATGAAGTATTATATTCTACTTAGCTGGTAGTAATACATCGGCAGTTACAGAAGGGCTTTGTGTTCTGTTGCATTGTGCAGACAGGACCGTGCGTGGGCCCTTAACCGGCTGCTAAACGATCTGCATTGAAATGGGCCAACCTAGATTAAAAACCCTTGAATTTTAAAGTTTGCTCAGAAGGGCCGTTCCGCGACCCACTTGTCGTCTCATTGGAATCGGTTCTGTCACCTCGGGGGGTATCCTCCGTGTCTTGCTACCACACCCCCTCCTGCCCAGCGCTTAACCGAGAAAGGATCGACAGCTTTCGAGGCCGAGATGATACCGTAGGTGGACGACTGCAGATCTGAGACAGGAGTGATTAAGTCCCGTTGTTTTCATGTTGGCGCTAGAAGAAGGTACACAGTCGCTTTCCTATTCATCCGTCTCCGTTCCATCCTTGCAAGTAACAACCGCACTTTAACAAGGCATAAGGGAGTGGTGATTCCATGCGCATGAAAAGAGAAAAGAGAAAAGAGATAACTAAGAGAACAAGCCCACCCTACGAAAGAGATTGCCATAATATAACCTAATATCAGTTACAGTTCACAGTATACGAGGAGGTTTAATTCTTATCTCGAGTGGTCTGTCACAACCTATCTTTTAACTTATATTCTTACCCCTCTTTATAGCCATCGTGTTTTCCGTAGTTCAGTAAGGCTCTAATACTATTTTGGATTTATAGAGGTAGATATTCCTGCCCTATACTTAACAAGCTTTAATACTGGGATCGCTGGCTAGGAATAAGTGTAGTTCTAATAGGATGACCTCCTAATAAGTTTCTTTACTAAAGTACTATAACCTATCTCTATATATATATTGAATAATACTGAAATAATAACACTACTTAATTTCTCACTACCAGCGTCTTAATGAGTTCCCATTTAGGCCGTGTGCTGACGTGAGATTTTGGGCGACTTTTCGTGACCGTCCTCGGACCTCAAATTGAAATATCCAACTATCACACCAGAATATAACGCAAAAGTCTACTGATCTTTTTAGAAACATCATGGCATCATCCAACTCATCACCAGATCATATCATCTACCCTACGCATATGATTGACAATGTCTCGGTCATCAAGTCCCTCGTCATGGCATGGACCCTGCGTTTCAACGATGTCCTAGACGCCGACAAACTTCACCACACACTTTCGGATTTGCTTCAAATTGGCGATTGGAAGAAATTTGGGGGAAGACTCAGAGTTGGGATTAATCCTAGAGGAGCGCTGGAAATCCATGTTCCTTCGACTTTCACCAAGGACAAACCCGCTATATCCTTCTCACATGTGTCATACGATATTGGGATTGGAGAGCATAAGCAATCAAGATTATTACCAAAAGCAACCTTTCGGCCATCGATCCACCCGGCAATGGCCCATGAGCTAGCCATACCGCCAGGTGCCCCTAAGTCCCTCAAGGACTTCACCAGCAGAGAGGTACCAATGCTTTCACTCCACATTGTTTCCTTTCAAGACGCGACCTTGGTAACAATTTCTTGGCCTCACGTTCTTTTTGATGCTGTTGGCTTCTCTCACCTGGTCGAGGCGTGGTCATCGGTCCTTGCGGGTCGCAAAGAAAGGGTCCCAGCTCTCATTGGGGCTAGAGACGATGTTCTGTACGGCATCGGAGATCTGTCGCAAGCCAGTCCTCATCACTTATCGAGTGAAAGCCGGATTCTTTCGGGTCTGGCGTTACTGTGGTTTGTTGTCAGGTTTATTTGGAATATCCTCGTCAACCCAACTGTGGAGAGCCGTGTCATCTGCATCCCCAAAGATGCAGTAGAACGACTACATCAGAGAGTATTGGACGATATCCAGGACGGGAAAGATGGTGTACATGATCCCTGGGTCAGCCCAAGTGATGCAATTCTTGCTTGGCTCAGTCGAACTATGTTTGACTCTGCGTCCTATCCCGTCAGTATGACCACTCCGATTGACGCGCGCACACGCCTATCTCATTTCAAGGATGCAAAGGGTGTTTATATCCAGAACATGATACTAGGTTCTTTTGTTGCATTGTCTCCCAAAACGTTCCAGGGACCATTGGGAAATCAAGCTCTCGAGAGCCGACAGGGTATGCTGGATCAGATGGAAGAAACGAACCTCGTAGGTATACTGCAATTATTCCGCAAACGCTGGGATATTGGCAAAACCCGAGCACCGATATTTGCCGCACCTGGTAGTGTAATCCTCACCACCAACAGCAGACTCAAGGTCGATCTTTTCACAAAGGCCAATTTCAGTCCGGCGGTCCTTCAAGTAGATAACAGCCAAACTCGGAGTAACCCGCTTGGTACCCCGGTTTATCACTATGCAGCAACAATCAACCCAAGCATCGCATTCAGAAACTTTGTTAACATTCACACAAGAGATCCAGAGGGAAATTACTGGTTAACGGGGTTCTTTACACCACGACAGTGGTCGAAGATTGAGACGAGCTTTGAGAAGTTAATATGAGTAGATCTAGTGAATATGCACAGTGGGTGGGCAAAGGTTTACATAAGTTCCTTCTTTCTAAATTTTCTATAAAATAATATAAGTTTAAAGAATAGAAGTTTTATTATTTTATATAATCTTAGGTAATCGTATCTTACATTCATCAGTAAAATATTTTAATTAGTATTCATCTTATATATCGCTATTGTTATTATTATTTCGTTTTTTACTTTAATCTTCAGCACCTTATCTCCTGGTCGGGATTTTTGTCTTCTACCGGCGTGCAGTATTACTTTCTATCAGGTAGTTAGATAAATGACGTCAAGAGAACTATTTCATAAGAAACAGATACTATGACTTGCATGCGTGTGATTTGCAAGTATATCCACTTGGGCATTAACATTTGAGCAGTAATAGATATTCGAAAAATATCTATAAATGGCGATTATACAACTGTACTACTAGTAACTGAATATGTGGTAGTGTTAGTTTTGGGCGGAGGCATTGTTGGAGTAATGAAACAGGGTAGGTGTTAAGTTTTGACGGTTGAATCCGAACCTCTTTCTCTTAACCCCTGTATCCAGGGAGTTCCAGCCAAATGTGGTGAGAATGTCAACTGAGGTCAAATGCACATCCTAAGTCGATTCGATCATGGTTGTATTACGTAGCTGACAACTTATAGGTGCGTAAGGCTGCAGACGACCTGCGAAGGTGCATATGCGACGCAATGACTGGAGCAGAGATCCATTTAAACTTCAAAGCCATGGACAAAGCAACAAACCTTACGTTTAAAATAGACACCCGGTCTCCAGCTAAAGTTTAAAGAGAACTTAAATCTTTCCGTTTCTATTTAAACTTCAAGCTCCATATATAAGTACAGCTTTCCCCCAACCATTTTCGTATCGCCTCGCCCTTCACTTGACCACCTCCCAAGCCAACATCAATCCCCATGACCACCATCGCGCCATTATGTAGGCTTCCAGCCGAACTAAAGCTGCAAATAATCGAAATGCTGTCCATCTTCGACGTTCGATCAGTCACTACAGCATCCCCTGGTTTCTTCCGCTATTTCCTTTCCGCACGCCGCTACATCCATCAGTTCTTTATAACCAGACTCAAAACAGAAATGTTCCAAAACGAGCATTTGCTCTCGCGCGCAGTACTTGCTACCCATCTTCGACTACTGCCGCAAATCGGCCCGTTTCCTGGTCCAATGGTAAGGTCCAAGATCGAAACAATTATAAATTCCCAACCTCTTTCTCTCACAAAGTGGGAGGGCAGTTTGCCAATCTTTTGCGACCTCTTTCGCCAGAGGCACGAAGCCAACCAGCTTATCAGAGAGTATGCGACTGAAGCATGGGATAAGTTGGCGTGTGACCTTGAAAAAGAATCCCAGGTAGGGTTCCGACCGGTCGGATATTCTTTTTCTGAGCCCGTCAAGCTCTCTCCTTCTGAGTTGTATCGCCTTGAAAAGGGCTTTCTGCAGTTTGAGATCCATCGGCACTCTCTGCATTATCATCATGCTAAACTTCTGCGGACCAAACTAAGCTTAAGTATGGCTCTGTGCAACTGGAACTTTTGCACAGAATCACGAACAGACAAGCTAAGAGACTGGAAACTTAGAGCTTTCCAGTCAATCTTCCGCTTCGTTTTTGATGGCTATCGTCGTCTGATTCATGAGGTTGAAGATCGGCTCTGTCGTGCGACCGAACAGCTTACTCAATGGGAAATCGATCACATGTCACGGTTTCGCCAGAGAACAGTCCATCAAGAGCTACTACATGCCGTACATCTCTCTTCCCGCGGCTATGGCCTGCTACAGAATCTTCAAAAGGCCCATAAGGCCCAGCTCCAGCAGTTTATATTGGTGAGCTTCTCTGCTATGTGCTTTCACGAGCGAAGTTTAGCTTCCCGCACCTCCACACCGGAAGAAAATGCCAGACTTTGCGGATCACTTGAACTCCTCAGTGGAGAAGCAGGTTCTCGTGACGAGCCATGGACACGAGCCAGGTATTTCTGGGACAGGGAGCGAGTTGATGCGCTGATGGATGTTATATGTTCTCATTGTTAGCCCTCCTAGAGGTGACCGAAAGAAACAGATTGATTGTTATTCCACAGCCCAGTAGTTAGATAATACACTTCGGTAGGTCAATGGAGACGACAGCTTATGCACCAATTGGGCAGGTATTGAGCTGTAAGGCGATGACTAAAAATGAGTAATTGTTCCATTTTCTTATGGAAACGCAAAATTTTGTAAGCAGGCTGCTGAGCTAGCATGTTGATCAGGCGTGTAGATCCTTCCTGTATTTGGACGTAGGATGCGATACCTTCTGATCCTGCCAGCATTGAGAGGATACCTTGTGGATTGGAATATTCGCGCTCACCTGAGCCAGACCGTTTCTTAATGGATATGTCAGGGATTAAGACGTTATTTTCAATCATACAAATCCACTATGTACATGGTCAGAGACGAGATAAATCCACAGAACATATCACATTCATTTGGTTGTTGAACTGGGATACAAGATATGGACCCACTTGGCTATACCAAAAGGAGAATCCGGAGCTTAAAAATCGTAGGGCTGTCATGGCAGTGAATAAGCAGCAATACTAGTTAGTTATCACAACCTGCATGTCAGAGAACAGGTACCGTACAACAATTCAAGTATAAAGAGGAGCAATGGACTTGAGAAATAAAGATTCTTTCACTATACTCAGCACCCAGTTTCTCAATACTCCTCTTTGGCAATCAAAATGCGATATCTTCAACTTGCCATTGCCTCATTGGCTTCAATTGTTGCCGCCACTTCATCTTTTGACACTTGGGCTCACGGCCGAGTTGCTCTAAATGATGTCAGCATTCACTTTCGCTATGCTGGTTCAGGACCTCCTCTTCTTCTTGTTCACGGAAACCCCCAACACAGTCTGACATGGCAATTCATCGGTCCTATCCTCGCCCAGAATTACACTGTTATCGCCCCAGATAACCGTGGCGCTGGCGATTCAAGCATCCCCCCGGACGGTAATTACACTGCAGCTGCTTCAGCCGATGACCTCAAGGGTGTTTTGGACTTTTTGAACATCACATCTGCATATGTCTTTGCTCACGATAAGGGCGTCGGTATGGCAACCGCTCTTGCAATCAAGCACCCTGATCTCGTAAAAAGACTGGCTTTGGCAGAGTATGCCCTTCCCGGGTTCTCCTATGAGCAGGCTGCAACCCCAGCGCCTTACTGGGACCTTTACCAGAACTGGCAACTGGCATTCTTCCAGGTCCCCGACTTGGCCGAATTTCTCATGTCGGGTAAAGAAAAGCAGTTTCTCCAATGGTACTTCTACCACGGAAGCTACTCTGGCGTCGAGAGTTTCAGTGAGGAGACAGTCAACAGATACACCAGCAGTATCTCCAAGCCAGGATTTCTCAGGGCAATGCTTGGTCCCTTCTCTAGCTCAACTGTCTACCAGGACGCGAATTTCTTCAAGGTTTCTCTGAACAACACCTCATTGAGTGTACCTCTACTTGGTATGGGAGGTGAGGCAAGTTTGGGGCTCAAGGCAGACCTGCTGCAGACTTATAAGCCAGTTTCTTCAAACCTTGAGACCGACACTATCCCCGAAGCAGGACACTGGATTGGTGAGTTCTCCTCTTGTATTTTGAGGCATATTGCTAATAATCTGACAGCCGATGAAAATCCCAAATGGACTGCGAAGCGTGTGGCAAAGTTCTTTGGTCAAGATGACAAACAGCTGTCGGAAATTGATCTGGGATATTTGGAAAATTTGGTTACCCTTGATGTTGGCTTTTTTGGTACCAGGAGGAATCTCGCGCTGGGTACTCAGTGAGAACGCTACCATGTAATCGCTACCAAGTATAAAGCGTGTCCATGGTATGGCAATCTATGCTGACTGTACTTTGGCAGACATAAAAAATTTACTTTGGCGATCAAACAGTGGTCAAAGCATACAGACAGAATTGGCAGACCCGGTATCATGAGGCAAAGACGCCTCGTGGCGGATTTGAGGATAAATACTCTTATAAAATAGTTACAATGAATTGTTGCACCTGGCAACCTTTAACCCTTGACTTATATGTCCTTCACAACCATCGCGAAGCTTATTTCTTGACCGCACATCCAATGCGCTTTGAGCTGACAGCAATGTCATCGAACCAGAAAGTGTTGACAGATCCACTGTAGGACTCCCAGCCAAAGTAGACACCCTCGATCTTGGGCTTGGGCTTGCTGTTCTTCCAGCCGTTGCTGTACGGCGATGGGTCGTTGGGCTTGTAAACAAGACCCTTGACGGGGCTGTCGTTGAGCCAGGTGGCGATGGTGCCATCGGGGTAGAGATGGTACTCGAGGCACTGCCACTCGTTGGCGGGGATGTTCTTGGAGGCGGCGATGCCGTCGGGGGAGAGATCGGGGAGAGTGGCGTCGTCGGACTCGTGGTTGTACATGAGGATCTTGCTCTGGCCGCCGATTCGGAGGTGCTTGCCCTTGCCCTGAGCGGAGTCGGGCATGGTGATGAAGGTGACGTGAGAGTCATCGAGAGCCTTAGCAGACTTCCTATAGTGGAAGTGGTCAGTAATATGTCTTAGCGATTGCATCTAAATGTCAACTTACATCCAGGTCCTGACGTAGACATCACCGGAAGGAATGGCGTCAGTGCCAAAGAACTTGTGTCCACAGAAACCATTGCTGCCACCAGTGACCTTGATGGAGTTCTTTCCACTGTGAGCAGTAGTTTTGTCGAGAACAACACTGCCACCCTGGTCACAGTCGGGCGCGTACTCAGGCCAAGCGACCTTGTCCCAACCGCTCTCAAAGTCCTCAGCGACCTGGCCGAGGGTGAGAGGAAGCACAGAGAGTGCAGCAAGAGCAATTTGGCGAAGCATGATGAAAGAATTGGAAATATACAAGAAAAGGGTGAAAGAAGAATAGAAGTGTTTGTTTGAGAATGAGAATGAGAGCCAAGCGCCAAGAAAGATCGTGACGCTGGGCGATCTATTTATCAAGATCCCTTCTTTTGATGCGAGAGCCCTGTAATTATTAGGGATTGGCGCCTGAAACAAAGGCGGTTCTTCGTCTGAATTGCTATTGGTGGTGCAGGGATGGTGCGGTAAACTCGGAATCGAGAGCCCGCAATTTCCATCTCGGGCGCGGGCAGTTGAACCTGAGACGGATTCGGGAAAAGCGGGAAATTCTTCCGTCGAAGGGTGTGAAACAGGGTAATTATCCGTCTCGCTAATATTTATATTCTCTAGATTGTCTTCGCGTACTGATTATCGCCATATGCCATTTCTTTAGTATTATTGCTTCTTCCAGTATCCAAGACCCATTTTCCAGCAATGCTATCCTCAGGGTGTAAGTGTTCTAGCGCATAAAGATAGAGAATCGTGAGATGGAGTTGAAAAGAGGCAGATGTCTGTCTGGGCAATGTGGAAAAACCGGCATTGATCTGCCTAACACCTGTGCCCTATCACGTATAGATATCTCTTAAAGTCCAATTATCATGCGGTGTGACTCATGGAGTAATTCTCTGAGAAATGGCTGTTGGTCGTAGACAACAATATCTTGTTTCAATCCAATCATTGTCGCTGATCTCGAACCCCACCTAGCCAACCAACGCTTCGCCGCATTGTATAAATATTGCATACAAACAGGAAACAAATTTGGACATTGCTTTTCATTCCGTTAACACTTTGGGAATTATCTCGTCTTTTATGATCATACCTTACGGAACCAGCAACTCCGAAATAGCATCCTCAGGTAGTGATGGGCGCCTCTCCTCCACCTACCCCGCTTCCAAGGGCACCTCACAGTGGTGAATTGAGGTTCAAGAGTATCACGTCACCGTGTGAATGGATTGAAGACTACTATCCCGGTAGCTACCATCCGGTTATAATAGGTGATCTCTTTGATGATGGCCGATACAGGGTTGTTCGGAAACTCGGTGAAGGATCTTCTTCAACCGTTTGGCTGGCACGCGACCTGAGGTAAGTAGCCCACCTATCAGACTATAGTGACCGGATATTAACTTTAACCAGAGACGCTAGATACGTCGCCCTAAAGATATTGGTATCCAAAAGGACAAAGTCGAGTCAGGAACTGCAGATCCTGCACCACCTTGCTAACGTTGCACCCGAAGACGGAGCACAATACATTACACAGCTTGTTACAGAGTTTGAGCACCATGGCCCGAATGGTGTACACAAGTGTCTGGTTCTGGAACCTATGGGTCCTTCTGTCAATTCTATGGTTGAAGAACTGCCTCAATTCAAACCGAGATTGAGAACAATGAACATTCGGTATCCGCCTCAAATGGCGAGAAGCATACTCAAGCAGTCGCTACAGGGATTGGCCTTCCTCCACAGGAATGGCATTGCTCATGGAGACTTCCATCCTGGTAATATGCTCTTTTCACTCACAGATATCAACGGTTACGAGGAAGATGTTTTGCGACAAGTCGAAAACGTCGAATCCCAATCAACATCGCCCCCCGTAGTGCGACGCGATGGCAAGCAGGATAAATGGGCCCCTCGATACCTCTGTATCGCGCAGCCACTTGGGTCCTTCGCGAGCCCTGTCGATGAGTTCAGAATCAAGCTATCAGACATGGGCGGAGGTAATTATTACTGAGATACGTCCAGAATCACAACTGACAATCGCCAGCATACTACTTCAATAACCCACCTGAGGAGCCCACCACTCCAGCCGGACTCCGTGCCCCAGAGCTTGTGCTCAAAGGGGAGGTTAATCCCTCTTTGGATATCTGGAGTTTCGGGTGTCTTGTTTTTGAGTTGACAACTGGACAGCCTCTCTTCTGCGTACCTAGGTTATACTCCGAGGCGGAACAAAAGGAAGACCACCTTCTTTCGTTACAGGAGCGTTTGGGTCCCCTGCCAGATGATCTCTACTGTTTATGGGAGACATCTTCGCAATACTACACGCCCGACAGGAAACTTTACAATTATCAGCTTGGAGGCGTCCCCGAAGGCGAGGAGCCTCTCGAGATCCCGGAGCAGCTGTCAATGGAGGAGGCATTCGATCAAACTAAACCCGAGTTAGATAAGGAAGAAGCACAAAAAGTGAAGAATCTTGTCAGATGGATTCTACACTATGATCCCTCCAAGAGACCCTCTGCTGATGAGATCCTGCAGGATCCTTGGTTCGCTGGAGCTTAGAATCGAAGCTGGTGTAGTTCCCTTAGTACCTGGGAGGCCTCGGGAGGGACTTTGGTACGAGCACATGAGACAGATATGTTGTGCTGTATTTATGGGAAAGGCTTCTTTCATGTATTTTTCTAGTAGAACTGAGAGGAAGATCCGTGAGAGCTAAATACTTCGCTTTTCTACAACATGGTATTCGGAGCCGAAAGTCAAGTAATGCGCGAATGTTCACCAACACTATCGCACACACGATGTCAAGGCGGACATCGACAAGGAGGACTTGATCAGTTGTAGATAAACAAGCTCTAAGCAAACCACCATTGGATCTCATACTCAAAGTCTATACAGACTTAGCACCATTGCCTACTATCTCTATTCTTAAGAAAAGTTCATTATTAGTACCCGACCTGAATCACAGCCGATAGCCACGGTTGATTTGAAGACAGCCGATGACTTAGGACGATACTCGGAAGGGAGCCAAAGAACCTTCTCGCCATCTTTCACAATCCATTGTCCAGTAATATTGATACGGTGACTAGACCAATTAGAACCTGGTAAGGCAGTTGTCCCAATTGACCCGGCAGTAACATCAGGCGTTGAGTTTGGTAGCTTTAAGTCCAGAATACCGATGTCAGTGTAGAGCCGAGAGTTCGTTCGTAAATCGAAGGATAGGCGAGAGAGACTTGTACCGACGCTGATTGTGTGCAGACACACAAACTGATTTAAATCCCAGATCTTAACTTCTTCATCACATGAGCCTGATGCCAGATACAGGGAATCCACCGAGAAGGCTATTGCTGATATTAAACTGGTATGTCCTTTTAGCATTTTGAAACTGTGCTCTCTGATATCCCAAATCCTAATCATCATGTCTGAGCCGGTTGCGAGACACCGACTATCGGCTGAGAAGGCCACTCGGCACACGTCATGATCATGCTCAAGTGTATGTAAGCAATCACCCGTTGTTGCATCCCAGATCTTGGCTGTTTTCCCACTTGAACCTGATGCAAGATATTGATCATCTGCTGAGAAGGCCACTGAACGTACCATCCCATCGTCATGAAGTGTATGGAGGCATGTGCCAGTTGTAGTTTCCCAGACCTTAGTTGTCCAATCATCCGAGCATGACACTAAGCGATTGCTATCCGCAGAAAAGGTCACAGAGTTTATTAGCCTGCGATGGTCTTTGAGGGTCCGTAGGCATATTCCTGTTTCTGCATCCCAGATCTTGACAGTAGTATCGACTGATCCTGATACGACTCGCAAGCCGTCTTCCGAAACGGAGATAGATACCACGGGTTTGTCATGATCTTCAACCCTTAGCAGGCAAGCGTCGATTGATGCAGCCCAGATCTTGACTAAATTATCATCTGAGCCTGATATAAGATGCTGGCCATCAACTGTGAAGGCCACAGAGCCTACTGGACCTCCAAAGCCCTTCAGAGTCTGCAAGACTGTGCCGGTCTCTGCATCGAAGAGTCTTATCACGGAGCCGCACTCACCTACAGCGAGATGTCTACCATCCGCTGAGAAAGCAATTGCGATCCCTGAAGGCGAGGAGCTTTCCAATATTGGCAGACTGGAGCCTGTCGTCGCGTCCCAGACTTTAATCGTCTCATCGACCGAGACTGACGCAAGACGCTTACTATCTGGCGAGAAGGCTACTGAGGCTACTATATCATCGTGAGCCTGCAGCGTCTGTAGACATGAAAATGATTTTGTGTCCCAGATCTTAACCGTTGTATCTTTCGATCCTGTCACGAGACGCTGGCTATTTGGCGAGAAGGCTGCTGAAGTAACCGAGTCAGAATGGTCCTCAAGAGTCTTCAAACATTTTCCTGTTTTTAAACTCCAAATCTTGAATGTGTCATCTAAAGATGCTGATAAAAGATACTGGCCATCTGGAGAGGAAGCAATTAAGTGCACGGATTTATCGTGGCCCTCTAGCGTCCGTAGACATAATTCTGTTTTCGTGTCCCATACCTTGATAGTGTTCGAAGCCGATACAAGACTTTGTCCATCTGGTAAAAAAGTGATAGAATAGATTGCAGAATCATGCTCAAGAGTATGTCGGCATAGGCCTGTTGTTATATCCCATATTTTGACTGTCTTATCGCCTCCGCCCGACGCAATAAGCTGGTTGTCTGGTGAGAGGGCCACTGACAATACTGGACGGCTATGACCCTCAAGGGTTTGTAGGCAATTATTCCAGTTCTTATCCATCTTTGGCTTTGGATTTATCCAGTCCGGCCCCTCATGCTTGAAGAGCTCTCGAATAAGGCTATATTCTGGACTAAAGACTAGTGCCGAGGCATAGATTTGCAACGGGGCAATCTCGATCGGTCGTTTATAGGTGCGGATAAAACGGCGCGCATCTTGAAGCAGTTTCGTCACTGGCTCTGGAGCCTTGAATCTCTAGGTACGATTGTTAGGTCATGGCTCATATTTGCTCCAAACAACTCACAGCAGCCAAATCCTCGAGCTTATATACGGCCTTTACACCTTCTATTGTGCTACCCAAAAGACTGAGAGATTCCAGCCAGTATAAATACTTCTTCTGGATGAACACATGAATATCACCACCTTCTCTCAGATTGTTTTTGAGACTGGTGGGCTGAGAGTCGTTGAGATGGTCTACCCAATAAACACAAGAGTATCGGATGGGATCCAGTGGCTCGAGGATATTTGGTGAGATGTCATGAATTTCAAATCCTGGATGGTTGAGTTGGCAGATGTCGCGTCTCAGAATCTCCGATAGTGCCTGCAATGATCTCTCAAAGATAACTTCGTGTTGATATGCAAGACCTGAAGGCAGAACTTGATCTAGTGCCTTATTGAGCAGGAAGTCTTTGGCCGATTGATGCAGGAAATAGATGGCATCTCCCCGGAGTGTCAAGAAAGAACCACAGCAACCGATAATTTGTGGCAGCTCATCAAACTCATCCTCGTACTGTGGCCCCAGAAGAGTTTTCAACTCAGTCAAGGTAACTGGTCTATACACGACAGAAGCAAGAGCCAGTATCTCTCTACATATCTCTGCATCATGTGAAGAAGAGATGTATCCCATCATCCTCCCGTATAGCGGGTCAAGTCCCCTTGGGAATACCTCCAGCCTGATGCGGGTGTGACTTTTGCGGAAGACTTTGCTATCTGCAAGCTCTTGACAGACCAAAGCGACCCATAGAAACGTGCCATCGGCATTCTTAGCTAAGAACCTCTTGACGTCACTTTCGATTTCTGCGTCGTATTGCTTTTCTTTGGCCAACTGCTCCACCTTGTAATCGATAAATGCCTCAACAGCCTTGCAAATTGAGTCTTGATTTAACTCAAGATGTAGCCTGACTTTCTGCGGGGAACGATCCAGCACCTGTTCGATTTCTGGCCAGTTACGGCTAGTCACGATCCATTTGACATTGCTAGACCTGACTATCAAGTCAAGAAGCCGCTCTTGGTCCGTAATACACTCATCAAGAGCATCAACAATCAGGAGTATTCCATCCAGTTTTCCGTCTTCGAGCATTGCCATGAAGATTTTGGATAGAGCCTGCCATGCATTGCGATCCTCAAAGAGCTGTTTTCCCGCATGGTCGTACTTCTCCTCAATATAAGAGATGAGCGGTGGTCGTTGAATAACAACACGGTAGATCAGACCACGGAGCACGGCTGTCGCGCTACTCAACCGTGCTTCAGTCGCTTGGCAAAAGAAATAGGACAATACACTGCTGTGTTCTTCCTCAAGCTCATTGATGATTCCACATAATAACATTGTCTTGCCCTTGCCTGGGTCGCCTTTGATCCAGAGAAGCCGCCCCTGTGAAGTATTTCGCCATTCTTGAAACTTTTCGTTTCTAAGAACCCAACGGTAGGCATCTTTGAGTAGCCCACCTTTTGTTTGTTCAATGCGGCTCTTGTCATCAGAAGGGTCACTTTCGCGCAGATCACGCAAACACTTGTTGTGTTTTTCGTTCTGAAGCCAATACTCCTGCTGCCAAACACTTTCCGGTGTGCTTGCAAGGATTTCTTCTGTAGGAGGAAGCTTTTCGATGAACTCCCTTGCAAATGCGGCAGCGGTGGCAGCAGCATATTCCTGCCACTCCTTGCTCTTGTGGGAGTCTGAATAGTCACAGATTCCCCGTATCGACAGACAGGGACAAATGTCATTCAGGCCAGCCGCCTCCATTTCGAAACAAATGGCACCAAGTTCCTGCGCGACCGTGTCGCGAACCGTCGAGTTTTTCATAACTTGATTGCCCGAGGCGATAGTACCATAAAAGATGTACGGATTCTTTGTACTTCGCTGGCTTCTATGTACCAGTTTTGAAGGGCTGCATTTGTCGCAGCTTGGCGCTTGAGAGCTGTGTGGATATGTTGGAGAGAAGAGACGATCTGCTGTAGTTGGATGAGTGTAGTCTGGATGCTCTCTGAATCTTTGTTCCAATATGACAGGGATCCGGCTGCTATGCGGTTGATGCTCCGCTTGTAGGTGCGATAAAGCTTTGCCAAGAAGATGCGCCAAAGTCCTCGGAACTGCAGTATGTTGAATTTGTCCACTTTCAACAATCTTCCCAAGATCGTGCTGCACCACCCGGGTACCAACAACTATATCACCTAAACGAATATCAAAGTTCTCGCGCGGGACGCCGCCGCCAATTCCCACCATGAGGCTGACATAAATCGATGTGAAGGTGCGGGTAAGATTCGTCAAGACGTTCACCGCGTTGTTCGTTCCATACTCATTGCTTGGTAGACATGCAATAGCGATATTGTGGCACCCTATGCTGCCGAGTATGTAGGAATTGGTGTCGTTTTTCTTCCTGGGCAACTCGTCATGGACGTCGTCCAACACAGCTTTAGCTGCGATCATTTCTTTCTGGAGTGCACAGATCCATGCGACTGTATAGTGTTCATACGAAGCGGGCGATCTTTTCTGCGACTTGCGGACTCTATGGTCTAAATCACCACTCAGGGTCATGCGTCGTTTCTGATGAGCCATAATTTCGAGGTGGATTGAGCACTGAAAACGTCTAGGCCTATTGCGCCGGAGCCCTCTGTAATGATATGAGCAGGCAGAAGTCTGTTGGATATGCTGCCAGGATATGTAGACGTAATAGATTTGTGGAATTGTGGCAAAATGCTCGAAGTGAGGCAAGGGATGTCGGGCCAAACGAAGGGAGAGAGGGCCTGGAAATTTGGGTGTCTTAGAAGCACTGCCACCGCCTGTTTCAAGAACCTCCAGGGATTTGTAAGAGGATGGCTGAGCCAAGGCGACTTCAAGACAATAGGTAGGTTCGATGATGTTGGCACACTTCAGTTTGCAGAGCTTCCTTGCTGGACTCTACAATTCGAGGTCAGCTGAGGGGGTTGGATCGGAAGAACAACAGCCCGATTGGTCTGGCCAGTCCAACACCCTTTTACAATTGCAAGGCTAGCGAATCAGAAAGAGCAGTTCGGATTGCAAGTCACAGGGGGCTTGAAAATAGAACGTTAAAAAAGGTCTCAGGTATGCCAGTAGCCTGTTTTGATTTGAATCGTATTCACAACTGAAAGATGAAATGCGGTACTAAGGTATTATCCTGACTAGGGACGTGAAGTATCAAAGAAAGTAGACAACTAAAAAAAGAAACATTAGAATCTAAACGTTTTGTATGGATGTTGATGTTTAATTTAGTAAACCTTTAACAAAGGAATTAAATCAATCGTATTAAACGACTTGAATTATTAACAATCAAAACATCTTCACAGACTAAGAAGTGGTAACAACTCAAATCTAATAAGGTTACCAAACTATACTATATTAGTCACCAAAATGTTTCTTCCAAAGGGCATAAATAGACCCTGCTGGGGCCACAAGTCAATCACACCCCAGCGCTGAGCTTGTAAGAAAAGGATCACGACAAGTAATCTATGCAGTCGGGAGCAGACTGACAGGATTTCTTTTACAAGTAAGTGGATTAACAAAACTGACCGCCATCGCAGTCAAAATGCCCCAGTCCAGGTTGCTAGCTTTAAGTCTTTAAGAATCACCACTCAATTTATCTAGTGAGAAAGGCCTTGTAGAGAGCTTATTGATAGACATGATTGCTCAGAAGTTACTCGAAATCTTAATTACCTAGACTCAACTGATATGCCAGCATATCATATATATGTATAAAACAACCAACAAAACATTCTCTCAGCATAAACTAAAACTAATACCATGCTTCGTCATTATATAAGAAACACCTCTTAGGCCAAAGGCCCGAGGGTCGGGATCATTCCAAAGCAGCTCAACTACTTTTGCCCCCATCTTTACCACACCAGGTGTACGTGAAGCTCTCGCAAAGAAGCCAGCACGGAAAACGTCGATGTGCTCGTGACGCCTCGCGACTGAGGCCATGATAGTACCCGGCCATAGAAGCATTGGACGATATGGTGACTCGCTAATAAATAATAAATAAAAGCCTGACATGGTTTGTCCGACTCGATCGTCGATTTCGGCGGCTAGATTTGGATCTGCAAGCATATCAGGGTGAAATTCTGACTGCAGGTACACCATAAGACCGTGTTGAGATATCATTGTGGCTGTAGTACGTTCTTGGAGTGAATCAAGGCTATTTGTGTCTTCTTCGAAAGCATTATAGGCTTCTACCCGTTTCAAAAGTGAATCATACTGTTCTTGAAAGGCAGTGGTGGCTATAATGCCTATATTCTCTTCTTCTCGGCGAGCTTCGACAAGATGAGAGATTTCCGGACCCATCTCCCACGAACCCTGCCCAAAGCCAAGTAGAAATCCTCTAGACTTGTACCCTCTGAGGATATCTAAGGAATAGACCGATGGGTCGATTTCGACGACCTCGTCAGATAGAAAACTGCGAGGCGTAATAGTAATTTTGATCGCATGGTAGACATAGAGCTTCAGCATAAATTCTTTCAGTCGTTTCGATTCATTAGATGGCGTGGGCTCGGATGTGAGTAGACTGATGTAATGTCGACAGGCTTTGAGATGATGATACATGGAGCCACGAGAATGACCTTGAACATGCTTATAGCTGTCAGCACCTAGTCCGATAATATTGCCACGTGAAAGGGTCTTTCTTACATCATAAACGTGGAGGAGTAATAGAATCAGCAGGATACGGGTAGGGGTAGGTGGACCCGTCTGTACATCCGTCCCGAGGACGATCTGGCTCTCCTCGTAAGACAAGAGCTTCTGCTAACCAGCTAGTACAGTCGCATAGTGACTACGAGTCGCCACTTCTAAGTGGATAGTGGACGTCGCATCATTGACTGTGAGATGGGCTCCTCCAATAGCTAGCATGCAGTCAAGAACCAGTTTGTCGGTTGCAGCCAATGGGAGAAGGTAATTAATAAAGGGATTTCCATCCACGCAGGGTCCTTGAGTCAGCATCTCAGCTGTGATATCCAGGTACTGCTGATAAAGCGGACGCGAGTTATCGCTTAGATAGGCCAGGGTGCGGTAGGTGGGAACGGCTCGAGGAGAAGAGGGAGGGGCTGAATCTGGGGAAAGGCTAGAGGTTCCGAGTAGTTAGTTAGGACTACCGTCTTTTATGATAGCTCTTTAAGGAGTTATCTCTAGAGTAGGCCAAATATATTCTTATTAGATTTAGGTATATAAAAAAGAAATAAGCTTAACTTTATAATATTGTTTGTATTTAATATAATACTTAAAATATTTATTTCTTAATTAGAAATAATCTCGATACTATTTTATTAAAAGTAGAATATAATAATATAAAAATTAAAAACCTCTTAATTTATTATATAGAAATAAAATAAAAAGATAGATAATTAAATACTATTTTATTATAGTAGTATTATAGTAAGTAGGCTATAAATATATAGAATGTAAAAGAGATAACCTATCTATCCTAGCTATTTTATTTCAAAGGGTATTGTTAAATTAGGGCTAAGAAAATAAAGTTATACTTAATTATTACTATTATAATAATTAACTTTAAATAGGTAAGGTTTTAATTTATTATATTACTTAGAATAAATTACTTATTAAAAAGAAATATCGATTCTGCCTTATAGGGCTTATAGTCCTTAAGCTATATTAGACTAAGAAATAGATATTAGAAAATAATAAAGTTAGTATAATTTAAACAAAACCAGCGATTATTATTCTAATCCTCTATTTGCCATAGATGCTATCTTGATGTGAAATTGATTTTTCTCACCCTTTACCGCGACGCTTGTACTTGGCTAGTATGGATTGTGGCGTCATAGCTCAACTTATTACACTCATCAAAGGCTCATGTTCTCTCAATTATCTTAAGTATTTGTCAGCCTAGACCTACAAGTGGCGACTATTATGTCTATGCATATTGTGTCAGATGGCCGGTATTCCAAATTAAAGGATGGCAAAAGTGATATAGCGTATATATCGAATTTCGATACTTCTTATGCATCTGATAAGTAGTTGCGATTCGCTGGGAATTTACTTGAGCGCAGATATCAGATCTTTGTTTCTAAACGGTCACTCATTGAGAAAAAGTCCACATAGCGTATCAGATTCCCTGAGTCTATACGGCATGTAGACGAACCTGGTACACGGCAGAACAATTCATTTAGCCCTCCATGTGGGCAGCTGTGTCGGCCAGATGTAAGCTAGTTTCAAGCGAGTAGAACGTGTCAGAGCTACACTATGACAGCAAGATTCATTCGGGGGGTTTAAATCATTTATAGACTACCTACCTATCATCCATGACCCCGAATCCATAAGAACTAACGAAATATGGCAATTAGACATGGCCGTTTGTAGGGTCATTTACCAGACCATCATCTTTGAACTTATACCTATCCTCCAGATCCCAGTACTTGTTGAAACCAACACCTTCGCAAACCTCGCTATATGAAAGGATCAGAGGGGGCTTTCCAACAGTCATACTCTTTTTGAGTTCTTCCAAGGTCTCACGGATACTCCTCAGCTTAGCAGCAACGAGCGTCCAAGGGTAGGCCACGGCACAAAATCCTAACTCGGCGAGGTCCTTTGCAGACAGGTTTTCCGTCTTTCCTCCTTCGATTACTAACACTTCAAATCAGCACGTGTAATAATAACAACGGGATAAGAGTTCAGAATTTGGGACAAACTTACTGTTTGCGAATGTGGGGATGCCAACCTCTTCCACACATTTACGCATAGACTCGCGATCGGGGAGAGCCTCAACAAAAACGGCATCGACACCGATTCTCTTGAACTCCTTGGCACGACTCAAAGCCTCATCCCATCCGTGGATCAAAGCATCTGTTCGTGCAAGCACAAAAATATCCTTGCCTTGATCTCGAGCGTCGCAAGCAGCCTGGATGCGAGCATATGCTTCACCACGAGAGACCACAGACTTTCCTTTAGTATGGCCACATCCTGAGGTAGTTAGCTTCATATGATCATAGCAATGGTAGTAGATATCAGAGGACTTACGCTTTGGCCAAGTTTGATCTTCAATCATGATACCAGCCGCGCCAGCATGGGCATAACTCTCCACAGTTCTCTTGACATTCAGCGGGCTGCCATAGCCTGTATCTCCATCGGCCATTACAGGAACAGAAACCTGTCGAACAGTTTCTTGGATCTTATCGCACATCTCAGCCATGGCGATATACCCAGTATCAGGTAGACCATAGGCACTAGACACAGCATAGCCAGCAAGGAAGACCATTGGGAAACCTGCCTCTTCGACGAGCCGTGATGAGAGACCGTCATAGCTACAGCAGTGGGCAAGGATCTTTGTGGGGTCGTTATGGGCTTCAAGCATCATAGTGCGAAGAGCTGAAGCCTGAGCTGAGGGAATTTTGCCGCGAACGTTTTTCAAAGTTGCTGTTACATCCACGATTTGCCCGGGCTTGCCGGACTTTTCCAGGGCTGGGGCCTTGAAATGGAAGGGGTAGGGGGTGGTGTTGACGATGGACTTGGACATTGTGATTCTGAGAGTGATTGGTATTGATATTTGTGGTTGAAATGGAGATGAGAGGATTGATGATGGTTGGGCAAAGTTAGAGCTTCTCATCAGGATGTTATATACATCGACTCTGGAGAGATACGTAATGGTCCATCGCTTATTGAGATCCGGATATCGATGGAGTCATTCGGAAATTGATGGAAAGTGCCGGATATTCACGTGTCCGAACCTGCGTTCCCGGGACCTAAGAAAGCCCCCCTAGATAGTTTGAACAAAATCCGGGGTATGCGGGGACCCCGCATCTCGCTCGGGAAGGATCTTGACCGCAGATCAAATGCCCCCTTTTGCGAGCTACGAATCTTGACTCCGGAAACTGACGGCATCTGTCGACAACAAAGCCAAAACACGCTGAAAGTGATACGCTATCTGTCACCTACTAAAACCCACTTGGATCCTCGACGGTATCCGTTTCGAATTCCAAAGACAATTAAGCTTCATCTACATCCCAATTTCACCTTCTGATATCGTCTCATACTTCGTCACTATGGATCGCTCAGACACCGAGCGCAAGATGTCTCTCAACGCAGAGGAACTCGAGCACGCAGCAGAGTCCGAAGAGCGCCAGCATAGTGAAGTTCCCGAAGAGGCCAACAAACGTATTAAAGACACAGTAGGCCAATTACAATTGCAACACAATTGATTTTACTAACTACCATCCAGTTTGATCGCCGACTGCTTCCCATCGTCTGTTGCCTCTACGTCCTATCCTATCTCGATCGAGGAAACATCGGAAACGCGAAAGCCGCAGGTGTCCAAAAGGACCTGGGCCTTAGTGACTCTGAATGGTCCTGGGTTCTCAATTCTTTTTACATCTGTTATGTCTGCTTCGAGTGGACGAACCTATTTTGGAAGATTCTACCTGCAAGCAAATATGTTGCCACGCTTTGCGTGCTGTAAGTCTGCCTTGATACAATCCTGCATTTTGTTCAGTGTAGTCGTTAACAAATATTATCGTCTAGTTGGGGAACTGCTGCCATGTGTTCTGGTGCCACGAAGAATCTCGGCGGGCTCATAGCCACTCGAGCCCTGCTTGGCGTCTTCGAGGCCGCATTCGGCGCCGGTGCCCCATACTTCCTCTCTTTATTTTATCGCCGCAAAGAACTCGGCTTTCGAGTTTCTCTCCTGCTTGGAATGTCACCATTGGCCAATTGCTTTGCTTCGGCGTTGGCTTATGGAATCACCAACATCAAAGGCTCGATAGAGCCTTGGAGATATCTCTTCATTATTGGTTCGTAGAAATACTATGAGCTCTCTGACTCGCAACGTCTAACTATCCTATTACTATAGAGGGAGCCCCGACCGTTGCTTTCTCGCTCGTGGTTTGGTTCTTCCTAGCAGACTCGCCAGACAAGGCGAAATACCTGTCTGAGCAAGATGCCACCTACGCTAGGGAGAGACTCCAGATCCGCGATCGCACCAAGAAGACTAGGGTTCGTTGGAACCAGGTCTTTGCTGGTCTTACGGACTACCAGAACTATATCCATACCATCATTCACTTCTGCTGCAACTACTCTTTCGCGGGTCTTTCCAACTTTCTCCCCACAATTGTTCGCGATATGGGCTACTCATCCATTACTGCACAAGGCCTTACCGCGCCCCCATACTTCCTAGCATTCCTTTGCTGCGTGGTGGCAGCCTTGGTGAGCGATAGGTTTGGTAAGAGAGGATACATCGTGAGCGGTTCTGCTTTTATCGGGTTTATCGGCTACCTCATGTTGGTTGTGGTTCAAGATGAGTCTAAGAAGGCAACTCGTTATGCTGCCATCTTTCTAGCCTCTTGTGGAGTGTTCCCTGCGCTCTGCATCAATATCACCTGGCTGTTGAACAATCAGGGAGGAGACTCAAAGAGGGGTGCCGGACTCGCCATACTGGCTACCTTTGGTCAATGCTCTTCCTTTGTCAGTAGTGTCAGCTTTCCTAGTTCTGACGGGTAAGTGGCCTCTTCCCCAGGAACCTTGTTCAAAACATTTGCCTTGGCGTTCATCGACTGACACAATGCTTAACATAGACCACTTTACCTTCGAGGTACCGCTATTGGTTGTGGCTTGACTGACCTCATTTCTATCCTCGGGCTAGGTTTACACTTCGCCTTGGAACGTGAAAACAAGCGAAGAGATCGTGAGTATGGCACCGTCGAGGCCGACATGACGGTTGATGTCACGGAGCTTGGCGATAAGAACAAGAACTTTCGCTACCTTACATAAAAAGGTAACCTGCTGGGTAGGGGGTCTCGTTAAAACAACAGTTGACATCTCGTTCATTAGTATCTGTTTAAATTGTCAGTTTAGTTCCAATGGTTAGTTTTGAACAGTTACGAATCTTCAATTCTGCACATCCTCCTCATGCTTTCTCATCCTGTAAACCAAGTGCAACAATCAAGTCACCCTAGAGCCATTATGAACTCTAGTAGTCTGTTGTTGACGGGTGTACAGACCCCAGAGCAGTACGTCTTTGTGTTTCGGTAAGCGGCATTGGGGGGCAATAGTTCCCCGAACGAAGATATCTACGTACTGTCATCTCTCATCTCCGCACTTCAACCCATGCTAGTCCGCCTAGCTTGCCTCTAAGCAGGCCGATCGGCGCGGGGAAATAAATACTTAAATCCGTCACCATCCGCCACTTTCCGGCCATCTCTCGGAATGAAAGGGTTCCCAGACAACTAACCATCGAGAGTCTGACCCTCACCAATGGACGCTGACGCTCAAACGCAGCCCACTCTCCACAGTAATAACGGGGCCCCGCGCGGACGACGCGTACGGGATTTTCGCCGGGGCTACCAGGCCTGTGAGCCGTGTCGGAAGAAGAAGATCCGATGCGTGGTCGAGACTCCGGGTGTGCCTTGTTTGAGATGTCAAAGAGAAGTCAAAGAATGTGTTTTTAATGATGAATGTTCTCATCGGAAGCGGAATACGACTGGTAGCAGAAGGGCATCTTCGAAAGAAGGTATTTGTTTGTCATTGGGTTTTGTCACTCTCCTTGCTAACCTGACCGCGTTTCTAAGTAGCTCTCGACTCTAGAAATGGCACTGCCAGAGAAAGCTTATCGCCGACCCCAGCCACTCTGGGTCAAGAAGTGTCGAATACTCTTACTCAACAGCCGTCGCAGCTACTTAGCGACAACAATGACTTGACGCTGCCCCAACAAGATTACTCGGATCTGCCTCTGTCAGTCAACAATTCAATGGCGCACGACCTATCTCAACCACAACAACAAGCCGCCGTTAACGAGACATCGCCGTCCATCGGCCCCGGAGGACACACTGGCGACCTCACAGACAGTGTCATGAGGAGACACTTGTTTCGAATGGGAAAGATGCATTGCAGCTCTTGTTCCAACCAGCGATTGAACAATCCAAAAAAGATGGAACTACACCAGACAATCTACAAACCGCGTCACGACATGCACTGCATCATGCTGGAGAGACACTAACTCCTGGAACAACTTCTTCTGTCAGAACATCCAGGCCTATCCGTTTCTCTCCCACTCCTGCCAATACCTTGACAATATGGCGGTCATTCCGTTTTGTCAAGATGGGCTGGTTCACCGCTGAGGAAGCGGTAGCCTACGTTGACTTGTGAGTACCACATTTAAGGAAAAAAGGGGGAAAGACAAACTAATTAATCTTTGCTATTCGCGTTCATAGGTTTCAACAAAACTTATCAGCACTGTCCCTGGTATCCAAAGGCTTTGACCTCAGTCACGAGAAACACTATAGGCTAATCACACAAGAGCCTCTCCTCTACTGTGTCATCTTAATGATTTCATCCCGATACCACATCTTAGAAGGTGCCGGTGGCCTTGCAAGAAGTACCCTCGTTCATCATCGCCTGTGGGAGCATTGTCAACATCTGATCATGAGGATCATCTTCGGCCAAGAAAAGCGATCCAAAGCAAAAACGAGAACAAGAGGCTCTATCGAAGCTCTTCTGCTGATCATCGAGTGGCATCCACAAGCAATACACTTACCACCCGCTGCAGACGGCTGGGACTCGTCTCTCCTACTCACGGATTCGGATCCAAGGGATGACCAGTTCGGCAACCAGGCGGATGTCACTGACGATAATGAAGCTCAGTGGCTGAGAGACGTCATCATTCCCGCCAAGACCTCTGATCGTATGTCTTGGATGCTACTTGGTTGTGCACAGTCATTAGCTCTTGAGCTTGGACTCTGCGATAATGGTGACACCACATCCACACAGCCTGCAGGGTTACAAGCCGAGCAAACAGGACTACGCCATCTGCTGTATATCTCTCTAGACCAACAATCCAGTCGACTAGGATGTCCTTCAATGATGCCTACGTCTGTTTCACGCTTCATGTCAGAACCTTCCCGGAAAGACGGACAGAGTGATTCATTAACGGCGTGGCTCGACTTGACCACTCTAATACGAACCATTATCGACGTTCTGTGTCCATCGGCAGTAGGAATTCGAGAGATTCTTAGTAGTTGCATATACGTCAATATTATCAAACACTTTCAGCAACAGCTAACAGGGTGGAGGACAACTCACCTCCGCCAAGAGAGTATGCATATCCCCTCTTCTTTTTCGATATCATTCTGTACTAACCACTTGTTGCTTCAGCTCTGTCTTCCCATGCATACGAGGACTTGTCTATCGAGTTCAATTACCTTCGGGCTTTCATGAACTCGCTCGGCATCCAGGCTGCCGTTGATCGGGTCCTCGGTGGGAGACCACCTAATTCTATTGATAACGATGTTCTACAGTCATCCATCACGGCAACAGACTATTCTTTCATCAAAGAAGTTATCGATTCTTCTTGCCAGGCTCTCGAGTCTGTCAATAGACTATTCGAGGCTGGAACGCTCCGCTATTGTCCTGTTCGAGTCTTCCTCCGTATTATTATGGCTTCTATTCTACTTCTAAAGGCACTTAGCCTTGGAACCCGTACCACAGATTTGGAAATATCTCTTAGTGTGTTGGAAAGATGCATCGAAGCTTTAAGAGCTAGCAGTCTTGACGAGATGCATTTGGCTTCTCGGTACGGAGACTTGCTGGATATGCATCTAGAAAGGTTTAGGCAGGGTATGGTCCCAACTTCTGTCCCTCGAGGGATTCTACCGGTGAATGAAAGCTCCCAATGGACCTTTGATAGCAGCGTCCCGCAAGGAGATGATGCTTTGGGAGATATGTCGATGCCAGCTGCGGATGACTGGCTTGCCCTGCCATTTGATCCTAGCATAGCTCCGTTCGGCTTCACGACTGATGATCCTGGCCTAGCTGAGCCGGATGACAGGTCTTGGGATTTCTTATGGAGCTTACCGAATGTCTAATTGCCAATCCTATTATTGTGGTTATCTATAATTCTCTTCCTCGGCAGGAGTAATAAGGTTGTAATAATCCCACTAAACAGGTTGAAAGTTCATTAATGATACTACTTAGATTTTATATTGCCACACCCCGAGTGTTCCTTATAAGCAAGTTCGTGAAAAAGGCCATAGCACTATATCGAGTACCCGTTTCCGCCTCTGACGTTCTCGAGGTCTTCCTGTGTTGGCTTAGGACTAATGCCATAGTCGAAGAGTTCAGGCGATTGGGTACTAAGGTTTTCGAATCGGAAGCAGTGCTTAAAAAGACGCCTCTGGTGGATAAGGACTCATGGCTTGATAACTTCAACGGCGATAAGGGGTTTGAGAGATGAAGGTTCTTGCTGAAAGATATAAGTATGTACTATAAATGGATTAGGTGTACCTCTAGATAGATTCCGGACCGGATCGATCAGCAATCTAGCCCCTCTGCCTGCTGAAAAGGCCCTCTATATATAGGCTATAAGGTAGTATTATTTTAGGACTAAAACATGATTTAGCTTTATAGGATAAATCGGATCATATGGCTCACAAACAAAGATGAAGAAGTATAGAAGAGAAATCATAACTTGATGACCACGCTGAGTCCTTATAGAAAAAAAGGAGTAAAAGTCAACAATTGGACATTATGAATGGACTAGTTTTCTGCCATGAAGCCGGGTTGATCTGCACACTAATATCCACTAGGGCTGCTGGTAAAGGTCAACCTGTGCAATATAATAGGCCAATACAATACGTTATTAAGGTAGCTTCATCCTGTATCTTTAGGCAGTTGACTTTTACTATTGCTTTGGAATATATGTCTCGAAGGGCTGCACAAATCAAACCATAGTTCTGGCATCCTAGGTGCGAAAATCGGCAAATGGTGTGATGGTTTGTGTTTAACATTGGGCTAGCGATTTCGTTTGGCAATTGCAACAAAGCCGAGTTCTTGTCAACAACCTAGACACAGGGGTTAGTCACATTTGTAGTTGAACCGTGCCAGCCAACCTACCAGCGAACTCATGTATGGCAAAGAATCAGTCTCGTAAAAGGTCTTGATATAAATCCCAGTCGCCCTACTCACGAACTGAGACGAAATATCCCAGAGAAGTTCAGCATTCTTTTGAAGAGATGCCACGAGCTTTTTATTAGTTCCGGTCCCGAGTTGAGCTGCGTGGAGAACCATAGATGCAAATTCGGCGGGAGCCGCAAAGCTGAATCCTCGGTGCGGTGTAGCCAAGAATACAATACCTACAGTTGAATGAGCAATTATGCCATAGATCTCTGTCCGCTCGTGGGCAATAATAAGGGCCTGAAAGAATATTAGCAAGCAGTCTCTGGGTCTGTATCTCGGATAACACCGGCGTGAGCTTTGACCTTTTGCACTATCAATCCGCCCATGCTGTGGCAGATAAGGATGATAGGCCTCGTTGATTCAAGGCGGACCGCCTTCAGTCTCTCGACCAAGTCTCGAGTAAATTCTTCAACCCCAACGGTGGACTTGCTGAATGCCACGACTGAACTATATCCGTATGACATCACCCTGGCATTTTTAATGTCTTGGGGAACAAAGTCCTGGAGCCAGGAAGCCCTGGTCTCGGCATGCTGCCATGTTCGCACCGGATGACCCCCAAGCTCATGAACAGCCACGAAAATTTCTGGTCAGTGGAGCATGGTGTTTAAAATAGATGCTTCACTCATTCTACTGCGTTGGCGTTTGATGTGACTGCGTCGTTCAATACGAAAATGCCGAATCGTTGCTGCAATACCTCTTCAAGTCGCTCTTCCTAAAGTCGGGACACCACAACTGTCAGTCAATTCTACCTAGACATAGCATTCAGCTCTGAATTCCTATCAAACTTACCAGGATCTCGCCATCTTTGGACTTAGATGGCCGCTTCCTCACCCGGTGCACCAAGTCGCGAAGCTTCATTTTGGCCAACAGAGTCTAAAACATCTTACGATGTCCGTCATCGAGTGGATTAATAAGATGTCTTGGACTCACGGCGCGGCCTGACTGAACCAAGTTCAGGAGGCGGGTTATTGCTTGTGTAGGTCAGAAGCAATTGATGCCCAAGTGGCTGGTGAGACTGTGTGCAGTTTGCCTTGGGTAGAGCCTAGAGCTGCGCCTCCGCCACCATCATACCCACCATTTAGGAGTTGGCAAACTGACCAGGCGGTTGAAAAAAGAAACAAGAGCCTGAGGCACAATGCATTTTGGCCATAGGCTATATGATGGCGAAGCTCGAGTGAGGACTCGTGAACAATGCCCGCTTCCCATGATCTTTTGCTAAAACGGCCTTGTAAACTAACCATTCTACTACTGCTGCTACTTATAATGGCACGCAGCAAACAAACCGCGCGGAAGTCCACTGGTGGTCGTGCCCCCCGCAAACAACTCGCGAGTAAAGCGTTCAGAAAATGGTCGCGGTCGGAACAATCGCTAACCCCGCTTCACCGCGCTGCCATTGGTGGAAGCGATGGGATCCTGAGGGCTCTGCTTATCAAAAGACGGGCTAACGTGGAAAAGAAGGACAACTTTGGCCAAACGCCCCTTCATCATGCCGTTAAAAATGGCCATCTAGGAGCTGTCGCACTTCTTTTGGCCCATAATGCATCAGTATCATCACGAGACACGAAATCCTTCACGCCTCTAACTTATGCAGTCACTCACGGCCAACTAGAAATCTTCAACCTTCTACTAGAAAACGGAGCTGTGCTATCAACCTTATGCTCAGATAACCGCACACTGTTGCACCACGCTGCACAACATGGCCACATTGAATTTTCAACTATTTTGCTGCATAAGGGTTTGTCTCTTCGAGATCAAGACGATGATCATCGGGTCGCCTTGGACTATGCTGTCTACAACCAACACTGGGACCTCGCCAAATTGCTATTGAAGGAGGGGCGGGCTCGTTGGGTATCGACCCAATCGCAACACGAAGACGAAGAAAATCCCCATTCGGCGTTTCCTGATGACGACGCCGCTGTCTCGCAAATGGAAAGTGAATCTGGAGGTGTTCGCCAGAACTCCTTGGCAATAGCTGTGCGTCTAGGCAGGGACGATCTCATACACCGATTATTGGATGAACACGGCTGCCACCTAGATGGCGTCTCGGGAGAACGTGACCCTTTATATTTTGTTGTGGAAGGGGGACACCAGAAATGTGTCGAGGTCCTTTTATCAGCTGGTGCCGTTGCCAACAAGAATATCGGGCCAGGCACGGCGCTGCTAGAGTGCGCGATGCGGCTCCACCACCACGACATCACGGTCACCTTGCTGCGTGCCAGGATTGTTCCGCATCCTGAGATCAGATTTGACTGTCCCCACAGTCAAGTTATTCCACTACTGGCGATACGAGAGGCTGGTGAGGTAGCACAGCTTCTGTCATATACCCCTACCCTCGACAGTCTGTCCATGTGGCTCGTTGAGATTGCCAGGTTCAAGCACGTAAGCATTCTGCAAGAGTACTTTCATACTGTCCTACCTGTTATACAAGAGAAATATATAAACCAGCCTATCACGCAACCGATCCCCAAGCTCGTCTGGCATATAATGTAGAGTCTGAGAACTACGACAATGGGAACGAGATCCCAGACGAGAGAAGCAAACACCAATCAAATCAGGGACTTGCAAGACGCTGTTGTCACTGCACTAGACACTAGCTTTGACGCCGTCTTCTTTCTCGTCGGTGCTATTGAACCCGCAATTCTCAAGAATATCCTGACCGTGGACCCTGCTATACACAGGAAAGCTTGGGGAAGGCTTCCATCGAAGCTCAACCGTCTAACAGACAAAGACCTAATTGCCTGTCTCTCTAAGGCGGGTTTTACACTACCTTCCCCAGTCTCATCATTTCAACCACCCATACACTCTCTTTACGATGCCTGCGATGCCGGGTCTATGACCAAAGCACAAAGGTATCTACAAAAAGGGCGCGGGGGTGTTGACATGCTGGGACCTCGAAACCGAACTCCCTTACATGCAGCCGCGCAACAGGGCCACCTTGAAATCGTCAAGCTGCTTGTAGACTACGGTGCAGACTTGACGGCCGCAACTTTCTTTGGCAGCACAGCAGAGAAGCTTGCAGAGAAATATCATCACCCAGCAGTTGCAGCATTCTTAAAAGTAGCTCGGATGCGACAGGACAAGGGATCAAAGAGTAGTGCGGAGTGATTAGGAACACATATTAAACATGGTAAATTTAGTGGATAGTGGCATTCTGTTTTGGGAAAAATAGGAATGGTGGGAGCGGCCCGAGGAGAAGAGGGAGGGACTGAATACGGGGAAAGGCTGGAGGATCCTAGTGGCTCATTGGGACTGCCGTCTTCTGTGTCAGCTCCTTGAGAAGTCTTCTCTGGAGTGGGCCAAACACATTCTTGCCGGTTTCGGGTGCACGATGAGCAGACTGGCTTGACTTCATCGCACTTCTTGCGTTTGGTGCGACAGCCGAGACATCCATTCTTTGATCTTTGGTGGTTTCGGCGCCATTTCGTTGGGAACGGGGCGCCACGGTATGGAAGAGCAGGAGCTTCTTGATTTGCCATTGAGAAACCAAACGAGACGAATGATTGAAAGCTGTCATGCTGCGATGTTGTCATAGTGAGTGGGCTATAAGTACACGGGATTTCACTTGTCGAAGCCATTCATTCGGGGATGGTGGTTGATGAGTATCCTTTATTGCCTCCAAGACGATGAATCTGCTTTACAATCCTATGCCCTGTCGGGCTTTACCGTATGGAAAGGCAACTTTTAATCACTTCCTAAGTATAACTTTAGTTTCGCCGCCTTGGTCTCTTCATACTCTGGGGAACCTTTGTCCTAATATTAACTATTTTATTTTACTCTAATTACACAACAAAGATAATATTCCAGTTGGATATAAGCTGCTTCTTTGTCATTGATTCGTCATGTTGTTTAGGCGCAAACGTCATATGTGACATGTACACGCACCACTGGTCACCCAGAACACCTATGAAGATGCCTAAGCATACTCAGTGGTGGGCCTCCGGCATCCTTGGCCAGCTGACACGATCCAGAAGTACAGCCTGGCTCATCTCGATCTCATAGTCGTCTTACTCTCCCATTTATCAAGACTTAGACGTCTGCTGTTTCATTGAGATCTACCAACTTCATCAATACAGTCACGTCCCTTCTACCATGGACTCACTTACTGAGATTCGTCTCTCAAGCCTGGCCACAATGGCCCTGCATCCCGACGCTAGAATCTCCGAATTTCGTCACCTCTCATCCTACAATTGGATCGACGTACCAACGCCCACCATTGCCGTCCCAGGCAGCCCAGCCAAATGGTCCCCACCCGACGGTCCAATACGTCTTAACAAGGATACGGGATACTTCTATGTGGCGCAAAATGTTGCTCGCCATCCCGAAAGTCCACTCGAACCTCTGTTTCGCGCTTTGCTCCTCACCGAGCCCTCGGTCGATCTTCGATCGATCGACGTCGTGACGGACCGGAACAATATTCGAAAACTCCTCTCGTTTGTCGACCCGGGCACAGCAAGGGGCGGGGCCGAAGACTTCGTCATCAAAGTCGAAGTCGTTGGAGAGACGGCTCTTTTCTCCCGCGAAGAGGCAGAGGTCAGGCAATATATCGCACCGAGTGAATTCCGGGGCTACGGCCACGAGTTTGAGAAGGTCTACACCAAAGAGCAAATACAGGGAAGCACTGGGCATTACAGAATTGTCGAGTACCGCTTCGGGGGTGTCAAGTTTCTCGTCAGAAATGAGGTGGATGGTTATGTCCCCCCAGTCGACAGAGCAGATGCAAGTAACATTCTTGCGCACGAGCTGTCCTTACTGTCACTTTCAAAGCCACCACAAGCGTCATATAGATGGCAAGGAAGCAAGTTGGAGGCAGCGATGGAGGGAGAAGCTGTACCGTCAGAGCAATGCCTAGAGATCAAAACTCGAGTCGCCCACAAGCCCCTGCAGATGGATAGTATCATGCCACAACTTTGGGTATCGCAGACCACCAAGCTTGTGCGAGCTTATCACACTAGCGGCACTTTCCAGCCTCCAGACGTTGAAGATATGACCGAAAGTATGAAGAGTTGGGAGCAAGGTAACGAGGACACTTTGAAAAACCTAGCGGCGGTGATTGCAAAGATTCTTGAGGTTGCTAGACGCTGTGATGGTCCTATCCAGGTAAAATACAGCTCAACAGGGCACCAACTTGTTTTGTCCAAAATCGACTCAGGGAAGATGCTGCCAGACGATTTGTATTCGAAATGGAACCCGAGGACAGAGACGGAAGACTCGGCCCCAGTCAAGACTCTAGGCACGGCTTCTGATAGCAATGGTACCATCACGGTCATCATGGAAGGGAAGTCTCATTCCGTTGACCCAAACACCATTCCCTACTTCAAAAGTCTGATGGTTTCGCGGTCGCCAGGATCAGAGAAAACTCCATTTATCCATGCCGATATCCCCTTTTTCGATGCGATCAATTACAGTGTTCAAAATGGACTCCGGAATCTCTTTAGGCGCATGCCGCATCAACTTCAGGACTACCATACCCTTTGCGACACAATCGATAGCCTTGGCATTGATGTCTGTCAGGGGCTTAATCTCAAAGATACCATCAAGCTGCTCAAGGCGGAACCTGACGACTACGACCCCGAGGAACGGCGGGTGATCAAAAGCAGTAAGACAGGTGCCCGTGACGCTGCGTTCCGCTTCATCTATATACTCCTCAAGGGCGGACCCTCGTCACAGTCTTCATCGTCATCATCATCGCTGTCTCTATCGGCGCAGGACCGAGCAGTCGCCTGTAATGCCGTCAGTTACGTTGTATCACACCGACGAATCTTTGGCTACAGGGCCCGCAAAATCGTCAGAGAGGCCTTCGAAGCTGTCTGTTCTCTGACGTACAAGCAGCGCTTGGCGCTAGACAAATGGGCGGTCACGGAGCCCACATACAGTGGATGGGAGCGCGAGGACGAGACAACCGATGATGACTTCGGTTGCCGTGCGGATCTGGATTGGGACTCAGATTGGTCGTGTTAAACAAGGGCGGCGACGCAACCTTTGACTGTGGGGGAAGAGTTTGTCTTTTTTCTTTTCTTTTTTTTTTGTGCTTTAACCTTCAATTTCATCAAGCCCAGGCTTTTCAAATCTCTAATGATATGAACAATAATACAACGCTCTTATAGTGCTAGGTTTGAATTGAAAGCTACACTGCCCATGACCTTAGCGATGAATGCAGACACCATAGTACAGGGTAATTGTATGATTTCCTCCAGTGTACGATTTATACAATTACTATATACTACTAATAGTAAATCTAAAATTAAAACCATCGACAAATAATTCATTTCCTTCATTAATTAAGCCTCCAGATCATGAGCTTTTTAGTGCACCTATTATTACGAATAATGAGGCAAAAACACATCTTGGTAACCGCTGTGCCAAAAGGTTTGCTGTAACCTCAGCTGGACAGTCACAGAAGATGGTAACGCTTGTAGCGCCTATCATAGCACAAAACTAGCTAATAAATTTCACGCAACAACCTACTGACATCAATCGCAGTCACAATAAGCGTCTGAAAGTGCGTGTATAAGCCCGAGATTGCAATTTCAGTCTTTATTGGAAACATATGGCATCTTGATGTGAAATAGTCAGAACTACTATCATGGCTTCATTCCTTCGTTTAAATGCACCCTTCGAGAACACTACAGCGACATCGATTAAGTAATGACTAGGAACTTTGGCGACCCCGCTTCCTTCAAATCTCACCATCGTTTGCGAGCAATTAAATTGTCAGCGGGCCTTCATCCAGGCCTCACAGCTAACCAAAGATCACACCAAAATGCTTTGCGCTACTTGCATGTCAATGTTTCAGCGCCGTGCCACCAGCGGAGACCATCATCAAACCAGCGAAAACCTTGATCGTGCCGCAACAAATGGCTGTCGGATTTGTAATTGCCTCCGCGGAGAGCATATCCTCGAGCACTGGAGCCCATTGAAATACAGCTTCTCCTTCGATAACGCCTGGGAGTCGCATGGAGAAATCCAGTTCTACCGGAACGAGGAGTCAGGTCACCACAAGAACCAAAATTGGAAAGTCTTTCTACAGCTTTCAAAATCAACCAGCATTCCACCAGGCTACCAAGATTTCCTTAGCTCAGTAAGCAGCGACCTTACTCTGGACCCCTCGAGAGTGCGTCCGGACTTCCCCCCACTGCGCGATATACCAGACAATACAGGTCACAAAGACGTGTTGAGATTAGCCAAGGGATGGCTCGACCAGTGCCAAAATGAGGATGGCTGCCATGTCAAATTCAGTGCCACTACCAAATGGTGGCGCCCTGGGCGACTCATTGACGTTGGAAGCGAAACCCGGTCTCCAAGACTAGCGATATCGGGCCAAGATACTATAGATGGGAATTATGCTGCGTTGAGTCATTGTTGGGGCGAGAATCCAGACTTTCTCATGCTGTCATGCGATAACCTGGATGAATTTCGAAAGGAAATTAAGATTTCTGAATTACCTGCCAGCTTCAGAGACGCTATCATTACCTGTCGGCATTTGGAAATCCCCTATATATGGATTGACTCGTTATGTATCCTGCAGAGCGGGTCGACATCGAAAGAAGACTGGCTTTATCACTCGGAGGAAATGCATCGGATTTACGAACACTGCCTACTCAACATCTCGATTGACGTTTCTTCGAATCCTCATCAAGGTGCTTTTCGGACAAGAAATACATTATACTTACAGGGCTGCTATTTATGGACACCATTTCCCTTGTTTCCCAAATCGGTCGACTCTCCGCCAGCTTCACACCGTGGCTTCTTTATTGGGGAAGATGAAGACTTAAAAGTGTCAGAACTGGATGTTGAGCACACTGGAGAAACGGATGACACTTTGGATCCGACAGCCCCACAGAATCTTTGCGTAATATTCACACGAGAAGATTTCTACCATGCGAGACTTCACTTGCCCATCAACGAAAGAGCATGGGTTTTCCAAGAGAGGCTACTGTCGCCCAGAACACTCTATTTTTCTACCGATCGAATTGCATGGGAATGTGAGTGTAAGGATTCGCGAATAAATAGGAGATCAAAGACTATCAATGAGTACCTTCCCGATGGCTTGTTTGACAGTATAACTGGTACTTTCGATTGTTTATATCAAGAGGACTACAGCATCCCATATGTTTCCACAGCAACAAGATATTACGATCTCGTCATATCTTATACAACTCGACAGCTGACGTTTCCCGACAAGGACAAGCTAGTCGCATTCGCATCCGTCGCGCGACGCTGCACCTCTGGGCTAGGCAACGACTATTGCGCTGGCATATTCCGAAGTATCATGCCTATTGGTCTCCTATGGCAAGCAACCTGGGAAGGATGCGTCAGAAGGCCCGCTGCGTATCGCGCGCCTTCATGGAGCTGGGCCAGCGTGGACAGTCGAGTTTTCTACGGATTGTTGTATGACGGCGGCGTCACCTTTGCCCAAATCCAGGACGTGGCAGTGGAGCTAGTTGATGAACATAACCGCTTCGGACAGGTCAAATCGGCTTCTCTGACTATAACAGGGCCACTGATAGCATCGAAGTCAATATCTCCTGATCAACTTGGGGAAGTAACGTTTGAGCTTCCTGTCAATTTCCAGACTCTGCCGGAATCCAAGGAAGAGATGAATGAGATACTCTCGAAAGATGATGTGTTCTTATTCGCAATCTTGGGTGATTCTGAACATCAGATGGGCAAACTCACGCTTGGGATAGTACTCCAAATCAATGCTAATGGCTATTACCATCGGATTGGGTTATGGGAAGCCAAGGAAGGGTTCATGTCTCAAAAGGGCATTGATAGCACCTCTTTTGAAAGTAAAACAATAACAATTCTCTAGAGGCAGTCTAATCACGGTTGGCATTGCAAGGGCTCCTAAGAATCAGAGGAGCCAATAGATTCTAAGGATTTTTTAGAGAGATTATCTGTATTGCTAGAAGACCTTTGTTGTGTATATTCAATTTCATTATGTGTATTGCTTTATTATTGGGTTGGCAGTACTAGAGGTTTTACAATTCGCCCCACTGACGTACGTAATTGTCGCTCATTAAGGGCGTTAACACAAGGAGTCAAGGACAAACATTTATACAAATCGAATTTATTGTTTCAGGCTAAAACAATTGAAAGGATTATTCTCTAGCCACGACGCACACGAACGAATTCGAAACATAAATTATCAAGCAACTGAAGAAGCCACAATGGCTAATAGCTAGGTAGTCTACACCAACAAATGGCGTCTCAATCACCTGGGGAAAGTTCTGTAAGCCTTTTAAATACTCCACGTAGGACTATTATTAAGCCTGAGATCTTATACAATAACATTTTTTTCCATCCTTTATTGTTCAACTTTATCAAGCCCAGGCTTTTCAAATCTTGACGATGTTAGCAATAAAAGTCACTTCTTTATACAATAACATAATGGGCATTTCGCTTAATTAATGATTAAACAGAAGAATGTTGTTTATCGAATTAAATGACTATTGAATAGAAATAGCTTAGAAAACAACATCAAAAGAGGAAGCATCATTGCAATTTCACCAATCAATTAACCTGATCGCGGTTCAACACTAACCGTTGAACCGTAGGCAGGGCATTCTAACTAAAACAGCCGCGTTCCCCAAAACAGAAGAGTCACCTGATAACCACCGCTGTCTTAGAGATAAGGCAGTGCTGTTGGGAAAGCGGGGTGCGATAAAGTTACAGATAGATAGTCTAATTAGCCCCCAAAATGGGGGAAACATGCATTCAGACTTGCCCAACCCCCCGTACCTCGCAGTATGGTCCCTACTTAATTTGATACGTCACCGTCCAGTACAGACCTCGTGGTTATGGAGCATCGGAGACGTGTCTCGCGAGCGTAAGATTCCCAGACAAGCCAAGGAGGGATTAACACAAAATACCCAGTCCGTCTAATGTTGGATGCGATAGGTGCGATGAATGTCGTCGATTGAAAGAGAAATGTGAGGGTGGCGTCCCGTGTCGGAGGTGCTCACATCTCCAGCGACAATGTAGACGCACAGATCCGACCCCCAAACCTCGTGAGTTTCGTGCCTACGTTCCGAGGTGAGCAGCTTCAACGACTGCCGAGAGTATATCTGACACCTCGCAGAGAAAGTAGACGGAGACCAGACATGGGCGAGCTGATTGAACGTTCGAAACATATGGAACGGATACTGCGGCACACCATGGCAGGAATCTCGCTTGACACCAAAAACCTTTCCGATATAGCAGACAGACTCGAAGCTGAACATCAGAGTCTGAACCCGGCCTCGGGGGGACCGAGGGACTTGGAAGGGTTGGAGGTCAATTTGGAGGCGCTGGAGATCGATGAGGAGGCATGTACGATGCAACCAGTTGGAGACACGACAGCCCGTTTGTTGACCTCACATTCAATTCGCACTGAGGACTGACACTAAATTATGACAGATTTCTCGGGGGAATTCTCATATTGGAACTTTTCTATGCGGATCAAAAACCTGATTGAGAGCCAAGTCCAAGAGCCGGAGAGCCGCCGGGTATGTTTTCACCACCAACTGGCTGTGCGTCTCATGAATACCGATAACTAACGATACGTAGGGAGGCAAAAGCGAGAACGATGATTGTGCGTCCGCCTTTCCACGTGCGCATCATCTACGCCCTGGGCACAATCACTTGTCGGAAGCAATATCATCGTTTCCCCCACGCAATATATCAGATTTCCTCGTGACAGTCTTTTTTAAGTTCGCAGAGAGCTATCTCTTCTTTATCGAAGAAAGCTGGGTTCTCGAGAAATTGGATCTGCTATATAAGAGCCCTAGGAGTCTGGCCCAAGCTGGTGGCGAAGTGACGGTCAGCATACTCCTAACAGTTCTTGCCATTGGAACACAATACGCCCATCTTGAGCATACTAAGGGTCCTGAAAGCATGTCGACGTCAGGTCTCTTGGAGGAAGAGATAGGCGCCATGTTTTACCAACACGCAATCCGGCTGCTTCCTGAGATTATTGAGATCTCGTCTCTGGAAAGCGTGCAGGCGTGTCTATTGTTTGGATACTATTCCCTGCCGATTGACGCTTCTGGCCTGGGGTTTATCTACATCAACCTGGCCACCAGGCTGGGGATACAGAACGGAATGCATAGAAAATGCAGCAATAGCGCCTTTAGCGCAAACGTTATTGAAACTCGGAATCGAGTTTGGTGGACAACCTACGTGTTGGAAAGGTAGGCTATGGCTTCCCCGGAGTGCAAATTGGTTGCGTGTTCCGCTAACAGGAGAAAAGGAAGATATCTATTTTCCATGGCCGACCTATGTCGGTGTCGCGGTCAAATATCGATGCTAGGTTACCGATACATGGGAATGTTTTACAATCAGAGGATTGGCGTAAACAAGCCTCTTATACTGGAGTCTCTGTACAGCTGATGTACTTCCTCGAAGACATGTACCACGAAATGTGAGTCAAGTTCTGACCTTCACACAGAAGCAAAATGCGCTTCTCATAATTAACACCTATACAGCAGTATCTTGCGAAACTGTCCAAAGAAAGAGATAGTTACAGTTATATCGAGGCTCGTGGCCAAAAAGGACGGCCTGACAGCATGGTGGCAATCTCTCCCTCCGGATACAATCGACGCGAATGCGCAACCAAAAACGGCACAGTTCCGTTCGGCAATGCATCTCAGACTAGATTACTGCCTGGTGCGTATGTTTGTCGGAAGGCCATTTCTATTGAAGAGAGAAACACAAGACGCTGGGACAAGCCCGTCTGTGCCCGAAAACAGCCCCGGCGTCGGAGAAAGAAGTGCCTCGAATGCGATGTCTAGCCGAGAAGAGCTGATAAGCGACTGCATAAAAGCGGCAACAGAAGCCCTTGATATCTGCCAGCAGCTACGGTCGAGCGGGATGGGTCTCGCTCGGGCCTCGTATCCTGAGTACAGCGCGTGTCGGGCGTCATTGCTCGTGCTGATTGCTTACTCGATCCGCAATTTCTCTGGCCAGTTCCGCAAGTCGCTGTGTGAGGGATTGAATATGATACGGGAATTGTCTGCTGGGGAGTCGGCGCGATCCGAGGTGGCCTTGATCGAGTCGCTCGAGCGTGCACTTGCTCGCTTGCACGCTGGACCACCACCGCACGAGGGCAGTCACAGCCACGGAAACCCCGGTTCGGAATATGAGGCATTTCGCAGCTGGGTAGCCAACTTGGCAGGCAAGAATGCGCAGGATGCCACTACATCTGCGGTTCCAGATGCCCCAGGTAATCAAGCAGAGATGGACTCCTCATCCAGCTGGCCCGTAGACCTTGATGCCCTTTCCAATATGGACTTTTTCAGTGGTTACGACCCCGCGTCTGATCCTCTACTTCAACTACCCACATTCGGAGCCGAAGATCTCTCTCCGTCTGATGGGTGGCTTACCCAAACCGAGACCGAAATACTTGGACGATTTATTACAGGACCTCATGGAGGAAATTAGTCAGTAACTGCAAGCGAGCTGTATTAAAATATGGGTAGTCCAGTTATTCAAAACAACCAAAATTAAAGCGATGCTTTTACGATCCCCTTTGCCATCTCTGGCAGCGTGTCAGCCATAACCTCCATCTGCGCGTCGAATATGTCGGCGCAAGGATCCTGTTCATATATTGTGCAATAAGCACCCCGGAACCCAACCTTTACTGCAGCAGACACATCCCACATGTGAGCAGCGGCAAACCACTTGAGATCATCGGGTGCGAATCGAGCTAGGGTTGGCTTGTACGCCGCCAACGCCGGTTTGGCCACGCCCTGCCCATCGCAGCTGATGAGGTTCTCCAGAGGCATGTCAACGCCGGCACGCTCAAAATATCCTCCCACCCGCTTGGCATCACCCGTTGTCAAACACCACACCGTGAAGTCGGCGTCTCTCAATATCGCGAAGCACTCTTTCGCCCCGGGACGCAACTCGAGCTCCGAGTATGCCTGGACGCAGGCGTCCCTTTCCGCATCTGTGGCGAGGTCCCTTGGTGCCGCAACGCCAACCATGAACAGCGTGCGGAAGAACAAGGCGCGCAGGACATCCTTGTAGGGACGATGGCGCTCAGAGACGGAGAGAAAGGTGAACTCGAGCTCGGCTGCCGTCATCCAAGTGTAGCCGAATGCAGTGGCTGTGATGTTTTTGGCAGCCAGCTTTTCGCCGATGACGCGGTCGATGCCGTTATAGAAGGCATCGAATGACACGCAGGTGCCGACGACGTCGAAGACCACGTGCTTCTGGTTGGTCATGTTGGGGATTTGATGACACCTTTGGATGTAACCCTAGGTGGAAGAAGGGAGAAAGATAGGAGGGCGAAATAAGATGGATGCAGACAAACTCAATGCGCGGTGGCTCAAGATTCAAGATTACGCAGTAGATAGTTATCTCAAGAACAATAAGTCACAGCATCAACAGCAACTAGGATTGGTGTCTTTTATCCAATGATGACTATGGTACTGATAGTTTATCCGCCTTTCATCTTGATCTAGCTTGATGGGGTAGGACCGGTCCGGTGAGATGTGATTGGCTATTTTGATCTCTACTTATCAGACATCATTATCGGAGATTCCACCTTTGGTCTCGACTCTCGTGGTCCGGATTAGAGATAGCTTGGTAGTATCCTCTTAGTTAGAACGAAACTAGTAAAGTTAGATACTCCAGTGATAAGACCACCGAGCTGCCGCTATCCCGGTCTGTGTGTCATTTCCCCAGAAGTTCTCCACGCCTATCTTTTTATCTGTCCCTTGGACTGGGGTAAGGTAAGCCAATCAAGGAGGCTGCATAACAAATCCCATTTGAAGTCCTGAGCTTTGCCTTCCCCGCAACGTGTAGAATTATCTTACATTTTGTCACTCCGAATAGTTGACTGACCATTGTTGAGCGTCTGGATAAGAGTCTCTAATAATTAAGTCATCATAATTATATTCTCATTAACACCAAGGGCACGAAATTTGCAAATCTCCTATGCGTCACATTTATCATCACACAAGTCTCTCGTAGGAATCGTAGTTTAAGGCACAGGAAGCCCAGGGTAGTCCAGAGGTAAATAATAATAAATAAGCAATAACTACACTACGCCAAAACAATTGATACATTTGAGCACATAATCTCTCCGTGTATACCAAGCTGATACAGCAAAAACTCCCATAAAGCTACTCCTGCTATCTCCCCTAGTGTTCACGACCACAGAAAGTTCAGTTTTGCAAGTCCGCGGCGAGGCTTTGGTTCCACCTTTGGCTCGTTCTCGTAACGATCGATCAGAGGACGAAGTTGAACGTCTTCCAAAGGGATGATCTTGGTCTTGAACCAGAGCTTATAGCCGAAATACATGATGAGCGTGAAGGGCAAATTGAAGTAGTTTGAGATGAACGACTCGGTCTCCCACTGCCCATGGATGAAGGTCGTGAAGCCGCCGGTGAAGAAAAGCACAACAAACAAGACCAGAGATACGTAGGTCGTGTAAGGCTGGAAAGGAGCGGCCCAGGGGAGTTCCTTTTGGCGATTGATCCCTTGCTTGTTGCAGGCGTGGACGAAGCGCAGATAGACGATGCAGATGGTAATCCAGTTCACCAGGGTAGAGATAGAGACGAGATCCTGCAGCCAGGTGAAGACAGTGCTAGCCGAGTCGGACAGGGTCATGTATCCCAGCGCCATGAAGAGGCCATAGAGGCAAACAGCGACATAAGGGATACCGAATCTGTTGATACGCAGGAAGATGGACGGGGCTTGGCCTTGAGATGCCATTCCGTAAAGGATTCTGGAACCACCAAGCATGTTGGAGTTACCTGCCGACCAAGCCGAAGTGAGCACGACAGCATTGATGATGGACGGCACAACCTTGATACCTGCGTTTTGTGCAGCAATGACAAAGGGCGACATGGACGCGTCTCCCGTCCAGGGTACCAGCTTCTTGTCCGTGGACGGGACGACCAAGCCGATCATGAAGATAGTCACGACATAGAAGCCCGCGATACGGATGAAGATGCGCCGGGCAGCCATGGGGATGGATTGACGAGGGTTTTTCGTCTCGGCAGCCGCCAGCGTGATGTTCTCTATGCCTGAGTAGGCGTAGAGCGCATTGTTCAATGTCTTCCAGAAGCCCAAGAACCGACCCAGAGATCCAGCCATGCCGAGGTACTGAACCATGGGCCCGTAGGGACTTTTCCAGTAGTCGAAGCCGATGGCCTCACCCTTTGGACCGCCGCCGCAGGTAATGACCAGAGCCATGATATTGACGCCAACGATGAGCATGATTTTGATTAGGGAGAAGCCGAACTCGAGCTCGCCGTAGATACGCACAGCTAGCAGCGAAGTGACAATCATGGGGATGCCAAGCACGGTGATCCAGATGGCGCTGTTGACGGTGACCCAGTACTCGATGATGACGGCGGCGGCGACGACCTCGGCGGGGATGGAGACCATGTATGAGTAGACTTGATTCCACCCGTTGGCAAACGCAAGAGCAGGGTCGCAGAAGAGCTCTGCATAGCGAATGACACCACCGCTGAGAGGCGCCAGGGCACCCATCTCGCCAACGCCGCAGACGACACTGGAAACAGCCATGCCCATGATCAGGTATGCCAGGAAGGCACCGAGCGGACCGGCATAGGCAATGGCTCGTCCAGAGCTCAGGAATAGGCCAGTGCCGATTGTACCCGCCAGGGCAATCATCTGAATGTGTCGTTGGTGTAAACCCTGCCTGAGCTCTTGAGTCTCCACGAAGGTTCCGGCTATATTCTCGACATCGCTGTCTCGCCGTGCGTCAGACGCAGGACCACCGAGACCTTCTTTCTCCGAAGGCATGGCGTCAACTTTGGAAAATCGGGGTGAAGCGTCGTATGTTGACATTGAAGTTTTGCTGAGAGGAAAGGAGTTGGAGTTGGAGACTGCTGCACAAGGAAGCAAGTCAACAAGCAAAGTAGAGAGAAAAAGACTGGATCAAGCAAATATGTTTTCTTCTAGAGAACAAGATGAATGCGAGGATCATAATTGTTTATTTCCCCGTATTATGAAACGGCTTTGTATCTCTTTTGGACCTGGAGCAACAGCCACACTAGCCCACGCTTATCAGCAGTACGGGGAAGATCTGACTAGGGCGATAGCTGCAAATCAGACCGGGGTCGACCGGCTTTGAAGATGCGAAGAGCGTGTGCGTCAGACCAAGATTTGATGTCTTTCACACCTTGGAAACTTCTAAGTTGAAGCCCTGCATGCGACTTCCCGGTGAGCGATATACCGAGGAGCGTTAGCGGCATTGCCAACCGGGGCCGGAGCCATTTGTCCAGATTGGGTAAGACCGGCCCGGCGGACCCCGATGAGTTCGAGTCCGGTCGGTCTATACTCTATCTATGTATACGTAACCGTAGATAATCAATCCCCACCAAAGGGGACAGAATCTGACGAATCCAAGCGACTTGCACGAGACAATCCTATCTATAAGATTCAGTCGAACCAAACCAGTACGTGTCTCTAGATAAGCTACACATAACATACCTAATTCTGATCCTGTACGCAGTCCTCATCACTTCACAGCGCAATCATGGCCATCTCAAATGGCAACACATCCCGCACCGCCGGTACGCCCAAGTGCATGCCTGGGCCGAGCCCATCGCCGTGTTTCTGGCAATCGCAGCACCAACAGGATGGGGCTGAGCTACGTGACCACCGCTCTTCAGAGCAGCTCCCCGACTACAGCGACATCGTCATCATCGGCGCCGGATACGCAGGACTGGGCACAGCGCACCACCTGGTCCGCGATTTCGGCGCCACATCCGTCTGTATCCTCGAGGCCAGGGGTATCTGCTCCGGTGCTACCGGCCGTAACGGCGGACACTGCAGGCCAGACTTTTACGGCCATATTCCCACCTACATAGATCGGGCGGGTGAGCGCGCTGGTGCTGAGATTGCCGAGTTTGAAATTGCGAACTTGCGCGCCATCAAGAAGATCATTGAGGAAGAGAAGATCGATTGCGACTTTACTCTTACCCGATCTATTGATGTTTGGTGCAACGAGGAATCGGCCAAGAAAGCAGAGGCCGTCTATCAATCGATGGTGGCCCGTAACTTTGAGTATATGGATGATGTTGTGTTTTATACAGGTGACAAAGTAGAAGGCGTAAGTGGCCCAATCACAAGCCCAGGTTGATTTGTGTGTGACTCAAAGACGATTGTGCACAAATATACTGACTACACCATCTACAGATCTGCGGTGTCAAGGGCGCTGTTGCTTGCGCAAGCTTCACGGCTGGGACCATGTGGCCCTTCAAATTCATGATGCACCTCACAAAACTACTGCTTGCAGCAGATGTCAACGTCCAGGCACATACACCAGTCACGTCCGTGACGCCAGACCCGTCGGGAGACGGCTCATTTATCGTCGAGACGCCTCGTGGCAAAATGCGAGCAGGAAAGGTTATCCACGCCAACAACGCCTATGTCTCAGCCCTGCTCCCAGAATACAACAAAAGTATCATCCCCTGCAAGGGCATTTGCTGTCGGATCACAGTCCCAGAAGGAGCCACGGCGCCGTTGTTGAACGACTCGTACATCACGCGCACCAAGGAAAACGCACTCTCGTACTTTATCCCTCGACACGATGGCAGCATCATCGTAGGTGGTGCAGCATCAGTGTTCAAGCCATTCAAGGACCAGTGGTATGACAATGTGGACGACAGCGTCCTTATCGATTCTGCAAAGGACTACTACGAGAACTACATGCAACGGACCTATCGCGGCTGGGAAGAGAGTGGTGCCAAAGTGAGCAACATCTGGACCGGCGTGATGGGCTACTCATATGACTCCAATCCGCACATTGGTTCAGTTCCCAGCAAAGAGGGACAATTCATCATAGCTGGGTTCAATGGGCACGGGATGCCTGTTATTTGGTTGGCAGCCAAGGAACTGGCTCGGATTGCATCCCAAGGGACTCAGTTTAAGGAGACAAAACTACCTCGCTTGTTCCAGACAAGTCAGTTCCGTATTGATCGGGCACAGAATGGTGCTGAAGAGGATGGTGATATCATAGGCACCGGTCATTTCTCCACCACAAAGCCATAGCATAGACATATTACGGATGAAAGGATAATAATTGTATAGATAATAGAATAGTCTACTGTTTCAAGAATACCTAGGCTGATTGGGCGTTTTCATGACGATGGAGCAAAGCCCAATCAAGACGGGCCTGGCTTCGCAATCTACCCCAAATTTGTCAGAAACATCATATCATGTCTCCTATTGTCTGCATGTAGCTTGCACTTGGACCTAAATTGAGTTTAGGAATAGGTTACCCGTACCTGGTATGAGTAAGTCGCAATTTCCCTTGCATATTCTCGAGACTTACGGATAAGGCTGAATGCAGCAAAAGATACTAACTAGACCGGGGTCGTAAAGAGGGCCTGCCTGTTGAGGCTTAGTCTGCAAGAACCATTGGTCTGCTATTCGCTCATGGATAATCCTTGTTTCAGCTCATCCTTCGCTACTTAGTTACCCGGGCCCCCGGCTGCGCAGATTGATTGACTGTTTGCGTTTGCAGGTCTTTTGCAGGTGCAGAAATCAAAAAGCAATATCAAATGTATTAAAAAATTGCTATCAATTGGATGTAAACTCGGAAATAAACATGTGAGGCTTACATGACTCGGAGGAACCAGCGTTTGGGGCTGATGTCTGAGTCAGTCTGCAGCAAGGCCAGGCAGGCTGACCAGTTGACAGGCATCCTGAGACAGTCGAGCAGGGATGTAAACATCACAACCAACAGATGTTACCTTGCCGAGCACATAAGAGCGAGAAAGTCGTCGACCAACACGTTCATGTCCTTTCTCGGGGCTTTGCTATCACGCAATCCAGAAAAGAAAATGTCTGCAAAACGTTCTGCTTTAGCTGACATAGGCTTCTTTTACGATGAAGATCTCCGAAATATCCATCGACGCTTCCCACCTCATGTTGAGATTCTAGAACAGTCTATGCTTGACTTTGCATGTCACGATTTTGATTCGGCTTCCAAAAGGGACATCAGAATTCAGAATGAAGCAAATAGACTTGCCAATGGGGGTTTTAAAGAAGACCATTGGGAATCTTTCTTTCGAGAGCATTACTTCGAGCCACTTCTGCGACGTGAAAGGGATGGAGAAGAGATGTCTCGTGGGTTAGTATAGAACTCTGTTGAAGGCCTCTTTGCTGATATGTGTCCTTCAGATCTTCACGATGCAATTATTACTATGATAATATGGTGTTGTAAGTGTTCTAACACCAAGAATTGAATCGCAAAGTTAACTGAAACAGCGAAACCGACGCTATATGGGGAGAATTTCGCAAAGAGCATAAAGGAATGGACTTGGATCCATTGACCACTCCCAAGCCAGACATCGTTTTGTTTCTTCCCATATATGATGTGGACTCTCATTTACCCACCGTGACAAACCCCGACTCTCTCGACTGGCACACAGACTCGAATGCAGCCCTTGTGGAGACCTTCTCATGGTCAAATCTGAGAGACCTTTACAAGTACGGTTTGCTGCCCTCTCCCTATAATGTTTTCGACAAGGATAAACCCAAAGAGAGCGATTTGAGGTGCTTCCCTTGGCTTATTGTCGAGTACAAGAAGAAAGAAAGCGACAAGTACAGCGAGGCCGATTTCAAAAGACTGGCTGAGGCCGTTTGCTGTCAAGCAGTCAACGCCAGTGGTTGTGCGGTCAAGCTGCACGAGACAGCCGCGCGGTTTGCTCTTGCGCTGCCTAGAGACGCTCATATTCCTCCAGTTACAACTGTGACCACAGTTGGGCCCCTAGTCAAGGTCTGGATTACCTATTTTGACAGAAACTTCTACGGATATCGTTGGCGCAACGCAAAAGGGGTGCAAGGTGGCCACATTAAAGAAGGCTATGTGAGTATGAAACCACAAACTCGAAGCCGAATCCTGCTGATGATTCCGACTAGATGATGCAATGTATTTGGATGGGCAATATGACCGACCTGCACGACATTCAGAAATTCCGACTCATACTGGAAAACACGCATACTTGGGCAGCACGGGTGTTTAGGCCGTTGATTTCCACATATGTCGAACAGTGGAGGTATGCGCACTCTCATGACTATACGAAGGAAGCAATGATCCGTCAAGAAGAGAGGCTTCTGCTTAAAAGGACCGCACTTCGTTACATTCTTGGTGTTATGGGTGATCAGATAGACCTCGACGCCGACAATGATTTGCGTCATAACGCCACAACAAGGCTCGTGGACCTCTGCGAGGCATTCGTCAAAGATGCGGATCGAGTTATTGACGAGGAACTTAAAGCCGCATGCTCGAAGGGGGAGAAGAAGAAAAATGGCGCGTCTTCCAAAGCACGCAGGAGGGCACTTACAGCCGGCCAGCCTCAGCAAGCGAGGAGTGTGAGCCCTGCTCCGGCAATTTCAACTCCACGAATTACCCCACGAAAGAAACCCCAAACGCCGACCGGTGGCTCAAGTTCCAGAGTCGAGACAGCCTCCTTGGATCTCAAGGAATGCATCGGAGGCGCGGAGCCCAAGCGACGAGAAAGCGGGAGTGACCTTCTCGACCCGTCGCCTAACATGATCCCTGGACTTAGCATCACACATGAGGGCGCGGATGACGAGGAAGCTCTCCTTGACTCGCCTTCAGCTACATATTCAAGCATCGACACACCAGTTGACGAAAGATCCGCGGAAGTCTCAATCCCCGGTGCTTTTCCACCTGTGACGCCGGCCAAACCTGCATGGTCTTCTATCCCTAAAATCATTGCCAGCGAGGATAGTCCAGTGACTACTCAGTGGCAGGGTCTAAAGGGTTTGGCCAGCAGTTTCCTCTTCGGACAAACCCCATAGTGAGGACACAACGCGAAGAGTAGCAGTGGTACAGATCGTTGTTAGAGAAGTGTATTGTAGTGTATTTATTTGAATTGATTTTTGTTATTCATATAATAAAACCTTGGCGAAGTGCGTATAACGTTATGTAAGAGCTCTTCGCCGTCATTTTAAGTTAGAGCCTGGTATGCCGCGGTTGGAGGAAGCTTATCAGTAGCGCGTGTAACCCACGAATTCTTCAAAAGTCGTTCTATCACGCTACCTAGGGCCATGTTGAGCTATGTAGAGCTGTTCTACTTCGGTGCTGTTTGAAGGAGTTATGATATATAAATCTTTGGAAATGAGATAGGAAGAAAGAAAGATGAATGGAGATATACAGAGAGCATAAGACAGTGTATAAAGAATTGGCAGTGGGGAAGGAAAGGTATAGTATTCATGGTCACGGATTCTATCCGGTCTTTTATAAAGTTTACGAAACTAATAATCTTATCTCATACGCCCACCACGATTGCGGAATAAATCTTATATACTCGCGCCTGATGTTGCATCTGGTATGGCGGTGAAAGTGTAGCACCCAGCTACGTATTCATTATTCTCTAATTTATTCTACAGAGTCTGAGTGGTTGGCTCATTCATACATGGGAGGCAGGTAGTAATAGACTGGAACGATTCTCATTATTTCAAATCAAGCTATATACAAGTAATGAATATCCTACTTTCTATTCACCCTGACTAACTTCTAGTTCTTGGGCTTCTTGAAGGCTCCCGCTGTCAGCTTGACAACGAAAGCACCACGCTCAATGGTGTTGATGAAGACGTAACCCGACTTGAAGAAAGCGTAAGAAGACCAAGTTCCAACGAAAGCAACGCTACCACCACCAGGAAGGGCATCATCCTCGGGGTAGATATCGAACCAAGCAGCCTCGTAGACACCAGCTCCAGTGGGGTCGGAGGGGATGGAGCGGCCGTCGAGGACACGGAGACCAGCGCCGTAGTGAGACTGGTAGATGTAGCTGTCTTTGACGTATTGGTTGTGGTCGATGGACTTTGTGGGGTGCTTGAAGAGACCGGTCTGCTTGGGGTTCTCGAGATCGCGGATGTCCCAGATGAAAGTGACGGGGTAACCGTCAGCACCAGGGCCAGCTCCGTCTCGCTCGTCGAGCTCATCGTCGAGGACGAGAAATTCCTGGTTCTGGGTGTCGAGAACCCAGCCTTGGTGAGTGTAGGAAGCACCCTCGTAAGAAATCTTGGAGATGATGTTGGTGACGTTGGCCTTGTCAGTCACATCGTAGATGGTGAGGGTATCCTCGTTGTATCCGTAGCAGATATCGCGGCCCTGGTAACGCTTGTCGGGTCCACGGTAGACAATGCACTGCGCATCGTGCACGTAGCCATCACCCTTGGCACATCCAAGAGACTTGGGGTTGGAAGGATCAGTGAGATCGAAGAAGTTCAGACCAGACAAACAGTTAGGGTCTGTTCGTGGCTGGGCGCCGACAGCAACGGCGTACTTGAGCTCCTCGTTGACAACAACATTGTGAGCTCGGCCAACAGGCAGGAGTTCATTGTAATGACTGGTAAGATCCGCCTTTGCGTCAAAGACAACGGGCTTCTTGGGGTCGATCTTGAGAAGCTTGGTAAGGTCGAAGATCTGGATACCGTGGCCAACAGCCTCGGATCCGATGATGACAAAGTTCTTGTATGTGCGGATCTCGCGCCACTGAGAAACCACAGAGTACTGGGGCAGACGGCCGAGGTAGATAAGTTGACCCTTCTTGGTGATCTCGGCAAAGGCTGTGCCGTCGTACTGGCCGATGGCGACGAACTCACGGCCGTTGTCAGAGGTCCATCCCCAGGAGGAAGAACCCCTGCCTCCGGTGCTGCCAAGAGCGCTGTGGCTCAGGAAAGAGTACAGATCGGCCTAGATAAGAGTCAGTACTGCTGTTGGCTGTCGTTGGACAATTGACTCACGTTGTGGCAGGCGAAGGTGTTGTTTGCATCACCCTTGATAGCCTCTGCGAAACCCTTGACACACTTGGTGTAACCAAGCTTGGGGTACTGCTCACTAACAAAAGCGCCAGCTTCCTCTTGCTTGGCCCAAACATCCTATGAAATGTTAGTCAGAGTTACAAGGCAGTGGCTGGTGAACATACCATCTTGCTCTGCATGAGCTGGTTGTGCACCTTTCCGGAGTCATACAGCCTAGCTGCCTTCTTGTCATCGACCTTGATCTCCTTGCCTTGGACATAGGAGCCGACAGCGGCCAAAGCGCCGAGGAGGAAAGTTGACTTGACCATCATGAAAAGTAGGGGATGGAGTTAAGAGAGAGCAGGGGATGAGGAGGAAGAGAGGGAAGGACTTGGAGAGGATGGCGAACCTTTTTATCTCTCAGAATAAACGGTATGGTCATCCACTAGAACCTGGATAGTCTATATCGCGCCGATCTACAACCCCCCAGATGCTTTGTCACAATGCTGGGTTTACCACATCCGACCATGAAAGAAAAGTCCCGTGCATTTCGCGCCCTTAGATCGGTGTACGCCAATCAGCGCAGAAACAGAGTAGTACCAGACATTATCTAGTCTTGGCAACGGTGACGGCATCGTCTTGTCTGCCGGATATACCCCAGATATGGAAGGTGTTTGGAATGGGACTCTTGGGCTCGCTTGTTATCAGAGGCTCTGATCGGCCATGGGCAGTAAGCACAGATCCCAAGACCAATTCCAGTGCAACCTAAGCAACGGGCTGTATCTATAATAGGCATGTTGTCTAGGTGTGATATAGGTGAAGACTTGGCCACTATGTCTTACAAAAGTTCTAATAGCGGACGTCTTATTGGACGACAACGCTATAACCTTTTGCAATGTCGCAATCACAACACGGGCTTGGCCCGTTGCACCATGGAGATACCAATCCCAGTTGGGCAGGTAAGTTAAGCTTATTGGCTAGTCTTCTCGTCTCGGACATAAGGCCGAGGCTTTTTTTAATCTTATCGTGAAGGTTAAAAATGCAATGCAACCCCGAGGGCTTGGCGTTTAAAAGGGCCCTCAGAGGGAACAGTTGATTGGAGGATTTGGGATGGATATTAGGGGCGCTTTGATGTAGATGCTGATCATTGACCGTTCTGCAGATTTTTACTCCGCGACTATCTCTGCTTAGAAACTGTTAATGTGTTCTTATTGGATTCTCATTCTCTCATTATCTACTGGAGCACGCAAACCACCCCTGACGATCCATCATTTGGGAGTAGCGGCGGCTAATAGATGTACCTAAACCCTGTTCCTCGTGTGGCAGTCGTCGCCACATCCATCTTTCCATCCTGATCCACAGCATTTGCCTCTTGCTCTGCCTTGTCGAGTTTCTTATTCTCCCATTTGTGGACATATCGCAGCATAAGAGCCAGCAAAGCCACAAGTACACATATCGCCGCATTGGCGCTACCACCAGGCGTGTACTGGGGCCCGTCGGTGCTGGGGTACATGTACGACCCATATATACTTGCTGTGTTGCCGATCATGTTGCAGATGGCGATAGTCGCTGACCGCTTGACAAGTGGACGGGGGAAAGAATTTGCAACCCACGAAACAATGATTTGGTCTGATTGATATCTGTCAGCACAAGATTCCAAGGTTGCGCCGACTCGACTTACATGAAGATACGGCACCCATGGGCATGAGAAACATGGCAAAGAACCGTGCTCCAACTACCGTTGTACCGGCGGCAATTGCGTTTCCAACTGCTGCCACAAGCATGAGACATATGATATGTATAGATCTATCGTTCGTTTTGGCGGAGCTTAACGTGACGCACACCGATAGGAGGAACGTAGCGAACTGGCGAGAGCAATAAAATTAGAAAATGATTCTGCCGGAAGGGAATTGATTTCTTACCCAAGCTGGAGCGGTAAGCCACAACGTCGTGATTTTACCATAGCCAAGAGTCCCCACGATGGTAGGGAAGAAGTATTGAAACGTCTGAGAGATCAAGCTAACGTGTTGCAGGAGGACAAAAAGGTAAAGTCGGTAGTCCCGAACAGCCATTTTGACGCCGTCCCAGACTGTGCTCTCTCCGTATGCATCTACTTCGCTAATATCCTGTGCCAATCTCCAGGCTGCAAAGGCACGCTCTTCTTCGGATAACCATTTTGTCGTGTGTGGGTAGTTTGGAAGAGCGAATGCAGCAACGAAAGAGAAGCCTATCGCAGCTACACCTTCCTAGTAAAGCAATACCTGTCAGTAGGATGTCCATCGGTGGCACGCGCTGAGTAAGTTGGTAGAGGAAGACTTACAATGATGAACAACCATCTCCAGCCTGAAATACCATGTGCACCGTCGAGATCACCCAGGATAGCAGCACCGAGGACTCCGCCAAACATATTGGCCAGTGCATTTCCAGAATAGAGCCAGGCAATTCGGCGAGTAAGCTCAGGTCTAGTATACCAAGAGCTCATCAAGAACACAGCGCCTGGGAAGAATGGGGCTTCAACAAAGCCAAGGAAGAATCGGATGACAATCAGATGCGTGAATGTCTGGGAGGCAGAATTACAGGTCGATACCACGCCCCAGAGACAACATGATGCGCTCAGGTAGAGAGATGGGCGCAAGCGTGTCAAGATGAGATTGGACGGGAGCTGCATCAGAAGATATCCCACGAAGAAGATTGATGTAGCCAGGTTAAAATCCGTGCCTTTCATCCCCAGGTCTTCTTCTAGGGATCCCTGACGGGCTTGGGCGAGATTGGAGCGATCGAGGAAGTTGAGGAGGTACATGATGACGAGAGTGGGCATCAGCCGTATATCGACCTTTCGGAGTAGCCTCTTGTTGAGTTCGGTCCGCCATTCTTCACTTTGATTGTCGAAATTCCAAGAATCAATGTTTTGCTCGCGACCGGCCGTGGGAGGATCTCCCTCGTCCATCTGGACGGACGGTTTTGCGTCCATGATGCAATCGACGTGCGGGGGTCGCCTTCACAGCAAGACTGTGCTTTCAGTAATGAGCTGTGTCCTGACCTTCGAACAACAATTCGGCTCGATGAGTAGCGTAAACTTCCAAACACACAATTTCAATGACAATGGTTATGGTTATGATGCAAATCTGCCAAGATCTCAGGTGAGGCGACACGAGTCTATATAAAGCAAGAAGGAATGAAACAAGAAACGAAAGTCACGGCAGTCGCCTCGGCAGAGAAATAGACCGAGGACTGCATAGCGCAAACGACATGATTTGTCGGCGACACAGAGATCAGCAAGAAATGCAACATCATCATGCTCAACGGGCCAAAGGGAGACAAGTTGAGACGTTAGTGAAGCTTCTGCCTGCGATGGCGCTACCCCGCACTCTGGCTCTGTACTTTCTGGGGTAATGGCTGGGTCTATGACTCGAGAGTTGGGCTTTTGGATTTAGCCACTTTGTGGAATGCTACGTCACAAATAACCGACAGGTTGAGAATGGACTTGATGCAAGGGTCGGTGTTAGAAATGCAGGCCGATGGTAGTATTGTGGTCCACAGTCGAGTTGGTGGTATTTATTAGCTCAACAGACGTGGTGAAACAAGAACAATGTCTTACCGTATAATCTTCAAAGCTATGTGTAGGTGTAGTCAGTTACTAGTTCAATCTTGAAACCCGACTCTAAATTGGTCTAGCATCGAGATACACTTGATGACTTCCAGCAACGCCCTTGGCTGCCTACTTTCAGAACATTTGGTAACGCAGCAGTGTCTGAGAGAAAACGCTATTGGCCTATTTCATAAAAAGCAAACTGACGTTTTTCGCCACAAGGCTGTTGAGCAATGAGAGTTTGCAGTTGGCTTGCATAGAAAACAGGAAGTGACTTACCACGGCTTGACTTTTTGAGCGACATACTGGAGTCTTTCATTACCGCGCAAATGTCAGATGTTGAGACGGTCCTTACAATCAACAGACTAAGAGCAATCACACGAAAGGAGTCTGATTTAATTATAGATTTCTTTTAGTCGTAGGTGATCTTTCGAATTAATTTGCCTCCTCGCGCTTGACTTTATGTGTTGATATGTGCGATTTTCTACCTTTTTGGGAAGAGTCTGGGTTTTCATGAGTTGGGCGGAGTGATTTGTCAAATAAAATGTCAAGGCGGACGAGAAGAGCTGCAATATTCACAAAGCCAGTTAAACAGTAGTTCGGGCCGGGTTGTGAGATCTAATGGACTGGAGTAGTTTTAATATTATTGTGAGGCATTATACTACTAGCAATCTTTTTACTACGTGGTGGAATTCAACTGGAACCATAGATAGCACCTTATATCAAGAGAATCCCGAAGCTTATCCCATCCACAGAAGCTTTTCAACAAATTGTTTTAATTGCTACTGCGTATTATCCGCTCGGATGTTTGATGGCTACCGGCTTGTACCGCGATTGACATCTCAAAACCATTGGTGTTTAGTTCGTGTGCTGGTTTTTTGTAGACAGTCTTGAATATTATGATGGCCAAAGGAAATATGACTGTTGGAAACATTTGGCCTTTTCAGCAATCAAATGCAATTCATCCCGGGATTTGTGTTCGTTTCACATTCTGATTTGTTGCCCAACTTCATGTGCGGCATGTTTTAGACCCGGATCTCGGTTTGGAGATAGCGGAATGGAAAAGAGGAACACACTTTCCAGATCTATTGAAGCCACCATGGTTTCTATAAAATGTTAAAGATCCTAATACGAACAGCTAGCCGGTCAAGACATGGAATTCGATACGGCGATTAGTGATCCAGGGTAGGTTCACTTATCGCACCCTGGTTCTTTCACTCTTAACTTTAGCTTGCAGCCACCCGGGTAAGATATTATCCATAACATCCGTGCCCTTCATTACCACCACAACTGATTGGCTCACTCTTCACAGCCTAGCAACGTTAATACCTTGCTTGAATCCTCGCAAGCTTCATCCAGCTTGTTTTCCTTCCCTCGTTGCCTAGAATTAGTCGGTCTGATGTTTGCTGACGAACTGAAACCACTTATTACGGCTCGCATCAAGAGAACCACAAGTTACGGTCCAACTTCGTATCAATCCTCTTTCTTTTTCGCCGAGTCTGCTTTTAAACATGAGATGTGACACCTGGAAGCAATGCACCGTCCAGCCACCTCGTTCGAGAATGATAGCATAGAAGAGGGGATACGCTCTTCAAATCTACGAGATCTCGGCCGTGATGTGGGGTGTTTCGGGTTTAGACCACGGCATCAAAATGCCGTGGACCCGTTATTTCACGAATCTGTCGGTGACATGTTCTTGTCGCGTTAATGGTCAAAGCTTTATCACAAAAAACACGACAAGCGGAGCGGGCAGCGACCTTTTTACATTAACGGTAATCCGAGCACATGAGTCGATTATGCATCATTCCAAACTACGCGAACCTTTCCAGCGACCGTGTAACGTTGTGCCCTGTTTACGGCACGTGGGGGTGCTTCTGGGCCCAGTTTATGGTGTTTATGGGCTGAGGCTCATCATGTCGAGTTAACTCCGAAGCATTTTTGACATGGATCGTCACTGGAGACGTGAGATCATGGTGGACCCTGCAAGGCAAAGAGATTTTTGTTGAGCGAAAAAGATATGGGGTAATTAACTAATATCATTCATTGGAGGGCAGGAATCTGAGCTTAATATTCCCCAGAATGGGGATGAGATTAGGAAGGGTCTGGGATTGTTTGTCCACATTTTTAATAATTAGATTCTCTTGGTTGGTTCATGCTACTATTTCCCCGACGAGTTCCCCGTTGGAGTGTGATTCTGTTACCTACGCTCTACTACGTGTTGTTGTCATATTCTCTGGGTCGATTGCAGTGGCAAAGGATGAAAGATAACTGATAAATTTCGTGATATTTCACGACGTCATAGCTGGTCTTACATAAGTTATTAGTCGCGACTTGGCTGATAACTGCCGGACCAAGACGGATAGCACGGCTAAGCGGCGTCTGAGATCTGCGGTACCTACATGTGGCTTGAGCCTAGAAATTTTCTAGAACCGCCAAAGACTGTGCATGGCAGAATGACTGAATGCTTGAATGCCCAGAATGCCATAATCATGGTTTCGCTGATAGGTAGTCAAGTCATGAACTCACAATAGGTCGACCAATGTCGTGTTTCTCTGGCGTGATTTCTAAACAAGGGTCTTCACCGTCTGCCGGTCGTCTAATGCCTTGCATGCACAAAACCACAAAATCCTTTGGAGCCTCAAAGCTGGGCATTGCGGCTCTTTGCTGAGAAATTGCCTCTTCTGGACACTCCGACATCTCTATCTTGTTTTTGACCGTTCCATTGAGTTATTTTCCCTGGCCTCTGACTCGCGAGCGTGACGATAAAGAAGCGGGTAAGACCCCGTACTGCAACTGTGAGACCCAGTTAATCCACAAAATAGTCGAAGCCACCGAAAAACGACCGTGCCGTATTAGCCGGTATACTTGAGCGCGACCTCCGAAGACGCGAGTAACAAACAACCCCGTTCATAATCTGCCTGTGAGAGAAAAATGACGTCAAGGAATTAACTTCAAACTCAAATATTACCCTTGCTTTACGACTATGGAGGATTCATTAGTAAAAAACTTATCCCCACAACGGGGCATTTGCCCTCTGCGAGCTTCCCGTTCCCATGGGGCTCCGCAAGAACCGGAGTTCTTAGTGCGAGCTTTGATCGGGGACCAGATTTAGTTATAAAGCTATAAAGCTCCTCGAGACACCAGAGGTTGAGGTCGTCCATCATCCATCGCTCTCCAACCGACAAGATGAGCGCACCGACATACATGGGAGTCAGCGGCCAGTCCCTGGCCGTGCTCCAGATTGCCGCCATTGTCGCCCCGTCCTTCATCCTCTTTGGCTACAACCAGGCTGGAATCGGAGGTCTGTTGACCGAGGAGGACTGGGTCAAGACATTCCCCGAGATCGACACCGTCAACGCTGAGGGTGCTGAGAAGAGTCGCAAGTCTACTCTCCAGGGCTTTGTTGTCGCGACCTTCGTCATCGGTGCTCTCATCGGTTCGCTGTCCTGCTCTTACACAGGTGATAAGTTTGGACGTCGCAACATCATCTTCTTCGCGTCCATCTGCACCCTCATCGGCGAGATCCTCGAGGCTTCTTCCTTCGGCCTTGCTCAGTTCATCGTCGGCAGAGTCATCATCGGTCTCGGTATTGGTCAACTCAGCTCCATCGTCCCCGTGTGGCAAAGTGAGACATCTGCTGCCAGAAACCGTGGTCGTCAGGTCGTCTTGACTGGTCTCTTCATCTGCCTTGGATATGTCCTCGAGTCCTGGATCAACCTTGGCTTCTTCGAGTTCCACAATGGCCCTGTCACCTGGAGACCCCCGATCGCCATCGCCATTGCCTTCTCCCTCATCCTCATGATCTCGATCTACTTCTTCCCCGAGAGCCCTCGATGGCTCGTCATGAAGAACAGATCCGAGGAGGCCCGTCATGTTGTCGCTGCCCTTCGTGGTCTTCCCATCGACTCCACCGAGGTTCTTGCTGAGGTCGCCGGTATCGAGCACTCCCTCGAGGAAACCTCCGACAAGGCTGCCCGTCTCAGCGATATGCTCAAGATGGGTGAGGACAAGCTCCTCTACCGATTCGTCCTCTGCCTCCTTCTCCAGTTCTACCAGCAGATGAGTGGCTCCAACCTCGTCAGCGTATACGCCAACGTTCTCTTCCAGAAGAATCTCGGCATGGATGCCGAGACCGCCAAGGCTCTCACCGGCGGAGCCCTCACCTGGAAATTCCTGGCCTCTTTCCTCGCCTTCTTCACCATTGATCGCTTCGGTCGCCGAGCCGTCTTCATCATCAGCGGTGCTGGTATGTCGTGCTGCATGATCGCCCTCGCCATCAGTACTTCGTTCGGTAACGAGAATAAGCCTGCCATGATCACTGCTGGCTGCTTCATTTACCTGTACAACACCTTCGTTCCTATCGGTTTCCTAGGCGCCAACTTCTTGTACTGTACTGAGGTTGCGCCTCTCCGCCTGCGAATGGCCATGTCTTCCATCTCGACTGCCAACCATTGGCTATGGTATGTTTTCCGACTCAATTCTGTTTTGACAATTATTAACTCACTATACAGGAACTTCATCGTGGTCATGGTTACCCCCGTTGCGCTCAACACCATCGGCTGGCAATACTACATCGTGTATGCCGTCATTGCCGCATGCGTGCCCATCTCAGTCATCTTCTTCTTCCCTGAAACCATGGGCAGAAGCCTGGAAGAGATCGAGCTCGTCTTCAGGGAGTCGCCATCTGTCTTTGCGACAGTCAAGTTTGCAAAGACTCGTCCTACCAACACTCCCCAGCAATTCCTCGCTGGCAAGGAGAAGGCCGACCACCTGGAAGAAGGAGAGGAATAAATGATGAGCAAAGGAAACGATTGTGATTGAAGAGATATTGATAGAACTAGATTAGACAATACTAGTATGATTATGACATGACAACAAAAACAAACACGTGCTGTGCCAATTGCCTGATCTTCTTCATCACCAGCCAAGTATCATTCACCCGGTGTTCATCAGGCAAATGAACCTTGGCCGCCTATTGTTTTGATGCGTTAATTCGTGGAGGAATTAATAAACATTTTGGACGAAAGACTAATCTCTTTTCAGGGACCATTACCGAGTCAGTTATGGAGATCGTGGAAGAATACGACTCTAACCCACACAAGCTTCGCCATGCGCACGAATCCCCTTTCGCCATTCGTGCCATTCCGTCTTTTAGGTCAGGCATTTCCACATCCGAGGCTAAACCCCTTGCTCATAAAAATCTTACCCCAACTCTGAAACAAGCCATGATCGACAGACTCTTCACGTCATGGGCCAAGCACCCCCAGAATTTAACCGTTACAATCTCCCCGCATTGACGGAGAATATGGGGTTGCCGTCGCCGGTTAAAACTTGGTGGTGGCTCGGCACTGTCAATGATACGATCGACAAAGTGCGGAGAAGCTTGGATGAGTTTGCCATTGGACCGCTTGATTATTTGTATGATGCCGGACGAGGACTTCCTTTTGAGAGTCAGCTGCAGGTACGGGGTCTGGCTGGTTACTGGGGCGGATGAACGAGAGGGAGAGCTTGGGCCTAAATTCATCGTGTATATAAGACATTGCCAGCTGCCGTAGAGTTGCATTCCATCCTTTGATCTCACCATCTGCAAGGTGTAGAATCTCACAATGGTTCGCTTCAGTTCAATCCTTGCGGCTGCGGCATGCTTTGTAGCTGCCGAGTCCGTCACAATCAAGGTTGATAGCAAGGGTGGCAATGCTACCAGCGGTCACCAATATGGCTTCCTCCACGAGGTGAGTTCCATTGACATGCACGATAGATCAATGCACTGACAGGGACACGCTAGGACATCAACAACTCTGGTGATGGTGGTATCTACGCCGAGCTCATCCGCAACAGAGCTTTCCAGTACAGCAAGAAATACCCCGTCTCGTTGTCCGGCTGGAGGTCAGTCAACGACGCCACCCTGGCCCTCAACCGCCTTGACGACCCTCTCTCCAAGGCTCTCCCAGTCTCCATGAAGGTGACGACTGGAAAGAGCAAGTCAAAGGAGGTTGGCTTTCAAAACGAAGGTTACTGGGGAATGGACGTGAAGAAGCAGAAGTACACCGGATCTTTCTGGGTCAAGGGTTCCTACAAGGGCGACTTCACTGCCTCTTTGAGGTCCAACTCCACCAACGACGTCTTTGGCAGCGTCAAGGTCAAGTCCAAGGCTACAAAGAAGGAGTGGGTTGAGCACGCGTTTACGCTCACTCCCAAGATCAATGCTCCCAACAGCAACAACACCTTTGCTATTACCTACGACCCCAAGGTAAGCATCTCCAAGAAAGCAACATGAATAACCGCAGCTAACAAGTAACAGGGCGCCGACGGAGCTCTGGACTTCAACCTCATTAGCTTGTTCCCTCCTACCTACAAGGGACGCAAGAACGGCCTTCGAGTCGACCTTGCCGAGGCTCTCGAGGGCATGCACCCTAGCCTGCTGCGCTTCCCCGGTGGTAACATGCTCGAGGGCAACACCAACAAGACCTGGTGGGACTGGAAGGATACTCTTGGTCCTCTGCGAAACCGTCCGGGCTTTGAGGGCGTCTGGAACTACCAGCAGACCCATGGCCTTGGAATCTTGGAGTATCTTCAGTGGGCTGAGGATATGAACCTCGAGATTAGTGAGTTTGATGGAACACTGTAGTTGAGGATTATTGGCTAACAGGCATTTCAGTTGTTGGTGTTTACGCTGGTCTCTCGCTCAACGGCGATGTCACCGCCAAGGAAGACCTCCAGCCTCTTATCGACGATGCTCTTGACGAGATCGAGTTCATTCGAGGTCCTATCACCTCCAAGTGGGGTAAGCGACGTGCCGAGCTTGGCCACCCCAAGCCTTTCCGCCTCTCCTACGTCGAGATTGGAAACGAAGATTGGCTGGCCGGATACCCCGGCGGCTGGAACTCTTACAAGGAGTACCGCTTCCCCATGTTCCTCGAGGCCATCAACAAAGCCCACCCTGACCTTACAGTTATCTCCTCCAGTGCATCCATCGATCCTGTTGCTGACAAGGAAAATGGTGGATTCGATATTCCTGCTCCTGGTATCGGTGATTACCACCCTTACAGAGAGCCTGATAAGCTGGTTGAGGAGTTTAACCTATTCGATAACAACAAATACGGCCACATCATCGGAGAGGTTGCCTCTACTCACCCCAACGGTGGAACTGCCTGGGAAGGTGACCTCATGCCCTACCCTTGGTGGATCTCTGGTGTCGGTGAGGCCGTCGCCCTCGTCGGCTACGAGCGCAACGCCGACCGCATCCCCGGAACTTTCTACGCTCCTATCTTCAAGAACGAGAACCGCTGGCAGTGGGCCATCACCATGATCCAGTACGCCGCCGACTCAGCCATGACCACCCGTTCCACCAGCTGGTACGTCTGGTCTCTCTTCGCCGGCCACCCCATGACACACACCCTCCCCGCCTCGGCCGACTTCGACCCCCTGTTCTACGTCGCCGGAAAGAACGAGGACAAGGGAACCCTCATCTGGAAGGGTGCTGCGTACAACACCACAAAGGGCGCTGACGTGCCTGTCTCGCTGTCCTTCGAGGGAATCAAGGCCGGGGCTCAGGCCGAGCTGACTCTTCTGACTAACAAGGAGAAGGATCCCTTTGCTTTCAACGACCCTCACAAGGGTAACAATGTTGTTGACAGCAAGAAGACTGTTCTCAAGGCTGATAGCAAGGGTGCTTTCAACTTCAAGCTTCCTAACCTTAGTGTTGCTGTTCTTGAGACTTTGAAGAAGAGCAAGCCTTACTCTGGTTGATAGTCGAGATATTTGAGATGGTGGGACTCGCCAATTAAAAGACGACTTGAAGTAATCAAATGTTCATAGTTCAATATTTTACAGAAAGAAATAAGTGTAATGACAAAAGCCCTCCCAAACTACGGATCTATTTATGCGAAGCCATAGACTCGGCTGCTATATACAATGGTAAACGGTTGAAGCACCATTTCCAAATGTATGATTAATTTGTCGATTATCTCCACTTTGAGCAATTATAAAATGGAAACAGCACTGTAAACATTCTCCTCTGCGCATTATGATCCTATGTTTAGCAAAAGGGAGTTCATCTGATGTCCTATACTTAGTTTGGAGTTGTGTGGCGAACGCAGCTAAACGACCAAGCTCGGAATCTTCCAGGTGGCTCCATTGAACGCACATCCAATGGGGAAGGTCTGGTTTACCAGCCTGTTCATCGGCCATGAACCAGCCACTCTCCACTGTGAATAGTTTGGGAGGATTGACACAATCTCTACAGTCCCCGGACTTCTTGCACGAAACGAGACCGGTACTTTCTAGGATTCCAGTGGTTACCTTTCCAGGTGGGATGAGAATATCACCACTGGATGTAGATATTCGGTAAAAGAAAGTAATTTCTCCAGCGTCACCAAACTCCAACACTTCAGGGGTTAGCTTTAGATTTTTCAACCCTCTATTTGGCTTTGGTTGATGTAAAATCTCTCCGCTTGGCTGCTTTGAACCTGTCGAATGACTTGTATTCCTGGATTGCTGACCTGAAGGTGTTGGTGTAGATGGTCTACCATCAGAAGCCGGTACAACTTGTAGACGATCGACAGTAGGTTCAGGCCAATTGGCAATTTCCAAGACTGAGTCATACTCACGGCAAACAGCGTCTGGGTTGCTCAAAGTCTTCCGTCCTATACGGCCTGGAATAACGTGTATGCGGCGAAGCAAATCAGCCCTGGTGGAAATTGAGACCATTCCATGGACAAAGACACATATTCCGCTTCCACAGACAGCCAGGCGAGAAGTCGAGTCTTTATTGGCGAGAACGAGAGACTTGCCACCCCCGAAGCTGGTGCCTGTGAAGAGGATGAGAACCTCTTCAACAAGCAATCCTAGCAGATTGATATCATCATACCATTGACTTATGTAACTGAAAAGAAGTAAAAACCTATCATCACCAGGACCTGTTAGGCTGTACGAATAGTACTCCAAGTTCCGTTCATAGAAAAACCTGATTCCATGAGATGTTGGGTATAGTGGGGATTCGACCTCAAATTGTAGTGATGAAACGGTTACTATCAAGTTTACCAAAGTCGTAGCTAGGACCACGAAACATATTGGCGCCGCCTCAGTACTTTCATTGCATAAATTACATCGACAGAAACGCCGGAATATCAGATAGGACTCTTTTTGGTAAGCTTGCGCTTTGGAGAAAGGAAGTGGAAGGACCGTCTGCATATTATTGCGCAGATTTGCCCCAGCCAGCTCAGGGAACAGAATTTGACTAGAATCAATAAAGCCTTGACCATAGCTTGCTTCAGCAAAGTCGATGATATACTTTCGAAAATATTTGCCAACATCGACTTCTCCTTCAGCAAGTGCCAGAGAAATTCTAGCAAAGCTACCCAGAAACTTCCATATGGCCTCAGGGAGCTTCATGAAGTCATCGACTGCGCTTCCAAACGTATCCTTCAGGCAGCTTTTCCAAGGGACACGACGACGAAGGTGTAAGAGCTGCTTGTCTGGCGTGTATTGTATGAGGTCTCTTGCGTCGTTCAGTAGGTAGGTTGATTTCGAAATGGCTATTCCATGGTCTTTATTGAGATCGAAAAACTTGACATAGACCTGGGCCGAATCGGGCTGAACTGGGCGCTTGGTGACTGAGGATGAGAATATCGCATTGCCATCGTGATCCTCGACGTAAATGGACATGTTGAAGATCCAATAAGCAACTGCTGCGATGAAAGCACCATCGCCACCTCCGACAATAGCAATGCTTTTCGTTTTCCCCATTGAGATGTCAAAGAGACCGATCAATGCTTTAGCAACATCCTTTGGCTCAGAGCATCTGTCATCGGCTTTCAAGTCTTTCACAGATGGAAACATTCTATTTGCGATTTCGGGAAACGGGGACGAAGCGAGAGAACCACCACAAGCCTTGATGAGAGCTTTGAATTGCGGAATTGAAGGTTCAAAGTCCTCAGGATAGCCTAGCTCATGCCACAGGGCTGAGAGGATTCTCGCTGCAACGGTCTCCGAGTGCATTTCCGCCACGCATGAGCACAAGGCAATGCATTTGAGGCCCGACACCGTTTCGGTCAAGATGCGGAAAAAGCTGCGGTGGCCAAAGCCAAAATAGAGCAGGTTAGAGGCACCGTTGTAGCATTTTAGGCGATTGATGGCATCCCAAAGCCTCTGTTGACCGCGTTCGGGGAGACTGAAAGATGCTGTGAGCTGCAGCGCTCCGGCATACGTGATCGGTTGTACGCCAGCTCCCTGCAGCCTAGCCAGGACATCAATGGACAACGGGACGATTGTTTTGCCGAAGGCTACCCAATCAACTTGGCCTTGCTGGACAAATCCCACATCTGAAGTCGGCGGTGAAGACATGGTGGAAAAAGTGAGATTAGATACTGAGATAGTGATGCAACTGCAAAACGTGGGATGATCAAGATGGGTATTGCGCTTTCAAATGAATGCTGACGTGGCATTATATACCTGGATAAGCGTATTTCACCAGGCACCTTATGTATCAAGCGGGGATTATTGGGAATTCCATTGTGTTACCAATTATTGTGGCTATGTGAAAGTGCAATACAGAACCAATCACGAGTGCAGATATTTGCTTCTGGCCGCAAACAATTCTGCAGTAATTTTCTAACTCTACAAGGCTCTTTCCCCGCACGAAACATCGAGGAGAAAAGAGACTACTCTCCAATCTTTAGGGCCAGAATAGTGACGCAAGAAAATCCAAGTTTTCAGACATAGAGACTTCGACAGGAGTCGGCTCTTAAAAGCTGGTAATTTTAGAGCCTCTGAGAACGGTACTAATATTTATTTAAACCCCTGGTTCCAACGTGTTTTAATAAGGAGTTCCATAGAAACCGGCCAGATATATACAATTGAGTGCAGCCAAGTAGGGCCATATCAAGGCCAAACTTGGCCACAATACTCATATGACTCAGGTGGAATCCTACTGGAGTTGAACACGACAGCAAGCCATGTGTCGAGGTCTTTTGAACTTGATCTTCAGGTGGCAGTTGTTTGACAATGAGTTCAAAGCCTTCACTTGTGCCCTTACCTAGTGAGTTTGGTGGCTCTATGTCGTTGACCTGTTGGAATACCGTCGTTCTTGGCTTGTTGGTCGGCGCTCCTGTGCCGCAGTGGTCCCACTTATGAGTCAGTATCGCGGCGGTGAAGATTGAAGAAGCGAAAGCTATTCAATGTTGGAATCTTGGATGTGGTTCATACGGAAGGCTAACGAAGCTTGATTCAGTGGGCGCGATCAAATACTGATGCAAAGAGAAAATTGGAATTTCACTCTTGCCTGCTTATGGACCTTAAAATTTGGCATTACTCAATTGTGAGTTGCCCTTGAGAAACTTCCATTCCTCCCTTGCTCGGCAGAGAATCATACAACAGTTTTCCTGAGACCAGTTGCAGCATGATATCTCTCGCCCATTCAGTACTCTCGATGAAGTTCCATTTCTTCATGGTATCAATAGCCTTCTCCAGTTCAAGAGCATCCTTTTCTTCATCTTCGACGTAATCGTCATCCCCTGGAGCAGGCATGTAGCTCCCCTCATAGCTCATGTCAAACAAACTGTAGCCAACCACACCTGAAAGATCGGCGGTTGCGATGATGCGTATTATACTTTCAGGGCCTTCTTGCATAATCATACGCAAGTATGCAGCGCAAAAGGCAGGAATTGGTATTGTCCAGATTGAGCAGGGTAGGTTTGTATTTTCGACGGCTATCAGCTCCTCCATCTTGATACCAGGCCAGGATAAGGGGAGAAGTATCAACCGGGAACTCGGTGTACCGAATGCGAAGCGGAAACACATATTCGTATGCTCAGAGATGTAGTTCGGGGGTTGGTCGCTGTCTAGTAAGCCATTTGCTTTCGCAATATCGAATGCGTCTTGAATTTGGTCATCTGGTACCAAAAAAATGAAATCCTGTGATAAGATATGAGCAAAAGGTGACCTGTTTATCATGTCTCCTTGACTTACTGGCTTTGGTGCAAGAGGATAGCCTAGCCGTTGTAGCAAAGGAGTCTCCCATTCTACCAGAGTAATGTTGGAGTCGCGAAAGTCATTCAACGTCTTGAGCATACGCTCGTCGGATGGAAGATCTTCCATGTTGTTTATAAGAAGTTATTTGCGTAAAGTCGATACCAGATCAAGGTAGATAAGGTTGATGGAGGTGGTGCAAGTGAAGTATGTGAGTGGAGAAGCTCGTCACGTGTCCTGTCAAGCGAAAGTTTCCAAGACCTCAAGAGGATGATTGGTATAAAGGATATTGTTCTTTTTTGGAGTGTGAATGTGGCTTAAAACATGACTCATTCCACTTGGATCTCTGTATCGGAAGTCTGTGTGGCGAGAGGGCAGTTTGAGTTTCGATTCATCTGGCTCGGAAATCTAAACTATTTTTCACCGACGGGGGGCAGCCTGCCATGTTTTCAACATCAGAATCAGACTTTTGTGTACAATATTCACAATGAAACTGCATATCTAACCGGAGCGCCTGGCACGCCGTGTTAAGCGGTTACATATAGCTCAGTGTGAAAATTGCAATGATAAACTGACTGAAAATATGCCTGGCAGAAAATGGAAATGCATTATGAGAATATTGAAAGAGTTTTAGTGTGCTTTATGACAGAACATCGGAAATCACAAATTATCAGTACATTTTAGATTAAATTATGTAGACTAAATAGAATTTAGTACAAAATTTCTCACTTTCGTCAAATAAAGAGGAGTTTATTAATTTACATGAAGTTTACATGCTGAGGTTGGGCATCTGTGCTATGATCTCACTGACGTTCTGTTCTTCGCCAAAGATAACATCTTTATCACCCCTCTGCAAAACTGCGTTCAGCATTAGGGCAATCAAGGACTGACCAGGTCTAACCCTCCAGTGATAATGGAATTGTCTAACCGCTCTGTAAATCGAGCGAGTATCGCTCGCGTCATAGCTCGCGAAGTCGATTTTCTCGCCGCGGGTTTGGAGCCAGAGAAGCAAGTAAAAGATATCTCGTACATCGGCATTGTATTTGAATACAGATTGAGGTCGTGTGCTTCCGATATAATGGCCTGCGCGCTTTAACTTCGTGAGAATAAGAACGCCGGGTTGAAGAATAGGGAGCGGGACTGGAAAGATAGGCGCTGGATAATTGTTAGCACGGGCATTTGAGAAGATATCAGTGAATCTTACTGTCTGTAGGTATGATTGAGAGTCTACGTGGCAGATTGAGCATGCCACATGTGAGTAGCTCAACAGGAATGTGTGCAGGCCCGAAGTAAAGCTTGTAGTTCTCTACAGCGAAGCGAGAGTCGGCACCACAAAGGATCGGAGTGACATAGCTGTGGATATGAGAGGGGCAGTCCACGTCAATCAAGACATCGATGTCAGAAGTGTCACGGTCGCTACCCAACAGGTTCAGGGCAAAACCGCCGATATACGCATGCCCAACGTTGTTTCCATTAAGGATCATCGAAAGGGTATATGCAGCTTCATTCATTGCGTCGTGTCGAAACGTCATGGCGGTGTTAGAATGGTCTTGGATCGAGGGAGAAAATGTGCATGTAGAGATGAAAGGTTCGTGGATTGCCAGCTCACGTACTTATAGCACCCTTCCATTTTTCCTTTTCTAGAGCTTCCTTCGACGCTGACTTCAGAACCTTCTTTCTCGAGAGGCAGAACTCAAGCGGTGGGGTTTTGAAGAGGCCCACGTAACCGTGAACTATATCCAACTTGCGGCCCGAAAGCAGCCCTGACTTTGGGCTTGACTTTGACTTTGACATCTCAACACGTCCCGTGTCTCGTTGCATCTTCAAGAAACTTTACTGTTGTCTCTGGTACAGCCATGGGCCATATGATAAGCCTCTCGGTGTTGAAAGTTACTCAATATGCGGCGATCCAGATAATTGGTTAAGCGTCGAGAATTTTAGGTTGCATATCTCCCAATGTTGATAAGGTACAATCCTTTATTCATATCCGATCATGAGGCATCACTGAAACTAACTACATTGCCCATAGAGCTTCGGTAATGCCATTTCAAAAGTCGAATGTGGCAAAACAAGTCTTGGTAATGCGCGTAGAAAGCTTGGGGAACACTTCAAGCACTATGGATTCCGATTGGATGACAATTTATAATCCTACCATTTACATTATTACTATAATGCTTAAGCTGCCTCATTGACTAAGCATCAAATTACCTCAAGATAATATTCTATATCTACTCCAAAAAGGTTATAAAAAAGAGTTGAAGAATACACGTCAACTTAGGCTGGATATTTTACAGTGAGAAATATACCATTCTTCTTTTTTCTTAAAGCTTCAACTTTATCAAGCCCAGGCTCTCCAAAGCTCTCAATGATATCAACAATAGAAATGACCCATTCCAGAGAAATGTAATCTAGAATGTAGAGTCACTCGCTTTACCACATATGGGTGTATGGAAAATGTGTTTCTGCTTACGCGGCCTAAGTGTAAAGTACGTGTAGAAATTCGAAAAGGTCTGACCATTTGGTATAATGAGAATCTAGTGATATTACTAGGGAGAAAGTGTCTCTTACAAAGGTAACCCAACAGGAACTCATTTCTATACCTCATTTAGCATAGCCATTAACTTCATCACTTCAAGTTGTTCTTGAGACATCGGCTATCATCTAGTCTCAATTGGTGTGCGGGGTTTGTTGTGGCTGGCTGTAGATGCGCGACTATTCGTATGAGAATGGTCTGGGCCATGGGCTAGTGGGAGGAGCTGAGCGCACTATCGAGCAACATACGCCGTGTGCCTCAGCATATTTCAGAACAATGATGCGGTAAAACTTCAAAGTTCACTAGGTGCAGTAAGTTGTCGATAGTTGATCGCCGGCGTATGTTTCTCAACAAGTCACATTGACTACTGTAGAGTGCCAACATCGTCAGCCGAGCTCTCAATAAGAAGCCCATGACTATTGAGAGAAGCCATAGCTTACATGAAAAGTTGGCGGTCGCGCTATAAAAGGCGTGCTTGCCCCCTTCTTATCGTTTTCCCCATCGTCACAGGAAACAACACACAATCTTATAATACTACAATCACTTTTCAACGTGTTCCCTCAGTCTTTCCAAAATGCCTGACTATGTTCTTCAAATCAGTATCCAAGGGCCTAGGGCCATGCAGCAACTCGCACAGCAAGGTTACAGGATCTGCTTTGCTTCCGCAATAGCAGACGAGGGATTCAAGGTCATCGCATCAAGCACGGGCAAGTCTACGTGCTTCTATTTACTAACCTAAACTAACAAGTGGAATACAGACTTGGCGCCCAATGCTCAAATCCGGTGGAATGATGAGTTTAGTATTGCCGCTAGTCAATCCAGCTTTATGAACGGAGGTATGAGAACTAACAATCTAGCAGCTTGGTAGTCATCATGTTGATCAGTCTTTTAGTCCAGTTCTCGGCGTCATCAGATATCGACCGCATTAGGCTTGGCCAGAGCTACACCTTGAACCCAGACTGGCGGGGCAATGTCGGCGAGGATGGGCCTCGAGACGGCATTCGCTTCAGAAATCAGGCCGACCGAGCCTCTGCCATTCTCTACAGAGGGATGAATGGCTCCATAGCTCCCATCTACTTCGGTTCTCAGCAGCTCCCACGAGGTGCCACCCAACAGATCAAGCCTATTAACAGGGTTGCAGTCTGGCTCCAGCGCGGTGGTCAAGCTGGCACCATGATCGATGGACCTGGAGAGCAAAGCATCGAGATTGATATGTCAGGAAGGACCAGCGCAAAGGTTGTCTTTAATGACGACATGTCATGGTCGTTGCAGTAAGGTTGTACTGGGTTAAGCTCCCAGGTTCGATGGAAGACCGATTTCGCTACGCGGCTAAACGTGAAATAATACAAATGAATCAGAATTTGAAGCTTGCACGAGTCCGAGTTGTATACATGCATTAATCTGGTATAAATTGTCATCGCCTCGTCTAGACTAAGCATCAGCGGTGTGTTACAAGGAAACCACTGGCAGTGCTGATTTGTCTGGCTGTAGTTTTCCAAGTAACGGCAATTACTCTTGCCGTTGCAGTCTTCGCTATATCTCGAGGCGATAGTTCACATGGAAGTTAGGCCATATGTAACTGATAAAGTAGGAATCTAGTCGTTCTCATTGCGTTCTTTACCTCAATTAGTGTTATCTCTAGATGTCCAGGGGAAAACTCTTCCAACGACCGAGACAGCGTGCAGACCAGTCGTGAGAACTCAGCCCAACTCAATGGTGTGTAAGGATTACCACAATCTGCAAAGTCGGCATTGAAGCATAATTGAGCCAGTATTTACTTCATGTCTACGGTATCCACACTGGGAGTACCACATCTCGTTAATTCCACTCTGGAAGACCTAGATCTTTTCAGTTACTTGCTTGACCAAAGTCGGAATTGATACGAATCAATGAGTACTCAACGACTACAAACCAGAGAGACAGAATGACAGACGAGGAGTCGACTGCACTTATTGAAGCTGATTTGGTCGAGGCATTGCACCCCAGGTTCATAAACGGGCGATGGTATTATATATGACAGGTGGATTCTCCTATCTCCTTGTAAACCTTTTTGAAGACCGACTGTAAGTCCCATTTGAGACCATTTTGCGCCCCAAAACCCGACAGACCATGGACTCCACAGACAGTGACCGGAGTAAGGAAAGAAAGTGCCGAGACAAACCTACGGCATTGCTAGACCCCCTTTTTGCGCGAAATGGCTTATTCAGGCGCCTCCAAATGCCCAAGTAACACAACTCCCATAACGAAACAAAGTTCCAGCCACATTAATTATTGGAACTGACACGTCTTCAAACGTTAAGATTATCATATGTGACTGGTTATGACATAATTCTCCACTTACTTTCAAGAGTCTAATTCGTAAACGAAAGTATGAATATTTCCCCTAGACAGGGCTCCACCCAGATCGTTTACTGATCCCTCACAATCTTATCGTCATGATAAAAGAGCGAACCCTGAGGTTCCCACACGAGGCTGCGAATCCTATCCGTGAACAGCCAGCTAACTACGACTTCGCGACTACAAATTCGAAGAGATGACACCTGAGGAATCGATCGCGCTCATCAAAGCCAATCTGGCTGAGGTCTTGCACCCCGACATCATCGACGATGTTATTCTCAAGGACAAGCGGCCACTACGGGTCTACTGGGGTACGGCCACAACTGGAAAACCGTATGTCGGCCGGGTCGTTGGTTAAAACGGATAGAGTAATCGTCTTTACTAACATTGTGATAATGATAGACACTGTGGCTACTTCGTTCCAATTGCTAAGATTGGAGAACTCCTCCAAGCAGGATGCCATGTCAAGGTACTGCTCGCCGACGTCCACGCCTACATGGACAACATGAAGGCGCCGTTCGAGCTGATCGCCCACCGATCCGAATACTACAAGTTCTTGATCAAGAGCATGCTTCGAGCCATTGGCGTAGACATCGAAACCGCCAAGCTCGAATTTGTTACGGGCAGCTCGTACCAATGGGACAAGGACTACATTATGGACAGCCGAAGACTGGAAGCCATGATCAAGCTTTCTACTGCCCGAAAGGCAGGTGCCCAGGTGATAAAGCAATCGGAAGATCCCTTCTTGGGCGGTTTGATCTACCCGATCATGCAGGCTCTGGATGAACAGTACCTCGATGTGGATTCACAACTCGGCGGGATCGACCAGCGCAAGATCTTCACCTTTGCCTTGGAGAATCTTCCCAAACTTGGCTACAAGAAGCGAGCACACCTGATGAACGCCATGGTGCCGGGCCTTGGAGAGGCGCAGAAGATGAGCTCAAGCGAGCCGAGTTCCAAGATTGGTCTTCTGGAAACGCCAGAGGAGGTTGGCAAAAAGATCAAGAAAGCCATGTGCGTCCCTCAAAAGGTGGAAGGAAACGGCGTCATCGCCTTCATTGAGCATATCATCTTTCGAGTCAATGCCTTCAAGTCTGGCACGCCAAGCTTCACGGTTGAGCGACGAGATGGCGAGTCTCTGGTTTACATCGACATTTTGAAGCTCAAGGAAGACTATGAGCGGGACATTTTGACACCGCAGATGATCAAAGCGGCGCTCGTGAAGGCGTTGAATGAGATTTTGGAGCCTATTCGGAGGGATTTCCATGCATCAGCTAAGTGGCAACAGGCTGCTGCGCTCGGATACCCAGCTGAAGAAGCCAAAAAGCCCCCCGCATTGAGAAATGCAAAGAAGAAGACCAAGACGGTTCCGATCATAACAATCACTCCGTCTGATGATGTCTCAAGATTGGAAGGGGCATAGTGCAAAGAACTATTTGGAATAGAATGTTAGTAAACAGTAGGTGCACTACAGACCATTTCTCAGCTACCGTCGGTTCACAAGGACTTCCGCTGTTTTTACATTCTTCTAGCACTAGATACAACTCAGATTACCGGCTATGAATACAGCTTCCTTATATTGACCAAGACTGGCACGCATTGAGGGTGCTGTTCGCCTCACTCAGTGTACACTCTAAGGAAACTGCAACAAAGAACGGCTGGGGAAATTCCCAAGGGTCCTTTCCCACGAATTCTATCAGGACCGGTTTGCAATCTTCGAATCTACCTGCGGATATTCATTTTTATTTGGAGCATTACTAACGATGGATAAAAGAAGCGTAGGATTATAATCAGAAACTAGTACTAGTAGGCGACTAGAATATCTACCGTGGACGGTAGCCAGGCTTTCTGCGACGACGGCAACAGTTTGCCGTAACTTGGAACCCAGCAGTCGGCAAAAAGGTGTTCAAGACTCGAAATTCAAATTGTGAAAAAAGTAGATTCTGTCCAAATTTCGGACCATAAGATGACCATATGATACTACACCAATCAATGGTGACTGTTTGCGGGATTTGTATTGAGCCACCAAATCAAGAGTCTCAACACATCCGTCGCTAGCTTTTCCCGAAAACTGTCATCAAGAAAATTCCTCTTATAACCTGGCGAGGTGCTTGCTGCCACTCGAATTGCGTATCTGCGCGACGGCATCTTTCAACTCATTCAAGCTTTCCAGGTAGACCTCATGGGCTTGGCCGTGTCCAGGAACATTTAGTTTCTCTATCTCGGCCATTATGAGCTCGATGATATGTGGCGTAGCGTTTCTCAAGGCCGCCTGAGCGATCTGCAGACGAGGTCAATAAACATTCTGATGAGGAACTAGGGTACAAACTTGCTCTTCTGGCCCTGCACCGCCAGACGTTGTGGAGCCACTCATGCTGGTTGAGGACTGATAAGAGGCATGAGAGGAAAAGGACATTTCGAAAGGAGTCTATGTTGAAAAATGAGATATGGATCAAGATTTGAGTAACAAAGAGTGATGGCAGTTGAGTTAACGATAATCGAAAAAAGGGTCTTCGTGACTCTTTTAAAGGGTTGAAGAATTGAAGTAGTTGCCTTGCCAGATGTTGCTGCTCTGGAACTCGGTGTTTGAAAATCTTGCATTATGCCAGTGGCGTTCGTCGCCAAATCAGATCTCGTCGCTGTATCGTATGTCAGACAAGGCGTAAAGCCAGGCGCAAGACCAGGATTGACGCCAGGCGGTGAGCCAGAGGCACAGCCCAGAGCAACCAAATAACAAACGACTTGCTAGGCTTTACACATACTTATGTTATGCGTTGTGCACTTTCGGGGAGGCATCTGTACGACTGTCAGAACGCTCTATGCTTATGGTGAAAGGAATATCCCAGGCGAAGTACATAGTTTAATGTGCTGTTCACAAGCACTCCCTTCGCATGTTTATTTTAATTACCTTCAAATATACAAATTTATCATTAATGAGAATAAGAATTAAACTCTTTCGCCACGTCAGCCCTTCTACGACTGTCACAGTGCAGAGAGGGGTAATCAAACGTGCAGCTAGGGACAAAGCCAGGCGCGAAGCCTGGTGCCAAGCCAATTTTCATGCCAGCTGCTAAGCCCTGCTTATGGACTAAAAGTGCAATTACAAAGAAACAACAATAAGAAGAGGTATATAGCCATTTCTCTTCTTCCGCAAATATTCTCCACATAATAGCAAACAAAGGGAATTTTTCTTCTTGTGTCTTTCTTTCAAATACCAGCGTTGCTGTCCTTTGACTGAGTCGCCACAATCAATCAACATGTCTCAGCTCGACGAATCCTCCTCCAATCAGGCCCTGCCCACCTCTGCTGAAAGCTTTGAGTGGGATATGAACACAGCTCAACCAATGCACTCTCTGCAGCCAAACACCTTTGTGAAGCCCGATGGCCGGTACCACTTCTTCGACTCTGCTGCCCCACGGCCTGAGGGAAATCCACATCTGATAAGCAAATTTGTTGACGTTAGCTACAACGGCCAAGGCTTCGCTGGTCCAAACTTCAATCCTTTCATGGATGCTGCTGCTACGATGAATCCAAGTCCCGTGTCAGGGGTTGGCGATTACGATGCAGGTTTCATGCCATCGATGAATCCTAACGTCTCTGGAGGGCCCAATTACACTTCTCCCACCATGCAAGTCTCACCAATCATCAGTATCGACGACAATGGGTGTCCTTCAAGCTTTGATCAAGCCGAACCCACTTCGCAGCCAACTCCGAATACCCCTTCAGGCAATATTGCCTGGACCAAGCAAGAGGACAAATGTCTCATGAGCCTCAAGCTCCAGGGTCTTAGCTATTCTGATATTCAGGACGAAATGAGGAAGGAATTCGGGTGGACCCGGAACAAGAATGTGTTAGGTAAGCGCTTCGCCGTCTTGAAGAAGCGCTCCAAACCACAGATCAAGACCCGTGTAAGTATTCATCACATACTTAGAGACAGTCGCAGCTTATTGACTCTACTCCCAGATCGTTCGTGATATCTCTAAAAGAATTACTCCAGAAATTATCAAGGCTGTCGGAAAGGAGCTTCAGAAAGTCACTTCGTCCGATAGCAACAACGTTGCAGCAGAACTTGAGGACTTGGTGCATTTGAAGTTTCCAGAGTTTCTCGAGAATTTGGTTGCAGATGTATCTGTATCTCTCAGTCAAGCTGTGGATGATGATGATCATGACTTAAGAGCTTGCCTTTGAAGTATTTGGTGATTGGAAAGAAGTTTTGGTTTTATAAACGTCGCGTTCCACCGCGTCAGTCTAGTAAGAAAGAAGACGGTGATTGTTGATGCTTCTACACTAGATTTTCTTTTCACTTTTTTAAGAACTCTTTCTATTGCTTGTTCACTGATAAAATATATGTTATCACTGGTATACTATTGCAATATTCTTAGGATAGTAGACCCATATGAAGTCTGGTAGGACCTTTAACAAAGAGATCTACCTGTCCCAATAAAGTACAAAGAAATATTCACAATAACACCGACCAGAAAGTAATACTATCTCAAACTCAATAAGGTTACCCACCAAATCAACCACCGCAACTCTATTTCTCAAAGGCATAAAAGCCCCTGCTCTAGGATAGTAGACATACCTCAAGGCTTAGTCGTATACTAGTTGAATACTATAATTCATTAACAGATAATCCAGTTACAGAAAGGGTTATGACATTTATGTCCTGGGCCTAATATATAATACTGAGGCTCTCTTTTATGATAATTAAGAAACAATTATATGTATACTTAAAAGATAGATAGAAATATGTTATTGTCTTGATGAAGTTTGAGATCACAGGCTTTCTATGCTAAGATATATGGCTAGGAAAGCCCCAACTCTTTTGAATTAATGAATAGAAAAGAAGGTAAACGGGATTCAGCCAACAATAAATATTCTGTGACGATCATTTGATGTTAGAGGGTACATGATGCCCGGGAAGTCTGAGAATAGTAGAATTAGTGGTATTCCGAATGGCATGTCTGTACAACAGCTACCAGGTCTGGTGAACCATCAGATGATCTAGCAGAGCTTCTTCCAATATATAGCGTCAACCTTAACGATAGCAAAACGCAGAAAAGGCCATGACTGCATCCTGGTACGCAGGGTTTTCCTCCACGTCGCAAGAAGGTTCTGATCATACGACGACATCTCCGGTTGTCTATTTTGCAGACACAGCATGTAGCAGAATAGCCCAGGATAGGCTAGGCAATTGCGCGTAAATGCAGGCCAAAACGCTGACTGGTGTCTCGCATCTAACCCGCGAATAAACTTGATTACGGTCTGGATGAGCCCGCGACATGCTTGTAGTACTGTTTCCACTGACGTCTGGACATGATCCAGCTTTGTATTCTTGTCAATTATAGGTCGTAAGAGGGCACGCAGAATGAGGATGTGTGTGGTGTAGTATGCAACGTAAAGGGACCTGTGGCTCTTGACAGAGTCGTCTGTGTCACCATCACTTGACTCGGGTCTGAGAGACAAGGACTCTGGTAGCTGCTCGAGCCATTGAAGAAGCTGTTGGCGAGGGCCACGAGCATGATCTAAGAGCGAATCAAGGATTTGTGGACGAGAAACAGCACGGAGAGAACTATGCGACAGCGGCACAATTAGTATCAAGTGGTAGTCGAAAGGAGAAAAGGAACAACTCACAAGAATTTCCGACAAACCTGACTAGCAATTTCAGTCAGTGAGCAGAAATGGATAAAGTAGTCAGAAGACCTGTCTTTGATATGCTCCGGTACATCGGCCGCCAACTCAACCACAAAGTCCTCTGGCTTCAAAGGCAATACGTCCCAATCTTCATCAGAGATCATTGACGCACGGCCATGAGTCACTGACCGCCAGGTGTACTCTACGTACACAGCCCACCACAATCTTCTTCGCAGACGGACTTCCCATGCTGGCAATTTCCATCCTGTCGGGTCGACGTTCAAGCCTAGAGACTGTGCCATAGCTAACATGGAAGCAGCCAACGACCACACGAAGGGGTTTTCTACACAGACGGCGTCGAAGGGTGTGTGATTAAGGAGTAGGAGATATGTCTGAATGGTTGAGAGATGAGGAAAGTGTAGTTCCTTTTGTAAGCAGGTGTACGATACCTGCCACAGATCGTTGATATCGGGTTTAGAGTAGGCGCTGTCGAGACAGAGTTTCTCGTCCCAAGGTGTGAATGGCAACGCAAGGGCGTAGATACCAGCAAGGAGGCCGGTGGATGATTCGGCTACAAAAGTGTCCAGGTCTTGGAGAACTACTGAACGAGATAAGATAGGCAAAGACTCAAACACAAACCTAAAATATCTAATCCACCGCATCAGGATACAATATGACGAATAGGGACCAGCAGTGACCTACAGTTTTACAAGAGCCACGCCTGTGACTCTATCCACCAATCTCTCAAGATTCTCTCTGTCATCGACCGAGGACATACACTTTTGTACGATATTTTGTCCTTTGGCAGAGGTTTCTGTATGGCTTTGCAGGAAGTGAACCGGGTTATGAATCTGGCCGTGGGTTTCATCTTGTAAATGTTGTTGCTTGCGATACGTAACGCGAAAGAAATCTACCTCGCTGGTGCTAGCGTAGGGGAAGTGATTAAGAGAGAACGGATCAGACTCGTTGGAGTAGCCAATGAGAGATGTCGAATAGTTTGGCCTTTGGTCAAAGGATAACCTCTCAAAGACATTTGTCAGGCCGTCTGGGGGTTCGGTTGAGGTTATGTTCACGCCACTGTCACGATATATGTCTGGCGGTGTCTGGTCCTCTATGGGTTCCAAATTGGGTAATTCTCCATCAGCGAAGAAGTCAAATGTTTGGCCGTCATCAACTCCATCTTGGTCTAGGGATAAGTTCCAGTTGATATCAGCTCCGGCTGAGAAGATATCATGGGACATCAGAGGGGTCAACCCAACTCCGACAGAATCTCGATCATGCTCTGTGTGAAAGTTAGTCAGTTCTTCCCAAACATGCAATTGATAGTTACCTGAAGAATGCAGTACAGGGATGTGGGGTGTGGGGGGGAGACGTGACGGTTCCACGTGAACTCGGTCAAAGGAAGGGTTTGTGGGTACCGAGGTATGTCTTGCGATACCATTTTCCCTTTGCTTTTTGTTGGGATTCCCCACGAATGTGCAGTGACGTCCTGTACGTTCACACAACTGGCAAGGTCGCGTCGGATCAGGGATGTTGCAGAGCACCTTGCGAGCACGGCACAGATCGCACGGTCTTTGCGACTTGGACCGATAACGTCTTACGCCCGCAACTTGACGCATATCATGACCTGCTTGAACAGTTGAAATGTTCTGCTCTTGAAAATGATCCATTTTGGCGCTGATGAGTACGAAGCGCTGCCGTAGAATTGAGATTGTACTGTTTCGGGTGGATAGCCGAACTTAGCCAGTGGGGTCTTGTAGATAACATGAAAGGATGAACACGTGATGTAAGATAGCTAAACCGCCTTGGGTTTGACAAATTGGCACTAATATCAAGTTCGTGATAGCTTCGATAGTGAGATTGGCTTTCCAGTACCGTATCGGCTCGGAAAGCTCGCCGCGCCCTGTGGGTCCCTTTTCTCACCAGAAAATGACTTTTGTTCTGGCGTGAATGCCAGGTCTTTACTTGTACATGAGCTAATCAGGACCATTAAATTACAAAAATGGATGCACAAGGCACGGCGAGCTTTTCGAGTCGACACGGCACCACGGGGTGTAATTGCCGGAATAGTTTAGTTCAAATGACATGTGTTTTATTCATTTTACAGTTTTAATCTGCCCAAAAAGCCTTTACTTTATATGCATTTTTAGGTCTACTTTCCGCCTCCCCGCTAATCCCGACTTGCCCGTATCTTATCATACCGCAACACAGCTCCAAGCAGAACACTTGCACCTAGCGCACTACGCGATGTTAGCAATTCGGCACAAACAAGAAATGGCTTCATCATAACATACCAATCCTCGGGTGAGCAATGCTCAGTGGGGTTATGACTGATTCCCGACCGTGTTGGTGTAAAGATCATACTCGTAGGGCACCTTCGGTTGGTGTAGCAGCTGTCATGGCCCGCTCCGCTGATCATTGGTCTCCAGAGTTTACCTGCAGAGTTCTGGGGTAGAGTTGCACATACATCTGCAGCACTTGCTTCAACTACCGAGATGCACTCTTCGCTGAAACTGACTGCGGGACTGTCCACGAGGAGTTCCCAGTCAACTTCACAGCCTTTCTCACTGTCGTCTCGGGATATGCGTAGGAACTCTTCTTCACACTCCTGCACCATCTTTGCCAAGATCTGATCCTTGGTATGGCGCACGTCGAGGGTAAACGTGACGGTATGGGCCATTGTGTTGACGGTGCCGGGGTCGGTGGTGAAAATGCCGGTAGTTGCCAAGCCCTCGAACTTTTTGGCGATTGTGTTTGCAGCGACGATCATCTTGGTAGCACACAAGACAGGGTCTTTGCGTGCGTATAGAGGCGTTGTACCAGCGTGGCTGTCTCGACCTTTCACAGTCATGTTGAACCATTTAAAGGCCTGCACACCTGTTACAACATCGTTAGTCAAGTTACAGAGTGTAAATATGTTGGCTTACTTACCATGGACTACACCAATCTTCAATCCCTCGTCTTCCAGGATGGGTCCCTGCTCGATGTGCAGCTCAAAATGCGCGGCGAAGGGATTCGATAGATATGAAGCTGGATGCTCTCCGCAGTAACCAATGCGGTCGAGTTCTTCTTTCATGGACTTTGGGTTGGCGGCTAGGACCTCTTTGAGATCCCAGGCGGTTTCTAGAGGAATTGCGTCGGCCCATACACCTGAGGAAACAGCCATTTTGGGAAAACGAGCGCCCTCCTCACTAGTAAAAGTCAGCAAGCAATCAAAAGGGTGAACTTTTGTTTTACTTACTTAGTCCAGTTGACCACGCCAATTGGGCCCTCTGTTTCGAAATTATTGTCATTTAGCGTTCGGAGGACCTCAAGACCTGAGATGACACCCAGAATGCCGTCATATCGACCACCAGTGGGTTGTGTATCCAGATGAGACCCCATCATGACAGGGGGTAGGTCGTTGTTCTTTCCCGGTCGAATTGCAAATAGATTTCCCATTTGATCGACGAAAGTCTTGCATTTGAGTGACTTGGCATAGGTCATGAACCAGTCCCTGACTTGTTTATCGGAGTCATCGAGACTCAGACGGGCCATGCCAGTTTCTGTGGTGGCTCTGAGTGGGAAGATTAATAACCTGATCAAGGCGGTGGAAGTTATTTGGAGCTTCTTACTTTCCATAGCGATGCGCAGCACCAAATTGGCAGCTATCGTGTAATAACTCTGCGAGACGGGCTTGACTGATTCTGAAGGGTGGGAGGTGGTCGATGGAACCCATTGTGCCGAGTTTGTATTTTGACAAAGTTTCAAGTAGTTTCTGGGTTAATTATTGACTGATTATTTTGTTCAGACAATTGATAACAGGAATCTATCTAGTGCACGATTCCATCTAAATATGTCTTGAATTCATGCCTTTTACTTGTCTTCCCATCCCGACGGCCGTGATTCGCCAGCGGGGTTCACGGCCGAATGATAAGGGTGGAGTTGTTCTTTATCGCCCGTCGGCCGTCGGCGGAGACTATACCCTTCTGGGAAACCCGAATATGTATGCTGGGGACCAGTTATGCGATATTACATAGTCACTTTCATAAATGGGATGGATATGCTCCGTAAACCATCCGATATTGTGGGGTATGTTAGATATTTAATTCCCCGAGTGTTCATTGACAATGGTCAGCCAGTCCGGTCAGAAGTGATTCTATTCAAGAGCGGCCGAAATATGCTATGTTTTTAGATGACTATAGATATGTTTCTTGAAGACAACCAAATGTCTTATCATGAATTATCGCCTCTATCTTGATAATCCTTTGCTGAACAGATAAACAATGAACCATCACCGGGTATCAGGTTCCACTTGTGGGCCGCTGTAGCACCGCCGACGGGTAACTGTAGATAGGAATGCGGGGGTGGATAAGTCCAACCAAGAGCGAGTCAATTGCCGATAAGTTATAACCCGTTCGTGTTCCCGACACATTAAAACATGTCTTCTGAACCTGTAGATCATTCTTGAACTATTCTATTCAATCGTCGACACCTTGAAACTCAACCCATCTCGACATCACTAAACCCAGAAACAATGGAGGCCTCGGAGAAAAAGCCAGGCTTAGACGTCCCGTCAGACCACCACACTGGCGAAACGAGCCTTGTTAGCAATGACGCCCAGCGCAAAGTTCTATCCAAGTTCGACAAGTTCGTGATGCCTCAAATGGCCATATTGGTTCTTTTCGCATACCTCGACAGGACAAACATTGGTGAGCACTTGTCCCAACCCCGACAGCCACTTGCAAGAGCTAATCCGGTATCCCAGGAAATGCAAGAGTCTTTGGCTTTGAAGAAGATACGGGAATGGCAGGAACTCAGTTCAATGATGTTTCTATGTATTTCTACATCTCCTACGTCATTTTCGAAACACCTTGGGTTCTTGCCGTCAAGAAATTCGGCCCTGGTCGTGTCCTTGCTATCGCCATTATAAGCTGGAGCTGCATCACTATTGGTACCGGCTTCGTTCATAGCTATGGTCAAGTCATCGCTTGCCGAGTTCTTCTCGGATTCTTCGAGGCTGGCTTATTTCCTTCCCTCACCTTTGTCATTTCTCAGATCTACCCGCCTGCGTCACAAGGAAAACGAGTCGCAGTGCTTTACGTCTCGATTGCGCTTTCGGGAGCCCTAGGCGGACTCATCGCATACGGCATTCAATCTATGGGTGCACGACACGGTTTATCAGCTTGGAGATGGCTTTTTATCATCGAAGGTGTTATCTCAATTGTGATTGGCGCTGCGTGCTGGCTGAGCCTTCCTACATCCCCAGAAACAGCGTGGTTTCTCAGCTCAGAGGAAAAGACCACCATGCTTTCTATCAAGGAGAGCAATCACCCATTTAAGGAAACTGAAAAGTTCTCTTGGAAGCAAATCGCTATGGCTGTCACGGATCCCCTTGTTTGGCTTGCGTCTGTCTCATTGTTCTGCTCCTCCATTGCGCTTTTCGGCTTCGGCACGTTTCTTCCCACCCTCTTGAAGGGTCTTGAGTGAGTACAAAATGGCTGTGTTATGATATTACCACTGACGAAGGTTTAGCTTCACTTCCCTCCAAGCCAACTACCTTAGTATTCCCGTCTACGTTTTGGCGTCCATCCTTACAGGCGTCACGACATATGTTTCGGATCGCCTGAATCGAAGAGCTGTATGCCTCATCCACTCTCCGCTATTGGTAATCACTGGCTATGCCATTGTGGTTGGTACTGGCCACAAAGCCCTCGGATTCTTCGCTATGTTCCTTGTTGGAGGTGGTGTTTACTCTTACAATACTGTTTTGGTCACGTACGTTGAACCTCCCCGAACCAAAGAGATGTACTAACGATTGATAGTTGGGTATCCAATAATGTGCAACCCGATTACAAGCGCTCTGTTGCCATCGCCATGCTTTTGTCGCTCGCTAACGCGTCTGGAATGGCTGCTTCGCAAATCTACCCAATCAAGGATGCTCCACGATACATTAAGGGTAACGCGATTTCACTCGGAGGAGAAATCATCGCACTCATTTGCATTGGACTCATTTATGCGCTACTCAAGTATCGCATGAGACAGAAAGAGAAGTTGTTGGCGTCGGGCCACGATACCAACGGGAAGGAAGGTGATCAAAGCTTGGACTTTAAATATGTTTTCTAGATATCGCTTGAGATATTAAACACCGAGTTTCATCCTAGGCAGATATTATTGAGAAGATGATTTTCAGAATTTGTCAGCTTTATGATCCCGTAGGACAAGATTCTTGAGGGTTGTGACGAAAACAGCAAAAGGTATGGATGACACAGAATTTCGTGTCTTATCTGATGTTGTGTTGTGCGCGTCATGATTGGCGCTTTGTAGTCCAAACCACAATGTCTCAAGCCTAGAATAGCCGCCGATCTCACAGGATCAATGACCATGACCGCATGGTCCAAACTTCCACTTCCAACTGGTGTATTAACAAAGCGGCACAGTCATCATTTCAGATAGGATTTTAGTGCTTACGCAACACCTATGCAATGAAGTAGCATAAAAACCAGCTGACAAGCTTATAAAACAGGACCAGACTCTGTTCATCTCAACACACAATTTAGATAAACATCATGTCACAACCTAAGCCAGTCATCGCCATAGTTCCTGGGGGTTTTTGCGGCCCTCGCATCTACCAGGACGTAGCCAACGCGCTGCGCGACGATGGTTTCACAGTCATCATCCCAGCATTGACCACTACCAAGGACTTATCCTCAAAAGATCCCACGAGTGCAGAATACAAAGACTTTGCTAGCAAGGGCCTGCCCGAAGACGTCAAGGAAATTCACAACAGTCTTGCTTCCGAGCTCGACAAGGGCTCTGAGGTTGTCATCTTTGGCCATAGTTACGGCAGTCTTCCCGCACTGATTGCCTTGGAAGGCCAGACGGTAGAAGAGCGCAAGGCAAAGGGTCTTTCTGGCGGAATAAAGGCCTACGCTTCAGTGTCTGGGTTTGCCTACACGATGCGGGGAAAGAACATCATGGGCACTACAGAGGATCTACCGGCAATGCCTTACCATACGCTCGAAGTAAGTCCATACCGCCTTTTATGCGAACATTTACTGACAGCGCGAAAATAGGAGGGCGTTTTACATATGCACGACACGGCCAAACCACTATTTTTCAGTGATCTCTCAACCGAGGACCAAGACAAAGCCTGGGAGAAGGTCTTCAAGGCTCACAGCCACGAAAGCTTCCGCCACCTACCTGATTTCATCATCTCAGACGTCAAGATTCCAAAGATCTATGTTATGTGCGAGAAGGATCAGGTCGTCGCTCCAACCTGGCAAGAGATGGTCATTCAAATGGGGGGTTTTGACAAAGTGGAGAAATTGCCTTCGGGTCATTTCCCGTTTGTCAGCATTCCTGATGAGACTGCCAAGCTTATTGCGCAGATCGCTACAGGGTAGGTGCAGCTGTCAGGATTATTTGTCGACCATGACGACGATTTGTGGTAAGATAGTACTTGAGAACAAGTTCAAATGCTTTAATTTAACTCTTGAATATAATTCAATGTTTAATATTAGTACTGATAATTGCTAAAGTGAAGAGGTACAGTGATACGAATTATGAATTTTCTTCAATTTCACTCTTTCCAGGACATTCAGGACACAGTAATCAAAAACTGAGGCGAGAATTGCGATACGACGAGCACGAAGAAGGATGATAACAATTTAGTTGCTCGTTACATCAACCAGTTATGAAGATTCTATCTTATAATGTCCCCTGTTTTCCGCCAGTAGACTTTTCTGTGAGACTGTAAGAAAGCCTTGCCAACTAGTTATTCATTGGTTAATAACAGTGAGATTTAAAGGAACTAGGATTGCTAGAGTTCCTAAGTAATTGTCTATTAGCATAATGGGCACCTTTTTCTATTGCACTTATACTCCTAAAAGCTTTAAAGATATTATGGCATTCCAACCCAATCATCCGAGCTGTGTGGCCAGCTTTCGCCTCTAGGTCCTCCTCCCACAGCTGCCCCAGAAGGTTCCAGCCAATTACCAATAGCTCTAGAAGCCGTTTCCAGATTGAAGGAATGCGGCCAGCCATGGTCACGATAGATCTGCCTCACATATTGGATATCCAGGTCTGTTCCCCATTCTTGCGTTTGACTGTTCACCTCGTCCTCTGTGATTCGTTCTTTGCGGTCGGGTACATTTTCCGCCTCAATCATAATCCTACGCTCTCCAGGAATGAGCTTCAAGGTTTCGTACTGTTCCTTGAGATTGGCAAAGAATTCTTCGACTGGAACTGCAGATAACACATCTGCCTCTGACAATTCCTCAATTATCTCACAATCTTTAACAAGAAGCCACAGCCCGCGGCCGTAGCTCCCATAGCCTTCAGCGAAGCAGATAACATCGCTTGGGTCCTGCTCATCCTCTGATGACCAGAACTCCATAGCTTCATGGGTTTCGCTATGCTTCTTAAAATCAATAGCGGTCCAGACAGTGAGCTCTAAGAGTTTAGATCTATAGTGTATTTGGGCTGTGCTTTTATTATTGAGGTAAGGCAGATGGCGCATAACCTCGATAGTATAGTCGGACTTGAAATATCCACACGACTCAGATGTGATCTCTGGCCATCCGGTTGGTGGAGGGATCTTGAGATCGGATTTGTCGTAATTGAGTGTGGTCATGAACGAATAGAAGTCGATAAACAAAGCCCCTAGTTCTTGAGGCGTTAATCTTGGCTCATCGTAACCTTCAGAACTGTCTGAGTCATGGGATCCATCGTCTGACGGGGGTGGCGACGGTGAGCTTCCGTGACCGCACATATTGGAGAGAAAATTTGAGTAGAGGATCGAGGATATGGATGGTACTGGTTGGATAATGGATAAGAGGAAGAGGCATTTTTAAGTAAGGTAGCGAAGTTCCCTGCCCCTTTTTGGAGCTATCCGACTGGAGCATACGCCTTCTGGTGGAGCAAGCCTCTACATCACAGGGGCTAAAGTAGGTACCGTTAACACAGACCTGGAAAGCGGCTCACAATAGGCGGTAATAATTGCCTTATGCTTTTTATATATACTTTTATAATTTAGTAGCGATATAAATCTAAAGAGAAGAGAAATAAAAATAATAAATTCCCTTATAAAAGTCAACGCCATGGAACATATTCCTGCTTCCCGATAGTAAACTTTACTACCATAACCTTAAATAAAAGCTAGTAGTAAATATAAAGATCTTAGCTATGATAATATCGGGGAGTTATACAATATTAAATTAAACTTCTTGGTAGCTTATGCCTCGAATGCATCAAAGAATTCATTGTCGTCTCCAAGCTCATCCTCGCCTCTTTGCTCCTCTAAAGATTGCGATCTGATAGAGTCCTTCAGCTGGTGGAATGCAATTGCTAACTCATCCGTCATGTCATAACGGTCTTCAAATAAGGAGGTCGCCGTTAATCCTTCCGCATCCCTGGCATGATAGTCCAAACCCCGGAGCTTAACACTGGATAACGTTCTAAACGTTACTTCATTACCCCAGTATGCCGCCAAATGGAAAATGGTTCCCCACTTTCCGGTTACAAGGTAATCGGCGCCCAGCTCGAGAAGTGCCAATTGAGTGTCGGGCGTGTTTGCCTGGATTGCTACACCAAGTGGTGAGAGTCTATGATCAGCTAGCACATTAAGATCGACGCCTTTCTCGTGTAACAAACGAACTACCTTCTCAGAATTCTGGGATGCCGCATAGTGTATTGGGCGATTTCCCCATGGGCCAAAGTATTCTGGACTCACGCCTTCTTCAATGATCCGGTGCATCATGGTTGTGTTATCATAGATGGCTGCCGTATGCAGAACACTCCAGCCTGAGGGGAAAGCGGCATGGGCATTGGCACCGGCAGCAAGAAGTAAGTCCACTAGTGTTGCACAAGTGCTCGCTGGTAAGGAGCTGGCATAGTGTAGCACTGTGTGGCCGAATGGTGTTGTTTTGTGGACTGAAGCGCCAGCTTTGATCAGAACATCAACTGTTTTCGTATCGCCTAAAACAACAGCATACATAAGTGGAGTCATGCCGAATCGATCTTGTGCGTCAATTTGGGATACGATATCTGCTCTGCCGGTCTTAAGAACAGGGGCCAAGTCGATTGGACATCGTTTAACAACAATCTCGTGGATGAAGCTTAGGTCCAGGTCCTCTAAGCAATGCCAAACTTGAATCAGACCTTCGACCTCTGAACGAAGGTTGAGGGGTATGGCGTGCTTAAGAAGCAAATGACAAATGTAGTGCCGAAATGTCAGTCCATCTGAATTTATTTGATCCGGATCTGCGCCGGCCTGGAGAAGCGCTTTCCATGTCTGAAACGAGACCTCCCAAGGATTGAATGTTTGAGTAGATGCATGCAAAGCGGAATTACCATCAAAGCTAACATCCAGCACGGCAGCTGGACTCTCATTCGCGATGCGTTTGATAGCGCTGAGATTCCCTTTTGAGGCGTGGTAGATTATGTTGTCTTTGGATGTTGTAAGAGGAATGCATCGCCTCAATGCCAGAGTAAACGTGAGATTGTTGATAGATAACCTCTCTACCAATAAATCAAACGCGTATCCAAGACACCATAATGGAAAACCATATCTTAGTGTGAGGCGAGTCGAACGTGTCTTGTAACAAGAACCCAAGTCACACGTTACTCTAGACGCAGGACAGCTGGAGTACTCGAAAAGCATCGAACCTGTGATCATTTGGAGCACTTTTGGAAGTCTGGTCAAGAGACGCCGTGCAGAAGCTGAGGCGTGGCATCTGCAAATGCAGCTAATTGAGCACTGCGACTGCCCTACATTTAGCTTAATGACCAGTGTAGAGTGCTTGAGTGGTGAAGGAATGGCCGCGAAACTCTCTTCTTGGTGAGTTCGATAGCGTGAAGCTGCTGTGTTGCCGCCCTGGCCTTCGAAAAGGCATTGTCCACCAGGATCCATTCGATTTAGAGACGATTGTCTTTCGGCTACTGTTGGAGGTGGGTCAGGAAGACGAGGGTGGAAGCTGTTTATAGTTGTGGCTAATTGGTTGCTGATATTCTCTAGCCAGTCTGGGGGTAATCGTGGTGTTGTAGTCTGTAGGGCTTCTAGTGCTTTGATGATGTCTGCCTGGCTTCGAATCGCAGTGTTACGATCAGCTACAAGCTGATTCCTTGTATCTGACACACAAGCACCAAGACTGCCTGTAATGGCATGCTGCCGATGTTGTATAAGTTGAATGTCCTGCAATACAAGTTCCATACGGTTCAAGCTTGAGCTAGATAGCAGGTTAGCCTTATTCATCAGTATCTTGTTCAGCTAACCTACTTGCTATATGCCTGTTGTAGCTCGCCGATGCGAATTCTAATTTCTTTAAGCCTACTTCGAAGCTCTACTCCCTTAGCCCTATCACGAACCCATTTGAATCTCTGTAAGGCAGGCGTCTCATTTTTAAGACTGTCGATAAATGAACCTAGTTGCTTCAGCAAAGCCTCACTCTTGCCCAGCTCAACTTCCAGATCGCTGATGACTGCTGCACTGTCTGAGTTGCCAAGCTGAGCCGCTGCGGCCGTTCGAAACGTGCTCTCGACATGCGTGAGAACTAGTCTGATAGCTTCTGTCTCATTTTCTAACGATTGAATGAGGTCAGGGGCTTTTCTGATCTGGAATTGTAGATCATGCAATGCATTAGATAACTTGAGAGCAAGATCGAGTAAACTAGCAACAGAGGCTACTACGCCGATGGCTTCTGCCATGTTTTCAGGAGATATACCCGGAATTCAAGATGAAGGAGAAGGTTAAAGATTGGGTAGTAGTAAAAACCAGCTTCGTCTTAAGAACCCCGCGCTTATATCACGTGGGTTCTAGATTAACATACACAGCCTACCTACACTTTGTAAAAGTTACAAGGCAGCCTCGAGCCTTTTCACCTGGAAATGATTTTGTGGCTCAGCAAAAAGTTTTCACAGACGTCACTCTTAACAAAATGAACCGTGGCATGTACCAGAAACTCTTTCATAAAGCAGGACAACAGTACCACGCCAAACTCGAGTGTAGTATCGGCATGATGTCTGAAGCCGATCCGCAAAGTGGCAATCTTTATGATGAATCTGTGATTTGGTCCACGACGAGTAACGTGGCGTCGCGAATATTGCAGTATCGTGAAAAGGAGCTGAAGGAGGACAGTATTTGGATTCGTGGTGCATTAGCCTAGTTGAAAGAGAATCGGACCAGCATGGAGTCGTATTATGGGCTGAGACAGTTACTTATAATACCAGCCAGTTATTGAGATTCTGTTACTAACTGCCTCATGGCTTTTATATATATTTTTATGAGTTTAGTAGAGACATGAATTTAGAGAGAAGAGGAATAAAGATAATAAATTCACTCGCAAAAGTCAAACCCGTGGAACACACCCCAGCTTCCCAATAGTAAACCTTGCCGCCATACTATATTGCTCCCTCAGTGGGTTCAAGGGCAGTATCGTCCTGAACCTCCTTGCTCTTGATAATTTCCACGAGATAAGCACCTAAGTTCCCAAGTCCTTCAACCTTGCCGAGCTTGTCGACGAGATGCGTTACATCGGAAAGCATACTGCACACACTAGTTAGTAGAATTCTGTGAGGGAATGGTTAGATCATACCAATCACGACCGGTCTCTGTCTTCAGCTCTGCTTCTTGAAACGACGTCCCCAAATAGTACTTGTAGTTAGTAAACACCGGCAACATGACCAGCTGGACAGCCCCCTGAGGAAGGCGCTTGCTGAGTGCTTTGTATAGTTTAGTCGTGTCTCTGGCCAGATCTACCATGTACTGGCGCACGTCCCCAGGGCTCTCCTTGTTCCAATCAGTCTCACGGGCCTTATTCGATAGTAGAGAAGCGCGCGATGACATGATCTCGACCAGCTTCTGATAGATACCGTCCTGGTGTTCCTGGAAGGAGTGAAGTACCTTGTCAAACTCTCCCAGAATGTTGACGCCGATGGGGCCTGTGGGTGCGTGGCGCTTAACAAATTGGCGGATGTGAGGGATGATGGCTAGTATAAACGATAATGCCTGCGACGTGAGAGCCAAATGCGTTGTTGTGATATTCTTGAGGCCGGCTGAGCGTAAAGCGCCGGCACCCAGGATAAGCTGGCGGCATTCGGAGTCGAACAGCTGCAAATACAATACCAGTGATGTGGCGATGACTGTTGTTATGGTCGGGATACCGCATGTCAAATGAAGAAAGCGTGATATTCCTTCCAAGCAAAGTATTGCAGAGTGGGGAAGCAGGAACGTCTCATCGTCAATGACGGCGCCTCGGACCTTGCCCTTGACCGCGCTATCGTCTCCATCATGTATAGTCTTAGATCCCTTCTGTGGTAGCTCCGCCCAAATCTGACTTGTCTTGGTCCATGCTGGCGGGTCGGAGGTGCCGCATTCTAGAATCTGCTTGAGAATCTCGTTATCTTGGGCCGTGAAGTCCTTATCTTGCCACGTATCTGCACTCATTCCCTGAGCAAGAGCTTGGTTTTCGCTGTCGCTGTACGTCTTGATGAAGTCTTGGATATGGCTATTTATAACAGTCCTCAGAGACGATCCATCTCGTCCCGAGATTGCCTCGCATTCGTTGGTAAAGAAGAGGTTCAGGGTATAGTACCGAATAAAGTAAGCCAGCGGTAAGCCTATGGTCTGCTCGTTTCGAACTCGCAGGACTTTGTTTATCTTTTCGTGGCTGGCGTCTACTGCTTGATCTAAAAGATTGGGAAGATCAAGTGCGGCGTGCATCTCCTCTTGGATCTCAAACATGGAGAAATTATCAGTAGGAGTCGGACTGCGCAGCGGCGAAAGAACTTTTGGAGACTTGGCCGCATCCTCAGTGGTGGGATCTCCAACTGCGCAGGCGATGTCCAAAAGAATACTGGATTGAGTCTTTAATCGCCGGAGCGTCTCCGCCACGGTGATGAAAATGGTCGTGAACATCTTTTCAGCATCCTCTGCATGAAGAGCCCGAAGGTTTCGAGCAAGAATAAAAGATTTCTCATGATTTGTGCGCGAATTGGTACTGGCGGTCGAAACCGAAGTGACAGATTTAGCGTCGTCAGCTGAGCTGGGCAGTGGTTTCCGCACGAGGTTGCGAATTTCTCGCAGCACTAATTCGCGGTACGCCCCGATGGCTTTTGAGATAAACGCTGATCGATGGAGTCCGTTAATCTCGGAGAGAAGTGCCGTGCGGAGTTCGCTGGTTTGACTCATATAACTGGGAAGGGCTGAAGGTTTCTGGGCGCCGCCTCCTTTGGCCCGAAGCGATGCAACTTCCCACCTGAGCAGAACTTCCTCTGTCGATACAGACTGAACATGGCGTTGCAGGTCTGCAATGAGTAGTGCGTGAACCCTGTGCTCGAACACCTTTCCGATTCGAGATCGGAGAAGCCTGAACTCGTTGATCAAGCCTTGTAATGCCGCAGCGCCACGAATATCTCGAAGTTGAATGTGGGCTATCTCGTCTTCAAATATCTCAGCGCGCTTGCCGGCCATTAATGACTCAACAGCATCAATCTGTTCGAGGGCCTTATCAACGTCCCCATAATCGACTAATGATTTGCAGCGGGCAACACCGTCCACGACGTGTTTCACCTGCAGAACCACATCGTGTATGCATTTTAGATTATGCTGTACTTGGCGTTTCTGCGCTAGTTTCAAGCCCGTAATTACCATATCTCTATCCAATGAAGCAAGATCTTTACGCAGCCCTGCGACTTTCTCAACCAATTCTGCTGCTTCCAAGTGCAGCTCGTTCAAGGAACCGAGGGTTGAAAAAAACGCGGCGGAGTTCATGGATATCGAATTGATAAGGTGTACTTCTACCGTGTCCATGTACCAGGATAACTTCTCCTGAAGGATTGCATTGGTAGCTAGCGGCTTACTCATCGTTGTAGCGCCTCCGTTATTCTTCTTCCCAGTTGTTGAGACCGGAGGTACAATCTCCGACCGCTCGCTAACAACATCAAAAGTTCGCGGATTCTCGAGGTGGAAGTCGTCGTCAAAGTAGATGTCTGGGACGATTGATAGTGCAGCCATATCGAAGCGATCTGGTGTGTGTCCTGGCCGTGCTTCATCCTCGCTTTCCTTCAACTTCCGAAGCTGTTCGTACAGTGGACCCAGTTGTGACACGTGCGGCTTGAACTCAGAAGCATCAACACGTTGGATATTAGTCAGAGTCACGGGATGGATATCCGATGAGGTTGGCGTCTTATGGAATCTCGAAGCAGGCTCATAGGTATGTGGTTGGAGACCAGTTTGAATTATCGATGGCTGCAAGAGGCTCGAGATTGCTACAAGGCTTCGTTAGCAGATAATCGTGATGCAGAATAATGCGGCCAACCATTTTGACTCGACGCCACCCAAACGTCCTCGAGTACATCACGATGATCACCTGGCGATACGGTCAAGCTGACCGTTGAGGCCCCGCTTGACATCGGCGCGGAATGATTCAATTTGGCAAGTGGCTGTCAGCAAAATCAAAATACTAAAAGTGGCGCAATTCATACGCTAGAGCAAATAATAGTCTTGTGCTTGCAATCCAAATAGCATAGATAGCTTTTGTTAGCTGGTGCCTTCGGGTTCTCCACGGTTTGTTATGAAAGGAACAGGCTAGCCTCCATAGCTCGAGCTCCATAGTTGTCTTCATACCTCAGCCGGTAATTCTCCGAAGCCTGTATAAACAAGCCACGAAGAAGCAAGCCACTGTTGGTCGCTGGCCCAAGAATTCGGCTGACCCCTGCATAATTGCCTCAAGCCACAGAATACGGAGTAATATTTCTTGTAAAGACTAGCTTGTTGGGAAGAGGACGGAAATGGAATCGAAGTGATGTCTTGGCAGGGCCTAGCCACTGTGATAAGTCGAGACGCGATCTTTGGTATGCAGTATTGCGGGTAGTGGGCCGCCACTTTTCGCTACGGCTGCCCTGAGTATTTAGTGGTAAGATGGATTTAAGGATCATGACAAATACAACCAGCCAGTGGTCTAGACCCTGCCTTTTGTATTAGCTCAACGCGAATAAACTGGCCTAGAACGGTGCAGTTTGGAAAATTACAGGGTCTCTGAAGTTGCATTTTCAATGGACTTTTAAACAAGAAGTAAGCAATCATTACTTGTCTGACTTGGAAGATGTAACATATATCGTCGTTAAGTATTAAGTATAGTTGAGAGTCTTCAACGCTATGTAATGTCGTAATATGGGTATCGTGTCGACTACCTAGAGTAGTCCTATGGCAAAAATGCTAACAAGAGTCGTCATAATGCATGCAAGAATATTCATCTTGGCAGTATTAGCACTGCTTACAGTGACCGGATCGTTAGATGGGCTGCTGCCGTTATCCCCAATAGAGTCCTTGGACGCTGGATTTCCCTGTGAGGGAGTGTTGCTCTGAGGAGAGGGTGAACCACTGCCAGCAGAGTCCGGGGTGGTGCCGCCCGAAGCCTGAGGCATGTTGCCGCCTTGAGACCCAGCTGTGTCATATGAACCTTCAGCAGGGTCGCTAGATGGTGAAGTGTCGGCTTTCTGATCGTAAGAAGGTTCTCCTGAAGAGGCACCATTTGATGGGGAGTCGGGTGAGTTATTTGAAGAACCTGGGGATTGACCGGATGAAGGGGCCCGGTTTCCACCAGGGGCAGGTCTGTTGGATGCGGACCAGGGTCTTCTCGCGGTATCTCCTGATTGTGCTTCTGTGTTTCCTGGTGTGACACCCTGGTCACCAATGTCTTGTGCTTGAGATGATCCGCCGTCTGGGGCGTATGCATCATTGCTTGATCCGGGCTGTTGAGCGTGGCTTCTGTCGAAGTCATCATTGCTCTGTTCGCCTTCTTGACTTCCCTGGCCTTGAGCACCTTGGCCACTCTGGGCGCCATGGGAAGTGGAATCAGAGCTTGTGCCATCTAAGGAGTTCGGAGAGGGTGACTCATGACCATTTTGACCTTCGACATGGTAACTAGCATCAGGAGAGTTGCCATTGTAATACTCTCGATGTGAAGAGCTTTGACCAGTCTGGTCCAAACCCTGGCCTTGATAAGCACCCTGCGTAGGAAGGGCAGAGCTAACAGGGACAACAACATATCCGGAAGAGGAATATGCCGAAAGAGACTCGGAGGGGAATGTTAATGTAGCAACCTGGGTATCAGGGCTACCACAGTTACTGCACTTCACCACAGCTTGTGTAAAGCCTGGAGGAGGAGCCGTCTCGATCGGTGGAGGTTGGCAGTCGATGCTTGAACAAGTTTGTGTGAGGGTGTATGTTCTTGTTCTTAAGCCTTGTGAGAAGAACTCCTTATAACACCGTGTATAGGTATTTTCGTAGCCGCCAGGACATGGCCGAACTGTGATGGTAGGGAGAGTAATGCCCGTAGTACAAGTTTGAGAGGGGATTTGAGCGTAAACAGGCAATGCCATGACAAGACCACTGGCAACAGATAATAGTCTCATATTGAAGGAGTGGGCAGTATGTGAATAATGAAGGTAAGTATAAAGGAAAGGAGTGTTTCGGACAATGATCTACCTCTGAGAGACGTTAGGTAAGATCATCAACCGGAAGCCAAAAGAAGTGCACGGATATAAAGTTGAACGTGCTGATAGAGTGCGATACATGGGGTACTTATGGCATCACGATGGAAATCAAATTATTCACGCCAAGCATTTCGCAGTATCTTTCGGCCTTCTGCTCGTTGCTCGGAGATCTCCTGCTACCCGACACATAAAACGCCGTTGTGCATCTTGTGGCTAAGGACTTGAGCTAGAGTCTTGGGATTCCAGACCTCCGTCCAGAATCTCTGATTTCCAGGACCCTGGGAATTAGATCTTGGGCTAGAGATTTAGCTAGTGTCTTTACTTTAAAGGACTCGCCGAAGTCTAGTTTATTAATGAGACTGTTATATAGCGGGGATACTGGTCTGGAAGCCACTGCCAGTCGGGATATTTCTATCCGGCGGGGAGTGGTGTGGAATGTTATGTACATATGGGTAGGCTAGCTGGGACAGTAGTAGGGCGGGGGATCCGGGTGGGTGGTGCACCTACCAGGTCTTTAAGCCTTACAAGGATGTATGATGCGTTGGAAAACGTAAACCGTAGTGTCTCATTATGTTTTCAATTTCTGTCGAAGTACACGTGCAAGACCTGCTTTTGGATTTCTCAAGCCTCGGAATGTTATCGCCAGTCAATGCACCTTGCGACCTCTCCACCGCATGCACATAGTAGAATGACCATGGAAGTTGCCAGTCGACTTAACAGTTGAATTACTATGTCTCAAATGAGCGTACGAATAAAAGAATGTGTCCTGGCTTGGCGTTTGTTCAATGTTGTGATCTTCCTACATAGTATAGCCTGCCTCTTTTCAGAACGACTTTGCGCCATTTATCGACTCATTCGGTAATCACATCGCCAGCTAATGGAGCTTGGACTTCAATACTCGACCTGTCTTGCAATTCTCCTTGTGGGAGCTTTGACATGACCGGGAGCTTGTTTGCACGGACTCATCCGTGAAGCCAAACCGTACAAGTCCTTCGCGCACCTACATCTTAAAAGAGTCATGCCAGCCCCTCATTTTCGACGTGACCTGTCAAGCGAATGCCAGATCCAAACTTTATGTTGAACCCTATCTTGGAGCTTTGACGGCTGTCCCTGCACTAGCGCAAGCCTCCATTCCTCAAGTTCCAGATCCAGTCCCCTCGCACCACAATACCAATTTTGGAACGGGCCAGACCCTGCAAGCTCGATTTATAACACAAAGCACTCAGATTACAGCTCTTGAGCTAAGCGTTGCCATGTCTGTATAATAAATGCTCATAGCAAAGATCTGATCACTCTACGTTAACATGACCGCAATAGGCTAGACTTTCAATACGTCCAGAGTTCAATAATTCCAATCCAGTAAAGACAATTGATGTTCCGCAGCTAAGCGATTGGCTAGGAAATTATGGGGTACAGTAGACCCTAAGGGCCCTGGATCTTAAAAAGAGACATCTGACAACAGTCTAGACCAGACTCGTCCAGACAACCCTCGCGACAGGAATGCCGAGCTTTCAATGTCGATCATTGCAGCATAATGCTTCCTGTAAACTCTGCTTGCGGCTGTAGCATTCACTCGTAAATAATAGCGATGTCTTCGTGATAGTTACGTCTTCCACATAACACTTTTCTTCTTCCACGATTTCTATGTGCGTCGATATCTACACGTGATTGATCTTTCGTTCATTACTGTTCAGATTTGGCCATCTAGCCGAATTTGTTCAGATATCTTTTGTTAATTATGTGGTTTCGCGATGTCACGCAATATGCTGTTCTTTTTGCCGTCGTGGCGGAGGTGACAGCTGGACAAGATTTGACTTGTCCCGATGGACTGCAGGTCGTCCAAACTCAGCCAATCCAGCTGGTAAATGGAACAAATACCTTCTATTCAACAATAACTAAGTATGTCGAATCTTGTGACTGCATGGAATACTGCTAATCGAACAAGCTCTTTCATTATTCCTTTCAATGCGTCTTATATCACAACTACAATATTCGGCGACGGACCCGCGACGACATATACCGTTTCACCGCAAGGAACTTCACCAATTGTTACAGTGATCGTGAGGTCCCCGCAAACGACTATAACATCGATTATTCCCTCGTTGACGGCCGCTCGAACCCGAACTTTGACACCAGATAATCCAGGAGATTTTACGACTGTCATTGTTGAGCAGCCCGAGTATACAACAGTGGATCAGACGATTGGTCAGACGGTGGATCGAACAGTGGATTGGACAGTAGACCGGACAGTAGATCGAACAGAGAGCGTCGGATATTTCGTCACGAGAACACTGTCAAACGGCGAAACGACTGTGATCCAGGATACACCAGGATACGTAACAGTAACCCGTTTGACAAACGCAAGATATCCGATCACAAGGACGTTACGGCCAGAGAGACCAGGCGACCCGACAACGATTCTCGTTGAGCAGCCAAGCGACACGGCCTTTGTCTCCGGACCAGGAATCACGACTGTCACATGGACCAAAGACGTTCTGGTCCCTTTTACCTGGACTCGCCAGCCAAACAAGGCAGGCGACCCAACAACCGTCATTATTGAGCAACCGGCGGATTCTACCTTTGTCACTCCACCGGGTCGTGTCACTATCACCCAAACGAAAGATGTTCAGGTTCCTGTCACGCGTACTTTGCAGCCAGACCGCCCAGGGGAGGCAAGTACAGTGATTGTTGAAGTTCCGGTGTCAAATACGCCGTACACGACAATTATCCGCACCGGCACTGTTACTGCCCCAGTGACATCTACCCTACCTCCCAGCGATCCGGATGGAACCGGCACGGTGATTATCGTGGTACCATCAGACCCTCCCATGTACGCGACCGTCACCCGCGTTGGAACAGGGACAGCAACTGTCACCTCGACGCAGGAGCCTGGGAGATCTGGTGAGCCCGGTATAGTCTTCATTGACGTGCCCCCCAAGGGCGGACGTTTCAATACTGTCACCCACTATGGCACTGGGACGAGCACGACAACATATACACAGCCACCAAACAGCCCTGGAGGAACCGGCACAGTGGTAGTGGAAATACCCCAGTCTGGTGCAGAATACGAGACTATCACCAAACCCGGGACCGGTAGTGTACCTGTTACGCGTACAATCCCTCCAGGTGGTCCAGGGCAGACGGGAATTGTGATAGTCGAAGAGCCCCCCACTGATGCATATGCGACCATGACAAAGACCGGCACTGTTACTGCGCCTTTCACACATACAATACCTCCTGATCATCCCGGCGCGACTGGTACTGTCATAGTTGAGCTACCTCCGCTTAACACTCGATTTGTGTATAGCACTCACTACGGCGACGTGACTAAAGCTACAACCAGCACAGTATATCCCGAAGGGGGTGGAGAGACCGGTGTGGTCATCGTCAATCTCCCCAATCCCTTGACTACTATTATCAGTGGTGGTGATGTCGACACCCCAACAACGATAACTGGAACCGCCGATCATCCTGGGGAGACGGCAACAGTCATTATTGTGACTCCGATCAAGTACAGGACAACAACAGTCACTGGAACTGGTTCAGAGACAATAACCACCACTCAGAGGCCCTCTGATCCCAATGAGACCGGGGTGGTTATTGTTGAGATACCACCTGGCGCAACACCTTGGACTACTGTCTCGGATTACTGGACTGGCTCGACGACTCGAACAGTCACTATTCCACCCTCTGGCCCCGGTGAGACTGGTACTGTCCGTATTGACTACCCTGATGATGTTCATTACGTCGCCACCAGTGACTATTGGTCCGGATCTACCACACGCACCATCACTGTGCCGCCTACTCGCCCCGGTGAGACAGGCATTATTCGCGTCGAATATCCCAGTGCTGGTGTACGGTACATTGACGTTAGTGATGAGTGGACTGGTACAACGATTCGGACCGTCACGATCACTCCTGCTGGTCCGGGACAAACGGGAACGATTCGTGTCGACATCCCCTTCATACGGGTTGTCACCGTTACCCATGCGGGAACTGGATCAGAGACGCGAACCTTTACCCAGACACACACTGGCTCGGAACTTACTGATACTGTTGTCGTGGAGATTCCTCAAATTACTTCTTATGTTACGAGTACCGTTACTGGACCAGACTCTACCACCAGAACATACACTCAGATGCCGTCTGGCACGGGTAGGGTAGGCACAGTCATCGTTGAGATTCCTCATGGTGCCACACCTTATACTACAATTACGAGAACTGGCACTGGGAGTGTGGCTCGGACGTTTACCCAAGCGCCGGGTGGGTCAGATGAGACCGGCACAGTCGTGATCGAAGTTCCACCTCGGTCTGTCCAGTACGTAACGACTACCACCACTGGTACTGGTAGTACCACTCGAACTTTCACTCAGCCGCCTGATGGTTCGGACGGGACTGGTACAGTAGTCATTGAGGTTCCCCACCGGCCCACCCAATATGTAACGACTACCATCACTGGCACTGGTAGCATCACTAGAACCGTGACCCAACCACCTGCTGGGTCAGACGAAACTGGCACAGTAGTGATTGAGGTTCCACCTGGCTCTACAAGGTATATCACTACCACCACCACAGGAACTGGCAGTATAACCAGAACGATCACATATACACCTGATGGCCCTGATGAGACTGGAACTGTTGTGGTTGAAGTCCCGCCTGCTCGATATGTTACTGTAACCAGTACCGGCTCTGGGACCATCACTAGGACTTTCACGCAGACAGCTGCTAACCCAGGTGAGACCGGCACTGTTATGGTTGAGGTTCCGGGAGCACGATATATAACGGTGACGAGCACGGGCACGGGTACTGGCACTAGGACTTTCACCCAGACCCCAAGTCAACCTGGCCAGACTGGAACTGTCATCATCGAGCTACCTCCTGGCGCTACACCGTACACCACGATCACCAGCACAGGAACGGGTACCACTACGAGCACCATCACTCAAGGCCCCGGTCTACCAGGTCAGACAGGCACAGTTATAGTCATCGTGCCTCCCGCTTATGTGACTACTACAAGAACTGGCTCAGGAACAGAGACTGGTACCAAGACCATCACCCAGACTCCTAGTTTCCCTGGTCAGACTGGCACGGTCATTATCGAGGTACCTGCCAGCGCCACGCCATATGTCACTATCACAAGGACAGCCACAGGCACCGGGACTCTGGTCGGTACTACAACGATCACCCAAACCCCGACCCTGCCAGGCCAGACCGGAACCGTGATCGTTGAGGTGCCCCCCAGTATCACCCCATATAACACCATCACGCGGACAGCTACAGGCACTGAGGCCGGAACCAGGACTATCACGCAGACACCGAACCTGCCCGGACAAACTGGAACGATGATCATTGAGGTGCCTCAGAGTATTACCCCATATACCACGATTACTGTAACAGGCACAAACACGGGGACTACCATCAAGACTCTCACTCAGACTCCAATCGTGCCAGGTCAGACCGGGACCGTTATCATCGAGGTACCTGCAAGCATCACGCCTTTCATCACTATTACAAGAACAGCCACTGGCACTGAGACGGGAACGAGGACCATCACTCAGGTTCCGACCATCGCAGGTCAAACTGGTACCGTGATTATTGAGGTCCCTCCGAGTGTCACCCCTTACATCACAGTCACAAGAACGGCTACAGGTACTGAAACCGGGACAAAGACAACTACTCAGGTTCCAACCCTTGCGGGTCAAACTGGAACTGTTATCGTTGAAGTACCTGCTAGTATCACACCTTACGTGACGGTCACAAGAACTGCTACAGAGTCTGGAACTGCAACCAAGACCATAACTCAAACTCCTGGTCTTCCGGGTCAGACTGGGACTGTCATTATCGAACTACCCATCAGTGCCACGCCTTACATCACTTTTACCGTTACCGGCACTGGAACAGGTACTACAGCGAAGACTACCACCCAGACTCCTAGCTTCCCTGGCCAAACCGGTACTGTCATCGTTGAGCTTCCTCCAGGAGTAACACCCTATGTCACCACCACCTCTTACGGAACGGTCACGATGGCTTACACCACCACACTAACACCCACTCTCGCAGGACAAACAGGTACAGTAGTAATCTTCAGACCCCAGCAGTATGTAACAACAACCCGATATGGAAGCGTCTCAGTGTCTACCATGACAACCAAGAGCCCACTTGATCCTGGTGAGACCGCCACTGTTATTGTTGACCTTCCTCAACCGTTCACGACGGTAATCCGTTATGGAAGTGTGACAGTCGCAGGTACAACAACGGAGAACCCTCGCAACCCTGGTGAAGTAGGCACAGTGGTCATCAGCCGACCTCAACCTTTCACGACAATCACACGCTATGGAAGCGTCACGGCTGCTTCCACCCTAACACAGAGTATTCAGAACCCTGGCGAGACATATACTGTGATCGTCAACCTTCCTCAGGCATTCACGACAACAACTCGTTATGGAACTATTCTGACCTCTTCTACAACGACTCAAAGTCCTCAGAATCCAGGGGAAACAGGCACTGTTATCGTTGACCTTCCACAATTATATACTACAGTTACAAGTTATGGGACAGTTTCAGCTCCTTCAACAACAACACAGACTATTTCGCGCCCGGGTGACACGTATACCGTCGTTGTCAACCTTCCTCAACCCTTCACCACAACTACGCGCTATGGAAGCGTGACGGCTGCTTCTACAGTCACACAGAGTATTCAGAACCCTGGCGAGACGTATACAGTGGTCGTCAATCTTCCTCAGCCTTTTACTACAGTCACCCGCTATGGAAGTGTCACGGCCGCTTCTACAACGACCCAAAGTACCGGGAACCCAGGGTCCACATACACTGTCTTCGTCGACCTCCCGCAGCCCTATAACACGGAGACACACTTCGGAAGTGTTGCTGTTGCTACTACCAGGACTCTGGCGCCACCTGTCCCCGGGCAGACTGGTACCATTGTTGTTGATCTCCCTCAGCCCTACACTACAATCTTCCGCTATGGAAGTGTCTCAGCTGCAGCTACAACTACACTGAGTATCCAGCGTCCAGGCGATATCTGCACGGTGTATATCGACCTACCGCAACCTTACAACACGCAGACTCAATATGGCAGCGTCACTGTGGCTACGACCAGGGTCTTGATGCCGACGGTTCCAGGACAAACTGGAACTATTGTCGTTGATCTACCCCAGCCTTACACCACGATCACTCACTACGGGACGTTTACTGCGGCTGTTACTGAGACGCTCACGTTGGTTGCTCCAGGGCAGACGGGTACTGTCGTGGTGAACCTGCCCCAGCCTTACACGACTACCACGCGATTCGGTAGCGTCTCATTGGCTACTACGAGAACAGTGACACCAGCTAGTGAAGGGGCGACTGGGACAGTCATCATCGACAATCCGCAGCCATTTACAACTACCACTCGTTACGGCAGCGTTACGATCATCACTACCATCATATTATCCCCGTCTATTCCTGGGGAAACCGGCACGATCATCATCGATTCGCCCCAGCCTTTCACTACGATCACTCGTTATGGAGTCGCCTCTGTCAGCGGCATTACAACACAGACTCCGGCCGTTCCTGGTCAGACTGGCACGGTTATCGTAGATCTGCCTCAGCTTTATGTGACTACGACTCGTTACGGCATGGTCACGGCTAGCAGCATCACGACACAGATCCCTACTACCCAAGGAGATACAGCTACGGTGTTGATTGATCTGCCACAACCTTATATAACCACGACTCGCTACGGTATGGTCACTGCATCCAGCATCACAACTCAAACACCTACGGCAGCAGGGGACGTCGCCACCGTGATCATAGACCTACCCCAGCCCTACTTTACTACTACTCGATATGGCATGGTGACGATCAGCAGTATCACGACCCAAACCCCTGTCACTGCAGGGGACACTGGTACAGTCCTCGTCGATCTGCCGCAGCCTTACACAACCACCACTCGTTACGGTACCGTCACAGCTCCAAGCATTACAACAGAGGTACCTGCAAACGCCGGGGACACTGCAACTGTAATTCTTGATCTACCTCAGCCTTATGTGACGACCACTCGTTACGGCAGTGTTACGCTTAGCAGCATCACAACCCAGATACCTGCTTCAGCTGGAGACACAGCTACTGTCCTAATCGACCTTCCTGAGGACTACGTAACTATCACAAGATACGGCAGTGTGACAGTCAGTAAAATCACTACCCAAACACCAGATACTCCGGGACACACTGGCACAGTGATCATCGACCTGCCTCAACCTTATGTAACCACAACTCGCTACGGCCTTGTTACAGCCAGTAGTGTCACGACTCAACTACCTGCTTCCTTCGGACAGACAGCCACTGTCCTTATTGATCTTCCCCAACCTTATACAACCATTACGAGATACGGCAGCGTTACGGTAGCCGAAACAACCACTCAGGAGCCAGCCCTTCCAGGTCAAAGCGGTACTGTGCTTGTAGACCTCCCCCAGCCTTATGTGACCACGACTAGATACGGCAGCGTTACAGTCAGCAGCGCCACAACTCAGCTCCCTGATACAATTGGCCAAGCAGCTACTGTTATCATCGATCTTCCACAACCCTACACCACTATAACAAGATACGGTCAGGATGGCGTGACGGCAATTGGGACAACGACTCAAGAGCCGAGTCTTCCAGGCCAAACTGGTACGGTCATTGTGGACCTCCTCCAGCCTTACAATACCATAACCAGATATGGAAGTGTAACAGTCAGCGGCGTTACTACCCAAACGCCGACTGCACCTGGGGATACCGGCACAGTTATAGTCGACCTCCCTCAACCTTACATGACTGTCACCCGCTATGGCAGCGTAACAATCAGTGAGGTTACTACCCAAACACCAACTGCACCCGGAGAGACCGGTACAGTAATCATTGATCTCCCTCAGCCGTACACGACTATTACCCACTATGGGAGTGTTTCGGTTAGTGGTGTCACGACCCAAACGCCTACAGTGCCTGGTGAGACAGGGACAGTTATTGTCAATTTCCCCCAACCTTTTGTCACCATGGCAAGATACGGAAGAGTCTCAACTAGCAGTATCACAACCCTCACGCCATCCAGCGAAGGCGAGACTGCAACCGTTGTCATAGACCTTCCTCAACCTTACGAGACCACAACAAGGTACGGCAACGTGGCCGTCAGCAGCATGACTACACTATTGCCCGTCAGTGACGGTAGTACTGCTACTGTGATTGTAGACCTGCCCCAACCATACGACACAACGACACGGTATGGAAATGTGGTTGTTAGCAGCATAACTACCTTGTCCCCTATCAGCGATGGTGGCACAGCGACTGTTGTTATTGATCTTCCACAGCCATATGAGACGACAACACGATATGGAATTGTGGCTATAAGCAGTATGACCACCTTTTCGCCAGTCAGTGACGGTGGGATTGCAACCGTTTTGATCGATCTTCCTCAACCTTACGAGACGACGACGCGGTATGGACTTGTAGCCACCAGCACTATGACAACCCTGTCTCCTACCAGCAATGGTCAGGTAGCCACTGTCCTGATAGACCTTCCACAGCCATACGAAACAACAACGAGATATGGAAACGTTGCTGTTAGTAGCATCACAACAATCTCACCCACTAGTGACGGCCAGACGGCAACAGTTATCATTGACCTTCCTCAGCCGTATGAGACGACCACACGCTACGGCAGCGTGACTGTGAGCAGCATAACCACTATTCTGCCAACCAGCGATGGCCAGACAGCGACTGTTATCATCGATCTACCGCAGCCATACGAAACAACAACCCGGTATGGAATCGTCAGTGTGAGTACTGTCACAACAATTACACCCACCAGTGATGGTCAGACTGCAACGGTCATCATTGATCTCCCACAACCGTATGAGACGATCACACGATACGGTAGCGTTTCTGTCAGTAGCATTACGACTATCTCGCCTACAAGCGACGGTCAGACTGCGACGGTTATTTTTGATCTCCCACAACCGTACGAAACCACTACCAGATATGGCAGCGTCACAGCCAGCAGTATCACGACTGAACTACCCTCGGGCCCTGGAGAAACGGCAACAGTCATCATCGACCTTCCTCAGTCAATGGTTACTATTACCGAACTTTGGACAGGCACCGATGTACTGACAGGGCCGACGACTATACAGACCATCCCTGCTTCTGGACCAGTGGCAGGTACATTCATCGTCGCAACAGCACCACCCCAGCCTGTCACTATCACACGTCCATACACCGGTACGGAGATCCTTACAGGGCCTACAACCGTTACAACCGTCCCGTATTCCGGAACTGTACCTGGCACAGTTATTGTCGAGACACCTCTTGTTACTATTACTCGATTCTACACAGGCACGGATGTATTGACTGGACCGACTGCTGTTACCACAATTGCTCCATCAGGCACCGAGCCTGGTACTGTCATCATCGAGACACCGCCAGTCACCATCACACGGTTCTATACTGGCACTGACATCCTTACTGGGCCGACCACATTGACAACTATCACCCCCACAGGTACTGAAGCTGGTACGGTGATTATTGAGACGCCTCCAGTTACGATCCTTCGCTTCTACACAGGCACGGGAGTTCTCACTGGACCTACAACCGTTGCAACAATCACACCAACCGGGACAGAGGCGGGTACAGTCATCATCGAGACGCCAGCTGTTGTAATTACTCGATTCTACACAGGCACTGACATTCTCACCGGGCCGACCACGGTAACAACTATAACGCCTACAGGAATTGAGGCAAAAACAATTATCATCGAGACCCCACCAATTACCAGCACAAGGTTTTATACTGGAACAGATATCTTGACTGGTCCCCGTACAGTTACGACTATAACCCCCACAGGGACAGAGGACGGAGTGGTGATCATTGAAACACCTGCAATCACAAGCACACGATTCTACACCGGAACGAATATCTTGACAGGTCCTGTTACAGTCACTACTATCACACCCACTGGCACAGAGGCAGGTGTCGTGATCATCGAAACACCACCTGTTACCAGTACGCGCTTCTATACAGGCACAGATGTCTTGACAGGCCCCACTACTATAACGACCATCACACCAACAGGCACGGAGGCTGGAGTCGTGGTTGTAGAAACCCCTCCCATCACAAGCACAAGGTTTTACACTGGTACAGATGTGTTGACAGGGCCTGTCACGGTGACCACGATTACACCAACCGGCACAGAAGCAGGAGTGGTTATCGTGGAAACACCACCAATCACGAGTACAAGATTCTATACTGGTACAGATACCTTGACTGGGCCTATCACTGTTACCACGATTACGCCTACAGGCACTGAGCCGGGTATTGTTATCATCGAAACACCCCCAGTCACAAGTACAAGACAGTACACCGGAACTTCTGTCCTGAACGGGCCAATTACTGTTACAACAATTACACCAACAGGAACGGAAGCAGGAACAGTTATCATCGAAACGCCGCCTCCACAAACCGTGACTAGTACCAGGCGATACACTGGCACTTCAACACTCACTGGCCCAGTTACGGTCACAACAGTCACCCCCACAGGGACCGAGCCTGCAACCGTCATCGTTGAAACGCCGCCTCCAGATACCGTTACTACTACTAGGCGTTACAGCGGCACCTCAATTCTCGCTGGTCCGATTACAACAACAATCACGCCGACTGGTACAGAAGCAGCTACGGTTATTATTGAAACGCCACCTCCAGACACCGTTACCACTACAGTGAGGTACAGTGGCACTTCGGTTCTCACTGGTCCCATCACTACAACCATTACACCCACTGGCACTGAGGCGGCCACAGTTATCGTCGAGACTCCACCGCCAGATACTGTTACTATAACAAGGCGATATAGTGGCACTTCGGTCCTGGCTGGTCCCATTACTTCAACGGTCACACCTACTGGCACAGAAGCACCTACGGTTATCGTAGAAACGCCTCCTCCGCAACCAGTAACTACTACGAGGAGATATAGTGGCACTTCAGTTCTCACTGGTCCTGTCACAACAACGGTCACACCTACTGGTACTGAGGCAGCTACGGTTATCGTAGAAACACCGCCTCCAAATGCAGTCACTACGACAAGGCGGTATAGTGGCACTTCAACCCTGACCGGTCCGATTACAGCAACCACGATCACACCTACTGGAACTGAGGCAGCGACTGTCATTATCGAAACACCACCCCCAGCGCCTGTGACAAGCACAAGACAGTACACGGGTACTTCCGCCATAACCGGCCCTATCACAGCTACTACAATTACCCCCACAGGAACTGAGGCAGCAACAGTTGTCATCGAGACACCACCACCTACGACCGTTACCAGCTACAGACAGTATACTGGTACATCCAGTATAAACGCTGCTACAACAGTGACAACAGTTCCAGCATCGGGAACTACACCTGCAACTGTCATCGTGGAGACTCCCGTACCGCCTCCGGCCTTTGCTTGTGATGAAGGTGGCTACTTGATCCAACTGAGAACGCTTTACAGGCTTAACCTCGTGACCGGTGAAAATGTACAAGTCGGTACCAACATTGGCCCAGGCGGTATCATCAACCCTATTGGTTACAATATCAAGGATGACTTGATCTACGGTATCGTCCAGATCGAAAATGGCGCCAGGAGTCAAGTTATTCGCCTGGGCCAAGGCGGTGCCTACACTTTGATGCCCACATACCTCAACGGAGTTTGGAACAGTGGCGACATCGACACTGATGGTAACTTCTGGGTTGCGCAGTATGGTAAAGGCTGGGCTAGAATCGACGTGGATCCATCTTCGCCGACCTACGGCAATATTCTACAGACAGGAACCTCAACCCCAGCGAACAACATCGCCGATTGGTGCTCCGTCAAAGGTGGCGGTCGATATCTGTACTCTCTCCAGTCAGGAGCAAATACAGTCCTGGCAAGATGGAGCATGGATACCCATACGTGGGAGACTCTTCAAAATCTTGGCAATATCGCCGGCAGTAATCTCTGGGGCGCTGCCTATGCCGTGGGTACGAACCTCATGTATGCGTCTGAGAACAGTTCTGGTGTTATCTATCGCTTCAACATCGCGACGGGTGCCAACTCGTTGGTTATCCAGGGTCCGACAACGTCTCAGAACGATGGTGCTCGTTGTATCAATGCTCCGGCTCCAGGATCTGGGACATAGGAGTTCTAGGATTCCTTCTGCTTATTGAAGCAGAATTGGCTTGGATATGGATGGCGTTGGGTATTCTTCAGGCTAGTCTTCGATATTTAATTGGCACTTGCTATTTAGCTAGAGAGGAGTTTGTGCAAGCTTTTTGATGGAAGATAAGAAAAAGGTTCGAGATTGGGGTTCCCAGGAACATGATGAGAAGGGCCATTGTATCGATACAGCGCCCAAGTCATGGACGACCATAGAGTTTCCTTTGTGTTATGATCCCTAATATCAATCAATGTTCACAAGAAACGCGATAGAGTCTAATGAATGCTAGTTTTACCATAGTATAATGATTGTTGGATAACTGGCCCGCTCTTATACTAGTGTAACCGTTGTCATTTCCTCTTGACCCCCCTCGAATCTGTCCTTCAGTGCCCAACGTGGAAGCCTGATTGTACCGAATCTCTGATATTCTTCAGTCCCTTGAACTTTGGCAATTATCAACCCCTTGAGTGGTAACTGTTGTTCTTTGAATTCCACATGGTCCAAAAGAAGCAGAGCAAAGAGTTCCTTTCCCCTCAAGCTCTCTAACATCTTTGCTGCTCCTTGTGAAGAATCCTTCGCAAATTCATCATAGTCAAAGTGCCCACTTACATCTTCATCGTTAATGTTATCCATGCGCAATTCAAGTCCAACTCGGCGTCCCAATTTGTCGCTGCCCGACTTGCTGTCATCATCCGCCAGATAGAGACGTCTCATCGACGCGCAAATTCTGATCCTACCATCGAGGATCTCGCCGTATGGGTTTGCACCTTTCAAATCGACTTTCACGTCAATGATCGTCGCCAATGGCGTATACGGAAATTCCGCGGTGCAACCAATAATTCCGTCGACAGAAACCCATGACCAAGAAGGCGCCCTGTATTTTTCCACACGCTTGCAGTGTAGACCTTCCCAGCTCAGACCCACGACAAGGTCAGATCTCCAAAGACCAGCTACATACTGGTCGTCCAGTCGTTTTGCGAAGATACTGGCAAGCCCTGATATAGCTGGAAGTTTGTCTGATGGTTTCGAAAGCTTTCGTTCCCCATATATCCATAGAAGTCTATACCATAGCTTCAGTATTAAGTCTTTGGAAATTGAAACCTGGCCTTCACTAGGAATCCCTTTGGTATTGATGTCGCTCGCCATGGTCTTCTGGTGTATAGTGTCAAACCGAGCATTCAAGAATAGGCCATCCTCTCCGTGGTATGCTTTGTTGCACTCAAAGAACATTTGCTGGTCACTATAGTGGAGAGTTCTGCGAGATAGAACACGCTCTTGTAAGGTCCAGCCCCGTCCTGAGAGTGGTTCTTTAGGTAAGGTTATATAGTCCAAGAAGATTGGGAAGCGTGAGCTTTTCTCTTCCCTGTCGGTCTCGATGCAGAATGTCTCCCCTTTGAGAGGACAGCTAAAGGCTAAGGCTTGTCCTTGTATGCCTCCAAAAGCGTAATCAATCTGGGCATATTTTCTCGATGGGATCTCAGTAAAAAGCCCTTTGTGGCTATCATCTCCGTTGGATGCTGCGATAGTCAGCGATGCATTAGCGTAGACCGAAAGCATATTGGCTGATTCATGTTCCCAGTCCTCTTTATCGTCTTGGATGATACAGATACTGTCTATCCATATGTATCTTATCCCAAGCTCTTGGGTAAGCCAAATAGCATCTTGGTGTGTTTTCGGTAGGTGAGATACCGCAATGCAACGTTTTCGGTCTTGAAGCGTGGACTTCGTGGTCGTGAATTGTGGTGTTTTTCCCCAACAATAGCTTCATAACATAGGTCAGTCTCATGCTGCCTATCGCGACGATCATTGGGAGCTAGTAGTAGGTACCTTAGTGCAACATACTGTTCGACTGTGCGATCCAGTGTTTCGCGTAGACTGACGTAAGGACTCCCAACTTCAGCACCAACGTCTATGACTCGGGATGGCAAGATAGGTTCCGTGGGAAGACATTCAGGGTGTTGATCGCATTCATCCAGCCAGTTGCGCACCCTTCTGATTGCTGTTGGTGTTCCTCTTTGTTGCTCAACCGGACGGCCCCGAATGACCGCCTGCAGCGGGTCATCTACTGACATTAACCCTGTTCATTTCTGGATGAATTTTATCGTCGTACCGTCTCTAACGCATAAGCCAATCGCTGCTACTAGCATTGCCTCGCCTCTCATCACTTCATTAGTGAAGCTCATGACCCAGAATCCGTGTCCACCAGCAGGACGTTTCACAAGCCAGAACTCCCAGACCGGCCACGCAAATGAGTATGACTCTTTCAACTTATTCGCTTGTTCAATTTCTGCCTGGACCTGAAGGACTTGGCCCAGAACTAGATTGCAAAGACCACACTTCAAATCTGTTGCGGCTCTTTCCAAGGCTTCGAGACTTTGGTGATATGGGAATCCTTTATCCTCCTGACCCCAACTGTAGAATTGCTGGATATGAGGACACCCGGTCAAGTATCCATCTCGGATATGTGGCGGGATTGAAGGGAGCTTATCCAAGGGCAATGCCTTGCAAAGCTCACACAAGGTCATCTTTCGGTATTGACCAAGTCGTGTAGTCAAGATGGAATCCCTTGCTGACTGTGTGGTACATCAAGAACCAGGAATCGACCCCAAATCGTCGATTGCGTTGAGAAATGGTCGAAGTCAGGACAGAGTCACCGAAATGAAACAATAATAAGCTGGGCTGCGTTAGCTGATACAATCCTTAGTCTGTTGCCTAAATGCCACGTGACAGATGAATATGCGGGTGTGGCTACTCTTATTGGTTGACTTGTTGATTTGACACTCCATTCTTAAATCTTCGTATTTTTTATTTTACGCATCACAATGCTGTTAAGAAGCATATATATTATCGATTAAAGATGAAAGGAAAATGTGCGATCCGATAGATGAGGCCACGCTAAATCGGGCGCTGGTACAAACACCACGCTGAGGTATTGTGAGCCGGTCTCGGCAAAACACAATTTGATTCGCTGAGGCAACAACCGGGCTTTTTGGATTCGAGAGTTTCAGATCCTAGGCGCAATCTTTGAATTGAATCCCATCAGAGAAAAAGCCATAAATAGGTATAGAAAGGGGCTTACGGTGATATAATGTGGGACTGTCCATTGTATGCACTTCGTTCTCTACCAAGTTGAGGACACAAGAAATAACGGTACGCTCAGTTTCTCACTAAAATTGCAATCATTTAAAAGTCTATTATAAAATAACTAAAGTAGATATAAATTCGAGCTAACTTCTTTAAGAATATTCACGATTATTTAGCAGACAGAATATATAGTTTTAATATTAAATAGTATTAAAGTATTTAAATAATATTTTATTTTAACTTCTAAAATACTTGCTCCATACTGTTAAGTTTTGATTGGAGATTCTTATCTTGAGCTATAATAAACCCTACATAATATATATGCTTTTAGAAACTAAGAAAAAAGCTTTATATTATAGTATTTACTATACATTTCATTTAATTTGTGATGGCTGTCTTCTGGATAGAAAAAAAACTTTCGACCCGTTATTTTTCATGTCCCCCTGAGGGTTCTGCCGCCTCTACTGCAAGTTGTGTGCTACTATCGATCCTCGTGATGAAGCCAGCCTTGATCTCCACGGAGCTTTGACGAGTGTATGTCGCACTGTGACAATAACCCTGCTTGTCAGTTTGGTGATTTTGCAGAATTGTTGAATGAAAATGGTCTTTGCTCAAGCTATGCGACAAATCCCGGGCTTGCTGGAATGGAGGACATGGAGGGGTATAAGTGATCTGAGAAAAACGGAAACGTTGTGTGCTCGGGCTGCTCATCAAATTACGTTTGGGTAGCATGAGGACGAGGATGCCTGTTAATAAATCTGAAAGAACCGTCCAAAAATTTTGATATTTACGAACCTGTTTCAGATAAATGGCGCGAGAACCTTGAAGTACATAAAGTGTTGCACTTTATCACGTCTGTGATTGTTGAGAACGATTGCTTAAGCCCATACTTACTATTAATTTTTGTATAATTTAAAATTTATCTACCATGTTCGTAACGTAATAGCTCACGGGTGAAGATATGTTAAGAGTGGTCATCACGAGAGTGAACTATCAATAACTACCGTGCTATAGGGTAAGCTGCACCATGAGTGACTTAAACACCCACCCCAAAGTAATGAGTCTGTGATGTCTACCACCCCTAAGCTCCTCTGAGTCTCTCAGTCATTGTTGACCAAATTTGAATAAGCATCTCGGCGAGCAAGATTCAGTTTAGAATCGGAGTAAAGAACGAAACGTGGTCCACAGAAGCTTTGTCGCAAAAGTACTCCTGAGTTCAAAATTTACAATTCACAAGGCATTATTCCACTTTCGGCCTGACCGGGACCTTAGCCGGGTGTCAATAAATCTGCGCCCAATAAGCGATTAACCTTATCATGTATGCCTATAGCACAGGTCAAGGACATGCGCACCAAATATTTTTGGTTTCGCGGCAGTGCTTACAGGGGTGTTATCGCTGTGCCCAAAGTTTGTTTACCTTGAGTTGTCAGATATGGGTACGGCACGACCAATGAGGTGTTGTACAACTGAACCTAATATATGACGATGGTAGCACTCGTATCTCGGATTATATATGTCATATACAGCTATTTCAATTTATCTAAGCGATCGGCCGATGTCAATATCTAACCTTGGAGAAGCCATTTATCTGACACAAACCATCATCTCGATTAATAAAATGCTGAGGAGAATCTGAATCAGTCCAGGACAGACAGTGACGTGTAATTGCCAAAAGTCTGACCCACAAGAAGATGTCCAGCCAATGACCCATGTGCCAAGCAGCGGGACAAAGGCTCGGACTGACTCACTAGACCTTTTTCGCTTCGAACTGCCGACTGCCAGGCCTTGGCATTTAATTCTCCCAGGGACAATATCGTAGATAGAGTTTCTCAGAGTCTAGACCATATCGTATTACCCCAGCCATGATCCTTCTGTAAGTTTCGATACAGGCGAGAGCTTATTTTTAGTCTGCACTTCAGTCACAGGTCGACCAAATTGGGCTGCCTCTGAGTCTGTTTTGGAACATTTCAAATGGTGAACAGACCACGGTCGATCCCTCTTCCATTGTGGGAAATATGGGCCTCGAAAGCGAAAGTCCACACAAATCACCCCTGCGATCTGCAGAATATCAACGCGTGGAAATCCGGTAGTGCTTGTTGATCCTACACTAGCAATTTCATGTGCCAAGAGCCTACCATAGCGAAAACGTCGGATCTCTATTTGGTACATCGTCATTCCCAGCTAATTGCCAGCTCGCCATGCCGCGAAATATGTCGATAGACACTGCAGAGTAATGCTGTCTGATGTGTTTTCTAAATTTCTCCGATACGCTCAATTCCAAAACTTGGCAATTACCGCTCGAGCCAGATGGCTGAAGATCTCATATCGTTTGGCCCATTGCGGACCACCAGCTTGCGTGTTTTTTTCTCCTTATCAAGACTGTGGCATGCTGGAGGTTTGTGATCGGCAATGCACAAAGGTCCTCCTCGGTGAGCGCACGTGCACGTGGATGATACGGTTCAGCCTCTAACGGAGCCTCAATCCTGACCAGGGTGGGTAAGCCTGTCCGTGAGCCTCAGCTCTCAGACATCACCTTGCTTACAAAGTCCTTTGACTCGTAACACTTCCACTTGTCAGCGAATCTTGTTCTAGCACCAATGGAGTGGGATAGCAGACATGTACCACTGCCACTCCTTACTAATGATTGGCAGTTTCATTAATGCCTGTGTCTTTGGGGATATGAGGCTATACAAGGTTGATTTGACGTACCGTGCTCTACCGTGCTCAACGGGGCCTAATGGGTCTATGGATACGATTTAATTCTCCTTGACCTATGATAGTAACTTCGCTTGAAAAATGAGCCAGACTTGCTACCCGTGTCCCTACGGCCCCATGCCCGCTTGTACAGCTTATACTTCATACGGTAGTTATTTGCCAGAACAGGACGTCATAGCCACCGTAGCTTCACTACCGTAGCAAGGAATTGAGTTTTCCCAGATCCAAAGAAAATGCCGGTCTATCGGACCGGAAGTCTTGGAATGTCTTACCGGTTCTCCCAAGACGATCTGCCGGTAGATAGGGGAGAGAGAGGGAGAGACATCCGAGTATATAGATCATCAGATCGACTTCCAGCTAGGAAAGATGAAATGCAGATTCCAATCAATCACTCTTACGCTCAGACTATCACTCTCGCTACACACTGATGCATGCAGCAATGGACTCGAGTAGTGTGCCAGGTGTTTTGCAGCAGCTGATCGATCTGCCTCCAACAGGGATGGCAGAGAGTCAGCAGTTCCAAGTCCTTCGCACAATGGATCTGGATAAGGTTCATCTGCTAGCTTCGATTCCTGTCACTTCAGAGAGCTCCATTCAACCCCTCAACCTTTTACATGTTCTGTTGCAAGAGATACCCGGACCGTGGCCTGTGTTTGAGCTCATCAAGTGCTTTACACGAGTCTACACAAACCTCCCCGAGAGCACAAAGACAGGCAAAGACCACGATTCGTCTGCTTTGCTGCAACAAACGTCAGAACTTGTCAAGAAGTCGTACACTTCCTTTGCACAGTTCCTCAGCCATGACGATAACCCAGCCCTACGAGCATCTAGCGGCGGCGATGTCATCACACACCGAGAACTTCAACAGTTTGTCAGCGACTTCCGCCTTCCTGTTGACACGCCTACGCAAAGACAAAAGCCTATCGTCTCCATTGCGCTCCCCAACGGCCCTCTTCTCGCAGCAACATGCATCGCCGTTGCGACTTACTACACATTATCACCTATCAATCCGGCCGCGGGCCCAGAGCAGTTCCGAACCGACATCCTGCAGGCAGGAGCGGACTTTATCTTGACGACAAAAGAAGAATACTCCAAACTACATCTCGATGCTTCGTGGGTCGCCGAGAACAACATTCAGGTCTTCATACTGTCTTGGACTGGTGATGAAGGTCTCGCGCTCAAAACCCTCGATGGCGGATCGGTCCCTCGTGGGAAGATCGAACGAGTTCCTAACAAAGCTGACGACATCGGTTTGATCTTGTTCACAAGTGGGACTTCGGGTAACAAGAAGGTGGTGCCGTTGACTATTCACTCCATCATCGCCGGTGTTGTCTTTGTGATGGAGTCATGGGGCCTCACTTCTGATGACATTTGTCTAAACATGATGCCCTTATACCACGTGTAAGTTTACTCTCTACTTGAAATCTTACAGTATCTAACACGACACAGGGGAGGACTAGTAAGGAACATCTTCGCACCTATCTTCTCTGGCGGATCCACGGTCTGCTGTCCCTCGTTCGACGCCAACCTGTTCTGGGATGTGACCGAGGGCATTCAACCAACTTGGTACTATGCTTCACCTACTATGCATTCCATGATTGTTTCAGAGGCATCCGCACGTCCAGAAGCCCTGGCAAAGAGTCGCATACGATTAGCCTGTAACGCAGCTGGTGGCCTTCTGCCTTCGTTGGCATATCAGCTTCGAGATACATTCAACTGTGTTGTCCTACCCAGCTATGGAATGACAGAGTAAGTCTTTTAGCAAAGCTAGCGCGATCAAGCTGACATAAATAGGTGCATGCCCATCTCTACTCCTCCATTGGACTACCGTCTAGATCGCGAAGGCACCTCGGGGATCAGCACCGGGCCCGAACTGACCGTCCTCGACTCCTTCGAGAATAAAGCTGCCAATGGCACCGTCGGACGGATCTGTGTGCGAGGTGAACCTGTCTTCCCCGGCTATCTCAGACAAGACGGGACTTACGATGAAACACCCTTCAACAAAGATGGCTGGTTCGATACCGGTGATCTCGGCTACATGGACGGAGACGGATATCTTTATATCACCGGCCGAAGCAAAGAGGTCATCAACCGTGGCGGCGAGTTGATCTCTCCATTTGAAGTTGAGAATGCCATCATGACAGCATCAAGATCCAGCGACTCGCCCATCTACGGCAGGGTTTCTCAGACCCTAGCATTTTCAGCATGCCATGATGTTCTCCAGGAGGTTGTTGCAGTCGCTTTGGTAACGCCTCCCAATGTCCCGCGCGTGGATCTCAAGACCCTACAGAGCGCATTGAAGCTTTCCCTCCAACAGGCTAAATGGCCCGTGTTGATCGCCTACATGAACGACCTTCCCAAGAACAATGGCAAGATTCTGCGGATCAAGCTAGGGCAGCGCTTGGGGCTTCCGTGTTTGACTGATGATACCCCATATATGGGAAGACATTGGGATGCGACATGTCCTCCTGCCGATGCACCTCTGACAGTTGCTATTCAGTGCGCTCCGTGCTCGGTCAACTACCTGGAGCTTTCAACCAAGATCCAAGCCATTGTCCCCGATCATGTCGATGTCTTCTGTCTTGAGAGCTCCCAGGGCGGCACACCTGATGCTGTGCTCACACCAAAGAAGACCGGAGATTTTGTCAACTCTGAGCTGGCCAATGACATTCGACACCAACTGGGATCTGTCATCGATAATTACATGGTCCCCAGCGAGATCCACATCTTGGACCAGCCATTTCAGAGGAACAACTCCGGTGAAGTCAATGTTGAATGGCTCCAGATGGAGCTTGAGCAGCTTCTGAGCTCCTCATTGAAGCAGCTTGCAGCTTCTACAGAAGGATTGGTTACCAAGGCATTCGCCGAGATTCTATCAATGCCACCTGCAGATATCCCACGTAAAGCCGATTTCTTCAATCTTGGAGGAGACTCGCTCCGGGCTGGACGCTTGCTATCAGCGCTACGTGTTGAGTTCAACATACAGATCCCCATCACAGTTGTATTCAACGGCGGCACGGTTGTTTCTATCGCGACTTGCATCGATAAAGTGCTGGAAAGCAAGCAACATGAAGGTGAAGAGACGAGTAATGTCGAAGGATGTACCAAGACTTGCAGCTCTACCAACCCTTTCCTTATGCTTCTACAGCTTGTTCCCATGGTGGTGGTGTATCCGCTCAGACGCGCCTTTCAATGGACCGTGTTCTTTGTCGCCCTCGCTTACAGTCAGAAACTGCCCACGAACCGCTCTATTCCAGGTCGCTTTCTGAACTTGACTGTCTCTCTCCTGATCTCTCGAGTTGTCATCCGTTTCGTCGCCCCAATCGTCGGAATACTCATGAAGTGGTTGATCATCGGCCGCTATCGAGAAGGTATCTACCCAATGTGGGGAGCATACCATACGAGATGGTGGATGGTGCAGAAGATTGTCGCGATCTGCGGCAAAGGCTTCTTCGAAACAAACGAAGCCACTGAGCGTGTCTACTGCAGACTCATGGGAGCCAAGATCGGGAAGAATGTCAAGCTTGAAGGAACTTTGCTTGCAGAGTGGGATCTCCTCGACATCGGCGACGATTCTAACCTTACAGGCTGCATCTGTCGACCTTTCGCTGCTGAGGGAAATACTTCCATGTACCTCGGCCGTATCACAATCGGCAGAAACTGTGCCGTTGGCTTCTCCTCCATCATTGCACCGGGTACCAACATGGCGCCTGATACTTGCATTGGCTTCAACTCCTCGAGCTGGGAGATGCAGGATGCCAGCGAGGAGTACAGAGACCAGCTTCCAAGCGCGAGAAAAAAGCCTCACTGGCTTCTCAATGGCCTCTTCACTATGCCTCTCAGGTTAGTTGCTATGTTCGTGGGCGCCCTGCCCTGGATGGCCGGTCTTGTCGGCATGGTGATGAAGAAGTCGACCAAGTCAGGCTCGCCGCTGAGAAGCAGTGTCAACTGGTTTGCCGAGCCGCAGCGAGTTGGCTGGCATTACCTTGCTCTCGTCCTTGGATGTCTCTTCGGTCCATTCTTCCTCTTCGGATTCGTCATGATCGTCAAGTGCATCTTGGACCTCTTCTTTGGAAAGCTCCAAACGGATATGGGTACGGTGGCTACTTGGCGGGCAAGCCTGATCAAGGCTCTCTATCCTGAGAAAAGGCTCCATGATTTGACTTCCCTGTTTGGTCAGCACTACGAAGCTACATCCGTTGCACTGAGAATGCTGGGTGCCAAGGTCGGGCAACGTGTTTACTGGCCTGGTACCGGACCTAGTATCGGAGATTATCATCTCATAGATGTTGGTAGCGACGTCGTGTTTGGATCGCGGTCTCACTTGGTGACTTCCGATGGTCTTGGGTCTGAGAAGGTCGTAGTCAAAGACCGCACCATGATCGCTGATCGTGTATGCCTACTCCCAGGTGTCAATGTCGGGGAGAAGGTTACAATGGGTTCTGGTGCATTGACCAAGAGGGGAGGCGATTACCCCCATGGTGGTACTTATGTTGGCTCCAAGGGAGGCGATGCACTCTGTTTGTCTACAGGCAGCAACACCGAGAAAGGCGGTCTCCGACATCGCGCCCGGGATGTGGGCTCCGACTCTGATGATACCCTCAACGACTCTCGGCAACCGTCAAGGGATGGAGAGAAGGAGAAGCAAGATCAGACAGAATCTGGCATGTTCTCTGGAAGCACGACGGATGTAAGCAGCGACGAGAAAGATTCGACACAGGATCTTTCACCTTTCGGCCGTGCTTTCTACCTCAAATTGGCCCCTTATCACGTCCTTGGTCCTTTTGTCATCTTCTGTTATTCGGCCTTCCTCACAGTCTTTAGTGCTACCTACTGGGATGCACCCAGCGTCGCTTCCATCCAGATTGTCAATCTCATGCTCAAGCAACGCTTTCTTATTGAGCGTAGTCAATGGGGCGACGTCATTGCTCTGTTCTGCATGATGTTCATCTGCGTTGCCGTCATCACCACAATCCAGTCCATCCTCGCTCTGGCTTTCATCATAATGTCAAAGTGGGCGTTAATGGGACGTAGAATGCCTGGAAACTACGACTGGGATAAGTCACCCTACTGTCAGCGCTGGCAGATCTTCCTTGCCGTCGAGCGCCTCAGGCGAAAGTGTTACAACGGCAATGGCGTCCTCAACCTACTCACTGGCACAAGTTGGATCGTGTACTACTTCAAGTTGATGGGTGCAAAGATTGGAAAGGACTGTGCCCTTTTCGCCAACGGTCAGCCAAGTCTCATGTTCACTGAGCCTGAGCTAATCACTCTTGGGGATCGAGTTGTTGTTGATGACGCGAGTGTTGTCGCACACATCAACACTCGTGGAAAGTTTGACTTGAACAAGGTCGAGATTGGCGACAGATGTGTGCTTCGAACTGGAAGTAGGCTTTTGAGCGGTGCTCAGATGAAGAATGATAGCTGTCTGCTGGAGCATACGCTGATCATGGGAGGAGATGTGGTGGAGGAGAAGTGGACTATGCAAGGGTGGCCGGCAGAGCGGTTTACCGCCAAGAGATTGTAAAAAGTGTTTTAGCAGAGAGATAAGATTGTTGGCATGGGACAGGAGTTATTAGATGTGAAATTATTCAAAGGATGGTTGGCTGTTTTAATTGGATACCTAATAGATTATACCACATTTGCATTGCTTGCATTTCTTCCATTTTTCACTTCGTACTTGATAGATTATGGCATCGCACTCCAAGTCACAAAGACAGATGGCGAAGTGGCTCTTTCATGGTAATCCTGATTGGGGCGAAATCCAAAGATCTCAATTTACCTTGAATGAATATGGACAATTGCACATACATTAGCTAGACGATCTAACTAGGGCCCATGATGTGGCCCTACAATCCAAATCTTGCCTCTACTGGATACAGCAAGTGGAATCTTCTTTACCAGTTTCCTTGGTACCAGTTTCTTTGGTACCAGTTTCCTTGGTAAGATTAGATTTTGCACCACTCCGTCGATCCTGTGGAAGCCCAAACTCACAGGAACAGGTGATCCGTGTTTCCCTTTGGCAACGGCCACATCTATACCCATAGGAACAACTCCCATATTGAATAAAAGCGGCCTTCCTCTTCAAGTCCACAGATTGTGGACTTGAAGCATCTTCACGTGAGAAAGAGCCAGCTACAGAAGGGAAACGTTCTTGGTCTTGCCCATCACCAACCTCTTCTCCATCACTATTCTCTTCTCCATCACTATTCTCTTCCCCATCACTACTCTCTTCCCCATCACTACTCTCTTCCACATCACTAATCTCTTCCCCATCACTATTCTCTTCCCCATCACTATTCTCTTCCCCATCACTATTCTCTTCTCCATCATTATCCTCACTCTTAGTAGGCTTTTCTTCACTTGACTTTGACTCCTCATCGCATTCAGTCAAGCAGTCTTTGTTTTCAGTCCAGTCCTCGTCAGTCTCGGTAGCATGAGCGATACTTTTGGTCGAGTTATCATCGCTTGCAATAGTCTTGTCGTAACTTTCAGTAGTCTGATCCTCACTGCCAGCAGGCTCGCTATCAGTTTTGATGGATCCCTCTTCAGTTTCAGTGGGCTCAAGGTTGTGTCTGAGAAAGTTCAGAAGCTGCTGGGCGGAAGATGGTGGAGAGCCAGGTGGCCTCCATTCAGTCATGGCCAATCCGCTCAGTGGTTGATTTTCCATGTTGTTTTCACTATCAATCCAGTCCAGGAGCAATGGGCCTTCGGCCTCATCATATCCTTCATTGCTCTGGATCAGTACGGGACTGAGGCTTCTGGGAAGATGGACTCGCTCTCCGTTTTGAAATAAAATCTCCACGTCGCAGGAGTTCGTGCCGTGGGTCTTGGTTGGTATCAAGCTTCCTTCATGACTGTTCCGGGGAACTTCATGAGTGTATGGGACCAGTCGAAGATTGTCAATATTCTCCATTGCTCTTTCACCAGATAGGCTTAAGATGCGTTGACTTTCACGCGATTCTAATGTTGTGGTATGCTCATCAGGGGAGTTTCTCGTGTGTAAATGCGATTTTCCATTCTCTTGAAGAACAGATTGAGGCAAGTGGTCATGGTCTTGCTCGTCGATATGACGGTGGAGGCTAGAGGTATCTTCTTTTCGCGTCACGTCTGTTGTACCTCGACTCAGGCGACCGATCATGTCAGCCGATTCTAGTATCTGAATACTTGCGCTTTTGAAATGTTGAATATTGTCTTCGTAGTCATCTTTAAGCCGTTCGAGCTTCGAAGCCATTTCATCCTTCATCTCCTGGATCAACATTTGGGTGTCAATGTGCCTGTAGGAAGATCAGCAAGTTTCTCCCTGTTTATTCGTTTTATTCGGAAGTGCTGACGAACCCATGATGTGTCTTTTTCAGAACAATGATAGATATAGCCATCTTGAGAGAGCTCTTTGCAGTGACTACTCGGTCCATTAGGTCTTTGACATCATCCTCTCGATAAGCCATCTGAGACTTCTTCTTGAGACGATGAAGAGCGTGCTTGACCCGATGAAGAGTGCGGTTATTTTTGGTATTATATTTATTCAAAAAGCTTTGCGCATCGAGAACAGAGATTTAGATGCTCTCCTGACAATAGCCAATGAGACTTGTTTGTCTGCCATTGACGTTGATAGTAGGGCCGTTTGGCCCCTCAACTTCCTTCCACAAGATATCGACAGTTGACACCAGCTGTGAGGATAGTTAGGCTTAGTGGTTCATGAAGAGCGTTTTTGTACTGTACTGTTTGAATAAGGATAAGTTCTTGATGATATTGTTTCCACTTTTCTTGTGCGCGGCCGACTTTGTCAAGCAATTTGGCAATCTTCCCAATAACTTGGGCAAGAGCCAGGACACTAGCGGCAGCCCCAAGCGCCTCCATAGCAACTTTTGCTGAACTCAAGGCTTGTTCAACGAAGGAATATAGTAGAATTTGGGATTTGGTTACTTATTGAGAGCATGTCATACCCGAATGAGCAAAGATGGGTGCAACATGAGCTCAAGTTTGGATAGAGGGAGTCCGATGCCTTCCCTTGGTCATCGCGATGCTAGGGATATATGGATGAGATGAACTGATGCTCATATAGTGCTCTCGTAAGAACCTGTACCAGCCCATTTAATAAATGATGGCAGTCTAGAGCCTCATCAAGCAATATGCGAACCACAAGTCAGCCAGGAAGGCACCCGCATTTCAAAGGCCGTAAGCGTGGGGTGCTACTGATTTTAAGAGGTAGACAGCCGGCTGTGCAGAGGCAGTTAGGCAGTGCTCCGACCTGTCCAATTGGTTGGGCAACAGCAGATGTATGCGGGCGAGGTCTCGAGGTGAGTGTTGGCTTGGAACTCGACACTGGTGCCGTCAGCGTACGGTATTAGGTGGCGCTTTTTTTGGTCCGTTTTCTCCCAGATTCTGGGAAATCGCTCTTTGAATTTCATGATACTATCGCAAAACAGTCTGTGAATAGTGGGTGGTAACAATTAGATGCGAGCGCAGTAGCAATACAGAGAAGGAGGTTGGCATCGAGAGGGGTCGAGAGGCAGCCCGACGTAGCCCTGGTTGGGCTGCGGCTGAGTGTACCCCACATGAGATGAAGAAATTGTACTTGTCACTTTTGATCGCTTTTGCTCATGTACATTGCGGTAGATTCCTGATCAGGCTGTGGCGTGGGGGAATTAGGCAAACGCGCGCTTCGGGCGACTTGATGGTTGTTACAGCACATTGCTATCTAGCGGTAAAAAGAGGTGGGCTGGAGATTCAGGAAAGAAGAGGGTCCAAGATATTCTGATACGTTTTCGCTTCGGCAAATAAATTACTGTGTATTGTAGTGGTATCCAGGTTTGTTAATAGCTACAATAGGGTATGTTAGTGGTAATGCGAGCTAGAGCGGCAAGCTCATTGCGGTCTATAAAGGATCTCAGGTTTAAAATGACGGGAGTTATTCTTTGGTCCCGATTTCATTGTACGATTTCAAGTCTATTTATCTTATAATTGCTGAGAATGGGCTATGGATTTCTTTAGCCGCTTGTTTCACCCTTGACAGCTCTCAGATTCATCCTTAAACACCACAATGCACTTCATCTTATCACGCACACTCTTTATTACTACAAGATAGCTGTTTGAGAAAATGGCAAGCTAGTATGACTGTTACTTGCTGGGGCCGTAATGCTACGACAATTAAATAACATAGTTATTTTATATACTTGGTCCTCTACATACGTTAGTACAAGTCGCATTTAGTTCACCTTTTACATTTATTCATTCAATACGAGAAAGTCTTAAAGCAGAAGGAAAAGGGTCAGTTTAGAAGTTACTACTAAGAAGTATTTGACCTACCCGCCTCAGTGGGACATAACGACACACAACGAAAACTTGCTCAATATCTCTCAATTATGTATCCAGGTATCTAATCCTCCGCCCTTACATCTCTCCACTGGTGAAATAAATAGAATTTACTGCATCGCGCTCTGCTTATAGTACAACCATTAAGCTCCCAATCACCTATCTTCTTCAATGGGGAAACCAGTAATCCTGGTTCGCTGAAGTCTTCTTATATATTATTGTTAGACTCATTCGGAAATGCCAAAATTTCTAGCTATGAACTCTAAGTTGCGTCCGTAACTCGAATGTTCAGGAAAAAGAAAATCACTTCTCATTCAATCCTCTCCTTTTCTATGACGTTTGCTCAGACGCATCCCCGAGGTTGATCATAGCAATGATGCCGTGATATTCCTGATTGTCGTTGGTAGAAAGTTATTCATGTTGGTTACCTCATAAAGCTGTATGGTGACTATGGTCTGTCTTGAACTTCCCTCAATAGAATGTCAAACAAGTTTATTGTAAAGTATGCTTTATTCCTCGGGGCTTAGACGAGGTGTAATGGCTATGAAAGGCAAAGCTCCTGGCTTGGAACAGCCTCTTTAGCTCTCAAATCCGAAGGTGTATCAAGAATCCATAGTTGAATATTGCCTCAATACCGACCCGGATATGCTTGGTGAATATCTAACACTTCACGTTTTCAGACCCAGTACTGCAGCCTGTATTCATGTTCTTCCCAGGATCGGAACTAGGCACGATTAGCAAAACATCGCCCCCATGAATTGGAATTACACATACCCATCCGAGGGAGCTTTAACAAAACCGCGTTCAACCCAGTCGCCGATGCAACTTTGACCAGAGATGCCACAGGACTGACAGGTCATACTCCACATATTTGCTACCTGGGTTAGCAGGGTAAAAGGTTATGGAAAGGGGACAAATTACCTTCTCCCATGTATTTCTGTGCCCAGATCTGGCCAACGGAACCAGCAGGGATCGTACAATCTATCCTGCCACCATCCGTCCATGTGTTGGTGACGGAAACGCCCGCCGAAATTCCTAGGACATCTTTGATAACGTTGAAATCAAGTCCGGCGTTGACCTCGACAGCAACTGACTTTGACCACGAGATGCCACGGACACCACTGCCCTCACTCAGACCTGTATATGTGCAGCTAGAAGCTGTTTCCCATGGTCCCCACCAGGACTTGGCATCACGAGCTTCCCATTTGTTATAACCATAACAGGGGGCGGCGAACTGACGCTTTGACTTGCTGTCTTTTGCACCAACCTTGTCCTCTGATGCGTCGAGTAAAGACACGTCAGTCATAGGCACATAAACGCGCTCATCTTGGAGATACACAATGACATCCGAGCCATTGTTATTCTTCATGAAATTATGCAGGTCCGCAGAATCCATAACAAGATCCTTGGGATGGTTGGCGAGCGCGCGAGCGTGCATTTCATCAACATGGATCTTTCTGGGAGCAAGATCCACGGACGTGGATAAAAGGCTGAGCGGTGAGGCAATAGTAAGACTTGCAAGGGATACCGAAAAGATGATAAAAAGCATATTGTATGTAGTTCGATGATATCGATGAGTGGAATATGATGACTTGGAACACAGCTGTGGATTGGTAAAGATCAAGGTTGGTAAGTATTGAGTCGAAAGGAGTCGCCCAGGTCACTATTTATACTTGGAATAGGACAGTACTCGACCGGCCACCTTCCCAATTGATCGTCTCCAAACCTGCCATAACATCTAAGAGTTTGTGGTGCCATGGGTAGAATTGTGTATGGCGGAGTTGCGGGCGGCCGCCCGACGGGTCGCGGACGCTATAGAAAGACTGGTGACTGGTATGATGGTCTATTCGTAGTTGAATGATCAACATTCCGTAATTGGCAATTCGTGTTTGTTGCCCCTTGTGTGTTCCACTGCAGGGTCCAGGGATGTGTATGGCCGAAAGCCTGTGTCCCGAAAAGACTGCCACCGAACCAAACTACAGCCTGGGAACCTGTGCAAAGGATTCCATGGCATAGACGTTTCTCGGCGAACGTCAGGTTCCCAAGAGGCAAGGACCACCAGCCTGAAGGAATGACTTGGGAGCTTCGGGCTAGTGTTCCCCATTGTTAAGATCCCACCGTCAGCGCTTCTATGATAGTCTCAAGCGAAGGAAGGGTCTTGAATATCACACCTTGTGAACTAATTCTGGACCTTGAGGACTAGCTAAAATGAGGAGCGAAGAACATAGATGACGTACACAAATACTTTTGAAGCAAAACCTAATACTTTCATAAAGAGGATCATTGACATTGGGAGATGTAACGCCCAATGACTTAGTTCTGATCCCTAGGGAATGTAGCAGCTACTTAATGCATGTCGATGGGTAGGGCAGCATCTACAGTGAGTTCACTTTGTCAGCCGGGAATGAAACGCAAGTCATGGGAAACAATTCATATAAAATGACTATCTAATCTTTGTGAGTACAGCGGTCAAAAAAGACACTTTGCGGTAATTTTATTCGTATTCTCGGCAGTTACTATTACAGCTTTCTGATTTAGCCTTGGGAACATGTGGATGCAAGCAGATATATTAACAAAGTGGCCTAATGGCAACTAGTCGAATCCTCCTGTCGTTAGTGCATCGAGGATCATGAAAGTGATCAAGAACAGGATTATTCTGCATCCTTAGGGTATGATCGGCAAGCCCGGCGAAATCACTGGGACACAAATTTGGGTGCATAACGCTGCATAATTCGACCGTTACGCTGAAATAGGCTCCGTTTGATCAAGACAATCCTAATTGGGCTACCGTCCCAAAAAGCTAATGTACCACGCTAATGCAGGTCGCTTAGATACCTACAATAGGAAAGATTCTGCCAAATCTAGCAAATTTGGCAGCATTTTTGCCCGGGTGCTCTGGCACCCGAATTTAAGGTACAAGCCCGAAAACGCTCCTAGATGATGTACCTTAAATATGTGTCCCGGCCAGTTGCCCGGGCTTGCCGATCAGGCCCTTAGTGTATTAAGGTAACTCCTCCAAGGTCCAGTCTGGCACTTGAAAATGAAGTCCTGGCCCTTATCTACATATCTAAATGACTTTCAAGTGAATGTCTAGAAGACCCAGTTACAGAGAGCTTTTAAGCCCGGACCTTTTAAGAGCAAGATGGCCAATTTCCTGCTTCGACGCAGACCACGGAACTTCTCTGAAGGGCCCGGGATCTACTGAGGTTGCAGACACAATCTTTACCAGCTAGCCTAAGGTAATTAGTGCGCTGTGAGCGACCCATGAAGGCCAGCAAGAGAGGTAGATACGTAGGACAGAAAAAGGAGATTCGTATATGTATCAGCATTACCGTTTCCAAGACTATAACAACGCTTTATGTATACCTTTAACTACATTACCAGTCTCACTCTATGTGCATTCTTACAAGCCATTGTGAGTCGTGGAATATACTTGTTAAAGTGGCCTGTCTATTGTGTAAAGGTTAGAATAGGAAATGTACAAGAGTTCAAATTTGGGAGTTTTAAGCCTAGGAGGTATGCATTTGAGCATGGCCAATGCATCTAGTTTGAAGTACAAGTCCCAACGTATCTGTGGGTTTAGTACCTGTTTTACAACCCACCCCGGTTACAAATGATTCTTACTTGCACAGCTCAAGCAGGATTCTCTTGTAACCATTGGCAAAATCCAGTGGGAATAACAATTCCAGCCCATCTCTCGCAGTCGCTTGGGTCAGCGAGACCCACACCGCGTGACATTGCAACGCCATATACCAAGTCAATATACTTGTTTAGTTCCCAGGAACTAATCATCGTCCTGGCACCTGCAAGCATGGCTTCGAGATCAGCCTTTCCCCCGAGACGCTGCGTTGTGATCTCTGTTCCCCTCGCCTTGCCATACATATCCGCCAATTCGGACATCGTGCATCGGAAAGACTTTGTATAGTACATGCCACGTTGAAGAATCAATGGATCGGAAATTGCAGCCAAAGTGAACTTGGACAAGTCATTAACACTAATGAATGAAAGCTGCTCATTGCCCGTGCCAAAGTACACAAGACTTTGAGAGGCGATATTGATGAGAGCCGATCGACTGTCTCTTTTGCAGTTATTAAAGCCGTACTTAAGGATCGCGCCCACAAGCTCATAAATGGGCTTGAGTGCACTGGAGAGCTCAGCAAGGCGCTTGAAAGAGAGATAGGCGTCGTACGTTTCGTGGTCTCCCATATCTAGCTTTGTCCAGGGCAGAAATGACAGCATTGACACCCTCGACTGCCTCTGCCAAAGATTCAGTATCAAAATAATCTCTGTAACAAACTTGTCAACTTTCGAGGCGATATCCGGGTCAAGCTTGTGAGAGTTTCTGCTCAGGCCCCGTACTCGATGACCTTGAGCTAGCGCGACACGAGCAAGCCCGTGGCCCCCCATACCGGCAAATGCCCGAGATTAAAATAAACATGGTGATAAAACGAGAAAATATGACGGCTGGTAAAATAAAGGCAGTTTTTAAAATCGCTTGGACGAAAGATATGTATAGGCATATGTGCTACATGAACCTGTTTTCAGATGCCAAGCTTAGTGACACTTTGAGGGATGACATACCTGATGTAACATATCCTAGTGGCCTCGAAGGAAGCGAATTGAGTAATTAATATCAGCTAAGGTTTAATTAAAACAGGCGAAGGATGAGTGCAGCCCCATCCATACAGATTAATGCTAGCGGTTTAGCTTACCAGGGATAACTATATACTTTAGTAATACTTATTACTCGCACGTAATGTGCTGGTTATTCAGTCCTGCATTTGTAAGCTATCCTAACATGCTTTAAAGGTGTCGAGTATCTGAAGTAGGGAAAAATCATCAAACGAAACAAAATCCTCTAAGCTTTACAGACTTACCAGCTTCTGCCCTGCTCACAAACCGGCTTCTTCTTTTGACAGTTGAAAGCTTCCCTGAACCCGACCGAGTTGTCCGTAGGAATCTTGATCCTTACAGCATTGATGCCATGAGAGTCTAACAGATACGATAATTCGTCAGCCGGTGTCAGGTTGTCACACCATCCCTGTGCCCCTATGATACAGAATAGCTGTTCGGGGGTAAATGATAGCCCTGGTAACCTGACATCTCTCCCTTTCGCCTTTTTCCATGCCGCAAAGCTTACAACCATACCTCCCGTATCAGCCATGCTCTCTTCAAATGTCATTCTTCCATTCATAAAAACTTGCGTTTCATTTGATGTCGTGATGTTGAAATTGTTGGCATGCTCAATAAAGCAATCCTCCTTCACTGAAAGTGCATTTGTTGTAGTATTATCCCACAATGCCATAGTTTTACGAGTAGCGTCTGTGAGCTGACCTCGTCCAATAAAGGAATGTGTTATCTCGTAACCCATGGCATAACCGGTTACACCATAGAGAAGATAAGACGGAAAAACAAACTCATAAAAAGGAAACTGAAAGGTGCTCATTGTTTGGCGACGTTATTAGCAGCAAGATTCAATGTTGTTTCGACTCGGGATGAAGTAATCTGGACATCTGAGTAAATGTCTTTCACCAGAATTGGGTCGAATACGTCAAGAATCTCGGGGAAAGTGAATTTTCCGGCCAACTTGTGGAGCTTCTTAATAGAACGCTGCTTGCTATGCGTAGACATCCAATCCGATGTCTGAAACCTTTCTTCAAGGGTACTCTTGATGCTTTCAAACATCTTCAAGGTATGCTACATAGCTTGTGCGGAATAGTACGCGTAAAGAGGATAGAATCCAAGCCAGGCCAGATGGACCATCCCATACACCAGTCCAGTCGATACTACCATCGATAAGATGCACACAGCTTCTCCAGCGAGGTAAAAGGCTTGCGTCATACTGCCCGGCTAGTTCTTGACGGAATTCGGTGTACGCATTTGTCGGCGGAGAGTCGATAAAGGATGAGAGTTCTGAGGCAGCCTTCCAGACAAAGAATTTCTGAATGACTTCAGTAGGTGTGCGGTATATGATCTGAGAGTAATTCAGATACTGCTGCGCTGTTCGATCCATCACAATCCCAGACCTGAAGTCTTTTGGAGCCAGTGCGTTAACTACGTGCTGGTAGTTTAACTGAGGGGCGTCCTTTTGCAAAATGGAGATAAGACTCTCTCCAAGCTCAGTGCTATTATTTGGGTTCTGGATTGAGACTTCAGCTCTCCTCCGTGAAGCAGACGCGGGTATGCGCAATGACAAATTTCGCATAGTACTGAGAAGGGTCCTCGACTTGCTATACAATGCAGCCTTTATCACATCCCTTACGCGACACTGTGCCCCAGCACAAGATATTCAGGGACAGGTCAAACGCGTAAAGAGGTGGTATTACTTTCTTGTTTCTGTTAACTAGCTTCTGGTCTTACTGCATAGGACAAGTGTATAACAGCAAGAAACAACGTTGTTTTGCCATTCCTCAAGCATACCCCGGTCCTGAAAAGACACCCAATTGGACCTCAACATGTATGGGGAATTCCTTGGTTGTTCTCGGTTCGGGAGAGAGTTAAAACTATTACGAATGCGCCACCTGTATTCACAATGCTTCAATGTGGTTAGCTATTCATCTATCCAGCCAGCCATAGCAGTGCCGGATCGCATGGTCCCAGGTCTGGACTACCCAAGCAACGATGTGATCAAATGTTGCAGTCAGAGCCTCCATGTAGCATTTCGCTAAGGCCAAACGGCTAAGCGTGTACTTCTGCATACATACAGCACGTTCTGGACTTGTCTGTGCGGAGCACATGGCTGGCTGAGGACCCTTGCAGCTTTGCAAGCTAAATTCAGTCCAGGTGTGTTCAATAGTATGGCGACAGCTTCATTGGTGGTGTGATCAATTGGTCCATAGCTCTATCAGTAAGACTGAGATATTGCGGCAAGGGTTTTGAAGCAAACCCCTCACCATGTGATGGGAGGCTGCCTCGCTTTCGTCACCAAATTTTGGGAATAGCCTCTGTTTCTATATCGGGTTAGCTGTCCGGGGAGGCGTAGACTATTAAGAGTTTGAGTTCAGGGTCCAGGGTGGCTGTAAGCATCAAGTGACGTCCGTATTAACACCAATCACAAGTTGCTAATGATTTAGTTTCATAGCAAGGTGTGGGGAAACTCTACAAGGGCACTGATGAACGATGTGTTGATTGACCAAATTATGTGGTCTATTTGGGCGCAAGGCACGATTTATTACTAACTCCCAATTTCAGAACTATTCCAGGAATCGTTACTCGTGGGATCAATAATTAAAGGTTTGATAAGGAACAGAGACCAGAAAGACCGTTGTAAGCGCTCATGTAATCAATTGCAGATGTGGAGATAGATGTTACAGAAGTGTGTTTCTGATGGAGATGCACGAACATGAATCGAAGGTTATCTGGAAAGCAAACGAGATGATATTCATTATTTCTGTTCTAACATCATGATTAAATACCAAGTAAACGGAGTTTCTAATATACAGTTCCTGGTAGGTCATAAACCTTCCAGACTCCATCCCCCAAGTACTGCTAGAGCCAACTACTTCTTTACTCTGAACCTTCTCCTTCCATGGGAAGTTCCTTTGATTCCCCTCTTATGAAGTCATGAAGAGGGTCATACGAAGAACGCTCAGGTTCTGTCTCATGAGTAGCCTCGGCGGTGCTAGCGCTTTCGATTGATCGTGAGGACGCTGCCAGACTGGCTGAAGGACCCGAGCCTCCAGAACCGTGTGCCAGGATGGTGTACGTTTCAAGGAAACATTGTTCAACGGCGCTCGCAGTGACAGTATGGATGTCGGTTTTGGTGGTGGTTCCAATGGACTGTATTTCCTGAACCTTGACAACTTTAACGTCGACAGTGACCTCAACGGGTGGGCCAGCGGCAGTAACGGTCTTACGGCAGTGACCTTTACGCGGTAAAACGTTAGCTTCTGCCTGTAGAATAGGAAGCTTCACAAGATTGAATTGATATGTTCTTACCCTTTGTTGTGTCCGTGACAGTTGAGACCGAGATCTGCGTAACGGTCAAGGTTGTAGGTTTGAGCACCTGTTTATTGTCTCAGTCATCTGTTCTTCGCATCAAAATGTCTTTCTCAGGTAATATACCTTTGTTGAGGTCGAAGTGATGCTGTTCGTCTTCGTGATCGTGCTCCTCGGGATATAGATAACGTTATCTTCGTCCTCAGCACCACAGAGCGAGATATGGCTGCCGCAAGCCTTCATCACATTACCAGGACTGGGCTTCGGCTGACCTACTCGCCTGGAGATGATTGGGGGTGCCGATACTGTCTGAGTAGAAGCATCAGATGCTAGTCATGGTTAATAAGACGACCTGGTACTTGGAATCGGAACACAAGTAAAAGTAGAACTTACAGACATCGGCAGACGCCAAGCCTGTCAAACAGAAAGTTGCCATGATGGCAGCCTGGGAAATAGATTGAGGCAACATGATGAGAACTGAGGAGAGGGAGCGAGGAATTGATGGTAAGAGCACCTGTGCTTGGCTGATCGAAAAGTCAAATCTAAGGGGAGAGCAAGATTATAACCACTGTCACAGATAGCTTGGAGCTGGAGAGCTTACCCAACGGGCTAAGCTAGCCTTCTTTTAGGGCAGTAAAGTCTGGATCGGGCTTTGCACCCCTCGCAGATTGCGCCTGATTCTGAACGAATTGAGTTTGACTAGATCTCAGCCACCGTTTGCAACATGCGAGATGCGGGGGTGAGGGTTGTGATAGAAGCGTCGTGGCAGTATCGGAAGGTGGGCAATGAAGTACAGGTCATAGTGTTTCTCTACCTGCAGTGTACTCCTTACTGCAGCCAGCCACTATTCATCAAGGCGTTGCAGGTGGCTGGCTGGCTTGGGCCGAGGCGCATAGCAATCACCCATAGCACACACATAGCGCACGGGTTGACTACAGCCAAGCCACAACAGAGAAAGATCTAAAGCGGTTATGATTGGCGCCTTCCCTTCATCCAATACAGAGCTGAATGTCTATTTCAAGCAATTAGCTACGCCTAGATTGACCTCATAAATACACACAATTGGTGCATATCGGGCCACGCATGAGACAAAATGCCACACAGATAAGGTGGTGACTCTATATGCCATGGATGTCAAGGGCAAAAGAATTATACTGAAGATCAAAATATTCCAAAACAGTCCCCTGCGGTCTGTAGCTGGAACGGGTGGTCCTAGGGTGTGTTTATCCAAATAGGTACACAGCGTCTCAGTCAGATAGAATTCGTGCAGTAGTGGAATCACTATTGCATCCCTGGACAGAATTATTCGAGTTTCTCTGAGACAGTGCATTCTTTCTGCTTCCACTCACCATACCAAACTTATTGAGTTGGACGCTCTAAGTTTCTGTCCGCGTGGTACAATGCCCGTCCCCAAAGGCATTTCTCAGCAAGTAGTCAGAGCAGCCACAGATACTGCCTAGGAAAGTAGGGTAATACCTCTATAAATTACCACATTCGTTAAATAATGTGAGAAATGTGATTAACCAAGCTCCTACTACCCAGATCTGGGTCGATGATGGATCTGGACACAACCACTGGCTTATTATGCCCCTAGATGTGGTTTGAAACGCTGCAATGGCGTTCTGAGCTGAGATACGCCGTGTTGACGGCTGCAGCCGCATTAGAGAGCCAGTGTGAGTGATGCCCATGGGTGCACGAGATGAGATGGAGCACCCGAAGTGACATTAATGCGGCTGGCGGATGTATAAAAGCAGAGGATATTCTCGACATAGATGCTCGAACGTTTACTTTCGTAGCATACTCTTCAAATACAAAACCTTGTCCAAGTTTTCTACCTTATTTCTCCAAGCCGTCGGCTTCTGTTCATCATGACTGAAATTTCTACCAACGGCTTCAAAGAGCTCCCTAGAGGCATCGCTTCGGTCGTAAGCCATGGGCAAACCTATATATTCTTCGTCAACAGCAATCACGAGCTTTGCTACCTCAAGTCTCCTCAAGAAGATACCGACGATTTCCAGTATCACGTCGTCAAGGTTACAAACGGTAATCTGAGAGTCAGGTGTGGAGGCAGACAGGTCGCAGCAATGGCTTGGGATAGCCGAGGTGACCACCAGGTACGCTTCTAACACGCAATCAAGAATAACTCTAACCTTATAGATCCGTATTTACTGCGTTTCTCCTGAAGATGGAGACTGCTCTAAGAGGGGTTACATCCAGGAAGTTGCCTTCAACATGGCCAATGGGTGGGAACTGGGTACACTTGGTACAGACGATACGAAAACTTGGATTGATAACGACGCCTGTCTGTCAGCCTGCGCCCTCATTTGGCCAGACAAGGAAGATCTCAAGCTGTTTGTCTCAGGAAAAGACAAGAAGACTGACCGCCTAAAGGTGACAAGTTACTACTATGACTATGCTGAAAACGGCTGGCTCGAACAGGGTGTCGTCAGTAACAAGGTATCCAAGTGGTAGGATATTGTTGGAGGTAGCGGCATGTGGAATTCAAGATGGGGGTTCATCGAAGCTGTGGAGTGTTAGTTGGATGTAGCGAATGATGTTGATAATTCTTGAATGGTAGTGTTAGAACAGATTATTGGCTGAAAAGAAAGACCCGACATAACTCGATTCACAGGGCAGTCTAGAGCCTATGAAATGACACCCTCAGAGAAGATCGGCTCTCCAGTGGGCGAACAGCTGTTTTGATTTGAGATAGCTGGACCTTCCGCAGTGTGACAACTCCACGAAGCAAGTAACGAGCTTCCAGCAGACTCTTGAATAGAAAATCCTCTTCTTAAATTCTACTCTTAAGCATCGTGAAACCTATTCAGTAAATCTTTGGTCCTGGTTTCTTGGTTTCTAGTTTATGAAGATTACTTCACTCGTCTCGTTGCTTTGGGAATACGCTTTGGCAAGCCCCGATGGGACCGACCTGCTCAGGAAGACCGTACTGTTGCCACCAACTCACTCAGTTGGTGAAAAAGTAACATTTACGATAGATTTGCACTAAGGACTGTTGACATGGTCCCTGCGCAATCTTGAAGACCCATCCTATGTCAGAGGCATGCGTGCAAAGGATCGGCAGGTTAGTGCCAGACATAACTTCGGTGAGAACGCCTGAGAGCGACGGTGGGGAGGCTTAGAGGAAATTTGTTAGCGACCTGTGACGAATAGGACCTCGTAGATTCAACATTTGTGATGACAGCCTAGCAGGAGGCAACATCTGTAAGGCATGTCTATCTTTCAGCCAGCCATGTAAACTTCATGAGAAGCTTTTGTGATTGTCATATGAAATAAGGGACCGGTCACTTCTACCTTTACACTATAAGATGGATAGTAGCCAGCCACAGGTCCAGGTTGTCTTAAGTCGTCTGCGGCGTAGGTTCACTAAGTAGACAAATGTGGAATAAATGGCCGAGAGGGCTTGAGAAACTTGAGCTGATCTGAATCACTCAGGCTAGGCCAGACCTATCGACATAACACACATAGGCATGGCCTATGACCGAAAGATGTATCGCTAGTGCCGTGGTTGAGGTGAAATAAATGCACGCTGGAGGGTATGTGATATTGAAATAGAGCCAGTCACGTCAGCGATCACTAACCAGGGACCGAAATAGCCTGTCAGAAAACTGATCAGGTCTTGAAACCGAAGTAATTAGCGTATCTAAAACATCAAATACACATTAGGAAGAGGCTGGCTGACTACTGAAGGACACTGTCAAATTTCGGGACGCATTTCTCACTATCACAAACCTTAAGAAATCTGGCCCGATGGTTGCATCAATAGCTGTGATACTAACTGCATTCCCTAGTTCTGTCAAGGATGTATCTTCTTCTGGCAGATGTTGTCCCAATAAGATCCCGGATCACCAGCCGATGGCGGCAACTAAAACCTTTTTGGCTGTGCATAAGTGAATCAGGCGTTGCCCCACGTTTTGACTATTCTCGGGATGTCAGCACGCCACAAAACAGCCACAAACGGCGGAAGGAATACTACCCTCACCTCAATACTGAGTGAGTTGTGACTACGTAGAAGATCTTAATTCTCCAATAACATTTTATCAATGGGAGGGAACCGCCGTTAGTAGCCACTATCGACTACAGACCCTGGTTGGCCATATTGTGCTACCGTCGACCCCCTACTGGTGACGAATAAGCTACATGGTATACCTACGTGACGTACGATAAAAGTTACTTACCCCTCACGACATTTCTGCAACTGGGTTATTCCGGAATATTGGCTTGAAACGATGAGCTGTTGTGAAACACTGCAACCGGGGAATCTAGATCCTCCCCCTGGAATTATGATCGTCTGTGGTGACATTCCGACCAGAGACCCGCGCAGTATCACGATTATTGCCCAATCGATTGACCAAAGGTAGCTGATCGACCTCGGTGGCTAGGCCTCGATGGAGCATGCTATGCTGTGTTTTGACCTAAGGGTTTAGAGTCTATCTACAGGCACCAAGTCATGAACCCTGATTTTCGACAGAAAGAGACCCTTAATATCAACGCCGTTCCAAATCCTAGCTAGGTCATGAAAGGCTACCGATCTACGTCAAGGTGGTTCCTGGAATGTATCGAGTTTCAAGGTAGCGAGGTAACAACCATAGGTCCAACCTTGATAAAAGTCGCAGCACAGGCTGGAGAGTGAACCCTGCAGACTCAATCACCTCTGACGTCAAACAGACATGGGAGCAAATCACGCTCTAGCACGTATACGTAAGGTTTCAAGTGAGACAGAGCTGCGAGACGCTGTATGCTCTGGTGGCTTTGCAAACTCTCGTATCAATGTGGCGAGCTGAAGTGACTCAGGAAAACGGACATAGTGTCGGATGGCTGAGTCTACTAATCCTTCCTGAGGTACATGCGCAGATGCATAGGCCAAGGTCAGGGCGCAATGACCTCCTCACTACGGATAGCTAGCTCGTATTACCATTGACATGCCCCGTTCTAGTGTTAGTTGATACGCTATATGTAAAAAAAACGGCATCGGCAACGATCGATGCAAAGGGTAAACTGAAGTCGAGAAGTGGCGAGCTGAGCTAAAACAGATGATCATCGAGACCCTGCAGTTATCGAAAACTAAAGCTGTGGTGCAAGGAGAAGAGCATGTGTTCTCTAGGCTCACGCGAGTGTCATTCAGTCGCAGCAATCTGGTCCACGAAACTTTCTGCGTCGTGTATCTTTTCGGAATGGCTGTGGATGTAGAGTTCGTGAGAAGTCCGTATAGTCTTCGATCTTGACTGGCCTTCCCGGTGTGTAGTCATCCCTGCTAGCTGTATTATTCTATATCACGCGTATTTGTATGGTATATACGTGCAAGTCTAGCTATCAATGAATCTTGGGTCGTTGGCACCATAATTCATTATACACCACTATATTGTCACTTTTGAACCCACCTCAGACTTTCTTTCTTGTCATATAGTAAATCTTGATTGCGTACAATCCACACGCTGTGATGTCCAGGTACATAAGCTAGATGCAATACCAATTAGCTAGGTTGACTGAGGCTGGCTGAAGTTGAGAGGAATGGAATATGGCATCGGCGCTACCAAGCATGTCTCGAGCTTCATCCTCGCTATTGGCCTTCTTTCTACTATGGTCTATACTCATAAACTCAGGTGGCAATATCCGAACTGAGCTCGCTGCAGCCATTGTCACATACCAAGCCAATTAACCTAGGTACAACTATGATCACCTAGTCTATCACCTCCCAATGTGTACTCAGAGACACGAGCACTTGAATCAACTAAGATGGTTGATTGGCCACCGTCATGTATGTACTAGCCTCCGAATCCAGATTAATCTTCTCAGCCTACCACTCTGCAGCCTCATCTTCCGGTCCCCAAACCATGACACAATATCGGCGGGGACCAGACATTCAGGAATGTGATAGAACTGTTTTTTATGTAGAGCATTGGTGGACCTGCCCATGAGTGAAAACAAACGAGGTGGGCTTTGAGAACGACAGCTCACACAGGAAGTCCTAGTGGAGTCTGTAGTCTGCAGGTGAAAACAAAGCTTACGGGTACACGAAATCAATGAAAGGCAGGGAATATTGAGGGATTCAGCCTGTGTCAGGGCCGCCACTTGATTCTGTGCATGTGACTTCCATCTCTGGATCCTTGAAGTCACTTTCAGCAGTCAGATAAGATGGAACCATCAAGTATAAGAAGAGAGCATCATCCCCAGCTTCTTGGTGTTCCTCTCTCATCAGCAAGTCGCAAGCCTCTCCAGACTCAACATCAACAACACTTCTTCAATTCTATCAATTCCTTTCGAATCTCTCAAAATGTCCTGCCCAACCCACGCAAACGGCTCGAATGCCGGACAGCCCTGCCAGCCCACCCAGCCTGCCAAACCTATGCAAGCTATCTCTGCTATTCTCAACCCTGACACCGTCGGCCGCGAGGGTGGAAAGGAAAAAGTATTCGTTTTCCAGTCTCTTCCCAACCGAACTGTTGGTATGGACCAAATCAACTTCGGCGACAAGAGTGTAAACAATCAGAAAGACGAGGGTGATGGTGTTGTGGGCTACTATGCAAAGCCGCCCAGCTTCGTCCCCGTCCTTCGCCCGGGTTCAAAGTTGGTATCTACCGTTTTTGATGACATTGTTAGTCCCTTTAGAACCTTCAAACGATAAAGTGTACATGTTAATAAGGCGTCGACGACTCTAGGTTCATGTCTATGGCATAAACGAGCAAACTGGACTGATCAGTCTCGTGAGCCCGATCTTTTCACCTGTCAAGAACGCAAAGCCCGAGTACAACAATTTCGCCGCCTGTAGCAACGCCAATGACGATGGAAAAGGCTACCTGTATTTCCAGAAGTAAGAGACGACCTTTTTGACTGTTGACTTTGAAGAAAGGCTTTTGTTTTGCCTCTCTCTATCGCGTGAGCGGAATTGTAGACTGACACACTACATTACCAGGAAGAACGAGCGGGGTGTCACTTACATCTACGAGAAAGACCTTAGCGATCCTGATAGCGAGCCTTCCCTTGTGGACAAGACGAATGAGGCAGAGGAGGGAACGGACATGATTGCCTTCCACGACGGCGAGAACCGCTGGATTGTGTACCAGACCAGTTCGGGCAGGGGCGAGAAGAACATCGTTCTCCACGATGTAGACAGTGGAAAGAGTGAGTTACCATATCCGACTTGCAGCCTTTCCCAACTGGTCAGTCTTCAGTTGAATGTCGTTTTTGCTAATCATAAAACAAGAGGACCAAATTCCGAATTTTGGTAACAATATTGCCAGTGGAGAAATCGCCAGAATTGCCGCTGTTCACGCCCGCACCGCAAAGGATCGGGAAGATCTAGTTTTCGTCTACCTCGCTGCAACAAAGAACCAGCTCTGGCGTTCCCAGGCCACCATCACTGATGGCACTCCCAATTTTGCAAGCGCCAAGAAGCTTAGCAAGGATACTTACATTAACGACTGGACTTCCATGTCCGTTGTTGCTGACCCAGTGAAGCGCGAGAACCTGATCTTCACCATCACCGAGAAGGGAAACAGCATCTCCCTCAACCGCGACGTCTGGGGCAAGCAGTGAAGCTCTGATTCGGGCGAGCCGGAGTCTCCTGGCTTACAAATGCCCATTCGCACGCCTACGATGGAAATAGGGATTAACAGATTGGAGGAGGAGCCGAGAAAACGCATAGATCAAGAGAAACACGAAATGGAGGAATCAGGCCACCAGGCCAGTCTCGGTATCAACATACAGATTGACATTTCTATTTCTGTGGGGGACAAAAGCACTAAGTTTTCCATGACAACAAAGCTGTAGTTGGTTAAGGGAGGATTGCTCGTTCAGGTTATCAGGGTACTTTAGGATAGCTACTAAATTGACACTATGCACAAAACAACGGTCCAAAGATTTACGTTCTCAGTTTCACTGAACAGACAGATTTAGTAAACTATTCCGAAACTAAAGTGGCTAATCATTCTATAGTATCAAAGGCTATATATTTACGACCCCTGTGGATAAAGAATAACAGGCCATGGCTGCTCGGACCACTGTAGCCATCCCTAGATTATGCCATGTACATAAGTCCCGGAAGCTATCGAATCCGTCTTAGTTGGAGCGCCGAGTAGGTAGGGATGGGTATTAAGACATGCAGGAGGAAGAAAGGCAATAAACTTGATTGCAAGAGACTAAACCTGTCAATTATGACAGGGCCGGTTGCTAAGAGTCAAAAGCTGGTCCAAGTCCTATATAGTACCCTCCATTCACCCCAGCCAGCTTGTCACTAGTGGCCAAGCTCAGTGGATTGAGAGACTTGACCGGAAGCCATAATGTGCAAATCCAGATGTCTACAAGGATATACGCAATAACCGCGAGGAAGTTAGGGAGAACGGTGACATGCTGGGAGCATCGAGCCTGGCTACTGCGATGACAATCGCTCTCAGCCGACGCATTTGGGTTTGTGAAGTCTGCGAACCGAGTGCGTACCTCGACCTGAATGACTTTTTTTCTAGGGAATATCTCTAAAAGCGGCACGATCTTTCATCCCATGTAAAAGAGTATTAGTGCGAAGTGAGAGCTAAGCTGAAATGACTTTTGCATCTGTATGCGAAACGGGAGCTGCAGGATGTGACGAAGAGATTGCTTGGGATGGATACCCATCGTCTCCAATTCCTATCGTAACTTAGTTAGAGTGTAAGTGTACTAAACACGAAATCGTCTCGGATTGGCTCTTATAATGTTGTTGCGCGATGAGGGAAGTGACAAAGGTGTGACAGGCATGGTGGCTTGCTCTTCAGGTGTCAGGTGGATGGATGACTGTCAAGTTAGATGAGACCTGCAGGAAAGGTCATCGCGTGCTAGTGTCAAAACATGGTATATTCTAGCACACTCTGCTACTATTGCGTCTAGATTCATCTGCAGTACCTGGAGAATACTGGCTGTGGTTGGCTGGGAAATGATGCGGTCTATACCCAGGCCGCAATATCCATATTTGGTCAATACTGGCTAAAGCGGCGTGAACCTGGCCCGAGAATTCCCGAAAATGGAAAGGATTCACTGGTGATGATGTTCATGACAGAGCTGAATACTTACCTGGAATGAGGCTGCTATCTCGCCCACGATTTGTATTCGTGGCTCGTTTCCAGGGATCCTCGCATCATAGATGTAACTTCCTAAGGGGGGCAACAGGCTTGCCACCAGGTGCACATAGGATTTACCATTTAACTACAGGAGCAAGAAGAAAACTAGTACCCTCAAGGGTAGCTCAACAAGGTTGGCACTCATCAATGCTTTGGTTTGGACACTTCAGAGAACGTCTGTAGCCTCTCCACAGAGCTTACAAAGAATATCAGTAGCTGTCACATTTCAGCACATAGACTCTTCCCAGGGTCAGCCTCAGTCAAGGACCGCATCGTACCCCACAACACGTCCTTTGCTAACCTTTTCATCAGGTTCAACTTTACTACCTCAGGCACAACGATCTCACCCTCCGCGAGGTCTACCGCCGTGGCGGCCGAAACACAGAATAGAAGCATGGAATGTCCTTCAACTTCAAGGGCCTAGATCATGAGGCTAGCCTCTTCTGTCAAACTTAACCAAGGTTTGGAGTATGCTTGATACATGGCGACGATAATACACTTACGGGTATGGCCCCGACGGTTTCACTGGACGTGTGACGATGGCACCACATATTTAGTTAGGACGATTCAATTTATACACTCTTTAACTCTCACCGCACTTCCACTTCTTTTGCAACTCCTAAATACCCAAGCCTACCTACAAAATAACTCATTCTTAACCACTACATCTTCGCTGTTGGGGCACCTGCGAGTTATTAAGGTATAATATTCTCATTACCCACAGTGAGTGTTAAAGGTTGAAAAATGCTTAACTGCTTACTTTATAGATAAGCTTGAGTACATACTACAAGCCGCTAAGAGAGTATTCAGTTTAACGTGATACTGACGTCTGTTTTACTGTGATAATGGCAGCTCTAAGAGCGGTTTAGTGATAGGGAGTAGTTGAAGACTTGTTTTACATTCGACATGCAGTGTATTACTATAAACTATGACAAGTCAGTGCCATCTTCAAAAAGCCAAGGCTAATTTATACCCCGTTTACCTAGCAATTGATGTGAGTGCATTTTTCGAGCCTTTTTTAGAGATGTACCTTCTGTGAGTATTAGAGCTGATTACTATACAGCTCTTGGCTGCTTGTTAAATTCCAGTCTGAAGTACAGGATACCACTCACGCTAGAGTCTAGTCCTGCACCGCTGTCTTTATTAGACCTTTCAATGATATCAGGCGTATAAGCAAGGTAACGATGACACTCACCTATTCTACAATAAGCAAAGACTTTTAGGCTCTAGCCACCTTCTCGGCATAAAATGGATTGCACTAGTAGTTAGCACTTGTTAGCTTCGCTATGAGCCCCTTTGGCACTAATACAGGAAATACCCCCCCTGCAGGGAGAAGTCTAGGATGGTGCAGTACACTCCTGTCTGTGCTGCAGGAAATACGAAGATCCATTGAACGGGTGTCCAAGTGGCTAGTGCATAGCTCCTACGTTGCGTGGGTCCCTTGTTCATGCATTGTTTAGGGCTGGTGGCCGCTTCTGTCAGTCAGCTCTCAATGCAGAATAATGAACCAAGGCTACTGGATGTCCTACAGATAGCATTTTTGCGTTAGAAAAACGGTAGCTAGTCCAGTAGAAGTCTGCGGTAAGAGAAGCGTTGACGACAACCAGTGCGGGCAATCTCAGTCATTGCAGATAACGCAGATCGGGAGGAGTGCATACGTCAGATTGACGGAAATCTCGGGGCCCGGAAGTCCGCAAGCTCGCCCCACAGTCATGAAGTCTCTCCGATCTAACCCCTGAAAAGTTACAAGGCTTAAGTCGGTAGTGAAGCGTAAAAAAATGATTCCAATTGCTCGAATTCACATGAGAGCCGTAAGACACACCGCCATACTCATCACCTTCAACTCTATAATACTTCACATAGTCCCGTCGAGAGATCCAGTATTAGATAGCCTCGATTCATATCTCAGCGAGTGGGCGAGGCAGATTAATATTGCACGTGTGAAAAAGAAAACATTTTTACACAATTAGGGATAGAGATATTTCCAAGACATTATGTAGTAGAAGTTAAACTTCACTTCCCTAAACAAAAAGGAAGGAAGTCTCCAAAACATCAATAGGACCCAGCTTTCAGCCTATCTCAGTACAAAAGACACTGGTAGATATTATTCATGCGATCATAGATATAGTACCAAGCCGGAATAGAAATATCTAGCAGCTATGTCAGCTAGGTCGAAGAGCAACTACTGAGAGCGCTAGTTATAGTGTCGTGAAGACTGAAAGATCAAGCTGTTTACAGTAATAAATAAGGTAGTTACCTTATTCGAACTGTTTGAGATGCTAGAGTAATCTTTAAAAACCAGTTTAAACTGTAAATATACCTAGTCTGCTATGCTATAGAGTCATTAAGGGCTTTTACTTTACTGCTTACTTTTATCCTCTGTTCACTAAGTTTTTATTTCATCGTCTTGTTTTATAGTAAGTTGAGAATACCCCTGACTTTATTTATAGCTAATTCACCTCAAGATATTTTAGGGTTAGTCGGCCCGTAAATATAGAATTGGAAAGCCTTAATTACGGAGCAGGGTGTCTATAATTAGATAAACGATTTTAGCCGCGACCCATAAGTGGATGGATTGTTTCCGTCTAGTGTTGCAAACCCCCACCACCTTTATTTTTATGCCCCTTGATTGACAGGGAGCTACACGGATGTACTGGGAGTTCCACCAGGTCTTTGTAACTTAGGGATGTGGCTTATGTCCACCAGAAAGAAGGTATGAAAGACATGCACGTAATGTTAATTATGAGATTAGTGCAGGGATCAGAAGCAGACTGAAAGATCAGATAACATTATAATAAAGCCGTCTAGTTTCCTGACCGGCAAAGGGATGGACTGTGAGGTCTCCAATTTGCACAGCCTGCCTGAGAAGTTGAATTTGCACAGCCTGAGATTTCTAGATCTCGTATTCCGCATTTCTAAATCATGCTATCTACTTCACCCTCCCTCTAGGCCTCCTTTATCTATATCTACAATAAGCTTACTTAAAGCTTAACTTCTGATTGATACCGTCTTGTTATAAACTGCCCATACTGTTCTTCACTCAACTGTAAAGTTAGTACGTGTAACGCTCCTTTCGTATTTGACCTATACTTACAGTAAAATTTAATAGTTACCCGCACAGTTCTTACTTAGGGAAGATCCTGCAAATCTTGCCAGGTAGCTCGTCTATTATCAGGTAAGCGTCTCTGATAGACTTTAGGTTTTAAACTGACCCAAGTTCATTCCATAGTAACTGTTTTGAGTTGTAGCTGAGAAAGACAGCTCACAATAATACTGCAACAGAGAAGCCAACTGTAATTATCTCTATTACGATATTCGTTCACCTTGGTGTTCGGAGATCATCGTTAAATACATAATTCTAAATTGCGCTTACTACACATACGCTTTGCTAAACTACACACAATGTAAGACCCTCAACATTTGGCCCACTAGGTTTGTTGTGCCTATATGCCCCCCTAGCCATAGGTACTCAGTCAAAGGTCTAATCTCCTGCTATACAGAATAAATCCTTAGCTATCGACCGTAATGTCTCGTCAAGACGTTATGGACAAATTTCGTCGTGCTATCAATGCAAGCAAATCCCGGTTAAAGCCTGACTACCCTCGAGAAGGTCAGTTTCTTCTCGATAGTGAGGAGCAGGCATCTGCCTTTTGTCAACCCAATCCAGAACAACACCAGGAAAGACAACCTACTCCTGCATCAGAGGAACACGGAGCCGATTGCGCTTCTTGCAGGGACTTGCAAACTGCCCTGCAGATCGCACAGAATCACATACGCTTCATCCAGGAGGATATCGATCATATTGCTAGCGACATCGGGGCGGTGGTGAAGGCAGTCGGGAAGTCTCGGAGAAATCCTTCTACGGCGAACAATGAGAATGCTATAGAGGAAGTAAAGCATATTGGCAAGAGGCTTAGGGACCTTCAAGATGATATCAAGCACCGAACCAAGGATACAACAAGACCAGAGTAGGTTGAGACTAAAATAGCACGGAGTCATTACGTTTGTTTATGAATGAGATTTGTATTTTACAGTATGAGACGAGCGTAAGAGTTCCAAAATTTAACCCTCAAAAGAACCGTGAAAAAGGCTTATTTCCTAGAGTAATGGGGGTTTCAAACCTTTCTGGGTTACCATTGTGTTATCCGGCCGCTTTCGGATTGGAATTCTGAATACAGTCAACAAATCTTGAGTGTACGCACTTAGTATTCGGGTTTATAGTTCTTCAACATAGCTCCTCGGTAATGACTGTATTCTTTATAGTAACGGTAATGACTGAACGAAATATTTCTTTGGCCATTTAGATCACAATTCCCCTCCGATCACAACTTCTTCTGCATCTCGTCCTTTCACCCTCTGTCAACCTTGAGCAACCAATTCTTCGGAGAAGAAGCGGGTGCAATATAGTCAGCCAGGCAGCTTAATCCTAGAGTGAAACAAAAGTTAGCACAGGCCTCAAAAACGCAGGGCTGAACGCTTACGCAGCGCGCACTGGGAGCACTGGGGTATCGCTTGGCACATTTCTTCTGTAGCGTTAGATGTTGGCGCACACTCTCATGGAGGTATTTATCAAGCATTTTTAAGTTTCCGACCTGCCACATGAGGAAGGGTATAGGAAATCTGCATTCCACATACCGAGCAACACTCGCTATCCTTGCTGCAGTGCCCGTCGCGGAGCTTGCAAGCGCGAGCCTCGTTGGCCTCGAAGACGTCGTTGACGCCACGGACTTCGTTACCTTCAGCGGCTGGGCTAGTAGGGCTGGCGATGGTGATGGCAGCGAAAATGGTAGATAGAACGATGGAGAACTTCATCTTGATGGTTTTGGAAAGGTAGATTTGTTTTTGTTATCGTAGCTGTTGTGTTTGGTAGTGTTGGATGATGAGAGCAATTGTCAACGGGAAGAGGTCCTTCTTATGCTTGGTTTCTCAACCTGTGGAGACGTATGACTTCGAATGTCCAGGCTACTTGTGCCGCAATACGAGTTACTCAGAAAGGTTTTCGCTCATAAAAACTGATGTCCATCCTCAGACATTATTTGTTTGTACTTGCAGTCTCCTTCTAAAGTGGGAAATCGCCGTTGGGTCAGTAAAGACCGTGAATATATAATGGATGAACAGGGATAATAAAAACATTTATCTTCCTGTCCTCAAATTTACTCACTGACCATTTAATCAAGAAATAGTATGGTGTGCACATGTATTCATCTCGTGAGTATTCACACTTTTTGTAGACGAGTGAAGACTTCCGTATCTGAGTGTATAGCATATCGGAGCTCAATAGGTTCACAGTGGAGTTCCTTGGCAAGACAAATCGAGACCACAAGACTGCAGCTATATTACACAATGATTCGAGACTCCATCTCCTTAGGGGTTTTATGTAATACAACTGGGCAACAGTATCACAAAATGCCTTTCTCTGTATAAAATCTCATACCAAGGTGATGGGCGCTTCTGAATAGACCCTTCACGAAGTCAGCTTTCTTCAACCAGCCTCCCTCAGGGTCAGGGTAACTACAGAACTCAGCACATCCAAAACCACATACTATCGGACGTTTCAGAAAAGATTCAGCATTGAACTGCTTCATGTAAGAAAGTTTAGTTAAGATCAACCATCAGTGAGCGAATCATGTAAAGCTATTACAAGTATGGCTTATCAGTAAGAAGCTAAATGTAAGAGCCAATGACTACATGCCATCAAACATCCCAGAGAACCTTGGCATTGTCTCGAAAGAGCTTCCTTAGAAGATCCTTGTCCCCGTCGCACCACTCTATGACTTTATCCATGAATGGCTTCGCATCGTACCCCCGGGATTTCGTATGCGGCCAGTCAGACCCAAACACAACCCCGTTTCCATTTCGCATGCTGAAGAGTGCCTTTGCCAGTGATTCAAAATCTTTGAATTCAGGATCATTTGAGAATAAATAAGGAGCAGAGATTTTGACGTAGACTAGAGGATCCTCCATCATGGTCTTCAGAGCATTCCAGCCTGGTTACTTCGCTGGGTTCAGTGGCAGGATGGACGGAGACCCAAAATGCTCGAGGACGAGCTTAACTCCCAGTTCGGAGACCAAGGGTTGGACATGGTCCAGTACGTCCATATCAGCATATAATCCAATAGACCACGTCTTCATTGGCCGCAGCTTCTCAGCGTACCTTCGTAAGGCAGTTTGGATCTGGTCCTTGCTCAGGGCAGTTTTGGTCGACCTCAAGTTAAGCCGTACACCTCTGACACCCAAACGGTGCCATTGATGAAGGGTTTCTATGTCGATATTGTCTGGGTTGAAGGCAACTACGCCACGCGCTTTGTTTGGACCTAGTTCTTTCAGACCCTCGAGTATCCAGGTGTTGTCATTTTTGTATGTAGATATCTGTACGAGAATCATGTTTGGCAGTCCAAGTCGCTCGGAGTTTGAGAGGGCTTGGTCCATGGTCGCTTCCTGGGGAGGTTTAGTGCTGGTAGGAAGCGGGTACTTGGTGGGTTCAATGATATGGACGTGACTGTCCCATAACCCGTCAGGAAGCGCGGGACGAGATGAAAAAGTTCGACATCCGTATGAATCGCGCGTAATGCTTGAAGTAGCCGAGAGATTGTGTTGAAGAGGGCACCCGACGCGACGAGAGCATAACGAAAAGCCGCGAGTACGGAGCCCACCAAAGTTCGTCAGTAGCATGATTAAAACTGGAGTGAAGGAAATTGTTTGAAAGGGTTTCAATGACAATAAACTTGGTAAGATGTAACTCTATTGCATTGTTGAAACAAAAGAAAGCCTTGAAGTAGATAAAGGCAGTTCGCAGTCTGACATGAGCCTCTCGGCCGAGTCGGCGAAAACGGGGCTCGGAAGACCGGAGATCAACCGAGGCAGGGCGCAAATCGAAGGATGATTGCAGACGTCCTACCTGTTTAAGTCCGATTTGTACCGCCGTAGTTCATCAGGAGTTCGGTCAGGCTATGGAACTCTCTGGAGCGCGGCCACTGGAGCGCCTTCTAGGCTTGGCTCAGGCGGTACCAGGGGTGGCACTATCGGCAGTGCTCGCCGGGGAAATAAAACTCCTGCTCGGACACTTCCGCGTGCTACTTCCACTTACATCTCTACTACTACTACTAACAGTACTACAACTCCTGATAGTACTACTACTGGCCTTGAAAGTGCTAGTACGACTAGTGAGAGCACGATTTCAAACCTTTTAAGCACTATTGCTCAAGGTGTCACCTTTACAACCCCTGGGCGTCCAACTACAACCCTATGTGTATCCTCTACTTCTACTACTCGTGGAGGCTCTGCTTCTACTATCACTGGTGGAGATTTTACTACCGGTAGTACCAGCGGTTAAAGCTGTACTTATCAGCCTTAAAACGGTAGGGGATATGACTATAAGTATCTGAAAACAGCACTGAATTTCTCTAGACGCTCTTTCATTTCTCGAATCAACCTATGCAGGCTCTAAAGACGGTCCCACATAAGAGTCGAAAGTTGATAGTAATATGTATTCATCTTTACATGTTCAAATAGTGGAGATTTACCGAACGAGTTAGCAGTTTAGCAAGTAGGACATTGAGGATTAATATACTATTAAAGCAGTAGTGCCCAATCTGTAAACTTGTTTCTTACTGTAATGTTGTGTTGTATGGGGTAGAGGCGGTGGCGACAGAACCATTTCAAGGATCTACAGCAAGCCAGCTGGATTCGCAGAGTATGGGGAGATTTAATACTTGCCATCCGTGTTCCACGCTGTCAACGAGCTATAGCGGTGTTGGTGCTTCCTGGGTTCTTTTCTTAGTACAGAGCAGACGTTGCAGCTAAACTTGACTGCGGCTGGGAATAAATTGAGTTATGATCAGATATTTGCACTCGTCGTAACAGTTCCTTCAACGGCGGATACGACCAAGTTACTGCTACGGCTAGGGAGGAAGCGATAGTAAGTTCTCACAGCTGTGATCTATGATTTTGGTCTAAGTACTAATCAAGTCGCAGGTCAGATACCAATCTAGTCTATACATTGTAGGGCGGTATTTAGTCACTGCCCGTCCTCAGCCTCTCCATCTAACGCCATCAACTGCTCCTACTCCCTCCACTCCCCCTCCTAACTCCACTCCGCCCGCCGTACAGATAAATATTCGTCCATCTTCCTAAGCGCATAAAAGTCATTCTGTCGAGACCCTATCCGAGCACCTTCAGGGAACCAGTCCGGAGTTCCAAACTTGAGAAGCCCCTCTCCTTCACGAGTACATGAATCGAAATCGATGATAACGGGGTTATCACTGGGATCCATCATGATATTGTATGGATTGATGTCGTTGTGGGCAAGACCCAGGCTGTGCAAGTGCGCAACACCAGCTCTGATACCTTGCAGGCAGGCCCGTGTATCGAGAGGAACGCCTGTGTCCAGACGGTTGCCCAGTGTGACGGTGTATCGGCCGAAACAAAGTCCACGGATCGTCCCGTCGACAACTTCACACCCCCAGTACTTGGCAATATTTCGGTGAGGATTCTCGCGCAAGATCTCGCAGGTGTTTGCTTCTGCCAGGACGAGTTCCTTGAACTTTTTGTTGTTCTCCTCATCGGCTTCATAATCAAGCAGGCTTGAGCGTTTGATGTAGCAATACTCCCACATCTGCTCGGGGGCGATGGTGAGCGAAGGTGAATATTCTGGCCACAAAGTTTCGCAACGAATCAGAATTATCTTCACCAACTCCACTTCAAATTTGAAATCTTCAGCGAGAAATGAGGCGAATTTGTTAGGGATGTCGTCCAGGGCCACGGAGGTCAAGTCGATCAGTCCCAAATCAAGGTTGCGGACATCGCGAAGATCAAGTGGTAGTTTGACGGTGGCGTGAAAAAGGTGCCCTGTGCTGATTTGAACAACGATCCGGGCACCAATACTGTTGCATCGGAAATCGTCGCCCTCTCCTACGAATTCACACTCCTCGGCGCTCTCAATGATTTCCAGCGTCGGTGGAGCCACAAATGAATCGTCGCCTTCTCCAACAAATTCACGCTCCTCAGCACTCTCAGTAATTCCAAGCGTTGGCGGAGCCACAAATGAATCGTCTCCTTGAGAATTTGGAACATCGTCGTCGGTCCGCGTCACAGCCTCATCCTGATGGTACTTTTGGGCTTCCATTATCGCCGTGGTGGGAGATAGAGCGTGTGTGTTGAAAGTTGAGAGTAGAGTATAGAGTGTGCGTTGAAAGGTGTGTACAGAGATTGTGAAGAGAAGATGGAAGATGAAGGATGAAAGACGGGATGTGCACCATGTTAAATACAAACACAATCGGGAGAAATCGGTAGAATGTTCGGCGGTTCTTTGTCCTTCACGATGATTGAACAACCTTATACAAGATCAAGACAGATCAAGGTTATCGTAACAAAGGAGTCTTTATTTTAGGGCATTGACTGAACACAGCGCGTTACCTAATGCTGCGTCAGGTGGTATCACCAGAACCCCAACTCATCTCACTCACAATAAGACAGAACATTACAATAAGAAACAAGTTTACAGACTGGGATTACTGCTTGACTGCAGCATACAACGAGTATAATCCCAATTATTGAAGACGACCAAACCTATGCATTGTGGATCTGGCGCTGACGTTTGGTTGGCTTACCACACGGGGCTGAATTTCTATTACTGAAACAAGCTTTAAGGAAAACATAGTTTAAACCACGTATTCTTATAGAGTAGAGAGCATTGTGGCGAGAATGCTCTGTATTTTTCTATATAAAGACTAGACTAGCCAGGCACCCTGGTAGAGAGTCACCGCGGGATCCAAAAAAGATGAGATCTCATCGTGTTCAAGAGACATGAACTCTGCATCGTCATCTTGGTGAAGAGCCCGCCCGGCGTCTCTCATACTTTCCATCGCGAACTTAGATAATTTTCTCGTGTGAAGTCAAACAAACAAAGTTAAAAAGAAGGTTTAAGTTCGCGGAACAAGACTTCGATGCGGAGCTGGGGGTTTATGGATTTTGAGGCTGAAATTGGGTAGAAGCAGCTAAATCGACATGTTTCTATTTCCAGTCCTGGAGAGACTACAAAGACTTCAATTGGTGGATTGTTGGACCGGATGCAATCACTACAGCCCTCGCAGGCGGCAGGGCTGAAAACGAGAAGCCAGGTGGACGAGAGCATGTTTGGATTGATCGTCGAGTACAATAAAAACAACCCTTCTCCAGCACAAATACATTTGGCTCACCCGAATTGCAATGGACTGGATGACCTTCCGTGGTTGAAACTGTAGATAGTTACAGTAAACGTATAAAATTACAAATAATGCAATACAACTGTTAAAAATTGGCTACTAGCAGCCGAGTCAAAGCAGCACACCTCCTTCTTAGATCTTTCCAAAGCCAGCATTGCCAGGAACCTTGGCCTGTGCCACAGTCGCCTGCGTAGATCTAGCAATAGGCAGACCCTTGAACTCAGACATGAAGCCAGTATCCTTACGGCTAAAAGCCCCAGACGAAGTGAAAATATTTCCCTGGCAAACACGGCCCAGGTATTGCTGGGTGGCACTAGCAGCGGTGCTGTCGGGACAGCTGTTGAGCTGTCCCTTGAAGTCGGGGACAACCACCTGCTTGACGTTCTGGAAGACGTTTCCTTCGAAAAGACCCTTGCCGGCTGTGTCGCCTTCGATGGCGTGGCCGTTGATGTCGCGCCAGACATTGTTCACGGCGTGCAGGAAGGTGGTGGCAGAAAGGGCAGGGCCACGGCCAGCAGTGTGCTCAATCAGGTTGCCTACTTATGTTAGCGTGGCTTGAGGGAGCATAAAAATGAAACTTACCTTGCATAGTGATCTGATCGCCTTGGCCAACCATCTCAATAGTCCAGTAGTGGTAGCCATCACAACCAGCTGACCATTGAGTGAGGCCGTTAATGTGGTTGTTGGACAGTGTGATACCGGTGCTCTTATCACGGCCGAAGACGTAATGCTGGCGACCGAGCAGAGAAGTCTGGACATGTTAGTGACTATCACAAACTACTCAGTCATTGGTTCTTACTGTGCAGTGATCAACCCAGATCTTGCTGGTTCCAGAAAAGGTAAATGCGTCGCCACCCCAGACGTATTGAGGGTTCAATTCAGTGACATCTGTTGAAGTTAGTCGCTATGAGTCGTGTAAGCGATTGGTGCTGGTGGTAGACTCACGGATGTTCTGGACGATAATGTTCTTGACATTCACAAATCGCAGACCCTTGCCCTTGATAATACCCTTGTTTCCAACACCAATGATAGTCTTATCAGAAGCCACATTGATTCCGGATGTTCCAGCCTTGGAGTAAGTAACGTCGACAGGCGGGTTGCTACCACACCAATTATTGGCAGCGTTGATGGCCAACTGACAACCCGGCCCGGTCTTCCAAGGCGCACATCCCTTCTCTTTGACAGTACCCTCCGAGCCAATGAAGTTGTAAGTTCGATCGAGGACAATAACGCGAGGAGTCTTGTCGGTCAGATAAGTCACCAGCTCATTAATGTTCTTGGGCGTAACGGGAGTAGCAGAGCCGCCGCCTGTGACACCTTGTGCGAAACCTTGAGCTGAGCCCGAGACCTTCTGTGCGGTAGCTGAGGCCAGAAGTGCGGTGAAAGCACTGAGACAGAGAGTGAACTTCATCTTGACAAATGAGTGGATGGATGTAGAGAGCCAAGATGATTAGAATCTGAAAGGACGGCACTCCTTTATGAGATGTGATAATTCAGGGTGAGAGCTTGGACCATCGTTGACACTTTCGTTCGTACCGGAACTTTGTTCGGAAACTTGTCCCAAATTGAAATTGAGCATCTCCTTGTTTCAGCTGGATTAGCGCCAGATTGGGCAGGTTGACGTTGTGGGGAGAATTGTTCCGTCAATGAAAGTTCGGCTCCGAGAAATAGGGATGAAAATGACGGACCGGGAATAGGTCAATTGGTTCGGTATACGGTGGTTCGGTAGAGCTATCCGCGCATTACTCGCTTTCATATTAGAGAGCGAGATGATTCCCATTCAGGGACCGGGGCTTGCAACACGTGCGTGTATGGAGTATAGGTTGAGCTCTCAATGAAGAATTGAGTGAAAGTACTCCGTAAAATCGTAGCCTTGTGTACGTGAAGACATGGATTCATCTTTGTTGGACATTTGAGTGAGCACCAGTGTAAGATCAGAAAATCTGCTAGTGCTATAGTAAGCTAGCGTGAATAAATGTTCGAAGGATTGAGGAGTGGAGGTGCAAGCAACCACTCAGACCAAGACAATAACACTGATTGAGGCATCGTACACACTTCTTGGGAGAGACAACCCAAATTTGTAAAGGCGTGAGAGGGGTTAAACTTCAGATACATAGAGCGGGGGAAAAAACAAAAAAATGAGGTTCTGCCCGGGCTCGAACCGGGGACCTTCTCGGTGTTAACGAGATGTCATAACCAACTAGACCACAGTACCAACTGTTTTTGTTCGTGAATATCTGCTCACATTAAGTTATATCGAAACAAAGTCACAAGCAAGAGTGGAAAGAAGTGCGTAAAGAGCGTCAGTATTAGTGAGTACAGATGTATGCTATGCCCATAAAACCCCGGTAGAATCGAAAACCACATTAAGTCTAACTACAAGCCAGTGGCATAATAGCAATGCCACCAATGCATGAAGATCTCCCCTCAGAGGGGAGAACAGAAAGGAAGCAAAGGATCAGTGTCTGATGTCCAGCGGATCTAAACTAGAATGCTAAAAACATCTAGAGAAGAGCAGCAGCGATGGCAGCGAGAAGGGCAACGGCGGAAACAGCCTGCTTGCCGGCGCTGCTGACGATGGTAGGGTAATCACCGGACTCACCCTTGGAGCCGGAGCCCTCAGTACCACAGTCAGATCCAGAGCAGCCAGCCTCGGAACCCTTGGATCCAGATCCCTCAGACCCAGTCTCACCCTTGGAGCCAGATCCCTCAGATCCAGTCTCACCCTTGGAACCAGATCCCTCAGAACCGGTCTCACCCTTGGAGCCAGTTCCCTCGGAACCGCAGTCAGTGCCAGTGCATCCGGTCGAGCCACCGTTGGAGCCAGAGCCACCGTTGGAGCCAGAACCACCGTTGGAGCCAGAGCCACCGTTAGAGCCAGAGCCACCGTTAGAGCCAGAGCCACCGTTAGAGCCAGAGCCTCCGTTAGAGCCAGAGCCACCGTTGGAGCCAGAGCCTCCGTTTCCGTTGTTGGGAGATTCACAGTCAGGGCCAGCACAGCCGTTGTCGTGGGGGACACAGTCAGGACCAGAGCAGCCGGGCTGGTTGGGGCAGCTGGAAGAGTGGCAGGTAGGGATCTCGACAACGTTGGGGTGGTCAGGAGTTCCCCAAGAGTTCTCGAAGGGCTTGTAGACGATTTCGCCGTTCTCGCAAACGTCACAATCGGCAGGAGTGTAGCAGGTGTCGTAGTTGTACCAGTCGTGGCACTCCTCAGGCTTGTAGACAGTGAGGCCGTGGCAGCTGTTGTCGGAGCAGTGCTTGGGGACGTATTGAGAGCCACCCTTGCAAGAGCAAGGCTCGGAGATGTAGACAGTCTGGCCATCGCACTCCTCACCAGGGTAAGGCTTGAAGATGTAGACAATGTGGCCGTTCTTGCCGGTCTCGGGGTAGCACTGGCCGTTGTAGCACTCGTAGATAGCAGTGATGGTCTGGGTCTCAGTGGTGGAGGGGCCGGTGATGGTGGTGGTGAAGACAGTGGTGATGGTGGACTGGTCGGTCTCAGTAGCGGTGATGATATCGGTCAGGGTAACATCGGCGCCACCAACAGAGACGTAGACAGTGAGGAGGAAGTTGTTGGGGATGGCATCCTGGCGGGGGCTGATCTGGTTACGGCGAGAGAGAAGAAGGTTACCACCACAGAACTCAGAGTCATCACCAGGGCACTCAATGTCACACTCATCAGTGTTGACACGGGTGGTGTTGTCGTCGTTGATCTCATCACCACAGTAGCAGTTCCTAGAACATCAGTTAGTATATATCGTTGGATGATGGAGAATTGGACTTACTCGTCGTGAACACCGAAGTAAGAGCGGCCCTCACATTGGCTGGCGCAAAGCTCAAGGTCCATGGCACCGTCAGAGAGAGAGAAGTCGAAGGTAGGGAAGCCAGCGGTGGATCGGACACAGCCGAAGAGGAAGAAGTCGCCAACAGTACCGGGGAAGCCAGCAGCGGAGGTAGCAGTAGAGGTAGCAGCGGTGGTGGTGCCAGTAGCAGTGACGGTCTCACCCTCAGAGTTGGTGGTAGCACCCTCGCTGTTGGTGTTGGTCTCAGTGGGGATGATGGTCTCGCCCTCGGAGTTGGTAGTAGCGCCCTCAGAGTTGGTGTTGGTCTCGGTGGGGATAACGGTCTCGCCCTCAGAGTTGGTGGTGGCTCCCTCAGAGTTGGTGTCGGTCTCAGTAGCAATAACGGTAGCGCCGGTAGCATCGGTGGTGGCACCGTCGCTGTTGGTCTCGGTAGCAGGGTTACCGCCGCCGTTGCCGCCATCACCAGAGCCGGCGGCGACCTTGACGTTGGAGATCTGGGCCTCAACGGGGTTGTCGCCGCAGGTCTGGACAAACTCGAGACGAGGAGCGTCAGCTCCAGCGGGAGTGCCCCGGGTGGAAGGGCTTGAGGAGCCGGTCTCGAGCTGCGAGTCGAAGACAGACGCTCCGTCGAGAGTGACAGCGAGGGAGCAGTCGGTGGTGGCACGCTTCTGGTTCTCAATAAGACTGACGAGAAGGTCAAAGAGGACCTGGATCAAGTCTCCAATGCTGATACCATCGGGGAACGATCCACTAACAGCGAAAGAAGCGACGCCGTTGGGGCCGGCACGCAGAGCGCTGAGAAGCATTAGAAACGGTGCTGAGAACAGGATATGGAGAAAGACTTACACAGCAATGCTGCCATCAGGGAGAGTGACGAACGAGGCACCGGGGCCAAGCTCGGCATTGCCAAGATCGACAGGCTGGGGGGCACCAGCCGAAGCGCTTGGCTCGAGAGAGGTAGTGGTTTCAGTAGCAGTACCAGTGGCAGGGACACTGGAGTTAGTGAACCGCTGGCCCATAACGCTCGTGGCCAAAGCCAGGAGCACACCGGAAGAGAAACGCATCTTGAATTAGGTTGTTTGGGTTGCTGAAAAGCGAGTGAATGTAAAGAGTGAATGAATGTGGTTGTAATGTTTAAACGAGTGACCTGAGCCTCAATGGGATGGTTGGATGAGGATGAGATGGTAAGACTTGAGGAAGAACATAGGTCTCTATATATACAGATTTCCGCCCTCTGTCTTCCTCTATGTCTTTCAACTTCCCTGTGCTCCGTCTCCGACTCTGTTGCTGGTGAATTCCCCCCTCAATCTGCGTCTCCTGCATGCAAACATTCCTACTGCTGGTGATGGATCCGAAAGCATGCAAGGGCGGGCATTTCCCACCCACTTCCATCGAGCTAAGGCTGATGGTAGGGTGGAATGTCTCACCATCTCAGGCACGACAGAACCCCTCGAAAGACAGTCGAGATTTTGGTGGGAGGAGGGCTTCTCCCTCAGTAGAAACTAGTTGCTGTTAACGGAGCCTTTACTGCTTGCAGTTTGGTTATCGGGAGTGCACTTCCGCTTCAAGGGACGGTCATGAAAGCGTTTTCCATACGCTTTGGTAGTCCAATTTGACTAAACCAGTCTCTGAATTCCAATAGCACATTTCAAGTGTTTTTTCGCTAATTTTAGAATCACGCGTTGCGAGTGTTAGTGTTAGGCTTTCCACTGCCAAGCCATGAAGCGTTGTCCCGCCCAGTAAGTGGACACAATTAGATCCCCATAACGACAATGGAGATAATTTAAGAGCTGCATTCCCGAGGCCATAGCCAAGTAATGCATAATGCCTTGGTCCAATTTACTCTCAACGTCTATCTCATACCACACCAATAGCTCGAAATAATCCCCGGAGAATGCCATGACAACGCATGCTCAACTATAGCTGCCGAATTCCCTGCCGCAGTAATTAATCCGGTGGCTGTCCTACGCTTTGACAATGGCAAAAGGGTACGCAAACGATGGGAATGGAAATAACTGAGACATGCTGAGAGCAACACGTTCCTCCAGGTCTGCTCAAACTCACTATGGGACTGGTAACGGAACATCGAAACCGTCGATTTGCGCTTTCGACGAACCCAGCTACACACGTTTTGACACTGACCACTCAACTTGCTGTGCCTTGCATGCATGCGGCTGAGGTTGACGCGTAAATCATAATCACACTGTTTCACGCTGAGGTTTTAGCGTGCGTCTCGAAGGATGGCTGAAGATACTTGGTTGCGGTTGTGTGTGGTTGCAGGCTCGGATGTTCAACTTGAGTCGCTACGGAGTGTCGGCACCAAATTACTGGGAACAAGTGACATACACTTACCGTAGGATAATAGAGGGAGCATCGAGTCGTACTTGTTATCTCTGGGTTGTATGCCAATGTAGGGTAGAGTGAGGAAAATGGACGTACTACACACGTAGCATGTATTGAGTAATTTGATCAATACACTGGCTTTGATGGCGATGCAACAATCGCAGAAAATGCAGACACTACATATAGAGCTACCTAAATATGCAAACACATAAAACCTACCAACAGAAAAATCCACCGACATTATTACTCAACTTCCTTATAGTACCGTAATACTAAGCTCCCTGGTAAGGCGTTGTGTGACATTACCCTACACAGATTACCCCAGGAAAGCCAGAAGCTAAACAGTACTGCAGTGGTTGTTATTAGAAGGTTTGCAGATCAACGTGACAGCTGACCGGTAGAAAACGTTGTTCGTCCCATGCTTGGATTAAAATTACTTTCCTTTTCATATCATCCACTGCACTAGTCATTATAGACGCTTCCAACTTTACCAGCAGAGTATTGCTAATCACAATAGCACAGCTCTTCAATCGTACATACACAGCGAAATGATATCTCTACGACACACCATCCAGATATCTGGTCCTGGTTAGAGTAATAAACCTCAAGGCCTTTGACTATCGTCGTATCAGATTGAGTTGCTAGCTTCAAACCGCTCCACGTGAATCAAAATACTATCCACCTTGAAAATACCCCAGAATATTAATCCAAGCCGTTATTGAAATGATCGACCACCAATCCTCCTCAGATCCAAGGTATTTGATCGCCCTACCGATTCACATTTCTAGCAAGCGACACAAAACCTATCACTTGGAATGCACCGCCCGTCTCGCAATCTGCAATACAAGCTTTTCGAGTCCTGACCAAGGGGCTGGAAGCACTATTGGCCGAACTGTGTGAGACAATGTGAGGGGCTACACTATGTTGCCCGTGCTACCCCCTTTGTTCAAGCATGAGCGGAAAGAAAAGAAAAAACAGGCTATGGAATGCCCTGCGTTGAAGGGGAACACAGGCGCCGGTTTACCGGTCTGTGGAATGGGTGGTTGAGGCGGGAGCTGGGAGAATGACGATAGAATTACGACTGCATATTGGTATGGTACTGTGAGAAATTGGTGATTGAGAAATTATTGGGCTCAATACGCAGTAAGACACACTTTAGCCTGGAAAGTGGAATAGTTCTGATTGATAGCGCGGACCTGTGTTGCGTGTTGCCAGGAAATATCATCCGTGGAACGTTGCCCCTTCAGTATCTCTTCGTGTTTGCATACTATTCGAAAACTTCCAACCCGGACAACTCCCAGCTGTCAACAATCTCATAGCTTCGCCGCTCTACAGGATTGTTGTCAGCGTATGTGTAGATGTCGGGAACATACACCTCTACTAAGATGCATCTCAACCCAATGCTGCGAAACTGGGAAAAGCGACCTTGGAGAACTTTACGCCCTTTGTTTTGGATCGTGGGGTAACGACTGGCCAAAGATGCCGCCCATCAATGAGAAATCGGTCCCCACCGCGATTGTTGGCGAGATGCATGTTGACGAAGCTTTGGGCATGCGACAGACCCGTTACGCGTCTCGATAAGCGACCGTCGCTTCAGTTTACCGCGTTCACAGAGCTGGGGCTTGGTGGAGGTCTACTGCACAAGCCATTCGAAGCTGCAGGGCATCGAATGACGTCGCATTGAATCGCATCGCGCTGCGTGAACTGAGCTACAGCAGGGCCTCCAGAGCGTCGGCCACGAACACATACAGCGATACGCTTCGTCGCTACTCGATAGGGCATAGGTCACAAGGGGAACAGACAGGAAGTTGGGGGTATTTATAACATAAACTGCTAATTAACTATACATTGTCATGCCTAACATGTGGCCCATTATGATATCCAACTGTATTTTATGCACCGCCCAAAAGATAGATGCACCCAAACGTTATAGACCTTTCCGAATTATTTGACAGGGGAGAAGACGACCGAAACAAAAACGCAAGCTACATGCTTCGCTTAGAGCTGGAAGGCACCGGCAGCGATGGAGGAGAAGAGCAGAGCACCGATGGCAAGGCCGACAGTGTTGAAGGTGGACTTGGGAGCGACGCCAGCAGCAGCGTTGCCAGTCTCGCTTGAGGTCTCGGAGGCGGATGAGCTGGAGCTGGTCTTGGTGCTGGTGCCAGTGGCAGAAGCGGTCTCGTCGTCATCGTCCTTGTCATCGTCGTCGGCGTCAATCACGCTCGCCTGGGCGGAGGCAGGGACCTTTGCGTCCTCGGTCTTGGTGGTGGTCTTGTTGCCGCTGCAGAAGACGTTGGCGTCGGGGGCGCCGTTGGCGAAGAGGCAGTCGCCGAGCTCGACAATGGTCTGGTCGATGGCGACACAGTAGACGCCGCAGTCGTTCTGGTAGGCGACGAGCTGGGCGTCACCACAGCACTTGGACATGATATCCGTGGCGTTGCCCTTGTAGATCATGGCGCAGACATTGTCCTGGTTGGGAGTGTTGAAAACACCGGTGCAGGATGAGCTCAGGGGAGCGAGGGAGGTGGTTGTGGTGGTGGACATGTTGACGGAGGGTTTGTTTGTGGAGGTTTACTAGAAACGATTGTATCGAACAATTAGGATTAACGAGAGTATTGATGAGGGATGTGAGGAGCAAAAAAGGTTGCGCGTCGTGTTGAGGCGCGAGTGCAGTTTTTGTTCGTTTGAGCTACAGGTAGGGGTACAGGTGCTACAGGGACGTAAGCCTGGCTAACCCGGCACGATTTGCGCATTAAGGGGTTAGTCCGGGGGCATTGACCTATCAACGTCGCTAAAAGAAAAGTCCAAATTTAGTAACCCTGGCTAGTGCCTCGTATCACTCCAGGATGTGGGAACGCGCCAAGGGACAAGGTTGCTAGGCAACTTGGGTAAGGATTAGAGACATGCGATTTGGAGGAGGGTACAACAATGTGGGAATGGTACTCCTGCATGATTTTTGAGAGTCTAGATAGTGTTATTGAGAGATTTCGGTATGAAGCCGGTGTCTGTGATACTGATATCTAATATGGAGTATTGGCAATGATATCTTATGACATCGGTGGGACCCATTGTCCCACTCTTGGCACACGGAGATCAGACGAGGAGGGAAATTGCCTGCACAGACGTTAAAAAGTTAAAACCTTGACGCAAAGTGGAAACAAAATGGATGCTGTGTGACGCCATTCACGTGGAGTAGACAGGATTGAGAAAGATCAATAATTATCGAGAAAAATGGCAATTACGGACATGTTACTCAAGGACCTGTCAATAATAGACAGACCTAGGTGATGACCGTGATGTATTGTTGTTGAGATTGCGATCGTCGAGCCCACAAACCCTGAAACTTATAGGATTTGATACGTCGACAGATGGGGAATTTATCGAAATTATCCCAAAAGAATAATAGAGTTTTGATAGTCACCAGTCTGAGAAGATCCAAGGTCTCCCTGAAGAAAGACCCATACAAACCATATTCCAAACTCAGTTGCTTCTGTTCAAGCGGCTCCTCCAAAACAACGAAATTGCAAGTATACATCATCACCTAGACTTATTGCTCGCACTTCGAATATAAGGCTCCAAGGGCAAGATCTGGTTTTCCGGCTTCACTCCTTCAAACAGCTCCGCCCATCGATCATTCAAATGCGATGGTGTTTCCCAAGCATTCTCGGGATCTCTCAACCAAAGACGAACAAGATGACGCCTAAACCGAAAAAAAAACCCATCAATTCATGTTCATTCATTTACAAAAATACAGGGATAAACTTACTTTCGCGTCGGAGAGTCAGTAAAGCCGTCCCGCGCGTGGAAAACAGCAAGGTTGTTGATGTACTGCATATCGCCCTTTGCGAAATTCGTCGAAACACTCAGTTGATCACCGAGGAAGTGAAGTGCGTCGAGGGCTTCGGCTTGGGCTTCTGAGATAGGTGGGATGTCGTGGCTTCGGGGAAGTGCACCGAAGCCAACAAAGTAGCGACGGGCATATTGGAGGGCTACTCGCTCGGGTTGTGAGTCGGTGGCTTTTTGGTGATAGAGAAGTGGTCGCGTGGTATATCTTTTGCTGCTTGAGTTGGCGAAGCTATACGGGTCAGTGAATTCATCCACGGGGATGTAAGCCGTGCTCTTACTTTTCAACGTCCCAGTTCTGCGATAGGGTATGGATCAGATCAGGTCTGTTCTTCGCCAGCTCATTGTACACACGCCACGTGCTTGCAATCCTACTCGCACCACCCTCCGACGCCGTCTGCAGACAAAACAACGACACGATATCGCCCGTGTCTGTGTGGAAGACCTGTCTGTCGGTGGTATAAGCCGGACTGCCGATCACACCGTTCTGCTGTCCGGAGCTGAGGTCCTTGACGTGGCTGAGGACGACGTCGGCGGGGTTGCCGTTGAATTTACTGTCTTGACGACCCCTCTTCCCCGCGATGTGTGCGGAGACGCCAACGTAGATGATGATGTTCTCTTCGCGGGTGTACCTGTCCACGTCTACCCCGCGGATGACGAAGAATCCGTGGCCCTTGTGCAGCTCATCGGATAACTTGCGTAGCTCTGGATGGAGGTTTGGTAGAGGGAATGTTTCTGCGGAGATTTGTCCAAGTGGGAGACCAAGACCTGGGAGTGTTAGATGAGCCATATAAAATCATTGAGAGAAGGTACCTTTGAAATGTTGCAGCGCTTGGTCAATCTCGTCAAGCTGTTCTGGAGATAGTTTGTACGTCCAGTCGTAAGTGTTGCCGACCGAATCACCCTCCCAGACGAGATCACCTGTTAGTTGCGCGGGAAATCCATCTGGTACAGACGTAGGCAGGTTGCCCTCTTTGAGTCGTTTGGCTGTCCTTTCTTGGTATTTTTCATAGTTTGGGGCGTATACAATGTCTGGTTGTCCGGGCGGAGGTGCAGCAGTGACTGTTGTTGTGAACGACATCGTGGTAGCAGCACTGAAATAAATTATAATTTACAAAATAGATTTCATGTTGAGTCAAGCGGCAACAGAAATGCTTTTTGGTTATTCTTACGAGTATTAATACCAGATTGGTGGTGGGATCTGCGCTATGAGGTGACAGCTGACAGCGATTGCATCATCCGATTCATCCCCAAGCAAATCCTACACAACGACGTTACACTACCTCCATCTTGGCAAAGAGCAAAGGAACAGAGAAACACAAAGAGATTCAATAAACACCGCACAGTCAAAGCCTGGACTACTCTCTGAAAGGCTCTAGCTTCGTCTTTCCATTATGCAAAGTCCAAGCCCAGAGAGAATCAACAACCACAATAGTACCGAAACTGAATACAAGACTCCCTCCGAAAACAAACTTATAGTACCACCACGCATTATCCTCATTCAGGTCATTCACTTGACACGCAATAGCCCATGGCAAAACATACAGCAGATTGCTTGCGAGACTTTGATACAAATACCATCGTGGCCGTGTTGCGAGAAGAATGGTAGCAAGCTGCGTAGACATGGCGTAAAAGACATAGCACCAGTCGAGACTTTCCCACATATACGCTGTGACTTTTGCCACTTCGCCAGAACCGCTGATATATGACGCAAAGGGCTTTGCTCCGAACAGAGTAAGAAATATCGCAATGGGGACTTCAAAGATAATCGCAAGCGCCAGTGACCTCAATGCTGGCCGCGCAATTTCGTGCAAATCTTTCCACGGTGCTCTTGGCTTTCGTGTACTGACATCCACGCGCCTTCTCCAATCTCCCCAGTTGTGGCCGATGAATTGTGAGGCGGTGGCTTCCAGTGCTTGCACAGGTACCATGATCAGTCCCCAGCGGATGGTGTTGAAGACTCCCCAAGCTGTGGCATAGACCGCACCCAAAGCAACGATTGTGCTCACCAGCCATAGATATAAAGCATTTCTGACCGCTGACTCAATGAAGAAGATGATACCAGGTCGGAGAAGGACCTTGAATGCAGAAAAGCTAGGGCGTAGACTTTCCTGAGAAGCATGTGGTGTGTGTCTCATGAAAGACCAGGTGTTCGACCACAGGAAGTAGGCAAGTCCAGCAAAGGCTGCTACAAGATTGCAGACCAGCTGGATTGTGCCCTGCATGTTGACAGTAGGTGTAAAAGAGCCGACGTGGAATCGAGAGATGAGGAGAAAGTCGAGGATGATGTTGACGGCGAACTTGACGCTGCTGATTGCTAGTGGAATATCCGGTTTGTCTAACGCTCTTGTCGCCGTAGCCACTGCTGTTTCCAATGCTCCGCTGAAGACAGTGAAGGATGCGATTCGCACATACGTCAGGCTTACACCGCGTACTTCAGATGGAACAAAGCTTCTAGCAAAGGACGATGCAGCTGCAAGAAACACAATACTCAATAGCAGTCCGATAACAGACTGAAATGCGATAAGGGTATGTGTCAACTGCAAGCGCTTTGCTAGTGATCGCGAAGCCTTGTCTCCAATGATGACCCATGCTGCTCGCGGTAGGCCTTCGTTGACTGCCTCAGAAGCTGTGTTCATGTAGGTGTATGCATCGGTCAGCACAACCATGGAGGAGTCGATATTGGCAACCCAGAGTTTGGATAGAGTTCCGTAGAGGGCGGGGAGGATGAATGATGCGAGGTTGAAGAGGAGGGAGCCTGTGTAGTGTGTGCGATGCAAGGCTGATGGCGAACATGCGGACGGTATTCGTCGGATGCGCCGTGTGATGCTGTTGATGATCTTCATTGTCTTGGCCCTGGTTTTATGATGTGGGAAACAGGGGTATGCTGCCTTTTGGTTGATGAATGAAGGGAGATATACGGGAGGGGAAATAATGCTGTGCTACTACATGAAGAGGCAATCACATGAACTCAGCCCCTCCTCCAACGGTCGGCCTCCCGCGTCAGTAGCGACACAGTCTAACGAAACCGAAACCAATAGATTTGGAAATGGAAATATTGTAGACTGAATCAATGGCAACGTATTTGGTGGGAAGTGATATTAGCGGGAGACTTGAAAGCGATATTTGAGAAATACTAAAACTACAATTGCTTTCCGGCCTCGAGCCAGTACCGTGCTACAATGCCGACGCTACTATGCTCTTCCTATTCCCAGACCAAGATATCTCAATCTTAACTTACACTCACTCCGTAAACAGTGACATGATTATATCCTGAAATCCCTTGCGCCCCGGGCTTTCCATCGCCTGACGAACGCGGTTCCCTTGGCGAGTACCTGGTTCCAAAGGATCGTTTGCCGCCTCTGTCGTATTGATTTCATACTCAACGTGCATTCCCTTAGTCCACTGCCCTACACTCTCGACGCGGAGATCTTTAGGCGAGGATATGTTCCAGGATTTCCTACCGAGGGCGTACCAGATCGGTACGGGATCATGCAGTCTGATGCATTCTTCGCCGGTGTCTTTCAACGTGATGCAATCGCTACCGCAATCGTTGTGGATGCCTTGCATGAAGTTGTAGGCTAATTTGGAAAGCGGACTGCCAGAATCAGCCAAGGGTTTGACTGTGTCGATGAAGCTTTCGTAGGTGATGCAGTGCTGGTTTGTCAGATCCATGGGAAAGATAGTCACGTTTAATTGCTTTGAGAGTCGTTCTGGGTATGCAGGAACCGGGATCTTGGCAAAGTCTGTTGTCGGGAATGTGGAAGCCAGATCAGCACTACTCAGGGCATAAGTTCGCGCTGCTGCTGCGGCATCGTTGTAGGAGTTGGCTTCCGAGACAGGTGATATGTTGCCAGGAACAGCCACGGCACCACCCATGATGAGAAGCTCTTTAGCGCGGAGGAAGGTCTCGGGGTCTTCAGCCGCAGCTAGAGCCATGTTGGTGAGGGGACCGAGGGCGATTAAAGTTATGGTGTTGGCGGGTTCTTCCCGTAGGATGCGGAGGATATCAAGGTGTGATGGAGTTTTGGAGGTGTTGAAGTACTGGTAGTACTCGGGGCAAGTCTTGGGAGGAGGTACACTGCTGTCGAATAGGGATTTCCAGGAGTTGTCTGGTGTGAATTCGGGGTACTTTATACATGTCAGCGAATGGAGAATATGAATCGGGTGAAGAGGGAGGCTTACCTTTGCATGAAAGTTCCACACGCCGTCTTGTCCGTCTGCAAATTGCAATTGTAATCAGTATACCTTCTTTGACTGTCGACGATCCACTGGGTAATAACAGCAGCAGGATACCTACATGGTCGTCCATTTGTCACAAGCACAACTGGTTCTCCAAGTGCATGGCCCGATCCAAGAGTAACCATCGGACGAGAGTTTTCAAAGACTCCATACCCGAAGTCTTTGCCTTTGCTCTTGCGCCAACCCATCTCCTGCCAGAGGATGTAAAACATGGCGATCACGTTTCGTAGAGACTTTTCCACGTTGACATTGCCGAACACAGTCGTGATAGCCACCACTTGCATTACTGCTGGGGCCGCGGCCATTGCCATCAGCAATCCCACCATGTCATCGCCACCTGTACTGAGTAAGCAAACGAGCGTGTATACAGGCTTTGGAAGAATGGATCTTACCAACATCGGTGTCTATGATGACTTTTGTAACAGCCTGGGTAATGTTGGAAGTCATAGTGAAGCTATCTCCTTGCTACAGGCCGACTGTCTTGAAACCTCTGATTTATATGAGGAAATTATAGGGAAAGATTATGCACTGACCAAACCTTATATATGTCATGAAAATGCACAAAAAGCTCGGAAGACTCGACAGCAAAAAGTTAAATTAGGTAAAAAGTCGGAAGTTGGAGAGGTTGGAACGTTAGGTGACGGCGGCTTCCGCCCGTCGGTTGCGGAGATGCATACGGGCCGTGCTTGATCTGCAGATGCAGATCTGAGGCCTAAGACTATAGACGCCATCCTATTAGATAATCTTTGGTCATGAAAATCCTCTGATTTGCTCGGATGTCGGGTGAGGCACTTTTAGAGGATCACGATGGAAATGAAAAGTCAATTTCATATCAATGTGGGGTCAAATTTTGGGATGGTACATCATCCAACCATATCTAGCATGTGAAAAAGGAGTTTTGATACCGAAGAAACATCATGGATATTTTTTCAATTATCTTCAATGGGAATAGGGTGTTGTAAAAGAGGATGTCAACAACGAAACATTACCGCTCTGGAGATGGTAGCACATATCTTGTTACGGGGCCTCCGAGGCTTAGTACGATAAACACCACCTCATGATCCTGCAACTCTTTGCGAAAAGCATGCAAGTTACGGGCAAGATCTCCATCGCAGACTCAAAGGGCATTGGCCTGCCAACTCATTTCATAGTTGTACACTGTGATCCTCGGCTTGGTTACGACCTGTGGAAGCATTTCTGCATCTTTCAGCCGGTTCAACGGTGGACCAACCTGAGCTTTATCTTGCCAGGTCCAGGACCAGTCAATGTTCGGGTCAAGCCCGTGTACGGAGCCGACAATGCAATCAAGTCTTCGTTCACCACTGCCGCATTCGACGGACGGCCATCAATGGTGTTATCCGGGAGACACAAAACTTAGGCAGTTGGGAAACAAAATCGTTGCCAAAGGTGGGCTAGAAATGTGTGGACAGAGCATTCATTGGAAATATGTATCTTGCCCCGTGATGGGGAAGAAATTGATCGAGTTTAGTGGGACTAACTAAGGCATCTGAAAGGCCTGGTACGTGTAAAGGCAACTTTATGAGTTTTGTCTTCACTCAGATATAAAGCCGTGCCTCCTATGCTCCTATCACTACAGCTTTACAGCAATGATCTTTGCCGGCTCAGGGACAGTGCCATTTACCGGTGCTCCAAGTCCACCATTAGTAGTGGCATACAAGATCTTATCGAATCCCCTTGACCGCGCCAAACGCACAGCGGTACAACCAATAGCTTCCATGGAACCGACATCACCCGCGACAGTGACATTGCTTCCGTCTGGATCTACCCGAATAATCTGGCCCGTTCCAACAGCTGCGATGTATGCTGTGCCATCTCGAGCCAAAGAGAAGTCATCCATAGATAGGCCGCTAAAGATAGCTTCCGGCGACCCCGTGATATCGAAGTTAGTGTTAACAGAGACGCGAAAGAATGTTTGGCTGTTGTTGATGATGTAGTATAAGAACCCATCTCGCACTCCGATACCATTTATCCCTGCAAAGTCCTCATGCGAGAGCACTTTTGTAATAGCGCCTCTGCTAACGTCGATTTGGTACACCGCTCCTAGGACAGTATCGGACACCAGGACCTCTGTACTGCTCCAGGGGGTTATGCCATTGATGAACATGGCATCAGGCAAGGCCGTGACCAGCTTGACAGTGGGAATCCCTCGCTTGAATTCGAGCAGAAAAACTTGCATTGACCCAGCCTCGAAATTAAATGGATCGGCAGTTACATTGCCAGCGCCCACGACGTACGTATCGTATGTCAGCTGGGTTATGCCGATAGCACCAGTAACGCCGGGGATAGTAACGAGGCTGCGACCTTCTCTGGTAATTGGGTCGATCAACCAAAGCTCAGGAACATCCATTCGTGTTGCAATGATATCTCCATCAGGGCGAAGAGCAAGATTCTCAAAATTCTCAAACCAAGTTCCGGTACTATCGAGTTGGAAGACAGTGGATACTCCTCCGGGCTGCTGCTTAGCTTGACAACCCCAGATGGGCGCTAAGTAGGATATCAGAGGGAGAATTGTAGTAAAGAGCTTCATTTGGAATAGAAGAAAAGATTGTGATGTTTAGAGATGTGTTGGAGTGATGCTTCAAGAACAAAGTTTATCAGACTTCCAGGACGTTGATATAAATGCAAGACCTACACCAGCTATAGCGTTCAAGTTGGATCAACTCAGACGCCCAATCGGAGATAAAGGATTTAGCAAACCTGGTGGACTACAGGATAAACAGCAGGCCACGTAACCAAGACAGCCATAACCTTTGTGCAACTCAATTTAAGGTTATGCGGAAATTGGATGCGGAAGATGTGGTGCGGAAGATTTATGGTGGAAGTTTGGGAGCGGGGGTTCACAGCCTGTACTTATAAAGAAATAGGCTCGATCTTCAACGTACAGGCCACCAAAGCGGAAGATTTTGGTTATTTTCATAAGATCGACATGCTGTCAAGCCGTTTCATCAAGGACGCCAACTTTGTTCACAGTAAGCTAGAGGTTACAGGGGAGTGAAGAAATACAGTCCATTCTAGACATGATCCATCGAAAAGGTTGACTACAAACCAAACGTTAGTCGAAACAAGGTGACACTTGAATAGTAGTACAACCCAGATTTGAGATACCATGATGTAAGCAAGCATCGCTATCGCTCTTAAATCGCATGAATCATATATCGCGAATGGTGACTAGAAGCATGGGATTCTGCCAGCCTCATAAAGGCGGGGGTGGAGGAACACACGTGTGAGCAGCATCCTAAGTCTAATCGCCGGAATGTAAATCTCGGAGTTAAGCAAGTAGTATGTTGCCTCCTGTGGCTGTGAGCTTTGAAGCTGGTGAAGAAGTTTGACGTCTAAATGAGCTAGGTCCTTGGAGTAGATTGGGAGAGCCAGAACTCAACTGTTACGGAGTTAAGTGACTATAGAACCGCCGATGCCGTTGAGTTAATAGCTCCCTGAGTTAATCTACTGCTACTAAGAGCCCCCAAATAGTTGCTCAAAGCGCCTGCCCTTGGTGTCGGAAGCACACTCGTCATGTGTTCGGTATTTGGCCAATGCCCCGAAGATCCGTTACCGTTTACTACCAGGATGAAAGCATTAAGCTTTGCTTTAAGCATAATATACGACTGAATCTAGCCATGGCTTACAAACGAGGGCCGCGCGTCGCTATCTAGCCATGCTTCACTAGTCTTGGGCAACAATGGATATATAAGACAGATAGTAGAAACCATATTTGAATAAATCAAGCTGCTTCCAAGTCAGGTTCCAAGCTAATCAACACCCTCAACAACAGCTCTCTTCATTCACTACCACCATGTCGCTCAACGGCTCTATGCAAGCCGTCCTTTGGGGAGGCGTGCCATTTCAGATGAACGTGACCTCAGTTCCAGTTCCAACCATTCGAGAGCCAACTGATGCTCTCGTCCGGATCTCAGCCTCGGCTCTTTGCGGGACTGACCTGCACACTTACCATGGCTTGTTCGGAAGTCCCAATGTTCCCTGGATCATGGGTCATGAGGGCATGGGCTACGTTCAGGAGATTGGAGACTCAGTCAATTTCCTCTCTGTTGGAGATCTTGTCGTTGTCCCGAGTCAAGCCGATGTTGGTCATCTCCCTGTTCTCGGGCCAGCCTCGCCTGAGGGGTTTGGTTTGGGCACTACGTATGGTGATGGAGGTGGCTGTCAGTGTAAGTGACCCAACCACAGCCTCAAGTTTGCCAGATCAACTAATCCAATATGTTGTTTCCAGCGGAGTACGTCCGTGTACCCTTCGCCGACGATAGTCTTATCCCTGTCCCTGGTCGCACCAATGCGACCAGTGGGACCAATAGTACCAACAGCACCGTCGATGACATGGAATACCTCTTTCTCTCGGATATCTTTCCGACCGGCTGGGCAGCTCTCGACTTTTCCAACTTTGAGCCTGGTGATACTGTTGCAATTTTTGGAGCTGGCCCTGTCGGTCTACTAGCTGCCTATTCTGCCGTCCTTCGCGGGGCAAACAAGGTCTACGTGGTTGACTACGTCCAAGACCGTCTCGATCTCGCCGCATCCATTGGAGCTATCCCCATTAACTTCCGCGAAACAGACCCCGTCGAGCAGATCATGGCCAGTGAACCTAACGGTGTTGACCGATCCCTTGACTGCGTGGGTGCAGAAGCTGTGAATACCAGACTCGAGAGGCAGCAGAATGTCATCCTTAACCAGATGATTGAGGTGACAAGACCCCGCGGTGGTATCGGCATTGTTGGTGAACACTCGACTGTGGGCAATGATACTGCTGGCGCACCTCTTGGAAGCACCTTGCAGCCTATCTACGAGCTCCCATTCTCTCAGCTGTACATGAAGAGTCTGTCGATTCGGGGTGGCTCAGTCGATCCTAAGCTTTACGCTGCCCAACTCATCGAGCTTATCGCCAGTGGAAAGGCCCGCCCTAGTTTTATCATCAGTGCACTGATCGACATGGAGGAGGTCCCTGAGTATTACGAGCGTTTCGATAGGCGAGAGGAGGTAAAGGTGGTTATTCGCTTTTAATTCTCCGGGACGGTAAGGTCTATTAAGGGGCGCGTCACTTGAAAGTGTTGGGGGTTTCTAAGATAGGGGCAGGAGGGGAGGTGGTAAGCGTTGAGAATCGAGAGAATGCCTGTTGCTGGATGTCTTCTGTTTGTAGCTACCTAGTTAGTAGAAAATGTGAAGCTTTTCACCTTTTCCATCATCGGTATAAAGCCCTCGGTGAACTCGTCTTGTACAAATTCTACGGAACAACAATTTCTGTGACTAAATACTAACTCTAGAGATGGCTGCTCTGTATCGAGCCACGCAAACGTAGGTATCTATGTCGTTAAGACCCTCCCTCTTATGAGCCTCAACGAGCTTGGATGATTTTAATTGTGGTTTTGTAGAACAGACCTGATGTAGGTCACACCTAGTTCATTTGGCCCTTGAATTCCTTCCCGGCCACTACAGAAGAAGAGAAGCATTTAATTGCGGGTATATGTGAAATGGCTGGCTAAAGGACATTGTACGAGACGGGGCAGAATATTTGGAAATCTTGATTAAAGACGTGGTGGTGTAGATCATATCTTGTTTCTGACTTACAGAACGGTGGTCATGCTTTCTCCCTGAATCAAAATCGGCCAAAGAAACTAGTAAATGTTGCGTGATGTCATATGGTCTTGAGGGACGTGGTTGAAGAATGCGTAGCGTGCGTTTCTGACAGAGCTGGGTTAACACTTTGGGGTTGACTGTTTCGAAATTGAGCGAGTTACCCAATCAAACTCTACAAACTGAGTCTTCAAGGTTAAAAGGAATTGGAAGTCTATTTCTAATTCTCGTCGCCTAATGCGAATATTGTGGGAATCTTTGTATCTATGTGGTTGTGGATAAATACAGATACATCAGTCTCTCAAATGCATACCAGCATTACCTGCACCATTAGTATCAGACGTGCTCTAACAAAGCAAAGCAATTAGTCTAGATACGTAAAGACAATATACAGGTTTAGTAGCTGAACTCCTGGCCAACAAGCTTCTCACTGAGCTTCCAAAGCATCTCCGCCGAAGCTTTATCAGTCACCCACGGGAAGACCTCCTGTGCGAAGGGGTCAGCCAGGCGAGAATGGTTCAGGAAAGCCCCGTTGTTCTTCGCAATTCCACTGTCAAACGCAGCGAAGACGTGAGTGGCGGCACCCTCGTCCAGATCCTTATATCGAACCTCTTGGTTGGACATCCACTTATTGCCCATCTTAGCATCCGCAGCCTGGAAACTCTTCACAAACTCGGCGAATTGGTCTGCAGCATGGGCGCCAAGATTGGTTCCAACAGAACCCGGACAAACGCTAAACGACAGGAGACCCTTGGAGCCAAGCTTCTCGGCGAGGGCGAGAGCAGTCAGTGAGACGGCCGTCTTAGACTGGCCGTATGAAGCCCACTTTTCATAAAGCTCTCCATTGCTGAAGTTGTAGTCCTCCCATCGAAAGAGGCCTTGGCGATGACCCATGCTGCTGATAAGCACGATTCGGGGCACATGAGAAGCAAGAATCTTTTCCATGATAAGGTTGGTAAAGAGGAAATGGCTAAGGTGGTTTGTCTGCAGTTGACTTTCGAAGCCGTCCTCGGTCAGGTGGTAGGGCACCGCCATGATCCCAGCATTGTTGACCAGAACGTCGATATGCGGGATATCATCCCAAGAATTCACAAGCTCAGCAGCTTTGCGAACCCGAGCGAGAGACGTCAAGTCTAACGCTAGAGACTTGACTTTAATTTCTGGGTGTGCGCTTGCCAGCTCATCAACCAGAGACTGAAACTTGTTCGGAGAGCGCCCAGCGAGAATGAAGGCTGCGGGTTTGCCAACAGCCACCTGCTTCACAAAGCTCTCGCCTAAGCTGCCAGCAGAGACTCCGGTGACCAGGATGGTTTTGCCAATGACTTTCGTGGCATAGAACGGCACGAGCTCGCTGGCCTTGGTTGTCTCATCGAAGTTGGGAGCCATGATGATGATGGTACGTGTGAGAACAAAAGGAGGTTGCAGACTGAGTAGGTAGGTTTATAGAAGTTATTATGGAAGTATGGTATGTTGTGATGTTAAGTGAGTGAGAGTGATGGGGGTACTTGTACTTTTATACATTAGCATGCTATCAGATTGCACATATACTCTTGCCAACGACCGCACAAATGGCTTGCTTGCTTCATGCGTGTAGTGCAACATAGTGGGCCTTGCGTACAAAATTAATTCTTCTGACGCCGGGTATAACATATGTAAACTCCGAAGTCTTGTTACGAAGTGAAAGTGACCTGAGGTTTAATGAGCTAGAGGCATTGAGATGTCTGGGAAGTTCACCGTCATTCGTGAACCAATTGCTGCAGTTTGTGGCTGGAGCACCAGTTAACTCCGACGGCAATCCGGTGGAGAGATAGCGGAAGTTCAGTGGAAAACTAGTGATAGCCTAGTTAGCAGGAATGCAAGCAGGATGCAGTTGAAGCGGTCAAAAAGCAATTCATATAGTAGACTTGAATTAGCAACCTGGTAAATCAGGTAAATTTATTGTATCATACGTCCACGTCGCTTGCAATGGCTGATTTACAATAAACTTGAATGTCTATTAGAATAAGTAAGTATTTTGTTCACTCAAAATATATCTAGACTACCTACTACGTAGGTGAAACGCACTTAAGTGGGACCGAGCGTGTCCCGTTGCTTATAAAAGGAAAAGTGCCCAGGAATCTTCCACCAAACCTCCGCATCAAACTTCCGCAGAGGCGTCTCCGTTTCTCGACACCTATCAACGACACATCACCAGCTCGGACTTTGGATTTCGCACAGAAGCGAGCCCCTCCCAGCATTACTTCCACGTTAAAGACATTCCTTTTCCCGCCACTATCACTAATATGGCTTCGTCCCTTCCGCCGAGTGAGCAAAAAGCCTGCTTCGGATGTGCAACGGCGAAGAGGGCGTGCGACAAGCAGAAGCCGAGCTGCCAACGGTGCGTTGAAAAGGCTACTCGTTGTCAGTATCCAACGACGCGTAGATACCTCCGCTTGAGGCCAGCAATAAACACCCCGAGCCGGCTACAGGGCTCGTCAAAACGAACGGGGCATCTCGATGTTCCAGAAAATGACTGTGTGACGGATCTGCCGACTCTGGACTCTCCGATAACCAACCCTGTCACCCGCAAGCCCTGGTTCGTCGGTCTGGAGAACTGGACGATTGAGAACAAGGGTACCACCACATGCCGCTTCAGCTCAGGGCCTTCCCATGGTTCCCCGCAACTTGGAGACTGGACAAGGAGTCTTTGGCATTGGTTACGGCAGTGGGTTGACGAGGGCAGCAATCCATTCATCCATAAGCAGCTCTACTTTGATACTGGCCTACCTCCATGTCTCGAAGACGCATGGACAACACTAACCGCGTACTTTTCCAAGACAGCCTTGAATAAGCATCTAGTAATGCAGATTATCGAGCACCGTGTCGATGCTCTTCTCCAATCTCAGCCCCATGACGATACTTCGTTCATGGCAGTGCCTAGCCTGCAGACTGTCCAACACTTGGCAAGGGTGCAGGCTCTCTTCATCTACCAATACCTCCAGTTCCACGATGGGTGTATTCGCCAGAGGGCAATGGCAGAGCGGTACATTCCAACCTTAATGCTGTGGTGCGAGCAGCTTTGGCTATCGGCTACTTTGGACGCAGTCCACAACGAGCAATTCTTGACCACAATGGATCTGAGTGAGCCTGATGCCATGGCCGAAACCCTGGCTTCTAAGCACTGGAAGGCCTGGATTCTCAGCGAAAGTCTGCGGCGGACATGGCTCGTTTGCACAAGTACGATAGCGTCGTATCTCAGAGAAAGAGATGGCTGGAACGAATGCGCGGGTGAGATTCGATATACGGCTTGTCGGGGATTATGGGATGCATCTTCGTCGGCAATGTGGCTGGAGTTGAGCAGCAAGCGAGATCCTCTATTTGTCAGAAGCCTCCACGTCGATGAGCTCCTGTTGAAGGTGGCCCCTACTGAGGTGGACGACTTCTCTGCTGTCCTCATGCGGCTTCTAATAAGCAAGGATGTGATGGAGAGCTGGGGTCGCGAGTGAGCCACACAACCACAGCGTCATGAGCCGGTACATGTCATAGACAAGACGGAGAGCTATGTGCGATGATGCAGCAACGTTCAACCCCGGCCTGTGGCTTGGTGTTAGCAGCAAGTGTGATGAAAGGTCAACTCAAGACCGATGTGGGAGTCGAGTTTAGGATGGTAGATTGTCCAGCCATATCTAGTATATAATAAAGGAGTTTTAATTCTAATTAAGAGATATTATAGATATTTTTTTAATTCTCTTTAATAAAAATAGGGTATTATAAGAGAGGATACTAAGAATAAAATATTACGGCTCTGTAGATAGTAGTGTATATTTTATTATAAGGCCATCAAGGCTACTTAATATAACTCTATTCAAAGCTGACGTGCACTAGCAGCACGACTCTACCATGTATATAGCTGAAGAGACAATAGTGCTATTCCGAATAGTTAACCTCCAAGGGGTTAGAGGGCTTCAGACGGGGCATCGAAATAAGCCTTCCAGACCGCATGACGGATAGCACGTGAAATAAGAGACTTTGGATTGGAGCTTATAACAAAAAGAGTGTGATTTGGGCCACTACAGACTACCCCCGGTGTATTTTGTGTTGTTTGTAATTAGCGCCAGTGGAAACATTTGACTGTAAAAGAAAAAGCAACGGCGATGGTTCTTGTGTTGCAGTAGTTGATCAGCATGCCCTCGATCTATGTATGAGCTGCTATATTGTTTCTGCCTTGATCCTGTCCCATTCCTATATATGTATACTCTTCCCATGATGATAGGCGACCAGGCGCTAGATCGACCTATAGAAACATTAATCAAAGACGTATCAACACCAGTGATTGTCCTCGTCCCAATCCTCCTCCGTGGGCTCCCATTCATCCCGATGTTCTCCAAGTCTCTCCATCAGCTGGTCGACAGCATCGAAAGCTTCATCTCTCCTAAAGGCATGGGGCCATCCGAAGCCCCGGTACAGCTGCCTGATATACTGGATATCCAGGTGTGTGCCCCATTCCCCTTCCTGTGCAATCACGTCTTCCTCCGTGATGATCTCTCCCCGCTCTTTAACTTTCCCGGCTTCGATAGTGGTCCGTCCGCGACAGGGTATAATCTTGAGATTGATATAGTCTTGCTTTAATCCTTCGAAAAACACTTTCAGGTCGACTTGGGGGAGGTCATGCATCAGGCGTTCTTCTAGAGTAATTTCCCCATCTCTCACATTCAACCAGATGTTTTTGCCCCAGGCTTCGCGGCCAGTAGCCAGTGGGAAAACATCGCGCATGTCAATGATAATCTGTCGTCGCTCTGAATATATCTCATCTGATCCCGTTACTCTCCCCCACATAACCTCATCATAACAATCCTGAGGCAGGGTTGGATAGTCTACCAGTCGAGACTGATAGTGGATGAAAGCTTTGCAGTCGTTGTCAAAGTAGGGAATGCGCTTTATGACTTGGCCGACTATATCTGAGCTCCCAAGGCTTTTCAATAAGGGTTCCATGCCGGGCCAGCCTTCTGCTGGGGGAAGTTTGAGGTACTGAGCATCGTAATGAAGTGTTGTCAAGAATAGATAGAAGTCCAGAAGAACTGCAGCGACCTCTGCGGGCGAGTAGCTTTTTTCTGAAAGCGGTGGCATTTTTGTTGTGGAATTCCTTCAATTATGCCGATGGCTGGTACGTATATACCTAGACTGTAGATAACAGTACTGGCAGGAAGGGTGAGCAGGAAGATATATGATTTCGAGAGGTGGCCTTTTCACTCTTAACAAGTGTTGGTACCCCCATGTCCAGAAACAAAGGTTCCCACAATATGTTACTGGCGGAACGGACATTGCCCTTTTCGTAAATGAAGACCCGGTAAAACTAGCCGAGAGTACCCGAGTCAGTCAGTACAATACGTAAGTCAATCACTGATTCCAAGGCCATGTCGCCCAATGCTTGGTTTATTTACTTCAACCCCTTGATATAGCTGGGTTTGCTATCAGAAATGCTATCTGGCCTGCCTGTGTTGACTAAAGTAGTTGGCCTCTAACTATTTGTCGCCATTTGGCGTCTTTGCATTTGGGTTGTATCTCTTTTTATAATCCCACACCTTCGCTGTCGGGTTCTTGTCATACCACTCGTCAAAGGAAAGGAGCACAAATCCAGGGTCAGTCTTGGCCGCCTTCTTTGGCCAACATCCATTATCCCACAATCCCGCATCTCGTAATTTGTTTCCGACCAACGCGGGCTCATCAAACTCGTAAGCAAAGCTGAACTCCGGTCGTACTTCAACATCAACCTCCACATTCAACCTCGTGATATCGCCAGTTACCGCTTTGGGACCCTCCTTGCCATCCTTGACCATCTTGTAGAAGTCGTCGACAGTCATACCGTCAAGAGCGGGAGCAAAACAGACACCTTTCCATTCATGGCCAGCTCCTGCATTCTGGCGGCGGTTGAGCCATCGCATTCGCTGACCAGTCCTATCAACACCCGATTTTTGAAAAGTATCAGATGTCGGCGAGAGTAGGTAGAAAGGAGGCCATTCGTCCATGTCGCAACGGGGGTCGTCACGAAGACTCGCGTGTCGCCAGCGGCCTATGTGTTCTGCCTTCCAAGCCTTGGTTGCCTGGGGTGCTGGGACGCCGTCCCCTCGCTCACGTGCTGTTGATGCGGCCTCCTGAGGACATGTCAATGTCGACCAATGTGGATTGTTGACGTTTGCTGAGCTGTAGTGGTAGCAAGCCTGTGTGTGAGCTTCCTTACAAGTGCTTGTAACACCCGTAGGTTTGGCATTGGCCGCGTATGTCAGGGATGTGACGACATATATGGTCGTCACCGTCTTGTCATTTGCATCACACTCGAGAAGCTGGAGGGTATTGTGCAACGCGCCAAGTTGTTGTGTTTGCGAAGCCTTGGGAACACTGCATTTTGGTTTTGGCGTCGGTGTCGGTGTCGGTGTCGGTGTCGGTGTCGGTGTTGGTGTCGGTTTGGGATTGGGATTGTTGCCGCCTGCCGGGGGCTTCTTGTTACCGCCAATTGGCCGAGGTGCGGAACGATCCGTAGGGTTCCCCTCGTCGCCCTTCTTTCCGCTACCCTTCTTGATGTTCTTAAGGCCTCTGAAGCTACTACGACCAGTGGGAACCTGACCGAGAATGTCATACGCTTGCTTGATCTCCTCTGGTACAAGGTCGGTCCCTCCGCAAGGGCTCAGCCACCATTCAAACGCTCCTGCGGGATCCTCATCCTTATTATAGACCCAGTTGATCATTTCAGCACCTGTTAGAAGCATGTCTGCTGATTGTTAGCGGTTGTTTCGTTGGCTAGCAATGGAACAAAAACATACCTGCTCCGGCGGTGAGCGCTCGGCCGGGTGGGAAGAACGATGTCCCAACATCTATGACCAGTTTGATGGTGGAGAAGAAGATGTAGCAAATGGTCTACACCAAGGTGTAAGTAAATAAGTTGACTGACTGAGTCTTAGGCTGCACGCATATGAACTTACTTGAAATATAGCTGGCAGCGCCTCCATAATCGTGTCCATGAGGTCGTTCAATATCCAATTGTCACATGAACACTGCCCACCGATGATTTCAAGGCCAGTTGAAGGTGACCTCTGCCAGGTGATTGGCGAGTCGAGGGGTCTTAGGGAATAACAGCCGTAATTGGAAATCCGACCTTCTTCTTCGGCTTCGTCAAGCGTAGCTTGGCATTGCTTCTTGCATGATTCCAAACCATCTTGTCTGTCGCTCAGCCCCCGATAGATATAGCACATCTTGTTATTCTCATCTCGGGCCTTGACCGAGTCCTCGTCGTAGTCGGGCGGTACAGTGACGATGCCTTCGGGAACTTCATCCTCGTCATCCGCAGTGCTTGACGGCTTTCGCATACAGACTGTGCTGGGACAAAAGCCGTACTTGCATGCAAACTTGCACAAGCGGTTCAAATCGACATCGAAGGGGTCATTTGCCACGATCTCGTCCCTGTTCTTGACCGACGGCAACTTGTCAGGCTCCCCTTCTTCAATACAGGTACAGATCGATTCAGGGCAGAAGCCGTATCGACACGCGAAGTAGCACAGGTTCCCACCATCGTCCTTGTTGTCTTCACCTCCCCTACACTTTGTCCCTGACTCTGGAATGTCTGGGGGCGCATCAAAATCTTCGTTTCTGAATTGCTGCAAGTCAACGGCCCAATCAATAGTGCCAGCGAAATTGAAGTCTTTCCAGATGACGCGCCGCACGAACTTGTCACTGTCTGTCATGTAACTGATATAGTCGCCTACCGTCTGTTAGTGCCTGAGACGCATATACTTGAAAGGAGATAAGTACCTTTGTAGAGTAAGATGTTCGACTCAGAGCTACTGTCATAGAAAGCCTTCTTGCTTCCACCTGACAGCAGAATCTCATTGATTTCAGCATTAGAGATGTATCCTCCTTCTTTGGTACATCTCCCAGGGGTTGCGTCTGAAACAGCTTTGGAGCCTGTGAACTCGCACTCAGGTTTCCAACAATCTGGCTTGGCCATACGGAACGATCTTCCGTAACTCGATTCTCCAACAAATATCTTGTTGTTTGCTACACCGGCTTTGGTAACTGCAAGGCCTGGTCAGTCAAACTATCAATGATCAGTCTGGGGGCTGTACTTACTCATGGATAGGGCCTGTCTGGTCTCGGTCATGTTGACTACAAACTGTCAGTTATCATCTTTAGATGATCAAGCTCACTAGAATACTCACCATGACTTCGTATACATTTTCCAGATGGACATTCGTCAAAGGCGTTGGGATTGCCGTAGTCCCATTGACCGTGCAGGTCGTAGGTCATATAGACGATATAATCCACGACTTCCGAGATACGATCAATTGGGAAGGCCTTGAGGTACCAATATGATGCAGGGGCTGCAATAGAGAGTGACATATCAGAATCGAGTTTCTCCCTCAGCGTAGTCAGAAATCGCAAGTAGTTGACACCATCCGACTTGGCTCCAATGGGTGATCCTCCGACCATGATGTCCTCAGCCTGTTTTGGATCAAAATATTAGCACCGATCAAAAGACACGACGAAGAGTGAAAGCCTCAAACAGAAAGGCAGTACTACTCACACCAGGGTATTCCCAATCAATATCAACACCATCAAGACCCTCGTCCTTTACGAACTTGGCAAGATTGGTGGCAAAGGTCTCGCGATTAGTGATAATGGCATTCCGAATAATGGCATACTTGTCTGGAGCTGTCGAGTCAGCCCAACCACCGAAGGAGACGATGCGCTTTGCCGAGAGCTTCTTAAAGTCAGCCCACTGGTCCTTTCCCTCTTTAATAATAGGCTTCCAGGTCTGCGGGTCGATAGAGGCAAAAGCCCAGTGAATATGTGTGTAAGATCCGTCCGTGTTAGCGTTCTTGGCCTTGAGCCATAAGCAGTCGCGCGCAAAGTTCCAGGCTTCGTAGTATCCAATTCTACTCCACTCCTTCGGGCGACCAGAGTTCTCCCTGATGTTGTGCCCACAATTGGATACACATGTGTTCTGGTAGCCTTTCATCTTGCTTCCAGGGCCACCCACGTCAGGTTCATTTATGGCACAGTGGTCAGGAAAGATACCGCAAAACCCCCAGTTACTGCAGCAGGCTTTTAAAGGGCATGGATTCAGATCTGCAAGGGATATGGAGCTGTTGGCTGGTCGCTTGGTACCCGGTACCAGAGGTCCGCACGCAGCTCCCTCTTGAGGTGAAGGCATGGGCGGTGATCCTGAGCTGAGGCACATGCTGTAGCTTACAAGGAGGTCGGTGCAGTCAGTCCAAGCCCATGTGTTCTTGTTCCACTTCTCCAACTCCTTGACAGTGACGCTATGCTTCTTGGCTAGCTTAGCGCAAGTGTCCCCGTCCTCAATGACGTGGGTTGCGCAAGTTCCATCTGCTTCAGGCTTGGGACCCGAAGGTTTGTATGGATCGCCAGCTGAGCAGCAAACGTGATCTCCTTCCTCGAGAGAAGCACAGAGTCCAGATTGGGGATTGTACTTGACAAAGTCGGCACCTCGAATACCACAACGACGTGCAAGAGTAGTGCAGCTATCACCATCACCAACCACGATATTCTTGCAGGTTGCGCGCTTCCGAAGAATGCTGGAGTCAATGAATTCTGCGAGTCTTTCTACAAGCTTCTTGGGCTCGTTGGAAGGGGAAGGTGTAGGAGTGGGTATTGATGTTGGCTCATCGAGATCTGGAAGGTGTGTGATTCCAGCTATGTCGTACACCTTTACATTCGAGAGTGATCCCGAAAGCACGACGTCTTTGCCAACGGCCGAAGACCCTTCACTCCACTGTCTAGTGGCTTTCTGAACGGCGGCGATGTCGCCGGTAGTGTCCAGGAAAATACCAAACACACGGTTCGCCTTGCGTCCTGAATCGTGGAGCTGGACGAAGGTCTGGTTTGCAATGGAACTCGAGCTTTCCAAATGCTGGGAAAGGGAGTAAAGGGCCGAAGAAGCAGTGGACTTGCCTAGACCAGCCCCAATGTATAACCCGACGACAATTTCACCGTGGTAACCGAACAAGAAGTTTTCATTGCAGTTGTCCTTTGCGTCGAAATACTTCTTCATTCCTTGGAGAAGACTGATAGCGTTGGTAGCAACCGTCTGGTTGTGAGTAACACCCCGGCTAGTACCAAGGCTCAGTTTGTCCTTGACTAGCGTGCCGCTCTCAACACAAGCTGCTGAGGTCTTCAGACTGCCTCCCTCGTAAAGGGTTTTATCCTTCTTCGGGTTTTCAACAACAGTTGTGGTGTTCTTGATGACAGATCGCGACTTTGGTGTGAGCGTGCAGCCACGGATCAGAATCGTCGAATCTAGGCTGTCCAATGGCTGTAAAGCAGAGAACTTCAGTAGCATGGGGTCATGACAACGCTGCAGCCGTTGGACAGAGAAATAGGTGATCCAACTGTGAACGTTGGAGAAGTCCGTACAGGCGAGAGGGCAGTCATGCTGATCAGGATGATAATTGTTGATGTCACTGATGGGTGACGGATCATCATCACCAGCTGGATCAACGGCCTGCGTGCCATCCAGATTAATGGCACAGTCGGCAACAGTGGCTGCCCATATGAGACAGAACAGAAAGAATGAATATATTGACCAACTCATGTTCATGAAGATAGTACATGAGAAATAACTGAAAATAAGAGTAAAAGAATGATATTGTTCGAGATCGTGAATAAAAGATTGGACTGAGAGATAATGATGGTAGACGTAATGAACGACAAGATGAACGAGTGTTTGTGAAAGACAGGACTAGTTTGTATCTATTAAACATAGATGGCTATCCTCTGTACTTATTAGTATAATGACAGATACTGAGAACTACCGCCAGGGCGACCTTCTACCAAGTGGCCACCCGAAGGATAGGCGACGATGGAAAAGTCTGTCTGCAACGGACAACGCACAATAGTGGCCCTGACATGATAGGAAATTACCAGTAGCTGCATACTGTTCAACCAACACGATTTCTATGATGGATATCACAAAGGTCCATGCAGCTCGTGACTCGGTAAAGTAGAGAAATATGAGACGCAGGGATCATGATTGTCCCGACCCGCAACATCCGCCTCAAAAACACAGACTAAGCTACAGAGATTCGAGTCACGATGTTTCATCCGGTCACAATAAAATGAAAATTTCCTCCAGGAACGGATGCTCGTGAGCTCGCTCCACGACGTATCTAGACTATCGCTTGCAGCCCCGAGTTGGGAAGTACCTAGCACGACTTTCGCTTGGCGGTTGTTGGTTCAGAGTTTAATATCCCTGCTTCCATTTTCGGCCACTACCCAAATAGCTTATTGATCAGCAACTGAACTGTTGGTTCGAGGAAGTTACAAGGGGAAATTTTGTATCCGTCTTGGCTCGGACGAGAAAAGCCAGCTTGGCAGCTGGCATCACGTTCAGCCGCTCATGGTACGTTACATACATCTTGAGGAATTAAACGATCCCTTACTGCGGCGTTCATCTCGAACGAGTCATTAGCAAACTAAATTGACTCATCCTACGATTCAGTACAGCACGAGCTAACGAAAGCGCTTTGACAGAGGCTGGAACTTGGCTCAGGGTTCTTTTGCCAATCACGCTTTGTAAGGATCATTCTGTAAAGGTGTATCTGCAAGCTTTGCCTCGGAAGTACGACTTTATCATATGATAGATGAACTTCAATCTTTCTTCCTTCGCCCACTTGTGGATCAAGACAAACCTTCCATCCTGCACTTGTACACACTCATCATTCATTCAATCTCTACTCATTCATCCCAAAAAAACAAAGACGAAATGAAGTTTACTGTGGCCGTCCTTTTCTTACAGTTCTCCGCTGTCAATGGTGTAATCTATGATACGCTCTTCCCTTCGGAGAGGCCAGCTGTTACCGAAGACCCCGTCGATTGCATCTTTGAAGATTTTTATCCCTACTTTTCTGCCCTGACTCCCAATGGCAGTCTCTCAACAGCACTTCTGTCCTATGCCGACGTGCTCATCAAGGACTGCCCCTTGACTGACACGGATGTTGTGGGACTCCTAACCTGCCCGTACCCTGCGCTTTCGGACTGGTGCTCCTTCAGTGATCACGCACCCACAACTTTATTGCCTGCTTGGTCCTCCTACGGTAGCTCAGCCTCGTCTTGGTGGGCGTCCAACAGCGCTCACGCAGTCAAGTATGCCCGCCTCTGCAAGAAGAAGTGGTTCAATCAGATGATTGGCGTTGTCTACGGCTCAGTTCGACTGAACAACACAATCCATTGGGGAGAATGTTACGCCCAAGCCCATGCTACCCTGGATGGCAAAGTCACCGCAACGGCAACAGCAACAACTGGAATGAAGGCTACCTCTATGGCGCCTAAAGAGACTAAGGGGACGTCGAAGGAGGGTGATAAGGACGAATCAAGTGGCAATGGAAGCAAGGCTCGAAGCCCAGATGCTTGACTCTTTGCAGGAATTGGGTTTGTGGCAGCTGCTCTCAATCACATTATGTAACCAGCAGAGCTTCAACTCGGTTCCTCTTAAACTTAATATGCGTCGCTGGTATAGTCTTTGCTTTTCTTTGCGGGACTATCGCAATCTTTGACAGAAAGATAAATCCATTGCATCCCAACACTATATAGCAAATTCCAATAGTGTCGGTAAATCAGTAATGCCAAAACTATTGTCTAGTGATAGATACATGATATTATTTTTGTAAATACATCAATAGACATACAGATGACATTATTTCCCTAATTCAAGTCTATTGAGTCTCAACAAATCTTTCTTTTTTCGGGCCGCCATACTCAGGTACCGATTTCGTCTATCTGTGCGCAAATTATGCGTATTCCTTGATAGATTGCAATTCACCTGACACGTGCTCTCGCTTTACAGAAGTAAAAAGGATCAAGCCTAGTGACGCTTGAGGCTGGCAGTCGGAACGGCTATCCGTGTGTCACGGTAAACCTCTCAACGTGATTATACGAGTGCCAAGAGCTGCAAGGGTTAAAAGAAAACTCAATTTCAGAATCAAAATAGTATGAGATGTGTGGCTAGTGCCAAGCCCGTATCATCCCGAATCGCAATGATATAAACCCTGACAAGACACAACCAACATGATATAAATCCTTACAAGACACAACCAACAACTACCAGTTTCCTAAGCTTCTCCGAAATTCCCACTTAATTCGGTCCTATCCACTTATCCAGGGTGAACATTTCCCGACCAGTGGAGCTCTGACTAAACGCATTCATGAGACTGGCGCTACTGATAGATGGCCGGAGTTGGACCCTGCATCGGTATCCACCAACAACCAACAGACATCTGAAGCCTCACTTAGCATCCAGGGAGCTCTTTATGTGGTAGCCCAGATGGATATGCAATCTCTTTCCTGGGACACAGTTGTAATCAGCTGCATAGCCTGAATGGTTCTCAGTGAAGATCTCACATGGCACGATGAACAGAACCTCGGGAGTCATACGCATTGGCAACCGTGCAGACAGGCTCAGAACACCGCCATCAGTCCTATCACCAAATGTCATGTCTAGGAAGTACGGGGGGGGGATGGTAAAATTACCCTTAGCTTCTTTGAAAACTTCAAAAAGCCGCTGTTCTGCATACCGCTACTTGCTTCCTTCAGCTTGTTGCCCATCAGCTTTTCTTTCTCATCATGACACGACTCCTCCACCTTCTAGCCTTTGCTGGGATTTTACAATTCGGCGCTGGTGCAGCCATCGCCCCTAGGTCTTCGGAACCCAAGTATTCTTACGATGAGAAGACATCGGCAGACTGCACTTGGTGGTTTGACATGGAAGCGGCCATATCTTGCAGCACTCTTTTAGAGAACGAAGCCATCACTATTGAGCAGTTCCGCCGATGGGTGAGTCAACCCCGTTCGAGTCGGTACAAAATGTTTCTGATATCATTCTATAGAACCCTTCTATCAAAGAGGCATGCGGTGGATTGACCGTGGGCAGATCTTACTGCGTTGAAGCCCAGTTTGAATCGATCCCAGAACCACAGCCCGGGAACCCACCCAAGCCAAGCAGCACGAAGCCTACTCAACCCTCACCTACAAAGACTTCAAATGGTAAGTCGTAGTATGGCTGCCAACTAACGGAGGAAACTGACGGAAACTAGGGGTCGAAACTTCTCAGCCGACCCAGCCTGACATTGTGGATAACTGCAGAACCTTTCACCTGGTCCAAAAGGGTGAAAACTGTGCTTCGATCGCCGCAAAGAACAAGATTCCCCTTGCCAAGTTCTTGGAATGGAATGGCGATGATGACTGCTCAAGTCTCTGGGCTGATGCATGGGCTTGTGTCATGACACTCGATTACAAGCCTGGTGACCAACCTGCACCTTCGCCTACACAGCCTTCCAACGGGTGAGTAATATCTAGGTATTCCATGTCGCCCTCCTTGCTAATCTTCAACAGTATCACTACACAGCAACCTACACAGCCACATATTGTCGACAACTGCAATAAATTTCACTTTGTACAATCCGGAGAAAGCTGTGCAGCTATTGCATCCAAGTACTCCATCACCGGTGCCCAGTTTCTCAAGTGGAATCCATCGGTCGAGGATGGCTGCACTGGTCTGTGGGCCAACGCCTATGCCTGTGTCTCCGTCATTGGCCACACTCCATCACCCAGTACCAGAGCTACCACCACAAAAGCCACGACTACAAAGGCTGCAACATCTTCAACAATACCAGTCCAGGCCGGGATTGATAAGAATTGCAACAAATTCCATCAAATTCAGTCGACTACAACCTGCACTTCGATCGAGAAGTACTACAGCCTCCCGTTTGCCACTTTTTTCAAGTGGAATCCTTCCGTGGGAAACAACTGTGAATCTCTTTTGGTTGGATACAATGTCTGTGTTGGTGTTACAGGCTGGAAGCCCACTCCCACGACTGGAAATAATGGCATTGCAACGCCCTCGCCTATCCAGACGGGTATGATAAGCTCATGCAACAAGTTCCACCCCATAGCCGCGAAAACAACATGTGATTCGCTCAAGTCGTACTACAACCTCGACATGGCTGATTTCTTTAAGTGGAATCCGGCTGTTGGTACTGCATGTACGAAACTCTGGGTTGGTTACAATGTGTGTGTTGGGGTTATAGGCCAGAAGCCCAAGCCTAGCCCGACTTCTAAGCCTACTGGTGTGCCGACCCCTGACCTTGTTCAGCCTGGTATCGTCAAGGGGTGCAAGAAGTTTCATGAAGTGAAGGCAACAACTACGTGCGCTTCTATTCAGAAGTACTACTCGATTACAATGGCTCAGCTGTATAAATGGAACCCTGCTATTGGGTCGGGATGTACCAAGTTATGGCAGAAATATAGTGTCTGTGTATCTGCCTAGATTTGCGGATTAGAACACTATCAATCAGCCTATTCCGCCTGAGGAATCTGGCGGAATGTTTCAAAGTCTGTATATTATATGATGTATAATCTTGAAACCTTTTCTTACATACACGATCAAATCAGTGACACGAAGATGGTGATAAGCTTTCATTTTTAATTTGCAAAATCGAAACTTGTAATTATTTTATTTAAAATTTAGTTTTCCTAGGTTCTGTCTTACTGATTTGAGAGCGGCCCCACGAAAACCCATCTAATAAGCCTTCTCTACTAGCTATTCGGGCAGCTACGGCTTTCGCCTAATGCGTCGCTTAGAGGAAGACATTAAAAATGTTCTTAAGAATTGTAAGAAGTTTGAAGAAAACCGGTTGACGTAATCCTGCTAACTCTACGGGTCTGGACAGCAATATGTTGTCTGAAAGAGAAAGAAAAGCACCCTCCCGGAGTATTCAGGGGATGCCATCGCTTTTATGCCTCTATAATGATAGCTTTGACTTGGGGGTGCGATTAGCTGACAGTTTTCTCTCTGTTTGTTGAAGTCTAAAGTTTTCTGATCCCCCGGAGGTTGCATATTACGACTAGTACTATCGTCTCTTCAGCTCTATTCATGGTACATACTAACTAATATTCATGCTGCCAGGCTCGTAGAAAATACTGCCAAGAATGGACTTCACTCTGTGAGGGTTGCAGGATAAGGTGAGAAGTCTATCGAACTGCCGGATGTCTCGTCCATAGATTGGTTCCTCTGTCGATTCTGCGCTTGATCTGGTTCTTGGAGGTGCAGTGCACATTCGTGGCACCGGAAGTAGGACGCTTGTCCTGTCATACTTGGCCAACGGGAGCATGAGGGCTGTCGCAAAAGCAACACGGCTTTGATCGTGAGCGGAATGGAGTGTACAATAGTTTGAGATATACTGAACTACCGTCTCAAGACCCGGGCAGCGCTGATGACTTGGCGTGTTGCTCCTCGAGGCGCTGAATAACCGTATAGCTGGAAGCGATTCCAATGTTGTGGACCAAGGAGGCATGAATTTATAGTGGCCACACGACATGGAAGCCTTCCAACCTTGGCCTGGCGAGATTATAGCTGCCCACCATCGTGCAGCCTCGTCACTGACGTTCCCAACATGTACGATTGCTTCTGTGTTGTCGCAAGCAGGCGTGGCTAACCACTCGGCTTGGCTGTCAGTGTACTCCAGTGGCGACGCTTGAGGGAAAATCTCGACCCATCGCGCTGATAAAACATACGCCCATGCGAGGACAAGGACTGTGAGATGATTGTCGTTTTGCTGAAACCCGACAGATGGTGGGAGAGGCAATTTGGTTGAGGTAAACAATTTGGTTGGCGTACCAGCATACGGGAACATTGAAATAGGCTGCTCGAAGGGTGGTAGATCGCAAGATCCTGTCCCAGGAACCCACGTTGATGTGGCTGCCAGTAACCCAGTATCATCGAGTTCAACTCCGATCGGAAAATAAGGGTGTTGAGGGAAGAGATGCTCGACCTGTAAGCTGGCTGATGGAATTTGAGGATCTTCGGATGCCTGCTTCAATAAGGCTGACCAGGTGCTATAGCCTTTCTCATAGAAAATACCAGTAAGGAAATCATCGAGCCGCAGAGGGTCATTTGCCACTATTTTAGGTAAACAAGACTCCATCGTTAACCGATGCGGAGGTGGGTGAATGACTAGGCAGACACAGTTGTTGGTTTGACATGTTCGGAAATTAAAGTGAAACACGGTTAGTAGAGTCAGTCATACATATGCAATCAAAATATGTGCGACTAACGGTTATGTGCTATCGGGGAGACACAACCAACAGCCAACAGCGAATATCAGGCCAGGTGTTGGTTCTCGTTGCCTGGAGCTTTTTGCATTCACCCAGACGACCTTCTGGAGTTCTCGCTGAAGAATATCCTTAAGTAGAATAATAGAATCATGGTCTATCTAACTCCAATTAAGATGGACTTTTACCGTCAAGATGACGTATGATTCGATGAATTGGACGTTGGCCCGATTTTGCTCTTTGATAGGCACTTACCGAATAAAAGGACGGCAGTCACTTGACATGAACTTGATCGTATACATAAAGGGCACACGTAGAACTGTAGAAGTGAGAGCGTATACTTCTCAAATCATCATGAGCCTGGACTTGAACTGGATTGGATTGTGTTGCCTGAGTGGAAGGGTTGTGACTTGGCGAAGGAGTATTCCAGTAAAACACAGGAATCCAGCAGATATAAACTCACGGGGGTTACATAGACCATACTTTAATCACAAGACCTAGCTCCGCTGTATAAATTTGATACATGAAATTTGACGTGTCCGACTTTATTCTCGCGCAATCTGATAGTTAGGAAGATTCAGAACTTGTTGATATTGTAGTGATGTTAAATTCGAACTGTAGACTGGAGTGTCATATATCCCCAACATCTGTACACTTTCAAAGAATATTCAATCATTGACTAATATTATTTCAACCTCGCTTTGACTGAGAAAACTCTGTCTTGCGCAAAGCATAGCGTTACTTGCGACATCGACAAAACCTGATCATTCTTACACAATGATCATCAAACATGGACGTCGGAACACACCCGCTACCAAATTCGGATGAGGTTTGTGATGCATGCTATTAATCATAAGTGGCTGCATAGTATAGGCATATCAGGTTGGGTGAAAGTTGCCTATCTTGGTGATATATCGCGCGATTAGGCCGCTCTCATGAGACCCTGAAATGTGGTGCAACCAGATCTACATATCCTACATACCAATAGGATCACTCCATTATTCGAGGTTGTGTGGTGATGAGACATTTGCGTAAGAAATGCTGCCTATGTACAACACTGAGCAGATCACATTGCTAATACCAATCTTGCCGGCCCCATTGTCAATATGAGAAGAAAAGCATTTTTAAAGTGTCTATAACCTAAAAACACTTCAATCCGCAAAATGAATCAAAACAGCTACCTGCCGTCAAAAGCACAAAATCTTGGCGTTGATAACAATATAAGCTTAACCTCCTAGCATCATGCCGTATCGGGCCCTGTCCGACGGAAACTACCTACTTGGGTAAAATCTCCATGTCGTTCCTTCAGCGGCAAATCACGCGAGAATTGCAGAACATCCCTCATGGGTGGAATTCCGATAATCGACCCGCAAAATGCCTTTCTGGAGTGTCTACTTCCATGTCAGTGCGGGAACCTGGCATTTTTAGACGAACTGTACTGCAGGGTCGCGGTGCCTGATATATAACTCCTGTTTCATCGTTGATGTGGTTTTTTTCATATTCGTATTCAGCTCGATATTGAATTTCGGCACGTTTGATATTGAGAATGGCTGTGACTATGACGACTGTCACTGCTGAGCAGACCGATGCGCCTGCTGAAGCTGTTGAATCTCATCCTCCGCAGACGGGGCTCTTTAAGCACATCTCGAAAGTGTTGCCTTACTTTCGCAATCCCAGACATGTTTTGATACTCAAGCTTGACTGTCTTCTTCTCACATGGACATTCATCGCTGGTATTATGAAGGAGATGGATCAGTCTGCAACTACACAAGCCTATGTCTCTGGAATGAGAGAGGCATTGGGTCTATACGGCAATGAGTTGGTTATGTTCAACACGTACTTTTCTATTGGATATGCCATTGGACTTGTCCCTGGACAATTGGCTCAAACGAGGGTAAGTACAAATCACACTTTATCAGTTCTTGTTGAATGCTAACCAAATGACAGGTCCGGCCGTCTCTGTTTCTTCCTACCTGCGAGATCATCTGGGGACTCTTTGTGATAGTGTAAGTCTTCACCCACAGCCTCACCACCTGTACTTCACTTACACCAAACCACAGCACCTGCAAAGCTCCAGACGCAACAACTATCTACGCCCTTCGATTCTTCCTCGGCCTCTTCTCAGCCGTCTTCTGGCCTAGTGTCGTCTCTCTAATCTTCAACTGGTACACCCCCAAAGAACTCGCCTTCCGAATTGCCTGCTTCAACGTCTCCGACGTCGCCGGAGCCATGTTCCTCGGTGCCCTGCAAGCAGCGCTCTACCGCAATCTCAACGGCGCCCACGGAATAGCCGGCTGGCAATGGCTCTTCATCGTCTCGGGTGTTATCACCATCGCCCAGGGAATCGTGGGCTTCTTCATCATCCCTGATACACCAGCGTATACGCGTGCCAAGTGGTTGACGGAGGATGAAAAGAAATTGTCAAGGGAACGCATGGGAAGCTTTGGCGCCAATACGTCCAAGCTGATTCCTGCTTCTGTCCTGAAGCAAAAGCTTCGCAAGTTGATTGTCCATCCGATTACTTACTTCTTTCTGCTTGCTTTTGCTATGGATGCCTGGGCGCACCGAGCCAACTCTTACTTTGTCCTTTATATCGAAAGTCTTAAGGACAGTGCTGGAAACCGTCTTTTCAGCACGTACCAAGTCAACATTATACCACTGGGTGGCTACGCCCTGCAGATCTGTACGAATCTGATCCTCAACGGCCTTTCTGACTGGAAGCACTGGAGATGGCAGATCAGCTCTGGCTGTGCCTTCTTCTTCGGCGTCATGCTGACAGTTCTCTGCGCATGGCCATCGGATCACAAGGTCGTTATGGGCTTCTACTTCATGACATATGCTGCCAATGCCGGAGGACCAGCTCTTATGGCGTGGTTTGCCGAACTCATGAGAAAGGAGCCTGAAGCAAGAGCAATTGTCGTTGCGCTTACAGTCATGATCGTTTATATCGGCCACGCCACCATCCCTCTTCGCGCATTTAGAGTCGCCGATGCACCACGATATCCAATTGGATTTCCACTTACCACTGCCTTCTCCTTTGGGTCGGTCTTTGTACAGCTTGGTATGCTGTGGTGGTCGCGTAGGAATACCCAACTTATCGATAATGGATATGAAGGTACCAAGGATGAATCGAGGGTGTCTGACGAGGAAAGTTCTAGAAGTGTAGAAGGAGATGGACTAAGTGTTGGTCAAGAGGAAGATTCCTCGACAAAGGAAAAAAGTACCAACCCAGTAGTTTCAAAGGTTGATGGATGAGTTGCATTTGTATTTGCGACGTTTGGGCCTGATATTTCATGGTTACTTCAATACAGAGTTTTAAGAGCTCAAACCGAGTAGGCAATCAGCATTGCATAGAGAGCCAGTTTGCGTCCGAGGAAATGAAGTGACAAAACATGATGTAAAACAAGCATATTTAGCAACCTTCCCAAAGAAGCAATCCGACATGCAGCTAACTAGGTAATATCGGATAAGTAGATGAAGGATGCCTGGCTAGCATATAACCTTATTTTAACCAGCAACGGCCACCATATGTTGAGTCAAACACGGTTACGCTCTGCTGCTTTGTCGTGTAGCCAATATTATTTTGACTCAAAGAATTGTTATTCCTGTAATTTCAGCTATCTTGCTATGACAGTCGCATTTATACGAGGAGTTACCGCCAGGATGAGCAATGATAAAAACGGCGCTGACGTCCCGTCCGGTATCTCCCCCTACACTATATACCCATCGCAGCATTAGACTGTTGACGTGCACCTTATTTTTATGGCAAATATCACGATCTCCACATAAGGGCGTCCTCGGCGGCAGCCCTCCCTCGCTGACCATCTACTAGAACAACTACGCCTCTATCGCCGTTTAAAGACCTTCTACTTGAGCATGGTCCTATAACTTCCTGATCATATTCTCCTCGATCCAATTACAACGCCATAGGTTGAGCCCCGGTTGATCACTCCTCAGTGGTACCTTGACGCAGTTCCGAAGTAATGTTCAATAACAAAAGAGCGTTGCGTCGAGACGATAGAGAGATTTTGAACTGGCAATGTGAAACAAGACATATCTGCTGCCCTCAATACAGAGTCATATGGAAGGTAAGACAAGACACTGAAAGCCTACCGGATAACAAGATCAAACAAGGGACTGAAAACCACTGTCGAGAATGATTGATCAAGTGTCGTGTCATCTCACCTCGACTCAAACTATCAACTTCAGAAATTTCGGGAATTGAAACAGACAAAATATCAGGCATATTGAAGTTTTAACATATATTGAATTATGGTTATTACCTAGCTAATACCAAAATTATTGAAGATCCTGATCCAAGCCAGGTGGGTATCAAGCACAGGCACGACTACTGTCCTCGCACATATATACTGATATGCTATGAAATGTCAAACGGACTAACTGTTAAGCATACAAATTCTGCCTGCTTAAAGAGCTTGGTCCTCGTGGGTAGGAGGACCAGCATAGTTCTTGTGGCCCCAGGCCCAGTACCAGATACCGGAAACCAGGCAAGCAAACACGAACACAACGGGGGCGTAGTTCACGGTCTCGGGCATGACGGGGATGGCGGAGGGCATGCAGAAGAGAGGCATGGCAAGCGCAGACCAAGCTGGGAGATGTAAGTAAAGGATATCACAATGGAGATGAGCAGAAGACTTACCAATAGCAATAACATTGGCGACTGTTCCGAACTTGCCGAGGTAGAACTTTCCGGTCTTGACTTGCTTGCGACCAGTGGCGAGACTGATGGCAATGGGGGTAGCGTAAGAAGCAGTGAGGCAGATGACACCGACACCGGAGAAAGCGTTGAAGGCAGCGGAGGAACCGAAGTAGATGACACCAAGGATAATCTCGATGACCATGCTGAGCATCATAGCGTTGAGGGGAACGTCGAGCTTGGTGTTGACCTTGGCCCACCACTTGGCACCGGGGATGGCACCGTCACGGGCGAAAGCCCAGACACATCGAGAAGTGGCAGTTGTGCAGCCGATACCGCAGATGATGGCCAAGATGATGAGGGGGAAGAGAAGACCGAAAGCACCGCCGGAGCTGCCAACTGCACTCTTGAGGATCAGAGGCACGGGCTGAGCTGAGAGGATAACCTCCTGGAGATCGGGAAGAACGAACATCAAGGGGATGATGAACAGGAGACCGGCCAGGGTGTTGATGAAGATGGTGGCGACCATGGCCTTGGGGACCTGGACAGCGGGGTTCTGGACTTCCTCACACATGCTACATCAGGGGTCAGTACGCAGTTTTCAAGAAACGATTGAGCACCGCAATTGGCGGGCTGTGTTGTAACACTCACGAGATGATCATGCCAGTGGAAGAAGTAGCGTAGGCAGCGTGGAGAAGACCAACACAGAATGACCAGCCCTTGGGCCAGCCAGAGTTGGCCTCGAAATGTCCAAAGACCCAGCCAGCATCACGGCGTCCGTTCTTGGCAAGGGCCAAAACAGAGACGACAATGGCAATAACACCGGCAAAAGTCCAGAAGACAGCGGCGGTCTTGTGAGGAGATTATCAGCAACCATTTTACGTTTCACACACAGGGAGGGGAGAGAGAGGTTCAAGCATACATCAATCCAAGGGAGGTACTTGTTGCCGAGCGAGGAGATAGCATTGCACAGGAAAGTCAGGGCGAGGAAGACCAGGAACACCTGGTAGGCCTCTCCGGACATGACGCCGACGCCGGGGCTCGACTCAAAGACATTGACGCACGAGACGATGAAGAGGGCGGTTCCGAAGTTCACGGCGAGAGTGATTGTGATGTTTCCAACGAGATAGAGCCAGCCACAGATCCAGCTTGCAATGCGGCGCCATCGAGGAGGGGAAAGCATGAAAGCTTGGTAGTAGACGCCTATCACGGGTGATCAGTCACATGTTTTTTCGATTATCTTTCACTTGGGAGAGGCGAGGAGAGCACGCAGCAGGAAGTGTGAGAGAGAGAGCAATTGGTAAGTACCTCCAGCAGTGGGATAGACACTGGTGATTTCACCAAGAGAAGCAGCAACACAGACAATAATCATGGAGACAGCGAGCCATCCCCAGATGACGTTGACGGGGCCGCCGCCAATCAGAGGGTAGGCCAAGGTTGTAGCGAGACCGTAGGGGATGGAAGCGAGGACGAAGGACATGAAGGCGACCTGGAACGTCGAGCGATTTCGCGAAAGCTCAGCCTTGTAACCCATGGTCTCGAGGAGCTGATCGGCAGAGTCAGGGGCGCCATTGCCGCCAGACGCCTTTGAGCCTCGTCGATGCTTCTGCTCCGACACAGGTTCCATGGCGCCGGTGCTTGTGCTGGCCGAGTCGTGTTTAGACATGGCCTCGGGGGTGGGAGGGGGAGAGAGTCGAGGGATACCCAAACGAGGTGTTGTGGTTTGGTATGAGGTGGTTCGAAGCGGAGCTGAGCGAGAAGAGAAAAAAGAGAGTGGGTGAGAGAGAGTTGACAAGCAAGCGCGGAACCCGTTCGTTTCGGGTGGGAAGGTGAGGGGATTTAAGAGGAAAAAGAAAATCGAAAATCAGAAGCTAGCCAAGGCAAGGCAAATGGAACAAATCTGGGGAAGAAGGGAACCTTTCTTGGAAAAGAGATTTGGAGTAGACGAGACTTTGGGCGACATGGGGGCATAGGATGTGGGACATGGGACGGGGGGGTCGGGACCAATTATCACTGTTGCGTCAATAGTGGGCAATGTACGCTAAGACATGGACCTAAAGTGGAAAAGGTGGGAAAAGGCGATTGATGGGACAAGATAAAGAGGCGAGGGTTCTTGTCTAGAGCATGGATGGAAGAGTATGTACCTGAGTACGCATCAGGCAAGTTTGCCGTTACAGGGCGATAATACACGCTCAACGCGCTTGTCTCTAAACTCATCACCGAAGAGAACGCTTTGTCTATCCGTACACGTTAACGTTAATCAGTAATAATAAAATGAAACTTGAACCAAACGTTACAGCAACTGGTATCAGCTCCCTCCCACGTCTGATAGGCCTATTGTCTCTTCTGGTCTAGCTCGTGGTTCCTCGGCGTGGAGCCCCCAGCCAAGTCCACACGATTCAGGACCCAGCTGGGGGGATACGATAGGCTGCTAGGCTGCTTTGTACGTCATTTGCTGGGCTTGAGTGGAAGGGCGAGGGCCAGAAAGAAGTGGGCGGACACCAAGACCAAGACCGGGCAGGCCGACACAAGGTTTTCGGTCGACAGCTCGAACCGGAAGGAGATATCAGGTATCAGGCTTAGCCTAGGTAAATACCGCGCTTCTAACATTGACATTTCCATGGGCTCACTAACTGAACACGCTCTTTTCTCTCGGCTTAAGCACTGGGCCAAGCTTTCAGCCACGGTAGGGAACGAGAACGAGACAAAAGAGAGAGGTCTTTTTAATTAATTACAACGAGAACCCTCTTTTTCTTCCAGTCTAGGTTTCAGCCGAGGCCAATCGTGAGACTACAGGCTACAGCTAAAAAGCTCAGATACTCAAAGTGGTTGCTTGTGAAACAACCTGTCAACATTGTCGATCATGCACATGCGACACATCACATCAATCAATTCAACACACTCACTCACAAGCACAATGCTTGGGTTAGATCATCCCTCCAACTTTACCTATTTTGGTGAATATCCAGTATGTGATCGTCAGGGTATCAACCACCCCTGGACCTGCATTGTTGATATCCAAGATAATATCCTGGGCTGTAGCTGAAGCCGGGCTGAGTTTGAGTTGAGTCTATCAATCGGCGGTTGCGATTCCGTATCGTCAATCTTGCATGGCATCCTTCATCTTGGCTTTATTCCTATCTAAGAAGTCCGGCGACAACTCCGCGATAACGTCTATTTCCCCAAACACGTGACCGGTTTTGATCATCCCCCCGTTTCGCGATAACGCTTGTTCGACGGGCCGTTCCTTGCGTTTGCGTGTCGTGTGCGTGTATGTATCTGTCTGTCTGCGTATCTATGTATGTAGTAGGTATCGGTATCGGTATTGATATCCCGGGATATGTAGGTATCTAGGTGTAATTCGTATGGGCCGCTCTCACTTAACCACGTCCTCCGTTGTAGTCGGCACCGCCAGCCTTCCTCAATGTGACCACAATATCCTTCTCCTTCAGCTCGGCCCTGTCCCCCGTGGTGACGGCGATGCTGTGATGCGACAGCTGGCGCTTCACGTCGCCGCTCTCGATGCTGACGCGGGCCTTGCGCATGACCTTTGTGCCCTCGCCGATCCAGACCACCAGGATGAACTTGACCCGCGTGCTCTCCTTGTCGTTGGCGTACTCGACGCGCACGTAGCCGTACTGCACCTGCCCGTCGTCAAGCTCGCCCACCATCTCGCTCAGACCGCCCGTGCCCGTCTTGGTGAGCGACAGCTTGTTTCCCACCGCGCTGGCGTACGAGATAAGGAGCCAGTTGGTCTCATCCTTGTCTGATCGGACGGCGTCGTAGGCCGCAGCCACCTCGGGAGCATCAAGACCCGACATATTTTCCCGTATATGATATGTATATATAAATATAGAGATTGAGAGAGCGAGGGTATATTCGTAGCTTTCGTTGCAGATTGATACAACGGGGGAATGTCGGTCGGTGCGGGCGGTCTCGAGATCGAATCAGATTGTCTGCCGGGCAGGGAGGAATAAACTGGGCCTACCTACAACTAACACACAAGGATCGTATCAGTAAGAGAATAACATAAAAAAAGGGTTCATACTTGGTCAAGGCTTACTCAGGGCTGTGCTCTACTTTGCTACACTGAGCTGAAGGAGAACGAGACGTTTCTTTCACACTTCTGGAGTTTGACTGACTCCTCACCTAACTCCAATTCAGGGGCCCCTCTCCCCTCGCCAATCAGACACTGTCGTCTACTCCATGACCCCTTGCGCCTCTGGGAAAAGCTCGGTTATGAACGGAACGCGCTCTAGAAGCCTGACGATCCATATTTTCGTCCAAGACGCTAGAAGCGAAACGGAGAGACTCCGTCTTGTGTTGGTTGTCTCGCCGCCAAGACAAAAATCTTCCTTCTAAATGGATGTCCGTAAATACCCTAGACGGCCCTTGGTCTTGGCCTGGTCTGTTCTCAAGACTCACCCCAGCAATCAACATTCGAGAACAATATCGTGATATGCTTCAGCTCAGGGGCTGATCCGGCTCCAGTTACCCGAGTCCCGCACGTCCTGACCTCCGCGATTCAGGGGAGGGATATGGCTTCATTGTTGATTTCCGAGTACGTAAAAACGCGGGTTGCGAAACCGATTAACTATCATGTTCCCCTCCCCCATGGGACACTAGAAAGTCGGGGGATTTAGAGACCGTAGGGCTTGGTGTCTGCGGAGATGAAATGACATGCGTAGTATGAGCTGTCGTGATAACATGTATATCAATGAGAAGATGCGACGCCTCCATCCCTCTCTTGCATATCAACCACGTGTCGCATGTCCCTTTTAGGTCTTGCATTTAATTATAGCCCCTGCAAAGAAATTCGATCTGCAGCTCCATCCAGTAACCAATGGCCGTCAGCTCAGCCATTGTTCTGTGCATTGGATATGAGACATAATTATAATCTATGCCCATACAAAACTCCCCCTTGACAACCAAGCCAACAAGTTACAACCAACAACCAAAAGTCACTGACCATCCACAAATCGGGCCGAGAAGCAAACGGCGCTATGGGCAGTATTACGGGTTGCCTTGCCTAGAAAAGTCCACCGTCGCCCGCCGTTTCACTCGGATGCCTTCTTGATTAAACCTGGCAACTTTCCTTGTGAGAGTGGATAGGGCTGCCCAGGGACCCCCTTGGCCCAGTGAGATTTGTAGGGACGGGAAAAAACAATGGAAATCTGAGGTCGATCAATTTGGTAATCGCGAAAATTCTTTCATTTCTGAGGGTTTTAATAGGCCTTTGCTATTTACTGCTGTTATTGCCGTGCGTCACATTGAGGTTACTTCTCCGATGCTATTGGGACGCCCGAAATTAAATCTTAAATCAGATAGGCATTTCCGTCCGTTTTCTTAACGTTTAATTTTAACAATCTGATACCTTTCTCCGATGGGTGAATTTGTTTTCAGCGAATTGTTCAATTTTAATAATTAAATCTCAGCATCAAGTATTTCCATGTGAGCATTAAACCATTATTTCGGGGGCTTTTGCGATCATCAAAAGAACTGTAATAAATCATTCCTAAACGACGGAGAGTTATTTCTCATGTTGTCTGTATGTTAGGCTGGGAATTGTCTCGATGTCTAAATCGCTCTAGGGTGGCAGATTATCGCGATAACTATGTAACTTTTCATGTCTAGATCGTCGTTTACTATAATTCAATGCGTTTAATTACAAGTACACGGTTGATTCTACCAGAATTTATGGAAATGGATCAACTTCAACTTCAGATTTAAAAGCTATTTAAGATAGAATATTCAGCATTCGTTCGGACTATTCTTATATATATCTCGCACCTGGCTGTTAGTGCGTTTCTTCAGTCGGTCACCGAATTCCAACCTAGGCCGTAACTTTCTATTCAAGTGACTATAGTCTAGAATGAACTCAAGGCCATTGTATAACTTACGAGACATCATTTGCCCGAAATTGGAAGTCTTGACTATCGGTCGGCCGATGGCTTTCCAGCAGTAGAGATGGCTCGAGCCTCATACAAACCGTACCGATAAAGAGACCTCTACTTTTGTTACATGGCCAGCGGCCTATGCTTTCTCAAACCTGTTCCTCAGATGTAGTTTACCTTGGGCGACACCAGTGGGAATCGTGGAGTCAACGACAGAACCAAATGATACCTCTGCAGCAACTTGTCGCAGCTAGACAGGAATAAAACTTTCCCAATGTATCAATTTGGAGACTATTTGTACTTAACAGCTCTGCTATCACACTCGATAACTCTAGAATGTATCTATTTGCAACCAAAAAGCACAATAACACACGTCTGTTGAGACATATAAAAATAGACCGTTGTTTGTTGTTCAAGCCCTTGAGGGCCGCAAGTGGCTCAAATCTGTTTGCTGCCTGGGAGCGGTAGAACCGCTGGAAAAGTGTTGAAGTCTCTGGAGGGAAACGAATATTGAATCCAGAATATGATATCAGTCGAAAACTAAAGTCCGTGGGGACATGGGACTGAAAGAGAATGGATCATACTTCGTGACATATTATATCCAAGTTCTTCTCATAGGTGGGTAAATTTATAAACTTTTGACTCTCTGATGTTGGTTCATATCTGTCACTGGCCTATTTATCGATATTTTGCCCAGTTCATGGTTAGGCATCATATCACCTGCGAAATGCAACTGCGTTTGAAAGCAATAACTTTGGAGCATTATCCTCATCTGGCCAGGATGCCGCATTGGTTTCTCGACTACACCAGAAGTTCAGCTGACTATTACTGCACATACAACTGCGACTGGTAGTATCGGAATGGCTACAGTGGTATCTTGGAAGGATATTGCCGATGGAGAGGTTGTCACTGAAGACAATCGAACCAGGAGGCTTTGAGGTCGCCATGAGCTATTGGTTTCGGATTTGACCGTCTATTATGTACCATGGCTTGATAGAAAACCCAGTATCAAGCCATACGCCTCTCGATCTACCATGGCGTTAATGGGGGACCAGAAATGTCAGGGCAGGGAACTCGACGACGAAACATCGCCGCTTTATGGATGGCAGCCCAGCTTCCCTCAGGCAAGGCTCAGGTAGTGGCGACCTACCTAAGCCAGTAAAGTACCCTCTAACTCTACTTAAGTATTGAGAAGCTTGTCGCTCTCCCGGATATCTAACTCCAATCGGTTGTACTGCGATTCGCTGAGATAGATCATTAAAATTCGACTCGTATGAACTAGCAATAGACAGAAAAGAGTAATTTTTACACCACTGCTAAGAGGAAAATTAGATTATATATTCTACGTAGAATACGCTTATAGGTGGTGTATTTAAATATTAGTATAACTATACTTAATAACAGAACTATTCTTCCGTGCTGATTGGACTATGTCTATTGCCTACCGTCATTACTAAACTCACTCTCTTATTGACAACATCCAAGGTTCTGCCCTAAGTTGACAGCTCATACACCGTCTGCTGCACATAAGCCCCTTGATTCTGCCCATCCATTTGATGATTGACCGTTGAATTCTGTGTGTACATACCCCCATCCAACTCGTAGATGCTTTGGAATCCTACAGCACCCTTGAAAGGATCCATGGTAATAATTTTGGCATCACTAAAATCGACACGGTCTTCTCCTGGAAGAGCCATTGGCGCTGAGAACCCAAGGAGCTTGCTCACACGAGTGTTGCAGATGCGGCAAAAGACTGCGTTGTTGTATCTCATGTAGTTGAAGACACAGGAGGAACAGAATATGTGATTACACGGTTGTAGACTAAAAGTTGTTAGTTCAGACTATTCATCCTAAACATCAAATCGTCCAAAGTATTGAAAGACTCACATTGAATCACAGAGCATCCTTCTACAGCAAGTGCATGCCACTTTGGTAGAACCGTTTAAACGTGAATTTAACTGGATGTTACCACCCTCGCTGTCCAACTCACCTACGCTCTTTACACCCAACAGATTATCCTGACCGTCGGTGATAGCAGCTTCGCCGTAAGATTCAAAGAACGGCAGCCCTTGCTGCTTGTACATCTCAGGTGTGACAGGCGAAGGAGGTGCTAGCATACCCGTCAAAGACTCAAATGCTACCGAGTTAAGGATCTGAACGCTGATCATTGTAGTTCGATGCTTACACCACGCGGATGACTTGAAGGGGTCTTTGTTGATTTTCTGGTGAATACGCGAGCCGGCCGCAATCCCCATAGACCACCCTGTTTGGCTTTGAAGACTGTTAGTGTACGCGGCTCTTATGAGGACGATTGAGACTGTTGGACGGTGACTCACTCTGTCGGTTTGGGATGAGATTGAGTTGAAGCAGGCCTCGAGCTCCAAGACGTGGCGGTGTCAGATCGTGGAGGCGAGGAATATGTAGTTGCCGAGGAGGGCGCAGAAGGTGAGGATGGTGCTAAGGATTGATTCCCCGATCCCTCCACAATTTCGACTACAGAATGACCTGAATCATACGTTTCGTCTGCACTCAACCTCATGGGGATACCACATGGAGGGTTTTGGTAAACCTGTTCATTCGAAGCTCTCATTCTAGAGTTACGACGTCGCGTTTCGGCCAATGCAGGAGAAAATTTCTGAGAAAAGGCCTGAGGCCTAGCGGACCCGGGACTCGATAGCATAGCTGGACCAGGCGCTACTGGTAATTGGTAACCAGGGGAAGCGACAGGCCGGCTCCCTGCAGAAGCTGAAGCCGATTCAGCTGCGCTGACGACGACTGAAGGAGAATACTGGCGTCCATACTGCTGAGGTGGTGCGCTAGTGCTAGAAGGCGACGAATAGCCCTCGAATTGGGGAGATTGACTTACATGATGAGCTTGTGGTGGACTTGACGAGCCGGGGGAAGGGTATGTTTCCGACATGGGCATATTTGGTGAAGTATGACCGTACTGCGGAGACGCAGGAGATGCTGACTGAGTGGGATAGCTCGAGTGTTGGGGCCGTTGCATCCCAGGGCCAGGTTGCCCAGAGGAAGGATGGACAGGAGATACCTGACTTGAGAAAGGTGAGGAGGACTGGTAGGTTTGTTGTGGGAAAGGCGCCTGCTGCCATTGGCGACCGCCTGTGTCCCAGCCCTGTGAATATTCCGGCGGTGAAGGCTGAAGTAGTATAACCTGAAGAATGGAGTTGTCCTCTATTGCTTGCTCGCCTAGAGAACAAGGCTGAAGGGGCCTGCCTTGATACAGAAGCCTCATACTCCAAGCGTTGAAGTCCGTACCCATGATCTTGGCTCCTGCTTGGGATCTCTCCTGCATGCATTGCTCAAGTGTCCACCAAGGCGCCCATTCAACACCCATAGTCCGGTGGGAGCCGTTTTGCTCATAAGAGAGTAACAGATTGAGCTTGTACACTGCCGTCATGTACACCTCACTGCCAGGCTGCCAGGCCAAATAGTTGGACTGATACTGCACGATCTGGGATCTGTACAGGTGGCGCATGTAAACAGGAGAATGAGTCTTGACCCAAGGCTCTGCCGTCTCAGATGTGTCGAGAATTCCGCTATCTTCCAACTCTTGGAACCTCCAGTCTAGAATGACAGTGTCCTCGCTCAAGCTCCGAGGTGTCTCATAAGGTGTTGTATTCTGGGCGAACTTGGGTCTGACATACCATTGGTTTCCTGGGATGAGTTCTAGCTGTATGCCGCCAACGTCCTCTTTACCTGTGACCTGCTTCTCGACCGAATAGCCTGAGCCAAGGGGCATGGCAATGAATTGTCGAACTGTTCCTTGACCAACCGCGATACCATCGAGGAACTTCTGTGTAGGCACGGAAATGTAGTCTTGCTTTGATGGTCTTTGAGACGGCGGTGAGTTCCATAGTAGCCCAGAAATCACGTTGACACCGCCGACGAAGGTCCTTATAGCAAAGTTGTCGTTTGTGGCCTTGAATGATAGAAACATGGCCTCGCGCTGATATAGTGGAAAGAAGACTCCCCCCTTACGCGCCATTTCTATCAGACTAGCGTTTCCGGAGTTTTGTAGCTTTTTGGAGATCCAGGCGATGTTAGAAACGGGGATATGGCCTACGCCAGAAGGCTGGTTGTGTACCTTGCCATCTTCTGGTAATCTTAACGTGCTGTTAAAAGTGATATCCAGTTTAGCAGGGAACGATACCACCTCAACCCTGTCCTCTTTACAGCGCACCCTGAGTCGCCGGATATTCTCCTCGAAATCCGCGATAGACTCATCTTTGTTGATCAGAAGGCCCGACTCGGCATCCGCATCGTAACAAGATGATTTATCGACGGCAAAAATCTGGTATTCTTGGGGCTGAGCTCTGTCCGGGTTCCACTGCGGCATGGCAAGGCTTGCGTGTTTGGCTGAGATGGGTTCCTCGTACCCGTGGGCTTTAAGCAGCCGAGTGACATGCTTGAGGGTCATGAAGTAGGGTCCTTGGATCGTGACGCTAAACTTTTGGGCGTGGCTGGATTTCTTAACGCCGTTGAGGATTATTGTTATGCATTCTTCGGGAGCGAAACCTAAAATTCTATGTAAGCTAATGGTTCAAGGTACTGGACACAGTAGTGGGACGTGGTATGCCTTTCATAACCAAAACATCTCTATACACTTGTTGCACAGGCATCTCGACAATATTCTGTTCCTGGGAATCCGGCGTGAAGCTGGAAAGCCAAGTGTCGAAACCAGAAAAGGTTCCGATATCATCTTGGGGGCTGACAGGTGGAACGGTGTCCCGGCGGTTTGGTCCAGGACCTGGAGGAGGTGCAGGTGTATGTACTTTCGACAGTAAGGGATCTTGTAGATCAACGACATGCTTGGAAGTATCTTGATTCTGATCGTAGTTGTCCGGAAGGAGGGCCACATCCTGCTGCTGGATCTTGATCCCGCTCTTACTGCCCTTGATCTTATGCATGAGTTTCTTCATGGCCACGGTTTACGGTCGTCCCAAACTCTTGCGAGCGGATAAGTCAGTTGCAGCGGTGATGATGCGTTATTTCAAGGACGGTCAAATAAAACTATCTACCTTATCTAGAGACAAGACAGATTTCAGTTTAACCTTGAGCTGTTTCTGAAGCGGGGGTTGGGTAATAGTTAACCTTTGGTGGCGTTTGCGGCTGAAGAAAAGTCATGTGAATTTATAGTTATTGAGAGCTACTCAGCTATTGTAGTCACCACCTCTTGTGTTAGCTCACCCTGGGCTCAGGCTCGGCTCAGGTTAAAGCAGCGACTACTCAGGATAGTCACTGAGCGAGATAAGATCGCAGGTCGATATTAAAACTTGTATTAAGCTGTTTTACTATTCTTCGAGATAAGTCTATTTTCGCTGGTGTGTTCATGGTGTTGATGTGGCCTCACGACTGTCACACACAGATGCACACATAAGGGCAAACAAATATCCTCCAATTCATGCAGAAGCTACTGAGTTTATAATAGCATATTCTTCAACGATAATGATTCCCAGAGGATATGCCTGCTTCTCTTGCACTGAAATTTCGAATAGTGTCAGGTCTTGCTACGGGAACTGTCACTCTCATGAGATTGCACATGAGGTTAGTCGTAATGCTTTGAAAACAGATGCCAGCTCTTATCATAATTCAAATGGAATAAGTCGGGACTGTACATTAGTTGAGGTTCGTTAGTTCATTGGTCTTGGTTATACATGCATGATCTACATTGGAGGGAGGCGTCTTCCTGTCGTAACAACATGCCCAACACTCTTCCACGTCAACCTTCACTCAACATGCTACCGAAAAGAGCTTGAAGTAAATCGTCTAGCAATCAGCCATATCCTCTAGATAACATTTACTTTGTGAGTCCAAACGATCACGTCTCAAGAAAAGATGAATCGAATACTGTGCATATTGGCGATATAGTTAACACGCCGCATTTCTCTCACAGAGATATGATTATACGTCTCCTCGGGTAAGCTTCGAATGAACGCTGTTGGACACTGCAAGTATGCTCCTGATATCTGTAGCAGAGAGTAACAGGTTATCTTTCCCAACGACACAATGAGAACAACCAAAACCTGTGTATGTCTGTTCTCATTCTTATTTCATCCTGCTGTGCTTCTCTCCGATCCATCAGCTACTTTTCAGTTCAATATCAAACAATAAGGAACGGGCACTCAGTCAACTATAAAAATGTTCTTTCAGAAGAAGAAGACGCGAAGAGGCCTTGTATTGGCTCGAGCTGGGTTGCAGTCTTGATGGAATGTCTCGAAAACAAATATTCAACTCTGTGAGTCGGAAGAATCAAGCATCCGAACAGGGAAGTAGCTAAAGACTCGTTTTCTATATGGCTCGTACTGCGAAATGCATATCAACCTATCTCCATCATCGATTTGTTGCAGTATGTATCGGTGAAGTATAATCACTGCTTCTCTTAATTCACGATATTTACAACATCCAACACGGCCTCGCCGAAAGACATGCCTCCAAATGAACATAAGCATCTGCTCAGCACCAACTCAGCCTGCTCACAACAAGACCCCATGCTATTCTCTTAATTTAGGACCTTGCCTATCTTATATTCTGTACACAGGGTACTTTGATCTCTCACTTATCCCTCCACTATCTAAATCTAACGGCATGTTGATAGACATTCTTATCTCCATGTTACATTGTCTGTGGACCACCGCTACTGAATTTAATGAGCTCTCGTACCTTTATTCTTTAGTATCACCATCTCCTTACAGACTGACTCCTGGTGCCACTCATAACCACGCATGGGAATTACCCTCGTGCATCTAGCAATGTTATCAAACTTGTTGAATTAGTCAAGGTCGGTTAATTGTGGCTACACAGCTCTCGTCCCTAAAACCCTGTAGTAACATCTTCCTACCCCGTGGAGTCTAGGCATATGTACAGCTGAGTGGCAAGATCATGTTACTTTGTGGTGTTCCATCCAAACCCAAGCGGAGCAAACTCGGTCTCGCGGTCAATATGCATCTCTATCGCAAATTGCTTTGGGGAGTCTCGGTTAAAGATCACGACATAGAACATGTGACATTCTTTGAAATCAGCGTCAGCCATCCTTTCAAGCCCCTACAGCAAATCACCAGGTTGATCACAAAAGCAGTGGAACTCAACCGGTCAGAACCACCATCAGACGAACGCAGCTGGGGTGCTGGTATGCATATGCTGTATCACCCCAAGTGTGAACGTTCCTGACGCCCACTCCAGAGAGTTCTACACGAGCTGATAATCTGCTCTCGTTGCAGCATGTTACTCTGGGGTAGAAAAGCCGCTTCTAGCCCTCGTGTTGGTGCTACCCAAACCATGCTTTCTGCCAATATTGAAACGCTACACTGGGTTCAAACATGTATGGCCAACTTGACAGCTCGGAGTATGTGTGTCCGGTCGAATCAGCCTCGGAAGAAGACCTTCTACATGCACAGTGATGAGAGTGGTGAGCCGTGATGACGGAAATCCGGGGAACATGAGGGCAGCACAACAACGCAAGAGACACCATCATGCAATATCATCATGTAATGAGCTTCACGGTCGAGATGCGGACTTTGGCGATGGTCCACACTACACAAGTTGCATTTTTGCCCAGAGATTATACGAGGAACGGCATATTCCACGGCAAGTTTCGTGAGCTGCCTCCCGAGTGGCGTCTAGACCCCTTACTAATCTGCTACAGATATCTATCAGAGTGGCACAACGTTGAACTTGAACTGATACTTGCAGGCTTTCTATTGCCTCTGTGAGGAGTCAGATGGGCCGGGCCGTTGACTCTGGGTGTGCACAGTAACATCTAGAACTGGTCGGAGATACACTTTCAACGTTAGCTAGCGGCTGAATTCACACCGAGCGCCAGTCCGACTGTGCATTGGGGCGTTCAGATGGGGGAAGTTACGGAGTCTGGAGACGTCCAAGACCCGTTCCAGATGCTTGTCATATGTGATGCCACATGAGACGAGCCGTTGTTGCCATACAAATCATGTCATGTACATGTGTGTGTATGATGCACGAAATGTCAATATTGGAAGGCTACCCTATGCTTGCGTGAGATGACCTCCGGCAACTAGCTTAGAGTTTACAAGGTGGTCAATAAGCTCCAAGAGCAAAACAGCACCTCCGAGGAGGCTTACTGGCCTATCATTTGATCCTGACGAGATGCACGATACAGCAAGACAAACGCGGGGAACTGTCTCAGCAGAACCCTCCCTGCATGCGTACAGAAACCTGAATTGCGCTGCACTCTGCTCTGCTCTGCACTGTATCGTGCCTACAGTAAGAGATGCACCGACTCATGAAGACGCGGAGCAATGCATGGCTGAGGCGGTGAAGACGTTACCGAGTTGGCGTTGCCCAGAGGGTATGGGATGGTTACAGTGAGACAGCCGTTGAAAATGGTAGCGCCCTCTAGGTTAGACTCTTCTCTTCTGTGGGTGTGGCGGGTGGTTGAGTTGAGATTGTGGTGGCACGCTCGACACTCACACTGCGCACCACTATACCACAGTGGCTACATTGGCTACACTACTACACTTTCTGTACGAACGATGTAATGCTGGCTGGAGGATGGGTTAGACGCTTTGGTGCCACCATTAGACTTGGCCTTGTCCGTTCGGCGTTGAATTGGAGGGCCAAAAGTTTCCAACAGAAAATAAGTGGCAAACCAACAAAAGAAATGGATCTCCACGATATGTCTCGCAGTGCGTGAAATATTCACATTTCTCATTCACGAATAGCAACAATTACGTAGCGTCAATGAGCGAAAGCGGATAAGGATGAGGGATATTGCTGTTGATGGGGAACCCTCACCACTATCTGATCAGACCAAGGGAGATGAGGGAGGCAAGAGGCTCCTCTTTTTGTGACTGTAGCTGGCGGAGCATGCATGTCATGGGCGGCTAACTAACTCATTTTCTGCTGGTTGACTGACTCCTTTTTTCCCTTCTTCATACCATTGTGAGTCTGAGGATGAGTCGATAGTCCGACGCTGCGGCTCATTCACTATTTCAACAGGGGGCGGAAAGTGGATTCTGGGTTCCAGAGATATTTAGAGGCTCTTGTACGATCGTCACGATAAAGGTCCAATAGCTCCGGCTCCAAGAGATGAAATGCTACTGTAGACTATGGGTAAGTCTGTAACACGGCAAGGTCTCCTCGTCTAGTAATGCCCCAGTCCTTGAAGAGCAGAGCACTAAGAAGTGGTTATGGCTCCTGCTACGACGCTGTCCTCATTGTTTAAAAAGATTTGCTTGGCGTTGAGATTGTAAGAGGAGCAAAGACCTTGGCCGTAACCGTGCACCCCAGGCCCCCCAGGCACCCCCAGCAAAAGCGTTGGCCCACTTTACGAGACTATTTGCACGATTTACATACTAGACTTCGATGGCGGTGATCACAGTTCCTCCGCTGGATACGTCATTGAGCAGTCATGTTAATAGACGAGACGATATGTGTTCGAAAGGTTTCCCCGTGGGAGCGAAATTCGAGGGGTAAAAGGGCTTTTTACAGAGTTGAGAATGCTCCGTCTGGGGAAGCAAATGTGAGGCGGAAAGACTAGCGATGGGTGATATTCGTTGAGGAATGGATATGCTGCCAGGAATAGACAACCAAGTCCCTGTGCCTGGACAAGAACAGAGGTAATCTACCCATATCAGAACAAGTTTTGCTGATCAGAGGCCCGAGCCTCAGGTGGTCGGCAACCTTCACGACAGATGGTGGCTGCCTCGAAAAGATGGGCTACTGGGGGCAAGCCTCAAGCAGGGCTACAGTAACTGCATTCGATTGGGATGAGGGTAGTTCAAAAGTGCCATGTTTGAAGCATTGGTCCTTGGGCATTTGAACCTTGGAAGCAGCAGGTAATGCCTGGCAGTCACATTGTGGATTTCGTTTCCCCCCCCCATGGTAGCGCCATCTTCAAATCTCTTTGAAACCCGGCAGTAGCATATTCAAGGAGAAACCAATCCGG